ATGCAGGTTGGCTACTTTTTCCCCCTGTAGTCGTACAAAAATGTACAAAGTATCGTACGGTGAGAGAAATTCCAGATCCCTGGCACTTGGTGGCGTCACGGGACGGTCCTCACACGGAGGTTTAACTGAGTATGGGCATGAACCGTGCTGTCGTTCTTCTATAATGCATGTACACATTAAAGGTGGATTCAAAGGTTACTCATATAGAGAACTTGAACTGTGAAGCTACTTTGGTGGTACTAACTAAGTACACTAAGAGAGGACCCATGTTTTTTTGTTTTTGTTTTTGTTTTTTTTTGTTTTTTCTTTTTTTGTTTTTTTTTGTTTTGTTTTGTTTTGTCTATTTGATCGATTTAGTTCTATTCGACGTGGTATTTTTTGGGGATTTTATTTTCATTTTTTAAATTTTATTATTCTATTTTATCCTCAGACCGGTACAATAGTACCTAGCTGAGTTGCAGATAATCATTCAATTAACCCATGATGTACTTCGTATGCGGGAGACGAAGATCGCCATACGGCACAGTTGATAAACGGTTCAACGCATCCTGTGCGGCTGAAGCAAACCCTTGAATCCTTCTAAGCATGTCGCTGAAGTTGTCGATTTTTTTTTCTTTTTTTCTTCATCCCTATATAATTATGTATAGTCAAAATGATCTTGTCCGATCTAGGTCAAGACATCAGACCTGTAACTTGTCAAATGTCATAGCGCATGATGTATCTTCTGCATTGCGCGCCACCATCCGGAGTACCCCTTTCTCATGTCCGGGGAAGGAAAGATGTGCAGCGATTATGACTAGGATTCTATGATCATCGCTATGTCCGCATATTACGCACTGGCAGGTTGGAATGTGGGCGCGAGATTCCACTGGGATCGACTTGACTAGTCGGAGGATTTCCGCGCGTTTCTTGCCTTATCTGGTCAGTGTCCACTCTGAGAATAGTGACAGTGGTTAAATTATTCAATGGGGAAAAAGAGAGGAAAGAAAAGAGAATATTTGAAACTTGAACTTCAAAAAGTAGTCTGGACCTCGGGAATATTATAGGTACCCTGAAACCATACTTACTCAGTAATAATGGCACATAAGCGCCAGGGAAATTCAAAGTGTAGGGGAAATAAATCATCCGTATAAGTATGGGACTAAAATTGGGATCGGATCGTAGACTCTTTCCAGGTTCAGTAGAAAAGAGTGTCGCTCATCTGGATTTAGTTGATTTAGTTGATTTTAGGAGGCTGGGAGACATCCGAGTCTTCGCTTTGTCAGGGTCGAGTCATCAAAGCGGGCCCCAAACGGTCCTAACGGTCTCTCCATCACGCGTTGTCGATCATTCTGACATCCTCGTTTTTGATTCTCCTTTCCTCGTGTGGATTTCTCTGTGGATTATGGTAAAATTTAATTTCCTCTTAGTCTCGTTGCTAGGCTAAGTATCTTGTTAATGGCCTTTAATGGGACGGATCGAGGCCTAGCGCAACCTGGCTCCGTGGAGACTGGAGCTTCTATGATGATCTTGATTGGTAAATCGTGGTGAATATGCACTTCGTCTGGATATTCACATCCTTCAAATTCAGCTCCAAGTTTCTCCACTGAGGAAAATCCTAAGCTAGCGCTTGATAATACAGACTATTCACTTGACCCTCATTACTCCGTACTCACTACGGAGTACCTACTACGGCTCCGGGGAGTACACACAGAGAACAACCTCCACTAGAGTTCCATCCCTTTCCACCGAGTGATATGTCTCCAGTTAAGACCAGGTCCCGCTTAAGATGCGTTGTCAGTGGGACACAGCCTGCCAACTCGACATCTGGAACATTGAACTTGCTGGTACTGATCAACTCCGTCCTCCGTACCTACATAGTACTTTACCTACACATAGCATTATCCCCAGTCTAAAGCTGAGTGCACGGCTATGCCAAGAGCAGGCAACTCTCATTTATCAGCTTCATTCTCTCCCTCTCTTACTCCGTGGGCCTCAGATCATCCAGATTTGACTTTTGCCTTGCCATGCAAAACACCCCCTGCGTCCAATTGCGGCATCTTCAATCCCATCTCTCTTGCAGCGGATTCGCGACCGGGCTGCCCGTCAAGATTTCGTCGGTTCAGATCGAAATGCACCAAAGTAGCGGGGAAATTCGGGTGAGGATATCCATCTTAGTCGAAGAACATCCACAACCCCTCTTACTCTTACTCTCTCTTTCTTCCCGTCCTCCGATCCCCCGGATGATATAACCCCACGTTATAATCCAGTTTAGTCCACGTACATACTACCATATAGATGTCTATAGACTCTGTTCAAAGTATTAGAGATGAAATAATAGCCATTGATACTGACAGCCTCGATGCGAGGACTTAGGATCGAATCAAATCAAACCAAACCAAACCATCCCTACCATAGCCTTGGAAAACCGATCGTGCCTGTGCGCCCGGTGGACCCAGACACAAGTCCGTTCAAACCAAACCAAAAGAAGGGGAAAAAATAAAATAAAAATTCAATAATTACCTGTAGGCGAAGTGACCTACCGTGCAGGGAGACTAAATCTCAGACGGGTGCATGGAACACATCTTAGCGTGGCTGAAATGGTGCGATCCGGGTGGTGTGCTCGGCTGCACCATGCAGCGACTACCGTGTAGATCGATGCCTCGCATCACTGGATCTTAGGCCTGTTAACAATGGATCCATTGTTCCGACTCGGGCCTCGGGTTTGAGATTGAGGGTTGGAATTGGAGCTCAGCCTTGCCCACCTGGCCGGTGGGAGTTCAAGTTCAATGTTTTCGGGGCGTTAGGTTTAAGACGGTATGAAGTAATGTGAGCTGCAATAGAGTACATATTTGGTACTCCGAGTCCATAAAATGGATCTGATCTGACACTGTGCTCTCTCTGCATTCACTTTTTCTGCACATGTGTATTCCGCTCCGTATTCCGGTACGGAAGGCTGTGTGTTTATGCAACTTGAATGCGAGATGAGAAGGTTCTGGGTGCATATGGACTTCGTACATGTGTAGTGTGTGCTGTTGTAGATCGTTCCTTGAAGGTTAGACTGGACCAAACCAGATCGGTCTCTTATCGCCTTATGTTTTCTTCTTTTTTTAATTTTTAATTTTATTTTCTGTCCTGTTTTGCCTTTTCCTTCCTGCAGGATGGTTGCATTGGTTCTTCAGGTGTTTGCAGCTAGCATAATCTGTTGTGTTTCCCAGTATTCATCCCAAGACTGCTTCTTTCCTGTCTCTTGTGGGCTCCAATGTGGAGCCTTACGGCGTAAAATTTGAAAGTTGAAGTGTAATCTGCATCATTGATGTATGTACTTCCAAGTCCGAGTTCAGTGCGAGAACGGAGAGGGGGGGGGGGGGGGGGGGGGAAGAGCAAATACCTCATCTTGCCAAGGCCTTAGTCGTAACTCAGATCATCGGGATGCATATGAGGTTCCGAAGATCTAGCAACGATTACCTTTTGGTGATGGACCACTTTGAAGGCGCTCAGTGGACGTTCAGGCCCTAGGACCAACCGTTGGGCTATGCACCCGCTATGGGTCCGAGTCTGTGCGCGTTTTGGAAAGTCTTTTTGGGGATGGATAAGCTAACCCTCGCATCAAGTTCCAACGGTTTTTTTTTCTTTTAACCGAACAAGGTAGGGGAGAGATAGTCCCATCAGTTTGGAGCCGAAGATCTCCGAAGTAAACTAGAGCTAGAGCTCTCATGACTTGATTCCCCCCCAAAATTTTCGGGATTCGAAGTACGGAGAAATAACGGGTATGACATACCAACGGCTAGAGCGGGTCCAAGGGGTCAAAGCGAGGAATGTTTTTTTTTTCCAATGGGGCAAGATGCGGCAGATGAACAGAATTATTAAGAACCTTGGGTAAAAGATTGAGAGAGATCTAACTTGAATAGAAGGAAATACGAACTCGGAGTACACTCAATCATGTATACCGCATACTAGGTTCTAATTTCTAACTTCCCAAAAATCTCATTCTAACTTTATGTACTAGTACAACTACTTAAGTAAACATGAGACTCTCAGACCACGGGCAAAATTCAATGGATGATACCCCCCCTGTCTTGCAAAGATTCCGTGCCCCGATAAGCTTAGGAAGACTCGCCACTGTCCAAGAATCTTAATTGTTCATTTTTCCTCCACTACAATTTTCTCCACTGCGCGCATGGACAACTGACACATAACTTGCTAGTGCACGCGTCCGGGAAAGGCAACCGGTACCAGTGAGAGGCCCTCGCGCAGTGAGGGGGCCATATTATGAGAAAACCACAAAGAACTGGGATATGAACTCCTACGTCATTTCCTTGCCCCTGGCATCGTAGACATTTTCATTGCATCGGATTGCAGCTTGCAGTAAAAGGGTCTTGTGTGGTTGCAGGGCTACGATCTCACCAATAATGTCTCGGGTGGTTCGATCTCGATCCCTAAAAGCTTAAGCGGGGCCCAAAAACGTGTTATGGGTGATCTAATGCTAGTAATTTGGGTCGGATTTTGTACTGAAGTGGACAGGGCGCATCGATGATGAATGATTCATATCAAAAGGAGGGTGGGTAAACAAGGACATGCGGCATTAACCAGGTTTCCGTGTTCTTTTGGGGATATGATTGAGTCAGTATTTATCATCATCTTTTCATAAGATTATGATTGGAGGGATTTTCTTCAAGATCGAGATCTATCATTGATCAGTGGAGGATTAAATCGGATTTAATATAAAAAGGCGCCGAGAGTGACGTCGGGGGAGGTACTCATACTACCCCGTGGTCCTTAATACGGAGTAGTACAGCTCCCGGGGGGTGGTTATATGTGGAAGGACGAGTACGTACCAAGTGCAGCTGGAGCCCTGGAGCCTTGAGGGCTACTAGGGATGGGATGGACATGTGTGCACAGGGTTAAGATTCATCGAATTTACGGTACGGTAGTGCCCGAGATCTAGCAAGGGTTGGAAGACAGTACTTCCCCGGTCCATCAAGATTTATTTATTTCCCTACTTGCTTTTTTTTTCTCCCTCATTCGTATGAGTAGGATTTATTGGTCTCCTGCTTCTTCCAGATCTGAAGTATTCCGTCCCGTGGTGCGACCAGAGCGGCAAAGCTCATTGGAGGAGAAAGGACATCGATCCAGTTTCGATTGAAGGGAATGGTGTGTGACAGTGGCTGTTCTCCACACGGCCATTCCTCAGATCTGGCACAGGAGACATTCCACTTTCCGTTACTACCCTGCATGTGTGATCTGGATCTTTCTTCCAGTTCAAGTTTCAGGCCACCAGGTGGCAGCATTTGTACTCCATAGCCCAGGGAGTAATACTTAGGTATGCATAATGAATGATCTATCAACGGAGTACTCGGGCTATGATGGAGATTGACATCATGGTTCCCACATTACCCCCACTGACAGGGCAGTGTCAAGTTGAAATAATTGAATTAATAAGCCAAATTTTCATATGAAGAGTGATATTCGAGGCTGAAGTAACTTTTGAACCCTGCTTAATCGGAGACTTATGTGACACGAGATAGTGTTATGTTATATCCACATTGGAACCTTAGAAGTAGATAAAAACATGATTCAAACCTTGGGTTCTTGTCATGCACAGTGTTCAAGAACTGAGATCTGACATGCGCAGATGTAAACATAATAAGATCATGGAACTCGACTCTTGAACATTTAATTATAGATTAATATGATTAATATAGTATATAGAGAGACTCGGACTCGGGGGTAGTACCCGTACCCATGTGTTCCTGAGTGAAGTGGTACGGGATGCATTTGATTTTCCCCATAAGAAAAGAACATGACATTCCAGAAGGACATAGTGCACCGCCTCTTTTTAATCTCCTTTTTTTGGATCCTTTTTTTTAATTCTTTCTTTTATTTTTATTAATTCTTTTTTTTTCTTTTCCTTTCTTCTACCTAGCTGGAATAATAGGCTAATTAACCCTTTACTCCACAGATCCGCAGTTCGTACGGTAATTTGCCTCTCAGTAAAACGGGGTCATAACCGATCTCATTTCCTGTAATTTTGGGGTTTATTTAATCAATTTTCATTTATTTTAATTCATGATTTTATTATTATTATTATTTTTTCATATATTTCATATATTTCATATATTTATATATTTTATTTTATTATTTTATTAATATTTCTTTAATCGGTTCTCTGCTAAATCCAATCTGTATCTCGATCCACTTGGATTCCTCCGATGGTAATTTGATTATTTTCTTTTAAACTTCCCCCCCCATTTTATGGGATTTCGATGTATTTTATTTTTATTTTATCTTCTAATATTTTATTATTTATGATTATTTTATTTTATTTCTATTTATCTTAAGCTATATATCGATCGATCGAAGCCTTTATTTAACTCCCCCCCATTCCACCTCGTGCCCATATTTGGATTAACATTCCCATAATCATTTTTCCCTCCTCCCACGCGACGCAATTCATCCCTTGCGTTCGTTCAACCCTCCACGATCGATCTCTCCTATTCTTCTCTTACGGTTTTATTTCGAAGTTGTTTTCTTACTAAGGGAGGGGATTATTTCTTTTCTGGTCCTTATATTATCGCAATCACTCGCCGCGCGGGATCCAGATAAAACCTAAATAACTATACTTCCCGATCGCATCGCATCTCTACCTTGGCTCATACGACTGGTTCCCAATTTTCTTTCTCTTTCACTCTCTTCAAATCATTTATTCTGGTTTGATGAGGTGATCCAGTGATTTTGGAACTTTCTCTCTCCCGTTCGTTTTAACCACCCTTCTCTCTCCTCCCTCCCTCTTCACCCCCACATCTATCGTGATGGGGTCTTTGGAAGCCGCGCCTAGGCACAGGTTGGTTTGGTTTTCTCATGTATTGGTCTGGAATTCAATGCTGACGGTAATCTGCTTCTTTTTGTACTTTTTTAGAGACCCTTTGCCTGCCATCGGTTTCTTAGGCAAGGACGGTTCGGGGTATACACCCAACCAAAACATTACTTCCCCTCGTCAATCTTCAGCCCCAACATGTACACCGGTCAACCTCAGACTTTACCTTATTCCTACGCGCCGGCTACCAATGCGCCCCCGCAACCCGGTTACATCTCACCGCCAGAATCGCGTCGAGTCGAGGAGGAAAAGGATAAGACATCTCGACAATCACTCCCATCTATACACGAAGCCTTAGGCAAGGACAACCATCTCCCGTATCCCGCACCTACCTCCGCACCACCACCACCACAACCCGGCCACGCTGGTCACGCCGGTCACTCCGCACCACCATCTCATCTCATCGGTCGTTCTAGCGCAGAGGGTCCAGCTGGTCCTCCCAATCCATTTGGTCCAGCCTCGGGGTCGTTGATGCGAGAACCAGCCTATCCTCATCAGAACCAGCTTCAGGCCGATCCATCACGCAATAGCCTCGCCTCGATCAATTCACAAGACTCCCGAAACGCTTCCCTTCATTCTCTCAGTACCGGCAAATCCCCTACCCAGAGCGCCAAAACTGGTATCACCTCAGTCTCTGGTTCTCAAAATTCCGTCTACGACTACAGCGCGCCCCCATCTGCGGGTAGCGTAGCTTCCCCCAATGGCTATGGTCATTTCCCACCCAATTATTCCTTTCCGCAACCGAGTGGCCCGTCATACCCTCCTCCTTCCTACGATAACCGTCAATACATGGGTGCGCCGCGAGTGGATGAGGTGAAAGGTGGATACGGAGCTCGTCCTATGCCAGGTCAACCTCACAGCGACTCGGTAAAACGACATCTAGATGTATATGATGTGGAGACATCATTAATTGAGGTAAGAGATTTTTTTTTTTGTATTTTTGTGGTTCTCTGTGTTTGTGTGTGGTCTAAGATTGGTTTGGTGGGGAGGAAAACACGAGGTGATGGGAGATTATCACCTGTCGATCCACTCGGGATTTGGTGTGCCAAAGAGAGAAGGAGAGAGAAAAATAATGGGTGGGCTGACGAGTTACCGGATTGGAATAGATCTCCGAGATGAGCACACGAACATTGGAGTTTTCACGACATTACGCTGCACGGGCTCATCAGACACAACGGTCTGGACCAATTTTGGGCTCATTGCCTACGCTCAGTGAAGTGGAGGAAATGCTCCATATGCAGCGTCGGAACCAAGATGCTTTAATCCGGATACGGACGGCGGTGGTGAACCAGGAACAGGCGCTGGCAGAGATGGCCCAGCGGAAAGCCTACAAGCCCGAGGACGAACACATGGCTGGGACCATGTACCAGGAAGACTTCAAGGGCGCGGGTGGGTTTGCTGGGGGAGACTCGAAGAAACGGCGTGGAGTAAGTTTCCCACTTTTTTGCTCAATTTCATTTATTCCCTTTGTTTTCATTGGTATACTGGTTTCCCGGTGTGGCCTGTTTGTCATTTTACCCATTTATCCTCCCGGGGACTTCTCCTTACTCCCCCTGTCACTGCGGTTTAATCCGTGTCCAGTTCTCCACTTCCTTACGGTTCTTGAATTCGTGTGGCTAATCAGATTTCTTGTTGTAATAGAAAGCGGCCCCTCCTGGTCGTTGCCACAGCTGTAACCGAGCCGAAACACCAGAATGGCGTCGGGGTCCAGATGGTGCCCGAACGCTGTGTAACGCCTGTGGTTTGCACTACGCCAAGCTGACTCGCAAGATGGGTGCCAACAAGGCGGCGACCCTGGGATCGAACTTGAAGCCCAAGTCGGTCCTAGACTCCGCTTCACCAACCAGTCATTAAGCTTCTTTTCTCTAATGTGGCGTTGGGAACAAGGCGGGAAATAGAAATGGGGGGCAAAAAGGAGTTCAGTGGCCATTTTATTCCCTTTGGATTTTTGTGAATCTTTTTTGGATCTGGATCTGGATCTGTTTTTTTTTTTTATTATGGAATATTTGCTGGGTTTGACTTTCGGGGATCTCATGAGCATTTTGATTTTGTTCCCCGGCATCTTCTTTTTTTTCTTGAATCTTTTTTTTACCATATTTCCCTCTCTCCACATCATCCCACATCATCATTGTTCTCTTGTGAACACTTTGACTCCCTTTTTGGTGTGGACCTTCCTAATCGGTGCCCTTATATAATACCCTCGCAGCGTTCCAGGAGCTCGAACTTCAAGCAAAGCATAGATCACCCTCGTTTTTTTGGATATCGGATCAAGGTTACGTGTTTCAAATGTTCTCTTTTTGTCAAGACTGTTCTTTTTTGTTCTATGTGGTCTATACCCTGCATTTTCGTGTGCCTGAGCTTCCTATCATTTTGTGTCTTAGTATGTCCCTATGATGTGTGTATGATCCCGGTTCTTTAGCATCTCTTATGGTCTATATTGGATGAAATCTTGTTTGAACTTGAACTTTCAATTCTTTTTATTTTACTTTTCTACTTGCTGTATGGTATTATGACTGGTTCATTCTTTCCTTTGATTGCACTGGAACAGTGTTGTGGGTGGCAATTTGATCTTCATGACATGACAATTTCAAGTTTTTACTTTGGTGGATGCCGAGTTTCCGACTTATTTCTTTTTCCATAGATCTGAACATTTGAAGTTATAGAATCGCCACTCTGTATACTATAATATTAGGGTTGATGTTATACTCTTCGGCCGGGATATTAATAATGAAGTCGGCCCCGAGCGTACCATAGATAATTGTATGGTTGAACCAAAGATTGATTCCAGGGTCTCATACTATTCAGTATTCACGGAACATTCCGATCCAATTCATCTGCCAAGCGATGAATCACTTTCCTCTTTTGATATTTTCTCTACCTTTCGGGGATCTCTACTTCTTGGGGACCTTAGCCACATAGTTCATAGTTCAGTGGCAAGAAAATGACAGGAAAGAGAAGGGGGGAAAAAAAAGCCAAGCCTTACAAGATCAAGAGCGAGAGCGAGAGCGAACATGATCCATGGCATTGGTAAGGCGAACTTGACAATCATTAGACTATCAGTTGATAGAAGAAGGGTTACCAGATTACTGGGATTAATATGGACATATGTATGGATATGGAGATGGAGACGGAGACCTCCGTGCTTAAATGATAGACACTGGCATAGTATGTAGTGATAGGACAGATTAAATTAATAATCAATAAAACTTCAAGGCTGTAGGAATACGGAGTAACTAGAACTAGTACGGAGAAACAGGAACGAGATCAAGATCTGAGATCGTGAATTAGATCCCGATCGGGATCGGGATCTGATCTTGATCGTCAAATTATCCTCCACCTTGATAATCTAGTCAATGCCCAATGTGGCGGATTTAAACGGAGATGCAAAATGATACGCAAGGATGTCAGATCTCCGTGAATTCCGCTTTCTTTACTCTGATGGATGGATACATTGAAGATTAGCGAATTGGCGGCTCTTTTCGTCCAAAGTTATCAATAAGCTCGAATATAATGCATAAGCCATAATGCAGAATAAGACGTGCATATAAATGTGATCATCTTATATAGAACTATAAACATTCAAGTGTTTGAAAATTCAAGTTTAAGTTAGAACTTGAAGTTTCTTAGCAGTCACCACTGCGCATACTCCGTAGAGTCCTCCGAGTCTGTTATGACGGAGGGGCAGATCCCGAAATCCCCACTACGGACAAGAGTACAACGCACACTTCATACTACCTAGGTCGTCGTGAAAACTCGAAAAAAAAAACATTTGAATCCACTGAACTGCATCTAATGTATACTAAAAGTACTCAAGTGGACACTATACATGAGTCATGAGAGTCTAGACAGGATAAGTTAATAACACGAAGCGCCATACGAAGTACTATCATGAACTTAACCCAAAAGATACCCCAGAATCTCAAATCAAATTCAACCAAAGTCAATGTAAAAAGTACTGACTTCCCTAGTAGGTACTCCAGGTAAACAGTACATTGCTTCGTAAGAGTAAGCATTGGTATTATACATTAAATTTACACCAATTTTATCTCTCCCCACTCCGGAATCTTTATGCACTCTCACCACGAATCACCGCCTCTTCCATCCCCGCGGACTCATCGCGCGTCTCAAGATTTGTCATGGCCCCATTGTGGGTTGACAGGCATGTTCGTGGAGATCCCAAGTGGATATATGATTGGATAAAACCGAGGACGCAGGAATTACGATTAAAGGATCAGATCCTCCTCAAATGATCACAAATGTACTTTTTTAATTTACTTTTTTTAATTTATCTTTTTAGCCTTTGAATGGAGCACTTGAGCTATGTAAGGATGCTATTCGTGATTTCCAGCTTACTACGGATATCCCTGTTCGGAGCGGGAGATGTGGGCCGATCGACTGGGGAAATGGGATAATTTATTCCAAGGTTTTGGGAGGATGCAAAGTACAAGGTGCAGGAGATCGGGGTCTGTGTACACCCTGTCAATAATGACATTCGACGTGTATGCAAAATTCGTAGATCATGAGGTACGGAGTACATAGTAGCTGACTCTAGGGCTATCTTAAGTTTGATGTCAAATCAATGCAGATGCGCTCTGACAATTCTACTAGTAAGTGTTATGTACGGAGTACTCCGTACACCGTATGACTTCTCTCTTCATAGCATCCGATCGACAGCTCCCCGTGCCCGAAATTGGGGAATTGAACATCTGAAAGAACGGTGTGCTTGTTCCAGCGGCTCGGGTCCAAGGCTGCGCTAGTGGAGACTTGTCGATTATGCCAGATCGATTGAAGTATTTGAAATCTCCTGCGCTAAGGGATCTGTGGATGCCAAAGTGTCTATGTGCCCCAGTTGCCTGTTTTGGATGATTTGAATTAATGGTCTCTATGGAGTATTTACGGACTCGGAATACTCCGTTTGGTTAGTTTCTTGTCTAGATGGTTCGAATTGTTCCTTTGCGGAATACAAAGTACGAAAAATGGTCCCTAGGGTAAGCCCTGAAGGGAGAATAGACCGAAGTCCTTTCATCGGGGTTTGGACGATTGTTATTTTCTCCGAGATTTTCATCTAAAAACATACCTGGACATGGGTATGTATTTCTTGAATAGCCGCCTTAGCAGAATTAACAAAATAACAAAATATAATTGATAATACACTCTGTAGATCGATCTGTGACCCGTATATTCAAATCAAGTCCCAATCTGAGTCGTCTAACCACAGTCATGAACTCAATTAGCCGACCATCTGCTTCAAATGCTTCAAATGCTGCATGGCTGGAAGATATCATTGTGGAGATCTTCAGTACAGATGGATCCATGTTATGTCTTAACCGTACGTCGTAAGAACAAGCTAAGTTTCCCAGAACCTTCAAAAAGGGAAAAAAATCATAGTAAAATAGGATTAATAGGATTAATTAGGGTAGATAAGCCGTTCCCCTTTTGACAAATAGCCATGTGCTAAAATTCCTTCAGGATCTTCACGATAATCGGATGGACCTTCTCAACCACTCATCCATGGATTCGACTATTCAATCGAACCTTGTCCTCACGGTAATCTTAAACTCCAACTCTAAATAGAACTTGGTCATTTGAACACACACATCTGAAATATTCGAGAGAGAAAACTGAGATTCAAGACCCGCTTCCTCCTTTGCTGTTCCTTGTTCTTACTAATTCCTTATGTGGATCACCCCAATAATGGGGACATAACTACGTAGTGCATCTTAAGAGATCGATCCCTTCCCGTCCTATCCGAACCCGGTTCCTACCAGGGGAGTTAAGATGAAAGGATCCGATCTCAAGATATTGGCTAACGTACTATTGTGAATAACTTCAATATGAACGGAGGACTCCGTATGGGGTAGAATCTCCTCTTAGTTATGAAATAGTACGCCACGTTTTCATGTACGGAGTCTGGCCTAAATTAGAATAAACTAATTTAATGATAAAGCATAAATAGAATTAAGCTAGGATTTAATATCGGAGAGCATCCATCTCAAACATTTGAAACAAAGAAATCAATAGAACACCCACGATGGTGGTTCCAATTACTTCGTACTGTCCCGAGCATAAGTGGGCCAGTGGCGAGAAATGCAGTTTCCAAGGTTGCAGAAAATTCTACCCCTGTCAAGTTCAAGTTGTGGATATAGTAAAACATCATAACATCATAAGTGATAAACACTGTGCTACTACACACAGTAGGACGGTTGTTGGCCCCCCAAGCGTGTTGCCGAAAAATCATGCAGACTCCACAATTTCGCCTATTCCAATTCTAGTTTATGGGGATGCACATCCTCTAAAAGGTACTAGTATGTAGTATCAAGCTATCCTAGACCAAGCAAGTTAATTGATAAACATAATGTGGGTGCAATTCAGAAATCTAAGTACTAGAATGGACATTTGGATACAATATCGACTATAAGCGGTACACAAGCGGGATCGGTGCCCAATGCAGACCCTTTCGAGAACTAGAGGGGCTCGATCACCAAGACCGTCCCAAGATTCTTAATAGATCACACGTCAACTGGGTTTCTGTTTGTGTAAGATCCACCCCCTTTGTTTTTGCGGCTGAAGCGTGGCCACGGTTCAGGCGTCCCCTTTAAAAAAGTCGGTCAATCTTACTTTTTCAAGTGATTTTATTTCAAGCCCTTGAGTAAATTAAGATTCGATTATTTATAACCTTGGTCAGAAATGTGTAATACTTTTTAACGTTCAAAGTTGATCCACGCGATGGAGATTGCAAGGGTTGACATTTAGTAGATCGATATTTTACCGGCTCACGGGCCTCCCGCAAAACCACATTAAGGGGGATTTCGATGCTCTGGGGCCGCGTGTGGATCTTAAACTTTTGTTCTTTGGTTCTTCTTTGGTCCTTCTTTGCGTTATCATGGTGATCTGATGGAGTTCATCATTAGGGAATACGAGAAATGATCCGAGGAACCAAGTCCATCCACTATGTTGAGACAACCTTGACAGAACACTGCTAAATCATTTAGCCGCGCCTCTTTCTAGTTCAAGCACTTAACCTTGGAAATTGTGAAGAAGACGATCTCTGTACCAGTTAACAGTTGATCGGATCTACCCGTAAATCATTGTCTAAATTGAAGAAGTTCATATGACCTTTTAGTCATTTAGTCCGAAGCTAATATATCTAGGCAAATGTTAATGAATTTTCATCTATAATATTTCTATATCAGTTACCACAAAATATGGATCAATATGATCTCGCATCATACCACCATATATGCACGCGCCAACTCAAGATCGTGGTCACCATACCCGCATCCATCCACTATTGGCGCCTGTGCGGGGACAGAACCGCAGTGTCCAGTCAAATTCGCTTATAATCAAATATGATTCAACGATGAAATCCCGACAGAAACGACAAATTCCGAACAAAGAGTTAGCGGCGGCTGAGGACCGTGGGTCGAAGAGAAACTTGGCCGAAGTCTATCTGAAGAGCTGGCGGGGCGAATCAACTCGGCTAGTGGCGCGTGTGGAGATGAATCGAAATTCCGAACTGTTGGGTCAACTATTGATTTGATTTGGATTTTTTTTCCCTTTTCGTGGTGGCTTTGACGTGCATGGTTCAGTGCATATCGTGTAGCTTATGTGGGTTTGCCTTGATGCCTTTTTAGTTGTATGCACACCACTGAGGTTTAAGTAATAAGTAGTTCTGTATGGAGTTGTCTTTCTCTTATTTATTACCTATATGAGCATCTAGGTATAGACTGAATACCGTTCTGTAGTGTAATGGTATCATATCAGTATTAGTCTACTAAAAAACACCTCGCTTTTCAAAGATTCACCTGGACAACCACACTGGTTAAGATTGTTAATTTAATTTGATGTATAGTAATTCATGTCTGCCTGATTATGCTGAGTTACAATAATCTAAGATGCAATGCACTGAAAAAAGGCTCCGAATTCAAGTCCGAGATCGAGCGACACCTTGCGTCCCCTTATCCCCAGATAGAGTAACGCACAGCTCATGGCATGCGTCGTGCGTTGCATAAAAGCATCTTACGATCGCCCATCCAATAATCTCTCAGCGTAGATATCTCAATTACAGCCCTGGAGTCTTACCGAAACTTTGTACAGAGTAAAAATGTTTCTGTTTCCCACTACGGAGTACGGCTCCCGCGTTTTGATTGGCATCATGTCCGGGATCCCGATCTTCGCACTGCATGAATCTAGTCAATCGTTACTCCATCTAGGGATCCGCTGGCTGACGTGGGATCTAAGATCGCTTCTCGCAGAATTCAGGATTGTAGCGTTGCAGAATCTCCATTCCTTTTTGTAGCGGTGTGGGTTGTAATGAGTTGGTGGATTAGAAGGGGGGTGACTCGAGTTTTTTCTTTTTGTCTTTTTGTAAAAAATAAAAATAATTTGAAATAATTTCTCGGTGTCTCTTCATGTAATTTTCCCGTTTTCTTAGTCCTAAACTAATGCACCTATATACAGTAGTCTACCAGTTGTGGCTTCCAGGCCACGTCACTAGTGCCATCGCGATCGGGATTCCTGCGAGTCAACCCGCACGAATCTGAATCTGGCGATGGCTGCAGATATTTGATAATTGGAAAAAAAAATTAAACTGAAATTAAATAATACTACCTTGAGATATATATGAATTTCCCGATTTTTACTCCATCCTACACCACTAAGCACTAAAGAATTAAGGAGCCCACATACTGTAGCTTCGCTTCAAATAGCCGTACCTATCGGAGAGCCCGTTACGGAGTATACAACCTGGATATTTGAATCCTCTTATGTACAAAGTACTCCGTACTTTGTGAAATTTGTGAAATATAGAGGACGCATCACTTGTTGGGTCAACAACATTCGACAAAATGGAATCTGAAATCTGAAAACTCCACTCGATAAGCCTCCTCCAGCCGATGGATACAAGATCCGTCCACTCAACTCAACTCATCCCCACCGTTCTTGAAATCATACCGTTGAGATATTGAAGGAATCAATGGATGGAGTGCTAAAAAGACATTATTGAATCGGGATCCATCGGGTTCCATGGGACTGTGGAAGGCAAGTCGTGCGCGAACCCCACGCGAGATCTCGATCGGCACCGGGTCTCCGATCTGCATTTCTGCACATACCCAACCCGGCAAATAGTGTAAAGAGGAGTTCCGTAGTTCTGTACTACATGTATTTGTTTGTAAATTGTTAGTATTAATAGTATTAACAATTGGGAGTGTACGGAAGAGTGAAAATTAGTGGTAATTAAGGGCCACTTGGTGCCGTTTAGGTCTCTTGCCATGTTGGGAGAATTAAGATCCCGTGTTGGACGTATTTAGTTTAGTTTGTAGTGGTTTAACATGACTGATATTTTAGTAATTTACTTGAATATTCCGAGGTCATTTTTATTGAGTATTACCTAGGTACTAAAAAGAAGAACTCGGAATAATGTGGAAGCCGATTAATATAGCATTTGTTCCAGGATTTCCCTTTTCTAGCACTAGTTTCAAATCTTACTACGGAGTCAGATTAATCTGTACATTTCATCCGTTTCTCTCCGTTATAAGCGAACTTTGAAAGGAAGCACTTGGGGCCTTGTGCATAATGTGAATGACTAATCCTTCAATATGGCTTTCTCTCGGCCCCGCCCCGGACGTCGGATCCGACTATCATCGCTTCATGTTCCATGGTTGGAGTCTCAAAGCCACGTTGTTCTCGCGTGGCGCTGGAACCGCCCGGAGACCGATCTTGGATCCGGACTAATCGATGTGTGACTTCATATTAAGGGACCGTGACACCTTTTAGGGAAAGTAGTATCGTAAGGGTCTCAGATGGTCATTACGTTGCTCGTACCCGGGTCCATAAGGGAGTTGCGGGAGAGGTTATTGGTACAGAAGTACATAGTAACCTTGGGAAGTTGTATCATGTACAGAGAATGTGGTATAGAGTAGGTAGGACCTGGACTCGGCTTGTACACACAAAAAAAAACACTATCAGTGGCGGTGAAATGGCCACTCATCGCCAAAACGCCTTAGCTACCAAATTGAGATAGTCAATCGCCTCTTTGCGCCATGTATCAGCCTCCATATGACTTGTCATGTTTGCATTGAGAAAAAGGTCAACCGGGTTATCCTTTCCATAAGCCTCCCAATGTACCGATTTGTTCACAGTCCCGGGATTGGGGTCCAGATCATGAATGAAAGAGGCCCACATACTCGTCATCATACTACTTAGATCATAGTACGATTGCGGCACGCCGGCAAACGGTTTCCCGTAATGGTATCCAACTCCGTAAATGTTATTAAACACAAACGAGACCTCCTCAAAATGGGTCGCCCCGACCAGAATTGGCACATTCGCCGCATGCACATTGAATCGGTAACAGTACGCCGGTGTCGATGTCTCCGTCCAGGCCTCGCACTGTCGTCGCCGATTCGCATGCATGACGAAGTCACCCGCAAAGGCACAAGTGCGCCGCCATTCCCAGCCCTCGGCTGGAACTCGTTCATCACCTAGGAACTCTGGGATACCCAGGGATGGAATATCGGGATAAAGCCGAAGGATTTCCTCGGCGATAGAAGGTGGTGTTTGGAAATCGAGTCCACCATCTAGTCAGAAACCGGGTCTATTAGCCATTTACCCAGGGGAAGAAAGCTGGATGGATTCATCATACCTGTCAAGTATTCATAGAATTGCTCCGTAGTATTAATCCCCGTCGGTCCAAACGCAGTCCCCTCGTCTGTGTTACTGCCAGCAAGAATCGGAACTTTGACAAATTCATGCTTATCCAACTGGATACTGCCCCAGTTCTGAATTAAATCGCCATCCACCACAGGCGCAAAACTATAGTCTGAGTACCCATCGGTCCCATTCAGAACAGAGTTCAAAGTCTGGAATGGTACTTCACGTAGACACTGCAGCGTGTCCTCGGTGTTGCTGCAGTTTACTTTGGACACCAGCGCATCGTAGCTCGATTGGAATGTAGTGTAGTTTCCTGGATCGGCTGCGATTGAGCCGCCTGACTCCATGATCCCAGCTCGGAAGAGCTTGTCGTCTCGACCTCCGTACGCTGTGAGATGATATCCCACTGACATGGCACCTGCGGATTCACCCCAGATCGTTACTTTGGTGGGATCACCGCCAAATGCTGCGATATTCTCCTGTACCCAGTGCAGAGCTAGCCTTTGATCGCGCAGGCCGAGGTTTGTGTTCCCAGTGCCCCAGACCTGACTTGAACTTATCCAGCCCCAGGCTGAGAGTCTGTAATTGAACGTGACGGCGATGAATGGTTTTCCTGAAATGTTTCAAAAGGAATGAGACTTGCACAGTATCATGGAAATGAAAAAGAATTTGAGCTCCATCTTACCAATATCATACGCGTTGTCCAACATCCTCGAAGTATTGTATCGTTGATCCGATCCAGCTCCCATATAAAACCCGCCTCCATGAATCCAAACTGCAACTGGGAGCTTAGAGTCCGCCGTGGCGGATGAGCCTCGGATGACATTAATGGTAAGACAAGCTTCGGACTGGGGATACCAGATCGAGTCGGTCTGCATTCTGCAGTGTCAGGCGATGTGATCTCAACCAGACAAAATTAAAACACTCACGCCATAGCCAACGCAGATATCGGAGTATTTTGTCGCATCGCGCGTCCCATCCCAGCTCTCATTTAACGATTGCGGTACCGTGAACCGCAGATTACCTACAGGTTGCTGGGCGTAAGGCATTCCTAAGAAGTAATCCTGGTCATAATGGGCATTGTAAGTCCCCACATAAGTTCCATTCAGAATCTTAGCTGTGGGAGCTGAGTTTGACGTAGGGACAGCGTTGGCTGTCGCCCACACAGCTAGGAAACTGATCGCAATTGCGAGCATAGTTGTATTCCTCGCGTTATAATCTGGCTTCTTGTGTGATTTCCAGGGCCATATCGGCCCTTCGAATTGAATTCATATCTTACACTGCTTGTCCAGGAAATTGAGAACTGGGGAAGTATACAACATGCGGGGAAGGGCTTGGGTTGTATCAAGCCCCACATCGAAACAGTCCATGATCAGCACTCGCTTCACTGAATAATGATGTAAATCGGGGGAATATCCAGTCAGGTCTGTAAGAACAAGGCGATCAAAGTTTTGTTTGCCGGAAATTCCGGCACTAAGTCGGTGGATAAGATGTCAAGTCTGGGGGAAACGGGGTGCTGGGGCGGGGTGGTGGGTGAAATGAGCCAATTTGATCGAGTATAACCTGCTTTGAGGATGTATAAGCGCAAAAACATTTGAATGCAGAAGTAGACCCTGGATTCTGGCGGAGGATTGCCCTCTTTAGTGATAGTGCCGGTGTCATCAAGACTTTTTGCAACCCGAGGTTTAACCGGAAGTCAAGGATTCTGATCAGAACCTCGGGATAACCATTCAAGTAAAGTAGTAGCGGTAGGCAACAACCTTGAAAAGCATTCTGCAAGCGTCTAGATTTATGGAATACAGACACTAAAGGAACATTGGAACAGCGAATGACTGCCGAGTATCATATTGAATAGTACGAATGGAGTCTTTCATTGCCTATTCGCGAGAGTTTATATATGCCATGCTAAACAAAATTAGCTATGCTTGAACCGTGTGAGGTAACAGACCCGAAAAGAAAACATAAGAAATGCAATAGCTCCAGCGATGCGTGTTCGTGCCAGGTAATGCAAAAAAACGTCGTCGGTCATTAATATATTATTTAGAAACAATTCGAATATCTTCGGCTCTCTCCTCTTGCAAGCGATCAATCTCAGAAGAGATACTCATCACCCATCGATCTTTTTCAACTCGACTGCGTGCTTTGAAGACAATAGTTCGGCCATGCTTTCCAAGTGTAGAAACATGGCGCAAGGAACGCTTAGCAGTGCCCTGCAGTGTATGTTCTTGGGCACGGAAGTATGTCTTCTGGGTAGGCTGCCAGATCACAAAAGTAATGGCAGTGTCTTCATCACGACTGGTGAAGGAATCCGACGAGAGATATACTCGAGGGAGGGCATGGAGTCCTGGATTATTACTATCGAATGTTTGATTGGCATAAAGTAGATCCTTCTCGGTGACCAATCCCGAATAAATGTAGCAGTCGCGCAGGTCAATGGTTGTGTCGTGTTCTTGATGAATGTGGGGGATCTGAACGCCATTGTGCTTGCGCAAAGTGCTTCGAAATATGAGAAGCTTCCCATCGGCCAGAAGAACGTGACAACGGGAAAAGGTGGTGTGGCGGCGAGGTTTGCGGTAGAGCTGACCAGACATCTAATCTCTTAATCAGTATTCAATGTCATCAAAGAAGGATCAGAAGCCGCCACATACCTTGATTGTTCTACAACCGGAAAGAGAACACATATTATGCAAATGTGGCGATGCCTCCGCCTTTTTCACCTCCCACTTCTTTGCAAATTGGCCCATTATTGACTCCATCTCTTCGTCAATCTCCAATAGATCAAGATTACGTCGTCGCACAGCCTGCAGCTCGACGGCATCGGCCACACTGCGCGCTCTCCAGTACTTCACCAAGGCATCGAGTCTTTTTACCCATTCATCACTGGTAACTTCGTCGTACGCTTGCAGGCGAATTACCAGACCATTTTCAAGTGATATTTCAAGGGTACGGTCATCGTCAAGCTCCTTAGTGGCACCGTCATTCTGACGAGAGTTGGCTACGTCGGAATTGAAGTTAACGGCAGCACCCTCTCCAAGGTTAGCATCAGTAGAGATGTTTCCCGGTTGGACACGACGAACATCGCGCACTTTGCATAAATCAATGTAGCCATCGGCATGGTTGATATTGTGCAAATTTCTCTGCCACTGAGCGTACGCTTCTTCGTCGTGTCGTTGGACGTACTCGGGATTGCCACTCGAGAGCCACTCGACTTCTCCATCCTGAATCGGATAAGGATCGACGTCCCAAGATAAGGGTGCATTGTTTAAAATCTCAAGGGAAGATGGGATGCTGGAATCCTCTGTTGGGGCAAGTTTTGGGGGTGCTGGAGGAAACGCCTTGGCCGGTCTGCAAAACAGAAGATGATGGTCCTCGGTGAAGTAGTAAAGACGCTTATAAAACATCTTGTTTCTTCGCTGGTGAACACCTTTCTGTGTTGTGAGGCGAATCAAGAATCCTTCTACGGGTGGTGGCTCATCTTCCTTCTTCTCCGCCAGTTTCTTGTCAGCAGTATGCTTGATCACTGTGGAATAGTGATGTCTTGGTCGCAGCTCAAGTTCATGTGACGATTGCATCGCGATGGTTCCATACATATTCTCTTCGTTGGCACCATACACCCATTCAAGGCGATCGTATCGTTTCCAGGCAAGACCCATCTTCTCGGTCTTAGACCAGGTCTTGAGCACATCAGCCCACTCAGGACGACCTTCGAGCATTTCGATGCACCCTCGAATAATGGCAGCAGCGACATTCTTTTCCTCCCCTGCAGAGCGACTCAGCACCGTGGTGTGGTGATTATCATCGTGGCCCATCCCCAGCCGCTCTTCTAACCGTTGGAAGGGATTTTTGAATACCAAGGAGACGCCAAGATCAGGTACATAGATAGGAAGCTTGGTAGGTCGGCGCCATCCGAGCACCTGGCGAATGAAGGTGTACCATTCAGTGGCATGAGCCGAGGATTTAGGTCGAATAATATAAATCTTGGTTCCGACTTTGTGAGGATGCCAAATAACGATGGTCTTGTCGAGTGTAGAGTAAAGGTTGACATTGGTGTTTTTGTGATTTAAGCGCACCTCATAGTAAGGTCTTGTCTTCACGTTCGGATTCTGCACGTCTGGGATGACACGAGTGCGGTACATCTGTAGGACAAATGGTGCATGTTCTGCTGAGCTTTTGCGGCAAACAACTAGGAACTCACGCCACTTGTCTATGGTTCGAGTTTCCATTCGAAAACTTTCGTTTTCAGAATAGTCAGCTGGAAGTGTGTCTTTGACAGACTCCTCCACAAGGACCAACATTCTTTCTGCCTTGACGATCTCTCCGTCCTGCAGCTTTCGCCGGCGCGGCCGGTTTGCGGCTATGGTGTTACTCGTCTTGGCTAAACGTGAACGTAATCTCTGTTGTTTGTCCATTATATTGTCATCCAAGTTGTATTTTGCCATCTTTCGTGAAATTCGCTTCTGTATGTGTCCTTCTCGTTGAGAAGTTTCTTGCTCGGCATCATCCTCATCCTGAGGCTCCTGGTGTTCCAATGTCAAGTTTGATATCCCAGAAGATTTATTTTTCATCTTCTTTGAGTCCTTTTGTTTGCCCTTTAGCAGCTGGGTGGTGGAATCGGCTTCACTTGGAACTGCAGATGCCGTAAGTGAAAGTGGACTTGCATTTCCAATACTGGGAGCAGTGACGCTCAGATTCCGTGATTCACCCGATCGAGGTCTTTGTTCAGGGACGGCGAGGTTTTGACAAGCATGTATCGTAGATGTAGATGATTCGGCATCTGTGCCACTACTACTGCTGACTTCCTCTCTTGCCGTCACGAAAGAAGATGATGCATTTCCGTCCCCGTACATATGACTTGCGGTCTTTGTGCTCGCAGGGGCGCTCTGACGGGGCGTGCTATCGTCATCCTCCTCTTCCTCTTCGGTGAGACCATTGTGGCTCGACTCAGTTTCGGACTCTATCTCACTCTCGGTCTCCACCATGGTCTCTGCCTCTGTTAATGGATGACGAAGCACGCGAAGCTCTCCTTCGGGCTCATCTGTTGTTTCTCCCGGCTCTGCTGTCTCCAATTCATCTCCGTCCTCGTAATCCTCTTCATCATCCTCTTGAGGTTCTTCATTGGTATTGGTAAACGTAAGGGCGACATTCTCCTCCAGTGGCTGCAATGATGGTCCAGGTCCATGGTCATCTTGTTGGCTATAGTAAAAGGTAACAGGATCAACCTTGAACGAAAGTGTTTGCGATGTATAATTTCTGATTCGAAGCCGTGATCGATACCAAGATTTCCGGTGACCCTGTAGCCAGCCCTCGGGGATTGGTCCAATAAAGAAGCGCCGACTTGTCATATGTAGGTGATGGGCCGAGGCATGTCGCTATTCATGATAGGTCCCGTCAGTTTGGAACGAATATCAAGGGGGTGGAGTCACCAATCTCGCCTACCAGTTTCTCATCCGTATAGGACCCGATCTGCAAACCCTTATACTGCTCATTGTAAGTAGCTTCCGCGGTATCTGATTGGGTCCCGTTAGGCTGCTGATTGCTCATGGCAATGATGTGTTACCCACGTGGGTGTGGTGTAAAATCAAGAGCTGCATATGAAGAACTGAAGCTCATGCAGCGGGGCAGAGATCATCCAGGTACAAGTGCGAGGGGGTGTAGACTCCGATGTGCGATCGAGCAATCTTGATGCAACATTATTCGATGACGTCAAGTTAAGCCCTGGAGCTTAGGATCAATGATATATGTCATGTGACAGCTCTATGCTTTGTTTGTCATGTTTGTACCCATTGTATCCATTATGTTGGGACATCACATGATATTTCTTCACCGCGTTTGTTGTGTTTGTATGTATTGGCCCCGCTTGCTTCACGTGCCAAGAAGGGAATCAAGGGATAAGGACAACATAGCGCGGGGGCTCGGATTCCTCAACCTCCTAGCTTGAACTCTGACCTCATTTCACATCAATTGTTAACATATCTTCAACAATCATGTCTGTGGAACATAGCTGGCTCAAAAAAATCAATGGCAATTCCTTTGAGGATATTGCCATTTACACCAATGCATTCGACACTGTCAACATTCAGCTGTCTCAGGGCGAGTCCCCCGAACTGCTGAAGCAATTGGGTACAATCCCTATCAACACTGATGAATTCCTTCGAGCTGCTCAATCTTTAGTCACTCTGTTCAGTATGTATTTGCCCCTCTTCCCTTCTGGCTGCATGTGTCTCGATACTAATTCATCCAATTGTGGTTTAGACTTCCTTGGCTCCATCAAGTTCAAGGCTGTCATTGATGATTTGAACAAAAATATCACGGTACATCTCTTCTCACTTCACCTTTCTTTACCTCGGGCACTTGCTAATATATACCTTAGAAAGTTAAAAACCGCATGCTGGCTGCTCCTGCTGAGTCTCAGTCTCTTCAAGATCTTGTGTTGAACGAATTGAAATCAGGCAGCCACACTGCTACTGAGGGTTTGCTTTGGCTGGGACGGTAAGTAGTTTGGAGATTCTGATCAATTGTTTATTTTATACTAACGACCGTTTTGTACACAGGAGTCTCGATTTCACTGTCCAGAGTCTGCGACACAACCTCGATAACCCTTCAGCAGAGATGAGCGAATCCTTCGTTGCTGGTTACAACGCCACTCTTAGTAACTTCCACCCTTGGCTCTTCAGAAAAGCCACCCTCGCTGCCATGGGTTTCTGCCCCGCCCGAGTGACCTTTTACAGACAACTGGCCGACGAGACCTACAACGATAGTCAAGGAACCGGACCTGCACTGGATGAGAAAGTGAAGGCTGAAGTTATTCCTGACCTCCAAAAGGAGGTCGCAGCTATGGAGAGGGTTGTTAAGATCCTGAAGACATTCCAGGCCTCCAAGGAAGCTCAGTGGAAGTAACTTTACTAAGAGATCTCTGCCAGTATCGGAAATTTCTCAGTATGGATACGTTAGTGTTATGTACATATTGAACCCGTTGCTCTGTGAGCACACTTAGTGTCCTGATACAGCGATTTTGCTTTTGAACTTGGTCTTTGCCACAGGAACTACTATACCATGATATCTTCTTTTTCCAAGGTAGGACAAGGGTAGATCCTGAGCCTCTATACTAAGTTCCTTTAGGAACACACGCTTGTATGACATTCACATTTGCAACATTTGAATGTCAGTGTTCATGATGGATAATTCCAAGGTTGTTTCTACCACAATATGTGCCTATGGACCTACTAGTAGCTTACTATCGTCCAACTTCAAACATTTGAAGTAAGCACTGGCAGTCAAGGAAGTCTATCATGACGTGATACTGCATGTTTTTGAATATATTGGGTTTTGCTTATCGCTAAGCTAATATTAGCAGGGCTGGGGCACGTTTTATAGGGATCGAACGTTTAATTTAATGGTGGTCCACCTCAACGGTCTGGAGCATGGCTCGAGATTTACCGTGTACGGGGAAGTGTGTCCAGATGCCCCCCCTTGAGTTAATCCTATTGTTTAAGAGAGACCCACTAGCAGTCAGAGATTCAAATTAGAAATCTGACTCCGAGCCGTTACTTATTGAGAAGAGGCACAATGCTTGGAAGGTTTTCCAATTCACACAGATTACTTCCAGCTAGGCAAGAGAGAACTATAAGATAGCTTAATGCTAGAAGGTTACAATATGAATCATGACTCCTTCTCCACGGCTGTCAGTACTTCAGCATGTAAGTCTTGGAAGCTACTAGGTAGTAGACCACTGCCTCTCCGTCTACTTGAAGATTTTCATTATGATCCACCTGCCTTCTTTAGGAGAGAAACCCGGTGGAGACGCCAATACCTAGTGGCATGTAATCTCCGAGAGTCCACTGTAGACTGCAGATCGTACCGCCTTTATGGAAATAAAATCGTGCCGCACTGGCTGATCGACTAGATTCATACTCGGTACTGCATGCGCGGTCCATAGGCGGCTTTGATCTCAACGGCATATGCCGTGCAAAAAAGATCCGAGTCTCCTCTCAATGTACTCCGTGAGGACATAGTCGACAAATGTCAGATTCTAAGATTCCAAGATTACTCTGTACTATTGTACTTTTGCACTATTCCATTTAAGGTTGAATCCTTTGTCTAGGGCTCAATGTCATTCACATGAATGAATGTTGAAGGTTTCGCTAGATCCACTAGTTTCCTGCCACATTGTGAATGGTTAAATCTTACCTGTTATCGCACTTCTTTTGGATTGAATCATGTGGTTGCACTCGAGCATCGCACCCAGAACGCCCTGACCCTCGTTGCCGAAATAGGGGGGTTGGTGAAAACCGGCCTGCGCCAGGGGAAATGTGGGCACTGACAGCAAAACCAGGCAATACTCCGCTTAATGGCCAACGGTGTACCCCCTTTTCACGAACTAGAACGACTAGAATGAAACTACTTCATCTTAGTGCTGAAATCAACTCTGCATGGCGGTTTGGCCAAGAATTTTCCCCACTTAGTACATGGACCGCATCGTTCGTTGGTGAAAACAATAACAGGCTTTTTTTTGGCAGAGAAATCTTCAAGTCACATCGGCAACACCCTCGTGCCAATCCTGAAACAAAATCATTTGAGGGATAGTTCCAGGCTTCCAGCCTTTTATTGACATGGAAGAAAAAAACCCAACGTCGGGGTTCCGGTGAGCAAGTTTGTCCCGTTGACATTTTGAATTGTTTCCTTCTCCACAGATCTGGTAACCATGGATCAATATGAACACATGTCAAATAGGCAACCCCTCTCAAGCGTATATGGGGTTCTCTCCTCTTTGCAAGATGAAGCTAGTGGGGACAGTCCGCTGTTTTGGTTCTTAGACTGATGCACGTGAAATGGGTAACGACTCGATGCGATTTAGGTCGACTCCACAAGCTCGGTTCGCAGTTCTAAGGACCCATTCTGCATCGCGATGTGCCGTCTCGAGTCAGACCAATGGCGATCTCATTAGCCTGCTTGACGTGTGCATATCATCTGCCCTGGAGCCTCAGTCTGATTTCTGATTTCTTATTCTCGTATTTTATTTCGCCTTCACTAGGTTCAGCCAAAGGCACGGCACCGGGGAGAATAGCGCCGCTAAGTCCGCTTAGCCTCCTTCTGCTATTGCCACTGATCGGCTTACATTCTTTACTCTTGATTTTTTTTTCCTTTCTTTTTTTCTCTTGCTTTCTTCCCTTTTTGGCTTCTTTCTCCCTTCTCAATATAACGTGATCCGCTTCCCCAGGAGGGATATAATACATACAGGGATCGAGTCAAATCTACACTGTATTGAGCGCACCACATCCACCCCCACGGGACTTGAATGAACATGAATTGCAAGTGATTTATTGGAATTTCAACTAGATATCACTATGCTTCCCCTACATGGTCGCAGTTTGGCGATTTTTATAGTTACTACTATTTTTTTGGGTATTTCGTTCATTGCAGTCTGTCTCAGATGCTTCGTTCGAATCAAGCTAGTCAAAGCCTTCGGGTGGGATGACGGACTAATGGTCTTTGCTATGGTAACTCATCCCCGCTTCATTCAGATCTTCCTATCTAACAATTTCCCCGATAGTTGTTGAATATTCTTTTTGCATTATGTGGAATTACCGGCGCATTTTATGGTATTGGCCAAAAGTCCAAACCACTCATTGAACGAGGAACAATCGAAACCGCCATGTTTGTATGTTCTCCCCGCACATGCCCAGTTTCGTGCTTCAAATTTACATCTGAACAAGTAGATACCAGCTTTATGGATAATATAGACTGACAATATTCTTAAAGTGGTGGTGGCTTGGCCAAACTAGCTATGTCTGGGTCTGTGGAGCAGCAAAGAGCTCAATCGCTCTGGCTTTACTCCGTCTTACTGTCTCTCGTGTGCACAAAATGGCCCTATGGGCCGTGATTTGTGTGACTACTGTTGTTGGCTTAGTATTCTGGTTTATGTTGACACTTCAGTGTCACCCAGTCACCTACTTCTGGGAGCGGGCTCGCCTTTATACCGATGCAGAGGCTGACGTTCATGGTCATTGTATGAATCTGGATGCCCTTGTCGACATCGCATATGTCTACAGTGTCACTGCTACCTGTTGCGATTTGACCTTGGGACTTCTTCCTGTATTCCTTGTCTGGAATTTACAGATGAGTACCCGCACCAAGGCAGCATTAGCGGGTATCTTGAGCATGGGATGCGTGTATGTTGTCTTTTCATCAGCAGCCTCTTATGTCCCTATACTAATCAATTATAATATAGTGCCAGCGCAGCTGTTATCATTCGTATCCCCTATCTTCACGACTACAAAGACGAGAACTTCCTCTGTGAGTATACATACTTCCAGTATACACTTGATCTAGGAATCCGACTAACATCGTTCTCTCTAATTATAGATGCAACAAGCAATATCTCCATCTGGTCCAATGTTGAAGCAAGTCTAGGTATTGCAGCCGGCAGTCTTGTCACCCTCAAGCCTCTTTTCCGTTGGTTCCGGGATCCGAGCTATGCAGGCACTCGGAGCAAGCGCACTGGTGGTAGTTTGCCACTGGATAGCGTGAATGCAGGACGATCTGGCGATCCTTCAGGGCCGAAATATTGGCGACCCGATCTAAGTTCCGACGACAACCGCGCGGTCATTACAACCATTCACACTTCAAATCATGATAGTCGCACGAGTAGTCAAGAGGACTTGAATCCGAACAAGGGCACATTCTTCAGCGGAGTGAATGTGCAAAAGACTTTCTTTGTTTCTGAAGATGAATAATAGATCCATCAATTGAACTTCTTCTGAAAGATAAAATATATTTTAAGCGTGCATGTTTTCCTATGTGTCTATATGAGCCAAGCTTAACCCATTGGTACCTTGTAATACTAGTATGTATTCAATTTATACATGATGTGTATACCCTCCTCAAAATTAGCACATGTGTAGATATTATGTTCATGGTTTACTCACTGTTTCGATCATTTCCAGATGTCCAGGTTCCAACATTTGAAGGTTTCAACCTTGGAACTTTGATGGTTTTAAACGTTTGGATAATAACTCCCAGGTTTGCGTGATACTCGGTTCAATGTTGAAGGGCTCTCTGATCTAAAGTCCAAATTCAAGTGAGGTAAAGTTGAATGTGAGTGATATCCTTATCTAAACTAAGTATTACGCGAGTGCTGATCACCTACCACTACTGTTCTAGCACAAGTATTAGTTGGCTTCACCTAGGCACTATTCTTACTCCATTATGATCATCTGTTATAGCACTAAATATACATATGAAAGTACTCTCACTCTGACAGCCCAGCAGAGTTGAACAATGATCATACTTGAGTAAAGGTCTTGTAGCTTCATAAATTTTCTACTAGTATAGTCTGTGTATCTTCCGAAGTTTAGGACCATCAGAGCGTGGACATCTAGAGGACTTCAAGTTACTCTTTCTAACATTCTTACCTAGTATATCATTGACTCATACTATTACATGATAATGTTAATAGCTACTACTCAACCTTGGGGCAATATTCTGAATTATCATTGAATTAGAGGGCTGGGTGTCTCCTTCAATGCAAGTTAATTCTGTTATCTCTCACTTTGCGTTCTCTTTCTGCTCTGGCAACCTTCGACTCTTCCAAATGTCCATCGCTCTATCAAAATTCACTCTTCTGACATAATATCACTTCTCACCATGCTAAAGATCGGACAGATCTGCCTTTAAATACCACATCTGTTACATTTTCTTTCTTCTTCCTTCCTCAACACACTCTCCTCATCCATCATCTTCTCGTCCACCAATATTTTCTGATACAAACTTACAACATGGACTCAAATTATAGGTATGTCTTCGCTTTACGATCTTTCCAATCCCTGAATACTTATTCTGAGAATTTTCCAGAACCAGTGGAGTTCTCCGGAGCACAGAAATCACATACAGGCCAGACAAACTCAGGGACATGCCAAAGACATGGGACTCGGCTGAGTCGTTTGTATGTCATTTATCCTCCTTCGAGCTACAGTGAGACTAACAATATCAGTGGTTCTGTGAAGGGCTAGACGATGATAGCGCGCATCGAGCGATCCGGTGCTCATACATGGCAGTCATGGCCGAAAGTACCCGCCAATTTGAACTGGATATCCTATCCGAAAACAAGCTTTTCAAATTGGAAAGGGATTGAAGGGTGTATCCCAAGGACTTCAAGAACTCGCAGGACATTCTGCCTGAAATTTGGCCACTGGATTACCGGAAAACCAATATCAATCAATAGCTCATCCTTGACGCTGAAGCAATATTTATAATATTCATTTAATTAGACGGCTGGGTGTCTTCTTCAATTCAAGGTAATTCTGTTCCAGGGTTACCTCTCACTTTTCGTTCTCTCTTAACTCTGGTAACTTTTCCTATTTCGGACTCCCGTCGCTATCAAATTATCAGCATTCACTCTGCTGACATTGGAACCACTTCCTACTATGCTAGAGATCGGACAGACTTGCCTTTAAATATCATCTCTGTCATACCATTCCTCTTCTTCCTTCCTCAACACTCGTCTTTCTTCTTTCTCATTCTTCACGGTCTAGGCAGAGTCTCTTTTTCTTTTGAGGATCTCTACTCATCACTCCTTATCGATACTTATTCTTATTGACACTTGTCACCACGCTCTCCGGTATAAAGCGACACCATGGGTTCAAAGACTTACTCTGGGTACATCCCCCATTCATGATCTTTCTAAGCTCTGAATGCACTTATACTAATTCTTTCCCGGGGTTAGAGAAATTTTCCGCACTCAATAAGTCACATACAAGCCTGCCGACTTTGGAGACATGCCACAAACGGGCGACTCGGCTGAGTCTTTTGTATGTCATTTATCCTCCTTCGAGCCTACGGTGAGACTAACAGTACCAGTGGCTCTGCGAAGGGTTAGATGATGATAGTCCAGATCGAGCTATCAGGTGCCGATATAGGAACACATGGCCAAAGAGACATGCCAATTTGACATTAAGTGGCTGGAAGAATGTGCAAGTGCAGAATACGACCTGGGAAGGGACGATCGTGTATACCCCAAGCACTTCACCAATTCGCAGGACATACTACCAGATGTTTTCCCCATGAGATACCGGGAGTATCCGGTCTTGCAGGAAGGCCATGTGGAGTACTCCGGCCTCCGTCGCCCTTCGGGCCCTGGACCTGTCAGGGTCCAGATACCTTGGGGTGACAGACGGCAGAGGTGGGTGACAGACGGGCCAGGTGGCCCGTACCAAGTCACCTACCACAATCCACAACAAGGATACGATAACTGGAAGAACGTTACAAAAGCTATACGGGTCTCAAAGTCAAGGGCCACCAAGACAAGCAACGATGATTCCCTGGAAGAATTCCAAAATTTGTTCAGAACTTCTTTCAAAAAATGCCGCCATGCTTTACGAAAGCACCAAGAATATCACCCGTGGATATATGGTGAACGCCAATAGGGTTCGCCCGGAATCCTGCATGGCAAAATGCTGACATGTCACCGCTATCCCTCGTCCTAAGGCCTGCAGGATCAACACGGGCCAAGGCCATGAGAATCAGGGATCTCCTCTGTTTCCGGGTCACGGCTGGTGATCCTCGATTTGCATCGCGCGCAGACTATGATTTGGCCCCTCCTACCTTCTCTTTACATGATATCGAAATTTAAACCTTTTTATCGAGATGTGCAAGATCACATCCTTGAATCCCTCAATGTCGCCAAATAATCCTTGCATGGCTTCGCCACGTGGATCGCATAAGTATGAACCCCCGCTCAGACGGAAGTCCAGAAATCGCAAAACAACTCATATTGTATGTCATCGAGCGAGTTGTAGACCTTCAGAAGGAAATAGAATTCGGTCAGCATCAACCAGGGCTTAAATGCTGGGACCACATAGTATGCATGTGTGAACATTCAATGTTGATACCTAGGTAACCTTGGAACACTGGCAGTTCCAGGGTCCAAATAATCAATTTATTCAAATGCACATGTGTGGTGTCCCTCCATATGTACATAGGGTGACAAAAGTATTGGGACACTTCCCGTAATTTCCAACCACGTGAAAAATCGTAAACTTCTACCCATCCCTACCATGGTTCAACCACGTCAATTTGGATCGGAAATTGATCCAAATCGAACCGAAAATGGCGAATTATCTGAGAAGCTACGTGCAGCCATCGTGTACGCAGCGAAGAAGGGCGTTCCTAAGGCTCAGATTGCCCGTGATATTGGATGCAGCCGAAGTACAGTCTATAGAACAATCAATCACTTTCAAACCTATCACACACTTCAATCCCTTTCCCGAGGTGGCCGACCGAAAAAGCTTACTTTATCAGCTATTCGATATATCTATCGGATTATTCGCAAATTCCCTACAATCTCTTAAAAAGAGCTTATTCAAGAAGTTCCAACTAACGTTTCAAAACGTACCATTCAACGAGCTTTAAAGCATTGCCATATCCGAAAATGGGTATCCAAGAAGCGAATTTGGTTAAAGCTAAAAGATGCAAAGCTTCGTCGGATATGGATTTTATCCTGGGAAAAAAGACTTGATCTAGATCATACTATTTTTTCTGATGAATACTCAGTCCAACGAAAATCGAATTCATATATCCAATATATCTTTCGTCTTAAAAATGAGTAATATTTCCCCTAATTTGTGAATCTCCAAAACCATGGAAAATAAATTTCATAAATGATTTGGGGTTCTGTCTGGATTGGAGGAAGATCAGATCTAGTTATTATGAAAAAACAACCAGGTAAAGGGTGTAACGCTGAATCGCCGCTATTAAAAAGGCTAAGGGCTGGTATACAAAATATTGAATATTCCTAAGATGTATTTTAAAAAATATTACTTAATTAATTATGAGTGGGCTGGGACCCTACTTTTTACAAGACTGAATATTTAGGCGGGAAAAATTAGAGTGTCCCAATACTTTTGTCACCCTATGTATGTCCTGGGTTGCACACCTGGGAATTACATACTACTAGTAGTACTAGTAGTAGCACTTATCAGTACCTACAGACGTCGACCTCGGGACGCAACCCTCAAATGCACATGTGCCTAGGTGTAAGCTTGGAATACCAGTTGACTAGTATGCATTAGTTGAACCTTGGAACTTGAAATGTGCTTGAACTTGGATGTACCCAGGTGTATGGGTACCTACCTAGTAGTAGGTGCACATGCCAGGTGTGTGCCTAGTACCTCTAAGGCTACCTAGTTAGTAGGTAGGTACTCCCGAGTCTGAGTCAATATATAATATCAAACCAACTTCCCAGGTTACTAGTAAAATTGAACTTGAAAGTATGTGCATCACTTGACGGGTTTAAGTTCAAACCTTGGATTAAATATACTGTGACCGTGACATTCCACTCTACCTTGGAAATAATACCACCTAGGTAGTAGATTGAAGATTTTTGAATTAGAAGTGCTTATCATTGCAGGTGCTTACGCTAAGCTTACAATTAATAACTTGCACATGTGGGGTTTATGTAGCCATAAATTGGTCTGCCATCAACCAGCCCTGCCGGGCTAGCTCAATCGGTAGAGCGTGAGACTCTTAATCTCAAGGTTGGGGGTTCGACCCCCCCCGTTCGGCTATTCCTACAAACAAAAACCTGAGAATTCTTTTTTCCCCTCTCTTTTTACCTGGCCAGGGTTACAACACATATATGCTCAATTTTTTTTTAATGTTCAGGTGTCCTTTTTTCGGCGCTCCATACATCTAGCATCATGATGTGTGTACTACATATCATCGGGCATAGTATAAAGGGCAAAGCGAAGTGGCAGATTGATACTAACCTGGGGAACATGACATGGCCAGATTAAGCTTATTCTTTGAAGTTGTGCAACCTCAAACTGAGGCTTATTCCGAGTCAAACTTGAATCTTAAAATGCACGTGGAGTTGTGTAGTTTAGCTTCAGCGACTTGATTCAAATTGAAAATACCCGTGGACGGGGCTCAATGAAAGCCTTCCATGATCCGAGTCGTTTTCAATATATTAGAACTTAAATGTTCCTACCAGGAAACAAATTGAGGCAAATTCCTCGATTCATTAGATAAAACCTTCAAGAAAACTTAACGCCCGATGCCATGCACATATCATCATAACCTTAGACGGTGCTAGAGAACGCTTGATGGAGCAGAGCGAATGAAAAAAAGGGGTTACAACAAATAATAAACATAGTAGGCAAATAAGTGACAAGTCGCCATGCAAATAGTATTCCCAAATCAACCTGTAATCTGCAAGTTGTTGCTGCCAGTATAGAGACCCTCGAAATCAAGACCGGCTAGCATGCCGTTGACCCGGTCGATTTCGCGACTGAGATCTTCCACATTCACGGCGAGACTACTAACCTCATCAAACTTGCGCCGACGGTTGGCATCTGCGATCATCTCGGAAACAAAGAATTTCTGCTCTTCTAGGACGATGAGCCGTTCGCGTAAAGACTTTTCTTCTGCCTCAAGGGCGGAGACGGCGCTACTTGCATCACTGGCGAGACTGGCGTTGCTGCCGCTGGCAGCAACACGGTTATTATATTTAATTGAAGAGAGTGCAGAATCCTGCGGTTTAGTGGGGGCGGGTGATCCATCTGCTGGAGTACTTGGCGATGAAGTGCGACTTGGTATACGATCTCCGGATGGAGATGCGTGCTTCAGAACTTTGGGAAGAGACTTCAATGGTAGCATATGGAGATGAAGGAAGTTGCTAGCCTGTTGATATATCGCTTTTTGCAATCGCTGTTGAGAGGGAGACTTGGTGGGCAAATCTCTAATCCGTCGAGCGGCAACATCATACTTTGCGAACGAGTCAATCAGTCGCTTGCGGACCTTGGAAGCGTCTGCAATTTGTGCCGAAGAAGGTGGTCTTCTGGGATCCCTATGATAGTGTGAGTAGTGTCATCAAAACCAGAAAGATAAATACATACTGTAGCGCCATGAGAAGTTTTTGAAATCTGGGAAGATGGAGGCGAATGCCCCTTTCAAACTGTATCAAATTCTCATACGCCCTGACCTCAGGTGGTTTCCGGGAAAGATCCGCCTGGAAATCACGGCGATCAAATAACGTTACTTTGCACTCCTTACAGAGCCGTACGTCCACATTGACCAAGTCTTCCGCGGCAGCTTTCTCGGATGTTTTTGATACTATGGAAATTAGAAAAAAATTGGCCTCTCATAAAGGGGGAAAAACTTACAAGGTGCAATACTTAGTCCCTCTTCACTAGAACAACCTGTGTTGGGATCACCACAGACAACCCGCCCACAAGTCCTGCAATGATGTCTCCAAAAAGAGTACCCTGAGAAGTCCTGTTGACAAAATGGGCACCGCGAAACACTGGCATCATCTTGCCAGCTGACAATAGTCTGTTCTAAAGCCTTTCGCTGGTCGCTCTGCCAAGATATGGAGAATAATTTAGTTGCGCTGGACTGTATTTGATCCGGAGGTAGACTGGCCAGGAGCTGCGTAAGTCGTGTTAATCGTTTCTCGAGCCTCGAAATCTCGAGGAAGTCTTTATCCACTATTTGTTTTCTTATTGACTTGAATGTTTGAGTGTGATCACTTGTGGCTCCTGCTTTCCGTTAATATCATCATACATGGAAGCAAGGCGGTAGTGTATACGCACCATTGTGATCATTATACCCCTCTCTTGACTTGTAACACGTCTCACATACTCGGGCCCAAATCCCTCGTACTGGTTCGGGTTGCGCTGAGCGGGACAGCTTCATTTGATACATGGTATGTTCTTCGCAAAAGAGTTTGCCGCATTTCCGACAATTAACGCAGCCATTGGTTCCATTTAGTCGTTTGCCGCAGGATGGCTCCAAACATGTGTCATAAAGGCAACCGGCTTGCCAGTGCGCCTTGGTGATCAGGTCTTCGGGATCAAGTGGCCTGGAGATAACCTCAGATGTTCCTATATGAGAGGCTAATGGACGGCTGGCGGCGGAGGCAGAGGCAGATTGATTTTCGTTTGATTCGAAGACATCCAGACCCTTGAGTTTTTGGTTTAGCACAGCTAAAGGCTGAAACTTCCTTGCTTTCTCCATCTGCACTTTGAACCAATCCTTCACTTCATCTTGCCGATCGTCTTCGAGGTTTTGGTGAATGTCGTCGAGATGTCTATTGACTCATGTTAAAACATCGCCGTTCATAGCCGTTGAGAGGATAAATATGAGGGTTCAAAGGTACCTATTGAGCTGGAGCAGTGTGACCTATTGACAGAACAGTGTTAGTACTATACAAATATTCAGACATGATTCGGTGAAGGTCAACATACCATCTCCTCACTGCAGATTGGGCATGAGAGCTGAGCTCCAGGGGCCGACGGCGCCGCAGAGATGGAGGTGTCGCCATTTTCGAGCGAGATGCGAGAGGTGAGATCTTGCGTCTCCGATGAGAACTGCGAGACGGATGTCTGGGAACTGAGGGACAAGCTGCTAGCGGTCGGCGAAAGCAGTCTTGGCTTCGGCTGCGGGGACGGGGACGGGGCGGATGAAAGCGCAGTCGGGGTGCCTAGAACACGACCTCCTCCCAACGTCCTCCGGGACATGATTACGGGGACATGAGAAATCGGGATGGTATGGACACTTTTCGGCTCAACATGAAGTTGACTGCACAGGGTTAAGCGCCCGGGGGGAGGAGTAGGAATCGGCGAACTGGGGCCGGTGACGATACAGTGGAGCCTACGCATAATAATAATGAAAGGGGAGGCTGAGTTTTACATAAGCAATGCATGTGCTCACGGGGGGGTGTACGGATGGGAACCCATTCTATATGTGGAATAATAAGACCAATATCCTTGGTTAATTCTAATTGAACACTAGAAATTACCTTTGTTCATGGCTGTATAATCCAGATGTCTTCAAATGTCCGAATTGGATTTGGTAGCCGGTTCAAGTATATTACTTAGGAACAGGCCAGACGATAGTATGTACTATGTAGTACCTACATACATTGCTCACTTTGCCCTGGAGAACTACTAGTAGAATTCAATGATTGAAACTACTATCATTTCAACAATCAATGAGCTGTGGAATATACGAGATATTTTGAGAATTTTTTTATCATTGGAATTCTTGTTCATATCATTCTAATTCCAAGACAGTTTTTTTCATAGAGGTTTTATCCATACAAATCGTAAATCATATCTCGATAGCAAAACATGAAATGAAAGCCTGAAACTTCAAAGATTGAATCTTCTTCTGGCTCTTTTACCGCTCGTAATCGCGGTGATAGTTGGTGCCGGTATTGGGGTTGTTATACTCTCGATGGACATGGGTAGTTCCATCGTCGCGGCGGTCAACATCGCGATGACGATAAGTTCCGCTGGAGTCAAGTCGCTCACGGTGATGTCGTCGGGAATCACCAGTTCGGTAATCAAGATGTTGGTCGTAAGCTCCAGTGCTGGGATCGTAGGATGTTGTGCCATATCCTGTATCATACGCATCGGTATCGTAGGTTAGACCGCTGCCATCGGCGTCGTAGTCCACCGATGCATACCCAGTTGCGGCGTATGCTGGATTTCCATAGGCACCATAGCCTGTGAGATCGTATGTTGTACCGGTAGAATCATAATTTGTTCCAAGGGTATCATATGTGGCATCCGGCTCATAGTCGTTGGGATAGCCGGTGTCTGCGTATGCGCGGTAACTCATTGTGCACTGGCAGGTGGGAACTTGAAGTTCTGTTGAATATTGAGAATTCCTTTAGTTGAGATTGCGAGAATTAAAATCGACTGATTGTCCTGCTAGAACGCTCACAACTTATATCTAAATTGGTGGCGATTTGTTCGTCGTGATGACACTCTTCTGACATCACGTATCTAATCTCGAGGATCAATAATTTACTAGCAAAGAATTTAAACGAATCTATTGAGTAGCATGGGAGTAGGATAGAATTGATTGAGCTTTCTGATGAATCGAAGAACGTGGTTTAAAACATCGCCTCAGGAGGCGCATGATGTCTTCAGGTCCACTTCCAAGGTTCAATTGAGAGACGCCACCTTCCAGGGTTGTTCCAACATCACAAAAATTGAATTTCCAAACAAAAATAGAAAGATTAGAGAGAAAGAACAAGGAGATTAATTTGCGTGTTCTGATCTCGAATATCTCAGTTCTTTAGAAAATTTTTTAATAACTGACCGTGTTCATAATTAAGGCCTCAAGACTCCCCACTCAGTCTTGGAATCTTGTAGCTAATATCAGTCACATCTCAATTTCAGAAAGTAGAATTCCCTCAGTAACGGTGAAATGGGGCACATGTTATTATGATGGCGTCAATTCGCATAGGGAGTCCCATCTAGAGCTTTGGAGGCGATATAGAAAGAATCCTAGAGATTGCCTTATGTACCAACATTCCAAGGTTGCCACTACCCACGCTGGGAACATGTTATTCATCTTTAAGCCGCCCATGGATGATCTAAGATTGAACATATTGCAGCGGCAATTAAAGTACTAGTAACTTCACAGACTATAAACGATCGACTGACATCATTCGATTGACTTAATTGAAGTTTCTGTATTCAAATGTCTTTTATAATCACCCCAAGGGACTGAATCTTTTGGATTTCATCTGGTGTCAGACAGCTGGGCCCATGAGATGTTTGGTCTCCTTCAGATAATACTTCTTGCATGCGAATACACCAATATCCTTCGATGAATTCCGGAAGTTCTTGATCCAGTCCATTGTATTTGCACTGAAATTCATCAATGAGTTCATCAAGTCGAAGTAGCTGAACAAGCTCTTCTCTTTGAGTTTGCTCTATATCATCATCATTGGGGATTTCAAACTCTTCCTCTTCCTCTTCTCCACGTAGACAATCGCATGTGTGGGTGAGCCCCAGAGTATGGAATGTGAGGCAGCGAATCAGAACCGGGGCAAGATCATCATAGATGTAACTTTGATCATCTGGATCTAAGAGATGGACAATTTCTTTGAGTGCTCCCAAGAACTCTTGTCCCTTTTCTGCAAGCCCTGAATCTTCGATAATGTCATCGGTATGGCGTTGGAGGTTCAAAAGACAGAAAAGAACCCGTACAAAATTGTTGCATCCGTTGGATGAGCAAGAACAGCGGCATGTATCTCTTTTCTGATCGAAAAGCATAACCTGTAGGACCTCTCTGTATTTTGTAATATCTGATCGAAGCTCTCCCGAGTCATGGTCATGAAGGTCGTGTTGTATTGTGGGGAGAAACATCCACATGAACTCGAGAATTGGGGAGGGGAGCCTTGGCTCGACACTATAACTGTAGCCATTTCTTATGAACCACACAACCTTTTGCATCCTGCTTTCAAACTGTCCAAGATGGGAATCCGGTGCGAATCTGAGAGGATGCCCACCGTTGTTGTCCACTTCTTCAACATCGCGAAATCCCGAGTCCCATAATTTGTCTGCCAGTTCCCAGTTCTCACCAATATTCTCATAGAGTAGCCAGCTTGACTTGTCTTCGGGATAAAGACAATTGATGGACCTTGCTTTCAAAAGCTGATATGCTTTACCTGCATTGTAACCCGGTAAACAGCCGGGTCGGATACGGAGCTGCATCATCTCTTGTTCTGTAAGATGACTTTCCACAAGGGTCTGCAAGTGTCTTCTGCGGAGGACAAAAGCCTGTGTAATGGCATCTCGCACTTGTTTGTTTGGGCCCAAACTCACATCCTGAAGAATCTTTGCATTGATGGGAAGGGCATTTGTTTCGATGAGAAGGTTCACGCTATCTTCATACCCGCTGCTGCAGGTGAACTGAAATGCAGACTGACTGGGAATGATGCCTGAGTTTAATAAGATGGATAGCCCCACTGGCCATGTTATGTAGAAATCGACAGCTGTTTTTATATTGAAGCTCGCACCAAGCTTTTGGTGAAGGTCAACTGTGGATCGATGGATTAAGGGGAGCAACTCGTCTGGAACATAGACATCTGAAGGGTTGTGCATAATCGTGTAAGTTTTCAATTTTCAAAGGTAAGTTATAGTTAGACTGAGCCACATCATGGTTAGGTGTCACGTACCATCAGAAAGACCCTCCCGAGCAAAGCTTTGGATATATTCCACTATGGGCGGATTTGTGTCTCCTGACTCGTAGATGCCAGTGAAGTCTGTGATTTCGAAAGCTTCCGTCGATATGAAGCTACCATATGAACAAAGATAAATGATGATATCCCTGAAAAATTTTTGAACTTCCACATCAAATCCATCCAGTTCAGCGGCATAAGATATAAGCTGGTCCACAGGAGTCCGTTTGGAGAGACACACACTGTTTCCTTCTACACCCATCCAAACAAGACCGGAAATTAAGCCTTGCCAATTTCCAGAATGAGGTGAGCCATTAGAGCAGTGCCTAAGCATGGAGCTCGTTGCAACCTGATCAAAAGAAGTTAATCAGACAGCGATTCCAGAAATTGCGCGTGTATGGATTCAAGTTGTAATCGTAGACTTAGTATAACTCACATGTAAGAGTGTCTCTCCAGTAGGAAGTGTGTCGCGCGGTGAAGCCTCGCCTTTTTTAAATAATTCTTCCAAGGATTTCTTGAATTTTGGAAGAGAAGTGCTACAGTCACTGTCCAAATATTTCATAAGAAGATCGAAAGATGGCGAACTAGGCGCAACCTCTGGATGCACCTGAAGATTAGGACTGATAGAGAAGCCCCCAGCTCCTCTTGTGGATGCAAAAAATGACCTCACTGCGAAGCTGCTGATTTGGTCAAAAATTGCCCACCGGATACCAAAAGAAGCCGCTCGGGTGCCTGGTTGGTACAACGAACACTCGGGGTCATGCTTCGTCAGCGCCATGCCTCGACTGTAATTATGGGGACGGCAAACACATCTTGATGGAGAATTATTTTGTGCAGCAAGGGTTGCATCATCAGGTAATAAGGAGCCAAGGCGTGGAGTCACGGTCTCAAGCTGCTTCTTGGTTTCTAAGATCGATCGCAGGCTGGTAGGATCGAGAATAGGTTGTGCTTTGTGATGAGTTAACACCGACGCCTGTATTCGAGAGTATCAGCATCTCATTAACCACATGGCAGGAAACCGGGACCAAAGATACAATTTCACGCATCATAAATTCCACCTGGTCCAGTCTGTGATTCGTATTTTTCTGTTGTTGGCTTAAGACATGGACTGCGTCCATTGTAGATTCTGACTTCGAAATCATCAAATCTGCCTTTTCGCTATTTGCCATTGATACGGCACTGTAAGGGAAACCTTAGTACTAATACAACAAAGAGAAACTTGATCATCGAAAGAGATTAATGAAATGAGACTTACAGATGAACCATTCCCGCTGAATTGTTGATGTTTCCTCTCAAACTGTCCAAAATCTTCAGCAATTCCTTCAACTTCTCCTTCCTGAACGGATAAAGCATTCGATCCAAGCGGTGTCGAGCTTTTGAAACTGGTTCACTTCGTAAACTACTTCTGCATTTTTCTAATTGAGTGTTCACTCTGTTGATCCCGTGCTCGCAATGTTGAATTGATACGACGGCACATTCCGCCTGGGGAGTAAGGGGAGATTTGGGACTTTGCAACACCCTCAACTTCTCGTCTAATTGACATAATGTCGCTCTCAAAATGCCTGCTTGAAGAAGTATTTGGGCGATATCGTCGTCGAAGTCTTTGTATGCTTGATAATAATCCAATATACCACTGAAGGCCTGAATACCCACCGATACCAGGCCCAAGGCACCAGTGGCCACATCAAAGCCGGCCATGATATATAGGCATATATCACCATAAGATATCAATTAATGAAGGTTCAGACCAAAACGTCCGAGGACCAAGCTTTAAACCCCGCAACGAGAAATCAAGACCGGAGTGGATTTACAGCCCCGTGGCTTAGCGCCTGTTGGAACACGATCATCGACGGGCGATACCCCACCACCAAAAGTACCATAATAGAGGGCAAAGCGCCTCCTCTGCCCAATCGATTGGCTGGCAAGGACTTGTTGCGGTAGTGTGTTTTATCATGGCTGCCTTCATAGGCGGATCGCTCTTCTACCATGAACTGTTTCGGTATCTAGCATGAAGCAATTGTCCACTGACGTCGCCGATTTCATGGTTTGGGGCCTGCTTCATAATGACCAATCAATCTTGCAGTCTGCCGGTCGAGATCACAATAAGCTAGTAAGGAACATAAATTCCTGGTCCAGATTATAATCACAAATAAGACTGGGCGTTGTCTAGATTGCAGGTCCACCTGGGCAAATGTCAGCTTGTCATAACCATACCAACACCGCCACATAGTATGCATAGGGGTTTCCTGTTATGACTACTTGATTAGTACCTATCCGAGCCCCACATTGTGTCATACCAGTATCCGTGAGTTCACATGGCACTTATTAATAGGTAGAATGTGTTCGGGTTGATAAGACAGTCTCAAATGCCTCTCGTTAAGAGGTGGAGCATGGCCAAGACATCTGGAAGTAATAACAATTCCCCTGAATGGAGATACAAATCGCCCATAGCGCTGGAGATAGATTATACAAATTCAATTAGTTTAATTCGCACTGGAGTATGGCTTTACATTTTTTGAAAGTAGGTAGAATGACTTGATCAATTTTGAACCAACGCTCAATGACAGTGGGATACTCATGCGCTCAGGCGAGCACAGGGAAGTCTTGAATTATAAGTATGTTTTACAAACCTCCATGTTCCCGTGTTATAAAACCAAAAAAATTCCATCATAAAGCAACTAGCGTGTTTAACTTTCCTGTCCCAACGGCATCAAGGAATCTGTCAAGAATTCGCTTGCATTCATCAAGTCCGTACTTCCGTAAACGACTCTGCGTCGGGGTACAGGTGCACGGTTGGTTGAAGGGGCACCGTCAGCACCTGGCTGGCCACTCGTTCGTTTCACCCAGTCCTGCAGGTTACCGTATTCATCCATGCTGCCACCACCAACAGTGAACACAATAGCCTCATTGAAGGCCTGACGCCGCTGACCAAATGTGGCGCTAGTGCCGGGGCCAGGCGCACCCATTGAGCCAGGCATTTGTTGGTTTCGTGAGGCGGAGGCTGGGGGCATGGCGCCACGGGCATTGGCACTACGTGGGTCAAAGTACAGGTAGTTCTCTGTCTTAGCAATAGCAGAGCTGGATGCAGCAGCTGGATCCATAATAGACTCAGTAATCTTGGTTACGGTGAGATCTTTATTGGCAGGGAGGAAGTTCTTAACCCCAGAAATGAGAGAGTCAAAGTTGGCGCCGAGGGCACCGGAGGTGATACGGTCTGTAAGGCGGTTGGAGAGCGATGAAAAGCCACGGAAAAGGTCGGAGGATTGTTGCTCAGGAGCAGCGGTCGTCATCATGGTCATGCGGGTGATTTCACGGACTTGTCGAACGTAAGAGAGAGGACTGATGTCGGAGACACCGGCCTTTGTCAGAGCTTCTTCAAATTGTGTCATCTCTGTACGGCTCAGTTCTGACTCGGTGCTGAGGAACCAGATGATAAAAATGCGGAGCTTGTCCGTCGGCTGACTGCCCTTAGCTGGATCATTAATTAATTCCAGAAGCTGAGCTTTAGACTGCTTGGTGATATTTTCCTCTAATTCGAAAAAGTTATCAAGCTGTCGGTCCTTGATGCCTTTCAACAAGGCAGTGGCAATGTTCATGTGCATATCGAGGACAGCTTTGCGTTCGCGCAATTCTGGAAGCAATGTTATCGCTGCTTTGAGGTGTTGTGCAGAAGCACTTGTATCGTTTTGAAGGTCTTCAATAGAAGAAGCACCAGTTTTCTTCGTGATATCATTCGCATCTTCCTTGTACCGGGTCAACTCAGCATCGATGTCTTCAGCAACCTGAGGAAATGGCGCGCCAGCATTCCGTTGCCAGAAGAAATCGGTGCTGTTCAAGTCGTACGATTTGTTTCCACTCTTGCCAGAGTCCTGCTCATCGGCATCCAAGGTGATCCGGTTCAAGCGCATCTGTAGCACATCTTGCACCAGAGACTGGTATGTCCACGAATGCGAAAGCATAGGTACCAAATCGACGTTTCGATCCATGATGATCAACACTGGACGGGAAGAAGGTACTCCTGGCAAGGCTCGCTGGTTACCTGAGAAGAGGTTGTCTTTCGAATTGAGGATGTGGTCACGTAATTTCCGGTCGAGCTTTGTCGCGATCAATTCCGCTGCACCGCCTTTGGGGCATCGAATGACAGGAATCGAACCTATTTGGTTAGTATACATAGATATTTGTAGAAATTATAACATACCCATTGTGACGCTGACACTAAAAAGGCCGCTGACTACCTTGTCCACAATCGCATCCAGATCCTCATCAGTCGTCTTTCCGCTGTTGATCTTGTAGTATGCGTTGTTCCCCAAGCCCAGACTGAATAGATCAGGTTCAGCCACGATGAAGTTGAGATATTGATCAAAAACCTGCGCAATATGTTCTGAAGCGCCAGAGGTAGCTATTTGAGAAGCAAAATCCTCGAGGAGAGGTCGGGGTACGGAGGATAAGAAGTTGACATGGGCGGGGGAGTATAGGCCATGAGAGAGGTCGCGCGTGATCGCTTGAATGTTCGTCTCATTTGGCTCAACGAGGTAGACAACAGGGACGTCAGGAATGGGGTATCGCTGGGAGTTGATGTTCCTATGACCATGTTAGTGCTGAGGGCTCTCCAGCATTCCGAGGGGGTTCTTTATCATGGGAAGCGTACAGGTGAATAGTGATTCCCCATGTTCGGAGGTCGTTTACTCGCAAGACACTGCTAATCACATCACGACCCATCGCATCGAAGACCAGGACTTTCCAGATTGGATCGCCATCTTCATTCAATATCGGAGTAGATTGCGAGACGAGGCCGCCATGGCTAGACGGGTCATTGGAGTCCTCAGCGGGGCGGGGATCATGATTCAAGTTCAAAAGTTTTTGAATAGAGGCTTGCGCAGCTCGTTAGCGATTCAAGAGCTAGTAGATTCGAGGAGACTATTGGATATATTAAGGATGACATACCGACCTGGCGGTCTCGGAGGGACATTGGATGCGCCATTGTGGACCAGGCACCATAGGATTCAAGCAGACACTCAGAACGGCGGTGATTGATTTACAGCCGGAGAAATAAGAATTCCAAGTAAGACAGTATTCAAATCAAGTCAGGATTGTAAAGGTTCAAGAGCTGGACTTTCCAGTTGTTGATATCCCGCTTTCCCCGTTAAGCAGCGTGGCCCGACACAGCGATGAGGTAATCACAAACCAAGCAAACCAAGCAAACGAAACAAACTACGTTTCACACGGGAGCTCCATGTAACTTACAGTAAAAATACAATGAAACTGTACTAGACTTCCATATGATCCAATAAAATAGCTTAATTATGTTCTGGTATGGTCACTAAGATTACCTGCCCTCCTGAGCAATTTGTTCTCCCCTTCCACTACTCCGTACCCTTGCCATCCATCCACATCACCCCCAACTCCCCTTTCCCTTTCCCTTTTGTTTCGTAAAGCGAATGGCTATTATGCTAGAGTGGCTCTTGGTATAGAAGCCTACCTATTCTCTGATTCAGAGCATCTTGCTTCGAAGGAAGACAAACTTAAAAAAAGGACCAAGGAGTGCAAGCTCTGCAGTTGGAACCAGTGTCCGAACTACAATCAGTGGAGGAGAGACAACTATTAGGACAGCACACAAGACATTCATAAAAGATCCTGGAAGATCTAGGCGTCTTGTCAATACCTATTTGTTCTTCTCTACGGGTTGTATCAGCCATTGTGAGATCATTTAAAAGGTGCAGAAAAAAGGCCAGGGAACCGCGACGCCAACGTCCCAGGATTCCGGCAGTGACAAGTTGCCTTAAAAAGCCTAAGGCACCAACGCCATCTAAACACTTAAGCCGGGAAATTTCACTTTGCTTTTTTGTTAAAAAAAGAAGGGAAAAAAAAGGTACGAAAAAGTACTCTCTGTACCCGTGGCTATAACCATCAGCCCACCAGGTCTTAGTTGCCATACCACTGTGATATAACTTTTTAAGCTAAGGTGGTTTGGTCTCATCCTGATAATTCGTCGTTCTTCTCAGTCATCATCGCGTTTCCCAACTTGTTGCCGCCGACTTTCACTCCCCACCAATCAAACCCCTCAGATTTTCGATCCTGACCCCACTTCCCCCACGGTCAAACCATTTTCCGGACGATACCCGAGACAGGCAGGCGGTAGGTTCCCCCAGTGGAATCCACAACACGTGACATAAAGGAAATCTACAGAGCAACTTTCAGAAGCTCTGAATAACAGTAAAAAGTGTACTGAAGTGAGAAACTTTCCTTTTCAACTGCGGCGATTGGAACCATGGAGCAATCCTCAGCACGGAACCGCATGTCGGGTCTGCCGCAGACAGGAGCTCCTCAAGGGTCCTCGCCTCAGTTTTGGAACAATATGGACAATATGTATTCCAGCTCTCAGTCACAGGATCAGGCCTCACAACAGCCATTGGGAATCGGGTGGGACCATCCTGTGTTGCAAACACAGCAGAACCCCCAATTTCATCAACAGCGAACCCAGATGCCTCCCCCGAACGACTCGAATATGGAAATTTACTCAATTCCCTCGTCATGGCAGCCAAACCCGTTGCACTCACCTGCACGTGGTTACGTGCCTCCCCCTTCATATCAGACAGCGCAGCCACTTCAACAATATCATCAGGGTCAAGTGAGGTTTGACTCGCGTCAACTCCAGGCTTCTGAAAGTTCTGCCTTCCCCGCCTACTCCTTCCCGCCGAACTACTACCACCCTCAACCTCAAACTTCCACGACTCAGGGTCAATTTAATATTCCACCAGGCTTTGCTGCTGAGATGCTGGATAATCCCATCGATCTTACAACCGACTTCTCTGAAACTGGAAACCACCAAACCATCGATCCGCAGTTTTTAAACCCGACTCCACAATCTATTCAGCAGTCTTCACTCGCCAATAATTTCCTTTACACAGGTCAACCTGGCTTTGATCGAACTGGAGGCGCGATGTTTGATTATTATCAAAACAACATTTCCGTTCAACCCCAGCTCGGTATTGGCTCTAATCCTGCTGCACAGCAGACTGGGTTCGTCGTGTCGAAAGAAACAGGTCTTCCTATTCCACAAGTCTTGATTCAACCCGGCAAGACCATTAAGAAGCAACCTGGAAAAAAGATTAAGACACAAAAGAAGACCAAGGACGAGTCGGAACCCGAAACCTCAGATGACTCCGATCTGGAGATTGAAACCGCACCCGAACCCTCTCCGATTCCCGCAACTCGCCCTAAAGAGCCTGTTGAAGCTGCCGGGTACGACACCCTACAAGCTGTGTGGTCACCTCGTAATAAGAGAGTCTCTGCGGAGAAAATCAAGAGCGGCCTCATGAGCTTTAAGGATATCATTAAAACCCTCCGCGATGAATGGAAGGACCGAGTTCAGGATATGAAGACGGCAGAGAATAAGGGTAACAATGAGCTGGCCGCCAAGTGGAAGGACGTTGTGATTTTACAACGCCAGACGATGAATAAGATTATGACCACCGCCATGGAAATGGGTCATCCCATGATTGTTGAGAAGTATGAATCCCCCTATTGCCCGAATTCCCCTCCCCTTCCCGGCACATGGCTGCCACGGCCAGATTTGTGCAAAAGGAACCAAGAGCATTCCCCATGTAGATTCTTCCTTTCTTCTTCATTTACGTGTTGGCATTTATTTTATCGTTGATCTGGCTAGAATAAGGGTTGGTTCCCATTTCTTCCAATGACAATACATCTTGTGATGTTTGTGCTGGGTCTATAAGGATGAATAATATCAAACACACAGATCGAAGATCCCTAGAATATGGGTTCTCTTAAAAGCTTGTCGCTAAAATTTGGAAATATGCTGCTTGTTTGATTGAATTTGGAAAGCCAACTTGTCTGCCTAACACGCAGGATTCATCAGACGCGCAGCTTTAATCCAAGGCATTTCTGAATCTTATACTTGGACACATTAATAACAATATTTGCTAACGTCTTTTTTTTGGACAGATGTGGAGAACATCCTATGGCACTTGCCGCGATCTATTCATTTCTGGCAGATCGATTCCAGGCTGCAGATTATGATGGTGCACTGACCAAAAATATGCTGAAGGTAAGCAAACATTTCCCTTGTAGTTGGATATTGCTTCTCTGACTTGTAAAACAGCTCTTGTCTCGATTCGTGACAGTAGACGAGGAGATTCTTGCGAAGACTAACCTTGCTAAACTACTGCCTCGTCTCATCAAGAAAGGCGGGCCAGCCACCAAGGAAGCTGGGCAGAAAATCTTAGAAAATGCTGTTGCCTCCACAAAGCGAAAGCAAGACGCCTCCAAGGCAACCAAGGAGGATTCACCAGTAGTCAAGAGCTCTGGAGACTCTCCATCTGCTGAGATTGCTGGCTCTAAGCGGCCACGTGAGGCAGAAAGTAATTCTCACCCAGTCACAAAACGCATGGTTGTGACATCAAATCCAAAAGAGAATATCAAGCCCGTCATGGCAGGTAATGGTATGACAAAAAGAGTTGTCGAAGGGTCTCAGAATCTTAAGCCAACTGCCACAGTTGTGGCTCGTCCAAAGCCCAATATTGTTCCACCCAAACCCTCAAGTCTATTTGGTGCACTCAGTTCTGCTTCAAAACGACCAGGCACTACCAATGCTGAAAGAGCTGCGGCGGCGGCGGCAGCAGCAGCGAAACCGTATGTTCCATTTCCATTTTTATTCCAGTGCTCCAAAATCAACCGTGCTGATTTCGTCAACAGAACCACCGCAGAGAAGAAGGAGAAACCAGCAGGCCCCCCCTCCGAAACCTGCATTCTCTTTTGGGGATATCATGGCTGACCTCAGTAAGCCCAAGGAAACCGTTGTCGCGAAGCCCGCAGAAGACATACCACCTGAGACCGAGGAGGAACGGAAAAAGCGACTTCGGAAAGAAGAAAGACGTAAACTCCGTGTTAGCTGGAAGCCTGATGACTCTCTCACTGAGGTTCGCTTGTTCACTCACGATCCGGATGAAGAGCTTGGTCCTGGCGATGGCTCTATGCGCGGCGTCGGAGATGTCAAAGGCGAGGGTAGCGTGCTTAAACTCCACAAGGACTTGGAAGAATTGGAGGAAGAAGATCTCGGTGGAGTTCGGGAGACGAGCCACGGGGAGTATCGTGATTTATCTGGTAGGTCGCACTTTCCTGCACCGTGTTGATGCCAAGACATGGCTAACCATAATTGACTTAGAAATCCGGATTGATTCCGACGAGATGAAGAACAACAACTTCATTAAACGAGGTGGTAACCAGAAGCCTGATAGCCCAGAAAGGGAAGCTCAAGATCATCGGGAATCCACTACTCTCATGGTTTTCTATACCTCTCCGGCCGATGTGCCTTCAACCCCGAAGGAGCCCCCAGCTCCTAATCCGGATGAGGTTGTCCCCGATATCATTTCCTTTGGAGATTTGCCCGATCACATTAAGGTATGTGAACTCTTACCTAACATTCTTCTTCTGATATTGTTTGTCAAGTACTGAACATTAAACCACAGGCCCGACATGATCGTTACTTTGAATCTATGAACCCCAAGCCTGCACCCACTCCTCTCCAGCCCCAGCCGCAGCTCCAAGGTAACCAACCCGCAGGTGGTTTTGTCGACTTTGCTACTCTGTTCCAGATGATGAATCCTGGAGCTCAGCAACAATCCACACCTCCGCCTCAAGTAGCTCAACAACCTCCCCCGCCGGCTCCGATGTCTGATCTTGAGCGTACCGTCAGCATGTTCAGCCAGCAACAGCCTGTCCAAGCTCCCCAGGCTCCGGCGTCCCAGCCACAGGCTCCGGTAGTTGATTTCCAAAGCATTCTGAATGTGATGAAACAATTGCAGCCAGGCACCTTTCCCCCGGCGCAGCAGACACAGCCCGCAATGGCCCCCAACTTGAGTAACATGTTCGCGCAATTCGGTGGGCAGAACCAGTATCCTGGGCAAAACCAGTATCCTACTAGTCAACCTCAGATGCAGCCAGGGAACGGCAACAGCTACGAAGACCCTGAGCGCAAACGTGTGCGTGATAGTGATCAAGGAGATGGGCTGTATGACAGTAGCTGGAGTCGCCAGAAACGCACCAAGTCTAATGACCCTAAGCCTGTGAGTTATAACCCGGAATATTACTCCCAATTGCAGTATGCTAACATAAAACAGTACAAATACGGTTTGGTTCCCTGTAAGTTCTGGGCTGAAGGAAAGTGTAGAAAAGGCGAGAACTGTACCTTCCGCCACGATACTTCTTAATTTGCCAAGACATGGATTGTCTTCACATCTTGGGAGCCATACGGCATCATGCTTCATACCGGAACCTCGTTACTCCTCTTCTGCGGCTTATTTCACTTCTTCCTTTCACTTTCTGTGATCTAATCTCCCAATTTTCGGTTGTCTCATGACATACCATGCCTTTGAAAAATTCTCAGGCGAAAATAACAAGGTGCTCATTTCCCCGTGGGACTGGTCCTAACATCGGGACACTGTCTATATTGGGAGAGATGATGGGGTGGCGTTGAGGTCTTCTTTTTTCTTTACTCCCTTCTGCATCTTTTATTTGCTTTGATTCCCGACTCACATTCTTGCATGAGCCTACATGAAGGCACAAAGGCGTTCCATATCATTCTACCCTGGTCTCTTTTGCCTTCGTTGGTATTGCCATTAATTCCTTTCTTTTCATGTCTCTACGCATTTATCAGGGGTTTCACATTGCGGGATGAACATCTTATGGCGCAGGCTTTGGGGGTAGGAGGGCACGGTGGACAATACCATCCATGTACATTACATTACATTATCGACAGTTACTAGTATCGAGATCATCTTCACCAACGAAGATTCAATGCCCTGAAATCATTTTCTTCTTCAATCAGTTTGAGGTTGATCCTTCTTCCAGTGTTTCACATGTAGATATCACCTCTGAGTGTGTTCTCAAAGAACTTGAAGTTACTACATCGTAGCAGTAGCTTGAAATTGAGAAGAGAATTACAGTAGACAAGTTAAAATAGTAGCTCGTCCTTCCAAGATTGAAGTTGCCCTTCTATCCACTGGCATCATAATCAAGTGGCAATGGAACATTTGAAGATATTCAAGTTTCTCTATGTGTCCAATTATCTAGTAAAGAATAAATCAAACTTCCTCGCAGTGAATACTCAAAGAGCTATACATCAAGACACTTTCAGAAGCCAATTGATCATGCTGGTCAAAGTTTTGTTGAGATGGGAAAGAGGCACCGATTTCTCGAACATTGCTTGAATTACCAGTGGTTGATCTGTGACTTAAACCCCCATGGATGGGACAATCCGGCAGCGTCATAGAAGTATCAGAGGCCCGGGATTTCCATTTCTCTGTGATATGAGAAACTAAAGGCCAAAGTGGAGCAGCAGCTGAAGCAATTTGAACCAGCCATATTTCCGTGGTGTTGAATATCACCAATGGGATGATTCGATTTAAAGAGTACATGTAAACTGGCATAATGTCATCTCTGTTTCCATCGTTACCTTCTAGGTGACTTACTTGTTCCATGAAGCTGTCCAGCTTCAAGCGCTTTCCCCTATTCCACAACCCGCGCCAATTATCCCAATTCCCATTAAGCATGAGGTTAGAATTTTGATTTTTCGGCGCATCTGTAGCTTCCAGATTATTATGGAAGGATAAAGCGCTAGTATGATATCGGTTGCGGCGCTCTAATCTATCGGCTTTTCTTTAGTTAGATTCCATCTCTAGGCAATGCCTGAGCGGAGACTCAGAAAGATGGATTCATACATCCAGTCCAGACGAACCAAAAGTCGGCTTTCCAATATCCTTTGCAAAGACCATGTGGGAGATCTAAAGATGGGCCGCATTGCAAGAATAGGAATTGGACCATGGTTATGTATGACAGTAACTAAATTCTGATGAGTTGAAGTTATTCAAACGTTGTAAATGTCATGAGTGACTCACATTCAGAGCTAGAGCAGATATTAAGAACCATTTTCCAATCCTATATGATCTGCCTTGAATTTCAATAATGAAGAGAGTTATCCCAATTTTTGAAAATCCAATTGAGATTGCGCCTGTAGCGGCAGTAATTTTCGACAATGTAAGCGAGAGGAATACCCTTGGGAAGTAGGTGCTGTGGATGTATATGATCGTGCTGGCAGTTCCTGTAGACTGTTTTTCATTAGATTCAATTTCCAAGGATTATTTAAATATGAACCTGGTCCAAAATGGCACTGCTGGGGGATAAAATCCTTGGAAAACATACCCGGGAAATACAGGCTGCGATAAGGGGACGTCCACCCTTGTGGACAATCACGAAATATGCGTACAAACGTAGTATAATAAGAGTTGTTGCCGTAAACCCCAGGGATAAGCCAATTCCAATAACGATAGGCCGGTGAATACCAATATAGTCATTCTGCTTCTTGATCGCCTCTGATGTCATTGAAGTCGTCATACTAGCCCCTCGTGAAAGAGAAGTGGTCCATACCGGGGTATATTACAGGCGCATTTAATTGAAATCAGATAGATAACCAGTCTTTTGCTGCTGATATTATCCAACAATGATGCTGGCAAATAGATGATTTTCAGCTGTCAGTGTCATACAAATTCGCTGTCTGCCTGCTGTACAACCTCACTCATAAGTCTGTCTACTAGATATCCTAGGCCAATCTGTGACTTACTTTAGTGAAAGAAACTTTTATTACATTGAAGACAAAGATTGTGTTACTTATAGAAGTAACTAAATGCGAATCATCCAGGGTTCCCATGATAAACTCAAACATTTGAATTAATTAAGCACCCTCTACCCTCTAATGGATCTTCTCTGTGTGGTCTATCCATGTAAATTGACGCATATGAGGAAGACCCAGGAGGCTTTTGCCCCAAAGAGAGCACACTGTGCATTGGAGTCATAGTTTCAGAGAGCAGAGTAGTAAGAAAGGGAGGCCCTGAGACACTACCTCCACTTGGTATAACTGCTTGATATATCCCAGAATGTATAATTCTGAAGCAGAATTCATATAGGTTATTTCAAGTTAGGGGAATGTCAGAGGTTAAACCCCTCCAGGGCTGCAGCACCCTCCTTCAAGGGCTTACTTACTACACATGGATTCCCATTAATGACATCATAGCCTCTCCCCATATTGTATTAGGTATTTATTTATCTGCCCACTAGCAGGACGGCGATAATGACATCTGGAAGCAGTTCTTCTGGACTAGACTGGGAAGAGTGCAACTTGAAGAGCATCGCAACACCCACACATCACTGAAGGCTACCCATTTCGGTGATTGTTGCCAGTGGTTGTGGCGCATCTACCCGAGAGGCAATTCAGCTTTGTTAGGACTCTGGTGAGGCTACACTGTGCTGGTAGCCTGTTACTGCTTCTGAGTCAATATGAAGCTCACATGTGCATGATTAACGAAGTTCCCCACGCACACTACTCAGTGTGGGAGAACTACACTTTGGGAACTCCATGTTAAGGGAAGCGTGAAGGGAAGAGGCTTTAGATAACCTGGCAGAAAGGTATCTAGGCAAACATTTGTGGTCAGTGGCGGTCTGAACTACACACTTATGAGATCAATCACTACCTGCCCTTTGGTTGCCTGTTCTTATCTATAATTTCCCAGCGCCCCCCCCCCCTTCTTGATACGAATCTATCCTCTGTCGATATCACTCCTGTATCCACACTATTGTCTACTAGTAATATACTACTGCTGTATCAACCAAGTACTACTAGTAGTAGTACATTATGTAGTTCAGGCGGACACATGTCTTAGGCCCTCTCTGATCTCACATAACCTTGGAAGTTGTCTTAAAGCACTGGCACCACAAATCCAACTGGCGGTCAATATAGGAATATAGATTCCGGAGTCCTGCTTTATTACTCAGAGGAATATAGATTCCGGAGTCTTCCTTTATTCAGCATGCAATTCTATGTGGGTCTATAATGTGGATGTTGACCATTCAAATGGTTGTCGGTAAGGGATTGCACCGAAAAGTGCACAGCCTCGGAGACATTTGCCACGCCACATCCTGCATTACTCCAATATCAGATCAGGATTGTCTGCAGGGACAACTTTAAAAAATGATAATTTCAATGCATAAGCCCCTTGAATAAACCACATGTTAGGTTAAAAATATCCTATTAGAGCACAAATTCTCTCACTTCGACCTTCCATTCAAATGTTCTTACCCCATTCTTAATATCTTAGAAATCAATTCTTGCGTCAATTAATTGCGGGGACAAGTTGAAGTGGATTCATTGTTCTTTAACCGAAAAGTTTTTTTTTCTTAAACAGATTAGAAATCACTAGCGGAGACTAGTATACATCTGGGAGCATAGAGAATAGATCTCCAAATCTCTGGAAACTTAAATAGAACTTCATTTCTCCTATCGATTCTTCCATTAATCATAAAAATTTGCTTTTTTTTGTCATTTTATATAACATTCACCATGACTTGGCCTGATGTCCCTACCAAGCCCGCTGAGGGCATCTCCTACTACACACCAGCTCAGGATCCCCCTGCTGGTACTGCTCGTAACCCTCAGACTAGCGGAAAGGCCATTCCTAAGCTTTTCCAGCCTCTGACCATTCGAGGAATGACTTTCCAAAACCGTCTGGGTGTAAGTTCAAGTTTCTCTGTGGATGGTGTCGCGTCAAATTTACTTATGAACATCACAGGTTGCCCCAATGTGTCAATACAGTGCCGAAGATGGCCACATGACTGCCTGGCACATGGCTCACTATGGTGGTATCGCCATGCGTGGTCCCGGTATGATCATCATTGAAGCCACTGGCGTTGCTCCCGAGGGCCGCATCACTCCCGGTTGTGTGGGTCTGTGGAAGGACTCTCAGATCAAGGGCCTGAAAGATGTTGTCGAGTTCGCTCACAGCCAGGGCCAGAAGATTGGTATCCAGTTGGGTCACGCTGGTCGCAAGGCCTCAACTGTTCCTCCCTGGCTCGGCGGTGTGACTGCTACCAACGCCGTTGGTGGCTGGACCGATAACGTCAAGGGTCCTAGTGCTATTCCCTTCGCTGATGGTGACATTGTCCCCAAGGCCATGACTCTGGAGGATATCCAGGAAGTTAAGGATCTCTGGGTTGCCTCCGTTAAGCGTGCTCTCGCCGCTGGTATTGATTTCATTGAGATCCACAATGCCCACGGATACTTGCTGTCTTCTTTCCTGAGCCCCTCATCTAACCAGCGTACAGATCAGTACGGTGGTAGCTTCGAGAACCGCATTCGTCTCTCTCTGGAGATTGCTCAGTTGACCCGTGAGACCGTCGGTGATAATATCCCCGTCTTCCTGCGCGTCTCTGCTACCGACTGGCTGGAGACTAGCATGCCCGAGGAGAAGGGCTGGAAGCTGGAGGACACAGTTGAGTTTGCTAAGGCTCTTACTGAGCAGGGTGCTATCGATCTGATTGATATCAGCACCGGTGGTGTGCACGTCGCTCAGAAGGTGGCTGGTGGTGTTGCATTCCAGACCCCCTTCGCTACCGCTGTGAAGAAGGCCGTTGGTGATAAGATGCTGGTTTCCGCTGTGGGTACCATCAACAACGGAACTCTCGCTGAGAAGATCCTGAACGAGGAGGGCCTCGATTTGATCCTGGTTGGTCGTGCTTTCCAGCGTGACAGTGGTTTGGCCTGGGCTTTTGCTAAGGATCTGGATGTGGAGATTGCCATGGCTGGTCAGATCCGCTGGGGATTCACAAGCTTCCGTAATGCGTCGGAGTATATTCAGCCTAACTCGATGAAGGCTTGTATCTTTGATTAGATGTTTGATGAATTGTTGCATGGCATATGGATATAGAACAGCATGATAGAAATGATATGATTCATGATTTTAAGTTTGCAAGCCACGCTGAGCTGTAGGGCTGATTCCTGAAAAGGTATCAGTGAATGAAGATCTTAGAGCGTTGGGAGTTTCCATCCAAAGAAAGTGACAAAAAAAAGAACTAAAATTTGTTGAGAGCCTTGAAAGCCGTACATACCTAGTGCAGGTAGAATCTATCCCTCGTATTTCCATGTTAATCAATGCCAATTTTATTCTCGTATAGCGTTAAAGAACTAGCTCTAGAGGCTGAAGTTAATTTGGCCGGATCCTTGGAACTGGTCATATGGAGCCTCACTTCTATAGTAATTATCGAGTCATTGAACTAGTGACAGTTAAGTGACACAGAAAACCCCTGAAAAAAAGCAAATATTGTAAGTGACGGGGATCTCCATAAAGACAGCGGAATATTTTCTTTGACAGGTGTCAGGCTCTACTAGTAGATTCAAGATCCAGATATCGGGTTGACATGGATGTCAGATGACGTAAATTTGGGGGCCATCCTCTTATTATATCCTAATGTGGATATACTAGGTGTTCTCACTGTGGATTTCTAGATGAAAGGAATATTCTACGGGCCTTCTCTTCGATGCGGGGGGGGAGGGCGGGGGCCAAAGTCAAACAGGATTCATACGAGGTAAACGATGATTTTGCCTGAAAATTGCCTGATGTGGTCAATGCACTTTGTTGTCCCCTTACACCGCATGAATACTTCTCCCTTTCCCCATATTCTCCCTATACCTCTTCAATATTCGATTGTTGAAGTAATTGGCAGTCCAATTACTTCACGGATGCATTGGTTACGGTGGTTGGTTTAGGATTTCGAGAGGTCTGGCTGGCAGAAAGATATGGCATATACAGATCAATATGTGCCCAAAGAGGGAAGCCAGGAGTACAAAGAGCAGATGAATCATTGGGATGAGGACCGCAGGCCACAACAATACGCAGCTATTGCTATAACGACATTTGTGGCTACTGTTGCAGTCATTTCTCGACTCTATGCTCAGCGTACATACAGGAGAGGATGGGGAGTCGACGATGCTTTCATTCTTGTCGCCTTGGTATGTGTGTCTAGCAACATTAAAGTGTTGAGAGTTCTAGATATATGGAAAGCTAACACTCTCGTCAGCTCATTTTATATGCAGAGTTCATCGCCTCTGTTCTGGTCTTGAATAATGGAGCTGGTCTCCATCAGGTTCGAGTTCTCTCGGAGGACACTAACTCACCTCATGGGCTTCAAAATATCTACCATGTAAGACAGTATACAGGATCCATATATCTTCACTGTTCTGACCTGTGAAAAAACATCTAACAAATATTGATATAGAATTATTGGATCGTTGCTCTTCTTTGGGCACCCGGAGTGACCTACATCAAACTTTCCATCCTTTTCTTATATCGACGTCTACTCTTCGTCCAGCAACGCTGGTTTCATGTTGCCTTATGGGTTAACGTACTCTACGCACTTGCGCTGGGAATCGCCTCTCTACTCCTCACCGTTCTTCAGTGCTCGCCGGTCGACTACTACTGGACACGTTATGTTGCTTATTACGGATATGCGTCGCCGAGCGGAAAGTGTTTGTTGAACATGCGTGAATATCTGGGCTTGCTTCAGATTCTGAGTACAGCATCAGATGTGGTTATCCTGTTGCTTCCAGTACCCATAATTTGGAACCTCATCATGCCACGATCACAGAAATTTGCAATTTCTGGTGTTTTCTTCCTTGGTGCTCTCGCTATCGCCTGCGGTGCTGTGAGAATTGGAATGATCTTCACGACAAATAATACTGAAGATGGGACGGTATGTAATCTTTCTCTTCAGGCCATGATGAACACAGAATCTAACTTAGTACAGTGGGTTAATATCAACACTGTCACTTTTACAGTCGTGGAAGCAGCAATGGGAATTATCTGTGCCAGTCTTCCATCATCCGCACCATTGTTCTCTCATATTCTCAAGAAATTAGGACTCAGGAACGAGGACCCAGAACGTTTAGATGGAGGTTTAATCTCCGACCCACCCATAATCCCTAGTCAAGAGGTTGGATCGTTCGTGAGGATCCCAAGTCCGAATCCAAGACTTGTGGTCAAGCAGAACTCTTTTCATGAACTCTTTACTCCTGAGAAGAGGGCTCTGGCGCTGGTATGGTCGCCAAATGGAGAAGGAAACCGAGAAAGTTATGTGTCTCAGGTTGAGCAGCCTGAGAATGGAATCCTGGTGCGCAATAAGATTGAGTTTTCTTCGAACAGACGCACGGGTTCTGGAAAATCTATAGAGCTGTCAGTTAGGACGACGAAACAAGCTCTCAAGGTTTGAGCTTAGATAGACTCAGCGTCATCATTTCTACTATGAATGAATATAATGAATTTTTACTTCGAAGGTTGGTAAAGTATTGGAAGTAAATAGCGGGAGAGCACATATGTAATATATTTAGTAAAACATATTAAAAAGGAGTTATAATCGCTCCAGGTCAACACTAGAGTATCAACTCCTATACCTTGCACCATCACGGTGCTCTCGTCAGACAAGCCATTTACAGATCCGCGATCGTAACCCAATCACTAGTATCCTGTCCAGCCCAATCAGCAATCCTCTTACCCGACAGGATGACTTTAGTCAGATCATCATCACTAATACCATGGTTCCTTAAACCAATCAAGTGTCGTTTCGAAGTACCCTGGAGTCCCATACAAGCCATAAACGGGATCGTCATCAGCGAGGTCTCCTGATGATTGATGACACTCTCATCAGATAAGAACATCCCATAGATGATACTATCAGATGCCCAAGTAAAGTCTGCACTGAAACTACCGCAGCTTGCCATGATGTTATTGTATCCATCTTCTCCATAGAGCTTGTAACAGAGTTCTCGGCCTCGGGCGTTTATCTCGGGTGATACGGTGACTCCTTCTCTATTAAAGATTAGTCTTTGATTATGCTGAAGACTCCAGTTTAGAGAATTAAGATACTTACCTGGTGAAGGATGGGTCTGCATCTTCTGATATCTCAATTTGAGCGAGAGTCAAAACGGCAGTAATGACTTTTGGAATGCCGATTATAATCCATTGCTTGAGCATTTGCTCTCGGAGACGACGACTTAGAACTCTTCTTTGATCGGATGTTGACCATTCTGGTTGGGAAATTAGGAAGTCGTAGAGATGTGTGATATTTGTTGGATTTGAGGCCGTAATCAGGGCAGAGGCCTGGCATGGATTAGAAATTTGGGTACTTCCAATCCATGAATGAAGAACTCACGCTTAGTATGTACCAGCCATGCTCACTTATGGAGCTGGGAAATTCCTTCTTGATTGTTTCAAATAGTCCTGGAAGTTTTGTGGTGTCGGGGGCCATTGTGATTGCGTCTTGCTTGCGGAGGAGTAAGAACTGGAGTATTCTATTGATTACAGTTTACAATAACAAATCTTGGGTTGAGAAGAATGGATTTTTATAAAATGTACAGAAAATTCCACGAGTCCATCTGATGCCCCTCACTATGATTGTTCTTCTAAGCCTTGGTCTGATCATCGTTAGTTGCGCGCGTTTCCGCTTGAAGTGATATCATTTACTCTATAGGGAAAGTTTCAAACAGCGATCTTCCACCTAGATTGTGGCTTAGTATAAGATCAATGATAGGCTTGATCAGATACGCTAAACTGTAGTGCTATGTGCTATCCCCGCTAGTGTAGGGGCCAAAAGCCACCGACTTTTAGCAAATTTGAAAGATCACAAGACCATGAATAGTTTCATAGTATGAGTAGCATTTATACCACCAAAATATTACAATTCCATAGCTGAAGTTAGCGAGTGGTTCAGAAACGAAGGTTATTTGCACAAACGCTCTATGTGTAAGGCCGAATACGCCAGAGCATGGAAAGAAGACAAAACGGAGCTCATGAATAACAATAAATCAATGCTAATTCAGTTGCACATAGTTGGCTATTGGTCAAGAGTTAGTAAAATGATAAAGAATGGATGCTTAAGTGGGAACTTACCAGGAAATTGGCCCTCCCGGCCACCGGTCTTGCCAGTCCACCATTCATTGGTGTTATCAGTTCGGTGGGTAATTTCAATCACATCACCGGCTGAGAATCCGAGGTCTCCATGAGCCTGGGCTTCGTAATCATACAAGGCGGTGACGGTTTCCACCTGCTTGCTAAGGTGAGAAGGCTTTGCCCTCGGGGGTGGTGGAGCGGGCTTGCTCTTAGCAGCTGAGGAGAAGCTGCCTGTAGGACTAGGAGTGGCACCAGCTGAGTATGGTGGTGGAGGGTGTTCGTCGACGTTGGAGGAGGATCGCCCACGGTTGATAGATCCCTTGGTTTCAGCCAGCTTGGGGTTTAGTCGGGTGGAGTTAGAGCGGCGGGCACCCTGGGTCTTATAATGCACGATCGTAAGAGCTTCGGCCCGTTCTTGCACATCGCCACGCTTTTGTTCAAAAGCCTCCTCCACATCCATGTCGAGGTTGAAGTAGCTGATATGCATGCCCTGCATCTTGTCGTGGAGGGTGTAGAAGACATTCAGCTGCATGTAGTAGAAGGATTGAAACAGCGGGCGAATAAATTCTGCCTCGAGTTGGAAAAGCTTCGGTAATTCATCCTTCAGCAGGTCGTTGTAATGATTGTAGTCCAGCGTCGCCTGCTCAACATCGTTTTCCGCCTTGTATAGGGCCTTCTCATCCTTGAGGGATTTGTCCTTTTTATCCTCCAGCTTCTTGAGCGTTGCGCGGTGGCGATCGTAATCCAGCTTCTTATGATCACGCTTGACAGCGACCTTGCGGATGACCTTGATGACCTCCAGCAGCTGGTCGGCAGGGCTGATGACTCGGCTCTCGATCATCTCCAACTCGGGCACGAGGGCTTCCTGCAGATCCCGCACGATCGCCTCGTACTCCTCACATGCTTGGATACCTGCAGTATTGCCCTCGTCCTCAAATGAGTTAGGATCGGAGGCACGGCCAGAGATGGGTTTGTAGACTTCGGCGATTCCTTTGGAGAATTCGATCTGGTGACTTAGCATGCCTGGCAACAAAAAGCCGAGTCAGTATTTGTTCGAGAATAGGAGACCACTCCGGTCGGCCGGGTAGCTCGGAAAGAACCTCACTCACCATTAATGGCTTCAAAGTATTTCTTAGACTCATCATGGAGTTTCTTTGTCTCCTTCTCAAGCTCCTGGAACCGACGCTCGGAGTCGGTATACACAGCATCTTTGGTGTGTTCACCAATATTGAATTTGAGCTTGAACTGCTGTGGCGCACGGGCGATGCTTTTGGAGAACCCCTTAAAACTCATCTCGGGCAACTTTTTCAGGCGTGAGTGAGAGTAGAAATATGAAATTGGGAAGGAAAGAGTTACAGAAGAAGAGAAAGACCAAGGCGGGGTGGTTCCTTTTCCGTTCTTCACCTATGACATAAGACTTCTCACACCTACACGCGGAGAGATTGTGGCTGTACCTGACTTCTACCCTATGTCACCATACTAAATTCAGTCATTCAAACCCGGATTTGGACCTATATATGGGGCCACTTAGGCTTGGCTCAGGAGCCGGTTTTATTGCTACCTATCAGAATTATTACTATCGAATCTTATTAGAGTAGGCGTCGCAAGGCTCCAGAATTCTGGACTCGGGTACTGACGCTGGTGGAACTATGGTCCTTAGTTCCACAGGATGATCACCGTTCTTTCGCCAGCCCTATGAGTATTGCCTGAAACACGGTATAAATTGTGGCTGAGAGGGTTTAGGTGGCTGTGATCGTATACACTAGATCGATCCGGGGTTCCTGGGTGAGATTTGTCAGAAGGCTCTGTAGTAAGCTCAAGTGCTTCCTCGGTGAATGATATGACCAAAAAGAGGCACGGGAAATCATGAAAGAGAAGAAGTGACTCGAGATCTTTTCTCTTACTTTTCATTTTTCAATTCAATTATTTAATTATTAATCAAGATCAATAGCCTATTCTAAGAAATCTACATGTAGTTCAAAGTGAGAATAATCGGAATTTAGTATGCCTCAGGCATCACGGACATCACGGAGAAACCTGGGGTCCGAGATGACCTCAATAGGGAATTTCCCGAGATAACGGGAATGTCAACGGCGAACGTCCTTACTTCCCACTTCACATTGGATGGTCTTTTTTCCATCATCGCCATAATGCCTGCTACTACTCCCGCCGCTTGGAGACAGGCCTCTCGCGCCTGCGCCAGGCGCCTATCATCCCAAGGTGCTTGGGCTGTTCCTCGCCGTGTTCCTTTCGCCGGTGCCCGCGGCGTTCGTTCTTATGTCACCGAGACCAAGGCCGACCATGCTCAAGTCAACGTCGAAACCGCCATCAAGGAGGAACAAAAGTCGTTTATGAAGAAGGCTGGAGTTGCCCCTGGTGCTGTTAAATTGCCTGGCACTCCTGCCTCTGCCGACGCTGCCATGAGTCCCGCCGCTGCTGTTCTCAAGCAGGCGACTGTTATGGACCAGGGAACCCGCCCTATTTACCTCGATATGCAAGCTACCACCCCCCTTGATCCCCGCGTTCTCGATGCTATGCTGCCATACCTTACCGGAATCTACGGAAACCCCCACTCGCGAACACACGCCTACGGTTGGGAATCGGAGAAGGCTGTCGAAGAGGCCCGTGAACATATCGCCAAGCTGATCGGTGCCGACCCCAAGGAGATCATTTTTACCAGCGGTGCCACAGAGAGTAACAACATGAGTTTGAAAGGTGTGGCCCGTTTCTTTGGACGTTCCGGAAAGAAGAACCACATCATCACTACTCAGACTGAGCACAAGTGTGTCCTTGACAGCTGCCGTCACTTGCAGGATGAAGGCTTTGAGGTCACCTACCTGCCAGTCCAGAACAACGGTCTCATTCGTATGGAAGATCTGGAGGCTGCTATGCGTCCCGAGACCGCCATTGTCAGTGTCATGGCTGTCAACAACGAGATTGGTGTGATTCAGCCCTTGGAGGAGATCGGCCGTCTCTGTCGATCTAAGAAGGTCTTCTTCCACACCGATGGTGCTCAGGCTGTCGGCAAGATTCCTCTTGATGTGAACAAGCTCAACATTGATTTGATGTCCCTTTCCAGCCACAAGATTTACGGCCCCAAGGGTGTTGGAGCTTGCTACGTGCGTCGTCGCCCTCGTGTTCGTCTCGATCCCCTCATCACCGGTGGAGGTCAGGAGCGTGGTCTGCGCAGCGGTACCTTGGCTCCTCATCTGGCTGTTGGATTTGGTGAGGCCTGTCGCCTTGCTCTTCAAGATATGGAGGTAAGAAACAATCTAAGTGTTATTCGCAGACATCGTGAGCTGGAAGCTAACATTCTTGTTTTAGTATGACACAAAGCACGTGGAGCGCCTCTCAAAGCGTCTGAGCACCGCCTTGCTGTCCATGGAACACACCACCCTCAACGGTGACCATGAGCACCACTACCCTGGCTGCGTGAACATCTCATTTGCCTACGTGGAGGGTGAGTCCCTGCTGATGGCCCTGAAGGACATTGCCCTGTCTTCCGGTAGTGCCTGTACTTCAGCCTCTTTGGAGCCCAGCTACGTTCTGCGCGCCCTGGGTAGCAGTGATGAGAGTGCCCACAGCAGTATTCGATTCGGTATTGGTCGTTTTACCTCTGACTCTGAGATTGACTACGTTATCAAGGCTGTCCAGGAGCGTGTAGACTTCTTGCGTGAGCTCAGCCCGCTCTGGGAGCTTGTGCAGGAGGGTATTGACCTGAACACAATCGAGTGGAGCCAGCACTAAATCCATTCGTTTATCTCTATTTGGCATTAATACGTTCGCTGGAGAACTAAAATACATTTTAACCTTACGGGACGGCGTTAAATTTTTGATGTAACAACAATTGATGTACAGAATGCAAATACTCCCTTCTGATAGTATTTTTCTTGTATCTTTTTTTTTTACTGGTAGCATGAAGTAGTATCCAAACCTATCAAGTAATAGTAGAGACTCGGACCAGGCTTTGTGCATTTTGTCCTATTCATACTAGTGGAAGATACCCTCAATTCGCACTAGTAAGCTCGCAAGTATATACATTCGAGGTCAACTTCAAGTTGATCAGCAATCATTGAAACAGCTTTGAGAAACCCTCCTTAGGAGGCTGCAACCAATTCCGCTCATCATACTTCCACCCATCTGCGCCCTCAATAACATGGAAGGTATAAGCATAGCGACTACGCTCGCTAGTGTTCTTCTCACTCTTATGCAAGACGTTTCCATGAATAAGCACCAACGAACCCGCCTCAACATTCAAAATCTCCAGGTCCTCCTCAGTCGGGTCAGAAACCTTCTCCTCATCCATACCCTTGGGCAAGCTGGGTCCCTGATTCTCAATAAACTCTGTTCCAGGCACACCTCCACTCTTCCTCACAAACCGTCTCTTAATGTGACCGCCCTTCGCTCCCTTATGCGATCCCTTAATCATTCCCAACGTCCCGTTTCCAGGTCCCGCATCCTGAAGCGCATACCACCAACCAACAGCAGAAGGCGGGTCGGTATACAAGAACTCAGAATCCTGGTGGGAGGGCACAGCACCACCAATTGAGGGCTGTTTACAGATAAGCATACTCTGCAGAACGCGAGGATCGACGAAACCCAATGAGCGTGCAACAGCGGCATTGCGCTCATTCAGCGAGACGGCCTTGAAGGGCTCGGAAAGGCTGTGCAATGAGTGACCGATCTTGTTAACAGCGAGGTTCTTTGGCTTCAGTAGAGCCGCACGACCGGTCAAGGGATCGGGTTCTTGGGTGAACGCATTGGGCTCGAAGAAGAATCGGATCTTGTCGCCGGAGCTTAGGAAGTAGTCGTCGCCCACATGATCGGTTGTGTCGTCGTCGCCAGTTGTAAATTGGGTCAATGGGTGCGTGTCCAGATCGAAGTCGTTTAACAGAGTGTTTGTCTCTGTGAGGAGGGAGGTGACTTCCGTGGAGCTGAGGTACTCAGGGAGAACTAAGTAGCCGTTCTCGTGGAAGGAAGCTACTTGGGCTTCTGTGAGGCCGGACATCTTGGTCGCTTGTAATTTAGAGCTTTCAAGGTGTGAGTAATGCTGAGGGGTAAGAGACTCGGAATCGAGGGGTACAGACAGAATTATGTACTTCTGTATTTGCGGGATGGAGGTTTTTTCATTAAAAGGCGGGGGTGATAAGCGATATGGATATATTGCGGGATTGGTCATTAGCCCCGGAAATGAATATTGCTTAGCATTAATCGGAGAAGACCGCCGCTTAATTAGTTGACAAGATCGATCAAGATTGGTGCATTCAGTTTTCCTTACGTACTACACAGTCTGCTATATCACCTGCTAAGAAGACTATCTACGCCACAAATGAAATCCCTGCTTCTAGCCGCAAACTAGTTGCGTATACTCCGTATTATCACTGTACCTCGGCAGGAGTGTACCCACTAAGGCCGACGGAGATGCGGTCGGCAGTAGTAAAGAACCTTGGAAGTTATTCAATCTCAAATCAGAGTCAGGTATCATTCTTTCAATGTTAAAACCAATGGAAATTCTTATGTAAACCACATGATAGAAGTGCAAAAGGGAAGTGAAAAGATGAGACATCTAGAAGAAATAAAATCAAAACGCCGCCATGCCGGATATCCAATTGTAAACCAAAATGCATGTTAAATCATGTCCATAAAGCCCGGGTTATAAGAATAAAGGTGACCGACAACACCACCCCAGATGGAAAACACATATGTGTACATAGAATCATCAATTTGCAATCTTTCAGCTCGCATATCCCATACTTGCTGATGAACGGGGAGGAACATATCTCCGAACAGCACGACTTGGGCTGCAGCTAGCAGAGCCGATGTCGATGGTCTTGAGCTCCCGACTCAACGCATCCATACCAGGATTTCCGGTGCTAGGATTAGCAGCCACAACAGGATAACTTGGAGAGGCCTGTGAGATAGGGACCTTGGACGGAATCGGTGGACTTGGGTTATAGTCATACAACGGGGAGCGAGAGCCAGGAGACGGTGAAACAGAGCCACGAGAAGAGCGAGGACGATCGGTTGACGTTGGTGTATTGTAACCCCGAGGCTGTGTGTAACCACCATAGCTATCATAACCGCGCGGCGGGGTGCCAGGGTCCGGACTAGGTTGGCCATAGCTTGGTGGTAACCTCTTTCGGTCTGAGCTGTACGAGCTAGTCGTTTCTGTTCTGAAGCCTACACGCGGTGGACCAGAACTGCGAGAAGATGCATCATTGCCTCGGGAAGTGGGCCGAGGGTTATGCTTGAAGCGAATAATCACCTCTGGTTTGCTGCGGTTCTTTCGTTCGGGTTCAGGTGCCCATGTGTCTGTGGGAAGATGATCTGAAGGATCGATCTCACGACCATCATCACCAATAATAGGCGCCAAGTCTCGGCTGGGCTCAATCTCTGCACGGATTGCAGCATCCCTGGCCTGGCCTGGTGAGTCGTATGCAGGTGTAGGATCTCTGTTTGTGGCTGAGCGCGAAGCATGAGGATTGAACGAGTTGTAGGAGTCAGGCGAAAATGGGATTGAAGATCCGCGCTCACGACCACTCGATATTGAAGGTCGAGGACTAACCGATTTCCGTACTATCATGCGATTGTCGGGACTGGCTGATGGTCCGCGACTGGAAGTTGGCCTTTCATCGATAGGGCGTGGTGATGTACGCATAGAATATACGGAAGGTTCGTAAGTCGCTGGTGGTGGTTGCGCCGACTTGGATACAGGCACGAGAGCTCCAGGTCCCGGCGCCTGGGAAAGCATCATCTCATCATCAAAATGAGCACTCCGTCTCCGGCCATTTCGGTCATTGAAGTTGGGCAACTCCTCAGGTTCATACCCGGGAACGAGACTAGTGGGCATGGAGGAGACATTGCTGTGACCGGGAGAATAGGGCTGATACGGTGATGGTAGCTCTTTGACTGGCGGTGGAGGAGGTTGGGTGGGCTGTACCATCCGAGGGTCTACTCTAGACTCCCTCCTAGGCTCCATCCGAGAGTCCATCCTGGGTTCTCCCCTGGGCTCCATCCGGGGTTGTGCCATTTGAGATCGATGAGCAGGGGGCGGAGGAGGAGGGCCATCTTCGTCTTCATCTTCCACGCGCGGCTGCATTGTGGCGTATTCTGGATGATAGACGTCACGGGGATCATGATGCATTGTTTGTAAAGCTCTCATGTCATGGGGTTGGTAACGAGGTTCGTCCGCTGGCCCCGAGGAGGAGCTTGGACGTGAGAAAGCCAGGGGTGCTGGTTCATCCATATACGCCGATTGACGTGGAGTAAATGTTGACACCGGCCCGAAAGACATCGGAGGTGCTGTATATTGGGGTGAAAGTGGACTGTAGATTTCTTCGTCTTGTTGGCTTTGCTTGTACGGCGCCCTCCCACGCCTCTCCATCTCATAAGAAGGCTCATGAGGCGCTGGCACTGGCGCTGGCGCAGGAGCTGGCCGGTACTCGCGTGGATGAGGTTGATCATAATCATAATCAGAATGACTGCGTGGCTGCAATGGACGCGGATCATATGCGGGTTCTGGGTTCTCATAATTGGCGTAGGCTACTGTTTCATGGGTGTTTCGCCTCATAGAACCAGCTGGAGGGAGGGCAGGAGCTGGGGGTTCATATTCGCGTTGATAACTTTCATGAGTTTCATATGCTCGAGGTTGAGATTGAGGCTGAGGCTGGACGTTATAGTGTGGATCATAGGTAGGCTCCGAATGGTGTCTTGGCAGATATGGCTGGACGGGTTCTGGCGCCACAGGCATTGTCATCACAGGCATGTTTTGAACCTGATCGCGGATGGATCGTGAAGGTGTTGGGTGATGTAATGGAGCAGAAACTTGTGGTTGCTCTGGGAGGATGTGCTGAGGAGGTGCTGTTGGTAGACTGGCTGGCAAGGGCCGTCGCTTGACGGCATTCAATTGCCTGGGACCTGACAGACCAGAGCTCGATGTGCTGGCAGTTGGTGTTATTGGTTTACCATGGACTCTGTCTGCCGCTTCTCTTCGTTTCCCAATAACTGCCTCATCTTGTTGTCGAGTATCGTAATACGTCATCTCAATTCGAACCTCGCCGGAATATTTGCCCTTTGACTGCAATGGGTGCCAGTGGTCGTCCTGACTACCTCCTGGGATGATCAGGTTGGTCAAATCAATCCAAGTCTCTCCAATCAGGTCAGTCTTTTTGTCGTCATTGAAGACTGACACCTTGAGTTTGTAGTAATCGGGAGATTCGTGCACTGTGAATCGAAGTTCGTGATCCCTGTTGTGATCTGTTAGTCTTCTGTGGTTTGTTGTAGCGGGTTACTCTCACTTTGTCCACGTACCATCTGGGTGTTTGTCCACCACGTAAATCTGTTGGTGTTTTCTTTGCTTCCTTACCCAGTCTTGCTGCGCAATATGGATTTTGTTTGCTCATTTTGCTCCGATTAGGCAAATTCTTCGCTCTATCAACGATGGCCACCAGAGTACCAATCTGGGGACCATCAACTGACATGTCTGCAAAGATGCCTGCTGCATGGCTGCCCTTGAATGTTTTAGCCATGATGAACAAGCGTTATAGGGTCTACTTGGAGCATGAGAGACCGAGGAGAAAAAAGAAAAAAGGAAAGGGGGGGGAAATTCGAGCATGATAAAAAGCCCACTTGGGAATGTTCGATGTGGTATTACTGGGGGCTGGGGGCGGGTCTTGAAGCATCGTGATTGGTTAGTTCCCCTGAAATGATCGTGTTGTATCAGGTCGATCCTGGCAATGTGACAATACCATACCATATTTAAATTACTCCGATAGACACGGGGTTATCGAGATCGTCGCCCTAGGGAAGTATACGCAATCAATCTCTATTACATGATGCTTCACTAATCTATCCAGCATCTATAAATTAAGAGGCAAAATCCTCTATATATTGCATCTCCATTCTCATTTATCAACTCATCCAACCCGATCGCAAAGTCCAGACTCCAAGTGGAGCTGCATCGTCAGCTCCGATCAGTTCTCCCAGCCACCATGATCCACCGATCAATGCATTCCTGCTGTGCCCAGGGGGAAAGCCAGACAAGCGGTGCAACGATTGGTGACGGAGCTCTCGCATGATCGTCATCCTTTTGTATCTGAATCCTGTTTCAAAGGTGTCCTCACAGCTGTCAAGGCGCGGCCCTCCCCACTTCGACGGTTAAGCAGCTGCACCCCACCTCGATATGAGATTGCTATGGCGACGGGCAAAACCTATTGATTGGGCTTGACCGCATCTGATGTTCGTCTCTAGCATATGCATAGTACTTTTTTTTTTTCTTCTACCCAGCAAATTTGTTTCAGGTTTTACGGAGTACATAACCTCGCTACCCCGTACATCCAGATGTCGGTAAGACATATCTGAATTGTACGACTTGACTCTCGATAGTCTATCTATCCGTATATCCCCTGCTTGGGTTGTTCAGTATATGGCTGCCTGCTTCACTGCCCCGTTCCAAGGTTGATTTGATTTGTATCTTTGTTCGGCGCTCCGGGGGCCAATTTCTATTATTAGTTGAATTTGAAGTAGAAAATATTCCTTCTAAGCATATTGAAAAAAAATTATACTGGAGCCTGCGATTAATGCATTAGTGCCCGGTAAAAACATGGAATGGCTCCTCTCCAGAGGGCTGTACAGAATCGACTCTGACCCCATCTGCTAAATACTCCGAATTTGCAAAAAGGAATGAGTTGCGGAACTAGCTTCCACCACGGGAATAGTAGTAAAAAAACTGAGACTGTAACTAAATAAATCAAGAATGATGCCCAGGTGTCTGATATCACTTTCAGCCGAGGTATGGAATGTGCCAACCATGGGAATCAGAATCAATCGGACGTTAGAGGTGGGGGTTTGTGCCTTGTGGCCTTTTGCCTTGTTGCCTTATGGCCTTAGTGCCTGAATACTCAATGTCTGATTTATCAGGTGTCTATCATTACCCGTCACCGCCTTCCCCGATCAGGAAATTTTGATAAAAAAGAAAAAAAGTTCTCGATCAACGACGTTGCGGCGAGCTTTGGGTTTGAATACTTGCGCTTTTCTCTCGTTCCATATCGAACTCCTTCGCTCAGCGATTGATTTATATATTCAACAATGGCGGCTCCCGTCCTGCCTCTCCAGCAGGTGAAGCTCGCCTCGCTTCCATCAACCCGCCTAACACCAGAGCAACAATACTGGCGCACCTTCAAGAACCCTCTCCTCATTCCTTCTCCAGCCAATGGTCCTGTCAACCTAATTACTCAACCTTCAGTCCCTTCTTCTTCGGCAGTATTCCCGTCCTTGTCGCAACCACCGGATGTCTTCACTGTAACCACGGGTGCGCGAGTGCAGATCTACTCGATTCGTACCCGCAAGTTGCTGCGAACAATCACACGATTCGATGATACAGTGCGCGGAACTGATGTTCGTCCAGATGGCCGTGTGTTAGTGACTGGTGATGATACGGGTACAGTTCAGGTCTTTGATGTAGCATCCCGTGCTATCCTGAAGACATGGAAAGATCACAAGCAGCCGGTCTGGGTGAGCAAGTTCTCCCCAAGCGATCCTACCTCTCTTCTCACAACCAGCGATGACCGAACCGTTCGTCTGTGGGATCTGCCAGCCGAGTCAAGTCAGCGAACCTTTGTCGGACACTCCGACTATGTGCGCAGTGGTGCATTTATGCCTGGCGCAATGGCCTCATCTGGATTGCTGGTGTCCGGTTCCTATGATCGCACAGTGCGCATCTGGGATCCTCGAGTTGACAGCCGTGCTGCCATGACTTTCAAGATGGCTGCACCCGTCGAGACTGTTCTCCCTATGCCTGCGGGCACCACCGTATTGGCCGCCGCTGATAACAAGATCGCGGTCCTGGATATTGTGGCTGGTAAACCATTACATATGATTCAAAACCACCAAAAGACCGTCACCTCCCTTGCCTTGGCCTCTAATGGCGAGCGCTTGCTCAGTGGTGCTCTGGATGGACATCTGAAGGTCTTCGAGACCGCAGGATGGAACGCAGTGTCTGGTTCTAAATACCCATCCCCCATTCTGTCCCTGAACGTCATTACCTCTGGTCTGGCATACGAGGACAAGCACATTGCTGTCGGTATGCAATCCGGTCTTCTCTCCGTCAAGACTCGGTTGTCTGGTCAACAGAAGGTCAAGGAGCGTGAGCGTCGTAAGGAGATGCAGGCCCTGCTCGAGGGTAAGCTGGAGGAACATGACCGGGAGGTTGCAAAGAAGAAGAAGAAGGAGCGTGGATCCGGCTGGGACAAGCGTCTCCGTGGTCGTGACTTCATCGGCGAGGGTGTTGATATTGTGATTGAGGGCCAGGACCGCAAGAAGCGGAAGCGAGAACAATCCTGGGAGCAGGATCTGCGCAAGGGCCGTTATGCTGTTGCTTTGGATCAAGTCCTGACAGGAACTGACAAGACTGCTCAACTTACCCTTTTCACTGCCCTCCGTCACCGTTCTGCGTTGCGTACTGCTCTCAAGGACCGTGATGAGGTCACTCTCCAACCCGTCCTGTCATGGGTATACAAGCACATTCGTGAGCCTCGTCTGGTTGAGCTCTGTGTCGAGGTTGCGATGAATCTGCTGGATATTTACTCGCCCAACCTGGGCCAGTCAGCTCAGGTCGACAAATTGGTGGATCGACTGCATTACCGTGTACGTGACGAGGTGGAAATGGCCCAGAATGCGTTCCAGCTTAAGGGTGTATTGGATATGTTGAAGGCATAGTTGAATTGTCTTACAAACGGGGTTTTTGGAGTTAAGGCAGGTGTCTTGGATTTTTCCTTTTTGTCGGTGCACTTGGGCGGGCATCAATTGTACAAATCTGCATAGAAAAAGTCTTTTCTTTCTTATTTTTCATTGCGCATGTATAATTTGCTGGGGAGAGCACCAAAAACGTACCTGCGTCGTGAGATCACGCACCTTCACAAAGGTATTAGGCAGCGAGCAGCGCCGAGCATCAAACATCACGTAGGACCATAACAATTGCCTACCAGTTAATCTTCTCTTAATTCCTCTTCTCTCTGCATCCATACGCCCACACCCCCAGCTCCTATCGGTACGCGATCATCATCATCATCATTTATCAATATCAACTCGAGATCCTTCCTGTCCCACAGATCTACTTCAATCGCCGAGATGGATGCTCAAATCCCCTCGTCTGAGAAGGAACCCTTGCCAAAGCAGCCTGAGACAGCCAATGCCATCGATAAAAAGCCTGAAGAAGACCAGAAGACCAACCAGCAAGACATTGCGGGCTCTGAACTATCTGTAAGTCCTAAGAACCTCTGGGTCCTTTTGCTATACATAAACTAATACTTTTCAAAAGGCCCCTCCCAAGAGCAGCCGAGTCGTTGGTCGCACTCCTCGCCATGAGTGTCGTACCCCTCCCAACAAAGTGCGCTTTTCCTCTCGCACCCCACCTGGGGCACCTCGTGCTCAGAGAATTACATTGCGAGACGACTCATGGTATGGCCGCAACTGGTCATCCCAGAATTTGAGCTCGGGCCGACGTCCCATGGCTGGGATCAAGCTCACAATGGTCCAAGACCAAGAGGCCCAGCAAAAGCTACTCGAATTCGACCCCTTCGAGGAGCTTCGAGCAAAGTCCTTGAAGCGGATGCGGGAGGAGAGCGAGAGCCCGACTCCTCAAGGCACCAAGAATGATCAGGTGCTGTAGGCCTGCGAACCGGGTCGTGGACCGGTTCAAGTCGAAGGGAAGTTTGAGAGAGGCCCAGGGCGGGCGGGGAGTTGAGCTTGGACTATCACTGGCGGGGACAATGGTCGGAATTCTCTTCTCCCTGTAAAATAAGCCAGTGGCACTTGAACCTGCAACGCCTGCGTGAAATGGATCTTTGAAGTTTTTTTCACTTTCATCCCTAGAAGTAATCTCAGGCTCTCATCACCATCCTACGTAGTTGCTCTCACTTTTAGAGCGAGTATGGACATAGGGACCTTCCAAGGGTTGACTGCACTTGTACTTCGAGTTTAGTATAGACCTAAGTCATTCCTTAGTAGGTTCAAGTTGTAGATACTACTGACTACAAAGCTTCTCTGAGAGTGGGAAATTTAGGTATTTCAATTTGTTATATGCTCTCCAGGGCTATAATCTAAGTGGCCAAGATACTAGTAGGAAGGACATCATATAGTATCGATTATTGTGAGAATTTAGCACTTGGGAGTTCGATTCTGTAGTACCACTGGCATTCAAGGACATATGACGGTATCGCCGAGTAAGTAGGTAGTCTAACAGTGCGAATTCGGTTTTTTGAGGTAAACCTTGGAAACAAATGATTAAAGGCCTTGAGGTTGAGATAACCTTAACCCATTCTCAAAATTTAAACATTTGAATATTTAAGAAGCCCTTGTTCTAGGGTGGTATAATCGAGTCTCATAATTCTAGTTTCAGGGGTCAACATTTTATGATTCATCGCTGTTCGCGATCACTTGATGCTTTTTGCCTTGATCCGCCAGCGAACTTGAAGATTGTTCAAGTTGACCAGGACAGAAGCTGGAGATGGTACACATCTCCTGTCCACGGGTGCGTCAATCAAAACTTGAAGCTTATGCTCACCTGGGCACCTGTCTCCTTCCACTTCTATACATACACTTGGACTGTTTACTCATCGAAATCATGTAAATTGAAAGCAACAGAATTTCTCGCTTACCAAAAGCCCCAAGCTTGATTTCTGGAACTATTAAGACGGAGGTGTCGTTGTTATCAAATATTTGTTATACAACACTAGCGACCTGGATGTACTGCTAGTACTACATATGCGCCATGATATGTGTAGGTAGTAGTATCTAGGGTTGAAGTGCTCACGTGCGTCTATATACAGGGCTTAAATGTTGTAACGGTTGAAGGAGGTACCCGGCCCTATCTAGTACACATGTGCAGGTATATCAATTGGGTACTACTATTAGTATAACAAGGAACTCTGTTAAGTCAGGGGCGTATTTCTGTGTCTATAAATAGTACTATGAAGTATAGAGTACTCAAGTACCTAACATTTGAATCCTAGTAATCTTAAATCCTCATGAGACTACTCAGAAAATCAATATCCCTTCCTAGGTAAGAACCCTGAGTTGATGAAATGCGGCCGGATACATTTCGTACTATTTAGATGGGCCATACATAGTAGAGAACCTTAGAAAGATATTGCGGGCCCTTTTCAAAGAATAACTATTCAAATTAATTACGGATTAATCTTATGGACATCATATATTGAACACCCCGCATCTGCTATAAATAGGGGATTTTATATCCAATGGTGACCAACCGGGATGCTATACAGTACCAAAACACAGCAGGGGCCCAACGACCCCAGTCACAGTCCAAGGCCCAAGCGGCATCAGATTCTCCTCATCTCCACCTGGGCAGACCTTTGTTCTTCCCCCAGAATTCACATCTTTTCACATCTATCAAAACCCCTACATTTTTCATTCTTCTAACCTTGTACTCTCTGTCTCTCGTGCACATCCTCGGTTAATCCCTTGGCAAAACATATAGTTTTGCCCCTCCATTCCCCGCCCCGCTCCTCTTGCTAGAGGGTAATTCTCCCAGTTGTCTCAGCTCCACCTTCGGCTCTATTGTGGAGAGGGTCGAGACCGACTGATTGGCGATGCTCTGAGGGCAGAAAAAAAATAAGAGAACCACGGCACAGTAGTCAGCAGCCCGGTCCGCTGGGCCCGACCCAGAAAATCGATCACGTCACGTTGTCCCTTCATCATGGCCGCCGCTTTCGACGAGGAAGATCTTTCGATCCCTCTCCCACCTTCCGACCGTGATAATTCCCGTGATCTGCGTGATCCCCGTGATCGTGCCAACAGGACGGCGAGCTCCAACCCCTCCGCCATGGCAATGCCACCGCCATCTCGTCCGCCCGTCCAAGCCGAGGCCGCCACCCAATCCCCAGCAACCATGCGAGACATGCAGCGTCTCGATCAGTACCAGACGGTCAAGATCCTAGGTGAGGGGTCTTTCGGTAAGGTGAAGCTTGCTATCCATCAGCCGAGTGGGCGACAGGTCGCTCTGAAGATTATCTCTCGGAGGAAGCTCTTGTCTCGGGATATGGTTGGTCGTGTGGAACGAGAGATTCAGTACCTTCAGCTGCTTCGGCATCCTCATATTATCAAGCTGTATGTTTTGGGACCCATTGTGAACCCAATTGGCTGTGTTATGTTCCGAGAACTGATTGGATATTTTACCCCGCTAGCTACACCGTCATTGCCACCAAGACCGACATTGTGATGGTTCTCGAGTACGCAGAGCGAGAATTATTCGATTATCTAGTGCGAAAGGGAAAATGTCACGATGATGAGGCCCGCAAGTTCTTCCAGCAAATTATCTGTGCCGTCGAATATTGTCACCGACACAAGATCGTACACCGCGATTTGAAACCCGAGAACTTGCTTATCGACAGCCAGAAAAATGTCAAGATTGCCGATTTCGGATTAAGTAATATTATGACGGATGGCAATTTCTTGAAGACTAGTTGCGGAAGTCCTAACTATGCTGCCCCAGAGGTCATTTCTGGAAAGCTGTATGCGGGGCCGGAGGTGGATGTTTGGAGTTGTGGAGTAATTCTCTACGTGCTGTTGGTTGGCAGACTGCCATTCGATGACGACTATATCCCTGCCCTCTTTAAGAAGATCGCAGCGGGCAACTTCCATGTTCCCAGTTACATCTCTCCTGGAGCAGCCCGTTTGATCCGTGCTATGCTCCAGGTTCATCCGGTTCACAGAATCACTATTCCCGAAATTCGAGAGGATCCCTGGTTCACCAAGAACCTTCCTAAGTACCTCGAGCCTCCACCGGAGGAATTCATCCCAACGGATAATAATCCAAACAAGCCCGTTGATCCCAGCAAGCTTGCCCAGGGAAAGGTCCCTGTACAGCACAAGATTCACCAAATTGCGGTATCAAAGCTTGAGCGAAGCATGGGATACGGTCGTGAGGATATTGAAGATGCTTTGCGACACCCAGAGCCTAGTGCGATTAAGGATGCGTTCTCTATTGTGGTTGAAAACGAAATGATGCAAACTAACTGTAAGTTTCAAGCCAATGTAGCGCTATTTAGCGTTCTTTTTGTTTTTGCATTGCTAATCTAGTCGTGGATAGCACCCACCGAAGATAATTTAATGGCTTCAAACGTGCAACCGCAGCCGAAGGGGCCTGCTCAGCCGAAAGCGGATCGAGCTCCCCCTGTATCGAAAACTCATGTTGCGCAAGCTCCAATTGCTGCCCGGAAAGCAAGCATTTCGCGCCGCATCCGCCCAGAAGAATCACAGCAAGCTGAATCCGAAGGCTATGAAGAGCGTCCTAGCCACGTTCGAATTCTTCCTACTAGTCTGCCATATGTGCATGACCAGCTTATGGAGCAACGAGATCGAGAGCAACGGGCTCGTGACGATGAGGTGCGTAGGCGAGAAGCTGCGCGACTCGAAGCAGAAGGACGAGGCGGCCCCGGAGAATTGTCTCTCGAAGAGCAAGCGGCTACAGCCCGTGCATTGAAGCCCCACGCACGCAGCATAATTGACCTGGAGAAATTACGACTGGAGCCCCCAATGGGATACCCTATTGCACAGCAGCCTCCCAAGAGATCACGCAAGTGGCAGTTTGGTATTCGGTCACGCAACCAGCCTTATGAAGCCATGCTGTATCTGTACCGGGCAATTGCTGCTCAAGGTGGTGTCTGGGACATCCAGCCGGTCGAGTCAGGCACTCAAATCGGACCTAATGCAGTCCCTTCCCCAGATAAACCCAAGCCACTCCAGAACAAATACCCTGACCTCCCATCAGACTACTACATTCCAAAAGACCCTTGGTTTATTCGTGCTCGTCTGTTGAAGGAGGGTATTAAGGCCCCGGGGGTTACCACTAGTGTCTATAATAGCCGCAGCGATCTTGAGGAGCTGCGTCGTCGGTTCCACATCTCCGGAATCTCCACACCATTTGAGGACAAAGAGAACAAGTCCTCGACACCAGACAACAGTGCCCCCTCTGCCCCATCATCTGCTACCCAGCAGAATGGACTTCCAAGTATCTCACACGGTGTTTGGGTGTTTGTCGACATACAGCTGTATCAGTTGGAAGAGAACAACTACATGGTTGATTTCAAGTGCGATGGCTATCAGAATGTCATCCGTGCACAGGGTGATACTGAATGGACTCCTATCAGCAAGCGCCTGAAGAACAAAGAGAAGGAGGTGACCAGCCCCTACCCATTCTTGGATGTCGCGTCAGACCTTGTGGCTCAATTGGCTGTTGCCAGTTAAAATATTGAATCACTTCTGGCGGTTGCTCCATCAACCCCAAGGTTTTCCAAATGACAATTATGAAATTATTCTTCATATCCATCTTCCTAATTCTCATGATCTTTACATTTTATCCTTTATCCTCGGATGTCTTCTCCCCGCGGGCGGTAGTGGCATGTGGTTGCACAGTTGAACAATTTGCGCTTTGAGAGCAAGCGTTTCTCTATGATGCTTTTGCACAACATATGGAGTTTTGATTTCTTTGTTTATCTTCCTGCATCAATAAAAATGAATTAAGTATTTTATTGCCTTTAATTTAAGTTGAAAGTAATTCTATGTCCACGTTTCTTTAAGTGACGCAAATCTAGAGATGATCGCATACTTAGGGCTCGAATAAGCCCGCAATAGTATAAACTGCGGATATCCAGTCAAGTCAAGAATAGTGTCTACGAATATCGATTTACATATAGTATATTTAGTAATCTACGTTCAAGTTCAAGTTAGAATTGGGAAGACTTTGAGGGTTTTGAATGCACCGAGGTGACTTTTTTTTGTGATTTGATTTTCTGTGTTTTTTTGGGCGCACCGAAGTGCTTTTTTGGGGGTTTTTTGATTTTTTTGATTTTGTTTTTCTGTCACTTCTCCTCCTGAGACAGTGACCTCCCCCTCCCCAAACACCTAATCATACACAACAATAATCGTACAACTTGACCCTTCTTGGCCCTTACAAACCCCCGCCACACGCCGCACCCCACGACCAAACAGGACTAGGCATCACTTCTAGTCCTTGCCTGGCTTCTTCACGCCTCCCTGGGGATTAACCCGGGAGACCATCCGAAGCCAGTTTCGGTCGTTTCGCCGACGCTGGCTCTCCGAACCGCCGCGATTAGACCCCGCGCGGCCAATTTCCCCCGGGGGCGCATCACCACCCCCCAACTCCTCCCCACTCCCCACTTCCCCGGGAGCAGGGTCTCCACCGAGAGCCTCCTCGCTCTCCTCCTCCTCGTCATCCCCCCCGCGCTCCCGCTGCTGGAGCCCAGCCGACAGCACCCACGGCCGAAAAGACGGCAGAATTTCAATGTCCGGGAAACGGACACGCGTCTCCACCAAGAGCTGGGGACGAGCCGGGGTGCCGGCGGTTGAGGCTGCCAGCTCGGCAGCTTCTGCAGACGCCACCTGCAGCATGTGATCAATGATTTGATCGACGATATGGCGAATATCGTCGAAGGACATGTTTCGTCCAACTGACTGACGCAGCCAGTCAGGCACGGGGGCCACTTGGGCGACCGGGTGACGTCGCGCAGCCCGGGAAACGACACGAGGGGCAGGGTCCCCCTCATCCTCACCCTCACTCTCCACCACCGGTTCCTCATCTTCCTCACCGCCAGGTGAGAGCTGGCCGTCGTCACTGGCCTCTTCCTCACGCTCCACCCGCTTCACCTCGCGGCGCCTCAGTGTGAGCTCGAAGTCTTGAACTCCGCCCCACTCCTCCATTCTGGCAAGTGATTCCAGAAGGAGCTCACACTGAGTCCACGGCCACTGCGAGGCGCGGTAGCGGGCGCGCTGGTAGTGTTTGCGGCAGTAATGGACCCAAATGAAGTCCGGAAACAGCTTGGTCGAGGCCTTATTGCGGCCGAAGAAGTGCGAGACTACCTTTCGGTAGTGTAGGCCGTCAGGCGATGCCGTCATTGTGCACGGGCGAGAGAATTCGCAGAGGCTGTTATCGTGGTCCGGGTCCTTCCAATCAGGTCCCTTTGGACGGGGGTTCTTGCTCTTCGCCTTGCTCTTGGTCTTGGCCTTGCTATTGGTCTTGGCTTTGCTATTGGTCTTGGCAGTGGCCTTCTTCTTTTTCTGTCCAGACTTGGGCGCAGGAGTCTCTGCCGGGGATTCAGGATAATATTCGGTATCCGATGCCTCATTCTCACTGGCACGCGGGATCAAGCCCAGGCGTCCGTCAAGCTCGCGAGTTGTATCTCTGATGCCGGATTCCTGATTTTGGGGGATTTGCACGCCGGTTCGATAAAAGTCACCCATAGTCGGTGTGCTGGCAGGCATTTGATGAAGACCTCCCATTGTCGGTGCGCTGGCGGGCATTTGATACATACCTCCCATGTTCTGTGTGAAGGCAGGCATTTGATGCGGAGCTCCCTGTTGGGTCTGTCGGGGAATCATCTGTCGTGCCATTGGAGCCATACCATAATTTTCTGGCAGCAGGTCATGACGAGCCATTCCATGGCCTCGTGGCTGCATACTCGGGGGTTGCATGCCAATTTGTTGACCCATTTCCGGGATACCGTGACCGTGGGGCGACATGTAAGGTGGGGGTGGAAGACCCATTGCTGGTCCAGATTGTGGCATATCGGGACGTCGGGGCAGCAGGTTCGAAGGCATATTCATTGGTGCCATATTAGCCGGGCCTTGAGCTGGCTGAGATTGACGACGAACATCAAATGGGCTCATTTCGTCTGGTTGAGGTCGATGACGAACATCAAACGGACTCATTTCGCCTGACTGCGGCATTGGTGCATTCCATGCCTGGAACTCCATAGAGTGACCATATGCAGGTCGCATCGGCATATCGGACAATGTGAAAGGATTCATGGGGGCAATGTTCATGGAGGGCAGTCGCATTTGCTGCATTTGGTTTGAGGCAGCTGGCACTCTTGGGATAAAGGCAGAGGAAGTTTGTACACCCTGAGGCGAGACAGCTGGCACATTTCGGGTCGACGAAGAGGAGGTTTGAATACCCTGACGCGAGACAGTCGACACATTTTGGGTTGAGGTAGAGGAGTTTTGAATACCCTGGCGCGAGACAGTCGACACATTTTGGGTTGAGGTAGAGGAGTTTTGCTCCTGCAGGAGTGAAGAGGCAATCGCTTCCTGGAATGAAGGGACTAGCACATCCGGCATACCCTCATTCATGGCATCTTGCAAAGCTTTGTTGAATCGGCTACGAGTTGCCGTGGTGAATTGGTCGGCCCAGCCAGCAGGGGGGTAGTACTGGTCTCGTGTATCAAAACCAAAGCGTTGAGGACAATTTCCATTGTGGCCACTAGCTTGAGCGCTGCGACCACGGCCCTGAGGGCTTGAGGTGTTAGTGGAGGGGCGGATAAGACGCGGGCCGGTCATGGTGTTCAGTGGGCTCAACCCGATTTGTTGGCCTTGCTGGCTGCAGGGGCTGGTGGTGCCCTGGGGTGCGGGATTGTGCACCGCATCAATTGCGGGGTTAGACTCCATCGCGGGGTCAGGGTTCATCGCGGGGTTGGTTGTCTTAGGAGACATCTTCTTGCCAGGAGGAGAAGACATGACAAATGGTGAACCTTGGTGAACCTTTAAAGGTTAAGCAAGGCAATGAGATGCAGGATAAGTTGTCACAAACGAAAGGCTTTGATTAGATCTCTTCCTTGGAGGATGAGACCAGGATGTGGAAGTGCGTTTAAGACAACAGAGGTACGATTGGATGTTCGCCTTTCCTTGATGGATAAGACGAGGATCAGGAAGGGACAGAGAAACCGAGAAAGGGAATGAGAAACAGGATGAGTTATCACAAACAGAAGGCTTTGATGAAATCTTTCCTTGAAGGATAAGACCAGGATGTGAAGTCGCGTTTGGGATAACAGAGAATATGGGGTGGGTGTAAAAGAAGAGAGGGTCGTGGGAAGACGAAGTCGCGTTTTATGTTTACTTTGCAGGCAAATTCCGGCTATCGAAGGCAGAATTCGTTTGCTTCGCTTATTTTTCGATTAAATGGAGGCCACACTCGCCTATTACGCGTGATTCAGTTGTTTGCGAAGCTCATCCGCACTAAAAGGGAAGCGTCACTGAAGGAGGCGCATGATTCATGACAGCCCTATCGATCATTTAGGGTTAATCCAGCCACAGGCGAAGGCAGTCATTCTGCAGCAGATACTACCTACCAGATGAGCCTAGAACCTGGAAAAGATGCTAACTAGACCAGCTACAGCTACTACTAGATGGAAGTGCAAAAACGCCATTTTCTGATACACTTCTATGGGATTATCCCCAGGAGGAGAATGGGAACTTTGGCTGGGTCAATTGATGTAGAGCTCCTTAGGTAGGAGATCAAATTTAAGGTATGCCTCGTGAACAGTTTTGCCATGAACTAATCAAGTGCTGTGAAGGAAAATAACAATATTAATGGCAAAAGCTCCTGCAATAGTGCAGGGAATCAACAAACGGAAACTCATCCAAACTGTAGAAAATACAGTAGGGCAAGGAAAGACATGGATCGCCATTGAAATTTGATAACTAAGCTGCCCTGCAGGTTTTGTCAGGAAGGTCCAGTTTTTATATCAAAGATTGACAGAGTACCTACCAGTCGATCGAAAGAGGTAAGTTACCATTCAGACTCATACTGATGAATCAAGGGCGTTTCCTCCTTGGGCGTTTCCTCCTTGGGCTGTTCTTCAACCGACTCCCAGATTATCTCGGACAACTTGGCCAGTGCAGCAGAATCGATGTCAGATCTCTTCGCTGCTGCCTCTCGAATATCACTCTGGGCCTGTTGAAGGAGATATCGGAGAGCATTACGCATGGATTCCGAGTCAAAAGATGTCATATTGAGACTCTCCATCACACGCTGAACAGAGAGTGGGATCGCATCCACATCTGGACTAGCTGAGCCTGCAGCTTTGTCGGTCGCAAGGGTAGGATTCAGGCTAATACCCTCAAGTTGAGTGACCAGACAGCAGAGTAGATGGAATCTATCGATTTCGGCATTCTGGGCATTCTGTCGGATACGAGACAGGTGAGTCAGGGCCTCTTGAGTCTTCTTGATCAAATGCGCGAAGCTTAATTTGCCGTTGTCATCTGGGAAGAATTCGACCTTGGAAGGCAAGTACAGTTAGAATTTATCATCGAGGGAGATAACAATAGACCAAAGGCTATTTCTTTCTTGCACCTGAAGTTGAAAGCCAGGATTCGATGCAAGGTCGAATAGCCCAGTGGATCCAGAAATATCCGGATTGCAATGTCTGACTTACATTCGCATAGTCAGTGGCAGTGAAGTCCATAGGCTCCTGAGAAGTGTGGCGGGAATCCATGATGAGGGTTGTCGAATCCAACGCGCGTGAAAAGGTGAGTTGAAAAAAAAGGGTCGTGGTGGAGGATGAGAAGATGATGGGGAGGGATGTTTGAAAATGGTTGGAGGAACTTCAAGTTTCGTTCCACGTGGAAACAAAAGTTCAAAGGTCCAGGCTACGGTTGATCTTTTTGGTTGCTATGGTGTAGTACGGTGACTAGTACGGTCTGAGCAATATCTCAGTGGCTGCTGAGCACAAACGTTGGGTTCTAACATGCAGGCATTCAAATTATTATAAGCAACTTTGATATTAAACTTTTTATTCTACTCCTTATTCAAATTTACTTATGTTACACCTTATTTCTGCTTTTGTGGCCTATTCCAACGCTATTTCGACTTTCTCGATGTTCTATGTCGTCAATTCATACTTCGATGCACGGACCACTGGATCTCCACCCCTGCGGATACCTGCAAACTCAATATTCACATCAGATGGCCTCAGTACTACCATATACAGTGCTGTTAGCGACGATGGGGATGAAGGAAGTCGATCATCTCATTATTGTGTGTTGCCATGCGATTTATGCTGGAGGTTCAACCCGTGGATTATCAGAAAATGAGTGGTCAGCACGAAAATATATCCAAATTTGATCTGCAACCGTGGGGAAACTCATGGATTTCTTCTAGGTTTATCGAGCCTTTTCAGAAAGGGGAGATACCCACGTTCATTGATCACGCCAGAGCTGGACTGAAGAAGCTTTCCGAGGACCCTTGTGCATTGCTTGTATTTTCCGGGTAGGCGCATTCCCTGCTGTTCAGGCCGTCAGGTTCTAATGATTTGAAGTGGCCCGACCAAAAGACCAAGGACAGATCTTTGCGAGGGAAGATCTTACATGGTAAGATCCCATCGAAGTGCACAGACCAACTTTGGAACTGACAAGCTTCATCCAGAACCTCGTTCAGGAGAACAACTATTTCCAGGATGCAGAAAGCACGTCTAAGATCGACCCATCCCGAATCGTTACAGAGGACTATGCGACAGACTCCTACCAGAATGTTCTTTTCTCTATTCTTCGATTTAAGTTACACACGGGTATCTATCCGCATCGCGTTACGGTGGTGACCCATGAATTCAAGAGAGCAAGATTCATGGAATGTCACTTTCCCGCCGTGGGATTGCTTCCTCCGGTTGGCGATAGGCAGTCGGATATGGAATATGGGATTTCTGTGGTTGGCATTGATCCTCCAGAGGAAGTTACCCCCTTGGAATCTCTGGTCCGAGGAGAGGCAGGCAGAGGGATTGGACCCTGGAGACTGGACCTATACGGCACTGGCGAGGAATTAGCTGGCAAAAGAGCAGCGAGAGGCTGGAAGTCTGGGATGGCAACCGAAGTTTTTGTTCAGGTTGGCATAGAAGAAGCTGTGGAAAAGCTAGGATATTGGAATAGTGGAATTGGTAACGACTTGTATCCACATATGAACGAGTTACCCTGGTTCTACTGCAATAAAACGCAATGATCATGATAGAAACAATTGAGTGTTCATTAAGACGGCCTATGTCTTATTTGCTTAAATAACAGTCAACGCGATCCCCCTCAAACGCCAATTCCTAGAGCATCCCTCGTGGATATTCATAATAGAGGCTTCCGAATACTTAGTCTGCCATCCGGTAGCTGACCAGAGTACCAACCCGGTGGTTGTTGGTACTGAAGCTGCGCAGCTGGACCTTCTCTGCATTCTTGATCTCCTTTGCATCGCTGTCGCCCCACTCAACGGGGACATCTGAATCTGCGTCTGCATAAACAAGGACATTGAATGTGCAGTCTCCATCCAGGACTGGAAGGAAAGTGACTGAAGCTGTGATCTGACGGAAGATGGCCTGGATCTCATCCTGGATCTCCTTCTCTGTCTTCTCGGCAGGTTCGGCTGGTTGAGCATCTGCCTCGCTGTACATTCAAAGGTAATGTTAACAAGGCAATAATTGATAGTCCTATGTATGGAGGAACCTACCCTGGCGCCGAATTCTCCTTATCTCCTGATCTTCCAGCAGTCTTGCTCTTGGATGATTTACCAAAAATTTCAACCTAGGGTTACCGTGTCAGATCATACCACAAATCCCGGAACCCTGCAGGGGGTACCTACATCAAACTGCCATCGCTCCACATGCTCCCCGGACTCCCGATCGGTGATGACCACGACGAGCTTGGAAATCTTTCCACCAGCCATCCACCTGTTCAATTGAGACATGATCTTCTTGATGTATGCTTTGACCTGGTCGTCCGCCGAGACTTTTGTGGGGTTAGATTAGGAGGTAGGGTTCGAAGGGGCTGACATGGGAACGAACTGAGCATGTTGAGACCGTATTTCTTAACACTAGGGCTTGTCAGCTTATACCAAACGATTGAATAATGTATAGCCTGTAAATACTTACGTTATGAAATCATCAGGAGGGTAGACACCTCGTTGGAATCTGCGACACTCATGGTGGTTAGATTCCAGCCCCGGTAACTCAACCTTATATATCTCTTGCATACTCACAAAATTGAGTTAATTGAGTATTCAAACTGTTGATAACTGTTAGTCTTTGGTTATTTCCCGTGCGATGAGCTGCGGACTCACGAATTCGGCGACAAGCTTTGCCGATCCTGTAGCTTTGTTAGCTGCTAATATGGGCGAACGGAGGATAATAGCGACAAACCTCTGATGGCCAGCTTATGCACCTTTGATTTGTCCTTGACTTCAGGCATGATGAGCTGAGATGTGCAGAAAAGTGAATAGTATGGGCGATCAATGTTGAAGAGATGCCAATATTTGTTTACTGTATGCCGATAGTCACCGCAGCGATGCCGGGCGGTGAACGCGTTTTTTTCCCTTTTTAACTCCGCACTTATCGTTCTCCACCATTGTATGTGCAAATTACATCCATTAAATTGCATTTGTGAATTACAGAGGCCAAATTTCTCTATCTCATGCAACTGCAGAAATCCAAATGCGGGGATGTCTGCTGTTAGCCCGATGGCTGGGTGCAGCGCCGAAGCTCCCGGTTACAAGCCTCAAGTCGCCAGCTGGATTTCCATTCCGTTATAATTCTATACGATCCTTCACAGCCTCCGCAGTATGGAGTGCGCGAGCGAAATCACCCCCGAGCTCACCAGATACAAACCTTGAACAACGAATCGCCGCAATTCCACTTGAACGATATCGTAACTTCTGTATTGTCGCGCACGTCGACCACGGCAAAAGCACCCTTTCCGACCGGCTACTCGAATTGACTGGCACGATTCAGCCAGGTTCAAATAAGCAGGTTCTTGATAAACTGGATGTTGAACGAGAGAGAGGAATTACTGTCAAAGCGCAGACATGTACTATGATCTATAACCACGAGGGCGAGGACTACCTACTACACTTGGTGGATACCCCAGGCCATGTGGATTTCCGTGCAGAAGTGTCGCGTAGTTATGCGAGCTGTGGTGGTGCATTGCTCCTTGTGGATGCTAGTCAAGGCATCCAAGCACAGACTGTGGCCAATTTCTACTTGGCTTTTGCACAGGGTCTTGAGTTGATTCCAGTCATCAACAAGGTCGATCTCCCTTCAGCGGATCCAGAGCGGGCTCTGGGCCAGCTGGAGAGCTCGTTTGAATTAGATACGGAAAGTGCGGTCCTGGTTTCAGCTAAGACTGGATTAAATGTCGAGGCTCTCCTACCCAAGGTCGTGGAGAAGATTCCTGCGTATGTATTAAAAATTGCCTCTCAAAGGAGGGGATCATTTATGATACCTGAAAACTAACAGTATGAAATAGACCTATTGGCGACACACAAAAACCCTTGCGCATGTTGCTAGTCGATTCTTGGTACGATCCTTACAAAGGTGTGATTTTACTGGTGCGCGTTTTCGACGGCGAGGTTCGAGCAGGACAACAACTTGTGTCCTTTGCTACTGGCCTCAAATACTATGTTGGCGAAGTGGGAATCATGTACCCGACCGAGACAGCACAAACAGTCCTCCGCGCAGGCCAAGTGGGATACATCTATTTCAACCCCGGTATGAAGCGAAGCAAGGAGGCCAAGATCGGTGATACATTTACAAGAGTCGGTTCTGAAAAGGCAGTTCAACCTCTGCCGGGTTTCGAAGAGCCCAAATCCATGGTCTTTGTGGCTGTCTATCCTATCAATGCTGATCTTTTTGAGCATTTGGATGACAGCATCAACCAACTTATCTTGAATGACCGAAGTGTGACTGTGCAGAAGGAATCATCTGAGGCCTTGGGAGCTGGATTCCGTATGGGCTTCCTGGGAACACTGCATTGCTCTGTGTTTGAGGATCGCTTACGACAGGAGCACGGCGCCAGCATTATCATCACACCGCCTTCAGTCCCAGTCAAGGTGGTGTGGAAAGATGGCACCGAGGAAATCATCACTAACCCGGCGAAATTCCCGGATGATGATAGTGCACGACTCAAGGTCGCTGAAGTGCAAGAGCCCTATGTTCTGGCAACATTGACATTCCCCGAAGAATATCTTGGCAAGGTCATTGAGCTTTGTGAAGCCAACAGAGGTGAACAAGTAAGCATTGAGTACTTCACTGCCACTCAGGTCATTATGAAGTATGAAATTCCCTTGGCACATCTTGTCGATGACTTCTTCGGGAAGCTGAAGGGCGGCACCAAGGGCTATGCCAGCTTAGACTATGAAGAGTCCGCATGGCGCCCTGGAAATATTGTCAAACTTCAACTTCTCGTGAATAGGGTTCCCGTTGATGCCGTGGCACGACTCATGCACATGAGTCAAGTCAGCCGTCAAGGTCGACTGTGGGTCACCAAGTTCAAGGAGCATGTTGACCGACAGCTCTTCGAGATTGTTATTCAAGCTGCAGTTGCTAAGAAGATCATTGCCCGTGAGACTATCAAACCCTACCGCAAAGATGTCCTGGCAAAACTCCACGCCAGTGATGTGAGTCGCAGACGAAAGCTGCTAGAGAAGCAAAAAGAAGGCCGTAAGAGGCTCCGGGCTGTTGGAAACGTTGTGATTGAACATAAAGCATTCCAGGCATTCCTGGCAAAATAAATCATGTATAATAGAACATTTAAAAGAATCAAATATGTACAACAGTCACTATGATATGTGTATTGACCAACGCTGCCATTGGCACTGGCATTCCCGAGGCCCGTGTACCTCTTGTGCTAATGCAGGCCAATGTTAGTACTACGACTCTACGAGCGATGCTACTATGTAAGAGTTGTGGGCGTGAAATTGAATTTACCAAAAGCCGGATATTTTATTTCAAGTCATGGCCAGTATTTTAAATCATTTAATGAGTATTTAAATCATTTAATGAGTATTTAATTCAAGTTCAATGGATTGATTATTCTATAGCAGTGAATGGAGTGAAGGCGATATAGTTACAGGATCCACTTGACTCTGATTGGGTAAGAGCTTTGCGGCAGAAAAAAAAGGTCGTCGCCAACCCCGCGGTATTTCTTCTCTTTCTTACCACTCTCATTGCCATTCCCCCTCCATAACGACCCCTTGGGCTTTTCTTTTAGCTCTGGATCTTTTCGCAAGGTTCAACTGAGCTACAAAAACTCATTTCAATTCGTCCTACGGGTGTCCAATCCCCTTGTTGTGGCTGACATCCGCACGCGCCGATCAATCATCTTTTGAGTCACCCTGCCATGTCCTGCCATTGACAACGGCGCAATGCAGCCTTTAGAGGATGCACAGATTGATCTGGGCAAGGCCCAGGTCATTGATCGTACCCCAAAAATCATCAAGGAACTGAAGTTCGGTGTATTGTATGCACTTCCCGATATGTCTCCAGGACTGGGTGAAAGTACTTCTTTGCGGAGAACGCGATGACTAACAGGGTCCTTTTCTCTTCACACAGGACAAAGAACGATATTGTGGATCAAGCCGCCGTGGAAGTTTCGGACAGAAAGTTTTTCGACCTCGAAAATGGCAGACAGATTGTTGCTCATGGCCCTCTCGATACCCGTATGGGTATCTCCGGCAAAGTTGCTACTTGCGCAACCTGTGGTCTCAACTCCAAGGATTGTAACGGTCACTTCGGTCATGTGAAATTGGTTCTTCCCGCCTTTCACGTTGGTTATTTCAAGCGAGTCATTGGTATTCTACAAGAAATTTGCAAGCAATGTTCTCGAATTCTCCTCCCCGAGACGGAACGCCGATCCTTTCTACGAGAAATGAGACGTCCAGGTTTGGATAACCTGCGAAGGATGCAGATCGCGAAGCGCATTAATGAACGGTGCCGAAAAACTCGGGTTTGCGAGCACTGTAATGCGATCAACGGTGTAGTGAAGAAAATCGGTACAAGTGCCTTGAAGATTACCCACGACAAGTTCCGTGCTTTCAACGCTTCGGCTTCGGTGAAAAAGCAGCCTCCACTGAGCAAGCAAATTTTCGACGACTCCTTCACTGAGGTGCGAAACTCCAACCCTGAAGTTGAGAAGCATTTCAAGAAGGCACAGGAGGATCTGAATGCTCTACGGGTGCTCCAGCTGTTCAAGAAGATCTCAGACAGCGACTGCGAGCTTCTGGGGCTGGATCCCAAAGAGGCACGCCCAGAGATGTTCCTTTGGCAGTACATTCCAGCTCCGCCTGTCTGTATCAGACCTTCTGTTATTCAAGAGGCCGCATCGACGGAGGATGACTTGACTGCGAAGCTCGGTGATATCGTGCAGAGCAACATTAATCTTAAGAATTCCTTGGTTAAGGGCGCACCCGTTCAAACTATCATGGAGTGTTGGGATTTCATGCAGCTTCAAATCGCGGTTTACATCAACAGTGACGTGCCTGGTCTCAACAAAGCAGATCTCGGAAAGCCCATTCGTGGATTTGTTCAACGACTCAAGGGTAAGCAAGGTCGTTTCCGTGGAAATTTGTCTGGAAAGCGTGTCGAATACACTGGTCGAACTGTCATTTCTCCCGATCCCAACCTCCGAGTCGATGAGGTCGCGATTCCCGAGCTGGTCGCTAGGAATTTGACCTACCCCGAAGTTGTCACCCGATACAACAAGGAAAAGCTGCAAGAGCGAGTCCGTAATGGAACGAACAAATACCCCGGTGCCAGATTCGTCATCAAAAAGGGCTCCAACTGGCAAATGAATACAAAATTCGGTAATTTGAAGCATATGGCAAGTCAACTTCAAGAAGGTGACAAGGTTGAGCGCCATCTTGAAGATGGTGATATTGTGCTGTTCAATCGACAGCCATCCCTTCACAAGCTCAGTATTCTTTCCCACTTTGCCAAAGTTCGGCCGCATCGAACATTCCGACTGAACGAGTGTGTCTGTAACCCTTACAACGCCGATTTCGACGGAGATGAAATGAACTTGCACGTTCCCCAGACGGAAGAAGCCAGAGCAGAGGCAATGGAGCTGATGGGTGTCAAAAATAACTTGGCTACGCCCAAGAACGGTGAACCCATCATTGCAGCCATTCAGGATTTCATCAGTGCCGCTTATCTGCTAAGTAGCAAGGACAACTTCTTCGACCGTCGCTCGTTCTCTCAAATCTGTCTTTACATGCTGGGTCCGGAGACTCGCTTCGATCTCCCACCTCCTTCGGTCATGAAGCCGCAGATGCTGTGGACTGGTAAGCAGGTTTTCAATATCCTGATGCATCCCAATAAAGATGATCCTGTCTTGGTCAACCTCGATGCTGCATGCCGTCAGTTCAAGATGCCGAAGGATGGAACACCCAAGGATTTGGATCCAAATGACTCTTGGTTGGTGATCCGCAACTCGGAAGTTATGTGTGGTGTCATGGACAAATCCACCGTTGGTGACGGAAAGAAGGACAATGTGTTCTACATTATGCTTCGTGATTTCGGACCTGCTGCTGCCGCCGAGGGCATGAATCGTCTTGCCAAACTGTCGTCTCGATGGCTTACTAACATGGGTTTCTCCATCGGTATCACGGATGTATACCCCAGTGAGAGGCTTGTTCAGTCCAAGAACGACCTGGTCGAAGCTGCATACGCAAAATGTGACGAAGTCATTGCTTCATACAAGGCTGGTACTTTGGAAAAGTACCCTGGTTGTGACGAGTTGCAGACTATGGAAAACCAACTGTCCGGTATTCTCAGCAAGGTCCGTCAGCAGGCTGGTGACGAGTGTATCGCACAACTCAGCAAGTACAATTCGCCCCTGATCATGGCTACCTGTGGATCCAAGGGTTCCAGTATCAACGTATCCCAGATGGTTGCCCTTGTGGGTCAGCAAATTATCGGTGGTCAACGTGTCCAGGATGGTTTCCAGGACCGAACCCTCCCTCACTTCCCCAAGAATGCCCGTCAGCCTCCTTCAAAGGGTTTCGTCCGCAACAGTTTCTTCTCAGGACTTGAGCCTACTGAGTTCATCTTCCACGCAATGTCCGGTCGTGAAGGTCTGGTCGATACTGCTGTCAAGACTGCCGAAACCGGTTACATGTCTCGTCGTTTGATGAAATCCCTCGAAGATCTTTCCACTATGTATGATGATACCGTACGGAACTCATCTGCTGCCATCGTTCAATTCCAGTATGGTGACGATAAACTGGATCCTGTGGATATGGAAGGCAAGGCCAAGCCTGTCCACTTTGATCGAACATTCATTCACTCCGAGTCTACGACATATAACAACTACGAGCGAAGCTTACTTCCTGCAGAAATGATGCAGGTTTGCGAGGAATTGTTGGGTCCAGAGCGCGCCAAGTTGTACCGTAAGGATCTTATGGGCAATGACTTGGCATACATGGACCGGAGTGACCACGGAATTGATCAGTTTGAGAGCGCACGTGACTTCCTTGACTCTATTCAAGACTACGTGCAAGGCAAGGCCGATAAACTGATTTCTCGTGGTGGCGATGCCGATTCATCTGGTGAAGTGAACCAGCAGGCCTTGCATCACACTGGAAAATTGACTGAGACAACTTTGCGCGAATTCATTACCTCTTGTCTGACGAAGTACAGAAAAGCGCAAGTTGAGCCAGGCCATGCCGTGGGTGCTGTTGGTGCGCAGTCCATTGGTGAACCAGGTACCCAAATGACGTTGAAGACTTTCCATTTCGCTGGTGTCGCTGGTATGAGTATTACTCAGGGTGTTCCCCGTATCAAGGAAATCATCAACGCCTCCAGGGAGATTAGTACTCCTGTCATTGCCTGCGAGCTGGTCAACAAGGAACAGATGGCCGCTGCACGTATTGTGAAGGGTCGTATCGAGAAGACGTATCTACGTGATGTCTTGCGAAGCATTACTGAGAACTGGACTGGCAGTGAGGCCTATGTCACTGTCAAAATCAACCTCCAGACGATCTCTGATCTGAAACTTGAACTTACCATGAGACAAATCACCCAGGCAATCAAAACACACAAGCGATTCAAGGGTGACGATCTCACAATTCGCACTGGTCGGGCATCCATCAGACTTTATATGAACATGGATCCGGCGACCAAGTCAACTCTATCAAAGACGGAGATTGCCGCTACCAGTACTGATCCCTTCCTGCGTCTCAAGCACTTGAAGCGAATGTTGCCCAATATCCAAATTCTGGGCCATGCTCGGGCGGCACGTGCCATCATTCGAACGGATGAGACCTCAACCAACAACACCCTCTTGGTTGAAGGTTACGGCTTGCGGGAATGCATGACCACCGTTGGTGTGGATGGTCTTCATACCAGAACCAACAACGTCATGGAAGCGCGCGAGGTTCTTGGAATTGAAGCAGCGCGTAGTACTATTATCACTGAGATCAGTGAAGTCATGAAGGACATGGGTATCGATCCTCGCCACATGCAACTGCTCGCTGACGTGATGACGTACAAGGGTGAGGTACTTGGTATCACTCGTTTCGGTCTAGCCAAGATGCGTGACTCCGTTCTTCAACTCGCCTCCTTTGAAAAGACCGCCGATCATCTTTTCGATGCCGGTGGTGCTGGTCGCACTGATTTGATTGAAGGTGTCTCTGAATGTATCATTATGGGCAAAACTATTGGACTTGGTACGGGTGCCATGGAAGTTGTGCGTCGACTGAATTTCTATGAGGGCCAGATTGGTCCGCGCAAAACTACTTTCGAAGATGCTTGGTCTGAGATCTGTGAGGTACCTCCTCCAGTCCGGGAAGGGCAAGAGGAGAGCTGTTCGATAGTTTCCTTACTAATTTATCGTATCGCTCCCTGAATCATCTCTTGATTTCCTCTTTTTTTTCTCATCTCCATTTGTATCCCGGTGGCCACCATTATTCGCATTTTCTCTCGGCGTTCGATTTTGATTTCTTTCTCCGCCCAGTTGCAGCCCTTTGGGCACGACTCTGTACATGTACCCCCCAGCGCAGCCAATTGGCGCTTTTTTACGCACGCTAGCGATAGTAACGATCTGCAATAGATGAATTCTGTCATGTCACAATAGGTTCGATTGCCTCCGCTGTATATCAGTAGCCAGCGAGACGTGTGTTACCCACGATCTTCCGTGAAGTGAATTGGTAACATAAGGGGAAAGCCTGAGGTTTGTCCCCAGTCCTTCTTAAGCTTGAACCTCCTTCATACAGGAAGGCCCATATCAATATCATGAATCCAATTCAGGCAAGGGTCATGTATTATTATATCTACTATTCAAATATTGGACAACATATCATCATCACTAGCCCCCAAGTTTCTTTGAGCCCATTTCCTTGCCAATTTTTCGATTATTGGATCTTGTCATCCCCGGGGTATCCCGGAACCCGACACCGGTTGACAACTAACCCCCGTTCTTACAGCGCATCCCTGGACGTACATGACACCTGTCGCTCCTTATTCGTTCTATCCCCCTCCACAAAGCGCTACACGAGTTTGGCCAACGAAGTACAAACTTATCTATTGGCTACGTTTCTCTAGCACAGTGGCAGGTGGTTCCTCAAAAAACTATGCCCCTCGCCGTCTGGGGCGTTGAGCCCGTTATAAACCCTGTCGAAGAGGCGATCAAGTTGGAGCCACACGCCAATCATGGTCCGCAAGATCCTTGTCCGAACATGGATGATTTACAGGCATCGACCTCTAGATTCTCTGCTCGGAACGAACCCTCTAATCCCTATCCCGGGCGTGCTTCTCACCGGGGCTATCCTCGACACATCGCCGTTTCTTTTTTTCCTTTCCCTGGCCTGGCGGGGAAGTCATTGCGTAGTTATTGACTCGCTTCCTCTACTCCATTTTGAGTATATTCTCCTTCCTTCGCATGTGTTTGAGAACTTGATTACTTTCCTCTTCCTCTGTCCGAACTCCCCGATGCTCCCCGGCTTGTGTGCTGCATTTCCTCATACGGTAATCGCCGCGCACGCCGAATCATGGACTTCACCGACGCCAGATTTTCAAAGAAGCGCGAGAGTCGGACACGCGCGCCGACAGCCTGTCAGACATGCCGTCTGCGCAAAACCCGGTGCGACAATACTAGGCCCACCTGTAGCTACTGTGCTCTGCAGGGGGTAGAGTGCATCTACCCTGAGACGTCGCCGCGCCCTAGCCAGTAAGTTGACGGCTTGGTTATCCTTTCTTTCCTAATTTTCTCGAGACATTTTTGAAAGTGGCGTTGTACTGCAAGAAAAAAACCCGAAACTGAACCTTTCTCTCTTGCGCGTTTCGTAGATCTGGATTCGACTCAACCAACCAGGAAATCCTGCAACGACTCGGCCATATTGCCTCGTTGCTAGAGGATATCAAGCATGATGGTTCATCGACCATCTCGTCGAATCGCTCACTCAGAAGCTCTTTCTTCGAGTTGGCTATGCAAAATCCCAGTCCACTGACTGATATGGGATTCCTGGGAAGTAATAATCCACGTGGGAGTAGTACGACCGGTGGTGATGATCGTGCTTGCGAGCATGATCCCTTTTTAATATATGCTGCTAGTTCTCCAGAGCTTATGCTACGCTGGCCAATCTATAACACGGTGATCACAGAGGCTGAAAAACACATTCAGTCATTCTTACTCGATTCTTTAGATGCCCAGCCACGGTCAGGTCAACCACCCAGACAAGCAGGTAGTGGCCTGCTTGTGGATGATATTCAGCCTCTATTCCGAAACTATGTCCGGTTGGTACATCGAAGGAACCCTGTAGTCGATATAGAAAAGCTCGAGCGCTACGCACGCGAGGTGACTGTACAGGGACTAGGGTGGGACGGTCCATCGTGTCAAGTGGTGCGTTTTCATATTTGCCTTGGCTCCAGTCATCGTCGTGACTACTGTCCTGGGATTTCATTCTCCTATGTCAACGTACCAGCAGAAGTGCTAACTCGCTTAGTAGCTTCTTGCGTGCGCTTTGGCCTGCTGCACGTCACCATTCGTGCCTCTTGGCGAGATCCCCGAAGACCTAGATCGAATTCCAACACCACCTCCCTCCGATGCAAATATTGAACTTGCGGAGGCTTACTTCCATGCTGCCAAGCAACGGTTTGGATCGCTACATACCTCTCCGACAGACATACAATGCTTTCTTCTTGCGGGTTTTTACCACAGACATGTGATGCGCCCTTTGCAAGCATGGTTCTGTTTCCAACAAGCTTCATGCAGACTAGAAGTCCGACTGCGATCATTGTGTAGGGAGCAGTGGATGGCTGATGTCAACTATCATAATTTGGAGTCTCGGCTGTACTGGTCTTGTATCCAGGCGGAACAGTGAGCTGTGAACAACCCCACCGAAGATTGACCTTTACTGATTACGGTCAACAGTGAAATGCAAGGTGAACTGCCTTTGTGGAGCAGTAGCCTTGAAAGCTTGGGGTATTCAGATCCATTCCCAATGTTCCCGAAGACGAATTCCTCCTCGCCAGAACAGATGGGAAGTGACAACGAACCCAGCATGCAGATGCAGAATGACATCAGTGGTACTGACGAAGAGAAGGGCTGGAGATTCTATATTGGATCTATCTGTAATCGCCGGACAGTTAATGACATGTTGATTGACATGTGGCGCAATGGAGAAGACGGCTGGGTAAACAACGTGAACGGTACTGTTGACCGAATGTTTGAAGCTGTGAGAGTCGTGACAACATGGTATGCAATATTTGATTTCGTTCATCTCTCAAAATCCTTAATAGCTGGGTATTGAAGGCTATTTTACTGACTGAAGAAAGGTACCAAATATCCCTGAGCAGCCTCCCCTCTCCCTCTCCAGTGAACCAGGATCTCGAATTCTTTCTACAAGGTCGCTATTGCATCGCACTGGAGAGAATATACCGCCCGATATTCTATCTAGCTGTCCACTACAAAGCTCTCCCCAGCTGGGTTCATTCAACTCCCCAGCTTTCCGAGTCGGTCTTCACGAACGCTCAAAAGGCAATCGACAATTGTGCCGAGCTAATCCCAAACTTCTGGTACCATTTTCGCCATGAATGGATCTGGAATATCATGCGTTGTACTTTCTCTGCTGCAATCCAGATCCTTGCAGCTGTGCTGAGCAATGTTTCCGTTTCACGGAATCCGAATCCAGGAGGCTGGGTATTACGTCCGCCTGCAAACTGGACCGCGCTTATTCGGCTTAGCATTCGCATTCTTAGGCATTGGGAATCCGAGTCTGTTGATTTGGAGCTTATGCGCGGAACTTTGGAAAGGATGTTTCAGGGAACTTGTCGACTAGCTGGGGCTAGGCAAGATTTATTTATGAGCTCAGAGATGACGTAGATTAGATTCTTTTTTATTAATGCAGTGCATGTAATGTCTTTTATGTGTACTTTCCAAGAGACTCGAATGTGAGTAGGCATTGAGCCTTCTACTATGAACTTTGGAATCCCACTGGAACCCTCAGGCTATAATTATGGGATTGCACAGTATCCAGTATGAACGCAAATAAAAATAGAAAAAAATAAATTCTATACACTGGGAAATTAATTTAAATCCATTTCTTCTTATCAAAACTTCACTCTACCATAAAATCCATCCAAATTTCTTTTTATTTTTAAGCCTCTGTTAGGGTGTTCCAAGCCCGTTGCGGGGAAATGGAAATGGTGCGGAGGACCAACTTGAACTGCAGCGTAATCTCTCCCACTTCAACCTCCCAACCATGGCGGTCCCCCAGCGGACACTCTCCTGGCTATACTCGGTTTTAACCAAGGTGAGTAAAATATATACATTCTTATCTAGCTATGGAGATATCTAACTGTTCTAGGATCACTACGACCCCAAACAAACATACCACGACCCCAACCGTGCTTATCACGACGTCGCCCATGCGCTTGCCCAGTACCCCTCGCTCTCCCCTCGTACCGATGTCTACAGTGAGTTCAGGAGCTCAATGAATAGCAATAATCAATTTCTAATAACCTTAATCACATAGCCTATGAAAATGGCTTCTCAGCTCTCCTTCTCCACCTCGTGGGAACACTGCCTGTCGTCTTCCGTGGCACCACATACCGATTCCCTGTCGCGCTTTGGATCCCAAATACCTACCCTCGAGAGCCCCCCATGGTATATGTGACACCACCTCAAGATATGACAGTTCGCAGTGGTCAGCATGTCACGTTGGAGGGGCGAGTGTATCATCACTACCTAGCTCATTGGGCTGAGGCTTGGGATGTAAGTTGGATCCCGTACTCCGAGGGTCGACGCCCGCTGATTATCCATTGTTTATTTAGAGATCCACCATTTCCGACTTTCTCTCCATCCTCCGTGACGTATTTGCGAAAGAACCTCCAGTGCGCTATCGTCAGCAACTCCCAGCCCAGCCTCAGGCACAGCATGTACAGACTCCGCCGCCAGTGCCGCCTCTCCCACCAGGCACGGGACCCTCGCCAGCTCCAGCACAGACACAGCCCCCGCAGTCTATGAGTCAATCCCAGGCTCCCCCCACAGCTCCCTCCTAAACCTGGATCGACACCTGCGCATCAGCAATTACCTCCACAAGCCGCAGATCGGTATCGATCGCCCCCCACCACTTCCTCCCCTACCTCCAAAGGATCATGATCATAGGAGAGCTTCTTCAATCTCTGCGAATCTATCTGGCGCTGGCAGCCAGGCGCCCCAGCAATATGTTTCCTCACAATACCCACCTCCCCAATCTATGGGACATCCTATATCTCCATCGATGACTCCTGGACCTTCTGCGACACCAAGCAGAAACATCAATGCACCTGTAGTTCCTGCTAGCTCTCAACGACATCAATATGGACGTCAAGGCGTGCCATATACCCCTCAGGCTCCGCCGCTACCACAGCAAATATCACAACAACCTCAATCACAGCCACCGCAATCTCAGTGGTCGGGATATCAGTCTCATCCACTGCAGCAACAGCCGAGGCAACAGCCAAATGTACCCTCTGGGCCTCCGTACCCAGAACATTCTCCTCATCCCTCAAACCAGCCGCGGGCTCCTGCTCCTCCGGCAGCACCAGCACCAAAGACCGAGGCACCCGATCTTCTCACCTCGCCCTTTGAGTTAGAACTTCCCTCATTTGCGCCCACTGGACCCGCTCCTCCAATCCCACCAAACCCAGAAAAGGACGCACTTCTTCACGCTGTCTCCAAAACTATGCGTGAGACATTAGTGACGCACGCTTCACAATCCGAAGTAGCAGCCCAATCTCTTGTCTCGCAGTCGCATTCTCTTCACGCCGCTATGACAACCCTGCAAACTGAGTTGGCTGCTCTAAACACCCTTCATTCAACCCTGCAATCAAACACATCCATTCTTCAGCAGTCTATCCATCGTGCAGACGCAACGATTGCAGATGCCCAAGCCCGCTCTGCCGCATCAGTTTCATCTACTACTGCGTCAACATCTACTTCAGCACCTTCCGATCCTTCCTCTGGTCTCCCACCAATCGATGAGGTTTTAGTTGCTCCTACTGTGGTGGGTAAGCAACTTTATGATCTTGCGGCAGAGGAGCAAGGTCTACAGCATGCACTTTACGCATTACAGGCTGCCCTTGTACGTGGAGTGATTGGTGTTGACTCTTGGTCCCGCCATACCCGTGGTCTCGCACGAGAGGCGTTTTTGAAGAGGGCATTGATCAGTAAGATTGGACGAGGAATGGGATTAGAAACTGTGTCGTGATTTTTAATTCATATGAAGCCCGGGGCAACCTCTAGCTCCTGTTGATACCCTTCTTTTTACATTATTTCGTTTGAGTATGTATTCATGGCTATCAGTGACCTAACCTGCCCAGGTGGTACATGCAAATCTTCATCTTATATCGTATAGATTGAAATAGATGGATTTAATATCACCCCTCTATAATCCAACCTATAGTACTAATGGTAGTTGTTAGTTGTTATCAAAATTAACAAACTCAAATTGTAATGGTATATAACATAGTATCAATCACTGCATAACTTGAAATTACCAAGCCTCACGAGCACTAGTCCCACCCTGACTCGACCGACTACTAGTAAGCGTCTCATGTCTAACATCAATCTGATTAGAAACGACAATGCCATTCCCAGTAGGCGAATTCGTCTCATCAGCTGGAACAGGTTCAACCCTCGTCCTAAGATTCTGCATCTTAATCTCATCCTCCATCATACGCTCCTCACTCTCAGTAAAGGTCATTCCAATAGTAATCGGATCCGTACTAGTCGGACCTCGACCTTTGCGACTCGCGTAATCTCCTCCTCCGCCGATACTGCGGAATCCAGCAGAAGGCGATTTATAGTTCGTTTTATGGGATGAGCCGAATTTGCTCCCGAAGGCTTTTGTGAGCCAAATTCGGAAAAGATGGAATACCATGGGTAGGTTGGTTGTTATTACTGCGACGAAGGTTTCTCGTGTACCCCATTGATCGGCTATATCGGCGCCGTTCACTGGTTCCTATTTCAATTGTTAGGTATTAATGGTATAGAAGGTTGATAGAAGGGGTAGAACTCACTACTATGAGGAAGACGCTTTTAAGTGTTGCGCAGACGAGAACGAAGATACCAGCACTGAGGATGATGGTCGTGGCGATCTTCTTGATGAGCTTCAGGCTAGATTTCCAGAGCATGGGGATTGGGATGAAGATTAGGTAGGGGTCTGTGAGGAGGTTTACGGCGAAGGTTATGCCGATGACGGGTTTGGAGATTGCTGGTTGGCATACATCTAGACATGGTTAGTGATAGATGAGTGGGTATTATGGGGGCTTTAACTCACTGCCAGGATCGGGATAGATCTGCCAATTCTTCTCAAAGGGTCTGCATGCTGCGAGAATTGTGATTAAGCTGGCGACGAAGCCTACGATGACAAGAACGAAGCCAATGTAGATAGGAATCTGGTATCGACGACCCAGGCCCTCCTAGTTATTTGTTAGTTATCACATGTACACAATAATCAACTCGGATAGTAGCTACCATCAGGCGAAGATAGAATGCCAGCATAGATAATTTCAAGAAATTGATCAAGGCAACATAGGTGCTCCAGCCTGCAATCTGAATCTTGGAACCAAGTACTCTGTATATGGTCAGTACGGTTCAATAAGCATAACAAGTCGGATTCTTTCTGGTACATACCTATGATGGTATTCCACGCTGCTAGATGATAAAGCAGCTCGCTCAGCATCAGTCATGCTATTATTCGCCAAACCCCCAGCAGCATTTCCAACACTGTAAGCAAGAGCAGTCTGTGCCGTATAGAATAACTACAAACAAAGCAATAATTAGTAGTTTGTCTCAAACAATTCAGGTACGATCAATTGACGTACGATTCCAATCCACATCAAGTGATCATCCAGTCGCAGATTCCTGAATCCCACAGTTGATAATCGCGCATATGTCCTGAGTAGCGTAAACGCCACAGCAATGGAGTACATCGTCCATAATTGCACCTCAGTATTGTATGCCGCTTCAGAGGCAGCATCCCGCGCCTGTACGAAGATCATGATTTTTTTTTGTGAGTGGGCTAGGCGGGGACTGATCAGCGAGGATGTTCAGAAGATTTAGGATGAAAAACACCCTCATGTGCATATTCTTGGCATGCTAGTTAATCGAATCTTGCACATACACATGTGTGTGGAGTCTAGATAATATAAGATAATTATAAGGATTCAAATTGAACCTTGGAAGGACAAGGCTGGAATTACTCCCTGTTCCAGTATCTGATATTCCCGATCTCTCATCCACATTGTACATACTAGAATGGAATAAATCTACAATTACACTTTGTATACGTATGAATCGAAACTAGTCCCCAAATAGTAAAAAATGAGTGTAAGTCCTTACCTAGTTTAATGCAACCAGGGCCATGGTTCTGATCCTGGGGGCTGCATTTCTTGCATTTCTTGCATTTCTCGGTTGAACTACGGAAATTCCTTTAGTTTCGCATATAATCCAGGGCAAGTTAAGACTTGGCGATTAATTTCAAATAGGTAAGTGAAGAAAGAAGATCCACTTTTTTACATGATGCCCAGAGATTGCCCAGATGAATAGAAAGGAACTATCATTGTATTTGGTTTAGATTCAAGACTAGTTTCATCGCTTCATAGTGCCAAGATGAGTAGGATTTCCGGGATTTCCGATTCTCCATAATAATCATACGGAGTACATGATGATATAGCAAACTATAGGAGATTTCAATTAGAAAGGGGATTCCTTTGATCATTAATATGTGAAAATTCAGAATTGAATATATCTCATCTCATCTCATCTAATTAATGGAACCTTTCGGTGAGGCGGAATGGCGCCGAGCCGTGATCCACAATTTTGGGGTCGAACCCCCTCTCTCATTATCAATTTATCACATTATGCCCAGGTGGAGTACTTCGAAGTGCACTCTGTCTAGAGCATGGTATGAATGGCTAATCGGTTCGACAAACAGAGCCATCTCTCCGATGCATGTGGGGTGCATTAGGGGGGTTACGCCTTTCCCACGTTGCATGGGTCTTGGAATCTGTTCCTAGATTAAGTGACAAGGATCCCTCAAGCTGCAGAGATCATCGTTCTCTTTACCTCTTTTTCTTGTGAATTGTATGCAAAAGAGGGGCCCGTCTTGGCTGCACTGGGTCTTTTCTTGGAATTCTAATTGATCTTCTCTTTTTTTTTGAAGTCAAGTCAAGTCATGTTCAAGCTTAACGTGCTCACGGCCTTTGCGGCTTGGGCTTCTGTTGTGGTTGGTCACTCTGTGAACGGCCATCACTCGGACTCAGATTTGGAGGAGTTTCAGAAGACTCTCTCAAGTACTGCGAAGCTGTATCTTAATGGCTCTACTGGTTTTGCCAATGTCACTACTCGCTGGTCGGTTCTGGAGGAGCCCACTGTCAATGTTGTCATTGTTCCTGGAACGGAGAATGATGTTGTTGAGACTGTAAGTTGACTCTCACAATAGTGAATAATTTGGAGGGAAAAAATACTAACACTGTATCAAGGTGAAATACGCAAACAAGAAGAACATCCCCTTCCTCACCTACAATGGTGTCCACGGTGCCCTTGTTTCCCTGGGCAAGATGACCCACGGCATTGGTATCTCCATGAGCCAATTGAGCAGCGTCGAGGTCTCCGATTGTGGCACCACTGCCACCATCGGCGGTGGTACCATGTCCAAGAAGGTCACCGACGAGCTCTGGGCAGCTGGCAAGCAAACCGTCACCGGAACCTGCGAGTGTGTCAGTCTTCTCGGTCCTGCTCTCGGCGGTGGACACGGTTGGCTGCAGGGTCACCACGGCCTCGTCGCCGATCAATTTGTCTCCATGAACATCGTCCTCGCTGATGGTACACTCACCACCATTGACTCCAACTCCGACCTATGGTGGGCAATGAAGGGTGCAGGCCACAACTTCGGTATCGTGACCTCGCTCACCACTAAGGTATACGATATCGAGCACGAGGACTGGGCCATCGAGACTCTCGTCTTCAGCGGCGAAAAGGTCGAGGAAGTCTACGAGGCTACAAATAAGTACATCTTGCAAAACGGTACCCAGTCCGCAGACCTCATCAACTGGTCCTACTGGATGAACGATGCCGACTCAGACCCTAACAACCCGGTTATCTACTTCTATATCATCCAAGAAGGCGTAACCGCCGTCGATTCAATCTATACTCAACCATTCCGTGATATCGGCGCCATCTCCATTACCACTGAGAACGGTACTTACAAGGACCTCGCCGGCTGGGTTGCCATCGCCGAAGACTCTATCCCCTGCCAAAAGCTCGGCTACTCGAACCCGCGTTTCCCTATTTACCTTGAGGAATATAATATCCCCGCTCAAAAAAAGGCTTGGGATATCTACGCTGACGCAACTCGCGGTTCATCTGCTTTTAACAACTCGATCTTTATGTTCGAGGGTTACTCCATGGGTGGTGTTCACGCCATCCCTGCTGACTCCGCTGCTTTCGCCTTCCGCTCTGAGAACCTTCTCGCTGCGCCCATGATTAATTACTTGCCTGCTGGTGAGGAATTGGATTCTGAGGCTAAGGATCTGGGTTCTCTGCTCCGTGATATTCTCTCGGATGCGACCGGTCGCGAAGATTTCAGGGCTTATATTAATTATGCCTATGGTGCGGAGACTTCGGAGCAGATCTATGGAAGTGAGGAGTGGAGACAGAGACGTCTGCGTGCGCTGAAGAAGGAGTATGATCCTCATGGAAAGTTTAGTTTCTATGCTCCTATTGCGTAGAGTTGGACTTGGGACGGTTGATTTGCGTATGTCAAGGAAGATGTGTATATGGGCTTCGGGCCATTGTATGAGCGGAAGTGTATATTGTTAGATCAATAGAATATTGTATAAACATTCTATATTACTATTTTTATTTACTTCTTTGATATTACTGTTCATTTCAACTTGAAGCCACTGGATAATTTGACAGCATATTGAAACTACCATGACAGCCCTGGGGACGAGATTAAAGGATATAGGTTGTTGACTTCGATTGACTGCCTCGCATCTCACAAGTGCCATCTCGCTGTACAGAGCACTGTAGAAAAACTGACGCCCATAATGAAAATGTACCAGGCCACGAGGGATTCATACATACAAAGAAGTGTATAAAGGGATGTAAACACACGAACGTAATGAAATATATGAAAAAAATTTCCAAGTAGATAAAGGATAAAAGACCCAAACCCACAAAAATCCATGTTTAAACGATCGGTTCAAACTTAAACACTAACACCAAACACTCAAGAAAAGCAAGGGAAAGACAAGTTCAAATTCTTGGCTCATAATCTCACTTCATTCACGTCGGAGAATGGACTCTCCACGCGAGAAGGAGCCTCCCGGGCGCTTTGCCGGGAGCTGCGCTTTGCAGTGTCGGTTGAGCTTGAATTCTTGCCTTTCTGGTCGCTAAAGGGGCTTGCGTTCTCTGCGTCTTCCTCGGGAGATTCGGGGACTTCGACAATAGAGATCGTAGGGATGCCCTTCTTGGCGGCGGTGTTGTTAGAGGATGAGGTGGAGGGTGGCGTATCATCATCTTCATCGGATGAAGAACCATCGAAAGTAGAGGTCTGGTGGTCGAATTGTGCGGAATTGGTAGCAGACAAGCGCTCATCAGCCGAGGACGTATCTTGGACCTTCTTCTTCAATGAGGGGCCTCGAACCATAACGGGTTTAGCCATGACGGTACGGGCAACAATAGAGGAGCTAGAGTTGGAAGCGACGGGGGATGGAACGGCTGGGAATGCTCCAGCCTTGGCGAGCTGTGCAGATGTGATGGCTGGGACCGCGGGCGCATCGGCCGGCGTGATCACCACTGGAGTGCCAGGAACATCGGGGGTATTGGCGCCAGAAGGAAGACCAGAGTGGACACTGACGATGTTTGCGCGCGTTCTGCTAATCTGTTGAGCGGGGATGGCGCTGACAATGGCGTCATTGCGGTAGATTGTGGTCGCAACACTGCTTCGAAGAGTCGGTGACATGCTTTGGTGATGTCCGGCTCCACTGAGCGTAGTCCAAGAGGAGTCTCGAAGGTCTCCGGGCATGAAGAAGTGCTGGTCAGGGTGAGCACCTGGAAGTGGAGGCACAGGAGGAACCAGGGTAGCAGGAGTTTCGGGAGGAGATCTGTTGGTGACACCAGGAATGTAGGCGATTTGAATGACGTTGGAGGCCCGGGTGAGAACTGTCGATGCAATTGACTGTGTAGATTGACGTGTTGATCGAGCGGCCGCAAATTCACTGCTCTTCTCTTGTTGGGCAGCGCGCTCTTGCTTCTTGCCGCGAATGGCGAACCACCAGATCAAGAAGAGAATCACTGCAAGCGCGATAAGACCTCCCACAACACCTCCTGCGATGGCACCAACATTAACACCACCAGACTTTGGCTGCGATGACGCGGTGGTGGTTTGAGCGCCCGAGGAAACACATTTGGTAGAAGCACAAGAGGTACACGATTGACTGGTCATGCTACATGTGTAACCGGACTCGCATGCTGGGCAGGATGGAGCGCTACCGGAGCAGGTAACACATCGCTTGAAGAGAGAAAAAGCAGGGTCGAATCCCATGAAGGAGTCGGAATCAACAGGGTCGAAAGATGACATGATGGGCGAAGTGGAATCGGAACGGCGAGAATCAGGGGAAATGACGAGAGGAGGTATCAACGATGGACCGGTCAACGGTGGAAAATGAATTTGCAGGGCGAATAGAAAAAATCCAGATGGGAAAAAGAGTGTGGAAGGCTCAATCGGCGTCAAGTCGTGAGCGTTAATGCTAGATCATGAGAAGATAAAAAAAAAAAAAATAAACAACGGCCCGTCAAATTGAAAGGCTAATTTGGTATTGTCGAAGCACAAAATAACGAGTGTGGGTGACAGATCCGATCAAGGACTGAGACCGAACATGGTCCAGTCTTTTGTTGTTGAGGGAGAAAGGGAACCCGTTGATGATCGGATGTTTGAAGAGGTGAAAGGAGAAGCGTAAGCCTGGGACGGGAGGAGAACGTTCTCCCTGGGAAATGAGGTGCAGTCACGGGGGCCTGAGCGAGAGGCTTTGCTCCACCAACACGCAAGATGAGCGGGGGTCAAGAAGATTGTTATTGGATGGAAAGTAGAGGATCCGATGTCATAGGAAGATAAAATATCCAGAAATCATCCGGGAGGAAGTTATTTGAGAGAGTATAAAGTATTTATATAAAGATGTATATCCTAGGTAGTTGATCTAGCCCTTGGTGATATATACTACATATACTAGACCAACCCCCTTTCACCTTGCAGTTCCCCCCTGTCACACACCTGGGCAGTATCCACGGGTGAAGGCTGGTACCTGAATCATCTGTTTGTCTTGTTTGTTTTGTTTGTTTTATTTGACTCAGCTAAATCGAGGTCTGGACTCGGATTATCATCGGGCCGGGAGATTGCAAGTGGAGATGAACACAAGGACACAAGAACACAGGCACCAAGAATATGAGAACCGTTCCTGCAGAGGTTCTGGACCGTTTCATGTTTAATGATCGCACAAAGATAACATTTTTTAAATATTAAGATGAAAAAAGCCATCAAAATCAGTGGGTCGATCCCAGGGCTGAACTTCAATTTGCCCTGTACATCCATGGATGATCATGAAGGTCAAATGTTGATGAGATATATCCCTGCACATGCAAATGTCTACTCACCTGCCCAGGTGGACATCCCCGACATCTGGAAGGTTCAATTTTGGATGACACCATACCAGGTGGCAAATATGGAGATACAGACTCGGTTGATTAATAGAAAAGAGGACAAAGTGCTCTGTACATATGTATATGTACAGTATCGTGCATCTGCATCAAGATAACTTGAACCTTGAAAGTGGCTATGGATTTGATATAAGATCTACTCTGTACTGATAGTTTTGCCAGGCGGTCTACGGAGAAGACCGAGTACACAAAGCAGTGCCCAGGTGGGATCCAAGGCTGGACATATAGAGTATCCAAAAATAGTAAGGGAGAATCACGTGAAGTCAGAGTAGGATCCGAAATAGGATTTGACGACTCTATGTGAGACACGGGAGGCGCAGTCCACCATCGTCCACCACGGTGTGTGAGTCCGACCGGGGAAGTGATTGGAGAGAATGGAGACATGTGGATTTCAACTCCATGAAAAATATAAATGAAACGGCACCTGGGGGGTTACAATGTCACATGACTGTCGATCAGGCAAAGACGGTGAGAACAATAGCAGAGAAGGCTATTCTATTCTTCTACGGGTATACGGAGTACGAAGTACCTGATTCAGATTCAACAGATCCATCCACCTGGCCAGTATACAGACACTAGCACTGGCATACCCGCGGTCGGCATCCATCTCCTCATAAGATCAAGATCTTATTCTCCCGAGCCGTTTTGCATGCCAGAGAATCATGAAATCATACCGTCATAATCAAGACTTGATTATAATGGCGAAGAATGCCAGCATACCAGCCCACGCCTGTTTCACTCCATGGGTTCCGCTGTTACATGGTGATTGGGTGATAATCACCGAGTGGAGTCTTCATTCTGGATTGAGTTAGGCGGAGATCTGAGTACATTGACATAAGAACAGTGAAAACAACTTGAATATCAACATTCAAACATCTTGACAGAGTCCAGAATGATTCAAAAGCATCCAAGTGGAACTCTAAGACATTGGACTGAATTATCGCCACAGACAGACCCGAGGGATCTGCAAATCTCACCATCTTACCAGTCCAGTCTGACCAGTCTACAGATGATACGTCAAAGTGGGGAAAGAAGACCCTGAGCCCTGATTCGCGATGCTTTGACCCTGAATAACCCTGAATAACCCTGAATTGAACCCTGACAGGGTACTTCAGACCCGTGGTCTATTCATACCACACTTTTAGACGCTGTCCTCAAGGGATGAGATATGTGGTTGCATAGGCCAGATCATAATAATCCTTAGTCGCCTCTAGATAACACCTTCAATAATGAAATCTTCCAAAGCCTAAAACCCGATCTCTGAATGAGATCAAGAATAAGCTAGAGCTAACTCCGTAAAAGGTGGATCAGATGTTCTATTTTAGTTCCCGTGAAGGGTAACTGAGTACATGGATCGTGTGCCCAGACGCCTCTGTAAAAAGAAATGTAAACATAATCATTAATAGTCACAAAAAACCTGCAGTCCAACGCTTTTGTTTTTTTTTTGTTGTTTTATTTTTATGTTTTATTTTTTGTTTTTTTTTAACTCATCACATCTTTTCTCCTTCCCCCTTCTCCTCGGTATCACTCACCCCTTCCATCGTTACATTCCTCACTTTACATCTATCCAGCCTTTTTGTGTTATTTCGTTCAAGTTTCACTCGTTTACGACAATACCGGTCCCTAGGCCACTCCCCAACTCTGCAAGGCCCTGGTGGCTTCCTATCTGGACCTGATCTCCCCTTGTTTCTCGATACCCCTCAACTCCATCTCCTTTAATCTCAACCCCAGGGATTTTTGCGCGCTATCATCATGGCCTATCAAGGGTCGGGTGCGCATGAGCACTCGGGCTACGAAGAGGGTACTCGTCTTCAGGATGTGCCTGCTGCAGAGGTATGGTGCCTAACCCGCATCAAAGAGCGACAACAATATACTAATCACAGGTATTGAAAATAAATAGTACCAGGAGCGCGAGGATGAAGATGCATCAAGAGGTCTACTTTCTCATCAACAAGGTCCTTTTTCGACACCCTTTGATGATCCCCATTCACGCGGTCACTCGCCCATTCGCCCCACATCGGGCTACAGCTTGACGGAAACTTATGCTTCAGATGCCGCTCCAGCTTATCATGATCCCTACACTGTGGGTGCTCAAGAGAACGCCGCGGCCACTTTCGGTGTCCCCAGTCGTGTTGCCTCACCATACGCCCGCAGTGAAACCTCATCTACTGAGGCCTGGCGCCAGCGACAAGCACCCGGTGGTGGAAATGGTGGAGGGAACCTACGCCGTTATGCCACTCGTAAGGTGAAGCTGGTTCAGGGTTCAGTCCTGAGTGTCGATTACCCAGTTCCCAGTGCTATCCAAAATGCGATTCAAGCCAAGTATCGCAACGATCTTGAGGGAGGCAGCGAGGAGTTTACACATATGCGATGTAGGTGATTCCAATCTTGAATCCGCTTTGTTGCCTTTCATATCCTCAACATCTGAATATGAACGAGACCGTTGGAAACTAACATGATACTCCGCTAGACACTGCTGCGACTTGCGATCCAAATGAATTTACTCTGCACAACGGTTACAATCTGCGTCCCGCCATGTACAATCGTCATACCGAACTCCTCATTGCAATCACCTACTACAATGAGGACAAGACGCTGACCGCTCGTACCTTGCACGGTGTGATGCAGAATATTCGTGATATTGTCAACCTCAAGAAGTCCGAGTTCTGGAACAAAGGTGGACCTGCCTGGCAGAAGATCGTGGTTTGCCTCGTCTTCGACGGTATCGACCCCTGCGATAAGGATGTTTTGGATGTTCTGGCAACCGTTGGTATCTACCAGGATGGTATCATGAAACGTGATGTTGACGGAAAGGAGACTGTGGCGCACGTTGTATGTCTGGAGAAAAATCACCTGTTCCCCAGAACTGTCGCTAACAAGTGGTATAGTTCGAATACACAACCCAGCTATCAGTTACGCCCAGTCAGCAGCTTATTCGACCTACTGATGATACTCCTAGCACCCTGCCTCCCGTTCAGATGATGTTCTGTCTTAAGCAGAAGAACAGCAAGAAGATCAATTCGCACCGTTGGCTATTCAACGCCTTTGGCCGTATTCTCAACCCAGAGATCTGTATCCTCCTAGACGCTGGAACCAAACCCGGCCCAAAATCATTGCTCGCTCTTTGGGAAGCCTTTTACAACGATAAGGATCTTGGCGGTGCCTGCGGTGAGATCCATGCTATGTTGGGTAAGGGCTGGCGCAACTTGGTCAACCCTCTTGTGGCTGCTCAGAACTTCGAATACAAGATCAGTAACATTCTAGACAAGCCTCTAGAGAGTTCTTTTGGTTATGTCAGTGTGTTGCCTGGTGCTTTCTCGGCCTATCGATTCCGTGCCATTATGGGCCGTCCACTCGAACAATATTTCCACGGTGACCACACCTTGTCTAAGCAGCTTGGTAAGAAAGGTATTGAGGGTATGAATATCTTCAAGAAGAACATGTTCTTGGCCGAGGATCGTATTCTCTGCTTCGAGTTGGTGGCGAAAGCTGGATCAAAATGGCATCTTTCATACGTGAAAGCTTCCAAGGGTGAGACCGATGTGCCCGAGGGAGCCGCTGAGTTCATCTCACAACGTCGTCGTTGGCTTAACGGATCATTCGCCGCCGGTATCTATTCTCTGATGCATTTTGGCCGTATGTACAAGAGTGGCCACAATTTGATCCGCATGTTCTTCCTTCACATCCAGATGTTGTACAACATCTTCAACACCATCCTCACCTGGTTTTCGCTGGCATCATACTGGTTGACCACCACTGTCATTATCGACCTGGTTGGTACTCCTAGTCCCAGCAACGGCAACACTGCTTTCCCCTTTGGTCATACTGCGACACCCATCATCAACACAGTTCTCAAGTATGTCTACCTGGGATTCCTGTTGTTGCAATTCATTCTTGCGCTTGGTAATCGACCCAAGGGATCCAAGTTCTCATACTTGGCCTCCTTCGTCGTCTTCGGTATCATCCAGCTCTACATTGTTGTCGACTCCCTGTACCTGGTCGTCCGGGCGTTCAGTGGAGGTGCTCCCATGGATTTCGTAACCAACCAAGGCGTGGGTGCTTTCCTCAAGTCCTTCTTTGGCTCCTCGGGTGCTGGTATTATTATCATTGCACTGGCTGCCACTTTTGGCCTGTACTTCGTTGCTTCCTTCATGTATGCCGATCCTTGGCATATGTTTACCTCCTTCCCACAATATCTGGTGCTGCAGTCTTCTTACATCAACATCCTCAACGTCTATGCCTTCAGCAATTGGCACGACGTCTCCTGGGGTACCAAGGGATCAGACAAGGCTGATGCACTTCCCTCTGCTAAGACGACCAAAGATGAAAGCAGTAAAGACGCAGTCATCGAAGAAATTGACAAGCCTCAAGCAGATATCGACAGTCAGTTCGAGGCCACTGTCAAACGCGCTCTCACTCCATTCATCCCCCCTGTTGAGAATGAGGAGAAATCTCTTGAGGATTCCTACAAGAGTTTCCGAACTCGCCTTGTGACCTTCTGGATTTTCAGCAATGCCTTCCTCGCAGTTTGCATTACCAGCGAGGCAGTGGACAAGTTCGGATTTACAGTACGTTCCATCTCCATCCCCTTTCCAGTTGCGATATAACTAACCATTTCTCCAGAACACCGCTACCACGCGTACTGCACGTTTCTTCCAAGCTCTTCTGTGGTCCAATGCCGCGGTGGCTTTCTTCCGTTTCATTGGCTGCTGTTGGTTCTTGGGCCGTACCGGCATCAAGTGCTGCTTTGCCCGCCGTTAGATGATGGATACCACGACTTTCTTTTCTCCCTGGCACATGTCCCTTTTTTTATTGCCTAAGCAATTCATTTTCCTCCTTCCTTTACCTGTCCTATCCAAATCATGTATTCTAGCTAAACATGCCTGTTCTATTCGAATCGTTTTTGTGATGCCAGTATGTACTGTCGCAGGCTGGAAGTAGCCTTCTACCGTGATGTTTTGTCGGACCAGCGATGCAACAGGATGCATTCGGGGCGCAATGAATTATTCCGAGATCTAAGCTGATATGCATAGATTCTCTAATTTCAACTTTCAAAGTATTGAGTTTTATTTTAGTAGATGGTAGAAAAGATGTAGTTGACAAAGCAGTCGAAAAAATACTTGAAAAGTGATTAAAAAAATACTTGAAAAAGCAGTTACAAGAATACTCAAAGAAATACTTAAAATTTCTTCAAACAGTGATTCGAACAATTATTTTAAAAAAATTAGTTGAAGAAATAGTTAACAGAAAGTAGTTAAGAAGATAGTTAAAAAAGCAATTGAAGAAATAGTTGGAAAAATAGTTAAAGAATAGTCGAAGAAATAGGGGGGGGAAAAGTAGTAGAAAGTAGTAAAAATCAGTTACAAAGATATCTAAAAGTTAATTTTTTTTTTTTAAAAAAAAGTAGTAAGAAGTAGTTAAAAAAATAAAATAAAATAAAAAAAATAGTTGGAAAAGCAGTTGAAAAAATAGCTGCAAAGTTGTAGGTACTAAGTAGTTGTTATAGTTGAGAAGGTAATTCAAAAAATAGTTGAGAAAATAGTTTGAAAAATGTATTTCAAAACTATATAAAAAGATATTTAAAAAGTGATTCGAAAAAAAAAATTAGTTGAAAAGGTGGTTGAAAAAATAGCTGGTAGTGGTTGTATAGTGTAGTCGAAAAAAGTTGGTAGATATTCCTCACACGGCGAAACATATCGCCGTCTCCCCGAGCTCTCTCCATGCGTCATGCCTAGAAGCCCGAGATGGACCCAAAGGCGGGACGCGATATTGCCGCTGCAAAGCCCCGCAGGCTTCTGTCACCTTAACTTCGGCTTGCGCCGCCAACCACTTTAAGGTTGACGATCTAACACAGCACCTGAGGCTGTACACATGTCAGCCAGTTCCTGAATCATTTACAATCGTTACTATCCCTCCTGGGGTCCTCTCAAAACCCGTTTCTGACATTCCTACCCACGCGGGGGTGGTGAACCGTCAAGATGTTGAAGATTTGGTCTATGGTTTGTGACTGAATCGCCCCTTAGCATACCCATAAAACACAAAGATCCAAGCTAACATCTGTATAGAAGCAGCAGCAGGCGCAGGCCGAGAATGCCGATGGTGCTGGCAAGAAGAAGAAGAAGGTCACTGCCGCCCAGCTACGAGTGCAACGAGGTTCGTCCCAATGCCGAACCCTGATTTCGAACTCCTTCTATACCAAGCATGATTCCTATCATATAATATGTCTCATACGAGAATATTATATCTCTTCATCTGGAGATCTCACACTGGGATCTCACCTGCAATTTCACCGATACCAAAATCTGCATCTATCCGAATCGAGTCAAATCACCATTCTAACCTCATTTAAATAGATCTTCAAGAGCTAACGCTCGGAAACACAATGAGAATGACCTTCCCAAACCCCGACGACATCTTAAACTTCACCCTAATCATCGAACCAGACGAGGGCATGTACAAGGGTGGCGTCTTCAACTTCTCCTTTGCCGTAAACCAGAACTTCCCGCACGATCCCCCAAAGGTCAAATGCACCCAAAAGATTTACCACCCCAACATCGATCTCGAGGGAAACGTCTGTCTGAACATTCTGCGTGAGGACTGGAAGCCTGTTCTTAATTTGAATGCGGTTATCGTAGGCATGCAGGTACGTCTTTACCCGTCTATTTGGGCTATACATAGATTCCTCTATCCCAAGTCACCTACCCTCTTTTGCTCTGTTCTGGTCATTCATCATTATTATATTTCCATATTTCCATATTGGAAATACTGGGAAGTCGGGAATATACTAATTTCACTATAACAGTTCTTATTCCTCGAACCAAACGCATCAGACCCTCTCAACAAAGATGCAGCTGATGATCTTCGCGCAAACCGTGACTCCTTCAAGCGCCATGTACGTACCTCGATGGGTGGTGGTGCCGTGCGCGGTGTGCATTTCGAGCGTGTGCTCCGATAGTTTGATGATCGCTTTCTTACGTGTTTGCTCCGGAATGAAAAATGGAGCTGGGTGGTTGCGATCAATTCTGGCTTGGGTATCTGTTATCTGGTATCCTTGATGCTGGACATGAGGACCTACATACATGGCGTATTTAGCGTTCAATTTCAATAGATATGAATTCCATGACATCTTAATTGCCAATTAGTGGGGATGTATTGCAAGAATAGTGGGATGGATCTAAACCCGGCTTATGTTTACCTGATTTTTTGCCATATGCGCAATACATACTGGAATTAAGGTCGTAGACACTTCCATGGTTGGACGTGGATCCAATAATTTACATCTACTAGTACTAAGGTAATTCGTCATTGAGTCCAAAACAAAACATTGTGATAACGGCATATGTACAATCAACCCAAATTACCACTCCACAAAAACACCACTCCACCCGCAAAGAGATCGCAGACACCAAAACAGAGAAACAGCCTCAATGCCTCGGACGGGTGGTGGTTGATTGAATTTCTCTTGGAAAAAAAGGACGTAAGGAAATGTAGGAATCGATATCGATTTGTCAAGTAAATGCCGACAGGCGAGTCGATTTATAGAAGCGTTCTAGCGGGTGGTGATCATTTGGGCGATTTACGAGCGCTCAGCAGCGCGCTCAGCCTCGAGGCGGGCGTAGTAGACATCACGCTCACGGACGCGGGGAAGGTGGAAGCCTGGATCATCATAATTAGAATTATATCATATAGAGTAGGAGTGCTTGTGATTGTCTACTTACCGTACCACCAGAGGTAACCGAAGGTAGTACCGAAACCTGATAGATTGTTAGTTAGTTCTCACGATATGCACAGCTAGACATATGCGATCCAGCTAGCATTCCCAACGCGGATGGCTAGAATGGAATCCAATCCATATTGAATATAGGAATCATATTCCGGATCATATCCATATCCAATCCATCCACGCATCATGCCACACTCATATCGATCCACTCACCGAAAGCGGTGCTCAGGTCCAGGACCAGACCCCGGCGGAGCATCTATATTGTATGTTAGTTTGACTTGACTCGTACGGGTATCCGACTTCGCCGATCGGGCCATGTCGGATGAAGGGGTCACGTACGCCGGTGATAGGGGGAATAGCAGCGGCCATTGTGTCTGTAGAAGAGTGTTAATTGATTCCGCAAGAAGCGATTATACTGTGAAGCTCGGCGGACGGACTGACCTTGGACGTTGAAGGTGGGAGAGGTGGAGGGGAGAGAATGACGGGGTGAAGTGGACGAGAACTGAAGTTGAAGCTTTCGGGCGGTAAGCGAGGCTCCGGATTGGTCAATAAGTTGGAGATTTATGACACCATGTATGGGCTGACCTGATATTGATATCTTTTGTTTTGAACGATGAGATTTGAATATAATTATATTTTCCATTCACTTATTTCCTTCATTCTAGTCATATATGTCTTTTGGTTATGCTCAACCTACTGCTTTACTACATGGCATAAATCTATGACACCTTGCAGAATAGGCACCAACGCACGTGACCTCCCGCTCCCCGATTCGATCAACAACTTGGCAAGCTCCTTGACTTCTCCGCCGTGATCTTTGCTCCGCACCTGTGGCTATGGCGTCGTCGAGCCTCCCAGTGAAACGCTCTGCATCTCATCTCGAGGAAGAGGACAGCAAGCGTTCGAAACAACATTATCATCACCACCACCGTCTCCACCGACCTGTCATTCTACCTGCCTCATCCGAACCCGCCGTACACGATGAGGTCCACCTCGAGAATCTCTTGAACCGTTCAGTCGCGCATATCCTTAAGGATGCGGGATTCGATACAGCTGAGCCGGCCGCGCTATCCGCCTTGCGCAGCGCTACAGACACATGTATGTGATGGGAGCAGACCATGACCTAAAAAAAGAGCTTTGAACTAACCATGCGCAACGCATCAGATTTGACCCGCTTATCAACATACATCCGTCAATCTATGTCAGCATCTCGACGGCTTCAACCGCTTCCTCCTGATTTCGAGTACGCTTTTGGTCGCGTTAATCTATCTCTCAACGATCTCATCCCCTACACCCAATCATGCAAAGCCGTTGCTTCTATCCCGACCCTTCCCCCATCACCTCCACCGGAGGATGAGCTTGCTCGCAAAATCCCATTCCTCAATTCATTGCGCGACCTAGAGACAGAAGTCGACCGCTCTTACGTTCCAAAGACCTTCCCCGATTTCCCAAGCAAACATACCTACTCCTCTACTCCGGTCTTCACAGAGCGAGATAACGATCCTCGTAAAATCCGTGAACGCGCCGCAGAAGATGGACGACACGGCGAAGAAGCTCTACGCAAGTTAGCTGCTGCTGCATTCCGTGGTGATAACCCCTCCAGCTCGAGTGGGAAGGATAAGAAGCTCTGGGGACGACGACTAGAGAGCATGGAGACCATGTTCGAGAAGACGGTGAAGGGACTCGCGAAGAAATTTCATAAAGACCCGCTTGCACCTGCGGGGTCAGCCATGGAGATCGACTCGGGCAATTTTGCTGACGGAGATGCGAAATCCAAGGCGAAGCAATTACACTGGAATACGGATATGGGTCCTATTGTGAACTGCGAGCGAGACTTTTGGCGTCGACCCGCGACTGGTCCGCGAGGAAAAGAAGAGAAATCAGCGAAGCCAGCTGTTCCGACTGGGTCGGTAGATGTTTTGGACGCATAAGTACATTTATCATGGAGGGCTATTATGGATATTTAGACGTGTATCATTCGGATGGGCGTTTTACGATATGTTTGGGTTGGCGCTTTCATTTTGTTTTCGGAGTCGTTATTGAGGAGATACCCCATGGCAGCAAGTCATATCATAAATAACAATTATCATTTGGGAACGCATTTTCAATGCTATATAGTACATGTAAAAAGACCTTAAACTCCACCCAATGCGAATGAACCTGCGTCCCAGTACTTTATGTGGAAGACTGCTCGAGCTTCGCCTTTGCCTTCGCCTCTTCAGCTTGCCTCAAGGGCTCCCACGATGTTGTCTCTACCGTCAATCCACCGGCGCATCTAATGGAAATTAGAATTAGGACCTTCATACATCTCCGTCAGACCCGCCTGGGTCAAAAGTTGTCTGCAACTCACTTTCGAAATAGTCGCACGATAGGCTTGCAGACCACGACGCCTGGTTTCGGTATCTCCTCCTGTGGCGGATTACAAGAATACTGCACCATCTCCATAAGTGCGCATTCTTTTAAATCAATCTGTTCGCCCTTGCGTTTCTTCTCTATGAAATTGCGGCGCACGATGTTGACATGGTCGGGGAGGGTATCCGCGGAGAAAACGGGAACAAGAGGTGCCATTGTGGTGGTGGTGATGGTGGTGGAATTGGGATCGGTATTCTACTCTTCTTCGTGAGGATTCGCTTTTCCTGGGAATTCGTATTTGTGTAGGTAGGAGGATTCGAGGGTAGCGTTTGCCTCAAGGGCTTGGTAGTCGGATTGAAGCAAAGCTAAGTTCCTGCGGGTCCGAGTATCGTGTTCCGCCGAGCTACTTCAAGTTAACTACTACATATTATCCTGGCCTCTTCACATCATGATGAATACATGTATGCCTTGTTGATTTTGAGAGCACATTTTAAACGACAGTGCAGTAGTATCTTGACTGAAATTACTGTTCATCTCAAGTCGAGGCATGCATGATCCATGATACTGCGGGCTTTGGTTCGGTATGGCTGCCAGCTTAGGCGCAACGTCGCTGGACAATCTACACCACGAGGGACTAGATGAGGTATGTTGTCTCATTTCATGTCTGTTTCATCACGGTCTAACTGGAATAGCTTCTGCATGAGCTTGCAAATGTCTACCCTGCCGGCGCTGATCACCAAAGGCCATCACTAGGCGTTCCTATTCTCGATGCCTTGATGGAAGTTTTCATGCTGAGGACTGTAGGCCCTGCGCCAGAGTACCATCCTCACACCCAGCAGAATCAAACACAGTCCATACCACAGCTTGAAGACCTAGAGTCAGTGCAAGAACTGATTCAGTCGGATGATGATGAGATGCTTCTCGCTGAGGACTATGATAATGAGGCTCTTTTATCGGACGAACAACAAGTGCCCGCTTTGCTTTTCTCCGGGTCTGCCCACAGGAGCCATCGACCAATGCCTGTGCTAGAGATCTCGAGTAGTCTTTCAGGCGCTGGAAAATCGCAACTGCTTTATTATCTGACTGCTCTTGCGGTCCTACCCCGGGAATATGGTAATACCCATATTGGTGGACAAGATGCAGCGGTCGTTTTCATTGATGCGGATGATCGCTTTGATGTGCAAAGGCTACAAGCCGTAGCTCGAGGTATCATACTAAATGCAGAGCAGTCCCAGCCAGAAACAGAGCAGGATTCAGAGAAAACAACTGAGAATGTAAAGCTATCGAGGGATGACCTCGAGTCAATGCTCTTCTCTGCATTCAAGCACATCCACATCCTCCGGCCGCAGTCATCATCCGCTCTACTGGCTACTCTTGCTACGCTGGATACGTATCTATATGATATTTCTCAACACCACTCTGCACCACGTCCCCTTCAAATGCTTGCAATCGACAGCATGACAGCATTCTTCTGGCAAGACAAACTCCGCGACAATCTCGCCCGAGCAGAGGATCTCGGTCGATCAAGGGAAGAGAACGATAAATTAAGAGAGCAGAATCAGAGCTTCCACTTTGTTGATCTTTACGCAGAAATAGCCAAGAAGCTGAAAAGGCTACAGGCGCGTTTCGGATGCACAGTTGTATACACGACAACAGTCTCCGGGCCTCGACCGAATAAGACTACAGCTGACCAGACTGGTCAACTGGGTCCTTATGATGCCCCTCCTTCTCGCACACCGGCCCTACTTTCTGCTCTCCCAGCGCCGTGGGGTACATTTCCTCTTCTCCGATTAGTAGTGCAGAGGGATTTGATTCGCGCCTTTCCGCCGACAATGAGTACGAATGATGCGAAGAAGGATGCTCCTATGCGCCAGGTTGTTGTTCGTCGTGGAAACTTCTCGGCTTATGTTAATTCTTGGGGAAGGGAAGAATGGCCAAGTCGAGTGGTTGATGGTCTTAGGCCATATGGTGATGGGAGCTTCCCATTTTACGTTCGTGAAGATGCTATTGAGATACCACTTCCTGGATCGTAATCTTGACGATTCATGCTCATATGTTCTATAAGATCGGGGTATCTAGTCGCCTACAGCTGTCTGCACTTCATGGACTGATATAATATCATATTAGTTGACTCCAATATTCACATATTACAAGAGATTCCGCTCTCGACATGGGCAGTCATCCCTGATTCAGTACTAGCAGCCAAAGTGTAGTCCAGAGTATCTTCAAGTAGGGTATATTAATCTCTCTAAGTCTATTACCGACTGGGACTTCATTCCTGATCCCGGAGATCTGATCTCTATGTACCTAGTTCAACTATACAACTTCGCAATCGCTTCAACAGTGGTATTCCCTCCACTAAACACAATCCCAACATCCCATCCCTCCTCTCCACCCTCCTCTTCCACACGCTTTCGAAACTCTTCATCAAACAAGCAAACCGCCAACCCAACAACAGCACTCGGTTCCACAACCACCTTCATCCGCTCCAGAACAAGTCGCAACGCAGCCTTAATCTGTTCTTCCGTAACCGCAAAAACCCCCTCCACTTTCTTCTTATCCGAAATAACTTCCCAATTCAACAATCCAACCGGCGTTCTCAGCCCATCCGCAACAGTCAACGTAGAAACCTTCTCAACTCTCGCCTGGGCCAGAAGTCCTCTCCGACAATCATCCGCACCCTGAAAGCTAGGCTCTGCACCAAAAACCCGTGTTGACTTATCAGAGAAGTACGTCGCAACACCAGCATTCAATCCACCTCCACCAACAGGCGTGATCACCGCATCAAGACTCTTAGAGCTCTTCTCGGCGAATTGTCCCTCCATCTCGAGGGCTGTAGTACCTTGTCCACAAATAATATTGAAGTCGTCGTACGGTGGGATTAGGATTGCGTTCGTCTTAGCTTGGATCTCTGCTACGACAGCTTCGCGCTCGACGCTTGTAGATCCACTGAATACCACTTCTGCGCCGTGCGAGCGCGTCCCCGCTATCTTGGATGGTGTGCTTATTTCTGGCATGACGATGTAGGCTGGGATATTTAGGGTTGAGGCGGCGAGGGCGAGGGCTTGGGCATGGTTGCCTGTATCATAGACTTGTTAGATTATAGGTTCCAAGCTCTGAGTTTGGGAAATGATGGGTATATCATGAATCCTCCAGGGCTTTCTTTTCATACCAGAGCTATGTGTTATCACACCCCGCTTCTTAACCTCCTCTTCTCCTTGTGCCTCAATCACCCGTAGCAACGCATGGTGAGCACCGCGTGCCTTGAACGCGCCGATGCGCTGGAGGTTCTCGCACTTGAAGTGGAAGCGGAATTGAGGGTTTGCGGGGATTTGGCCTTCAAATGGCGTACCGATCAGGGCTTCAGCGGTTTGCGGGGTGGATGCGATCTTGTCGAGGGTTTTGGAGGTTAGGAGCGGGGTGAGGTGGACGTAGGGTTTGATGAGTTCGTATGCTGCCCCCACAGCGGCGGGTGTGAGGGCCTGGGCTTGTTCGGCTGGAGTGGACATTTTGTAGGCGATTGAGGTAGGTATATGTGCAGGTTAGAGTGAGTGAAGTTGTTGAGGTGGGAGGCCAGATGAAGTGCGGAGAGTCCCCGGAAATTTCTCCGCAGTTGATGGATCGGATGCATTGACTCATCCCATCTTGAGATGAGGCTTTACTCAATCCCTCATTTCTTTTGTTCTAAGGTCTATTTGATGATTACAAGGGAAATAATGAGAAATAATGAGAAATCGGAAACGGTCTCGCCGTATAATGATATTTTCGAAATACCCGAAGCCCAAACAAACAAATTCATAGTACATTCATAATTTTTGATCCAAAATTTTTGATCCAATCCTCCCTTTCGCGGGTATCACAACATTATATAATTTATTTCTGGTTCTCGGGGCGCAGAGAGCGGACGGCCTTACCGGCGCGCCAGATCTCGAGCTCGCGGATCTCCTCCATCTCCTTCTCGTACTTCTCACGGTAGTCCTTCTGGGAGTTGTAGTCGAGGGAGCGCTGGGTCTCGGTACCGTCACGGACGGAGTCGTAGAGCTCGTTGAAGAGGGGCTTGAGGTTGTCCTTGAAGCGGCTGGACCAGTCAATGGCACCACGGCGGGCAGTGGTAGAGCAGGCAGCGTACATCCAGTCCATACCGTTACCACCGATCAGGGGGTACAGGGACTGAGTAGCCTCCTCGACAGTCTCGTTGAAAGCCTCAGAGGGAGAGTGGCCACGCTCACGGAGAACCTCGTACTGAGCAAGGAACATACCGTGGATACCACCCATGAGACAACCACGCTCACCGTAGAGGTCGGAGTAGACCTCCTTCTCGAAGGTGGTCTCGTAGAGGTAGCCGGAACCGACGGCAACACCCATGGCGATGGCCTTCTCCTTGGCCTGGCCGGTAGCGTCCTGGAAGACGGCAATGGAGGAGTTGATACCACGGCCCTCACGGTAGAGAGAGCGGACGGTACGGCCGGAACCCTTGGGGGCAACGAGGATGACGTCAATGCCCTCGGGGATGTCAACCTTGGTGAGGTCCTTGAAGACGGGGGAGAAACCGTGAGAGAAGTAGAGGGTCTTGCCCTTGGTGAGGAGGGGCTTGATAGTGGGCCAAGTCTCAGACTGGGCAGCATCGGAGAGGAGGTTCATAACAACGGTACCCTTCTCAATAGCGGTGGTGACATCGAACAGGTTCTTGCCGGGGACCCAGCCGTCCTGGATGGCCTCCTTCCAGGAAGCACCATCCTTACGGACACCAACAATGACGTTGAGGCCCTGGTCACGCAGGTTGAGACCCTGACCGTGACCCTGGGAACCGTAACCGATGAGAGCAAGGGTGTCGTTCTTGAAGAACTCGTGGAGCTTCTCAGAGGGCCAATCGGCACGCTCGTAGACAACCTCCTTGTGACCAGCGAAGTCAATGGTCTTCATACCACGGACGGGGGTGATGGGAGCGATGACACGGGGAACCACCTTGGCCAGAGCAGGCCGGGGAAGGGCGGCGGTGACAACGGAGCGAGGGGCGGCCACACGGGCCATGCGGAGAGCACGGGGAAGACCACGGGAAGCCATGATGTGAATGAGGAATTGGAGTGGAGAGTATGAAGAAGAAAAAGAATTGGAACTTGGGAAGGGATAATCTGGAGTTTTAAATGCAGAGGCTTGGGGTGGGAAGCTCTGGTGTCTCCACTTTAAATGCGAGTCACCTCACGTGATTTTGGAGAGCTTTCCGGAGAAGTGACAGAGCTCCCCGGTCCGACACCGGGGACATAATGATTGGCTTAATTGGCCGGTCGGTGTGAGTCTCTTACGTTGAGAGTTGAATTGTTTGGGACGAGATCTGCCAATCGCCGAGAAGATGATTCAATAGAGGGAATGTATTTGATTATGGAAATTGGACATGTGAATTCATGTTAGTTTATGACATAAATATCAATCCATTGATTAATCTGAACTTCCAAGTGGCAAAATTGAATGTGTTGTGTTGAATTGCGATTTCCTACATATAACAACCTGGAATATATACCGCATGCAGCACCTGAGCTAAAGCTATAATCAAGTCACATTTTTCAATATTTTTCAACATATCCATACTGTTCAAAACTATGTGCAGTACCCGAGTCTGGCCATCTATAGCCCTGGAGCCTGGGGGCCTAAATATAGTAGAGCCTCAATACTAGTACTAATAGTACGGGGTAGACACCACCACTGTGTGGGAGTCACTGTCCCCGGCCCTACTACTCCGGAGTCCGAGATATATGAACTCCGGTTGACCAGTTGACTATATACGGGCGTAAGAACTCTGAATCACAGAGTTAAAGTGGAGCCCGTGCGGCATAGCGATCTGCCCAGGTGCTAGTGTGGCACCTAAAGGCTAAGAGTCATCGGATATTCGCATTAGTCCAGACTCCAGACTTCCAAGGTTGACTTGATACCGTGATATTGCGAATATGCAGAATAATTACTACTCATATTTAGCCCTCTACTAAATACTATCAGTTGGCATCAGCCTGTAGTTTAATATTGAATAAACCTATAACCCCTCAACTTATACGAGATATTACACTCAAACTTCTTGTTCTCGACCACTGTATCCCTTCTGACGGTACACCCCATCCTGGTTAGGACCAATGGTACCCGCCAAAATGTCCCAGCACGATGGACACCACTCGCGCTGGTAACGCCAGTCACTTTTCGTGTGGAATTATCAGGGAATTATTAGTGGTGGGATGACTTGCGGAGTCACATAGCCACTGGAAGAGACACATATAACGAGGCCCTCATCCAATGTCGCCACCCATGAATCGAGTCATCCTAATTTCTGCCTGAGGTGTCTAATGTTCAGCGGCCCCACGGAACCACAGAACCCGCTTCTCCAACTCGAACCAACCCCCCCTCACTGAGAGTTGTTGATTTCCTCGGATGCGCTTCCGCCTCCGGATCATGTCTATACGATGAGCTTCTTCTCATACGGTGAACTCCCCCTCCATCAAGACGCGCAAGGCGCTCATATTGTTGGATTTTCAAAACGACTTCGTTCGTCCATCCGGAGCCTTCCATATTCCTAATACCCCCCGAGATCCTCGAGACCCTACCCGCTCTTGCAGCCGCATTCCGGAAGGTTGGCGATGTCATTTGGGTGCGCTCCCTCTATGAAGCCCCACAGTCGCTCTCGGACTGGAACTTCGGAAATCGTATCGTCCTAGAGAAAGAACCACCCAAGAGACACGCCGTACCTAAGACGGATGTGATTGAGGTTGGATCAGATCGCGATTCTCCAGAACCAGTCGATCAGGAGGCCTTTTTGTCCGGTCGTTCGCCAATATGCTGCGTTCCGGCATCATCTGGTTTTCAGTTCCCAGCTCCACTCCTTGCCGCCATAAACCCAGACCACGATACCATATTGGATAAGACGGGATATTCTGCGCTGGAGTCGACGGATCTTGTGCTTTCATTCCGCACGCGATTTGTGACGGAAGTCTATCTCTGTGGTAGTTTATCCAACGTCTCCGTTTATGCCACCGCTTTGGATGCCGTGCGCAATGGGTTCTCCGTGACATTAATCGAAGACTGTCTCGGATATCGCGAGTTTGGGCGTCATCGGGAGGCCATGCGCCGCATGGCTGATATACTGGGCGCGACTGGTCTCACCGCACAGGAGCTTTATCAGGAGCTAGATTGGGAGGAAACAGACACTATTGCTCGGGGCCCACCACAGTTCAAGCGACCTGCGGGCGCGTCGATTGGCATCGAAAGTGTTATGGATACCTTGGGGGTGGAGAGCGAAGAGCCCCCGGAGGAGAGGCCCGAAGAACAAAATGAAGAAAATCCCGATGAAGGACCTATCAGTCTGTCGGAGATTGCCTCCCTAACTCGACTACATCGAAACACAGCAGGAGCTGCCCGGGTTCCTGTTCAGGCGAACAAACATGTACGCGCGCGAGTGCGACGACCCAAACGCCGTGAACCAACCCCTAGCGCTGGCGCGGGGACAGATGAGGCTCCTCCAAATTCAAATTCAACTCCAACTCCAAATCCAAATCCACATTCAAATCGAAGCCCAAAACCCAAGGCTACTGCAAATCCAAACCCGGAGACTGCGCCGAAACCAAATGATCCTGTCATTGGGGAAGGCGACTCGCGCATTGTGTCAGAACTTGATATCCCTAAAGACTCGTTTGAGCGCATCCGGAATGAGGTTTCCTGGCAAAAGATGTATCATATGTCTGGCGAGGTACCTCGATTGGTTGCGGTACAGGGAAAGATACGAGCTGACGGTTCTATCCCCATTTACCGACACCCTGCGGATGAATCGCCACCTCTCAAATCCTTCACATCTACCGTTGATGAAGTTCGCGTTGCAGTTGAGAAAGTATTGGGTCACCCCTTAAACCATGTACTGATCCAACTGTATCGAGATGGACAAGACAATATCTCCGAGCACTCAGATAAGACATTGGATATTGTGCGAGGCTCTTTCATCTGCAATGTCAGCCTGGGAGCGCAGCGTGTGATGGTGCTCCGCACTAAGACCTCAGCAGAGCCCAAGGTAGAAGGAGAGTCCGGAAGAACCACACAACGTGTACCCCTTCCACATCGGTCACTTTTCATCCTTGGCGAAAAGACCAATATGCGATGGTTGCATGGTATCCGACCGGATAAGCGCCCGGGTGACTCTAAATCTCCCGAAGAGAAAGCATACGGGGGCGAGCGCATTTCGCTGACTTTTCGACACATCGGCACCTATCTGAACCCGGCCAACAATCTAATCTGGGGTCAGGGAGCCGTTGAAAAGTCTCAAGATGCTGCCCGTGCTGCTGTCCATGGAAATCCCGAAAAGACGGAATTGATGATCCATGCCTTTGGCCAGGAAAACCGTTCTTCGGAGTTTGACTGGCGTGCAGTCTATGGTGGTGGCTTTGATGTAGTCAATTTTGTTACAGCCTCACCAGTTCGTTTGACTCTGAGTGGAGACTTTGTGTCGGATCTCAGGGTACGCCTGGGTTTGAGCGAGAATGGACATCGATACGAGCTCACCGATCCACAACAAATGGAAACCGACGCGAGCAACGATAGCAAGCGACCGATTTACTTTGGTCCCGATGGAACAGCTGTTCATGGTGACTTGGCTATCTTGAAGCACCTGGTCTCGCGATCCACCGAGACTGCACAGCCTGGGGTTGATGTTTTAAAGGGTGGGAGCCATCTCTCTTGGACAGAAGACTTATTGGAAGACTGGCGCGAGCATCGTGAAAACAACCCTGGTATCGCATTTTCCGGCGGTTTGCGCCATTGGGAGCGAACCTTGGATGGTCAACATTATTTGGGAGGAGAAGTTTTTGGTATTGATGATTGTGGGCTTTGGCCAGTGTTGCGAGAGATGGTACAAGCTCAAGGTCCTTTTGATGCCCGCTTCACAAACCTGAATCAATACTACCAGCGAGTTGAGAAACGGAGCATTGTTAAAAGAATCTTGGAGGAATACCAAAGCGAGCAACCCGAGGCGTCTTGATGGCCCTTGACTATGATACCCATGCTTATATTTCTAGTATCTATGGACATATGATGAAATATGATGAAATTAGCAGCATTGAGCCAAGCTCAAATTGATATCGTCTCCTACCGCTATCTCCTAGTGATCTTTTCCAACCTCAAGTACTTTCACTTGGTCTTACAGACATTCACCCTCGAAACTAGTAGTGTTCAAGGCACCCTTCAACGCAACTCCTCCACAAACAACAGCCTTGAAAAAAGCTTCAGCAACCACCAAAGCTCCCGCAGGACTAGTATGAGTATGATCAATCGGGTAAAAAGCATCAACCACATCCGCCCCAAGAGTATCATAAATATCCGCAACATAAGCCCAATGGTCCACATACGCCACACCCGCCGTCTCCGCCGCCAACTCAGCATACGCAACGAATCTCACAGGATCATCCACGAACGTCCCAGTTTCCCAGGGATTATCCGGTGTCTGACTCGAAATAAGTACATTAGCTCCAAGCGCCGTGAACGTATTCGCTGCATTCTCCAGGTATGCCGGGAAAGTCAACACCGTCTCGTTTACGCCGTCGTAGACTGTAGTGCATGTTTCGTCGCCTGTGCCAGAACAGTCGGTCCGTCCGTCGTCCGTTGGTGTTAGAGATCCACCGTCATTGTGGCCGAATTCGATGATCACCCAGTCGCCGGATTGGACTTCGTCGGCGATCGCTGTGAAGCGTCCTTCGCGGGTGAAGGAGCGGGCACTACGGCCTGCGATTGCTTGGTTTGAGACAGTCCATGTTGTGTATGGTGCCACGAATTGACCCCATCCTGGTTTGTTAGTCCATGCTCTTTTTATTTCATTTGGCTCAGTTGGATATACCCATTGTACCATTCCCGCCTCCGCCAATAGCCATAGTTGAGTCTCCTGCTAGGTAGATCGTCCCACCAAGGACAGCGGGGACGAACAAAGAGATGTAAGAGACTGCCTTCATGATGAATAGTAACAATATATCCAAGTTTGATGGACCATGAATAAAATCATGATGCCACAACGTGAAAGCACGACGCTTTTATACTCCTCTCCATATCACGAAACTCGCCTTGGATCCTTCAAATATTCAATGTTTAGACTTCGGGAAGATTCCGTAGGATACGCGGAAAATAAAGTGCACATACTCCTGCAGAAATGCACGTCATTGTCATTTGACTCGTGGACCCTCGGATCAATGGAGAACGAGGGTCCAATATGCGGATGAAGCGCACTAGCGGCAGACACGAAACAAGAATACGGGTAGATCACCGGTCTTGGCACTTATTTTGATTCATGGACTTCGTTTCTGCGATATGTACGGTCCAGACTCCTTGACCAGTGGGGTAAATATGACTTCTATGAGTGAGGGGTCCACGGAGTATCATGTTTGGATGTGTGTGAAACTCGCTGTGTTTCGGGAAACTGGATGAATGTACACCGAGGATTAGATTGAGACAGGGACTATACGGGAGTATACTAAGCAGTTAAAGTTGACACTACTAAAAGATCATAGCATTAATTCCATGTTTGAGCACGTCATGAGTATCTTGCTAGCCCTCCAGGACTGGAGCTTGAGATTGATAGATTGATTGTTCCCATAGCCCTGGATCTCGGGAGGATATCACATATACAGTGATGAACTGCCCATAGGTATTAAACTAAGGCTTAGGGATTTTACAATAGCATGTAGCTACATACTTCAAAGCCTGAGATTATAAGTAGGACATTCATCCAATTCCAAGGTTACAGCTTTGAGGGTTATAGGCAGTAGCAGCATCCATAATATAAGCTTCCAAAGTTGGTTTCCAAAATTCTCAGTATATAACTTAAACTCCCGAGGTCATATTTATCTATTGAACAATTTACCTCCATATATCTTCAAATTATCATAAAACAATTATACTATCTAAGCCATATGATAATTTATTACCAGAAAATAAAGAGTATCACCAAATATAGAGCCTTGGAAGCTCAATGTGGGTGGCCAGAGGCAGAGAAGTGACTTCGTGGTGGGTGCCTGCAAACCCTGGCCTTAATATCGTTTCTCAGTTATAGGGGTAAAATCAGGAGTTCCAGTAACCATCCACATCGTAGTAGCCTAGCAGGCTATCGTATCTGTCCCAAGTTGATTTGACACTATGATACCATAAGTCTAGTTTGCTGGGACTGAGGGTTGCTCAGTAGCATCAGCGAGCGTGAGACTTGCCTAAGTGAAACACCACCGTGAGAAAGCATGCAGCGGACTATGTGAAAGGCTTCTGTGGATGGGCTCTTTTTTTGCTCTTTCTTTTGACACTAATCTTATATTTCTATCTATTTTATTAGATTGGTTATGATTTTCTGAAAGTTGAGGCTGGCATCATCTTGCTCATTTTGATGCCTCACTTGGTACAAACATCGCGAAATCAAAAGTCCCTGGTTCAATGCTCGCTCACACCATTCTTTTTCCTTTATTTTACATAACAGCACCCAATAGATCTTTTCTTTAATAACAATTTATTATGCGAAATAAAATGAGCGGAGAAACAGTAACTCTAAAATGCTCTATCTTTGAAACACAACAACATAACATCTCTTCAGGGCTTCGATATCGCATTAATCATCTGGCTAAACAGCTCATCTGAATCAGGCCCAACTGGGCTAGCCAGTTCTAAAGCTTCTTGGATATCACCAGGGGGATAGATCAGCTTCTGATTGATATAGCACTTGACTTTCTTTGCCATATCACCGGTCAACTTGATCTCTTTTTCCCACCCACCAGCAATAACAGCACCGCATGCACCAAGATCAAGACAGAAATTGTATGCAGCCTGTACATACTCCACCAGCGGTTCACCGAGAAGGTCTGCAGCGGCATTGTGTCCCGAGACACGTCCAAGTTGAAGAGCATGCTGACAGGACATCAGTGCGTAGTGGCCCTTGGTATCAGCGAGGGCATATGCAGCATCGCCAGTTGCAAATATAGACTCGACAGCCGGAACACGCAGATGCTTGTTGACACGAAGGCGGTTGAATGAATCTCTTTCACTAGGAATTTGTTGCGTCAATGGTGTGGCTCGAACCCCAACCGTCCAAATTGCCGTATTTGTCTCGATCCGTTCCCCAGATGCAAGGATCACTGCATCAGTGCTGATTTCTGTCACGGGAGATCCAAGTTTGAGCTCGACTCCAAGATCGTTCAAGGCCTTCAATATGACAGGGCGAGGGCCAGGTCCGAGCTCAGGACCGACCTGATCCGTACTATCAACCAATACCAGTCGCGCGTTGAGGATATGAGAAAGGCGTTTGGGTAATTCGGTGGTCACTTCAATTCCCGTGAATCCGGCGCCACATATCACGATAGTATTGCGAGATGGGCTTTCGGGAAGGGATGCGAGATTCTGAAGATGGTTCTCGAGCTTCGCCGATGAACTCAAGGAATCGACATTGAATGCGTGCTGGTCTATTCCAGCCACACCTCGAGGAACCATGACTGAACTTCCAGCTGCCAGGATCAAGCGATCATAGCTAATCATTGAGTCGATACCCTCGCCGGAGCGGATACGGACAGTGTTTGTCTCCGAATCAATGCTCTCTGCAGTGCCACAAACAAAATCCATGGCCGCAGCTTTGAAAATTGGTCCCAATGCGTGAGTCATCTGAGATGGATTGGCTTCGTACAGACGTGGACGTATGACCAAGGTTGGTTCGGGTGCGATGACGGTGATTTCAAGGCTACTCTCATTTTTTGTGAGAGTAGCTAGTCGTCTAGCAGACAGCGCACTCCAAACGCCAGCGAATCCTGCACCGATAATGACGAGTTTCTTTGCCATTTTTGAATTTGACAAGATGGTCGATTCTTGAATATCTTTGCAGGTGGATGATGTATTTGAATTGCAAATACTAGGTGAGTTGGTGATGATCTACTATGTCCAGTCGTGTCAGTGGTCTTTTATACATATGATCACAATTTTCAATACTCCACGGCAAACCGGCCATCAAATAAGCCCGAGTTCACCGATTACCGAGTCCGAGTTGACGAAACTATTCTCAATCTAAGCTTTCGCGGCTTGAATAACCATCGATGATCGGGGTCTCAAGTGGATACCCGAGTTCCCGCAATCGGATACCCGCATTCCATGACAACCGTGAACTCATCCACCATCATACTAGTCCTAATTCAATCAAAAGATATGAGCGCTGAGAACAAATCATCAGAAAGACAAGGCAGAGCTACACGATCATCATTAGCCTGTCTGCCTTGTCGTTCACGCCATTTGAAATGCGACGCGAAGCGACCGCGTTGTACCCGCTGTGTTGAATTCGCCAGGGATTGCGACTATGCACGATCGCGTCGGGGAGGACTCGACAGAGCAGCGTTGGCAGAGCGACGGAAAAGACTCGCGACAACCGATGACTCTGGAATAGCAAGTAGCCCAAGCCCGCAACAATCGGCGGGTTCTCAGGGGCAGCATGAGTTTCCGACGGGAATTCTTGAGATGGACCTGTCTCATAGCTATGGATTGCTTGATGGTCTTAGTGTTGGGGGTACATCTTCCAGTACAGGCACCCCAAGCACAATTCAATTGCAATGCAGCAATCTTGATGGAGACTCATTGATTGACTCATACTATAATAACTTTCACAAATTTCATCCTTTCATGTTACCCCGACGACACTTGGCAAGAGTGTATCAGGAACCGGGTCAACAAGCTACTCTCAATGCGCTCATTGCTGCGATGCGTTTGGTTGGAAACGTATACAAGTCCCGAGAATTATCAGGACCGCTGAGAGATCACGCCGAAGCTTCATTTTCACAGCTACTTTCAACGGACCCTGTCATAGTACAATGCCGGCTGTTGTACTCCATGGCACTCTTCTGGAATGAGCATAAAAGTGAAGCAAAGTTGCAAATGGATTCTGCAATTCGAACCGCCTGTGAGCTGGGAATGTTCCAGCAAGAATTCGCAGCCGATCAGGGTGGCCAAGATCTTGTAATCCAGGAGTGCTGGAGGAGGACATGGTGGATGCTGTATACGGTGGACGCTTATTATGCAGGAACTTTGGGGACTATGCATTTCGAAGTTTTTGATATCGATGCCACGGTGGATTTGCCTTGTGAAGAGTCGGAATATGAACTTGGAGTAAGTAGTATTCCCATTCGCAATCCCCCACACAATCTCACCCAGTCATAGGAGATCCCGCAGCCCAAGACACTACAGGAGTTTGATTGTCGCGAGTTCGCTCCAGATGATACTGTTTTCTCCTCATTCGCCTACCTCATCGGCGCTGTGCAATGTGCGGCGTTGGCCATATCTATGGGTCCCAAGATCGCCGCGAGCGATGACTCGCCACGCATAATACAAACCGCCGACTCCGCATTGAACGGCTGGTTGCTCATGCTGCCCAAGGATCGGAAGAAAGTCATGAACAAGGCAGGAGACATCGATGAACTGATGTTTCAAGCACATTTACTTATTCATGTGTAAGCTTTGCATGAAGACTCCACTCAGATTACTTGTTTGACTGACACATCCCCAGAGCAACAATCGGGTTACATCGGCCCTATTCAGACCTCAAGTTTAACCCAGTAGAAAAAGCCTCGAGTTGCGCCAGGGAACCTCCTCAAGATACACCCACACCAGATCTCGTCAATGTACATACCGTGCGAGTTCTCCGATCCGTGGAAGCACAGATTCGATTGCTAGCCCTTCCTACTCGCCATTTCAACCACACACCATTCACGACCTGCATGGTCAGCGAGGGAACACTGGCCTTGCTCTCAGCTTGCAAGTTTCTACTGAAGGGAAAAGAGCTGAGCATTGCAAGAGAACAGATCCGCATGACCATCGGATGTCTCAAGGCACTTGCCGAGCGTTGGCCGCGAACAGCAAGAAATGTGCGAGAGATCCAGACTATTGCGCAGCATGTTCTCGGATTTGGAACCCAGGCTCAGCCTTTGAATGATAGGCCAAGGTCTCAAGATGTACTAGGGTTTTCCAGTGCAGGTGAAAATGGAATATTGGGATCAGATACTGGGACCTCCAGTGATGATTTTAATATTTTGCCTTCTCTGGGCTCTATAGATGATCTATGTGGGTGGTATAACATTGGTGACCTGAATCCTAATATCTCGTGGGAGAGCTAGTTTTCAGATGAAATAATTGAGACTAAAAATGATAATAAATTATTCCACTTTTCTTATTGGTGTTTATAGAAAATGGTGTGAATATGACAACTACGGCAGTAGAAGGCCATTCACAAAAGCTAGAATCCTACAAACGGCGAAGGAAACTTGACTCACTCAATATTGAAGCTAGCCATAGAATTTTCTTGAATTAGAAATGCTGATAATTCTTACTTTACGCCTAAAATGAAATCAGCGTGGCCAACACTTGGAAGCAACCACATCGGGTACCCGGGAACCCGAATTCCCGCCACTCGCGACTTGAAGCTGACCGGCAACCCATGAATCCCGATACTCTCCATCAGCCAAATATGATGTGATCAAATTGAAAGACTCATATATAAGTTGTCCCGACTTATTGATCTCTTTATTCCTAGATAACTCAGAAGTCACAGCCTCGTTTGAAGAACATCTATCAAACCACACCACTACCATGAAAGCCGTTCAAATTCTGGGCGACGTTTCGTCCCCAAATATCTTCACCAATTATTCTATGGAAACTCCGGAGGTCAAGGACTCAGAGATTCTCATCCGGGTTCATGCTGCTGGAATTACCGGCGACGAAATCATTTGGCCTGAACCGTATGCTTCTGCCACTCGAATCCCAGGACACGAAATATCGGGTATTGTCTCAGCACTTGGACCCAATTACGACGGTCCACTGAGTATCGATCAAGAAGTCCTTGCTTTTTTACACACAGATCGGGGACAGGCACAGGCGGATTATGTGGTCTGCTTACCGGATGAAGTGGCCGTAAAGCCTACTTCAATATCCCATGCACAGGCTGCAGCGTTACCTATCCCACTTCTCACAGCATGGGAGGCAATAACTGACCATGCTATGGTTAAGCCTGGCATGAGAGTCTTCATCACTGGAGCATCTGGTGCCGTTGGTATTATGGCTGTTCAACTAGCGAGGAAATTAGCGGGTGCCTTTGTGATTGCGCTCGCCTCTCCTCGGAATCATGAGATGTTAAAAGGACTTGGTGCAAATGAAGTGTTGGATTATAATGTTTCAGGTTGGGAAAAGTCTGTGGTGGGGGTTGATGTGGTCTTTGATACTGTGGGAGGAGAGGTCCTGGCCAAGACCTGGGAATGTGTCAAGGACGATGGAGTGATTGTTACAGTTGGAGACCCTGCGCCCGATTGGGCTTTTGGAAGAGGTCAAGCCCCTGAGGCTGTTCAGTGTCCGAATGTTCGATATTTTCATTTCATTGTGTCTCCCAACGCGAAGCGGATGGAAGATGGAAGTGAGATGGTTGCTGCTGAATCTTTGACGACGCTGGCAGTCAAAAGATTCCCTTTTAATGAAGCCAAGGCGGCATGGGGGTATGCTCAGAAGAGAAACCGAGTAGAGAAGGTTGTGATTGATTTCATAGAAGAGAATTAGTACTCAATTTCCAATACAGCCAATGTTGAAGGTTCAAATGTTTAATCAATCTCCCGCAAACCAATTTGAAATATGAGGTCTATATAAGCCCACTTTAAGAATAAAAGCACTTTGAAGCGCTAGTATATAATTATTAGGCAAAACGAGGCCTATCAGACCGGAGGACTTGATACGGACGTATATTACAGTGACACTTCCTGAGACTTTTCATGGAGAGGAGCATCAATCTAACAACTTTAACACCGAAAGAACTTTGGAAGTGTCCATGCGTCTTAAACCTTGAAAGAAGTGAAGGCCACATGCATTTTTACTTCTACTACTACCTAGCTACTTTCCAGTTTCCACTCCCAAACCTTCGACCTATCTGAATAAATCTCTGCCCTTTACAAGAGTCAAAGGTGATTGGAGATCGAATATTACGCACCATGGAACTACTTCTTTTCAACTTGTCTCAGCATTTCTCCTCACCACAACCCTTGTTATCCAATTCAGCCATCGCAACGCAGCTCACAGTGTCGTGCAATAAAAGGCGCGATATCGTCAAAAACACGATAGTATACCGCGAAACGTATACCGAAATCTACTACGCCCTCCACCAGCACCCAGAGCATCCATGTCAAGAGGACCAAACTGCTACTGTTGTGAGAGAGCACCTGGAGGAAAACGCATGGAGAGTTGAATATGGGATCGGTGGCCACGGTGTGATAGGAGTTTTACACAACGGCCCTGAAGCAACTGTACTTCTGCGGTCTGAACTGGATGCTCTCCCGATCACAGAAAAAACGAATCTACCCTACGCCAGCGAAGTTGAGGAGATTGACACGGATGGGATAAAGAAAGGAGTCATGCATGCTTGCGCACATGATATGCATATGGCATGTCTTTTGGGTGCGGCAGATCTTCTGGAAAGAAGCTCGGAAAAATGGTCTGGTACTTTGATTGCCCTCTTCCAGCCAAATGCAGAGCAACTCCTTGGTGCGCGGGAAATGGTCGGCGAATGCCTTTTTCGAAAGATGCCATATCCCACCATTTGTCTCGCTCAGCACTGCGTACCTAACAAGAACGGGACAATTGCGGTCAAGCCAGGCGGGTTCTAGGCTATTTGGACTCCTTGAATGTTCGTGTTTATGGACATGGAGCAAATGAGGCTACGACCCAGCTAGCAGTTGATCCAATACTTCTGGCGGCTAATATCATCACAAAGCTGCAGATAGTTGCACGTGAAACGGATCCGAAGGAGCCTGTCGTTATTCGATGTAGTGAGTTCCACGGTGGCACTGATGCCAGCATTAATCCAGAGTATACCGACTTAAAGGTCGACGTGCGCTGCTTCTCAGAGCGTACTCAGAAATTTGCTCTAGATGTAGTTAAACTACTCATAGAGCAAGAGTGTCTAGTGTCTGGCTCGCCCACTGCTGCCTGTATTGTGACCACTGTGAGCTGTCCAGCAACTGAAAACGACGAAGAGGCAACTGGCCAATTTATGCAGACCTTGAAGGAATACTATGGGGATAGAGCCTCGAAGGTTGTGCAAGAAATGTCACCAGACATCACCGTTGCGGATGATTTCCCTCTTCTTGCTCAAAGTCTTTTGGATGAAAAGCCGATACCTTATATCTACTGAAATATCGGATCAACAGGCCCGAAGCTATGGGATAGGGTAAACAAAGAAGGAAGACTGCATGAATTGGCTCCTCTTCATAATGCCAACTATGCACCGGCAATTGAGCCTACTCTAAGAACCGGGACCGAGGCACTAGCTTTGGCTGCTTTAACGTTTTTGACCCTCAAATGAAGCATTTCTATTGATTTTGATACTAGATTGGAGTTGAGTCACAGAATGGAAGGCACTGACATGATGCATATGTTGTTCTATGAGAAATTTGTGGTTAAGGATGCTATTGAATGGGGAGCAGGAACATTTCAAGTTTGAATCTTCAGATTGAAGAATTTGGAAATTTGTTGCATGATAGTATACAAGAATGATACTGAACAGTCAGCCAAGTGGCTAGCAATTAAAGCTTCTCAAACGTAGGTTTTCGCTTCTGAATCCCTGACAGCAGGGCAGAGGCCACATCCTTAGTCTGTAAAGCCGCGCCATTCCACACTCCCGTATAGCGTAACCCATCCTGCACTGAGTGATCGCGCGACCAATTCAAGATCTCCTTAGTTCCCTGAACTGCAACAGGACTCTTACTCGCAATAAGAGAAGCCATCTCCAGAGCCGCAGAAACAGTCTCCCGCTTGTCCTCGTAAACGCCATTTACAAATCCAACACGCAGCGCTTCATCAGCGCCAAAGACCCGCGCTGTTAGAGCCACCTCTTTCACCCACCCAAAGCTTCCAACAACCTTCGGCAGTCGGCTTAATGTACCAATATCAGCTGCAAGGCCAATATCCACTTCCTTCACTGAGAATTTCACATCCCGCGAGCATAATCGTACATCCGCCGCTGTAGACAAATCGATCGCAAGACCAAAGCTGTATCCATGCATAGCGACAATAACGGATTTCTCGCATCTCTCAACAGCAGTAATGCAGCCTTGGAACTCGGCGATATGGCGACGAAATGCTGTGGCCTTGCGCGCCGCATCCTGTCCTGTTTCTTCTGAGGAGAGAACGTTACCCTGGGACGCAGCCTTTACATCGAGACCCGTGGTAAATGCTTTATCACCTGCACCGCTGAGGACGATTGCGCGTACGTTGGAATCGTCGGAAAGTCGGTCAAAGAGCTGACCCATCTCGAGCCACATGCTAGCCTGATTTTAGTGATGTCATTGGGATGGAGATGAGTAAGACACTTACGCCTCGATGAATGAGTTCATCTTCTCTGCTCTGTTGATTTCGACATGGGCAACATATGGGCGGTTGGCTGGGAAGCTGACATTGAAGTGCTTGGGCGCGTATTCTTGCGTCATAGTTGCTGGGTCCGATGGGTATAGAAAGAAGGGAATTGGGGTGAAGTTGGTGAGATAGATTCTATGACACGAAATGGAAAATTATTCAGGTGTATACTATCAGGCTTTCAACCGGGCGTTCAAGGAATACAGAGAAGCTCTTATCGATTATTAACAAGTGATCTCACGGGCCAAGGGGGAAATGTGCAGTATAAATATTTTCGGCATGAGAATGAGCCTCGGTCCGGATAAGGTCCTTATCGCCCCGCATATTTACTAGTGTGGGGAAGCGCAACTGTGCTGTAGTACATAAATGCAGTATCACATGTACTCGACTGGAAAAAAGATGTTGGGATAATGAGAAGTTCAATAAAGTCTCTTAGACTTGACAAATTGCAATGATAAATCTATCCTCAAACCAAAGGATAATAAAAACCCGAGAACTCCGTCCAGCCATGTTATCAAAACAAAATCATTGCGAAGTCGTAAGCAGCGTCACGTCATGTGCAGAAACTGGCAAATGGACGCATAAGAAAGGCAAGAAGACCAGTTGTCTACTGGATAGTGATCTTCTTGGGGACGGTGGCGATAGCCTTGGGAACGTGAATGGAAAGAACACCGTTCTTCAGGCTGGCCTTGACGGCATCCTGCTTCACGTGCGAGGGGAATGAGAAAGTACGTCGGAACTCGCCAACAGTGCGCTCGCTAGCCCAGTAACGGTGAGCGTCCTTCTTGACATTGGTGTTGTCATTATCGGCCTTGTCGGTTGCATTCTCAGGCTCGGTGCGGTGATACTCGCGCTCAGTACGACCCTTAATGACGAGAGTCAAGGGATCGGAGAGTTCGATATCAATGTCCTTCTGGGTGAGACCAGGCAGTTCACCATCAAGATGGTAGGCATCATCAGTCTCGTGGATATCAAAGCGAGGGTTGAAAGCGCGTTGGGCAAAGTCCTTAGGACCAGGGTGGTCGAAGTGGTCCGGATTGGTAATGGTATCGAAAACCGGGTGACGGAAGCCGGCGTTGGGGCAGTGAAGGGAGAACATCATGAGGCTTGGAGTGGTCACAGGAGGCTTGAAGCGTTGTTTGAAAATGATGGTTGGAAGCTTGAGGCTTGCGAAGGAAGAGATGTGTTGTTGTGAGAAGGAGAGAAGAAGGAAGAGGCAGAGGGGGTTTTAATAAACGAGGGCAGGCAAACGCCGGAATATTCCACTAAGCACCTGTCAAAATTGAATCATCTGGAACCTGCCAGCTACCTGTAGCGACTTCGAAGGTTCTCTTTGACACTTCATTGTGTATGCCAGCCCCGGTCTAGTTGATACTTGTAGATCCTAGCAGTAAGTGGATCCTTCTCCACGTTTCTAGGATTACATAAGAAATCTAGATCACCCCAGGGCATCAGGGCGAGCATAGCACCAGGGTTCAGCTTACGAAATGGCTAAATACTTCAATCTCTAACGAGGGAGAAGCAAATACTCGTACGAAATATGAGACCTTGTCGAGGGTCATGGGTAGGAATCAAGGCTATAGCTACAGGGGCATTTGACATTCATTGGTTTGGATGATTCTCGTGACATGCAATGATAGATCAAAGAATGCATTCATAGCGCTTAAAAAAAAAGTCTATGCAGCGTAGGTGACTAGATATAGATGTGCACATTATGGTGTCACTAAGTCCCATAGTGATCACTAATGCATCAGTGATGGAGGTAGTAACCGTTCACTCTTAAACCTTTGTCTCCGGCAGCCATGGTATATCAATCATTTGTCTGCCATGCAATCTCGTAAATTGTTTCCAAATTCCAGGCTGATGGTATTAAGGTGGTGTACGGCCGACCGCATGACACAGGCGCTGTGAGAGCAGGAGCTCGAGATTTGATTTCATAGAAAACCTTCGCAAATCGATCTAGTTCGGAGAGCGTTGTTCCTTGGTCATGGAATGGAGATGAAGTTTTGCCATGAAAGGGGAGGTTGAATATCGAGGGAGAAATCTGACGTGAACGTGTCTGGGTCTAGTAATTTCGGTGGTGGGCATCGGTAGGTTGCGATAGGTCTGTGAACGGTCGCATTACTCAGACTCGGATAAATCAAGCAGCAGCATCTTCTCATCAAGATCCTAAGTGTATGTATGTTAGATATGCTCATGATGGAGGCGCAGTCTGCATAAACTGTGCAGAGCCGCAATATATAAGACTCAGTGATCACATACACGGTCCAGGCGAGCCTTCAAGTTTTCAAGCTGACTCTCTTTAATAACCAGATGGTTGTCATCATCCAGATCCTCCACAATGTAGTCATGTCGCTCCTCATCGTATTTCAGAATCATGGCTTTGATCGAAGGATCGCATTGGATAAGAAGACCTGGAGTAGGTTGTTTAGACATGGGAGACTTTTTAGGAGATAAGGGGATGATTTACCTCGAACGGCGCGCGGCATCTTGAATGGGAGACGTGGTAGATGCAGAAATTTGCTCCAGAGAATGTGGGGTGAAGAATGAAAGAGAGTGAGATGAGAGGTGAGCTATCATTCAAAGAAGCTGCTGTGCAGGCATCCAGGCACCAAAAAGGTGGATTAGATAAGCGGCTCTGACGCCGCCCGCGGATTACAGGCGATATTTTGCCACTTCTATTATGATTTAGGTAGTCTGTTTATTCAGAGCTATGTTATGGAAATGACTCTTGGAATCAATGATCTAGCTGGATCCTTAAAGGGTCTCATCCTCAGAATCCTCTTCTGTTTTGTGGTCCTGTGTCCACCCAGTTCCCGCCTGAATGACTGCGGATACCAATGCCACAGCACAACCAGCCATGAACAACATGCGGAATGCATGCTCAAAACTTTGCTTCGCGATCAAGTGCTCAATTCCGGTCAATTTTCCAACTGTAGCAGGACTACCGAGGAGAGTGCGAACTAGATCTGGCTTTGGTGGAAGCCCATGCTGAGCGAATCCCTCCTCCAATGCTCCTTTCAGGATTCGGGTAAAGAAGCCTCCGCCAATGGCAGATCCGAAGCTCCCTGCGAATCCCCGGAAAGTGGTGAAAAGCGCACTCACGATATAGTGGAGCTTGGGATTGGTAAGATATAGCAGGTGAGACAGTGTATAATTAACCAAAGCTCCGGCGAACATTCCGTTAAGGAATGTCATCGCCATATACAGAGATGCTGGGGAGTCCTCCGATGATAGAACTGCGAGAGCAGCGGTGACGGCGGCGAATAGGACAAAAATAATCAGAGATGAACTAGGATGGGGAGTCAATTTATGGGCTTCATCGATCCCGTGCGGAAGGAGAACTTACAAGTAGTAACTGCCCGCTTTACGGATATGAAGCCATCCTACAAGCAACCCGCCACTGCCGAATCCCGCATTTGTTGGAATGAGGATAAGACCTGCCGAGGCTGGAGCCCATCCACGGACTGCAATTGCATAGGACGGAGTGAAGAAAACAACGGCCCATCTAGCCATCATCATACCGACACCGGCAAGGGACGATAGCAATACACCGCGATTCAAGAGAATTCGAACAGGTATAATTGGTTCTTGGGCCCATCGAGACTCAATGAAATAGAAGCTTACAAGAAGCCCTACTGATACTGGAATAGGCCAGAGAAGAATCTCAGGTGACGCTAAGCTGGTTAGAAATAAGACAAATCCACTGGTCTGTATAGCAATTAGCAGGAGCAGTCTGTGTGATATTTGACTGAACTTACCAGTGTCAAGGCACCGGCATAGTCTATGCGAGCAAGACTCGCAAGCACATTTCCCGACGTCAATGAATTACTATCATTCGATGGCGGTGGAATAGCCCAGAAGAGAAGGGGACCAAGAGATAACGCAATAGGCGCTTGGATCCAAAATATGATACGCTATCAACATCAGCAAGTTATTGCGAGCACCCCTCAGACATCACACTCGTGAAATAACATACCCATCCCATTATCGGAGTCAAAAGACCAGCTATAACAGCGCCTGACGAAATTCCTGTTGTATAACCGGAGCTAATAAGCCCAATTACGAGTCCTCGTCGTTTAGCGCTAGCGAGGTCCAGCGCTAAGATGATCGTTATACTCATTAATCCACCACATCCCCAGCCCGAAACAGCACGTCCCAATAGGAAGAATCCTAGTGAAGGCGCAGCGGCAGTAATGAAAAGACCAATTGCCAAAATGACGCTCGAGAAAACGAGACAGATCCGTGGTGTGAAAATGGCCGACAGTCGTCCGGCTAGGGGAGTGACGCTCGAGCTTGCAATCTTTATGATATTAGAACCCAAGCTTCTTTCATCCCATTCTCCTTACTTAATTTACCATGAATGATGCAGTGAACCAAGTCGCCTGGTCATAGGCATCTAAGTCAGCGGCAATTTCAGATTGGGCGGTTGTCATCATAGAGATATTGGTAGCTAGTAGAAACGTAGTAAGTCAGCATATTGTCTTATGGAATCATGCATTTATCTCATCCAGACCTTGAATGAATATGAGGAGGGCCATTAAAACGACAATTCCCAGAATTCTTGGACCACTCAGGCTGGAAATCGCGTCATGTTTGGGTGTTGTTGGCGCAATGAGCGGTGTTCGCTCAGATGTCGTCGTATCGGTTTGGATTTCAGTATCTGCCATCTTGGTGTTGATTAAGATGATTGAGCAAGTTGTAGAATGACAAAAGAAGAGCCATTGGGACTCTAATTCACATCATAGCCTAATGATTATGATTACGATTGCGATTAGAGCCAAACAGGGATTGGTCGGAGTTAAGCGGATAGCACCTAAATGTGCATTTCTAATCAGATAGATTGGGATTAGGTAGCGTTAAGGCCCCCGCACCGGGGAAACGCCATGCGAAAATGCCATGCGATAAGACCGTTGGGATCCTCATTTGGCTAGAATGGTCTATGATCTTTTAGAATCAGAGATTGAGATTCGAGAATTTTGATAATTCGCAGAATGTCCACATCCCCGCTCATGTTTCATACGACTACCTCCAAGTAGGAAATCCACTAAGACCTCGATGAAGTAATTCATTAGTCGGATTTAGTCCTCTCGAAATAGAATCCCCTATCTCGGATGGACAACGCATAATTCGGTGGAAGTCGATCCCTGGCCCACAAGCTTGATTACCAATGGCTCGATTTGTTGAACGTAACATCGCCTCGGGCTGGCCATCCTTTTATGGTATTAGTGAATTATAATCCAATAGCAGCGTGATAAATGTTTCTTTTCAAGTGAAATAATAAAGCTATCCCCTGCATTTATCTCTGTACAGTCAAGGAGATGCGCTGGTTTAGGCGTGCCTAAGACTCAGACCCATGCATCGTATCATGCAGTCTGAAATAAAGATGCCCAACGCTGCTGAACACGAGTGATCACTTTCTTAAGATCCGCAGCATCACCATCAGGCTCTGAATCCGACCATCTCTCTGTCTGCCAACCAAGTTCGAAACTCAACAGTCTATCCTGCAGCGTAATACCGTTATAGGCCGAAGCAGGTGTCGATTTTAGATATTCAATGAACATTTTCCACCGTGGAACATAATATGACGACAAAAGACCACCCCACTGCTTGGAAGCGTAGTCTGTAATCTCGCCGCGGGGACCCCAAAGTGTGATTTGATTTCGTGCATTATATTCCAGATAAGCTGCTTGGCTTCCGTTGCCTTGAGCCCAGGATAGAGCAGAGTCAATCCAGGTTGAGAAGCGAAAGTTTTCATTTGTCAAAAGAACCGAGTCCAGGTCTGTTAGAAGCTCGATGATCGTCTGTCCTTCTTGCGAAAGGGTAGAATTCTTAGGATTGGAACTATTCCATGTAGTGATCAAGTTCTCGTATAGCGGAATGAAACCATTCGCCATGACCTGGCGTGTAATATCCACCATATCGTGTTGGTATGCTGGATTCTCCCACAATTTGGAGTTCGAAGTACCGGCCTCGTACACAGACTGCCACGCTTTAATAACAACTGATGGGTTGTATGTCAATTCAGTGCCATGGCTACCAGTCACATTGACAAGACCGTCAACGTCAGGTTCGAGCTCAAAGATGGACTTGATCACAGCGGTGATCTCCGTTAGGTCAGTGTTATCATAGACAGTTGTTCGCATAGCTTCCCAGGCATCGTAAAGCCCTTGAGGGACGGATCCAGAGCCAGCATACCGACTTGTCACCCATTTTCGAAAATATTCCTTGGTATTGATTGGGCTTTTCGACCATGCCTGATCAAGAAGCAAGTCATAAACAATCTCATTGCCTTCTTGCCCCTCGGGGCTCAGCCCGAAGCCAACCATATTGGAGGATTCAGTTCGGGCCTGTGAAGAGTTCTGCGTGATGTTTGATATCTGGCCGTAGAATCCCATGTTACCTCCGTAGTCATGCAACTGACACCAAATCCACGGCTTTCCATAGTAAGAGTCAGTCCGACGCCACTGAGGCTCAGACTCTGAGAATAGATCCAAGATCAACATGTCGTCGTTATCCTCGACACCAGAGAGATAAGCCTCCACCCGCTCATCGGTCCAAAAGTCAGACGCACTGTAGAACAGCCAACCCTGCATCATCCAGATAGCTTCCGGGTCTACATTCTTCAAACTCTGCCATGTAGTGCTGGTCACATTGCGCAGATAATTCAGATCACCCGAAGAAGGATTCATTTCGTTGTATTGATCCAAGGTATAAACGTGTGTGATGTTCCCATAAGCATCCTGCTGTTTACGCAGAAAGCTGCTCTGCATCTCAGCAAAGTGGTCATCAAATGGTTCAAGGAAGGTGTCGTTGGAGTAGAGGATTGGAAATTCACCCCAATCATCCGACCGCACGATACTCGCATCCGGGTACACGCGAGTGATGTTTTCAGGGACAAAGCCTGTAAAAGCAGGAAGCACAGGTGTCATGCCGAGTTCGACCATGCGACGCACAATCTGTTTCTGAAGCGCGAATTGCTGCTCGATCCATGATCGCGGTAGATCACCACCCCATGAGCCTTGAATATTTCCAAATCGGTTCCATGCTTGGAAAGCTGGTCCACTTAAGAATGTAGCGATCTCAGCCTCGGTTAGGCCAATTTCCTCGAACACCTCTACCATAATCTTCTCGGCGCCGACCCATGCAAGGGGGAGATTGATCCCGCGAAGGGCCATCCAGTCGAGCTGGGTCTCCCATTCTTCCCATGACCAAAATGCCGTTGTATAGGAAAAAGTGACTAAAAATAGATGTTATGATATGGACGCCTGAAAACTTATCGGGGTAGGCTTACCAGTGTTAAAGTGGTATCTCCAAGGAACAGTGCTCGAGCCACGAATCGGTGAACTAAGGCGAGGTAACTTAGCAGGGGCCTGATCCAATCGACTGCCAATAAACCACCAGATATCGACGTGTAAAGCATCAGTCAGGTAGCGATGGAGACTAATTATCATCAGTAAGCATGTCCAATCTCGGAAGAAAGCCGATGTTGTGAACCTACCCCGACGAAAGAGCACTGAGAGAGGTTCCCTGAACGACGATAGTGCCGTTTGATGTACTCTGAACTATGAATTGATCATAACCATCATCGCCTCCGGTGATATTTGACACCAGGTTAAATTGAAAATCGCCAACATGGTTCGGCAGTCTCCGCTTGACGAGGCTGTATAACCCGTCGGTGGACTGTGCCGCCACCCCCGACGTGATAAACAGCCCAACCAACAACTTTCTCCACAGCATAGCAGCTTCTAGAATGCTAAAAGAATCCTCGAGTTGAACGTGATGAAGGGAAACACGTATGAGGAATAATGCTAAACTTATTTATGCTCTACCCCAGACTGTTCTAGAATAAGAAAACACCACTGTAGCATGTCCCCTTGTTACTACCCCCGCATCTACGGGGCACGCACTGCAACTATCAAATCCTACATATGTCAATCTGCAACTTCATCCCGCGCTTGACCCATAAGAGTCAGAAATGCAATCTCGATTGTTCTATAACCATAGATATGAAAAGTGGGGGTTTATTGAGTCACAAAATCCTGTTGGCCCTTCAGAGCCTTTGCCAGTATATCGGGATACCATCGTTGTCCAACATCCTGATGACTCGTTATCCGAGCGATAAATGTGCCTTCACCAATCTTGTTCTTGAATATGTCGTTGAATGTTGCTTCAGCATCAGATTTGACTTTCTCATCCTTCACAAGGTCTCGAATATGCTCTGGAATGACTATATTGATTTTGTCGGCGGAGAGATCGAGGCTGACTCCTTGGAAAAAAGGGAATGAAAATCGTGCCCCAAGTGGATTGCCATTAGGGTCGATGAAGTTCTCTTTTCGCAGCGAAACACGATGGGTAGTCGCTGTACAAATGCCTCCAGTCAACGCCTCGAGAGCTCGGCCAATGTTCACCACGAAGGAATCTGGGATTGGTGAAGCAGGGATCCATTGCCCTTCTTTATTCTGTACCTCCAAGCCATGATGTGATGTAGCTTGGAGAAGAAAAGTCACGAAGCCGGAGTCTTTATGAGGACCGACTCCCTGGAATCCAGAATCTGAGTCGTGGGAGAGTGGTGGAGTAGGGTATCTGATTAGTTTGAGTTTATGTTGTTGAGGAGTTTCAAATGCTTGATTCAATGCCGTTGCTGGGAGATCCAACGCTTCTGCAATAAGCTCCGTGAACGATGATGCCAGTTGACTGACTTCGGCTAGGTATTCTTCGAGAGTATTACGAAATCCCGGGACCGAGGTTTCATCTGGCCACTGTAATGACAATCAGTGGTTGTGATTGACCAGAATTTAATAATTTACGCACCTGGTTAGGCCCAACAATGTTTCTGTACGGGGGTTCATCGGAACCAGGAGCTGGAAGCTCCGTACCAAACTAGCATCTAGATTAGTAAATTTTTGACACATAATGGACACAAAACTCACATCAAATTGCTCGCGATGGTCGGATTTCAGAGCAGTAATCTCAGCTCCAAGTCTAGAATAGCCCAAGAAATGGGGACTGTTCACCATTTCAATCTCTAGCTTCTTTTCTACCGGGCACTCGAATAGTTCCAATCCCTTCTTGATAAGAGCAGATCGAAGATCGGGTGAAACGGGCGGCCTTTGTAGGTAGAAAAAGCCAACATTGATTAAAGCATCGCGGAGCTGTGCGAGAAAGGCAGGTTTTGTTACGGGGATAGGGATAGAGAAAAATCCAAGACAGGAATTGAGGTAAAAGCAGTAGAGTGCAAGTCGGTGCGTTCCATCTGACACGGTCAGCAAAAATTTTGAAATCAATCTCCTGAAATAATTGAGATGCATACCATCTTGGCAATAAAATTAAGTCTAAGGTCGAGTAGTTTTGAAGAGTTGATGCTGAATTCGTAGTTGTGGCCGCCGTCAAGTAGTAGTTCCGCTTCAACATAGGACGAGGCTATGAAGAGTTTCGAGACTCTATCGAATCTTGGTTTGGCCTCTATTCTTCCCCACCAAGCTATTTCGTATTCTGCAGCAAGATATTGAACGGGCACCTGTTGAGTTCAGCATCGTGTACAGTATGACAAATGACGTAAGTGGGGAGTACCTTAACTGATGGGAATATTTCGTTTACCAAGCGATCATGCCACTCGATCTCTTCGTACTCAACAATTTCAGCTTTCACAGCTAGAAGGGAAATGTTAGCCTAGTTCAAGCTTCGTTTCCTTCCCTCAAGTTTCACAGGCCATACGTTTTTCAGATGTCGCGATAAGTGCGTCAGCAGTAAACAGATTCTCGTCGATATACTTGACTGGACCAAACATTCGAGTGAAGAGCGACCTGGTCTCCTTTTTAACTACAGATCGCCTCCCTTTCCGTGCGGGGTTCTCTTCTTGAAATAGACCACTTTTCGTAGGCGATGGCACAATGCCTAATGCGCCCACTCCGAGCAGGGGGAACGGTAACTCTGATTGGGCTGCGATGGCAAGCGTCGTGGCCCCTCCGAGTGAGTGACCAAAAATGATCACGCCTCCTCTATTCCCCACTTGATAACGGTAGACTTCATCTATTAAGTCTGTGATGACTGATATTGAATCGGCGATTGGTGTTTTGCTGGTTGGCAAGGGGTTCCCGCCATAACCCGCCCGTTGAATATTCAATACATTGTGGCCACGTTCGCTCAAGATGGCAGGGTAACTGATTCCAGGGTTAGCATAGATGATATAGATAAATGATTCCAATGTCTGTTGGGGAGTTTTCTTCAGCAACCATGACTTACGAGAAACTTGGGTTGTCAAAGTACGCGGCGTTTATGGCCCCACCGTGGATTAGGACAATAAGCGGCAGATCCCTTCCTTCACCTTTCCCTCTTTTCAATAAACCAGTCACCTCAACACCATTCCCGCGAAATGGAAAGGTCTCATCATATGTCTGCGCCATAGTTATGAATGGAGGTTATGATGAGATTGAAGAGTTGACGGAGGGGGAAAAACTCGAAGTCATCATAATGGACTTGACGCGCGCGCCACCGAAGAAATTAGTACCCAGACCGGTAAGATAAAATCATCGCCCCCATTCTCTGGAAATCGAAATTGGAAATTTCTAAAATTCTATTTCAAGGTCTGACTACCTTAATTGGAAATATTTTCACAGTCGCTATTTCGTAATCACAAATATTTGAAAGCTGGGGGTTTCACTTCAATCAGGGGCCTCTCATAGAATATAACGGAATCCGGTGGTCCTGATTTCCGACTCATGCATCTCATCAGACGGCAAGTCTTGCGATGACTCCATTTCATCCAATTTTCGGTTCATATTCATATGAACTTTGCGAATCACAAATGCCATAATGGCTACTATGAGTGCAATCGCAGCAGTAGCACTACCCCCAGGAATGTATCGTGGACCAGAAGAGTCAGGCCACATGTAACTTCCATAGATTGAAGCCGTGTTACCGATCATGTTAGCAATTGCAATTGCTGCGGATCGTTTGACGAGGGGTCTAGCAAATGAGTTTGCAACCCAAGCGAGAATGATCTGGTATGCTGAGACAGCACCCAGCGGCATACTAAGAAAGTCAGAGTCAGCGACATTTCGATAATCATCGTGGAAAAATATGAGTGACTTACAGAAACATGGCAAAGAACCGGGCACCAGTGTTTGTGGTCGCGGTGCAAATTATTCCTCCAATAACACTCACAAGCATCAGGCAAATAATGTGGATGCTGCGATCGTTCGTTCGGCCGGATGTCCAGGTGACAAGGAGGGAGATGAGGAATGTCGCGATCCATACAGGTGCGGTGATCAGAAGAGTCTCAATATTGTTGTAGCCGAGGGTTTGAACGATTGTTGGGAAGAAGTACTGGAAGTTTTGAGAGAGCAAAGAGGTGTGTTGAATCAGAATAAACAGGTAGATGCGCTTATCAGCAAATACCAGGCTCAACGCCTCCTTGATACTGGTCGACTTGGCATCATCTGCTTCACCTGCATCATGCATGAGACGCCATTGAGCATATGATTGTTCCTGTGCATCTAGCCATGATGTGGTAGCAGGGTAATTAGGAAGGGAAATGCTAAAGAGAAATTAGAATGATTAAGTCGGGTGATCTCCGTGAGATGACTTACGCTGCCAAGAGAGAGACACCAACGGTAATGCTGCCTTCAATGATGAAGAGCCAGCGCCATCCAGCTATTCCATGCGAACCGTCTAGATTACCGAGGACACCGGCTCCAAGTAGTCCACCGAAGGCATTGGCCAACGAGCTGCCTGCATAGAACCAGGCAATGCGATGACTCAACTATATTATGCATTAGAAGGGTTCTTCTTTTCCAATCAAGGAGCAAGCTTACCTCTTGTCTAGTATACCAACTCGACCTAAAGAGAAAGTCAGATATTGAAATATTGGCTGATCATGTTACGCGATGAGGTGACTCACATCAGCATGACGGCTCCTGGGAAAAAAGGAGCCTCAACAAATCCGAGGAAGAATCGTGTAACTACAAGTCCTGAAAACGACTGAACAGCCGCCTGACAAGCAGAAATCACACCCCTGAGATAATCATTAGTATGCATATTGCTAGGTTTGGCTCACCTCATCGACTTACCAAATAGCCATTGCTATTCCCAGGAATAGTGAAGGTCGAATACGGGTGAGGATCAAATTAGAAGGCAATTGCATAAGCAAATATCCAACAAATAAGATACTTGTTGCCAAGTTATAGTCGGTTCCTTTCATGCCCAGGTCTTTTTCAAGTGACCCTAGACGCGCTTGTGACAGATTGCTAGAGTATAATCATCAGCTTAGAAGGACCAGGATTTTCAAGGGGACTCTTACTTGCGATCGAGGAAATTAAGCAAATACATAAGAATCAAGAACGGCAAGAGATGCAGGTCTACCTTGCGTAAAAGGCCGCGAGTCATATTCTGGTGCCATTCTGGGCTCTTCGAGACGTATGCTTGGTAGAGTGCATCTTGCTCAAGCTCAGTACCCTTTGACAAGGTTTCCTGGTGCTCGACCTGCTCTGGGACCTTAGACATAGTTTTGGTGTTAGCAATCAAGGGACCCTGATTTTGCACTTAATGACCTCTGCAGACTGGTCAATCTTTATATGAGATTCACGCAAGATCAGGTGGTGCAGAGTACTCGGCGCAACTCCGACTTAGACGCCAAGGGTTCCCCGGGGAGGCAAGAGCAAGATGAACTCACCAGAGCAGCAGATCCTGCTGAGAGAGGTCTGATTTGGAAATTGGGGTAGCTCGAATGAGGGTCCTCGGCACATTCTATTGGCTAGTTACCTATGGGGAAAATGGTGGGAATCCGTGGGATTTTAGTTATTGAATGTGGAGCGCGGGGGAGCCCGAGTCCCCATATGCCCACTCGGGGCAGCTTACCCCGAGGTTGAAGGAGATACTATTAAGGGTATATTAGTCTCGGTATTGATACAAAAGAAGTCTGCTTGATCTAACTCTGAAAAGAAAATACAACATACTCTCAATTCAAGATGAGCTGTTATTGACATCTGAACATTCCTCTGCGAGTCAATTAGCAGTTTAGCCGAGAATGCTCTAGGCCCGAGCGTACCTGAGCGGAGCGGACTCAGTCGGTACTTTCCGCCCATGTTTCGCCTACTCGGGAGCGAGACTGAGCAAATTGAATACGATCATGAGCAGTTCTGGCGAATGCAGTCTCCTATATGGATGCAGTTTCTCGTCTATAATTCATATTTTGAGTATGCAATAGAGTCTGTGAGAGGAGAATCCAGCCATACTTTTATTTTCTCAATGTCTCAAATGATAAACCCGAAGACAGAAAAGAAAAGAAGAACAGGAAAGAAAAGAAAAAGAAAATGCCAGAGAAAAAAAAAAACTGCGCCACGACAAATTGAACATGGGAAATGAAAAAGACTGAGCCATGACAAGAGAGGAGAGTGAAGATAGTTGGAAGGATATCAAAATGTCGCCTGTGCAGTAAGAATCAAGTGCACATGTGGGATCCAACGCAATATCCTAGTCTGGAAGTCTGTGATCAGTCTACTCCAAGACTACCCACTCTTCCTGTGAATCATGTTTGGAAAGATTCTTCGTTCTGAAAGCTGAATGTATTTTGCGATACCACTGTTTCGGCCTGATACTAATGGTAGTAGAGTCCATCGGTGGCTTAAACGTGATGATGCATGCACAAATCAGATGGAGTGCCGCCTCGGCTACACTGAGAATTATGTTTTTCGTATTGATATAGTTGCTTCCACTCAAAAGAGAAGATGTGAACCGCCAGATCGAAAAGATCAACCCTCTGCAACATTAAATGAGTATTTGTTAGTAAAATCAATGGGATCCGGAAGTAGCACAACTCACAGACCACCTATAGCAAATGTTAAGGTTAATTGAATTTTTGTGCGTATACTGGTGTGAAGTGACCAGACCACCGGCATGGGAAGGAGAAGCATGATCAAATCAGTGACAATGTTTGGGACGCTACCATATGTATAGCAGGCGTGCAGATTGAAACATTTCGCTCCAAGTATGGTCGGATCCCAAGATGCAGCAAATGGTTGACACGTGAAAAATAAAAGATTCAAGTGAATGAGAAATGTGACAGCAAGAACCCATATCAATATGGTGCTCAGAACTCTGACTATATTGAGGACGAAGATTCTCCGATATAGGAAAAGGATCGAAACTTTGGGTAGGATGACGTTGATAGTGTAGAGAAAGACTGCTGCAGTACGGTATTTTCCATGCTGCTTTATCAAAGATAGATCTGTTTCCGATTTCCCCCCCAGAACGAGCCTTCAAAAAGTAGATTGAGCCAGCTATAGGTTGTGTTATTTCAAGATCTTCAAGCGCTTTCAATATTTCAGAAAATTTGAACATTTGAATGTTCATTGAATAGGGAATGTCTGATCATACATACCAAAGACTACTGCATACCAGATCAGATGCAATATCAAGGTGAGTATAATTGTATAATCATCTAACCCAAATGGCAAGCGTGTTTTACGCCGAGTGACTACCATGCCGGCAATTTATATGTTTGAAATACCCTCTCCACAACGGTAGTTTAACGGTACTAGTATTTGAGAAAATACGGTATTTGGAAGAATACTGTTAAAAGTTTGGTACTTTTCCCAAATACAGTATTTGATTGATTTTTTATATCAAAAGAATTATTTGCCTTTTTTTGTTTTCTTCCTTCCTTTCTTTCTTTCTTTCTTCTTTTTCAAGGTGCTACTTTCTGTTTATATTTATATATATCTATCTATGGTATATTTATATATTTATATATACTTTATGTGTCTATTCTATATGTTTACTTTATATTTTTAATTTAAAGTGCTTTACTCAGGAATTGAACCAGTGGACTTAGAGATCTATTTATTGTTGTGTTTATCCCTAGGCTATTTAGTCTATTCAATCTTCTCTCTCCCATTAGTATCTATAAGACTCTGATGTGGTTTGTTGTGGTTTGTTGTCGCACGACGCATCAAAACTTTGCCCCAAGGTAAATATTTATCGACTACGGTATTTCACCAAAAACCGTAGTCGGTCAAATACCCAAAAAATACTAATATCAGAGAATACCATATTTTTACAGTATTCCACACGGTATTTGGCACCAAATACGGTATTTGAGATATATGAGCGGCCGACATGGTAGCCTCAGTATAACGAGAATGATTTGAAAAGGAATAAGGGCTATCGTAAAGGCTAAAAGGGGATATTGGCCGTAGTAATTGGTCATTTTCCTGGATAGGTGGTGTTCAGGGACCTATTCACTGTGCAAATGATACATTTCAAAGTGAATGAAAAAGTACATTGATATCACCATCTCTTCCATGAGTTCGGATAAATTAAGAGACACATATATAGGTATTCAATGAAAGAATTCTGTCATAATCACTCAGAAATACGATTGTGTGACTTTCAAAATGTTGAGAGGCTATGCTATGTCTTTATGTGAAACATGTGAAGAATAAGGCACTCCACAAATGATGTTCGAGATTGGTTTAGATATTTGAACTTGTAGCTAAGCTGTCAAGGAGATTCAAGAGGATTTGCGAAACATGTGAAGAATAAGGCACTCCACAAATGATGTTCGAGATTGGTTTAGATATTTGAACTTGTAGCTAAGCTGTCAAGGAGATTCAAGAGGATTTGCAAGGTCAAGTGAAAGAAATCATTTAATTGTTCATGACACGGCGTAGAGAGCTCATATGTGCAAGCTTGGACCATGAGTCGAATGGGTTTGATATAAGAGAACCTTGGAAAACGTAGCTGTGCAGAAACTCGCATTTTTTATTATGTAAAAAGAAATATATGCGGGTTATAGAATCTGAAATGATTATTAGCTTGCAAAAGAAAGATGTATCCCAATATACAGTACTAACAATGCTCTCTAGCACTTGAGTCAGATCACGGAAATTTCCAGTTTCTGTCTGACCAACCTTGGAATAATTAAAATAGGAAGAAATTTGAAGAATCATGAATGACAAGATTAGTATCCCCCTTGGTCTTCAAAAGACCATCCCCTTTGAAAATCTTCTGAGTCTGGGCCTAGATTATGAGGGCTCTAAACATCTGATTAACATGATATCCCACAGGCTGCGATTTAGCAAGACAATGGAACCTGGAATACTACCACTTACATTGTTTGAACCTACAATCCGCACACCTTGGCCTCCGGTAGAATTTATATTACCCATGATGGTACCCCCGTGATTTGAAACTGGCCCTTGAAAGTAGACCTCGCCTTGATGAACCGTGGGCTGTACGATGAGAGTTAGCTCTAATGACTATGCGGCAATAGCATATGTGGCTGTTGTTCTTGTTTAAAGTGAGTGGATTGAAGTGAATAAACTGACTCGATAAGGATGATTCCTCGAGCCCAAGCTGCCATCATCGAATGACTGTCTCCTGGAATTTTTGGAAGAGGCCTCCCGTTTCATAGGAGTAAATTCATCAGAGGAAAGCCCCATCTGTAGTGTTTTTTCAAGTTTATGTCGAGCAGGAACAACAGAGAGAAGCTCCTTTGCATAGGCAGCTGCTGTAGCAGCTGCATAAGGTTGCCAGCTCTTATTCTTGTGCGAGTCAGCGTAGTCACATATCCCTCGAATAACGATACAGGGGAAAATGTCCATTAGTCCCGCTGCCTCCATTTCAAAACAAATGACATCACCCCCAAGTTCGTCCGCGATATGATCACGAGTTACACCATCACGCATAACTTTATTCCCTGACGCAATCAAGCCATAATGTATAACTGGACCGTCGGAGGATCTGGGTGGACGATAAACCGAGTGTCGCTTAGAACAACGTTTGCAGGTCCCATCACGCGAGTCAATGTGATAATATTCAGCTTCATAAAGCGTGTCGGATTGTGAGCCAGGGTACCTAAACTTCTTCATGGCTGGATGGCGTCTGAGCATTTTAGAAAGGTATGAGGGTATTTCTGAGAAGTCGATAGAGTGATTCGCTTCAAGATCTCCTATCGCAGAAAGAAGAAATGGAGGAGGTTTATTCAGAGATCCGGTGTGTTTGACTTTGCCATTCCCAACTTCTTTCCCATAGTCATACTGAACAACGCCGCCAAATGAACCCACAGGCCTGCTCACCACGACATCCCCCAGCCGAATGTCAGCCCTCTCGCTTGGGACGCCCCCTCCAATACCTACCATTAAGCCAAAAATGATACTGGGGAATGCGTGAAGCATTTGAGTTGCAACGATGGATGCTGATGAGGTTCCATATACACCCGCGGGAAGGCATGCAATAACGATATTATGACCATCCAGCGCGCCCAGTGTATAGATACCGTGATCGATTCGAGAGATTCGTGGATGGGTTTCATCAAGTATTGCTTTGGCAGCGGCAAGTTCCACAGGAAGGGCGCATATCCACCCAACCGTGTAGTCTGCGATGGATCTTTGACTATCCATGATCGGCGTCGGATTCCACCACTCCTTCCAAGGTTATCACTGCCCAGGTGAAGTTCAAATAGCTTGAAAGTCAACGTTCTAACTCCACTTTCCTTTCACCCAAAAAATTCACTTTGCATACAAAACGGACTTATGAGGGATATTAATATTTTGCCAGGGCGATTCTGCATGTTCCTTCGGCTTGTGGGGGCTGGTGTTAATACGGACAATGCCTCTCTGCTTACCCCCTCACAAATCTACTGCATACGCCATGCAGAACATTATAGGACATCCGGGATGGATATGCAAGTCGTATCACACTTTCGGTGCTAACGATTGGACAAGAATGAATTCCTGCAAGGGAATCCGTGGGCAGCTGAACGCAGCCACCAGAATCGATTGGTCCACGTTGTATGCGGCTCAACGGTCCGCAAGAACAAAAGGGTTAGTCTTTCACCCAGGTGAACCTTCGAAGCGAGCCGTTCGTATTTTTGAATGAGCAGCACGATTACCTCGGTGAACCTTTCGTAATCATCACCTGATCGGAGGGATCTGAGAGCCAGTTCCTTGGCCTTCCTTCACATTCCGTCTTCATTTCTGATCCAAGAAGACTACCTGTATCTAGATCCTCTCTACTGAGCCGGCTAGATGTCACCCTCTGTTGAGGCCAGAGAGAGTCAAATGCCACCGGCCGACTCGCAGGGCGCTACACGGTATGGTGCCGTAGATAACTTTGGGGTGACCCTTGGGAATATCTCCGGGGACCGCCACGAAATCATCGGTAAGTCCGTTATACTAAAGCAAAGAAAATTGGATCACTGATCATGATTTATAGGACAAAGTTTGTTCTCATACATGCCATAACAAGGTTACGTACTGATTATCATAGTTCATATGCACAACCATGGCCCGGTAGACAGCTCTCTTCCTTCGTTGGTGAACGAGCTTCGCGCATTCCTGCGCCGGGGCCGAAACCAAAACCAAAGAAGTGATGCCGCCTCGATTGCTTCAGTAATGACTACATACGACGATGATGACAAACATGTCTGGCGAGAATTTCGTAGGGATCTCATTAAACTGGGATTTCGAAGTTCTGATATCCGCAAGCACGCCCCTGACCTCAAGGCTCATCTTCATGACCTGCGGCATGACCCAGATGAAGATATAGAAGAGTGTGTCTCCCAAATAAAGCTAAGAAGCTTTACCCGCTCCATTTCTTACCCTCGGTATATGGGATATGCAATTGCTAACGGAACTTAGAGACTCCGAAGAATCGCGCAGATCCACCACTCCAAACGCGCGAAGCTCTCAACTAAACCCGAATCCCGAACCTACTCATAGGGATACGCCGCCAGAGAGATCTCCCCCATTGCCCGTGCCTACTGAGTCCCCCGAGAGCAATGATGTTGAATGGGGCTCAGGTTTTGGTCGGAAAAAGCAGTACACACCCCGACGTCGAGGAAGTTTAGCAGATGATCAATGGAGCTCCGCAGCGACTGTACGCGAGCGTAAACCCACACAGAATCCGAACCCTGCGCCTCGAAAAGAAGCGCGCAATGCCAAATCATCAAGATCTCAACCTCCAAAGAAATCTCAAACTGCTGAAGGACCGCTTGTGGAAGCTCGCGAACCCAAACCATCAAAGTCCCAATCTAAGCCCCAAAACAAGGGCAGATCGACGAACAACACACCACCGAAAGAAACTCCCAAGGCGGATCAACAAGCTGACCTCGATCCTAAGGAGCTTTTCGATCAATTTTTTGCCGGTTTTCCCCCTTCGAACCAGCAGAATACTCCCCAGCATCATCCACAACAGCCATCTCATACTACAGGAGAGCCTTACTATAACACATATGGGCAGAATCCTCAACAACCCCCGCAACAGCCTCCTTATCGCCCTGCAGATTCTTACTTTTCAGGAAATGGCCAGAGTCCGCAGCAGTATCCGCAAGGACCACAACAGCCATATACCCAACAGAACTCGCAACAATATCCTCAGCAGCATTTTCCGTATTCATACTACGTGCCCCCAACTACTGCTGCGCCTGACTATTATCAACAGACGCAAAGCCCTTTCTATTCAAATGACGCCCAGCAAAATCATGCACCCCAAAATCCATTTATGGGTGGAAATCGAACGTATCAAACTCCACCTCCGCAGCCATCATATGCACAACCTTATCCATATCCGCAACCGCAACCACAACCACAGCCACAGCCACAGTCACAGCCGCAACCACAGCCAGGCCCAACTTACACGCCAACCGATGAAGGAGCGAAAAAAGCAGATTATCCGTTGCCGAAGATCGAGACAATAACATGGAGAGCTCTCTCAAAAGAGGAGCGACATCCTATTGAGAATATTCCAGTTCTACCAGAGGGGTGGGACTGGCGAATAGATGACCGCAATCGACTATTTTACGTCGATACATACGCAAAAGGCAGAGAGAAACGCTGCTTCTGGCATCGCCCTGAAGAGGAAGATGATGATCACTTTGAACTTTCAGGATGGGAGAGAGTTTGCACAGTATTTGGTCGCATCTACTGGCTCCACAAAGAATCGCGAATTATCTCTTACCGATTTCCTATCCGGTGCGACCAGCTTGGTCTCGAGAATGGAGAGCTTTATGTGTTCCAGGGTAGTTGGAAACATTGGAGAAAAGCCGATCTCAGCACTTTCAAACTGAAGGATAATGATGTTTATTGTCAGATAACACATGATGTCTGGGAGAAAGGCTTATCGGACGAAGCTATCGTTGTGCGAGGTGAGCTGTGGTGGAGGAACGATGCTGTCAGAGAAAAGAATTTGAAGTTATCTGCATGGCGACCCGCCGAGGCAGTTCTTAATGAGATCATTCAGTTCACCGAGACTGCAGGGTCATTAAATGGGACCCCATCCTTGATTGACTCTGATGGAACACTGCGAAACCCACAGGAGAATATTCCCCAGTTTGACGGTCCGGGCAACGGGGTGAACAAGAAGGCGATTCGAATTCTTTCAGCGAGGTGAGTAGCACTCCAAATAACTTCGTCACTTGGTTTATAACAATATTTGCGTTATTAGGACTCGGCGTTTTCTCAAAAGTGCAAAGTGCCAGAACCTTCTCCTATGACGGGTCAGGCAAAAAGTGCACCAGATCCAGGACCACGAAATTTGACTTCGAATTACGAAAAGGCATCTGTGGAAGAGGAATTTGAGTAAGATTGCCCTACTGTAGGGCAAGAGACTCGGCGGGAGCAGAAGTTGTACAAAACTGCATCGTAGAGCAAGGGATTCCGCGCGTGCCTAGTCTTGGTATCTGACAGACTATGTGGTCTAATGCAGTAGGCGGTCGCAATGGGATGTATCAACAGGTCTGATTCTCTCCTTCTGATAATTACGCACATAAATTCTGCCTGGAGATCACCTGATCGGTCATGTGATCCATTCTGGTTCGACCAATCAGAGCTCTCCATCTAATAGTGGTTTGAACTAACCCAATTGGGCTAGTTATGCACCCGTGTTCTGTCAGTATCCTGAAGCCTGAGGTTTCCAAATTTGTCAGAATTGACCTATTTTTGGCCATCAGGCCACCAACGATTTCTGCCTGAGGCAACCTCAAAGCCCTCGTTCAATGACGTATGCCAATATGCAATGTTCTACGCCACATCCAATTAACAACTCCATACGCATTCAGATCAGATCAGCGCTCGATGACCTCAGATCCAAACAATTTACACTTTTATGACCTAGCCACAGGGTAGACACAAAGAGGGTGCGGGGTAAATCTTAGATATCGACCTGATCCGAGCGCAGCAATGACGATACCAGGCCAAGAAGATGTATGATGTATCATAATGTTGATTCCTTATAAAAGGCCTGTTTTCTCCTGCACGAGCAGTTTTGTCTCCAACCATCGCTTTTATCTCTTACTGAACATTCATATTACCACACATCAACATAATGGATAAGCTCTCTGGTCTCGCTTCCAAGCTGGGTGGTGGCTCTAGCTCTAGCTCTGGCTCCAACTCAAACCAGGCTTCTGGCAATGAAGACTACCTTGACAAGGGTAAGTGGCTCTCTTTCTAGAGTAGCCTTGATCTTCTGCTTACAACGGTTCAAGGTCTTGACTCCCTCGAGTCCAAGTTCGGTGGCGGCAAGGTCGATCCCCACTCTTCCAAGATGCGCGAAACCAACGAGAAGATCACCGATACCGCTCGTGAGAAGTTTGAATCCCTCACTGGGTAAGAGACCACGCAGGTTCAAATATTTGGCTCGTTGCTAATAACACTTTTACCGTATAGCAAGAAGGTCCCCGAGAAGTTCTCCAACTAGAAACCCTGTCGATCTACCATATTTCCCACGACGACGATCATGGTTCTAGTAACTTTATGATAACATGTTATGAAAGACTGCGCATGCTTAAGTCATGATATCCTATATAGCCTGCGGGAACTGTTATGTGAATCGTGAGCGTGATACCCAAGCAGGTAGTCGAATACAATATTCTCTTTAATATTCACAAATAATCTCAAAGTAAAACACATGTAGTCTTCAACCGAACACTTTAAAATCGTTTCAAAGCAGACAAAAAGTTCCTTATATCCGACCCGCTACCTGTGCGATTAGTAAACATAGTATTTGCTCGACACAGCTGAAGATTGGTACTGATGCGTTGCGTCGCCGCAGGATTCGCTCCGCCATATGCAATCAGAGCACGCTCATAATATTTCTGAGCGGGCGCGTATTCATTTGTTGCAAAATGGAGATTACCCAGCATCTCCAAGATGATTTGTGTTTCGGGGTTATCGAGACCTCGACGTCGCTCGCACCATTCAAGGTATCGGATCAACCAAGGAAGGGCTTCAGATCGCGATCTGGCCGTGAGAAGTTGTTGGGGAGTTTGGAAGGCATACATGATACCAATACTGCTCACAATATCCATTGTCTGTGGATGATCGGGACCATATGTCTCTTCGCAAATTGCCAGAGCACGACGGAGTGTCTCAGAGGCCTCGACTGTTTGCTCTGCACGGGTGTAGCCTCGACCAACAAGCGATAAAGCGCGGATTGTCAACGGATGCGTTTGGTCAAGACTGGCTTTAATTTCCTCATGGACATGTGGTAACATTTCCACCGCTTGTCGTACATCAGGCTGTAGATGCACAGTCACGTATGTGGTATCCTCATGGTTATAAAGAATCCATTCAAGGGTATCCAGGATAGCACCAAATACGCGAATATGGTTCTCGCCCAAGAGCCGCTTCATTGTCTCGGCGATCTTCTCTGCTGTCATGAGAGCATTCGCTCGTCGGTGCAGACCATTATAAGCCGCGCCTAGACGTCGACGCGTGTCCAGAGTGTCAAAATGGTCTTCGCCGATTGTCATTTGCTGTCGGGCAAGCACATTGGCACAGATGGACTCAGCCTCTTGATATTTGCCCTTGGCGCATAGGATCTCTGCCATCAAGCTCTCGGTTTTCATAGCCAGCGGATGCCGTGTTCCGAACACGCGTTGGGAATTATCAGAAACCCACGTAGTCCATTCAGTTGCTTTGGATAGATAGTTGGCTTCCAGCTCCATTTCAGCCAGATTGTATCCCATAGACAAGGTGCTCAGATGGTCGGCTCCGAGAGTTCTCAGATGGTCCTGAAATATCTGGTAGTCGATATCTCGTGATTCCTCCCATCTGGCAAGGTTCTTTAGTTCGGCAGACCGGATCGATCGTGGATCCTTATCTTGAGCGACGAATACCGATCCAACTATTCGCTGTGTAGGCTCATTGGGTCTTCCACCTCCAGGTGGCGCATACGACGCACTACTATTGGAATGCATGCGAGGGGGAACAGGAGGTGGAGATCGACCCGTCGACGGATGAGGGGATGACTGAGGAACATAGCCTTGGTCTGCTATCAGTGCCTGGTCTGCCATCTGTTTGATATTTCCCTTGATTAATCGGTACATAGGTCCTCGCGATGCCACCTTGCACATCTGAGAGTGGTCTGCATCGAGTTTCAGTTGAGTTTCGCGCATGCCAGAAAGGCCTAGGACGGCAGACTCTTCATCAACAACCAACTATTTTGATTGTGTCAACACTGTAAAATCTCGAGGAGTATTCTTTTCTTTCACTTACATGGCTCAGAGATGCTGGTCCGATACCTCCAATCTGCACTTCTTTCCCTTCAATGAAGCTAATAACACGATAGTCTTCCAGCTGGTGGCGAAATCGATCGGACATCTGTCGCGTGAACATAGAGTTGTGCTCCAAACAATCGAGGAGATCATTACTCGCGTGACCTTTCGAGACAAATCTTGCAACTCGCGCTGCGATCTTGCCCAACTCGACAGCCTTTGCGCCTCGATGCGGAGTGCCGAAGAATACGAGCCCTGAAGTTGCTACACGGATCGAGTTATACTTGGGATCCTCATTCGCATTGAGAAGCGCCTATGAAAGTCGCATTGGATGTTAGCAAGCATTCATGAGGATGATGCTACCACTCACCTGCTTGATGACCAAACCACCCAAACTATGTCCAATGAAAATGACCTTCGGTGGCATGGAATGCTGTGAGAAACGTCAGCATTCACTTGTTTCCTGTATATTTGTCCCCGAGGTGTTCCGATTACCAAGGAGGGAATCCGCTCCATATCTAACAGGTTCAACAGTGTATTCGCATGATCCTTGATGCTCGCCGTCGACATGGTCTGCGAATTTGTGATGTTCGAATTATACCCATAGACAAAGACTCGAGCATAGCCAATATCTTCCGCCAGGAAGTCCTTTGGCCAGAACTTCCCGTTTGAATGGGTCCATGTCTCGAATGGATGATCGTTTCGACCACGAGGGTTCAGTCCGTGGACAAATACCAAGCTGGATAAGAGCAGGATCAAAAGTCAGGTTGGATTAAACCAACTACTGGCGATATGATATGACTTACTCGACCTTTGGCGCATCGCATGGAGTGTAGACCTCCTGTAGGAACGGAAACTCGTACTCCTCCCCGTCCTGATCATGTTCATTAGACACCTTAATTTTGCATTCTGCGCGGCAGGAAAAATTCCGTACCATTTTCCACTATGAGTACTTGAAGTTGAGATGAGGAATGTAAGAATGAAAGAGGCTGAGAGTACAGAGTAGAGAATCACTACTAGTCGACTAAAAACAAGGAAAGCGCCTAGATGACTGAATACGAGCATGATAGCCCTAGGGTGAATGTGATCCTCCGTCTGACTGCTTGGATACATCTTGGCCATCAATCACTTCGGTGTATACTAATTATGGAGCCAATCGTGATGCGTGTCAGCAATCGGCTGAAATTACCCTCCCATTCCGGCTGCGGCGTCGCTTTTGCGCCTTTGCGGGGCTGATCCGGAATGGAATTTCTAGGCGAGATTCTTGCATATGGCTGACAGACAAGGCTGATTCTCATAGCCAATACCTGTTTTGCAATCGGGCGCGATCGCCATGAAGGCAACTATTTTGAGTTATAGTGGAGATGCGATGAGACGGAGTCCCTCGGACCCTTAAGCCTCGGATGTAAGCAATAGCATTGCCACAATAGCATGGCCACAATACGAGTACTAGTATGATATTTCTCAAGTTCTCAACATGATTCAAGGATAGTTTGAGGCTCTGGTATTTCCAAGGAAATAGAAAAATTCCAATGAATGGACACCACATGTGCACCGGACAACTTTTCCGCAGTTGGCTGTTATCCATTGGGCTCACTTGAACTTGAAGAATCAACTAGACTACAGGCCATCCAGTGGACCAATCAATTGTGTTCCAGCCGAATTGCTTTTCATCGTCCGCATAGCCAATGCTAGTGTTTGTGTAAGCGTAATAAAGAATTGTGCCGTAAGTCGGATCGTCATATACACCCCTGAAATAGTCAGCATCAATGTAAAATCATAGGGGGAGCTTGTTAGTTAGAGCATACTGTCCACCAGGTCCGTAGACCTCTCCATGGCTTTCCAGAACAATTGTACCACCACCATCGGTGCATGCTGTACCATCCGCGTCGACCTATAATCAATTAGAAAACCGAACTCAGTATTTCTGGATGGGTATTTGACTCACGAAGTCTCCTGTAGCAGAGGTTGACCGGCAGACTTTGATATGATACTCTTGTCCTGATGCGGGTAAATCGGTATCATAGGAACAGCAGATACCCCATGAGTAGAACAGATAGTAGTAGTCCCCATACGCGTACATGTAAGAGCCCTCCTCGGGATGGGTGCCATCTGGATAATAGGCAATATTATAGGAAGATCCGCTAGCTGCAGTAGCTGCAGAATTCATCTTAACTTGATAAATATCATCCCAGAATGAACCAAATTGCATATAGTATGTACCGTCGACCTCAATCAAGCTGGGATCGATCGCGTTGTAAATCTTGGCGGAGCTGGATTGAATTCCTACAGAGCCATGGTCTGTCCAAGATCCAAGGTCCATTGTGGCTGAAGTTGCCAGGCCTATCGCAGAGTCCTGGGACCCAAAGGTAGAGACAGCATAATAGACATAGTACAAGTCGTCGATGTAGTGGACGTCGGGCGCCTTGCGTAAATAAAGAGTTAGTCTTGTTTCTCTCTGTTGTAGGAAGGACACGGAGTATTCCAAGACTTCAAAGTCTCGCCTGGTTAAGAACTTACCCAAAGATCAGTGTTTCCATCAAGATCAATGGACGAGCCATCTGGTAGTACAGACCCGACAGATGTCCATGGTCCCAAGAGAGAAGACGCAGTGCAATATGAAATCTCATTCCCAGTAGAAAACCGAAAATAAGTGCCGTCCGAGGACCGCCGAATGAGCGTAGGATCATAAATGACACACTCGCCTGAGCATGTCTCCGGATTTGCATATCCGTACGCTAATGCTGCGAGCGACGCCACCGGTAGTGCCAAATGCCGAAAATGCATGATCGCGAACTTCAAGTTGAACTTGAATACAACTGCTGGTATTCACAAAAAGCTTGAAATTCCACATTCTGCAGCATAATGAGCTCTATTTATCTTCAGGTACGATATTTGACTTTCGGGGTTTCCAAAAAGGACTTATTCGTGGAAATAGCACCAAACCTTAGGTGCGACATACTGCGACACGGGTGGGCAGCCTTACCGCAAAGAGTTCTTCATAGCATGCCGAAGGAATGAATGTGGGTAAACAGCATGTGGGGTTGACCTTGTGAGTGTGTGTGTCAACCGTAATAAAGATGAGAATATGGCGTATGGCCCGTAAACTCAGTTAAGGATGTACGCCGAGTGGTGGATTTGATGTGTTCCTGACGTCTGTGCCGTCTGTGTCATGGGGCACGGAGACAGGTTTCTGCAGAACCCAAATTGCAAAAGAGGTAATATGCCGGCATAACGGGGAATTATATTCAAGATTCAATTCGGCAGGAAGTTTAGTATATGAGAATCATAAAACCTTGGAACTCATACCGAAGTATATTCTCAAGTGCTCGCATCGTTGCGAGCCTGAGGTGTCCAAAGGCATGCGTTATCATAGCTCCTAGTCTGGATCTTCAGCCTGAGACATCCTGAAACTTTTGGTCAATTAAGCTGAAAATTTCAGATTAAGGGGTGAATCGTCTGAATTTGCCTTCACCACGGACATTATCCGACTATAAATTATTATACTTGGTGATCCTACAAGCAAATGACTTTAGGGATTTGAATATCCACTTTTCAATTCCTCCCACATACAGTGGCTCATGAGGAAGGACTTAGATTAAATACAGAATAAGATGAATGAACCAACAAAAGCCCAGTCTCTTGATCTGAGTTCCTTGGCGAGTATCAAGCTAGTTAGAAATCTAGCAGCTTGCAACGCTAGGGACGTTCTCGCAGCTGCCATAGGTCTTACCACCGCTGACCTCGACGCTGCTCCAAGTCCAGTCAGAGCAACCGCTGCTGCCACAGACAATAGCAACATTGTAACCACTTGAGGAGACTGCACCAGACCCGCTAATGCTCTTGATGGTGAGGTCAGTGATGGGAACACCGCTAGTGGGGTCGCCCTTCAGATCACCACCGTCATAGTTCTGCTCAATCAAGATACCGTACCTGAAAATATTAATTAGCATTTGGGAATTCCTAAAGTGTCGTGAGACTGGCTCCGATATCATGAGGCTTACTTGGAGATAGAGGAGAGGGTAATTCCAGAGTAGGTGACACCCTTAATAGTGCCGGTGTCGCCCTCAGTAGCCTTGATGCGAATACCTAGAGGAACGTCAGTTGGTGAAGGATTCACGGCGAATATAAAGACTTGTCTGCTTACCGTTGGCAGAGTCAATCACAGTGGAATCCTCGAATGTAACAGTCTCGACAGTGTTGTCATCGCGACCACCAACGCTACCGATGGAGAGACCGTGACCACCGGAGCAGTATCCGTTCTTGAAGGTGATGTCCTAGGAAAAATATCAGCAAAAGCTCATCGTGGTCCATTTTAAGGTTGTTTTACCGTTCCAGAGTTGATAGCAACACAATCGTCCTGGTTGTAGACAGTGGCACCATCAATAATAACATCGGTACTGGATCCGATATCAAAGCCATCAGTGTTGTGACCCTCAGAGTCACCAGCGCTGTTGTCAATGGTCATGTCCGTGATGGTCAATCCATCACAGCCATTGATGCTGACAGCCTGCACTGGTGTGTTCTCAATGTACAAATTGGTGATAGTGGACGAGGTCAGATCGTGGGCGTAGAAGAACTTGGGCTTAGTCTTGCCACCGTTAGTTCCCTCACCATCCCACCAACGAGAACCGTCAGGGTTCAGCTTTGCGCCGCTGGCACCTGTGATGGTGATGTCGGTTCCCTCAATTTGCAGAAGGGGACCATCCCACTCCTCATAGCCCCAGGTAGTCTCACCCTCGAAGATGACCTGTAGTAAATTTGTCAGCTATGTGACCCATCCAATCCGCCGTAGAGTGAAAAACTTACATGGGTGCCATCTTCAAGATCACTCAGGTCCAGAGTGGTACCAGAAGGGACGGCGACATCTGAAAGGACAATGGTGGAGCAGGACTTCTGAGATTTACTGGCAGAGGAAGCACCCTTAGATCCAGAGAAAGTGCAAGTAGTGGCTCGCTTTTCCAGGTTAGGAGCAGCAGTGATGGCAGGAGCAGCGGGGGGAGGCAACGGCCAGCGTTGCAAGCCCTGCAAGAGCGAGATAAGTAGAAAGGTTCGGCATTGTGACTTGTGAGAATATCCTTGTTTGCTGGATTTCGTTTCATGGATCGAGGGAGAGCTTCTATTTATGCCAATGCTCCCCTGGTACCAGGAGCTTCAAACCTGACACGATGAGCCACGGGAATTCATCCTGAACAGGTTTAGAAAACATTGTTTTCTCCATTTCGATTCCACGTGCCTCCTGACGAACTCCATTGCAGGAGCATTAATTTCCATCATAACGGACATTCAGCTCCATTGGGATTCGGGACACCTGGCTCCGTTTTTGACACTATACGGAGAAATTGAAAGGGACCGGTGTCTCATTCAGCCAATCCATGGTTTCTTCTTCATGCAGGGATCAAAGTCAAAAGGAACACTAGAATAATCAAATCCCGGTGAACAGGGAGAATCTTCGGCATTCCATGTTTCACGATCTTTTTAGTAGCAACACCAATCCCCTAGCCAAGATCTTGGCTCCACCGAGATCTTCGTCAATCCGGACTCATTTGGTTCAGGGACCAGCCATTTGACGCGGAGTTCATGCCAAGAAATAAGTGAATGCCGTTATTTACCACCAGTCATTGATCGTTGCTTGTTTTCGAGACTATTTCATTTGTTCGCATATTTTGCCCGTTGATCTTCCAGTTGCTAGCCCCTGTATGGTACACAGTGGAGGGACTCGGGTCCATCGGGATGTGGATACTGTACAATGTCTCTCTATATTGGACCCACAATTGTGAAGATATTAAAGAGCTCCTTATGAATAGGCAACTCCATTCCATGGAAATAGAGATGTGATAGAGTAATATGATTTTCAGGGGTCTCGGCAATTCTTCCATTTATCTTGAACTCCGATTCCACCGCTGACGGATCGGCCACGTCAGCGCACCAGCCATATCATACGCCCAACCAATCCATCCTCTTGCTTTGATTGCAACATGAACAAGTCCCAACATCCTTTGAGTAAAAATATCTGCCGGTTCCATATCATGTAGATAGCACTCCCAAATAGGTCCTTCTTGTATCTGTTCACCACTGTCATCGCGAAGAACATCCAGTTTTCCAGTTGAAGCGTCGAGTTTCAGCTTTGGCCCAGTAACTAATGAGCGACCTGAACACCTCGAATCTGCAACCAAATATGTCGCCGCTTCGATGACATCCTCGGGCTTCCCCAGTGGAGTGCCTGCTAACAGGGCTCGAACGGGTGCTTGCATGAATTGGCTATCTGTATAGTAGGGACAGACGATGTTTACTCGAACGCCAGCATTTAGCGGAGCCGAGATTCGCAAGCACCGGAAAAGTCCAAGAACTGCATGCTTCGAAACAGTATATGGAGTCTGCGTCATGAGTGGGTGTAAGCTTGCGACGGAGCCCAGTAGCAGGATGTGTCTATCTCTCCCTGGCTCAGAAGTAGGAGATTCCGGCTTGCAGTTGCTGGAATCAGGGTTTTTCGGGAGAAAGAATAATGCAAGATGCACTGTATACATGACGCCAGTTAAATTGACATCAAGTGTTTTAAAACTGGGAGCGGGCGGGCTGGGATCGTTCAAGTAGTCGACTTGAGGTTTTTCAAAAGCTGTTGCTTCTGGGGCATCGTTGATGCCTGCATTTGCAACGACGGTGTCGATTCCACCATGTGGACTTAATTCCACGGCTTGGCGAAAGAAGTTCACCTGTGAAGTCCAGGAGGTGACATCTAATTTGATAAAATGAACATTTTGATTCTGGGATTCCTCGCGGATCTGTGCGGTGACCTTTTCTCCCGCCGACGTGTTGATGTCACCAAGTATCACGGTGGCTCCAGCAGCTGCCCAACGGGCACCAAACGCGGCACCGAAACCAGCAGCGCCGCCGGTGATGAGGATGGTTTTGCCCTGGATGTGAGCAGGATCGTAGCTCAAGTCCATTTTCGATAGATTTATAGTCCTGGGATAGACTATGGAGTAGACGGGGTATAAATGAGGAGCAAGCTCGGGATTGGACTTTTGCCAGTTGGTTAGATATCAAGAAAAGCGGGGACTGATACGGTCAAGTTTCTTGTGGAAGAAGCTTCCAAGAGGGAACCAGCGGAGCTTAGAGGAACTTGAAGAGTCTGACCGCAAGCTACAGAAAGAGCTCCTCGCGATAGGTAATCACGTCAATATTTTAAAGTGTTGTTTGTGCCCCGTACTCACAAGGCTGCCAAGATTGTTGGGATGCGGCTGAGATTGTTGAGCGCCTAGGATACAAGGATTAGTCACTTTATGCAGAATACGGAGTACATGAATATCTCCATCATCACCCATTGATTCCAACTTGAAGATTTTTGTGGATATTTCAAGCTCGGGGGTATATTAGCAAATGAGATCTGAAAATAATCGCCTACTAAGGAGATCTCCCGAGGCTCCTCCAAAGCTTAAAAACATTGATACCTAAGTGGGCCTTGAGCAATTCCAACATTCGAAGATTGAACTGAACTATCCATGGATGAATTGGTAGTATTCAAATGTTATTTTCACATTCTCTCAGCAAGCCATATTTATACATAGTGGGCGTAGCAATATAGGTGCCCAAAGGGATAGTAGCGCTATTAGACCTCGGATCACTCCAGGGCTATAGCAGTGAAGCTTAGTGTGTGATATTTGATAAATACCTTACCCCGTCGTATTTTTGCGATAGTGAGTGTGAAGCCTCACTTCTCAACATCGTGTAATATTACGCCAATGGGAAGGTTCTTCCCGTCATACAGCCTCAATTTTGGATATAATCATTAAAAATAATTGATCCCAGCTGCTGGGTATATCTGTAAGGTCTTGGGGAATTTTCAATGAAAAATAATCGCTTTCTGTGGTTTCCCAAGCCTTTTTAAAAATATCTCTTAACTACTACTACATTGACATTCTGAGACTACATGCGCAATCTGGCACTACATCGACAATCTGGCACTACACTGACATTCTGGCACTACATCAATAATCTAGCACTACACTGATAATCTGGCACTACATCAACAATCGGATAAACTTGAAACAAACAACTTGGGTGTTTATTGCCAAGCACTACTAGTACTATACAGCGGCTGAAGTAGTATATTCACGCAACTGTCAGTGGTCAGATAGAGATAGTATTCAAAGTTGCAACTTTCTTGTAGATATTATTCCGTAGCTAGGTCATTTTATTTAAATCAGTAATCTGGATTCCGTAATAGTCCTTACAACTGCTATAATGGCCTTAACAAAGTGATAATACGTACAGTGATGTGGAAGTTGATGGGTCAACTCTTGATGGCTGACGTCATCATCGATTTACAACCCCTTTTCTATACATAGATTCAACGTTGACAGTCAGTCATCAGACGTCGACCAGTCATGAACTTCTCGCTCATATGGGCGGCCTTGGTCAACCCGAGCAAACTGTTCTCTACAGCGTTGAACCTGATTGTTGTTGATCAAAGACCTGACACGGGGGCTTCCTCCGACGCGTCGTTCTACCCGCCTCTGGATGTCATCTCATATATCACCAATGCGAAACATGGGACCTACGGGGGTATTTTCACTGCCCCCGCAGATGAAGAGACTGAAAAGATTGACGGGACCTACAATTACTGCACTATGCCTCATCCCAGTCCCGACAATTATCAGCTCCCCTCGTCGGTACAGAAAGGCACTACCGAGGCGCAACTAATCTATGTGGAATACATGCAACGACATCAACGTCGCACTCCTTACAACATTCTACCAGGGGGTGAAGTGAGTTGAAACAATCCGCTACCTCATATTCCACACTTACTGACGAAGAACAGGATCAAGAGTATCATTGTGACAACGTGCATATCACGGCTGGATCTTCAAGTGCGGATTCTTCGCTGATCTCAGTGCCAATGTACACTGAAACATACACGGACTCGAAAAATCCATTTACACGTCGATATGTCAATGGAACTTGCCAATTCCCCCAGCTCACACTAGGGGGGGGTGCTTGACGGATACAGACATGGCAGAGACCTATGGGCAGTATACGGAGAGCAACTGAAGTTACTGGCATCGTCTCCGGATACACGTAACGTCTGGTTCCGTGCCAGTAGCTCGCCTCTGACGCATGCGTCAGCCAGTGCTGTGCTGCGAGGCATATGGCCTGATTATGACGGGTCACTCCCGCTGCACCAGCAAGCTTCTGGTATCGACACTGTAGATCAGGGGTTTCCCTGTCCATCACGCAGTCAACTACTATTGACAATTCAATCTACCGATGAATGGAACCAGCATCTTGCTGCCACTCAAGACTTGCGGGACCGCCTTGCTATCTTGTTTAACGCGAACAGAACGGACTGGATGTTCACGTTCGACCATTTCGCCGACAACTTTCAGGCGCGTCTCTGTAATGGGTACCGCCTGCCCTGCAGTCTGAATGATCCCTCCAAGTGCGCCACAGAGGACGATGCCTATGCGGTTTTCCGAGCAGGTGACTGGGAATGGAATTATTGGTGGCATCGTAACCAGCAGGCTTCTCATTACATCCAGTTGACAGAAGGCCTATTTTTGCAAGAGATTGCATTGAGACTTACAGCAATCAAAGAGGGTACACTCGATCGGGTCTACTCCCATACCTTTATTCATGATGGTGATCTAGGTCCAATCCTTGGGGCACTCGGTATCCAGCAATTGCGATGGCCTGGAATGGCTGCGAACATTGCCTTTGAGGTCTGGTATGTACAACTTTCTGTAGGACCCAGTGATTTAACTTCGAAAGGTAGTGCTGACTTCTTGACTAGGAAAACATCCGATTCTGAGCTCTATGTCCGCGTGCTTTACAGTGGACACCCCCTAAGAACGTCAGAAGGAAAATTAGATTGGGTCCCTCTCTCGAAGCTGATCCGGCAACTGAACAAACATGTGCCACAGGATATAGTCGCCATGTGCAGTTCTTAGTTCAGAAACTGCAAGCCGTGCACGAAGTACATAGAAGAACATTGGAAACAGAATGAAGGACTCAATCGACATAAAGATACGATTCCAGAATGTGCGCATTGACCTCCAACCCCTGGATTGTCTCCACTGGGATCGCTGTCAACCACTGACTACAAAGAACTGCGATGATTTTAAAGACATCGAACCATCCTTCGAATTTGAGTAGTATAGCTCAACAGAAACCTGGCATTAGGTAGCTCTTAAATGGGGCTAAATCGTGGAGACTCCGCTGGCTTGAACCCTGTTCCACCGGGGTTTTGCCAGACTTGAAGGCTGAAATATGCGACCAAGACAGATCGACACTTCAAATGCGCAAATAGGTATAGTCCCATATGCACGATTCTGTCAACAGTGCCCAAATGCGCGAGGAATGCAACTATTCAGGAGCCCAAGTGCCTTTATCCATCTTGAATAATACTGCCATGGACTATCAAACTACCGGCCGAACCTTGCAACTTTTAATCTCTCAGCCACTTTGAGCTATCATGCAGTGGTTCCAGCGCCTCTTCCGCAAGCCAGTTCTTCAGGGACTGATCTTCCCCGCTTTCTCCATGTGAGTACCCATAGATCCGCCGAGGTTTGACCGTGAGATTCATTGACCATGACCTTGGAAGAAACGGACATGGTCAAGATCAAAAATAGCACCGCTTCATAATATCCACCATAAATGCCCACGCTCGGTTCATTGTTTTAATATACTCTGCGGGGTAAAAATGGGTCTACCAAGAAAGATGTGGCTAAGAGCCTGATGTGTGATACAAAACTCCGAGTCCTATTATGGCAAAGGCATCTCCACTCACTATCGGTTGAAGAGCAATGGCTAAGGTTTCTTCCCAATGGAGGGGTGATATACAGGCACCCTTGGCAGGAAGCCATAGTCAATGCAGGGCAAACGCCACATTTGTGAGGGTAAAATATCACCTATCGGTTAAATTCCAACCAGGTTTGACTATAAGAGCAGCTTTACGCCCTCAAATTGAGAATTTATTTTTGAAGTCATATTACGAAGCTTCACACGATGTCTTTCAAAGGAGTCTTTTCTTTAAAGCCTGGCCTCAGTGCCCTCTCCATCTGCTGTGCACTTTTCCAAACAGTGCAAGGCATTTCGCTTCAAGTAAACAAGAGCGGCGGAAATGCCTCAAGTTCCTTGATGTATGGCTTCATGTTTGAAGTATGTGTCATATTTCTGCTGTTTAGTAGACATACAAATATTGACCAATCGTGTGATAGGATATCAATCACTCTGGTGATGGTGGCATCTATGGTCAAATCTTGCGAAACAATGGCTTACAGGGCACAGCGCCTGATCTGACCGCATGGGGTGCTGTTGGTGATGCCACAATTGCGATTGACTTTGACAATCCTCTCACAACCGCAATCCCACACACCCTACGCCTGGACGTCGCCAGTGGAACCAGTGGTACTGTCGGTGTTACTAACACAGGATACTGGGGAATTCCAGTGGATGGAAGTGAGCATCAGACTTACTTCTGGATCAAGGGTGATATAAGCGGCGACATTACTGCAAGCCTGGTCGGCAATGGTACCGGGACAATTTATGGCTCGACATCAATCCCTGTTTCTTCCACCAGTGACAATTTTACATATGTTGACGCTTCTCTGTCGACGGAAAAGGCACCAAATGGAGATGTCTATTTTGAGCTTTCTTTGGATGGAGCTGAGGTGGCTGGCTCCTCGCTCTATTTCGGTCTTGTTCAGCTGTTCCCTACCACTTACAAGGACCGGTAATATAAATCCTCACCACCAAAGCAATGCATCCGCGGCGCTTGCATGTTAGCTTTTTACTGACAATTTTTAGGTATAACGGTCTCCAGCCTCGCATCGCTAATGTCTTGGAAGCCGTCGAGGCATCTTTCCTGAGATTCCCAGGTGGCAACAATCTGTAAGTCATCTCCGAAATCGAACAAATTCTTTGGTATTTCTTTCATCCCGCTAACCTTCTTGAAGCGAGGGAGAGTCACTGGATAATCGTTGGAAGTGGAACGAAACTATCGGACCCGTCCAAGATCGCCCTGGACGTGAGGGTAAGTAGTCTAGCTCATATTTCATTCACGCATGCAACTAACGATGATTCCTTAGGAACTTGGAGCTACTATAATACAGATGGCCTTGGTAAGACTTCCCAGAGTTCTTATGAGAAAAAGAAATATTTATTGAACTATTCGCAGGTCTTGATGAGTACCTTTACTGGTGTGAGGACATGGGTCTCTCACCATTGCTGGCTATCTGGGCTGGCTTTGCTCTAGAGGCTGGTGCAGGTACCCCTCTAACTGGTGATGCACTGACTCCTTATGTCAACGATGTTCTGAATGAGCTCGAGGTGAACATCAAAGCTCATCGCCCTTTATCTTTCCGTTGCTAATAGTATGTAGTATATTCTGGGTGATGCAAGCACAGCATACGGCGCAATCCGTGCTGCGAATGGGCGAACAGAGCCTTGGGACGTCACCATAGTTGAAATTGGCAATGAGGATAACTTGGGAGGTGGCTGTTCCAGCTATGCCGAGCGATTTACCGCATTCTACGACGCCATTAATGAGAAATATCCCGATGTGACTCTCATCGCCAGTACCAACGATGCGTCTTGTTTGCCAAGCCCTATGCCGAGTGGAGCTATGGTGGACTACCACGACTACAACACGCCCGATGGACTTGTGGGCCAGTTCGACTACTTCGATAACATTGACCGCACCAGCTCATACCTTGTTGGGGAGTATGCCCAAAATGGTGTTGAGTACCCAATCATGCAAGGCGCCGTTGGTGAGGCAGTCTTCATGATCGGTATGGAGCGCAACAGCGATCTCATCAAGATGGCTTCATACGCTCCCCTTCTACAGCTCGTGAACTCTACTCAATGGACTGTATGTTCTAACCTCACCCATAATCTTGGGTTTTCCACATGCTGACACGCTTTCAGCCCAACTTGATTCCATTCACCCAGAGTCCTGACAATGTTGTCGAGACTACAAGCTACTACGTCCAGCAGATGTTCTCTGTGAATCGTGGGGACACAATTAAGGAGGTAACCAGTGATTCGGCGTTTGGACCCGTCTACTGGGTTGCCTCTAGCGCCAGTGATTCATCGTACTTTGTCAAGCTGGCGAACTATGGCAGCGATACTCAAGACTTGAGTGTCAATATTAATGGATTGACCACTGCGAAGTTGACTTTAGTTGGTGATGACGACCCCCATGCCGCGAATACACCTGATGAGTCTCCAGTTGTGCCTGTGCAATCAACTCTCAGCAGCTCAAACGGCACGTTTACTTTCACTTTGCCCGCTTGGTCAGTTGCTGTGTTAGCAGCTAGCTAGTGTCATTCTACTAGGTAGACTTCGGGAGTAACGATAGCTTTGAAACCCGTCAGATGATAGAAATTGATACTCATTGTAGCCAGTCCTTCAAGTTATTTTTATTACATGAGTTTCGGAATAGAAGTGATTTAACTTTGAATGCTATGAATTTGTGACTCGCTTTTCACTATCCATTTTCGCATCCCAGACCTGAAACAAACAAGAATCATCGGCTAATAAGACTATAACAAAACCCAACACCATGTTCTAATCTATGTGTTAGAGAATCTATTTCGCAAGCGCCTCTCCCAAGTATCCCATGACCTTGCCGACCAAGAATTGCCTTGGCTCAGCCTGATCATCATTACTCAACGCATGAGAAGCATTGGGAATAACCGCAGTCCACTTATCATCCCAAATCTGGAACTTATCACCATGGTTTATGGCCTTCTTCCATCTAGCCAGATTCTTCTCCTTATCCACCCACCCAGGAATAGCCTGATCCGCACCAGAGTACAAGACCATCAGCTTATGCTTCAGCAGACCCTGCTCCTGAATCAATCCAAATGTCGACGCAAGCTGATCATCACTCAGATCTGCACTGAACAGGTCATCCTCGCCAGGGATATGCGGACTCTCAGGACTATACAGACTCAGGAAGCGGCGACAACTGATAGGTGTATTGGAGGGGTAGATAGCAGAGGTCAACTCCAGCGGAAGCATAGTATCGCAGGAACTATTTTGCGCAACAGCCTCCTTAGAAATCGCCTCCATCTTATCACAGATCTCTTGCATCTGGCTAGGCGAGTTACCGCCAAACCCGTGCTCAATGCACAGCTGCACAGCTTCTCGGTCTGACACGGGCGCTTGCATGATAGCTCCGTCTAGCGGTAAGCGATCCGTGTGCTCGAGGCTCGCGTCGAATGCGGGTGCAGTGGTGTGAGGGTTTGGACGGTAGAGGTAGTGCATCACGCATTGACTACCAGTTGAGTGACCCATCATAACGATCTTGCCCTCGCCGAATTTCTCGGTCTTGAAATCCTTGATGTATCGGATACACTGCGCAATCTCGTTTGTATCGCGGTCCAGGTGGCCCAGACCCCATGATTGGTAAGAGGATGTGAGGTTTAGAGTGAAGAGGGACCACTCGGTAGGCTGGAGGGCCTTGGCCAGGTCGGCCATGTAGGAGGTTGTGGCGAGGCCATCGCCTAGACCGCCGACGAAAAGGAGACTGTGAGGTTTGCGGGCATTTGCGGTGGTGTATTCGAATGTGACGAGGGATTCAGTCTATGTTGGATCAGATATGTTAGTTCACGTTCATGAGGCAGCTGAGAATTGCGACTGGGATTCGGAGCTGGTGACATACGTAGTGGTGCAGGACGCCTGGGAGACCTCCTTTCGGCCAGAACTTGGAATACATCTTGCAGGTAGGGGTTGAAGAATAATGTACTAGTTTTAGATATGTGTATATTTGTGCAGATCCTCAATTTGTGAATGTGGAAGTGTATAGCAGTTGGTGATACGTGTTCGTGGGATGCAGGAGTCTTGTGCCTCCGGGTTATGTATTTTGCCGCGGGGGTTCATGTAGCTTGCCCGTTATCAGATCAAACTAATTTCCGAGACCGGGCTTTCAGGTGGCTCTTGCTCTGTGTGTTCGGGTTCCGTCGGCATCGCAACGTGCGAGTGGTGCCCTAGACCCGCTTGCTGCGCCGTTGACCCACTTGATAAATGATCTCATTCGGGTGCTCGCTTGATCCTGCCGAACTGAAACCCCTGGAAGATTCGGTTCTTGAAGGACTTGAAATCTGTCATAGCTAAGAATTATGGAGCTCTTTATCGGGAAAGAAAAAAACCGAGCAAGTTCCTGAGGCCTGAATCCACTGAGGCAGTTCTTAGGGTTTGTTGCATAATGGTATCAGTGTATCCGAACGATACCCGTGGGTATGTTACCGTATAAGGAGAGGCGTATTCTGTATCGTACTCAACGTAATACCTTACGACCCACCGGGGTAAAATACATCTGTAACGGGCAATTGGTATATTACGTCCAATGACATGGCCCGAGGGATTTAAGACAGTAAAAGACAACGTGGGTCCATCTCCGATGCTAAAACGACCATGACTTGATTTAGACCAAACCCTACCCTAATCAGGTTTTTGGCGGTTTAGCCGGAAAACAATCTGATTATCGTATGGTGCGCAGACCTTTTCGGGGGCGGACGGAATACAATTCCAAGTTGAGACTGAAGGACCGCCAGCTGCAACCTCATTATGCAGGTAAAGAGGAGAAATAAGAAGCTAAAGCATAATAAGATGCATAAAATGACTTCTTTCAGAGGCTAGTTTGATGGTTCAGCTTAATTCCAACCGATAGCTTTGTCCTCTACCCAACGATCATGCCCGAACATGGATGGATACACGTACGGCTTTGCTTGTAAGTTGGCAATGCGCCTGGGTTGGTCGGTAACTCTCATCTCCAGAAAAATGGGTCCAAAGTAGTGGCATGATGGGGCTCCATCAGAGAATTTGAGACCTGAAGGCATCTTCCAGAGTCATGGTGGACTTTTGATATATGAAATGCGCATATATAGAGACTTGGCACAAACCATTACATTGTCGAAATAGGCTTTAATTATGATCAGGGGTCAAAGTCATATTGCATCAACTTGATTTTTTCCGAAAGGAGACAAATAAACGACCAAGGTCACCCATTCACCCATTAGTTCACAAGGGGGGGGGGAAACAAGCGAGCCAAGAGGCCCAACATCGCGGGAGGCGCGCCTTCAAGATCCAGATATTCAGGTTAATTTTCAATTCGTTATTTACAGGAAAGTTTCATTCTGTCATGATTAACCCGTGGACAATTTCCTTGTTTTTATTTCGTTTTGTTTCAATTTCATGCTCGAGCGTTTTTTGGTACATTGTCATGCTCCGATACACGTAAATACGCCAATCGGATAAGATTTCGATCCACCATCAGACGGATCTGATAAAAATTATTCACCGCAAGCCTGACAGATAACAGGACAAGTGGGTTTTGAACAAGCCGAATTAAAATCATTTCCATGGAAATGCCAATTTTAAACGAGCAGTAATGATTTCAAACATGTTTTTAAGGATTTATTTTGCTTTTTATTTCTGCAAGTCAACAGTCTCGGCTAGACTGAAACTTGAAGACTGCGCATTGAATCCACTCACACTTGCCGATCTCGCTCTTTATACAGTAACTGTACGGAACATTTCCCTTTGCCCCGCGGTTGGGTCGTCACCGGAAAGGGACAGGTAGTCCTATGCACGTTCGGGGGGTTATATATGGTACACTAAGCCCTTTCAGTCAGCTCGCATTTGCGCAAAGCTCAAGAACGACCGAGGTTCGACTCCTCTTCTCCCACCTTACATTCGCTCCGGGATTCAGTTTAGAGAACTGTAATGGTCGAAAGTATGGGTTCTATACAAGAGAATGATCACCAAATTAACGGGGCCGTTGAGTCGCTGTCAACCGTTGAGTCCCGTCCGGCGGACAGCGACGGCTTCCGGTCTTTCCAAGTTGTCAACCTTGCGACAGGAGATGAATTCACACCAACAGGCATGAAGGAGGAAGTAGTATTGCTCGCATGGCTCATTGTACTCATGCGCACTCGCGAAGGTACTCTTCCTCGCTATGAATGGGCTTACAAGACGCACTCCGATGATGCCGACCTCAAGTCGAGTCATAATGAACTACCCACCGAGACTCTGGTACCAGGACTGCAAAGTGGCGCTGAAGAGGTCGCTCAAGCTATTCTGAAGCACATTAAATCAGTTGCGCCCGCTGAGCCCAATTCGGCGTCGCTCCTTCTCAGCACCGGTTCCTTAACACAAGATGCGGAAGCTAACGAGGAAGTGAGTAAAAGGCCCTGAATGCACCCATCTTTAATTAATTTGCTAATAAAATCAAATGAAGGGCGCAATCTTCCTTGAAGCACGCTTCCAAAATGAACAAATTGAAATTCGCCCTGTTTGGAGCACCAAAAACCAGCTAGAATATACCGTGAACCACCACGTTGAGCAATTGGCCGACACTATTAAATCATACCTCTCAACCCCACACTCTTCCATCGAGGAGACCCTCAAACCGACCGAATGCGATTTCGATGAAATTTGGCGCATCAACCATGAGCTTCCTCCAACCTATAGCTTTGGCTCACATGAATTGGTGTCCGAACAAGCCCAGAAAGTTCCCGACAAGGTCGCCATAGATTCATGGGATGGCGAGTTGACATACGGTCAGATCGATCAATGGTCATCACATGTGGCATGGAAGCTCAAGGAAATGGGCGTCGAGCTGAATGATGTATTGCCTGTCTGCTTCGAAAAGTCAAGGTGGACAATCATTGCAGTGATGGCTGTTATGAAAGTGGGCGCAACTTTTGCGCTTATGGATCCCACCTTGCCGCTTGCCCGACTTCAAAATATGGCAACGCAGGTCGGCGCAAAGGCAATGGTTTCATCACGAAACCAATTTGAATTCTCGAGCCAGATCATGCCCAGCGAGAAGATTTTCGTTGTGGAAGAGAGTGCATTTGCTGAGATCCCCAAGTCAGAGGTTATTGCTGCACTCCCAACAGTGCCACCACAAACATTAATGTATATCATCTTCACTTCTGGAAGTACTGGCACACCCAAAGGTGTCACAATCTCGCACGAAACCTACACCAGCAGTCTGATTCCTCGATCACAGGCAGTTGGCTACAAGGAGGATTCCCGAGTCCTCGATTTTGCGTCATATGCTTTCGACGTTAGCATTGACAGTATGCTTTGCACACTCAGCCAGGGTGGTTGTCTATGCATTCCATCCGATGATGATCGTCTGAATGATATCAACGATGTGATTCGCAAATTGAGGATCAACTACGCCGGTATGACACCGTCGGTTGCTCGTATTCTGGATCCAGATGTCATCAAGTCACTCACAAACGGTCTTGGTCTTGGAGGAGAGGCAGTGCCAGCAAGAGATGCCAATATCTGGGGCCAGGATGCTCGAATTATTATTGGATATGGTCCTTGCGAGTGTACCATCGGGTGCACCATCAACAGCAGCGCTGCCACTGGCAGAGATTATCTTTCGATTGGACCCGGTAATGGTGCTGCCATGTGGATCGTTGATCCTAATGACCATGAACAACTGATGCCCATCGGCGCTGTGGGTGAATTACTTGTCGAGGGACCCATCGTCGGTCAAGGATACTTGAATGACCCTGAGAAAACGGCTAGTGTGTTCATCGAAGATCCTTCCTGGCTTGTTACCGGCCACAAAGATTATGCTGGTCGTCACGGTCGTCTCTATAAGACTGGTGATCTTGGAAGATACGATCCCGATGGTTCTGGTGGTATTGTCTTCGCTGGACGAAAAGATACCCAGGTCAAGCTTCGTGGTCAGCGTGTTGAGCTTGGTGAGATTGAGAGTCAGCTGCGCGCTATCTTGCCCCCGGATACCAATGTCATTGCCGAAGTTATTGTGCCCCAGGGTACTGGAGGTCAAGCAACCCTTATCGCTTTCGTCACCACACCTGCTATGAAGGAACAAGGTGGCACTGGCGTGAGCGCTGCCGAGCCCTCTGAGGATCTGCGAGCCATTCTCTCCAATCTCAGCACAGAACTGGCCAAGGTCGTGCCTCGATACATGGTTCCCACAGCCTACATTCCCGTCAATGATATCCCCGTCTTAATTTCTGGCAAGACCGATCGCAAGCAACTCCGGGCCTTTGGTACTACGATCGATCTGCGACAGTTGGACACCGGTAATGAAACAACCGCCAACCGAGAACTGACCGATCTCGAAAAGCGTCTTCGTGAGATCTGGGCTCAAACTTTGAAGCTTGAAGCCGAGAACATCAAGCTCAATGACAATTTCTTTGCCCTGGGAGGTGACTCGGTCGCAGCAATGAAGCTTGTCTCCGTTTGCCGGTCTCAAGGTCTTGATCTCTCTGTCATCGGCATGTTTGGCAACCCATCACTCTCTGCGATGGCTGACGTCATTACTCCGCTGGGTGATGAAGTCGAGGCACAAGCTGAAACAGCTGCATTCTCAATGATCTCCCAGGATTCCGAGAATGCTTGTGCAGAGGCTTCCCAGATCTATGGATTCAAGAAGACTGCCATTGAGGATATCTACCCTTGCACCCCTACACAAGAGTCACTTTTCACATTCTCATTGAAATCAGTCAAACCATATGTCGCTCAGCGTGTGGCTAGCATCCCATCAAGCATTGATATTGATACATGGAAGAAGGCATGGGAGGAAGTGGTCACCCATAGTCCCATCCTCCGTACCCGCCTTGCTCAACTTCAAGAACCCGGCCTCCAGCAAGTTGTGCTGCAGGACACCATCTACTGGAGAGACTCGGATAATCTTGAAAAATACCTTGAGAGCGATCGGAATGATAGAATGCAGCTTGGAGATCGTCTAGCTCGGTACGCTGTTGTCGAAGACAATGGCCAAAAATACATGGTTTGGACAATCCACCACGTTGTTTACGATGGATGGTCTGAGCCTGTCATTCTGAAGAAGGTCAACGAAGCTTTGAAAGGTCAACCTGTTGAGGTCACCACTCAGATGAGAGAATTTGTCAAATGGGTCAAAGACACAGATGAGGTCGCCATGGATGAGTTCTGGCGCCGAGAGCTCAGGAATGCCGTCGGTCCTCAGTTCCCTCGTCTCCCCTCCAGAGACTTTGTGCCTTACCCGGACGCAAATGTTGAACATTCCGTATCTGTGCAGACGAACACGAAGTATCCTTTCACACTCGCTACCTTGATTCGAGGTGCATGGGCCCTGGTCTCTTCTCAACACTCGGGAAGTGATGATGTTGTGTTTGGCGAGACTCTTACTGGTCGTGACATTGCCTTGCCTGGAGTCGAGGGGATTGTTGGACCCCTGATCGCCACAGTACCTGTTCGCATTCGTGTGAACCGTCAAACTACCATCGAGTCATTCCTGCAAGCCGTTCAACAAGGAGTCTTGACTCGGTCTCCTTACCAGCATCTGGGTATGCAGAATATCCGCAAGGTCAGCCGCGATGCCCAACATGCGTGCGAGGCTCCTACAGGCCTGGTCATTCAGCCAGAGCCAGACTCTTCCGCCGTCAGCGAGCTGGGCTTTGCTGTTGGTGATGTTGTTCAGGAAGCACTCCACTTCAACCCTTACCCACTCATGATCGGATGTGGAATTCGCAAGGGCGGTTTCAGAATCCGTGCCAACTTTGATAGCACTCTGATCCAGCCTACACAGATGAAGCGTGTTCTTGCTCAGATGGAAATGGCTTGTTATCAATTGACACGAAATATCTCAAGGAAGCTTGAGGAGGTTTCCTGCATTCCTGATACTGAACTCAGCCATATTTGGAAATGGAATGCTACTCCTCCGCTATCCCTCGACGAGTTCACAAATAAGCTTCGCGCCAACTTGGGCATCAAGGCCGGATCTCCGTACCCCAATGCTGTTGTACCTTGGGTAGTCGATGCTCGCAACGAATCCCATCTTGCAGCGATTGGCTGCGTCGGTGAACTTTGGCTCGAGGGTAATATTCTCTCTGGCGAGATTGTCGATTCTCCAGCGTGGCTGACTGCTGGAAGTTCCGCTTGCGCTGGTCGCACCGGTAAAGCCCAGCCAACAGGCGACATTGTGAAACTGGAAGAGGATGGAAACTTGGTATATGTCGGTCGCAAAGAGGATCTCATGCCTGTTGAGGGTCATGCAGTCAATATTGCTGATTTGGAGGCTCACTTTGCCACATATCTTTCGCCGACTGTACGCGCTGCTACTGCAGTTTTCCAATCAGTATCAGAAGATGGCGAGAAACAGACAGAGCTTGTCATTTTCCTACAGCCTCATTCCTCCAAGGAGAAGGAAATCGAAGTTACTTCCGAGAATTATGAGCTTGGCCAAAAGGAATTCCGAGTGACAACCCGCACTGTGGTGCCATCAAGCCTGGCTCTTGGTCTGAGAAAACTTGACAAGTTCGTTCGGGATTCTCTCCCCTCTTACATGGCTCCTTCGGCATATGTTGTGGTTGAGGAGTTGCCAGCTGAGACAAATTATAATGACTACCAAGCTCGTCTGAACGAGCTAGCCTCAAGTATCCCTGCATCCGTGCTTCAGCAGCTCCGCGAAGGCTTCCAGGAGGCATGGAAGAAGACATCCGCACAGGCCAATCTAACACCAAAGGAGAATATCCTGCGAACTGCCTGGGCCAACATCCTTCGCATGGAGCCCGAAAAGATTGACCTGGACGATAACTTCTTCCGCCTGGGTGGTGACTCTGTCTTGGCCATGAAGTTGGTTTCCAGTCTGCGCACCCAGGGACATGGCTTGAGTGTGGCCGACATCTTCCAGCACATGCGTCTTGGAGATGCGGCCCGTGTCCTGAAGCTCGACCAGGCTTCCAAACAGGATGTGAAGCCTTACAAGCCCTTTTCTGCCCTGGGTCAGTCAGATGTTAATGCTGGAATTGTTCACCCGAAACTTGCAAACCCCAACTGGGCCATTCACGATATTGCTCCAGTAACTGATTCTCAGGTTGTGGACATCAAGGCTACTTTGAATGCTCCCCGAACTGGCATTCAATATAACATGTTATTCTTCGATGAGGGTATTGACCGGGAGAAGCTTCTTAACGCCTGCAATGAGCTCATCAAGGCTCATGAAATTCTCCGAACAGTCTTTGTGGAGCATGAATCCAAGTTCTACCAGGTCGTCTTGGAGGAAATGGAAACACCCCTGACCAAGCACCTTGCCGACGACGATCTGGAGAAATCTGTTAAAGAGGTCTGCGAGGTCCACGCTGAGCTTGAATTCAAGCTCGGCTCATCATTCCTGCAGATTCTTCACGTGGAAGGCCGAGACGGGCGCGATTGCCTCGTGTTGGGTCTATCCCACGCTCAATATGATGGTGTCTCTCTCCCACGAATGCTGCAAGATCTGGAGACCTTCTACACCGGAGGCGAGATCGCGGCTCACCAGCCATTTAACGTGTACATTGGTCGCATCTCCGACGAACGTGTTCAGAAAACAGCCGTTACCTACTGGAGCAATCTCCTCCAGGGCTCCTCTCTCTCCGTCTTGGAAGGTCCCACAACTCAACCTACCGACCGCGGCATCTTCAAGACCAAGGCTGTTGAGAACTCCAAGCCCTTGGAGTATATTACTACCGCCAACCTTCTCACTGCAGCCTGGGCGTTGCTCTTGGCTCGCCGTCTCCGCAAATCAGACGTCGCTTTTGGAGGCGTCACCTCCGGCCGAACAGTCGATCTCCCTGACGTGGAGAATATCGTCGGACCGTGCTACCAACTCACCCCGATCCGCGTTCTCTTCGAGTCACACTGGACAGCAATGGATCTTCTACAGTTCGTACAGAAGCAGAGCGCCGAGTCGGCCGCATACGATTTCATGGGCTTTGAGAAGATTGCTCAGCAGTGCACTGAGTGGTCCGAGGGTCAGTTCTATGACTCACTGGTCCATCATCAAGATTGGGATGACTTTGATACCATGCCTTTTGCTGGTGGAAGCTGCAAGGTGGATATTCTGAACCCTCATGGTGACTCGCCCAAGCCGTTGAAGGTTGTTTCATTCGTTAAGGAGGGAAAGACACATGTTGGTCTTGTTGGAAGTGAACAGGATGCTGTGTTTGTTGGTGAAACCCTGGACGAGCTTGCTGCTACTGTGCTGGAGCTGAGTGAACAAAAGGTGGAGGCTTTGCTTGATGCTGAAGTATTCTAAATGATCTTTGCATAGCATTTTGTTGTACTTGTCTCTTTTCAGTACTTGTCTTTATAAATTGAACTGGTTTCCATTAAATTAAGAAAGATAGTCGAATCTATGTAGTACTAACAAAAAAAGAAAAGAAATTCAGCAAGGCCAGGAATCGAACCCAGGCCCTTCAAAATCAGAAATGCGTGGCCAGCCCTGATGCTCTCACTTGATACATCCATCCTCAGCACATAACACCTTCTAGCTCGCTCAATTATTTTTATTTTGAGGATCTGAAAGTTTCAATAGAAAGAGAAAGGTCAGAAGTATAATAGGTAAAAAATATCAAAAAATTAAAAAAAAGACATTATCCCAGCCGAAGCCGATTCCTTCCCGCCCGCAGGGATCATCTCTCCCACTTAAACTTGGCCCTGCATACCTAATTTACGTATCAATGTCCCCCAAACGGGTCATTAGGCCGGTACACTATAGCCGGGTAGAGAGGTTACCCGGGGAACTTTTTACTGAAATATAAGGGAGACCTGGTTCCTTGAAGGATCTCTACTACTTACTACCCTTGCATTTAGATATCAAAAAAAAATTAAATTAAATTAAATTCTACCTTGTTTTAAATAATCAATCCACTCCAAATGATTCCGATATTACTTCCTAGTAGAACTCCGTATCCTTGTAGTAAAAGTGGTAGCGCTGCGTGCGGTGCCTTGGGGTACGTCGTGCGACATATAGCCAACTGGTGGATATTCTGCCAGGCGGTGAAGAAACGAAAATCAATATAACCCCCAAGTAGGGATACCGCCAACCTGACCTACAGGATCTTGGGCACCATATTATTATAAGAATTCCATCGTTGAGGCAATTAAAAGAAGACTTAGTAAAATTCTCGGTCTAAATGAGATATCTCGTATTTACGAAGAGAGAAAAAAAGAGACAATGCAACGCTATATACAGTTGAAAAGATGATGACAGCCAGCTCCAACGCCAGCACCGTCAGGTATTAAACAGAAGATCTAAAATGATTCAAAAATTTTGCAACTGGGTTAAGTAGCCACAGTTTGATGCATGACGTTGGACCGGTAGCTCTCCGATCTCTCGATGAGCTCCTCATGGGATCCACGATCTGTGCACTTTCCACCATCAATCAAGAAAATGACATCTGCCTTGCGGATGGTATGCAGACGATGGGCAATCGCAATCACGGTAATGCCCTTCGCAGCCTTCTCGAGTCCATCTTGAAGAAGCTTCTCAGACTCAGCGTCCAGGGCACTGGTGGATTCATCCAGAATCAATAGCTTGGGCTTGCGAACCAGCGCACGGGCAATTGATAATCTCTGCTTCTGACCACCAGAGAACTGGTTACCGTTTGGTCCACACATGGTCTTGTATCCCTCTGGAAGCGCCATAATGGTCTCGTGGATGTTGGCAAGCTTGCAGGCGTCCATGATCTCCTCCAGGGTCACATCACGGTCGGGTCTGGCACCCAAACCAATGTTGAACTCAATGCTACCCTCAAACAAGACGCTCTCTTGAGGAACAAGAGAGATGTTGTTACGGAATGAGGGATCGCGTGTCTTCGTGACGTCCAGTCCATCAATCAGAATAGACCCGGATTCGGGAACGTAAAGACGTTCAGCAAGGGAGATGATTGTTGATTTACCGGCTCCACTGGGACCGACGAGGGCACAAAATTGACCTGGCTTGATATCGATAGTGAGACCGTTCAACACCTTCATATCTGGTCGAGCGGGGTACGCGAAATGCACATCCCGAAGCTGAACGCTGGAAGCCTTGTTATCAGTCTGGATAGCCTTGGCCTCAGTGGACTCAAGATCTCCCTGGATGACGTTTGGTGCATGAGTAGGGATGCGACCACGCATCTTGTCGGAGCCTTGCTCAATCAGATCCAGGATTCTAGCCATGGCAGCTCGGGCTTGGGAAAGCTCAGGTGCAAGGGCGAACATCTGACTCCACAGAAGAGCACTGACGAGTAGGGAGAAAACGACGATCAGGAATTGAGTCTGAGTGTAGGTACCGTTGAGAATCTGCTTGCCACCCCACCAGTACGCCAGAGCGTTGACACAGTTACCAAGGAAGTAGGTAGTTGACTGCCAGGCACTTGCTTGCAGGGTAACTGTCAAAGTTTCCTTGCGAGGGCCTCGTAGGGATTTGCGGTATGTCTTCAAAGTTTCATCTTCAAGAGAAAGAGCGGCAATAGTCTTGATGTTGCTAATGGCTTCAACACCAATGTCAACTGACTGCGCATATGCGTTTTCGTGACGCTCCTCGAATCGACCAAGAACCATAAGTTCCATGAAACCAGCTCCAAGAAGGAGAGGCACCAATGCAAGACAGACCAGAGCGACCTTCCAAGCGATGATGTGTGTCAAGATAATCGCAGCAAAGAGGTTGACAGTGATGGAGAACAGGGTACCGATGATAGAACCACTGAGACCAGCCAGCGCGTTACCATCTCGGGTGATGTATCCAAGAAGCAAAGGAGGGGAGCGACCATTAGACTGATGCCACTGGAGATCCTGCTCGAATAGAGAGCGGAAGGACAGAACACGCACGGTGTAAACAATCTTCTCGGAGACATAACCGAATCCAGCCCAACTGGCGACATTGGCGAAGAGCTCGATGATGGCAAGAACACAGAACATAAGACCGTAGAAGGAACCCTTGGAGCGAATATAAGATGGGGTATTGCAAGGCTCCAGAGCACCAACGGTGTTACCAAAGATAACAGCTTCACCGGAGAAGGCACCTCCGACGATGACGGAACCGATCAGGGCGAGAGCGATGACGAGCAAATGAGGACGTGTAGTTGGGGCATAACCCTTGATAAGAGCCCAGAGAGATTTTCGGGGAGCCTCAAGCTCTCCTTCCTCCTCTCCCTCCTTTTCCTCAGCAGAGTCGACAACTGGGGTCTCTTCGGGAGAAGGAACCTTCTTGATGTTTTCGAATGAAGCGTTTGAAGATTCAGCCTTCTCAACGTCACCGGCAGTCACAGAGCTTTGATCGGACTTGCTAACGGTGTCAACACTGACGGTGGTGTCGTTCTTGTCAGGGGTACTGCTAAGGGTTTGTAACTTGACAAGTTCGGCGTATGATCCATCCTTAGCCATCAATTCGGCATGGTTACCCTGCTCCACGATGACACCCTTGTGCATAACAATGATGTTGTCCGCTCCGGTAATTGTTGACAATCTGTGGGCAATAGTGATCACAGTACGACCAGTGGCAATGTTGTTGATCGCCTTTTGAATGCGCTGTTCACTGCGAGAATCCAGTGATGCAGTCGCCTCATCGAGAATAAGAACCGCAGGGTCTCTGATCAGAGCCCGAGCAAGGGAAATACGCTGTTTCTGGCCACCACTGATCAAACGTCCACTGGATCCAACTACTGTACCAAGACCATATTGCAGACGTGAGATGAAGCCATCAGCATCAGCCAGGACTGTGGCCTTCTTGACCAGCTCCACAATCTCGACCATGTCAGATCCATACTTCTCAGCCTCTGTCGCAAGATCCTTACCATCTCTAAGTGATGCTGCAAGATCTTCCAAATCAGGACGAATAAAAACTTCTTTCAGATGGGCGTGGCTTGGGTTGCTCGAGTTGATAAGACCATGGGCAATGTTCTCCAAAAGAGACCGATCAAGCAAAGAAGGCTCCTGTTGGACAAGACTGAGGTAACTTCTCAAGTCTTTGACGTTCACATCACGGATATCATGGCCATCGAAAGTGATCTGACCATCATTGGGGTCGTACAGTCGGGTGACAAGACCTGCGATGGTCGATTTTCCACTTCCGGACAGACCAACAAGAGCAGTGTGCTTGTTGGCAGGGATGCTCATACTGATGTTGTCCAAAACAGTGATTTCAGGTCGAGAGGGATAAGTGAAGGAGATGTTCTTGAGCTCAAAGCCACCTTCTGCCTGGGTGAGACGAATGCCGGCTTCGGAAGTACCATCAATCTGAGGCACACGCTCAATATCATCGCGCAGCTTAGAGTATGAAGCGACGGCCTGGACAAACAAGTGCAAAAATGGCGAGACCTGACTGAACATCAATGTAGCTGCAAAAGAAAGTTAGAATTCCGACCTTGAAACTGCTTCATTCGATGGCCACGTACCTTCAATCAACACAAAAATGACCGTGAAGGTTGCACCGACGGTCACACCTCCTGATCCTGTCTCAACATTCTCTGCAACTCCCTTGGCACCTTGCCAGAAAGCCAGACCGTTCGCACCATAAGCAATGAAATATAGCACACCAGATTGGATACCGACAGCAAGAGCCTTTTTGAGACCTTCAGTCTCTGACAGCTTGAGCGCCTTGGAAAACTTCTCCTCCAAACGGGCGTTGGCGCCAAAGGCCTGCACGACGACTGTGTTGTTCAGGGCCTCTGAAGCGATAGAAGCAGCACTAGCAGCATGGTCTGACATGCGGCTGGCGTACTTCTCGATATAGTGACTTCCAACAAATGACATCAACAGATAGGCTGGAATAAGCGACAGCAACATGCATGCAAGTTTCCAGTCCTTGATGAAGGCAACAATATAGGCAGTGATAAAGAACGAAATGGCCGACAAAACAATTCCAACCTTCTCAGAGGTACCCGATCGAATGGTTTGAATATCGCTGTTGAGACGCGATGCGACTTCTCCAGGAGGCAGATTATCGAAAAATGAAGGCTCCTGACGAAGCAAATTCTTCAGGTAGTTTTCGCGGAGTCGTTGCGCCAAGCGTGCGCCAGTCATGGTCCAACATGTCAGATGAATATAGATGGTGAAGAATTGCGCAATGGCGAGGTACAGGATGAGAAGAATTTCACCATTGATGGAACTCTGGTCGGAGGATTCAGAGGACGAGTTTGCGGTGCCATCGGAATAGGAGCAAGTCGCGGAGTTGAAGTCGTTGAGCAGTTGACCAAAAACGATACCAATAATTGGGAATGGGACACCAGATGCAATAGCACTGAAGAATCCCACGAAAATCATTACAATCTCCCATTTCGATGGATTGCAGGCCACCAAAAGCCGACAATAGTCGGTCACTTTCTTGAAACCCTTCATCGTGTCGGGGTTTGAACGCAGCTTTCGCTGGCAACCAGGACTAGAGTTTCTTGCTTCCTTACTAAAAGAGTACTCAGATGCTATCAATGGATTTGCGCATCAGGATTCCCCAAAAGAATGAAGAGAAAGCCAGACAAAGAAACTTCTGCCGAGGAAGGAATGGGTTGCTGGAGCTAAAAGAGCTTGCTGAAGGAATTCCAAGCTCAAATCTTATCAATCAGGGGGAACTATACCTGATGAAGCCGTCGAATCCACATGAAGAATTCCAATTCGATGACGACTAGAGCCACTTTTTTTTCTCTTGGTCTTCGTGTCGGCTCCTCGCTGGTCCGATGTGGATGTCCTGCTGGAGTAATCTTTTTTTTTTCTTTGAGAAGATAAGAGTGGTTTCGGATTCAGCCGACATCGGTCCACCATGTCAATTGGAAGGATCAGATAATTTTTCTCCACCATTGCCTTCAAAAGTAACTTATTATTCAATTGCGTGAGCAAATTTTGGAAGCGATGGAGGGGTGTGGGTTCCATACACGAGGCCAAGTCGTCTCCCGCGAATACCGCTTGTACCGCATACATACGGTAACTTACGACGGCGTTACATGTATGGACTATGTATTACACGATGTGACCAGACCGAACTAGTTTCCAACCAACCTCATTTTTGTGTACAGTATGTCGGGGGTTTACCAGTTCTATCCACCACTTCAAAGGATTGCCCATAATATGGGATTGTTCCAGCTGATCCACTTTGATCCTACACTCTTCCTTGTTGGGCAGACCCTTGAATGTCTGAGCGTCAAACTCACTTTGAGTTAATCTCGTCCATCTATACAACGCCACAGATGAAGGGATTGGTGGATCCGGCTATCAACCTTCCTGTCTCACTGTTCTCGATCAGCAAATTGGATGTCGTCGTCACTAATGACTCTTGGCTCTTGGCCTGCTTGGCTTCATGCAATGTAAGGTTTACTTTTGATTCTTACTAGCCGATTTCGGGATTTATCAATCGGTGGGTGAAAGGGTAAGATGGGCAGCTGCGAGGGTCCCGTTTTTTCATATAAGGGTCGGGGTTTTCCCGCGTCTTAAGGGTCTAATAAGGGTCTGAGATCTTCATATTGATTTTTGAGTCCTTGTGAGATCAGCATGCCGTTGTTCAACTCTTTGAGTCGATCGACTCAGTCGGTGGAGCGATCGACTGAGCAATCTTCGGAAGTCGTTACTACTGTCAATTTGAACGGCCATGAGGAATCTACTTTTACGGAGTCTCACTCCGAGAACTATGTTTCCGAGAAGGGCCTTACCAATGCACAGACTACGTCTTCTGAAGATAACACGCCTGTTGAACAACAGACCACCGTTGTGAACGAGAAGGGCCAGGTCGATCCTGAGAGTGCCACTCCTCCTCCCTCTTCTCAAGATGATAATAACAATGAACCTCGTTTCGTGGCTCCCGACGAGAACACCCAGCGTGGTGTTGCCGATATGGAGGCTGTGACCCAGACTTGGAGCAGACGATCTCTGATCATGTTATTCGCGAAGTAAATATCCCTCGCCATTGCGATACGTCTAGTGAAGTAAAACTAATCTCGCAAAACAGCATCTGGCTACTTTACTTCATAAATGCCTTCCAGGGTTCCGTATTGGGCAACTTAACGCCCTACCTGACCAGCGAGTGGGACGCCCACTCTCTGTTGAACGTCATCTATATTGTTTCGTCCGCTGTGTCTGCTGCTTGCTACATTCCTCTCGGCAAGATGATGGATCTATGGGGTCGTGCCGAGGGTTTTGCTTTCATGGTCTTCTGCTCTACCATCGGCCTCATCATAATGGCTGCTTGTAGCAATCTTCCTACCTTCTGCGCTGCCTATGTAAGTTTCTTTGCGCTGTTTTCTGCATGAAGAAAGAACTTTCCTAACGACACTCCTTCACTAGGTTTTTTACAACCTTGGCTTCAGTGGTATGACCTTCTGTGTTGATCTAATGACTGCCGATGCGTCCATGCTGAAGAGTCGAGGTCTCGCTTATGCCTTTACTTCTTCTCCCTATATCATCACTGCCTTCGGTGGTTCCAACGCTGCCAATGATATTCTTAACCAGATCGGTATGAAGTGGGGTTTCGGTGTATTTGCTATTGTCTTCCCCATTGTCGCTGCTCCGCTGTATATCCTCTTGAAATACAACATCCGCAAAGCTGTGAAGGCTGGTCACGTCGTTAAGCAGCCCAGTGGCCGCACCATCTGGCAGAACATCAAGTTCTATGTTATCGAATTCGATGGTGAGTCGAATATCCAGTCTCAGATAAAAATTGTCCGGCAACAAACTGACTCGTTCCAACAGCTCTCGGTGTCTTCCTTTTCTCCGCCGGTCTCGTTCTCTTCCTCCTCCCCTTCGATATCGCTAACAGTGCCCCGAACACATGGGCCACTGGCTACATTATCGCGATGCTGGTTGTTGGTTTCAGCCTCCTTTTCATCTTCATCATTTACGAATGGAAGTTCGCTCCTAAGCGTCTCTTTGAGTTCAAGTTCCTTTGGAACCGTACTGTGCTCGGTGCCTGTTTGCTGGATGCAACCTACCAGCTCTGCTACTATTGTTGGGACAACTACTTCACCTCGTTCCTCCAGGTCGTCAACGACCTTGGCGTTGCCGAGGCCGGATACGTCTCCAGTATCTTCGATATCGTCTCCGGTGTCCTGCTTTTGGGTGTCGGTTTCCTGATCCGCCGCTCTGGCCGCTTTAAGTGGCTCCTCTGGATCGCCGTGCCCCTATACATCTTTGCCCAGGGTCTTATGATCTACTTCCGTCGCCCCAACCAGTCCGTCGGCTACCTTATCATGTGCCAGGTCTTCATCTCCATCGGTGGTAGTGTATTCATTATTGTCGAGCAGCTCGCCATTCTGGCTGCTGTTGACCACCAGCATTTTGCTATTGTTCTGGCCCTGCTGAACGTCGTCGGTACCATCGGTGACGCGATGGGAGCTACCATCTCCGGTGCTATCTGGCAAAATACCTACCCCAATGCTCTGCGTATGTACCTGCCCGAGTCAGCCATGGACAATTTTGACAGCATCTACGAGAACCTCGATACCCAGCTCAGCTACGCGGTCGGCACCCCCACTCGCATTGCTATCCAGCAAGCGTACGGATATGCCCAGACCAGAATGTTGGCTGTCGGCACTGGTCTTATGGCTCTGGCCTTTATCTGGACCATGATGATCCGCAACATCGATCTCAAGGCTGTGCCCCAGGTTAAGGGTATGGTCTTCTAGATAGATCGATGTTCTTTCCTAGGCTCGCGTGCGGAAAAGGATTTCCTGTTTTTTCTTTTCTTCTCTCGTTTATATACCCTAATCCCTGTCAATGCCGCTGCTTTTTAGTAGATAGACTTGAACAGGGATGATATCTCTGAAATTGATACAATGTACACGTAATTCAGCTGTTTTCGGCCTTTGTGTTATATAGATTTACTCTTTTGATACTCCCAGTGTGTTGTGGCGCGTTGCCAGTGCCACTACACTCAAAAATTGCAATTTCCTGTTCTTCTCTAATTTTTCATCCATAGGAATATTAAAATGAAAAGAGCTACTAAGACTTCAGTCTGATATTCGGAGCTTCAAGTGTTCCCCAAGAGCTAATGAATCGATGTATCTACTAGTATTACGAACAAGGAAATCTGGTCAAGAAAACTTGAATGAACTATATTCTAAGAAAAGCTTTTACAAACAAAACCAGCTAAACCTTGCAACCCTGACCCTGCATGAACCCACAGAAAACAAAAAGGACTATACATAACAAAAGCCAATCTTCAACTCAACCTAACTTAGAGCTTAGCATTCCAAGCCGCACGATCAGCAGACTCCAGGGGACGCTCACGTCCATCCCAGAAGATCGGGCACAGCTGGAACCACTTCTCTCGGCTGGCGATCGAGTGCACGGAGCGCTTGTGGCCAAGATCAACATACGAGCCGATCGTCAGACCCTGAGCATTCTCATAGGACAGAATGATCGAGCCAGTGGCACGGGGCTCACCGACAACATTTGCTGTGCGTGGGTCATCCAGGAAACAATAGTGAATACAGCTGGAGTACCAGGCGTTGACGCGCTGGGCACCACGGAACGAGGCATTACCAACAAGGGAGTGACGACCACGGTCGTAGTCTCCAGCATTGTAGTGAGCTCCATAGTGGTCCTCCTATAAAACATTTTAGTTAGCATTAACTGAGACGTATTCTGGGTCGCATGGATGTAAAATAAGTGGTCGCTCTTACCTTAGCCCAGTACAGCTCGTAATACGAGAAACGGGTCTCGTTGAAGCGGCCAAACAAGCAAAGAACGTGAGGATCAACGTGCAGCTTGCGCAGGTACTCCCGATGCTGATCTAATGTGCCAGTCTCGTTCCAGCCCTTTGCCACACGAGGGTCATTCTGCCAGGTATTGAAGAGCTTCAAGTGCTCAGCATCTTCCCAGTTCACAACCTCCAGCGAAAAGTGTTCATCGATCTCGGGGATGTAGCGGCTGTATGCAATGGAGCCAGGAGCGGGTTTCGGGCGACGAATCGGGTGTCGTGTGTATACTGGCTCTTCGGGGAACTTATTCGTGAAGTGGTAGTTCTCCGGTTGAATGGGATACCTGTCCAAGGACTCACGCGCAACTCCGTCAATCCCGTCACCCGCAACCCAGATCGGCCGTGGGCCCACAGGGGAAGCTGCACCCTGCCAGAATGAACTTCTCAGAACAAGCAGTTCCTCTGCTTGCTCGGTTGGCAGCTCCTTCTTACCCCATGGCTTGGGGTGCTCGATAGCCAGACCGGTCGCAAGCAGTTCAGTCCGCAGGATCTCCTTGCCCTCACCATCAAGTGTCACACGGAAGTATTCGTTTGTGGGGTAGGCAAGGTAGATCGCATGGACAACACCCCAGATCTGACCCAAAGAAGGGGTCTTATCGGTCCATTGGAAGACGGTCTCCGGGCTACGGCGGGCTCGACCCCATGCGGTGTTGTTGTTGGCGGGAGGCTGCTCCTCCTTGGGACGGAAGCTCAAATCACGCCATGAGAGGGATTCGAGGTGTAATGGCTCAGGCAGAGGTCGACCAGTTGTAGGCTGATCTTGTAGGATCAACACACGCTTGGATGCTTCGACGGTGTGCACCCGGTAGGCGGTGAGAAATGGATGGGGAAGCTTCACAGCGGGATAAGTGTGAGTGGCCATGATTGTTGTTGATATATACAACCTTGGAAGATATATTATTCTCACACGGACAGGTTGACCTTATTCGTGAGGTTTGGAAAAGAATGAAGAAAGGGAAATATATGGGGAAAATTATTTATCAGATTAATCAGATAATTGCAGGATCGAAAAAGGGAACCTTGGAAAAGAAGAGCCGAGCTACCTTAAATCAGCCCAAAGCCGAGGCATCGGATTTCAATTTGAAGATATTGAATCTCGTCAAGTAAGCGGACCTCATAATTTGCTCTTCACTAGACCCAGAACGGGTATGTTTCAGACTCGGACGATTCAAACTTGAAAAAAACAGTAACAAGCTCCGAAATCAACTCTTAGGCCCTCGGTTCTCCACCTCCGTGGCCTCGGTGGGTATATCATTGGGGTTCCAAGGCTCTCCCGACGCCACTTTCCTGCTTGTCAGAGCAAATTTCCACGGAGTATCCGAGGTACTCCGTCAATAATCGGGAGCTTGCGATCAACTAAAAGGGCAAGCGGGTCACTGGCAGCTTTGCAGAACCTGAAAAGAAGCGCTTGACATATCATCTCCCTTGTGGCTTTAGACCCAGTTTCATACCCGTCATGTCCCTACGATCCGGCCCCCTGCATTACGAGCATTTCGATGTCTCCTTCCCGCATGAACGGGTGGTGCAGGTCACTTTGAACCGACCTGAGAAACTCAATTCTATCAATAAACAGACCAGTTCTGAGATCGCAAAGATCTGGGAGCAATTCGATCAAGATCAAAGTCTATGGGTGGGCATTATTACGGGCAATGGCCGAGCCTTCTGTACTGGTGCAGATCTAGGAGGTAAGCTACATGTCGTACAGTCCGACACTGCACAATTTACTAATAACAATGCTACACTAGAATGGAATGCGATGGTCAAAGCAGGAGTTGTCAATGATATGTCTCCCCCTGGACTCGCAGGATTACCGCGTCGCAGCGGTAAGAAGCCGATTATCGCCGCTGTGAACGGTATCTGCATGGGCGGCGGTTTCGAGATGGTAGCGAATTGCGATCTAGTCATCGCATCTGCATCCGCCATTTTCTCCCTTCCAGAAGTCAAGCGAGGTATCGTGCCCGTTGCAGGATGTCTACCACGACTCACCCGGACAATGGGACTCCAACGGACCATGGATCTCGTGTTAACGGGGCGGACGGTGCCGGCCAGCTTACTCTACGACTGGGGTCTAATCACCCGGGTGGTGGAAGCAGAAAAAGACGTTGCGCAAGCTGCAGTAGAGCTCGCCGAAGAGATGTGCAAGAATAGTCCTGATGCGCTCATTGTGGGCCGGATGGGAGTTCGGTTGAGTTGGGAGGCCGGTAGCGCGGAGGAGGCAGTGACGACTCTGGCGGATCAATGGTATCCCCACCTGTACAGTGGTGCCAACTTTGCCGAAGGAATCCGAGCGTTTGTGGAGAAACGTTCACCAAATTGGATCAATTCCAAGCTGTGATGGGTGTGAAATTCTCATCTCATATTGAGAAACCGTTAAGGTGGAATCATCTTATCGGTCTTATCAGATCCATGATAAGATAGTGATACCCGCTAGTAATTTATAACCGTGGTCCATATCCCGGTCATTTTATTTTTCCCAAGGAACCCAAAAAAGTGTAATCTCATAAAGATCTGATAATTTTTTTGGATTGTTAATTCTGAGTTTTTGGCCCCATTTTGAAATATCACTTGGTTCCTGGGTGAGGGATATAACTTGAGAAACTTTGGGCAGCTAATTCACCTTCAACCAGGGATAGAGAAATTTAAAGAAAAATGCAACAAAAACAATTCGAAAATTCCTGGCTCCACACCCATCTAGAACTTTCAAACTTACGTACTTTTATTACATGATGTATGTGACGCTAGTACAGCGGTATTGTGTTCTGTAAGTTACTTTGTAAATTACAATTGTTTCCATCCACTTGAAACGGCCATACGCGGTATTAATCAATCTCAACTTGAAACAAGAAAATTCCTGCCCGGTTCCCACAATCGCTTAGTGCGTTGAATTTTGACACGAGTGAAAAAAAAAAGAAGAAAAGAGTCCAAGCAAATCCACACGGCTTGACACATCCACATATCCCAATGAACCACCGACAATCCGTGTACACCGGTGATTACTCGTCCCGACTCTGACCCACGTGCGAAAAGATCAGATAACATTGTTGTAATATTCCGGTCCGGAAAGACCGGTTATTAAAACGGATATCATATGCGGGTCAGAATCGGAAAATTAAGCACGTCTTTTCTAGCCTGCAGGTAGACCAACTGGCACGAATGCGAGAAATTCAAAGAGGGGGTTCATCTTCCAAGCGAGTTACTTTACGGTATTATGGGATTATTCATTGACTGTTTTCGTCTACATCGGCCCAACTTCTCCACCATCAACCCTGTTGACCTTGAAAAAGTAATTTCCTGATTTCCATCCATGGATAAGATCATCTGATTAGATTCTCGTAATTTCCTTTTTTCTTTTCTTACCCGACAATGGCGCTCGTATCTGATCCTGGAGTCAACATCAAGTGGATGTGGCGATTTGTGTAACTTCGGTCCACTCATTCCGTAAAGTCCCGCATGGATGGAGTACTCAATGGAAGAAAGATTCATTTGTTAGATTGGAAGAAATACATCACGAGCTCACGAGGTGAAAGTGCCAAGCTGCCAAGCCATTTCTTAGCCGTTCTTAATTGCGGGTCGTTGATGCGGCAGTTTCCCGTGTTTCGAGAGTTACGTAACGTTTGGTGCACGTAACATTGCTGTCTCCACTAGTTCCGAGACAGGACGAAGGATTTTTATCAGATCAAAATCGGAGTATCGTGTCTTGGCTTTTTTGCATCGACGAGGGAATGCTGGAGCCTAGTAAACATCGATTGGAACATTTGAACGTCGGAGACATCAATAACAATGTTTGATCGCGAGCTTGCTAAGAACATTAGATCCGGTAGAGAATTGTTCGCGCTTCACTGGCAGCGCTGCCCTAATAGATATAGATGTAGAGGACGACTAAGTACTAGTTTAGAATAGCCCAAACTTGAAGTGTCGACCATCTCAAGAGACCTAATGTATTTGTGCCACTTCAGGGGATATCAAAGCTCATGTATGAGCTAACTCAAGTGTATACGCCTGTCCACTTTCAGACCAATCGGTAAGATCTTATCAATCTGATAATAATGAATGATCAGATCTTTATTTGCTCTTCAATATTTCTTCCCCAGTAACAACGAGCTAGAAATGACGATACTCTGCCTGGTAAGTACAGCACAGAAACATTCTGTAAAGAAACGTCATCCTCTAGAGCTGATCAACAAACCGTGATCGACGTAAGATTCATTCTTTGAGATCATTCCATAGATCCACTCAAGCTGCTTGTTGACAGCCTTGTGGCGGAACCAGCAATGCAAACTACTGCGCGCTTATTTTCACCTCATTTCAATTTCTGGTGTGAGCTGTGTATGTTTCAAGTAATCAGGAAAGCTAACTGATGAAGTAAAGTCTATCAATGAAACGCAGATCAAAGATCCGAGCTTCCTCCAATGGACTAACAAGGCTGCTTCGTGATTTTTGAGAATCTGCATACTCAATGCTACGCAGGACACGCGTCTTTTGTATACATGCAACGTTATCCATCTCACTCGATGAAACAGCTCTCAAAAATCAACACTTCCTTTGTCTCGTCCACTCAAGTCACTCAACAGCTTTCAAGTGCACAAAGGTTATTCCACACAAGGCTCAACTACTCTTGGGTCTTTTGAAATTTTATAAATTAGTTACGGTAAAAGTATAATCAATCTTATGCTCAGGCGGTTGAGTTCACTGGAGCATATTTCTCCCGGACGGAACCTGTGTTCGTTGCTTATACATATGTGCACCACAAATTACTCTATGTCTCCAGACATTTGAAATTTCCGACTTTTGGTGATACGTCTCAACCGTTAATACCGCGTGTAGGAAGAAGCAAAATATCTTTCTCACTCTTCAAGACTAGAATCGTGACACTCGCAGACCTTCCAGAGGTCAAAATTTTCGAGCATACGCGACGACCTTCAAAATCTCCAAGATATCACATCTGCACATGTGTAGGTAGACCTTACATAGAATTGGAGGCTACACTTGAAGTCTTCCGAGTCTCTAATAGAGTAGTACTAGTAGGTGAGAACTAACATTGAATTCTTCGATGACTTCTACTATGTAATAGACCAGTTGACTCAGCTTGGTATTGAAACTGCCAGTGATAGTTTCAAATAAATTCAAATGTTACATATATTGCCAGATCCATCTTCCAAGGTTCTCAATTCTAAGCCTGCCAATGCCCGGAAGTATGTACTAGGACTAATCAAATGTTCAGAGCAAATCATTCACATCTGAATAGGCTCGGGCTTCAAACATTGAATCATATTGGCAATATTCCAAGATCGAATGCGCCCACGTGTATTTCTCCAGGGTTTGGATCTTGAAGTGGTGACTTTGCGTGTTCCAGTGGGACTTCAAACCATAGGAATTGAAAGTTCAAGTCCAACATTTGAAGGCTCCGGGTCTAGACACCTGGGCAAAATCCAGGCATTTCAATACTGTGCCCAGGTCTACAGTCCTAGTAGAGCATCATTAATTTGAATCCACGCAGAACTTGAAGATCCAACTCTTTAACTTGAGGAGCAAAAAGATCTGTTGGAGCCTATGTATGATCAACATCGACAGATTTGGCTTGGAGATATCTAAATTGGAGACTCAATATCACAGTCACTGTTGAACGTCTCGCGGGACCTTCATAATGATGATCACATCTTTGCCCAGGTGGGAATTTGCAAGCTGTATCCATTACTGTAGCCTTGAAGCTGATCTAGACATGCATATAATTTACTTACGGCCCTGGGAGCTGGGGTGTGATCCTAGAGATCTATTGACTCGCTTAATTTAGGCAGGTGATCTGGCGAAGTGAGAGAAGTTGAAGCGAGCAAACATCCTTCAGTATGGGAAATTGGCTGTGTTGTCATTCACTGACCCAGATCAATCTCTCACTTCGCCTGTCTTCGCCTACGTTTCCTGTTTTGGAATGCGTGATCTTGTTGCCTTCCCCCAGGGCATAAATTCGTAGGATCTCCCTCTCTCACACTTCTTCCTTCTTCCAACTCCCAACTTCCTTCTCCTTGATCCATCTCTCTCAACTCCTCATTGACCACATCACACTCCTCCATCAACCTCCATCAACCTTCATCAACCTTCATCAACACAACTTGGTTAAGACATTACCAAGGTGAGTGACTCACTCTCCTCGCGCGTACCTGCGCGACTCCACACTTTTGGCGAACGTACTCAAGGTGCAGTCATGAAATACCCGGGCTGACGTAGATCGCGCAACCCCACAGGTCCTACTCTTCTCGGTCTTCCAAGGTTGTCAACATAGCTTGGTTGAGATACGAACAAGGTGAGTAATTTGTAGTTCACTCTCCTCGTGCGTACCTGCGCGACTCCACACTTTTGGCGAACGTACTCAAGGTGCAGTCATGAAATACCCGGGCTGACGTAGATCGCGCAACCCCACAGGTCCTACTCTTCTCGGTCTTCCAAGGTTGTCAACATAGCTTGGTTGAGATACGAACAAGGTGAGTAATTTGTAGTTCACTCTCCTCGTGCGTACCTGCGCGACTCCACACTTTTGGCGAACGTACTCAAGGTGCAGTCATGAAATACCCGGGCTGACGTAGATCGCGCAACCCCACAGGTCCTACTCTTCTCGGTCTTCCAAGGTTGTCAACATAGCTTGGTTGAGATACGAACAAGGTGAGTAATTTGTAGTTCACTCTCCTCGTGCGTACCTGCGCGACTCCACACTTTTGGCGAACGTACTTAAGGTGCAGTCATGAAATACCCGGGCTGACGTAGATCGCGCAACCCCACAGATCCTACCTACTCTTCTCGGCCTTGCCAACACCTGTTTGATGCGTCTGGACTTGACGCGTCTCTGTTGATGTGACCTTCCACTAAATGTTTACTCTGACATGAGCCTTCTCTACATCACGTCACTCAATCCTCAAACATCTTTGTATGTTGACATGGACTCAAAACACATCCACATCTCTGTTGATCCTTCCATCAAGATGGTTGCCTTGTTTACATGAGCCCTCTTAAAGTCTACTTCACTCACTACTCAACCCTGTTGACATGGATTCAACTCACTCTCATCACTCTATACACATTGCAATGTTGTGTGTACCTTGGCTTGATGGACTCGGATACCTTCTCTTATCCCTAGGACTTGGTGATATTTAAGTGAGCATCTAACTCGGCATTCTCCAATATCATATAGCATCTTACTAACCCTGCAGACTCTATCCACCTCCCACATTCCTCCTGGCTGCTTGGTCACCAGCCTACGACGCCTCCCTCCGAACCGTGCTCCCTGGAGCTTTCGACAATGCAGTTGGCGGCACAATCTGCAGGGCACAGAGGCACAGGGGAGAAGAAGCTTCAGTGTAAGCTGCTGTGACCGTGGCGGGTTTTGCGAAAACCTCAGGACAATCGGCACAGACGAGCTCGAGAGGAAGAATCTATGACCGTGGCGGGCTTCGCAGGCCTCAGGACAATCGGCATAGTCGGCTTCAGGACAATCAACTACGACTCACCTCATCTGGACATCCAAGGACTGTGGTTTGTCAGATATGGGAACTTTCTTCTTCGTCATTATATGACTTTCCACGTTCCCTTTCCACATCTTATCTATATCTTCGGGCACTCAATCATATATGAAGTCCACACTCCCTCCATGGGTCTTCAGCCTCTGAGTTTTGGTGACAAGGTCAGTTTCGTATACCCCCTGCAACTTGATTTGGTTATTAACAATTGATATTGCACAGGCATTCCTTGCAACTTCACCTGCTCGTGATTTACTCTCCTTGGTATCTTGTTCATAAAAGACCCAATTCAATTTTCACGATCCTTCTTCCAGCTAGTACCGCGTAAGGCTAAGTTATATCCACTTATTGGGCTTGGGGCGCCTGAAAGCTTGAGTCGTACAGAACTCAACCTAACCCTTTTTTACTGGCATTGGAGTGACCGGTTCATCTACTTTAATTCTAAGTTCCGAGGCACCAAGGGGTGGTACCTAATGTGACACATTTGCAGCATCGGAGGTTGTGCTAATCTCCGTGGATGTTAAGGAGTATAATCTGGGGTAGTACTGGGATGCACTCCATACCACCTAGTGCCCCTGAGGTTCAAGTTCAAATGTTGGGGCTTTTAATGTCCTGTTATTGCAACCTGAGCTTGATGATCATAATTCCAAGGTTATATGGTACAAATGTTAAATCTGGACTTTTCATAAGGGACTGTACCATTAAGTATCATCTTTGTTCAAGTTGTAGGTCAAGACTAGGTATAGCTAGATCCCTGTCTTCGATCCAAACTGCCGGTTCGAAGGCTTTTCGGCAATCTGAATCCCCTGCGTTAATATCTAGCCAAGAAAATAAATGAAGAAAATTCTTCTTGCGGGATGGACATTGTAACGCCAAAGCCGAGGAAGAAAGAGAATGGCATAGATTAAAAAGGATTTTGGTTGGTTGAACTTGGTTCAATGTTCGGTTCAAGCGCGTCGATTATTTCCTATTTTGGTTAGTCTATTTAGAAGATATCACGGACCTTACTCTCAACCAATCAGCAAACCTCGTGCTAGAGTAGCTTCGAAGTTGCAGTTGAAGAAAGAAGAAAGAAGATCGCGTGGCAAGTCAAAGCTTCTTCCCCTCCTGTTTTTCTGTTTTTTTCTGTTTTCCCCTCCTTTCATCTTTTATCCTCCTTTTCAGTCTCAACTTGTTTTCTTCTTTGAACGAGTTGATCTGGTTGTTGTCCGAGTACTTCTTTCTTTGTTCCCTCGATAAGCTGATAAGCACCTTCCCAGGGTGTGTGTACTTCGAACCAATGGACGTCGAAGCTTCCGCCGGGACTGTTATAAGTCCCAAAAAGGATACCAAATCTCGCGAAACATCAGTGGATGAACCCTCCCTTCATCATGGCGAGAATGATATTTTGGGAAGTGAAAATGTGGACCACGCGCTGGCAGCCAAGATGGTTCTAGTTAACGACGTGAGTTCATACATCAGATGAGAAAACCGGGGAATGTTTTTCAGCTGACTGTACTCTAATCCATAGGCCATCGATGAGATTGGATTTACCCCTCACCACTGGAAACTCTTTTGTCTGAATGGCTTTGGATATGCTGTCGACTCTTTAATCCTCCTAATCCAGTCGATCATCTCCACCCAGGCTCGATATGAGTTTCAGCCGAGTTATTCCACCGGCTTGACAATTGCCGTATATGTCGGCATGTTGATTGGCGCGATCTTTTGGGGCTTTTCAGCTGATATCGTTGGACGCCGTTTCGCCTTCAACTTCTCTCTTTTTATCTCTTCTGTTTTTACCATTGTGGCAGGCGCATCTCCAAGCTGGGTTGTTCTGGGTCTTTTTATCTGTCTCAGTGCATTTGGTGCCGGTGGTAATCTGGTACTTGACACAACCGTGTTCCTGGAGTATCTTCCCAGCAATAGACAATGGCTGCTGACTTTGATGGCGGCCTGGTGGGGTAAGCAGATAACTTTGAATGGTCCACAAACTATAACTAACATTATCTTTCCTGTTTAGGTCTCGGACAGCTGATTGCTGGATTATTCGCCTGGGCGTTCCTCCCGAACTACTCCTGCAGCGATGCGACTGACTGCACCTATGACAATAACAAAGGCTGGCGCTATGTCTGGTATACATCAGGCGCATTCGTGTTTCTCCTTTCTATCCTACGTATCACCATCATTCGACTGGAAGAGACACCCAAGTTTCTTCTCGCGGAAGGAAAGGATGAGGATGCAGTGCGGGTTCTCACTAATATCGCCAGGAAGTACGATCGCCCGTGCAGCCTAACACTGGAACGCCTTGAGGCATGCGGAGCCACCACTCAGCGCCGAGGCAGCCCAGTTGGGTTAACTCAGCGACTGATTTCCCCTCAAGAAGTGATTTTCCACTTGAAGGGTCTCTATGCGACCCGCAAAATGGCATTGTCGACTTCCTTGGTCTGGTTCTCATGGCTTCTGATCGGTCTCGCATACCCATTGTACAACGTCTTCCTGCCTACGTACCTCGCATCCCGTGGTGCTGATTTTGGAGAGACGAGTGATTACATCACTTGGCGCAACTATGCGATTAATAATACCTGCAGTATCTTCGGACCAGTTCTCGCGGGCTTCATGTGTAGCTCACCCTGGTTCTGGGGTCGACGTGGAACAATGATCATTGGTGCGCTTATTACCATGGTCTTCTTTTTCGCCTACACGCAGGTCCGCACGGAGAGTCAAAATGTGGGATTCACATGTGCAATCTCTTTTTGTCTGAATATCTACTATGGTACTCTCTATGCCTATACCCCCGAGGTCTTCCCATCGGCCCACCGAGGTACCGGCAATGGTGTGGCTATTGGGTTGAATCGTATTATGGGAATCGTTAGTGCTGTTATTGGAGCTGCGGCTGATGTGAGTTCATCCTTGATTCCTTTTTGTTGAGCAATACTAATATCGAAACAGACAAGTACCGCAGTACCAATCTACATCTGTGCTGCTTTGTATATTGTCATGGCTATTGTTGCCGTAGCTCTTCCATTTGAGCCATTTGGCCGACGAAGCAGCTAGATGATTTGTTAAAGTCATCAGCTGGCTTCTAGTTGGCTTGACACTCGCCTCTAATGATGGAATTGAATATGTATTAACATGGTGAAGCCTTGAGTGTGTATATGTGTGGTGGCGGTCCTTGGCCGGTAATTGAAGATACCCTATTTGGCATGCCTAGTGCAAGGCTGCGAACGAAGGATTGCAGATTTAAATACTGCTGGATTCCTGGCAGCTACGAGGGCTTCTGCCCGGAGTTGGGAGTTGGACTTATGAATATTATGAAAGCCGTGACATATGAAGACACGAGTCGCGCAGTGAGCATTGAATTTTATGTTCGAGTCTAAGGTAGAATAATGGCATAATGAATTCCACGGTCTTAGTACAAGCTTCCCGAGGTCCAATGTTGAATGAAATTGTAAATTGACTGCCATTGGCATCGATAAGCTTCAAAAGGCTAGCATAAAGCTCCCATATCAACACATCTATAGATTCGCCTTAGCGATTTCAATAGTATCATACCATTCCGGCGAAAAGCTCGATTTCTGCTTCGCGGACAGACTCCCCCATTCCTTCTTCACCTTATCACCATCCTCTTTCCACAGCTGCACCTCCTTCTGAATCCAAGGTCCCATAGCCTCGGCTGTTGCGCCAACCTTCTCCATGGGGAGAGTATGACTCCCCTTTTCAATAATAACATGACGAATACGATCCTTCTCAACACCACCAGAGCCTCCAAACCCTGTGCCAGTAATCTCAACCGCCTTCTCATGCACCTCAGATTGATAAATCGGGCTCCGCTCACCACTGACAAATAATGTACCCGGTGCAAGATGCGGCAGCAACTTATATCCTAAAATTGGTTCCCTCCGATAAACCTGTCGGCCCGGAATAAAAGATTCTTGTGCCTCATCACTGCTTCCATCATCACCTGCAAATTTGACTACCGTCGCAGGCTTGTGGTCCACATATGTATATGTCATTGTCTCTTGGTGCTTCGTTGTGGTCAAGGTCACCGCTCCTGGTTCCGCTGGTGTATCGGGATAGACCGTTGTAGGTAATTCCCTGTATCCGTGCTGAACCCAACGCTCAAAGGCTCGGGGATCCCATGCTCGAAGTGCTTTTTGGGATTTCTCTTTCGCTTCTTGTCGTGAGCGCCAGGTGTCGCGTTTCTCAGTGGTCATTATAATTAACATGCCGCCGCCGCCGATTCGTTGATCATCGTTCACGAATGGTTCAAGGAATATGAGTGAGGTGAATAAACGGGGATGGAAGATTGAGGCGAAGACACTGGTTGAGTTAGTTAAGCTTAGTATAGATTTAGGTGGATTGGACTAACAGTTGACCTGCACCTGCGCTGTGTCCGACTCCGATTATCGGTTGAGGCATCTTAGTGCGGAAATGAGAGATCACTTGTAGTAGATCGCGGGCATGATCGGACCAGGTGCCTGTTTTTCTTGTTACTGGAGTTCAGATATATGGATCTCTGATTATACTTACTGTCATTTCCAAGGATTTCTTCATTCAAAACACCACTGGCACCTTGATTCACGGCATCCGCCATCCAAATTCCTCGAATGCGAAACCCATCTTTCTTTGATCGAGCCAACAGATCTTCCCATAGAGGTTCATATACTTCCTACATGTGATCCCAGATGAGTGGTTGCTCTTAAATGCGGGGAGTGGCACAAGCCATATATCGTTGGGCATTTATTTACCTTAGGCAATGCAGTACCAGCAGCAGCGATCAGGGTCACATCACCAGGTTGAGGATTTGGGTTATCAATAGGAGTATACTGTTTCACGCAGAGTTTCAACTTTGCATCGGGAGTAGCTGTTGCACGAGGACTGTCACGAATATACTGGGCATCGATGACGTGTTCGGTGACCTGAAATTGATACATGATGGATAAAATAGAGCTGTATAAGGACAATTGCTAGAAGCTTGTGGCTTTGAATTACGGAGATCTCCAAAACCAAGTTGATTTCAAAGGATGAATTCGAGTTCAAAGAGAAAGTGTTTTTAAAAAGACATTGAACAATGGGGGCTATGGGTTATTGCGGAGTTAGTAGCTCCATAGTTTACGTACATTTTCTAAACTAAGACTAAATTTGGACCTCGGATACAATCTGAAAAATAAATATAAAATAAATAAAATAAAATGGGGCTTTGATCTCGGGATCGACACTCTCCCTTACCACGTACCGAACCTTATAGAAAAAAACAAAAGTATTGGTATACATAAGTATATTAAGTATGAGGTACTTTACCAACATTCTAGACTTTCTAGTGAATTTCACATGGAGTTATTAATAATAAGTTGATAGAAGAATGGCCATTTTCTATGCACGTTGATGTCACGGTAGGGGGGGGAAACTCGGTTAAACCATGAAGAAAAAAAACACGCTAAAAGGGGAAATTTTGGCCCCCAGAATCGTGGGGGCCATAATGCAGTCATTATGGATCTAATCCATTGGATTTAAACCAATGACTATCCAGGCTCATATGAGTTCCATCTTTTTTAGACCAATCAACTATGTACAGAAGTCCTTGCTCCATGCGCGTTTCACGTTCAAATTTCATCACCCTCGTACCCTTCGTATAAGGTAGTAACCACACAATCCAACCTAGGTAGATTATACCTAGACCAAGAAAAAAATATCTAAGAAAAAAAGAAAAAGATTTAATAAAACAGAGAAAAAAAAAGAGAAAATGTTTAGACCTTTTGTGCAGGTCTAAACTGAATAAAAGGACCCTCCGCGATGGCAGTCATCCATCCAATAATCTCATAATCACAGTCATGTCGTTGGCCGTGGCAACAAGTCGCTTCCGGTGCCAACCGCATATCATATTTCCACAACGTCCTCCCAAGTGTAACCAGAAGTTCCGCCCAAGCTAACTTGAACCCGACACAGGACCTCGGTCCGATACCAAAGGGTACAAATGCTTGCTTAGCCAATTTCACACTTTCCTCGGTGACTCCATTTGCGGGGTCAACGATCCATCGGGATGGACGGAATTCCGAAGGTGCGTCGAAGTATTTTGGGCTGCGATGGATAGAGTAACATGTGACACCTACTATGAAACCCTTGGGAATGTAGTTGCCATCTATCATGGCGCCGCCTTCTTTGATTTCGCGGGGGAGCATGCTAGGGACGGAGGGGGCTAATCGGAGGGCTTCGTTGATGCATGCGATAAGGAATGTGCATGAGTTGAGGGTCTCTCCCGTGCATATCTCTTCTTCGGAGTTGAACTTCGACCGAACCTCCTTGATGACGCGAGCAAGCATATCGGGGTGGTGGGCAAGGTAGAAGAATGTCGCACTCATTGTGGTGGATGTAGTGTCGGAACCTGAGGGAATTGGTTACTATTGGATGCATGCAATGGGGCAAACATATCAGGGCTTACCAGCAAACAATAACAACCATGATTCGAGCCAGAGGTCCTTCGGCGTAAAGGACATACCTGTCTCGGGATCACTGGCGTTCATCATGGTGTAAAATGCATCCTTTTGTTTGATGTTGTTGCCAAGCTGCAGTCGTGCATCTGTAGCCTTCTTCACCCATGTTCCTGATGCAAGTATCGTCTTGTACTGGGGTGCGAGGAACATCTGATCCAGCTTCCAGTTGAACACTTTGGGCTGGGTCATACACTAAAGAGGGGAAAAAATCGATTGTTAGCAACATACACATGTGCATGATGCAATAAATATGCCATTACTGGGATCATATTGTTTGTTAGGTATACATACCACGGAATTTCTTTTCGAAATGACCTTCATCGCTGACAAAAACCAGCGCTGGTCCGGCGAGTTCAGCATATCAAAGTCATTGCCATAGCATAGATCGGAGATAATGTCAAAAGCCAGATGCAGACACATGGCATTCATGTCTTTCGTAGAACCCCATCCATCCTTATCTTGAGGTTCAATGTTATCATTCACAGCAAGGAGCTTGATGAAGTCTCGAACATTCGTAAGAAATCGCTCTTCGATAGTTTTCAAACCTTGGTCGGAGAAGACCTGGCTCATAATATTCCGCTTGAATCGGTGGACTTGCTTATCAATAGCGTTGATCGTGTTCGGAGTTTTTCGGCTTGCACTGAAGGAAGTATATCCCTCAGCCTTCTGCATGTTTGCATTGAGTGCGCCGATTGTCTTCAAGGCAGTGTGTGTGGAGAAGCATAGAGTGTTAGGTCCAGTTCGAATAACGTCGCCTGAAATGAATCCATGGATTAGTTTCAGATTCCATTGGTGGTTTAGGTCGCGGGTTCACATACCATATTTTGCGTGCCATTTGCAATTATTAGCATGGAGATCTCCTCTCCATGCAAATATGGTGCCATACCAATTGGTAATGGCAGCTAGTCGAGGTCCGGGGTATTTTGCAAGAGGATGAAAGAATAAACGATAAACTGCCTTGGAGATCCCCTATAGCAAATTATGGTCAGCTTCAAGTTTCAGAATATGCACATTTGCAGATCAAGTGTTGGACCCCAATGTCCACAAAGCTGACATACATATAAAATACAGGCAAGTATTAAGAATCCCACTGATTGTAAGGCCATATTCTACTCATACATGGGGGTTTTCCGGTGGGGTCGAAGGAATGAAGAGGGGGAAAGGGAGGAGAAGTATGAGAGAATGAGAGAAATCGACGTATTTTCAGACCAGAGCCACCGATCAGCATGGGAGGATCCGAAGAGTCATCTTATATACACGTGGATATGGTTTTAGAACATGAAGATCGTTTAGGAAGTCCTGCCACGTTTTAGAATTTTAATATCGGATTTATTTTATTCATTTTATTAAATTTATTTTTTCATTTTATTATTATTATTATCTTATTTTATTTTCTCAGCACCATCAATAAGAGAAGCTGCATGTCTAATTGGGTACAGGGCTTTGGGCCTTGATCGAAAAGTCCGCAGCACGGGCACTGTGGTACTCTGGCACACTGACACGGCTCATGCCCCACTAGTATACATGTGGTAGCGAATAAACCTCTGGTTTTGAGACCCTAAAGAGAACTAAACAGAACGGAAGGAACAAAGAGAAAGTTTAGGGTATCTTGCATGACGTTGTCTTTGGTGGAACTGCTAAGATCCACTATTATCAAGGCGGGTCGAACTGGGTCGAACTGGGTCTAAATGGGTCTAATTAGGTCTAAAGGGACTTCACCAATTTGCGCTTGGCGTTAGTAGGTTTGAGTTCAAAAGGCTACTCCGTAGATTGTTATTCATTTCTAAAAACACTTGGGTTATTCAATGCGAATAAGACTGTGGAGTGCCATTCTAATTCGACTAAAACCTCCGTCAAGCGCCACCGATTTTCTGCAGACATTGATAGGTGCCCAGGTGTTCCCCCCTTGAATGCCAATTATAATTACACATTTTACACATCCGAGTCTGAATATTCCATTTCAAAATTAAGCATCCCTTGCTTATTATAATGTAACCTCGTGTGAAAATGAATTGATAATGAAAAAAATGAGAATGGGAGAACTTCTCATTATATCTCAGAATTCTCTCATTTTCCCACTTTGGTAAGATCATTTTGACGCTAAAATCAATTCAGATGTTGATATCCACTTTCCCAAAATGGCATACAAGATGTCACTACCTTGGAAGTTCAGTTGTTGCGCTTGTTGCGCACGGAGCATAAGTTTTGTATTTAACTTCTCCCATACAAGGAAATATTTGCGGCAGATTAATCCTATTATCCTACTAAATTCCATGCCCCTCCCATGACATGTGGAATTTCCCACGGAGTACATATCCGGCTTATCCGTAATTGAAAAATGTTCTCGATTCCCACATCTGCCCCCACCGCTCATCAGTGGGGGAAAAGCGTGGCAGTTGCATCCGAGCCCATGCGAAAACCACATGGGCATGAGATTCCGGCATCTCCTAAATCCTCTGAGGCTGAAATTAGCTAAAGGGGGATGTGATAGACAAGGGTGATTCCTTCAGCAAAAACTTTATTTGATTAGGCCTTTCCATCACATTACTCCTCCGATCCTGCTTAGTACGAGGTACGGTCCGTATGGAGCACTTGGTCCAAACTTGAGGAATCTGTAGATCTCAAGTGAACCCATGGATCGCAATATTTCTACTCCATATCAGCTGGACCATAACACGAAGCACTTGAGACTAGTTGTAAAGTAATTTATCAGTAACACGCGATATTGAAGTAGCGTTGAAAGAGAGAAATTGTGGCCCCCTGGATCCCTGCACGTAATGCCGAATCACGTACTTGTGTAAATACTAGTATGCCCTAGACGTTCCCAGGTGCCCCCTTCCATCCCACCTTGTCTGCCCAGGTGATTCATGATACACACCTGAGTAAGACCAGGTTTCCAACCATTCTACTTTATATTCCGGAGTTTCTTCTACAAAAGGAATCAGCCACAATCCTTTCGCTATGGATGACCGAGAATAATCACAACCATTTCAAAACTCTTCTAATCGAAGGATTCCAACACTAATGCACGCTTTCTTCCGACACGTGGAGATCCTTGTACCCATGTGGTCAACATATTTCGCGCGGTCCAAAGGTACCGTGGGTGGAGTTCAACTTGTCCATGTAAGATATCCCAAAATGATACCACTCAGTTGCTATGTGAACCTCGGGGATAACAGGAAAGTGGGAACCATAGTGACATGAACCATGGTCTAGACGTTTGTAGGGCGGTTGAAACAGCGGTTCGATTTCCCGTTCCCATCCCGTCGATGGTTCGATAAGCGATCCACTTTCCAGCTCAGGTCAGAATGTGCACTCCTACTCCACTATTTTCTGTTCAGGTGGGCGCTTACGAGCACCGAGATTCTTAACATGGTACAATATGTGATATGGACTGTGTGGACTGGTAGATTTTTCAGATCGGTCAACTGGTGACCAATTCTCTTACCACACCTGAGGTTGTCATGTGGTCGTAAGCACATCAGACGATATATTTACTGTGTTTACACTGGATTTTGGACTAAAGCAAATCACTAACTCGATACGGCCCTATTAACCAAACTAATAAAGAAAAAAAATTAAGCGACTTAATTTCGAGTCAGACACCAGAATGAGACCCGCCAAATTGACGCTAGACAAGGATGCTGACGAGACATCCTCTGCGGAACAATCCCGTTTACAGCCCCCGGGGCCTGTATGGAGTACTCCACCCTCCACCCTCCACCACTTCATACGGAGTACGGAGTAATTTGACATCTGGAAGTATCAGGTTCGGAAATCAAAAATCAAAAATGAAAAAAAAACGCCTCGCAAGCCACTCCCAAGACTGGTGGCTTGCGAATCGTATGAGGAGTATAAAGTTCCCGCCCACTGCAAAAAAGCACAGACTCATCTACCTAGGTACTCCGTAATGTACCTTTGTCATGAATCCTTTTCCCACTATGATTTAGTCGATCCTTGCGGCTATGGGTAATTTGAATCTGGCGAATAAGATCTATTCTATGGACTATTCAGGATGAACTTGAACACAAAAATAGCGGTGATGAAATACTTGAATGAACAACGGTTCAAAAAGACCCTCCATCGTGATGAATTGGGTATACATACAGCCATTCAGAAACTCAGTCGACCCCGCTGTTGATCACTTCTAGTAACAAGATCGGCTGAAATCGAGTGACGTCGTTTGCGGCGATGCTAAACGCAATAAGTTAACTCCTCCATAGCCTCTCTTAGTTAGGTGGGGTGCATTTGCTTGAATCGGTCCTCTCATCTTGGTACCAGATACTATGCGCGCGGCGCTCAAACCGCTTAGGCGTAGTACGCGTCCGGGAAAAACCTATGCGTTGTGTCGGATAAGAACACTAATAGCAACAAAGATGCAGACTCACGTCATAGAGGCCCCGGGGTCCGGTCTTTCTCAAAACGCTCCGAACAGGGAGTATACACCGAGCTATGCATCCATAAAAAAAATTTGCCGAACACCCGCGTGATTTTAATTTAATCTAATTTAATTTAACTAGTTTATTTTTATTTAAATAAACTAGTGTTCATCATGCCCGTGCTTCTATCCTTATCTCGGCTCGCGGAGTAAACCCCTGGAGGAATAGTGTACATTATTTCAAGTTTATACTAGCATCGCTCAATGGCCTCTATTGAGCCACCTGGGCAGTGTTAACTTGGTTCTATATGATACGCTCAAACTTCAAGCCCTTGAGGTCATTGCGAAAATGAACACGTCACTTTTGAGATGAAAGAAAAGCAGAATATGTACTTCAAAGAATAAACAATACAGTACTAGTAAATCCACATTGTCGCTGATCCTCATTTTCTCCATACCAGTAGGATATTTCCGGCTTATCCCGCATTAACTTCGGCTATGTGTACAAGCGTCTCATCCTTTGCGGCCCTCCGGCTGGAGACCGTGGGAGTTTCCTGATACAAGTTTGAAGTACGGAGCACTATGTGGCACTGGCACCGTTTCAAGTGGGTCTGGATATTGATTGAATTGATTCTAGGCTGCTAGATTTCAGTGCCACTGTGCTTCATACTGAGCTTCTATGAACACTGCACATGTGAAGTTCCGATAGAATAACTACCTAGGTACTTTCAGGGGATGATGTTTCGAGTATACTATTTTTAAGACAATCTGAACATATGATTCAATTTGTTGAAAACTATCGCGCTTTGTACTATATGTAGACCTGGTGCTAGTATTGCCTCTAGTATTGCCACGGATCTGTTTAAATGTTTACTAGAACTAGTTACTTGCCCGACAGGAGCTCGGACTTCAAGTGCTGCACATGTAGAAACAGGAAGTCTCAGATGTGATTCAATGTTTTCAGGTTCTAGAGTTAATTGACATTAATTTTCCAGAAAGAAATCAAAATGGTGCCACGATTGTATAAAATCCATGCATCAATATTAGTACGAGGTAAATGCCCTGATCTACAGCCCCTTGCAAACCTAACATTGCCACTGCCAGGTGTCAATGCCAGTGGAGTATCCAAGAGTCCAAGAGTCCAAGACTACCAAGATGAATCATGATGCACCAACTTAGGCATCATCAAAATTCGGTGAAGCCCGTGTATGTACGGTGTAAATCTTGATTGTAGATCGTTGAACAGCAAATCCATTCATCTATCTGGCTCGAACCAAGATATTTCACCTACGTGTCCAGACTAAAGTGCTTAGTGACGCCTGCCGCCATCGCAGAAAGCATAGAGATATTGAACTTTCCTTTAAACTCAGTCCCGACATCCAAAAGACTCTCAGACCCTTGCTTGAATGGATTCGCTGGAATACGAGGTCTGCTTTACTCTTCAAGCTTCAAGGCATGAGGAGACGCGAGAGGACCATGCAGAAGCTAAGTAGCAGAGCTTCTGAGAATGAATACCCAAACTTATCGCTTTTCCAATAGTCGAACCAAGCGTTCGCCCACTTGAGCTATGTCTACATGAACGGAGAACGAGTCAACCCTCCTGTCGACGAATGTGGCAAGGATATTGCGATCTTTGTTGATCAACACTGCAAATCGGTCCAAAATGTCATGGTGCCGATCTACCGCTTGGCTTTCCAGATTCAATATGATCTGTCAATCACTTCAGGGCAACGGGCTCAACTTGCAAGAACTGGCGCAGAGTTCACTGTCAACTAGATTTCTCTCCTTCGGTCGACTTTAGTAGCGAGTATGACTTACGAAGAGGACTTGAAGATCAATTACTTGGCCCACCGAAGCAGAGTGTCGCTCAGGAACCAGTGATTATGGTACGGAATACTTTTACTCACTCCGAGTCTCAAAAATGACTAAGATCTGACAGGTTCAATAGACCTATGCGGCTATGCTCATGTGGTCACCTACCCCAGGATTCGAAGTAAAGAGAAGCATTATAGGAGTTTTCGACGCATAATTATTCTTGTCATGAGTATGCCCATTTTATTTGACACATGATAATATTTCAGACATCAAATCTACCTGGTCAGATTCTTGTTCTCTTTTAATACTCGTTCCCATATTCCGGTTATCTATGGCGGCAATGACCGGTCTTATCGGAGACAATGGCTCCCCGCACACGACCCCAATTCCCTATTACGCCACTCCTCTCCTCTCTGAACTCACCACATCACCAACATGACTACCTTTCTAAAGAAGCCTCTCAAGCTAGCTCTTGTGCAGCTTGCTTCCGGTGATCAACACTTGAACTATCTCTCCTCAATTTCCCCAACTAATTTCCTTCAGGTGCCGACAAGGCCGTCAACCTTTCGCATGCCCGGAGCAAGGTCCTTGAAGCCGCTAAAGCGGGCGCACGCTTGATCGTCCTTCCAGAGTGTTTCAACTCTCCCTACGGCACACAATATTTCCCTAAATACGCCGAGACGCTTCATCCCTCCCCTCCCACGCAAGAACAATCCCCCCTCGTTTCACGCGCTATCGGCTATCGCAGCCGAGGCCAACGCATACCTAGTCGGTGGTAGTATCCCTGAACTTGAGCCCTCTACGAAGAAGTACTACAATACCTCTTTGGTATTCTCGCCAACGGGCTCATTGATCGGTACTCATCGCAAGACACATCTATTCGATATCGATATCCCAGGCAAGATCACGTTTAAGGAGAGTGATGTTCTCTCGCCCGGTAACCAATTGACCGTGGTTGATCTACCAGAATATGGAAAGATTGGTCTGGCCATCTGCTACGATATTCGTTTCCCAGAGGCTGCAATGATTGCTGCGCGTAAGGGTGCCTTCCTGCTTGTTTACCCGGGCGCTTTCAACACGACTACCGGGCCACTTCACTGGTCTTTGCTTGGTCGGGCTCGTGCGGTCGATAATCAGTCTTATGTTGCGCTCTGTAGTCCGTCTCGGGATCTGGAGTCAACATATCATGCCTATGGACATAGTTTAATTATTGATCCTAGTGCTAAGGTCTTGACGGAGGCGGAAGAAAAGGAGACGATCATCTATGCGGATTTGGATAATGATGCTATTGTTGACATTCGCAAGAGTATCCCTATCTACACTCAGCGTCGATTTGATGTTTACCCCGATGTGAGCGAGTCACAATAGATTACTTAGTGGATCAGATATAGATGAGGGTTTTATGATTTACATTTTCCCATATTTAGCTCGAGTCTTGTAGACTGTAGACCATGTAACTAGTTAAATGGTACATTGGTGCCTGACGGATCAGGCATTTACTTTACACCTTAATTCCATGGCGGAAAGGGGACAAGCTTAGTCAGGTGGTTCTCCACCAATCACAGTCCACCCACAGCCTTAAGCGAGCCACAATCAATCCCGCGGCCACAAATCGTGAATTTCCACTCATCGACCAACCATCCGCCCACAGTCGACACCGAACCCATCAGTCAGTTTTTTCCCATACATTTCCTCCCTTTTACACACAATTAACACCGTCGCAGAGATGTCCAACGTCCAGCAGACCGGCAAGAAGCAGCGTTCGGCTATCGCCGACGTGGTGACCCGCGAGTACACCATCAACCTGCACAAGAGAGTATGTTGAAACCCGAACCCGAAACCTTTTTACCTTCGACGAGACTGTGAAGGATCTGTGGAGGCACAATACTTGGATTTGGACAGAGAACGCCTCGCCCCTGAAAATGGGAGCGCGGTTATCAAAATTCTTCGAGAGGTTTTTTTTGGAGGGTTGTCTTGTCGCATGGCAATTTTAAGTTGAGTGATGGGTCGGAATTCCTATACGGAATTCTCTCTTATCTACTCAACTTAGAATCCATGCCAGACCTCTCGAAATAGGATCTGTGGGAAACCGCAGAACTAACTCGTCTCAACATGTGAAAATTTGAAATACAATTTTGCAGTTGACCTTTCCATTCCCTATAAACGGGAATTGGAATCCAGAAAGAACAGAAAACACAAAAGAAGAATTAGTTTGATGAAGTCCACCTCTATGGCCGAAACCAGAAACATCGCAGAGCTTGATCTCTACAAGATGGCATTCGGGCGGAAGACTGATTATTACTTCTTTTGGGAATTTAGTGCCACGGTGTTAGCTTCAAGAAGCGTGCTCCTCGTGCCATCAAGGAGATCCGTGCTTTCGCCGAGCGTGCTATGGTAAGTCTTTTTTTTTACTATCCCCTTTCTCCTCCGGTTTCCATTGGGAGCCGGAGTTTATCGCGGTCACGGTCTGTGACTCGCGTATGATTTCGATTACTAACTTTGTGTTCTTCAATCGTATAGGGCACCAAGGACGTTCGCCTCGACCCCCAGCTGAACAAGAAGGTCTGGGAGGCCGGTATCAAGGGTGTTCCTTTCCGTCTCCGCGTTCGCATCTCCCGCAAGCGTAACGACGAGGAGGGTGCTGAGGAGCGTCTGTACTCCCACGTCCAGGCTGTCAACGTCAAGGACCCCAAGGGTCTGCACACCACCAACGTCGATGACGCTTAAATGAGGTGCCCCTTGTCGTTGTCTTCGCTTCTATGATTCCATGTTAAACTTGGGGTTCGGTCGGGACTTTTTAAAATAAAAATACCTTTTTTCTTCCACAGATCTTTTACTTGCTTTGTATACTTTTAATTGTAGTGAGATCCCCAAGCTTAGGTGCAATATTGTAGCAACCAGTGACTCGGTGACTTGTGTGGCCCACATGAGGTTCTGGCATGCTGACCAAATTTCGAAGGATCATGACCACAATAATGACTTGAAGTCTAACGGTAAAACACTACAGAGGGATTCACTAGAGATCTGGCTAAAGGTCCATAATAGCTTACTTACTACATGAAACTAAAGAAGCTACTATAAAACTGGAAGTTTCGAATTGTAAAAAGCGGACATTCCCGGACAGATGTCATTAGATGCAATTGCACAGCTCAATGGCGATGTGCCATCCAAACAGCTAAGTACACAATTGCAAAAGAAATGTAAAAATAAAACCCGGGGAAAGAAAACATTTTCGCCAGATGCATATGGCAAGAACAAAAACTGGAGAAAGGGCAGAGAAAAAGGGCAACATGATGAACAACTCCGATGATGATATCGTACAGTACATGAAGTAAAAGATCTAGTGGACTTTGACAGCCTCACTTTTCAATCACGATGAAATTGGGGGCTTTTGGGGGGGAAGAAAAAACTGCAACATCTAGTTCTTGATGGCCTCGACCTTCTCATGGAAGGACTGGGCGATTTCCACCTTAACACGAATAGCCCACTGCTCAGGGTCGCCACCTGCCTGGGGGACGAAGAACTGAACGGAATTCTTGTTGGTGAATTTGTATTCGATCTCCTTCTTGAGGAGTGCATTGAGGATGATAGAGCCACTTGGGTCCGCACGGAGAACGATTCGGGCACGACCGCTCTGATTCACAAGGAGGTTCGCAAATCCAGTACCCTGGGACTCCCAGCCCTTACCCTTAGCGAGCTTGAAAGCACGAGCACGGCACTGGAAGACGGATTCTTCGCCTGTTTCTCCACCGGCTGTTTCTGCCAAGTTGAAGTAAGCACCGGGACCGAGTTCTTCATCGGTGGGCTCGGCGGGTTTGGTTTCAGTGGGTTTGTTTTCAGTAGTCTTGTTTTCGGTGGTTTTATTCTCAGAGGTCTCGGCACCAGAGAACTTGATGGGCGAATTTGGCTTCCAGGTGTTATCAGCCGGCGCGGGTGTAGTGGACGCTCCAAACAGGTTTGACTTTGGCGCGGGTGTAGTGGACGCTCCAAACAGGTTTGACTTTGGCGCGGTTGTAGTAGACGCTCCAAACATGGACGGTTTTGGCGTGGATGTAGATGCCCCAAACAGGGTTGAGTTCGCCGCAGGCTTAGATGCTCCGAATGTAGACGCTCCGAATGGAGATGGAACCGGTGCAGGTGTGGATGAGAACACGGATGGGGTCGGCGCAGGCGAAGATGTTGCGGCGAGCATGGATGGAGTTGCTGCAGTGGGAGTTGCTGCGAACAGGGAGTTATTTCCGAAGGAAGTGGAAGTAGAAGTATTGATAGACCCAAATGGATTGGCCTTGGAAGTAGCCGACGCCGATTCCTGTGTAGGAGCTGGGGATTTGATTCGAGCAAAGAGATCGTCGGTCTTAGTTCGCTTAGATGCTTCCGTATCTTCCGAAGCCTCTTCTGAAGCCTGACGCTTGGACAAAGTAGGCCTGTCCTCGTCATCAGATGCATCGCTGTCCTTTGAATCATCTGCAGGTTGAGGCGTAGCAGTGATGCGACCAAAGATATTCTCTGAGTTTGTGAGAGGACGACTGGATGATTCAAATATCGAGGCAGCCGGGGATGGCGCCGAAGACGGAGCGGGTGATTGAGTGGCTGCAGGAGACTTCTCCATAGAGGTAGACGCAGCAGGGGCTACCATAGGTAGCTTAGACTCATTATCATCAACCAACTGGAACCCTTTGCCCTCAACAAACACAGACTTCTTTCCAGTTGCAACGCCAATCTTTGCGCGCTTCTTTTCTTGTTCCTCGGCATCGCGACGTTCCCATTCTTCCTCGTCGTCCTCATCAGAATCGAAATCTTCCGCTTTGCGCTTAGCCTTTTCTGCCGCCGCACTTTGAGCTGCCTTCTTCGCAAATTGCGCCATGAAGTCGCCGCCAGAACCACTGCCAAATTTCGGCAGTGCAGGAGCTGCGGGAGGAGTGAATGTGGGAGTTGTAGTAGGGGCTGCAAATTTAGGAGCTGCAGAAGAAGCTGCAGAATCACTAGGGGCAGGAGCGGCGGAGTTCAGTGGCTTTGGGGAAGAAACGGCCGTAGCATCATTCTTGTTCGTAGGAACAGAAGATGGCTTTGCAAAAAGGCTAGAGGTTGCAGGAGTTTTGGTGCCGTTGGTGTTGCCGTTAGCTTGCACCTCAGCTGTTGCTGGATGCTGCTTCTTAGGGGGAACTGGGACCTCGGGATGGGTATAGAGATGTGTGGCAGGAGGCATGTGCTCCGGTCGCTTCTGAACTGGAAGACCAAGCGACCAGCGAACTCTCATGTAAAAGAGAATAGTGTTATCAAACAGGTGCTCTCCAGGTTCAAGTGCGGCAATCTGCGCCTTGAAAGACTGGTCCAGGGTGCGGACCTTCCACATAAGTTCACATTCATCCTGAAGTTCTGGGGACAGATCGCGGAAATTAGGCATCGGAATATCGCCGTAGGGTTTGCCGTTCACAACTGGCGCCTTGTATGTGCCGGGCTTTGGTGTCCAGTTATGCGGGTTTGCCGTAGGGGCTCCGGGGCCACCGGGATTTAGAGTAGAAAAAATATTCAAGGGGCGGCCGTCGGCGTAAGTCACTGGTGCAGGCTCTGCGGCTTTCTCGGACGAGAATGCATTGCCAGGAGCGGATGAGGCGGGTGTAGATGGTGGCATATTTCCAACGGATTCCTTCTTTGCAGATCCCTGGTCCACGGCGGGTTTCTGTCCAAACATGTTGAAGCTGGATGACGCAGATGCCGCTGGGGTCTCAGCTGAAGCTGGTTTGGGTGCGAAGATGTTGGCGGAGGTTTTTTGCTCCGCAGCTGGCTTAGGAGAAGAGATGTTACCAAAAGCTTTCTGAGGGGCTGCAGTGGATCCGTTGGTAACTGGGCTCTGTCCAAAGATGTTACTCTGCGAACCTTGTGCAGACGAAGAGCCAAAAAGGCTAGAGACCGCTGGCTGTGAAGCGGAGGCTCCAAATAGAGAGGTAGGTGCTGCAGCCGTCTTTTCTGAGGCTGATGGAAGGGAAGATTTGTTGGATGAAGTATCTTCTGTAGGCTTTGGTGCAAAAATGTTGCTTGGTGCTGACTGCTCAGCGGGCTTGGGCGCAAAAGGATTTGGTGAGGCGGCAGGAGTACTTCCAAAAATGGAAGAGAGAGATGGACTGGGTTGAGTTGAATCTTGGGCCGCCTTCACTTCCTTTGGTTCAGCTGGTTTAGATGTCACCGGAGTGAATGAGAACCCAGTATTCACTTCTTTTGGTTCGGCTAGTTTGGATGTCACCGGAGTGAATGAGAACCCAGCATTCACTTCCTTTTCAGCGGGTTTGGATGTCACTGGAGTGAATGAGAATCCGGTAGTAGCACCCATTGCGGGGGCGTCTTTCTTCTCGGACTCAGAGGGCACAGAAGTTGAAGGGGTGGATTGGAAAAGTGAGCCAAATGGCTTTGCAGGTGTAGAAGTTGCAGCCGAGATGGAGTTAATAGCTGATGATCCGAAGATCGTCGAAGGGGCCGAAGTGAGAGATGGGGTAGTTGTTGGTGGCAAGGAAGTTCCGAATGCCTGTGAAGGTGTAGATACAGCTGGCGTAGCAGATGGCTTAGGGGCAAACACGTTGGGCGTGCTGGATGCGTCCGAGTTACCAAAGATGTTTCGATTCTGGAAGGATGTTTGGTTCAAAGCAGAATTCTTAGGCTTCGAATCAGGGGACATTTGCATCGAATCTGCGACGGGATTGGCGCTGGAATTGTTCGCAGCTGACGGGCCAAACAGGTTGCTGGCAGTAGTCGAGCTTGGATTCTGCTGGCCGCCAAACACGCCGGATGAGAAGGAGGTTTGTTGAGGAGTAGATTGGCTTGCGCCAGCTCCCGCTCCACCAAATGAGAATGCCGTGCTTTGTGCGGGTTGGGATGAAGGAGGGATAGTGGCACCGAAGGAGCTACTCGCAAACGGATTAGTTGAAGGGGCAGAGTCGGTGCTGCCAAAAGATGAGCCAGTAAAGTTGAAGCTCGGTTGGCTACTACCCCCGAATGAAAACGGCGCTGGATTACTTTGCGCAGGCTGGCTTGGAGGGAAGCTCTGGCTCTGCCCAAAAGAGAACCCGGCCGGTTGATCTGTCGGAGCTGTGAATCCTGAAGAAAAACCTGGAGCGGCTGGAGCAGCCGTAGTAGGACGCGGGCGCTTGCGAACGTCCTTGATTCTATGGTCGTTGTTGTCAGTCAACTCGCTCGAGGGCTTGCGTTTAGATATCTCAACAGTACAAAACAGACGAAACAAGCCAAAAAGCGACAGAGGGGAGAAGTGGTTTGGGGGGAAGGGGTACACACTTCAAGGGCAATGTAGACAAAAGGGTGGGGAGGGGCAAAGGAGAGAAGAGAGGTGAGGTGAAGTGAAGTAAAAAAAGTAGGTTGGAAGGACGGACGACAACAACAACAACAACACGATCACAGCGACGGCGACACGAGTTCTCGAACTGAAACCCAATATTGCCCTATCTCAACACGATGTGTTCCTTCACCATAAAAACTTATCTTATCCAGATAGGGCAAATATATTCAATTCACTGCCACCATGCGACGTAAGATCACGTCTTGATTGTCCTTCCCAGTATGCTAATATGCCAACCCTCCTCGGTTCAAGTCTCGTAAAAGAACGTTTCACTTACTTTCTGCTTGCCAGCTGAGCAGCTGTTGCCCGTTGGGGCTTGTCGTCTGGGGTACCAGGCATCCCGTTCATGTTGTATTCTTCTCTGCGCATATGCGGACCTTCCGCCCCGCGTTTCGACATCTACAGCGGTAGATATTAGGTTTGGTCCAAGGATGTTCCAAGCTTAATATGCACAATGGCAAATCGCGAGGAACTAGATGCACCCCTTCTTCAAGACCGATGACGATCTTTCGATTGGAATCTGGACATGCACGACAGCACTTTCCAGATTTCGAAACACGAATGAGCTTTTAGCTCCTGTCAATCGACAATCAAATTTTCGACCTTTATGTTTGCGCTTCGATGACGAACGACACTCGGTTTCCTCGAGCCTCCGGATGTGCTGGAGGTCAGGTGGGCTTCCAAACTCCCTGACAATGAGGGGATTTCTAGCAAACGGCTTTCACGGCGACTTCGAATGACGCGATGGAGTAGGAATAAAGGTAACTCTATTGTCAAGTGGGACGGACTCGATAGGAGTGGAGTATGATATGGCGTGGGCTTGACACGGACTTAATCGCGACCCGTCGCGCAAGCTGACTTCGGATAGTCACCAGGGTCAAATGTAAAGGGATAGGGGATGTGAAGTGGTAAGACAAGCTCTCTTGGGGAGAAAGAAAAGCTTCTCTAAGAGGGGGATGGAGGTTGAAGAAAGAAGTGACCCTGGTCTTGGAATTTATTTTTTTTTGTTGGTCGCGGAAAACACCTGGAGGCAAGAACATCGACGCAGAAAAATCCAGGTCACGTGGTATTTCTTGGCAACAACAACCTGAGGTGGGGAGTGATCAAAGCGCCTATGTACGCAAGGTCATCTCATTTAAGATCAGAATATTGGAACTGGTGGTATTTGCATCAGATGAAGTGTGATTTTCCAAGCAGACTAAGAAAGATAACCCCTCATGACGTTGCAGGAAATTTCCACCTTAAGCCTGTAGGCTGCGTATTCCCGAGGTTCCGTGCACAAGTACTTGAGGTTGAAGCATCCCAGTGACAAACTACGAAGCTGAACGATAAATGGATTCTAGTGCTCGGCTGATTATTATCGGAGGAATCCTTTAAAAATTCAAATCTCATTTTGCCATTCTCGTTCAAGTTTATCCTTGGCCCTTAGTACTAGTACCTACCTGGGTAGTAGCTCCAAGTTATGCCAGTAGTCACTCGCAAGATATATGTAGTATGATATATGTACTACTATCGAATCCATTCAAGTTCAAACGTTCAACATTGCCAGTGGAAGCCCTGGAGTTCGACATTATGACAGCACATGTGCAGTACCAACCTTCCAACCGAGCACTTGATTACTATGATGAACACTGGCATATACATACTAGTACTAGCCTGAGGTGACTGGCGCCCTGCGGTCTTGACGTTCACCTGGGCAAGTTGATGACCACACAGTACTCCTGAGCCCTAAGGCATCAATGGAGACCAGCAGTGCTCAAGTGGGGAACCAAGTTTAATGCAAACTTCCAAGCTTGGAATGTTTGCACCCACCTGGGTAGGCCTACAACCTTCTTAGCACTTGAGGTAAGGCAACAATCTCAGGCTCCAACATGAATCTCTACTCAATACAAATTTCAACTCCCTGCCCAGGGGGGATTCGTGATATGCACTCCGGGCTGCTTTGGGTGCCTGCTAGTGAGAAGCTAGTAGAAACCCGAAAATTGATAACACGAGGAGACCATGTCCAGGTGCTATTATGTCAACTGGTCTTAGGACAACCTGGAGCCAACCTTGGATGTGGTTCTGGTTCTGTCTCAACGTGGGTGTGTCAATAGAAACATTGACTACAACTGGAAATTCCCTTTTGCATTGTTTTAAGAAACTCCAGATGTCCTAGGCTCCTAGACATCTATCGAAACAAGGGAATCCGGAATCATGTCCAAGTGGATCATGATTGATCTATCTTTATTTTATTTTATTTTTCCTTGCTTCAAATGTTCATAACCAGATCCCATACATTGATACGTTGTGGATGCTTGGTAGCGGGTCGTTTCCAACTTCAACTATGGAGTACGATCTGGACAATTTTAATCGCCAGAGATTTTAGATGTGCTTAAATGATGTTTCAAATACTTACTGGTCTGCAGGTTTGATGGTTCCCGTTCATTTGTTCCAGCGCCAAATGGAACATAGCGTTCGTCACCATCAGCCACGAGCGCTTGCATGCTATTTCTAAACTATGGTGAGACCAGGTGGATTCATGATCGGGCAGCCAATTTTGGTATTTTGGTATGTATTCAGATCCAAATTCTTCTGTTCACACACAAACTTGAAATGGATACTCGTAGCCCTACCTCTAACCTAACTTGGAGTGATTGTAGCTGGTGATTATTTGAGTACACCAATCGGGAGACCAAGAAGAAGAAGAGGAGTTGCGGGAAGCACAGTCTTCAGATGACCCACCCTGTTTTTGGTAGAAAAATACGCTTTCTGAGCACTTTAAGGGTGGGGAGAAAATCATTCAAGAATCTTCAAGTTTTTCAACTTGAAGTTGAGAAATTAGCATTTGGAATGGAGTATAGTAGGCATAATACGCCCTTCTATCTACTCATCTACTCCTCCCTGTGACACTAAACATGACCCCTGAGTCGCATTTCTCTTTATTTGGTGGCGGCAATAAAATCTGCAGCTAGTCACATTCCTTTCCGCTTTTCGATTAACTCCGCTAGACTAGTCCCAATGGATCATCAATATGATGTGATTCTTCAAAGAATACTAACCTCTATTGGCGAGGCGCCAATGTATCGTCAGGGGCACAGAGAACTATCCACCCTCCGTGGGGCAGGATCGGCATTGTTGATTCCAATCCTTTCCACCCAGATCATGAGGTAGTCCGTCCAGCGTGACAACCTGAATCCTTAGCGGAGATTTGACTGCTTCATTCTTTCAGTCATGCTCCTATTTCAGGGTCATTTGCAATATATTTATCCGTTTCAAGTTGTATTCCGGGGTAGGATTCTATAAACAGTTCTAAGAGTGTGGCGGCCCAAACAAAGACCACCTGGGTGTGGAGGCCATGCGCTCTCTTGCTCCACACCCCCAGCTGGGATGATGACACGCGCGTAGCACGGAGTGAACTAGGACGGTTTACTCCGTATCATACATCACATCAATCCTGTTCGCGAACCTGCAAAGTTGGGTGGTTATAAGACTGGAGGATTGTCCTCTGAAGAACTTGAATCATTGACCCGCTCCACTAAGGCTCCTCAAGAGAAAGCTTGGTGTCAACATGCATTTTCCTTCTTTACTCTCCTACTGTTCGTTGCTTGCATATGCTCATGCCCATGTGGTAGACACAAGGCATGTTGCTAAGGCACATCGAGACGCTCATTTCAATCGCGCAGTTCATGCGCCATACGACAAAAAATCAAAAACCTCGGGCCTGCACATTCCTTCTCCTGCAGCATCCCTTGATGTTTCTGTGGATATATCGATCAATACAGACGCGACAGAGTCCGATGAGGCTTCATACTGGCTGGCAGATATTGCGCACCAGGGAATCGCGGCATTCAACACCAACCCATCAGACTATACTGTTTTCCGTAATGTCAAGGACTACGGTGCTGTAGGTATGTACTCAGCAAACCCCTCGTTCCACGTGAATGCAATGGCTAACAAATTTCAAAGGCGACGGTGTAACCGATGACACTGCAGCCATCAATTCAGCTATCAGCTCTGGAGGTCGCTTTGGCCCATCCAGCGGAGAAACGTCGACCACCACCCCTGCGATTGTATACTTCCCTGCTGGAACTTATTTGATCTCGACCTCCATCATCGACTACTACTTTACCCAGATCATCGGTAACCCGAACGACCTTCCTGTGATCAAGGCCACTTCGGGATTCTCAGGCTTGGGCTTGATTGATGGAGACCAATACCAGAGCAGTGGAGATCAAGGATGGACTTCGACAAATGTCTTTTTTAGACAAATTCGGAATTTGAAGTTGGACCTGACGAATATTGCGGCTGGAACTTCTGCTACAGGTATTCACTGGCCTACTGCACAAGCTACTAGCATCCAGAATGTTGAGATTATCATGAGCTCGGACTCGGGAACTCAACATCAGGGTCTCTTTATTGAGAATGGTGAGATGTAATCTATCAATTCATACGATGAATCAACGCTGACAAATTCCACAGGATCCGGCGGTTTCTTGAATGACATCGTCACCACTGGTGGCTTGTATGGAGCAAATATTGGTAACCAACAGTTTACCATGCGCAACCTGACTATCAATAATGCTGTGACTGCTATCTCTCAGATTTGGAACTGGGGTTGGACCTACCAAGGTCTGACCATCAAGAACTGTACCACTGCGATCTCCATCAACAATGGCGGTGCTGGTGATCAGTTGGTCGGCTCCGTTAATGTTCTTGATAGCAGCATCTCTGATTGTTCCACCTTCATCACCACTGCCTGGGAGACCTCCTCGTCGACTAATGGCAGTCTCATTCTGGAGAATATTTCTCTCGAAGATGTCTCTGTTGCTGTGGAGGGACCTAGTGGTACAGTTCTCGCTGGATCATCAGGATCAACTACTATCAGTGCCTGGGGCCAGGGCCATAAGTATGCTCCCAGTGGTCCCACCAACTTCCAGGGAAGCTTCACTGCACCAACTCGCCCATCTGCTTTACTGGCTAGCGGGTCCACAAGTTATTACACCAAATCGAAGCCTCAGTATGCCGCATCACCCACATCTTCATTCGTGAGCATCAGAAGTGCAGGTGCTACTGGTGATGGTACTACCGATGACACTACTGCCATAAACGCTGCCCTGACATCGGCCGCCTCATCTGGTTCGATTGTCTTCTTTGATCAGGGAACTTACAAGGTTACGAATACCATTTACTTCCCTCCTGGCGTGCGGGTTGTTGGAGAAGCATACCCAGTAATCATGGCCAGTGGAAGTACCTTTGCCGATATGTCAACTCCTATCCCTGTTGTTCAGGTTGGCAAGTCCGGAGAGTCTGGCTCAATTGAATGGTCGGATATGATTATCAGCACGCAAGGGTCTACGCCCGGCGCCGTCCTAATCGAGTGGAACCTCGCAGCTGATCTGGGATCTGGAATGTGGGATGTCCATACCCGCATTGGTGGATTTGATGGCTCAGACCAACAGGTCGCCCAGTGCCCTACTTCAGCATCTGTTTCCGCAACCTGCGAGGTCGCGTACATGTCTATGCATATCACAAATTCTGCAAGCGGAGTATACATGGAGAACAACTGGCTGTGGACAGCGGACCACGACATTGATGATCCTGACAACACTCGCGTTTCCGTTTATTCTGGTCGTGGTCTTCTGATTGAAGGAAAAAATATCTGGCTGTATGTTCATTCTCTCCAAGTCTTATAATTGTCTTCTCACTAACATCTATCTAGCTACGGAACTGCTGTCGAGCACCACGCCCTCTACCAATACGAGTTTGCTGGCGCTACTTCGGTCGTGGCGGGCTTTATCCAAACAGAAACACCGTAAGTCGGAATGGATAATATTTTCAGATCCGGGAAACCCAGCTAACCTCCTTTTCTAGATACTACCAACCAGACCCAGATGCCGCCAACGGCCCATACCCCACAAATGCCACTCTCTTCGACCCAGACTACAGCACCTGTCTTTCAGGTAACTGCGACGCCTTGGGTCTTCGCATTCTCGACAGCACAAACATACTCATCTACGGCGCTGGCTTGTACAGCTTCTTCGATAACTATAGCACCACCTGTTCAGACTTCCCATCGGACACCTGCCAGAGCGAGATCTTCAGTATTGAGGGTACCAACAGCGGCTTGACGGTTTACAATCTCAACACCGTGGGAGTGACCAACATGATTGTTGAGAGTGGTACATCAATTGCACTTGCTAGTGATAACGAGGCGATTTATGGTGGTACCATCGCATACTTCACTCTTTAAGTATTTTTCTTTGACTTTTCTTGTCATATTTTGTTACACTTCAACTTGCTATACGCACCATTTTTCTTGGATAGACCCGCAAAACTGCATTTCATTTCAATTCTATAGGGCGGACAGCCCGCGATTACTTCCCAATCGCAATTCTCTTTTCAATATAACATTTTCGGATGAATTGATCAAGTCTTGATAAGCTAAATCTGCATAAGAATCAAACTCGATTTTAAATGCTCAGATTAAGTCTTTTGATATTAATTTATTTTTCGCTTTAATGTAATAAATCTAGTAAATGACCTTTCTCCTTGCATACTGGTACTCGACCCAGATCATCCATTCGACTTATTCTCCAAAGACATACGTCTGCGATGAGCAGAAATATGACTGGTACGGACCAGTGGCATTGGCTTGATATCTTTAGGGTCGACCTTATGTATCATATCCTTCTCCGTCAGCCCTGTTTTGCTTGAACTGATATACAAATATTGAGATAGACCTGGTACAGTTGCCGTGAAGAGCGAGTATCGCATCCATCGACCACTTAATCTGTCATTTGGACCGGCTGGACCTATTGATTTCCCTCGATCCACAAGAGCCATTGCTGGGACCCACGATGGGATCATCAGTTGCCGGTCCGGATCGTCTTTGGGCGCGTTGTAGATATTGACATCAACCATTATAGCTAGGATGTAGCTAATGGACCCATCTGCAGTCTTCATACACTCGTACCCCATGATCTGTGGAAACGGAGAGTCAAGTCCCTTTGCCACCCGTGGACCTTGTAGGAGTGTCATGTCATCTGAGTAGATTTTTATTGGTCCACAACCGGCGTCGTCTATGAAATCGAATTCAATCTCCGGGTCGTACTTGATGTCGAGATCTTGACCAAGTCGAAGAACAAGGGGGAGCTCTAGGCAGGTTAGAGGATCTGGTGAAATATGAGCTCGGAAAGTACCAATCACATACAACATATTGTCCGTCTCTATCAGTAGAACAAACGGTTTTCAATGCGTTTACCGAAGTTGGTCCGAGTGAGGTTCTCTTGATATCAGTTAGAGTGTATGCTTCTCTTAGAAAATTTCATAAATCCGACTTACCCCTTCAACCCAGAATCCCTTATACCCCTTGTGTTGCCTGTTGACTGCCTTGAACTCATCCCAATCAAACTTCTCCTTCTTAGAGATCTTTTTTCCACGAGACCAATAAGTGATTTGGCCATTCATCTGTAAATCCCCACATTCATATTCATTTAGAATAGCTTCAACATTGGGAAGCTCCTCGAAGATGTCACCTTTCTCATATAGCTCAGACCTTAATCCCTTGAGATTTTCCATTCGTTGAATAGCATCCCAACTAAGCTCTTTATCTTTATATGGCGCAGTCAGCATTCTAATAAATCCGTCAGTAAACTTTTCCACATTTTTGTTAAGATAGCTCACTCTCGATCGGCCTTGGCCTCTTCCAAAACCTTTAGTCTAATCTCAAAGATATAGGGCATTATATTTTCTTTAATTCTTTCTCTACATCTTTGAATCTGAGCATCTAAATCACGTGGATCGAGATCAGGCTCATCGATGCTCCATCCGGATGGTAGCTTTGACCAATTATCAAGAGGCTTAGTTCTTTTATGGCTCGAATTCTTATTCTCACGAGACGATGAAGCTTTTGAGATGCGATTCTAGACTTTGTCTCTGCAGTTGAGCATATGAATGTCAGTTTTTTCTCATTTCTTGAAGTGATAAGCACTACCTTTTGCAGACATTTTCCGAAAATTGTACAGTATTTTCTTTCAGTCGTCAAGCTCTTTTTGGCTTGATCCTAGCCAGAGTCAATTGATCAAGGCCACCTGAACATGAGACAAAATGGGGTATCAGGTCATTAATATGTATAATGAGAAATGGAAGATACAAAGTAAAGTAAAAGAATGAAGTCATCAGGGTTTACTGAAGGAAATATTCTTGGGCAATCGCTTGTATTAATGTGTTCTTTGATTTTCCCTTCCTCATCTTATGCTTTCAAATGTTGAAGCACAAAGAAACATCCACTTGAACACACAAACATCAGAGACGCTTGGCGTTCCTAAAATAGCATACCTGGAATACTCTAGGTGCACCGCTCAAGCAAGTCAATTTGAATATGAAGACCTCGATTTTTCAGATCTCTGACTCCACGGAGAGAATGCCGGAAAACGACTCTTCATCACCGGAAATGAATCCGGCCGGGGAGTGGAGTGTGGGGTATAAGTTCAAGGCGGGGCTATGACTCGGGTAAAGAGGCCAAAGATATCCCGAATGTTGGTTAGCACTGATCTATTTAACTAAAATCGTATTTCCAGTAGCTGGGGCTGTACTTAAATTCTTCGATAATTTTGAGACGATTTAATATGTCAGCAAACCAAGATCCAACATCAATCCCATTTGAAGCACTTCCCCTGGATCCTAATGGACCTCCAGGGAATGCATGGGGACGATTCGGCCCTAATGATGAATTGGGCACTTTGAATTTGTTGACACCAGAGGTGATTGTTGAGGCTGCTAAGGAAATCAAAACGGGTGTTCGCATCTCAATTGACTGGTTGCTTAGCATGCCTTCTTTTCCAAGCTTCAACCGCAACCCCTTCAAACAAGAGCTTGTACTTCGACATCCAAACTGTGTTTTCGATGATATCTTGACTTTCAATAGTCAAGGCTCATCTCAGTGGGATGGATTCAGACATTATGGTCAGTTTGTGACACCGTGAGAATCAATTCATGAAAGCTGACCATGAAGAACAGCTAATCAGAAGGCGCGAAAGTTTTACAATGGACACACAACAGAAGAAATTGAGAGTTCAGATGTGATAGGTCTTCATAGTAAGAGTGACTATGAAAAATCTGAGATTGAAAGTTCATGCTGACTTGCTTTTGACAGCTGTTGTTGAACACGGTGGTATGACGGGTCGTGGTGTTTTATTGGATTTCGCCGACTGGGCTTCAACCAACTCCATATCGGTGTCAGCTCTAGAGTCCGAGGCTATTACCCTGGAACAAATCAAACAAGTTGTGATCGACCACAAACTTGAGTTCAGAAAAGGAGACATTTTATTGATCCGCAGTGGATTTACTGCAGCTTACAATGAGTTGACTGAGCAACAACGCAGAGACATGCCCAATCGGCCCTCCCCAGATTTCAATGGCGTCGAGGCAACCGAGGGTATGCTGCGATGGCTCTGGGAACACCAGTTCGCAGCTGTGGGCGGAGATGCCCCGAGCTTTGAACGAGCTCCGATCCGCGGCAGTCATGCGGATCCAAATTTCAATCTCCACGAATGGGTCTTAGCGGGATGGGGCACACCAATCGGGGAGATGTTTGATTTAGAGAAGCTCTCTGCTCACTGTAAGACTACAGGGAGATATAGTTTTTTCTTGTCCAGTATGCCACTTAAGGTATGGTTTTGTCCTATCAGATTGGTGATTATCGGTCTAATGCCTAACTAACGAAAACCAGGTTGCTGGTGGCGTCGCGAGTCCACCAAATGCATTTGCCATTTTTTAACTTGTTTTAGGACTCTTGACTCTTGCGAGTCCTATCCCTGTTTGAAAAATTTGCCATTCTCCGAAGGCCCAGGGTGTTGCTGGAATCCTGGAATACTTTGAGATGTAACCTGTCAGCTGCTTTTACAGGGAAGAGATGGCATAAACTATACTTCAAGTTTGCCTCTAAACCTTTGGGAGATTCAATTCAATTCATGGGTATCCAGACCTAAGGCCGAGTGCTCCAATGGCTTTGGTCCTTGGAGAGAATTTACTATGCCCAGTCAGAATTCTGTTCTCATCCTTTTGTCTTATGGAAGTAGTACTAGTACCAAATGACGATTCATGCTCTCTGAGCTTATGCCCGTCGTTATTCTTGAGGTGCATGCCTCTCACCGAATATCTTCAGTGTATTATGATTAGTGGTTTCTGTTTCGAAATATACTCGAGTATATCGAGGTAAATGTTAAAACTCGAAGTCACAGTATTCCATGGAACCTTAGTTGACAATCTGTGAAGGTACTCGTACCTAGTACTTTCAGTCCAGACTAGCGATCGATGTTTCAGTCTTCAAATTTTCAAACATTTTGAACATTGGAAGCAAGTGGCGATCTTGCAGAGAACTTAAATCTAGACCAGATATTGCATGTATGCAGCATGCCCATGAGCCAATGGAATGGCAACCTTTGGAGCTTCCAAGAAACAGGCATAATATTGCAAGGCTTCTCAGGGATGTAATTGCTAAAAAGCATACATACATGCACAGCAGTATCATTCGGATTCAGTAAAGATCTGACAGTATGACACGGGGGACCTAACAATCAATCGCCTGGTGCATCCATCTATTTCTGATTAACCTGGTCCAAGTCTGTATGATTGCCATAATTCATGCGATCGAGGTTTCTACTACTTGATCGAATTTGATCAAGAAGTATTTACGTGAATGAGGATTCATGGATGAAATCTAAATCGCTTTGATGCATACATGCAAAATTCTCTCATATCCATGTGGATGTATACCGAGAAAAGACTAGTACTCGTATTCTTGAGTTATACAAGATTTGAAGGAGAGTTCTGGAACACTGAAATAAATCCGGAAGGAGTCTTTACAAACCTAAGAATAAGTAGAGCAATGGGCAGTAGCTTGAGCCAAAATCTCAACTTGAAGGTTGTATTAAAATTTTCTGGATTATAGTATCAAAATTCCCCGAAGGCGTAGTATAACGAAAGTTGAGAAGTATTATCTCTTGCTGCTACGCATGCCATCTGAGAGTGCAAGATAATGATGTAGTGAATAATAAAATAATATCTAAAAGCTGGTGAAACCTCGTACCTAGGGAAAATTCAAAAACTGAAGGTGCCCAGGACTCGATGCCATGTCCACTTGGGATTCAATAATCGCTCACGCCCAATGAGCTACTTGTTTGACGTAGTAGCATGGAGAAATTTCAGAATAATGACATCAAAAAGAGCAGGGACAATAAAATTCGGACTAGAGGAGACATTGTGACTGGCTTTGATTCTGAAGTCTCGGAGGTTATATTCAGATGATGACTTCAATGTCTGACCAGGACGAGGAAATGTTCTCCTTCATATGAAATACATGGAAAAGAAAATGGTATAAAAGACCATGATCTCCCAGATCAAGTCCCAAGATATCAGAAATCGAAAACAGAGACTTCGACAACCCAGCTTTCAGACTAAATCGGTAGGATCCACCACTTGATATTGAAATGTCCCAAGTCCTTTCCAGATAGAAGAAGACAGTCAATACTAACGATCCCATAGCTCTTAAATCAATACTTAGTTACACCGACATCATGCAGTTCAACTATATTCTCGCTCTCATTGGCCTAGCAGGCGTTGCCCTCGCTGTCCCTGCCCCGGACGCTCAGCCAGGTATGCACTTGCATCGAGTAGATCTACGTTGGATTCAAGCAGCTAAACACTCGACTATAGACATGACAAAGCGGGCTGACGAGGCTCAAGCCAACACTCAGAACGGCCAGAATGGCCAAAATGGCCAGTGGTGGGGACCAGGCTATTGGGGACACCCCTGGCACCCATATGGGCCATACTACGGTGGTGGCTGGCACTAGTAGATCTGAAGCTTGACTTCAATAATGGATGCTTTGGATTATTTGACGGGAAAGAAAGTCTAGTCGGAAGATAATTACTGGCATGGAATAGTGGTGGCCCGGGTGGAATAGTGATAGTGTCGTCGTCGGTCTTTACTGAATTGCAACCCAGCCGGAGAGGCTCAAGTTTGATATTTTCACATGACCAATCTAGTAGAATTCTCCCATTTCAGTTGTTAAAATAACCACATACTTTTCTTGAAAAAAAGGTGGACTGAGTTCTGCACTTGCACATGTGGTTGCCATACTAAATACTAGAGAGGTGGTTGGTATGCGGCGTTGCGGCTTTTAGTAAATTGCGGTGTCCACCGGAGGATCATTGTTCCCACACCCCGCGTCTGGAATGAAATGAAACGTATCAGATCCTCCATTGACTCACCTGGACATCATTGACTTCAAGTTGACCTGTTGTTTTCATTTCTCCATGGATTGAACCATGAACCAAGTTCCTTTATTTGAAGACGCCGGGCACGGTTGTCGCCAATTCTGGGTACGAAGACCTTAAACAAGCTCCTTACATCGGCATCGGGCGGCACTGACCAATCTAGGACGCGAGAAACGCATGGTTATCCCCGTGCGCATTAAACTATATTGCGATCATTCCCGCCAGTGCGGCTTTGCTCATATTAATATGTCACATCTTTCATCCACTGTTTCGACGATGGAGCCCGAAATGGATGCGTCCTTTTATTTCCGAATGGGATGAACGACCAGATATCGCTGCCGAGGGAGCAAAACGATCCCTCCAGTGGACTATTGCTCTTCTAACATGTGGAGTTATTGGATTATCCACGGAAGTTACACAATCATTTCCTTTGAGCGTTGATGCTCCATCGCTGGTACTTGCCGCATCATGGGTAAGTTCAAGTTCTCATCCGAGCGGAGCTCAGATTAAAAGGTAATTGATGATTGACAAAAAAAATAGTTCGCCGGATGTGCTTTGATTATAGCCAAACGTCCAAGAGCATGCTCCATCGCACTGTTGGGATATTTCACTCTCACTTTCATCGTCGAGTCAATTCTGGCAGTTCAATCCGATGCCCACTCCGGATTTAAACTGATCGCGCGCTACATTTCTGCCACCGCGGCTTTTGCCGCCTGTTGCACAATCTTGATGATGCCATTCAGAAACCCATCGCTGCCAGTGTCTGATATCAGTGCCGTGGGCCAAACGCCATCAGATGAGCTTCGAAGCCCGGAAGATAATCTTCGGCTATGGCAATTCCTGACTGTCTCGTGGATGGCACCTCTCATATTCGTTGGAAGAGACCGACAGTTGAATGAGCCCGATGTCTGGCGTCTTGGCTTTGAATTCCAACATCGCCGCCTTCATGACAAGTTTCGTCACATGAAGGGATCAGTTCTTGCTAGAGTGCTGAAGGCAAACATCCTAGATGTTTTCATAATATCTTTCATTTCCTTCCTGGAACTGTTTTGTTCATTCTCAGATCCGATCTTGCTACAACAGCTGCTGCAGGCGATGCAGAATACAACAGGCCCCAAAAGAGTCCCATTGACCTATGCTTTTTTCTGGCTAGTTATCCGATTGGTTGCTGCACAGGCTCAAGTATTGAGTCTTTGGTATGGTCGCCGCAGCTATGAAAGATCTAGAGGTGAACTTATTATGATGGTCTACGAAAAAGCGCTATCAAGGAAGAACGTTGTCGGGTTGCAAATCGAGACCAAGAAAGGCCCGATCGGTGAAGAGAATGCCAATGGAAATGGCACGTCGACACAAGAGACGGAGTCTTCGTCGGTTAAAGTCGGTTTTTGGAGACGCCTCATTCCAGGGAGAGGCAAAAAGGAGCCCACAAAAGCAAAAGAGGCTGCTTCTATGGGCAAGATTCTTAATCTTCTACGAGGAGATGTATATGAAGTGGCACAACGATTCTGGGAAATTGATGCCCTCATCGATGGCCCCGTTGGATTATTCATCGCCGTGGGTCTTGTCTGGAAACTCTTTGGACCGTCCTGCTTTCTTGGTGTTCTAGCGGTCATTGTTGGCCAAGTGACCAACGCAGTGATTACCCGGTATCTATTCAAATGGGAAAAGACCAGGCGGGCCGCAACAGATTCACGCCTACAGATTACATCACAGTTTGTGGAGGCGATTCGGCATCTGCGTTGGTATGGATGGCACAATCATTGGCTCAAACAAGTCATGGATGCTCGGCAACATGAATTGAATTTACGAGTAATAACTAGCCTGTGGCAGCTTGTTATCCGATTTGTCAATTCTTTCTCTAGTGGTGTGTTCCCAGTCATCGCTTTATATGCCTACACAATGCTTGCAGGACATAGCTTGCGAATTGATATAATCTTCCCTGCACTGCAAATTTTCAGTATGTTAGAAGGGCGACTACGGGACCTGCCTAGCCTAATCACAAGGTTGATCAACGCCTATATTGCTCTCGGTAGAATTGAGGACTTCATGGCCGAGCCAGACAAGGCAAATGTTCCAACTGAGACTCAATTAGGTGACATGAAATTTGAATTGCAATCCTGCTCATTTGCGTGGCCAGGAAAGTTGACACCGGTCCTTAGTGATGTGAATGTGACGATCTCTCAAGGCCTCACCGTGGTCGTTGGGAAAGTAGGAGCTGGTAAGACTGCCTTTCTGCAAGCATTATTGGGCGAACTCGACACTCTGAGTGGCAAATCTCATACTCCAAATGAGCAGATGGGATATTGTGCACAGACGCCTTGGTTGCAAAGTATGAGCATCCGCGATAATATCCTGTTCTCGGCTCCTTATGAGGAGGCTCGCTATAAGCAGACTTTGGAAGTCTGCGCTCTTCTTCCAGATCTCTCAAACTTCAAACATGGCGATTTGACTTTTGTGGGAGAGAATGGAATTGGTCTCTCGGGAGGACAGAAGGCTCGTGTGGCCCTTGCTCGCGCAGTGTACAGTTCATCTCGGGTGTTAGTACTTGATGACCCACTATCTGCGCTGGACCACAACACAGCCCAGTATGTGGTGCGAAAGTGTTTGACAGGCCCCTTGATGGTAAACCGTACTGTGATTGTTGTGACACATCGCACGGCTCTGGTTCAAGGAATTGCAGATCAAATCATTGAAATAAACGAAGGCCACGTCACTGTTCTTGACAAAGAGACCATCTCTAGTTCAATTGAAGAGACTGGTCATCTGGCAGGCATCTTCAACCGGGATTCTGAGGCCGGAGCGGAGGAGACAAATCTCGAGGACCATGCAAACGCGGTGCCAGACAAGTTCATTGAAGAGGAACACCGCGCGGAATGGGGTGTCAAAGCTCGCGTCTACTGGACTTATATCAAGGCTGGAAAGTATCGCTGGTGGTTGACTCTTGTGTTTGTGATAACCGTCTATCGACTTACGTCTGTGGGTGAAACATGGTTTCTGAAGGGATGGGGTGAAGCTTATAATCGTACCTCGTCGACGTTTGGTGGTCCTTCAGTTTGGAACCAAGCTCCATTTGGGGACTCCATTTTAATATCTGCATCTAGCATTGACGCCTACGTGCTTCCTCAGGACCCACTGGATAGACTACCTGATCCCCGGGACGATATTCATCCATGGCTGTGGTTATTCTTTGCTATTGCTTCCTTCCAGGCAGTCGCAATGCTCATCTCCCAATTATTGATGCTAGCGATTATCTACTATGCTGGCAAGAGACTTTTCCGGCAGGTCATCTCACGGGTTAGCCACGCGAACTTTCGATTCTTCGATGTCACCCCGGTCGGGCGACTGATGAACCGTCTCACTTCAGACATTGGAGTAGTAGATGGCAATATCAGTGAACAGTTTCAAGGCATTGCCTTCGTAGCCATCACCTGGGTGTCTTCGATAATGGTCATCGCAAGCGCTACCCCATTGTTTCTTGTCTTCTCCTTGGCCCTCACTCTCACGTTTGTACTCATTTTCCTGCGGTTCCTACCGACGTCACAAAGTCTTAGACGACTCGAGATGGTATCCCTGTCGCCACTCATGTCCAACTTTGGAGAACTTCTTCATGGATTGACCACAGTTCGCGCTTTCCGCGCTCAAGAAAGATTCCAGACTCGTGTCATATCCGTTGTTGATAAATTCCAAGGAATGGATCACTTCTACTGGTCTCTCCAGGCTTGGCTTATGAGTCGATTCGAATGCCTATCCGCCGCTGCGACGTTCTGCCTTACGGCCATAGCATTATACACAGATACCACCCCTGGACTGATGGCATTTGTACTGCTTGCAGCGAACAATTTTGTGAACTCCACTCACAGTCTATGCAGACAATATGGCCAGTTGCAGATGGACTTCGTCTCAGTCGAACGTGTTGATGAGCTACTCCACATCGAAGAAGAGCCGCCAGGAACGGTAGACCCACCGGCAGCATGGCCTATCTATGGTAGCGATATCACTTTTGAGAACGTCACCATCCGGTATGCACCACACCTCGATCCTGCTCTTTCCGATGTCTCCCTCCGAATCCCTGGTGGATCCACTGCAGCCATTGTGGGCCGCACTGGTAGCGGCAAATCCACGTTGGCAGTCTCCCTGCTCAGCGTAATTAGACCAGAGACTGGCTGTGTAACGATAGACGGAATCAACATCGCAAACGTCAACACCCAAGCACTCCGAACCAGGGTCACCTTTGTTGCACAGGATCCAGTGCTATTCCCTGGCAGTGTTCGTCTGAACCTTGATCCCACCGAAGAGTTTTCAGATGAACAGTGCTCTGAGGTTTTGGAGCGCCTTTGTGGTCGTCATGGATGGAAGCTTGATACCCATATCGAGGCTGGTGGTCGGAATCTGAGTCAGGGTCAGCGACAACTGATTGCGCTCACCCGTGCTGTGCTCCGACGGAGCCCGATTGTCATCCTGGATGAGGCTACAGCATCTATCGATCATGAAACATCACTTGAAATGCAGCAGATCGTGCGTGAAGAGCTTCGATTATCTACTGTAATCACGATTGCCCACCGGATCGAAGCTGTGAAAGATGCGGACTATTTTGTCGTGCTGGAGCAGGGACGTGTCACTCGACAAGGTCATGTCAGTGACTTGTGAGCTGTGAGCTTTCATAGAATTGATATAATCATATCTCTGAGGACAAATGAAGCATCACTTCCCAAGTTCAAGTCTTTTCAGCAAGCAAAATCGAATAAAATGATATGCCTAGGACATTGAACCAAAAGCTCCCTGCACATACTGTGTAGACACCCGGCAGTGACTCCAACACCATTTTCAACTGCTAGTATTCTCCTGGTAGACATATGCATACTTCAGACTTGTCCATATCTAGAAATTATTTTCGGGGCATCTCCGCACTTCGCTTGAGTTCAGGTGAGGAGTTCAAGTTTCCACCATAGCTGTAACAATGGTGTGATCAAGGCTTAAGCTCAATCTGAAGCTAGATGGATTCTTCAGATTGATGCTCGCAATGGAATACCCCATTCAAAAGAAGAATTAGCGATATGATAGGATGTAAAATAGGCTTGAAATTGCAAACATTGAGAAATAAGAGAAAAGCTATTACATATTGCATATTAAGGTATGCGGCCTTAAAGAATTCGATAAAACAATATGATAAAAACGTCCGCATACGCCTTCGTCTGCACCGCTGATGCCATAGTGTCTCCACTTCCAGGGCTGTCAACACTCTTTACTACATAAATCTGTATCTTCCAGCTGATACAAGCTCTGCAACAATTCCTCATTGACTTGGGATTTATGACTATAAAATGAGTTCTCAGCGCCTCTCTGACGAGAAGAATCCTGATGGTGTCATCTCTGCTGTCGAGGCATCAAGTTACATCGACCCAAAGGAGGAGAGAGCCTTAGTGAGCTCTCATCTATGATTCGAGTCTATTTGAGATATATGCTAACTATCTCTTAGGTGTGGCGGTTGGATGTCTTCTTCTTGACGGTCGCTTTTTTGGGTTACGCCTTCAAGTATCTTGACCAGACCAATATTGTACTTAATCCACCCCATATTTCGCGGAAATTCCGAAAGCTGACTTTTAAAAAGAGCAATGCATACGTGTCGGGCATGAAAAACGACCTACACATTGTTGGGAACGAGTACAACTATTTTACCACATTTTTCAAGCATGTCAATCCTCCACATGCCGTGTGATGGGACTTTTGCTAATGTTAGGGATCACAGTATCGGTTACATGGGGATGCTATATCCATCATGCATTATTATTTCACACATCGGTCCTTCAGTTTGGCTTCCTGCCTGTGAGGTAAATGTTCAATCCATCTCTGCCAACTTGAAGTGAAAAATTCTAACATCATTACAAGGTTATGTGGGGTATTTTGACGTGCTGTCTATCGACCGTCACCGATTATAAACAGGTAAGCAAAGAAACCCCAATGATGGGATTGCATTTCTAATAATAATCTAGGTGTATGGGCTTCGATTCCTCATAGGCTTCTGTGAAGGAGCAACCTGGCCTGGTTATTTCACCATCATTAGGTAAATTGCCATTTGGACCTAGAAGACATTGGAATATCAAGCTGATTCTATCTCAGTCAATGGTATTTGCCTCATGAGATGGCTCTGAGAATGAGTCTATACAATATTGCACAGCCAGTGGGTGCCATGCTATCTGGTTCTATGCAAGGAGGACTTTCCACCCACCTTGACGGTGCTCTGGGTCGGGCTGGTTGGCGATGGGCATTTATCATCAACGTATGTTCATTGATGATCTAAATGAGATACTTTCTGATCGATTTGATAGGGCGTCATTACTATTTTTGTGGCCCTCGTCGCCTTTTTTGTTTTGCCAGGTTTTGTATGGATCCCGACTCTACCCTCAAGATTGAGACTAATGTTCTATCACAGCCTGAGCGCCAGAATCCATTTTCGAAGTTCTATCTTAATGCTCGGGATATCGGTAAGTTATGCATGATTTCCTCCTGAAGCACCATCACTGATTTTCAGGGAAGAGATTGCTCAAGACCGCAACCGCCGAGTTGGTCGGAAGCCACAGATTGGAATCACGCCAAAGACTTTCTTACGCGCTTTTAAGTTCTGGCATGTGTGGATGTTTGCAAGTAAGTACCAGTACTTTCATGAAGAAGATGTTAATTCGGAATGACCATCTGACGATATAGTCGCCTGGTCAATTGGTACTGGCACTACGCCCTCCAACTACTTTAATCTCTGGTTAGAGTCTTTAACCAACTCGGATGGCACCCTTAAATAGTAAGGCTTTCCCCGATCTCAAAGTCACATAATTTTCTAACTGATTGACAAGCTCAACTGCCATGCTTGACTATCTCCCAATTGCGGGACAAGCGATTCAGCTCGTTGCAGAACTATTGTTTAGTGGATTCAGTGACTACTTTTGTGTCAGATTGCCATTCTTGCTCATCCACGCAGTAAGTTTTGCTCCCTTATGAAGAGAAATGATGATAATAACATGTCGTTCAGGTGATCAACGTTCTATCCCTTATAATTCTTATCATTCGCCCTTCGAGTGAAAGTTTCTACATGGCGGGCTGGTATTTGAACTATGTCGGAGCGTATGTACCTTTCCTTTTTCTTATCTCATCTATGAAGGAAGTTTACTAACCTTTTTAAGGGTATCGACTATGCTTCTCTGTGCTTGGGCTGCTGCACATCTTGAAAAGGAACCACAGGTCCGAACGGTCCTTTTTGCTACAGGCACGCTCTTTTCATACCTATTCAGCGCGTTTCTTCCTCTTGCTGCTTACCCTACATCACAAGCTCCAAATTGGCGGATTGGAGCTAAGCTATACCTGGGTCTGACCCTCGTGGCCACTGCGCTTTTCATTAGCATTGCATTTATTTTCAGGTGGGAAGCGAAACGAAAGACAACAGAAAGTGACGAGGAAAGTACCGAGGAGGATCAAAGAGCTTCGGTGTACTGATTGTATTAGCATTCAGGAAGATGATAAGCATTAGAATGAATTACCTTGTAATAGGATGAACTGATACTAGTGCTTGCGACTTCGGATAAACCAATTCGGATGCATGTGTCAACGCAGGCCGATGATGTCAGGGGCTTATACTAGCCAGTAGAAGATCTTGGCATCACAGATCGTATCTGACTACTCCGTACAGGGAGAAAAAGACGAAACAGAGAACGATTCCTAGGTCCCATGGAAAGCCATCGCAGCCAGGATTTTAGGAGTTATTATCCTACACGAATACTAGCGATGCTTGACAAGACATCGGTCGGGAAAGATAGTAGTTCGAACTCAAGGAAACGTTCATGTACAAATTTCTCTAAAGAGGAGTAGGGTATCTAAATCTTTACAGCTTGGCCTTAGCCTGAGCCTTCTTGAGGACGGGTTCCATCTTGGTAGCCTTCATGATGTTGCCCTTGATCTTGAGCTTGCCGCCCATGAACAAGCGCTGAGCGTTGGCCTTGCCGGAAACGAGGGACTGGAAATCGGCGTCGGAGAGAGTGAGGGTGACTATATCAAGATTATCGTTAGGAAGGTTCTCTGATCTTGGAGATTATGGGGATGCGATCTCACCATCAGCCTTGCCGCCCGCTGGGGCAGCACCGTGGCCGACCTCGCCCTTGTTCTTCAAATCGAGATGCCAGCTCTCCTCCTTGCCCTCGGCGTTCTTGATGTTGAAGGCGACGATGGCCTTGGCCTGGCCGACAGCCTCCTTACGTCCAGCTTCATCACCCTGAAGGACCTGGTTGATCACGTCAAACGCGGCGGAGGAAGGGTGGGAATCTGTGGTTGTCAGTGATGAGTTGCTGATGATAGACGCTAGTAGAATTCCGTACCTTTCTTGAGCGACATATTGATGATAGGATGGGTTTCGTGGTTGAAAGAACGATGGGGCAAGATGTTGAGGTTATATGATGAAATAGGCCGGCGCATGTGAACCTCCGGGCCCCGGGGCCGTGCCGAGGCCCCGTGAATTTCCCCACGAAAACGCGACCGAGGGAGCTTGACTCTATTTACTCCAGATTTTTACATACTTGAGATATTTGGTCAAGATGGAATCAGCATCACACTTCCAGGCTTACTTTGCTGTCCTTCTGTTATCACTAACTACCCTGAACTAATATAACAGGAAAGATCAAGATCAAATCTTATCCTACTCCCACCGCTAGACCACGACACCGCGACACCGCCCCTTTGCCCCCAAGATCCCAAGCTCCACATGTGAGCCCAACATATTCCTGACACGAGTTGATAAGGTGTTGCACAAATCTGGCATTCATAGCGACATTACTCCGATCAGCGATCACTTCCCTCCGAGGCGCCTCGTCATGTTCCCCACATTACCGCCAACTAAACCTCGATGACGGTAACAGCCGCTTCATATGATCGGGTCTCCCCCACAACCGCTCCCGCACCTGTGCCTTGGCTAAATTGCACAAACCTCCCCTCTGTCGCTGGGCTGCAAAAATAATCCGTTGTAATGGCTGTTGACTGAAAATCAAAGGCACATCCACGGGACTTTTCTGACATGCTGCTTCTTTCCATGGCGTCGGATCCCTGCCTTGGGTCAATGGAGCTAATGCTTCATCCCAGGTTCCTGAGCGCAGTGTGGTTTCTTCAATGTTGAATACTTGCAGCGTATGACGGTGGCTGATGATAAAATTTGCAACCTGGGATGCATCGGTAACCACATTGAACAGATCGATATGCTCCAGAGAGTGAAATTGCAAAGGACGCAGGGACAACACTCCTTGATTGAGATATGATGGGACAGACCCAGTACCCTTGGTTGATTTCTGGAGACATGGCTCGGTGGCAAGTGACAAGGGCAACACATTCTTCTCCCCCACCCATCTGAACACGAGCTTTCTGAGCTTGGGAAAGCTCTGCAGGTACGCATGAAGCAACTTCAAATGGTCAGTCGGCAATCCCGAATCATGCTGGAAACTATCCATATGGATTGTCAAGCATCGAATTTGCAACCATCGTTTCCGGGCAGCTGGTGATGTGCCAAACCCTAGATCAGGTCGAAGATATAACACGGCCGCTGGGTGGACTGGAACCAGCGAAAGGCTCTCTAGCGATGGCAAGGGTGTTCGTTCAACTGCAATCCGCAGCGAGATTAACGCGTAGTCCACCACACTTCGACGATAGCGATGACTTGGAGGTTGGCCTTCACAGCTGATTCTAAGATGACGTATATTTTTCATCAGGGAGAGGACATGTTGAAATGACCGAACATCGGTTGCTGTGTGGAACAAAGGTGGATACTGCTGTATGAGCAAATCTGCTATTTTGCGACTGCCGTACTTGGCCCTTGTGGAAAAGACTCGTGGTCCTTGTGGCATGTAGAGAAATGTTTGCTCTGTTCCCGTCACTGCATCAATCACGGGCGGCAAAAAGGTGTCTGCAGTGTGTGGAATCTTGAATGTAACAGTTTTCATGTAGGTTCCGATTCGCTCCAATGCCGCTACTCGAGATGGTCGGGTCAGAGCCCGACGACGAAGTATCACTGTCGTGGATACGAAGACGACCGGTGCTAGTTTGACTGCAAGATCCCGATAGAGCAAACGACATGAGAGCAGGTCTTTTTTCGTCAAGTTAGAGACTAGTCTTTCGGTAATAGTCTTGATCTTCCATAATTGAACGAAAGAGGACTGAGGGGCCGCTGATGCAGAGTTCCTATGCATGATGATCAGATATTCACATCAAACATTACTAGTAGTCTCCACATGTGCACTTGTGTATTCAGCGCTTGAGTCAAGAATGTAACCATATAAGCCATATGATTACACTAGTATATAAACTTCAAATGTTCAAGTTGATAAGCCCAGGCCTTCAAACATTTCGATCTTAAAAAGTGCCCTGAGTCATGAAATACTATTTTTTGGTACCCACATGCAGTGACCTTTGGCCTTTTATAAGAACGCTGGCAGTTTTGTCTTCAACATTTGTAGCTAAGTATAGATCGCTTCCAAATAGAACTCGAAGTTCCAACCTGCACCGTGATATCGGGATGATCTTCAAGTATGATCAGTCCCGAATTTGAGAACTGTACTCCCACCTCAAATGAGTCACTAGAGACCTGGAAATCCTATTGGCAACTTCGGGTCACTGCATAAGTTAGTCCAGTCTTGTATAGTATAGGTAGCATACTCCTTCCCCAATCGGGATCTTAGGGCTGGCCCTGGAGTATATATGTTTGCAACGTTTGACTCACAACGCGTGACGCGTAATATTATCACGTGCCGATAAGGAGAAATTCCATTCGACGCGATTTGGGTAGAAAAGTGAGGCGAAATTCAATGATCACAGTAGTAAAAGAGATGTACTATACACATATTGTAGAAAACTTAATTTAAATAGAGAAATAATCACTTCCAAACCTAAAATCCAAGATAACTTGACAAAAGGAGGGTAGAATGAACAAGTTGACATAGTTGATATGTATGGTTCCTTATCCCGGGTTTCTAGGCTTGGCAAGGACTCAACATGACATCTTCCTCCGACCATCAACAGGGATAAGAATTCCTCTCAAAGGCAACAGGAGAATCAAAATTCCCTAAGACAAACCTGCGCCCGATCTTGAGCCTCAGTTTTGCTCTGTCCTCCCGGGCGCCTCGCCCAGGACTCCACTGCGGACCCGAACGCCTGATCACCCGGGTTTAATCCAAGTCCAAGCGCTGTGACTCCTGCAGTGTCTACGGAGTAGATCAAAGGTAGGTGAACGGATCATCCTCTATTAAATAAGATCAGATCAGAAGTATCTCTCCGCCTATCAGGCAGAAGCCTGGGCAGAATTGAGATAGTGTCAGACTTATTTTATTTGCCTCTCCCACCCCGCGCCTTGTAACTTCTTTCTTTATCGTTTGCTCCTGCAACTTGGGACTTTTGAGGAGATCAACTCTTTTGAAGAAATCAACTCGTCTTCCAGAGATTTTCCCTCATTTGCGTTTTTTCCCTTGACTTTCTCCCCCCTCATCAAACCAAGCCTAACCCACCTCATACTCTCAATTTACACTCTTCATCAAACTTGTCTTTCTTCTATCAACACCGAGACCTTACCTTCCCCCCTGTTACCTAAAAACTGGAGACTGATTCTAACTTGGCACTCAGCGCAGAGAACCTTGAGGTTCTATTGCCTTGTTACCATTCACAGTTCCCAATATCGGAAATGGCGGAACCCATGGAAGAAAAGACTGGGTCCGAGGACACTGCGGAGGAACAGCATCGACTGAACGCACTCCTTGAAGATTTGGACATCCATAACATGATCCTTGAAAGCCATGGTCCCGAAGATCATGAAGCAATCGAGGAGACGAAGAAAACTATCCGCCATCTCCAAGCTCAAATCGATATGAGTCTTCGGGAAAAGGGTGATTCTCCACCAAATGAACCTATACCAACTCTTCCTCAGACACCATCGCAGGTGAACAGAATGGCGGGGCTCCCATCATCAGAGACCGCCTTCTGGTCCTCATCAGCACCCTCCCCATTCTCTGTCTTGCCTCAACAGTCACAAGGTCAACAATCCCGGCCTATCGAACATCCCTCAAGTCAGTGTATTGGGTTCCCAGGGAGCACTGGTCAAGCTCAACCATCCCAGTCTCTGGCTCCATTTCGGACACCTAGTCAAATATCTCGCAAGCGGGAGAGAGAGGGATTCCATCAGCTCACTCAATCCATCACAACTGACAAAGAGGACGGCACTTGATGCATCCAGGCAGCGCCTTGAAAAAATTGACGCCGATTTGGAAAAAGGGCTGAGGGACACCCGGGAGCAATATGCTGCGTTGAAGCAACCAGATCAAGTCGAAAAGAACGCCGCAAAACAGGGCATATCGGAGAACGATTATCTGGACGAGCTTGCCGAGGAAGAGGAAGAAATTAAGAGGTCTCTTAGATATACCATGCAAGCAGAGAGAGACGCTGAATTTGCTCGTAGGCTGCAGGCTGCGGATGAGGTGCAGTATGCTCCACAGCCGAGCTTTAATCCTCCCGAGCGGCTTCAACCCAGCACGTCTACGCAGCAGTACCGCTCCTACCGTTCTCCTGTCCCAGAGTACACGGGTGATTCAGAGGATGATTTTGAAGAAATCAGCCCAGAGTCTTTCCTTTCCAGTGCTCATATGCCACCCGGTCCATCTCAGCGCCCTCCAGGTCAGCGCTCACCATATCCACCCGCATATCAGTCCACATATCGGTCCGCATATCAGCCCACTCCGTCTTGGCAGTCACCAGCTAGAAATCCGGCGATGGGACTACCAGGAGACAGCTCTTCATTCCCTCAAAAATCTGGAATGATGCCTCAAGGCTTTGGGCATCTGCTTCCTGCTCATCTTCCAATTATGAACATGCCACCGGGCAGACACCTTCCGTGGATGCACATGCCAAGTCCAACACGACCTCAAGTTCCGCGGCCAGAGATAACGGCGTTTGACTTGGTTCGTGAGCAAAATGACCTGGAATCTGACAACATAGATTTTCAGTACGTCTTTTTCTCCCCTATTCCCTCTCTTCTCTCATTTGCACAACCAAAGATTTCCATATACTAATGAGAACTCGGTATCAGGCTTTACAAAGAGGAAGACTTCCCTGACGATATCAAAAACTTACTTACGGGAATCAAGAACATGAAGGACGCGACGAAGGCAGAGAGTGACGATAGACCTACTGGTTTGAAAGTCACATTGATGAAACATCAAAAAATCGGTTTAAAGTGGATGAAGGCAAAGGAGGATAGTTCTCACAAGGGTGGGATTCTCGCTGACGACATGGGTCTCGGGAAAACCATTCAAACTATTGCGCTCATGGTTTCCCGCCGACCGACAGATCCTGATCGCCATCCGACTTTGATTGTTGCTCCAAAGGCTCTCATGGAGCAGTGGAGACTTGAGATTGGGCGCCATGTGAATCCTGGCACAGCTCAATTTCAAGTTCTGATCTTCCATAGCCTATCGCGTCAGCTCAGTTGGAGAGATATCCGGAAGTATGATATAGTCATCACAACATTCGGCACCTTGACGGCCAACTTCAAATACTTAGAGGCAGCTCAGAAACTCCAGGAAGATGGCAAGGATGCTAGTATCGTGCGGCAAATTCGAGATCAGGCAACTTTGTTCTCCTCAGCAGCAAAATGGCATCGAGTCATCATCGATGAAGCCCAGAACATCAAAAATCCATTATCCAAGGGAGCCAAGGCGTGTTGCAGACTCGACACTACTTTCCGCTGGTGCTTGACTGGAACACCCATGATGAACCGGCTAGAGGATTTTCAGTCTCTACTGCGATTCCTTCGCATCCGTCCTTACAACAACGCGGAAAAATTCAAACGAGTAAGTATTTCCCAATGTTTCACTTATCAACGAACAAGGACTTGAGTTCGGTGTGGCTAATATACCGATTACAGACTTTCATCAAACCCATTAAACAAGGATATGGGGATGAGGGTGTTATGAAACAACTGCGCGTTTTGGTCAAATCAGTCTGTCTTCGACGCACAAAGAAAACTGAAATTGATGGACAACCTATCCTGCAACTACCTCCGAAAGTCATCGAGAAGATTCACGTGGTTTTCAATGAAGAAGAGAAAGCGATGTATGACGAGCTCAACTCCAACACACAGCATGTCATCAGCAGGTATCTGAAAGCAGGTACTCTGGGAAAGAACTACAGTCACGTTCTTGTTCTTCTCCTTCGACTCCGACAAGCATGCGACCATCCGCTCTTGATAAAGGGCTTCAACTCCGATGGTTCGAGTGTTGTCCAGGGCGTGGATCTTGTTGCAAACGCGAAGCTGTTGGACGCTAACACAGTGGCGCGCATCAAGAACAATGAAGCCGAAGATGACGGCAGTTGCCCAATCTGCATGGACAGTGTTGAAAATGCGGTGATCTACATTCCTTGTGGCCACTCAGTCTGCTCTGAATGTTTCGCTCGTATCTCAGACCCTACACTTCTTGCGCGACAGGACGCCGCCGAGTTGAAGTGCCAAAACTGCCGTGGCCATGTCGACCCTCTTAAGGTCACTGATGCAATCTCGTTTAAAAAGGCACATGATCCAGCTGCCGGCTCCTCAGAGGAATCAGAAGCTGAGTCCGAGGAATATGACTCTGATGACTCCGAGTACAATAGTTCGAAAGAATCATCATCTCCTCGCAAGAAGAAGACTAAGAAGAAGTCTCTCTCCGAACTGCGTGCAGCTGCACAGAGAAACAAGGCCGAGAAGGCCAAGTATGTTCGTCGCCTGGAGAAAATGTGGGTTCCTAGTGCAAAGACCGATAAGACCATCGAAATCTTGCAAGAGAATGAAGACCGTGGCAATGGCGAGAAGACCATCATCTTTAGCCAGTTCACATCTTTGTTGGATCTCCTTGAGATCCCGATCATCCAGCGCAAGTGGTGTTTCGTGCGCTTTGACGGCACAATGAACATCGCGGATCGCAACGCTGCGGTGGCCGCGTTCACCGATGACCCAGATTGTAGAATCATGCTCGTCAGTCTCAAGGCTGGTAATGCGGGTTTAAACCTCATCTCTGCGTCCCACGTCATCCTCTACGATCCTTTCTGGAACCCGTATGTCGAGGATCAAGCCATCGACCGTGCTCATCGCATTGGGCAGACCAAGGATGTCTTCGTACACCGTCTGCTCATCGAAGAAACCGTTGAAGACCGGATCATTGAACTGCAGGAAAAGAAACGAGAGTTGATCAGTGGTGCGCTGGATGAAGGCGGTTCTATGAATATTTCTGGGCTCAACACCCGTGAATTGGCCTACCTTTTCGTAAGTCACCCATGCTATCTCCCTTTTTATTATTCATTCTTTTTGTGGGACCGTTTTATGCTAACTTCTTCATTTACAGGGCGTACAAGCTTAGATCTAGACGGGATGGGCTTTCTGCTCTACTCTCTATGCGATTTCATTTCTTTCCATCTACACAAGAATGATAGATTGACTGTCAGCCAGTTTGATATCTTTCTGCGTTCTTTTTGAACATACATCCCGAGAAGGTGGTAGCAGATTGAAATTGAGGTTCCTGGTGCTTGTGTATTCGGACTGCCATGGTCTAATCGTCAGTGCCCTGCTTACCTCTCTCTCTCTCTCTGTTTCTGCCTTGATCGGGTTGTGGCGTTTTATGCTTGCTGGCACACTGAGTCATTTACTTTGTTTGCGTCTGCCTTATAGGCTAAACAGATACCCTTGCTCCCTTCATTCGCTCCTTTCCATTTCCCTTCATCTTCATTCAAAATGCTAGATTAGAAATCTCATCATAACTTTTCGGGTAAATAATGGAGTTCAGATCAGAATCAAAAGTTTTATTTTCCCTGGCATAATAATTGCCCTTGCATTTTTTTTTAGTTCATAGGTAGAATAGAATAAGTTTTAGATCTTGTTGAAAGAAGACGTGCTTTTTATGCAGCAGCGCATCATTTCGGCGAGAGAGAAAAAAAAGGCATTGAGATGGTAAGTCTAGCTACTAAGGTTGGGGGGAGGAAAAACAATAAAAAAGAAAAATGCATAATCGTGCCGACCCTTTCTTCACAAACCGCCACTGCCCCAACCGCTTTCATTGTATCGTGATTCTGAGTAGGGATTTTGCTTTTGGGGGGTATGCAAAATCAAGCAATCATGTAAGTAGACCTTCCCTTCCAGGCGCGTCGATCAACATCCGCACACCAAGAAGGGAGGTTACGAGGTGAACGCATTCGATGTCGCACACGTTTACAGGTCGGCGTCATCCTCATCGGGAAGGGGCTGCTGGGCAGCAGCGTCCATCTCCTCGCGGTACTTGGCAAGCTGCTCGTGGTCGACAGTGACCTCGGGGGGAGCGAGGGCGGGAGCGGCAACGAACTCCTATAAATTGAATTAGTAATCTGTGGGCTGATGGGGGCTTGAACTGGCGGTCTGCGGGAAAGAAAGAAATTACGTACCAGCTGGGGGGTTGCCAACCAGCTTGCGGGCGAGCCAGAGGAAGGGCTTCTCGAAGTTGTAGTTGGACTTGGCGGAGATATCGTAGTACTGCAGGTTCTTCTTGCGGTGGAAAGTGATGGTCTTGGCCTTGACCTTGCGCTCCTTCACATCGACCTTGTTACCGCACAGGACGATAGGGATGTTCTCACAGACACGGACGAGGTCGCCTGGTTTTTTTGTTGGTGGTTAGAAATGAGATAATCAAAACCATGCTATCGTTGAAGATACTTACGGTGCCAGTTGGGAACGTTCTTGTAGGTGATACGGGAGGTAACATCGAACATGATGATACCGGCCTGACCGTTGATGTAGTAACCATCACGGAGACCACCGAACTTCTCCTGACCAGCGGTGTCCCAGACATCGAACTGGATGGGACCCAGGTTCTAAACCATTGAAGATTAGTTGATTTCTCCGTGAGGGGAGAAGATGCCGAAACCGTTTTGAAGCGGGGTTCGGCGGGGTATAGGACATACGGTGGTGAAAGCAAGAGGGTGAACCTCAACACCGAGGGTAGCAATGTACTTCTTCTCGAATTCACCAGTCAAGTGGCGCTTGACGAAAGTGGTCTATCGGGTTAGACGTTAGCGATCGGGCGATTCGTGGGTGAGGCGGGCATCGGGCAGATATTTTTTTTGTCCGTCTTTGTTGACAATGGCGGGGCAAGGGAGGGGGAGAGAGAGATAGTCGATGGTAGAAGGGCTATCACCGCGCTCGTCAGGGAGCGACGACGGTCACTGCCATGAAGAGGCCCTCCTTTACTTCATAAAAATCCACCCGACGCCTAGATATTCAATGAATTTAGCTTACCTTTCCGGTACCACCGTCACCAACCAGAACGAGCTTAAAAGTGGGGGGAGCCTGGTCAGCCATTGCGGAAATTTGCAAATGCGATAGACTGAGATGTGGAAATGCTCAAGAACGGTGAAATCGCAAGATGTGCGAGATTGGGGAAAGGATGGATAGACCAAAGGGGGGAAGAGGGAAGAAGGGAGGTGAATAATGCTCAAATGGAATTTTTGCCCCGGTCGGTCGGCGGCGGGTCACGTGTCTGTGTGCCTGAGGGCCTGACGTAGTGTCAACAAATCTTACACTGCGTTGTTACTACGTAAACTATTCAATCTTCTTCTGAATGTTTTTCGTTCTTTATTTGCTATGGTTTTTATTTCTGAGTCTTTCAATGTCTCAATTCACTTGCAATTCGGAGTATTTGGAGTTTTGGTTCTGTCATCACTTTCAAGAATGACAGCCTCGTAACAACAAAGCCCGACAGAGCCTCAAAGAACATCCAGTATTCGGTACCCACATCCTGATCTAGTATCCCATTCAAGAGGACCAGCCTCTACAAAGGAACCAAATGACATCCCAGAAGTCCCCGACCTCCCCAATTACGTTGAGGGGTGAGCTGCAGATCTAATTCTGTAGTTTGTGATCCACCTTCCTCCTTGCGCGATACCCTAACCAAGACCGGTCGCTGTGCATTCAAATTCATTAGTGCCATGGTCATGCAGAAAGGACTAGAAAAAATGAATTTTTGAGCCCGACGTACCCCTTCGCTTTGTTGAACAACCTCGGCCACCTTAGAAAGACGTGCATGGTTTAACCAATGCGCATTTCCAAAGTTTCGAATTGCGTCACCCGTCTTCAGGCCTGCCTGATCTGCTGGACTTCCCACTTCGACACTATTGACCTTAGCAAATGGTGTTCCAAGTGCGCTGGCATCTGTAGTGCCATTCTCAAGTGTAGATGATGGTAAGGCGGATGGTACTGTGGTACCGTTTGTAGTCGCAGAGGCTTGGGCTTCCTGGAGTTTGGCAAAATGGGCATGGAGACCTTTCTCAAGGTATTGCATGACTTCCTTGTGGTCGGTCCGGAGATGGATGATTCGCACACGTGTATTTCGCACTATTTCAGATTCTCAGTAAAGGCGCAGCCCAACATAGGTATGCAAAGTCAATTACCCTGAGGAATGTCGATGTCATCGCGCGGAAACCCGTCAAACGTGGTGAGGCCTGAGTTCATAGACACTCCATGCTGTACACATGTGTTAGAAAAGATAGGGGGAAATGTAAAGCTCATGATCATAGTATCATAGTAATCAGGAACAATCATCAAGCTGGAGAACTCACTGAGCTGAGAACCGCGCTGAGTGCCTTGAGTTCTTCTTCAATCTTCTCCTTCTCCTGCATCAGATCAGGCATCGACAGTTTTGACCAATCGCGACTTTCAGCGCCCGATGTAGGCCCAGAGGCCACTGTGGGAGCATGAATATTGTCACCCATGGCTAGAGAGGTTTCGGAGTCGGGGAAGAAGCCAAAAGTGGGGGGCAAAGAAGATCAATCGCGTATCAACGGGTGGTGGGGCGGACTGATTTATATAAGCGCCCTCAAATCTTTAACTAGCCGCATCTAGTTTATACTAGTAGTAGCTTTAGTCTAAAACAAAAACCATCAGAATTAAGATGGAATTTGTGATTTAGTCTGCCTTCTGACCTTTTGAATATTAGTGTCTGTTTCTTTCGGTATATGTTTCAAATTGGGAACACCCAGGTGCCTTGGGACCACATAAATTTCCAGGGTACGTTGATAGTGCACACAGGGGCAGTGTTAAGCCAATAGATTGAAACTCGAATATTTGAACTTCAATTTAGTCTTCTAGATTCAAATGTTGCTTGCTAAACCCATGCAGGCATCCTTGAATATGCTAGATCATGATATTCTAGGAAACACTCCTGCCCATACTAAACATTTGAAGTAGACAGCTAATATAGGTATCTATGCACATGTGTATCTGCTCCAAGGAAATCAAGTTAGAAGCTCGAGCATTCAATCATCCTGTGTTGCTGAAGAAGCCAGATTAAATGGAACATTAAATTTGAATCCCGCCGGTCAAGTGCGTCCCTGCCATGACGTACATAATGGATGAGATTCAAATTAACCGCCCTCTGCACGACCGCTGCCTAGAAAGCATGTTATCGTTGCTTTGATTCTGAATCGCTACCTGTGAAAGTGAGAGGCAGGTTAGCTTAATCTACCGCGCGTAACAAGAACGAAAGAAGTTAGTTCTTTGTAGCGTCCTTCTTTCCTTTCCTGGTGTTAAGCCCGTCGTTCCTACCAAACTATGACTCGCTGGCTTAGAAGTGCTGTATGTGGTATGATTCAGACTGTTTATCCTGGTCATCAATCTTCATCTGGAATCTAATCCCTTTAGCACGTCACATTGTGGCTCCATCATGGACCATCAGGATGCGGACGATGCGATAGAACCGTTTCCCCAAGAAATTCCCGTCGAGAAAAGCGAGAGTCCAACAGGCGACACGACACCTACCCGACCGTTATCTCAGGCATCTCAGGACACCCCCTTCAGAAAGTGGGTTGACAGCTTTCGTTCCCATAAACGGCCAGGGGGAACACGGGAGCGAATTGTAGAGGGCTGGCCGGATCCTGACGAGGAGCCCTTTCCAGCCGAATTTGATCTAGATCCACCCAGCTTTGCAGCTCAAGACGCCCTATGGGAAAGAGGCTCTGGAAATTCGTCGAACCTGGGAACACCCAAGACCACCACGATCAGCATCGCGAGATCTCGCGCAACAACACACAGCACTACCACCCAGAGTGCACTGTCGGATGTACGAGTCTCAGGAGATAGCTCCCGCCCAGCCTCCAGCAGTTGCGTGGACGAACAGGTGGAAATAAGGGCCAGAAAGAGACGTCATATACTGCGAGAGCTGATGACAACAGAGGTGAACTATGTCTCTGGCCTCAAAGCCCTAGCGGGAGTGAGTATATCGACTGTCTTTTCATATTGAAGCCCTACTCATGTGCTGATAGGTACTCTCGATGCTCAACGTCCGGACTCAAATTCGACACAACATTCAACAAATCCACGACATTCACGAGCAATTTTTGAGTAATCTCGGTGAGAGATCTCCTCAGTCGGCTCATCAACCCCCCCGACGATGCTTTCGATTTTAGCTCTCGTGGTCTGTCAAAGCGACTGGGAAATATTGAGTTACCGGGGCTAAAAGGTCGGCCCCATCGATCGTTGAGAACGCGCAGTATGAAAATAGAAATGGAAAAGCGTCGCAAATCCTTGATGTCAGAGCCTAGCGAAGCATTAGAGGTGGCGCGGGAGATTGAAGCACTGGTAAGTTGAGGTACTTTACATTCAGAGAAATCGAAGGCTGAGAAAATAGCAGGCTGCTTCTTTCTCAGCGTATGACGAATATTGCAGAAACTATGAGCTTCTGTCGCAGGATATAGCCCTCCTGCGCCGATCGATCACGGACTGGTCAGTGTATGACAAAGGGATTGAGGCATTGTCCAAGTCTGTTGCATCGACAGCCAGCCGCAGACATGAGGAGAACAAGTCAATGTTGATGAGTGACTTGATGATCAAGGTTAGCTTCCTTATATTTCTCGTCCAAGGTCTTGAGACTGATGTTATAGTCAGCCTATTCAACGTCTTTGCAAGTACCCACTTATTTTAACAGACCTGGTCAATGTCACCCCTTCCAGCGATTGCCCATCCGCCAACGCAGTGATGCATCAAGTCCTGCAAGATATGCGCGCTCAGGTGGGCAAGATAAATTCGGCCACGGGAAATCCAGTCAACAAGGATAGGATTGAGAAGACTCTGTTACTGCAAAAGAAGACTCGTTTCAATGAATCAGTAAATCCCCCAAAGTTGAGAAGAGACTGGAGCCTGAAGTCGTGCTGGCTAACTTTTTACCGTTTCACAATAGTACAGACTGCGCGACATATACAAGGAACTTGGCCCAATGATACTTTGTGGAGTACTTCATGTCACCTATCGCACACAAGAACATACTGCGGGTGAATTCATGGTATCTGTCTTGTTCAACTGCCATTTACTGCTTGGCAGAATCAGGGATGAATATCATGGAATGGAAATCCTGGCTTGCATCTACATTGCTGACTTGAAGATGGATACTTTGCAAAATGGACGTGGTGAGTTGCCTTCTTCCACGAGAGGATTTGGCTAGTCTTCTGACAATGATAGGACTCACTTGCTATGGGTGTCCATTTTCATGGAAAATTGTGTTTCAAGATCAAGGTGAAATTTTCGAATTAGTGCTTAGTGCATCTACTCCCACTGAAGAGAAGCAGTGGCATACTGAGATAATGAAACTCTCCGTGACTCCAATGAACATGGCAAAATCGGGAGGTGTTTGGGATCCTCGAAAATACTCTCTTTTGAGTCTTCCTTTAATGCCCTTGGATAGACCACAGTACACTGTGGCCGCTCTGTCACGGAGAACCTCCATGGATTCCATGGCGATCTCGCGCAAGGTCAATGTTCAACGAGTCATTATCCGGAAAACCAATTTTCCGAACTACGATGAATCCACCAGCTCAGGAAGCTCGACCGGTGAGATTGAGCGGCCCAAAACTCCTGTTACTCGGGGCTCATACAATGTGATTGCCAGACGACAGGACCGAATTCGATTGGAGAAACTGATTGAGGAGGTCTATACTCGGGATGCATTGCCCTGGCCTGGAATGGTTCTCGGTAAAGGGGATATTTTGGAAGATATTTTCAGTCCTGGTTCAATCATAAGGCGTTTCAGCCTTCATACTGGGTTTAACAAACGGTCCAGTTCTGTCAGCACTTCTCATTCTGGAGCCGTAGTTACTGAATCTCAGTACATTGAGGAATATGATGGCGAGGAGAAGGACCTCATAGCCACTCTTGATGGCGACAAGAACTCTTCTGAGCCTAATTTCGAGTCGCCAAAGACACCTACCCCATCTCTAGGGCGCTCCAGGACCCTTCGATTTGCAAGTACGCCCAAAAAGTCCGTGTCTTTGCAACGAAGCGAGAAGCAGGGGAGCCAGGAGAGCAATCCCGAGCCGTCTCCACGCAAAAAATGGAGCTCTCCAATGTCTCTATTCAGCGTGTTATCACCGAAAAACCTGTCCTCGAACAGGGCCAAGGATGGGCAGATGAAGTCGAGTGGGGAGATCAACAAGAATTGACGTTGTAGTGGAGAATGAGACATGTTATTATTAAGTGAGATGTAAGGAATACCCTCAAAAGATCAAATTGGTTCTTTTTGGAATGTTCTTTCTCCACAGTATATGACGTAGAAAGCAGGGAGAAGTCCATGTTCCATGACACACGAGCATTTCCTATAGCAGCCAGCTACTGACGTCATATACCATCATCTATAACTTTAAAGCTTCTCACCTTTTTCTCTTTCTTCTTCATCTTCTCCATCAATTCTCACACTCAATTGAACTCTCTATCAATAAAAAATACTTCAATATGCCTCGTGCCAACGATACCGCTCAAAAGGTCTTTTACAAGGGCAAGTCTGAGGACTTCATTGTCTTCGTCGATGATCTTGAGACCCTGCAGAAGTGGAAGAATGACCGCAGCATTGCTCTGTCTGATGTGTTGAACGGCTGGAAGGTTTTTGTTTCTCATAGGTCAGTTCTCTGCTGGTATCTCAATGTGTTACCATCGATATTATACTAACCTCGTCTTATAGCCATGGTGCTCAAGGTATCCTGGACGCCGCCAGCAAGTCGGCCCTGCAGAACGAATTCGGCACCACCAACGAAGATGAGGTCATGACTAAGATTCTAGAGGGCGGAGAGTACCAAGCCAACACCGTATGTCTTCATTCCACCTATCAACCATCATCATCATGATTCTAATAAACTCTTTTCAGAACCGTGAACGTGAAGGCAGCAAGAACGACTCCATGGGCAGTGCCAACATCGGCCGGTAAACACATTACCTCCCACCTAATTATCAGACCTCGACTATTATCTCCTTGGTCTTTTCTCCTTTTTCTCCGTGTCTGGAGGTTGTCGCCCATTCCGGGCATCCTTGTGAACCAGTCCCGACCAATCCGCCGACCTTGTTATCAGAGGTGTTGACCATAGTTGATTCGTGCACGAGGGGAAAAGTGACCCCTCTAAAGGGAGTTTGTGTCTTTTCCTGGGTTGCATTGCATTGAGCAGTGGCGGGGTTTCTATATTTGATGGATATCATGAGATAACGAGATGAGTTTGAGCTCATCATACAAATACCAAATACCAAGATTTTTTTTTTCTACAAGCAGTACTCCTTGCCAGTGTAAAGAGGATTTCAGTAAGGCACACTGGCGTAATTATCTTGCGTATCATCTTTTTCCTCTAGAAGGAACAATTGAATCCTTTTTGGTCACCTCCGAGTCTCGTTCTCTAGTTTAGTCTGTGGAACGCCCGACCTCGACGCAGGTTTGTATGTGGAATTGAGCCCATGAATTCGGTAATTTTAGCCTAGCATTAGTATGTGGATATAGTAAGAATGCTCTACATACCATCATTAAAAACGATGCACAAAATCCGGTCGCTTGCAAAGGGTGGCATAGTCTTGTATTTCATATCTCGTGTGGTATCATAAAGCAACCGCTCAGGTTTCCATCCACGCCAATAAGCATTGAAATTGACTCATGATGCTCATTTCCATATCAAATCTCAACCTTAGGAGCAATAAGATCAACCTCTTTCTTCCTCTCCGCCCTCCGCCGAACAACCCAGTCTCCCAATTCCGCCCAAACGATCTCCTTCTCTGTAAGAGTCATCCCAGCAGCAAGTCCACTAGTCGTAGTCGCTACAAAAACCCTCGCTCCTCCCCAAGACTCCCCAACCACACACCCCATATTCTCACTCTCCCTCTGCCATCCGTACTGAAACTCCTCCTTCCGAATCCCCCTTCCATGTCGCACCCTCCAAACAGCTTCCCAGATACCCTTACCAACAAGACAAACAGCTTCAGGCTGCTGCGCTGCGACCTTGGCCTCGAGGATCGGTACACCGGCATCCATTTCAGCCCTACTAAGCATGCTCGCGTCGCGGGTTGGACGTACAACGATATTTGTATTGCCCACACTGTATAGCTCTGGAAGTTTGTATGTATCTGATGGTGGGTGTCTGATGCTTGTTATACCAGAGGAGTGGAGTAAGCGCCAGAAGAGATTGGAGGGGTGTGCGTAGGCGTGTCCTGTGATTCCAGTTTTCAGACCTGGGTTTACGCCTACGAGGAGGAGGATTAGGTTTGCGGGGATTGTATCGCGTAGGAGTGAGGTTGAGGCGGGTGGAGTGTCGAGGGGTGTTTGGGGTCTTCGTTTGCGGCGGAGAGAGGGACTTGGTGATATTGCTGGGAGCTCTGATGATATGGTTGGAGTTGAGGTTAAAGCGCTGGAGCGGGTTATTTGTGATTTTTGGATGGTGCTTGATGGAAGGATTGGCGGAGACTTGGAATTTCTTTTTGGACTTGACTTCACATCGCGCTTTTTAGTGAGCGTTATAGATTCTTCGCAATTTGAGATGTTTTGGGTGGCCATTGGATTGTTTTCTGTTGTAGGTTGTCCTCGCCTCGAGGTCATAGGTGGTGTTGGTGTTGACTTGAAGGGAATTTCTTCTGTCGCCGAGGAATCGGACATATTTCCGAGATGAAGGAATTTGTTGAGTTTGCCATTGAAGCTGGTAAGCTTGTTGATGGGCATATCCTCGTTCCCCTCATCTGAGATGCAAACATTATGCATTGCTTCAGGTTTGTACTCCGGAGAAGGTGAGAGTGGCATTCGTCTTGTGGTAAACAAAGCCCTTGGGGCAATACTATAATTAGTCTGTTAATTTTACTAATGGTTGTGACTGATCAAGTCAGATTGAGATGGAGATATTTGACTCTGTTGTTGTGACGAATGGATGAAGCTCGTGTCGAGGTGTATATATAGTCACGTGTATTCGTGCCTCATATATCAGGCGACCGCACGAATAACTAACTAACGTGATTCCCAAGCGAGTGGGCCACCCACCGCCTACCCTACAGTTTTAATCATAAATATTACCACCAGAACGCCAATTTATTAAAATAATTAACTAAATATCACAGTGATCTGATCGATGGCCTTCTTCTCCACACTTCTTACATGTCGGTAGCTTTCTCCTAGCTGGCTGAGGGGGTAAATAAGGCGCCCTAGGCCGTGGTACGGGAGGGATCACTGGCGCCTCAACCACCTGTATAGCACGCTGTATAGCCTCCTGGCCCTCCTGAACAGTCATACCACCCTCGTTAGGTATCTGCCTAGTAGACCGCTTGCGCTTCTGCTTTTGCTTTTCATGTGCAGCGCGTAATTTACGTGTTTCAACCTCTAATAAAGCTGTTGAATGCATTTGAATTTCGCAGGCCTTGAGAACTTGATCGATTTGCTGTTTGAGTGGACTTGGAGGGCTCTTTGAACGTTGTTTTAGAAGAGCTTTGATTGAACTAGCTTGCCGTTGAAGCTGAATAAGATTCTGAGGTGTTTTAGGTGAAAATTGGCTTGATCGACTAGTAGGGCGGCTAGCTGGGGGTGTAGGTGTTCGAAGAAGAATATTTAACTTAGAAAGTACTCGATCTGGGTCAAATGGTACTAAACCAGCTGCCGTAAAGCTGTTTTGAATAGTTTGGGTTTGAAAAGCCTCTTTACGAGCGATTGGGTAGGCTTCAAGAAAATCAAATTTATCAACATGGTTAAAACCAAGCCGCATTTGATTCTCAACAAGCCGACCATAGGCCCGTTTTAAAGGCCCAAAACATCCAACATCAAGTGGCTGATGAAGATGTGAAGAATGAGCTGGCATGCAAATTGGAATAATATTATTCTCTTTGCAAATCTGATCAAATTGGGGAGTTAAATGACTCCCATGACCATCAAGAATCAAAAGTCGATATTTTCCAAGCGTACGTTCAGTTGTTGCTGGAATAAAGTGTTTTTGAAGCCATCGAAGTCCAATTTCATCAGTTGTCCATCCATTTGGACTAGTTTCAAGTCGCCAGTCAAGTGAAAGGTTTGTAAACCATCCTTCAATTAAAACTTTGCCTTTGAAAATAATCACTGGTGGAAGGGCCCATCCAGATACATTAATTGTTTCAATAGCAGTTACCCATTCACGATTTCCAGGCTGTAAAAGTGATCGTCGACCATAATATCGAGAACGAGTAACAACCTTAGCAGTTGCTGTAAGTCCCATTGCAAATCCAGTCTCATCAAAGTTATAGATATCCTCTGATAGAATACCATTCTCTTGAATTGTTTGAAAACCAAGATTAAACCATTCTTGAACAACTTTTGGATCCTCCATCTTCGCACGTTCATAATTATATCGTCGAGAGAAACGTGTAGTAAGCTCTGAATGTCGTTTAACAAAGTTTGTGACCCAATTTTTGCCAACAGTTTGAGAAGGGGTCTGGCCACGTGCTAAGAGGAGAATATTGGCCATTTCTTGAACCGTAGCAGGCCGGGGGGCAGCTCCACGTATATCCATAGAGATCACCCACTGAAGAAGTGATTTCTCTTCATTCTCAGTTAATTTATGGCTGTTGGCACGAGTCTCAGAGCGATTGGTATAGCCAGTGAGCCGACGCTGTAGTGTAGTACGAGGTATATCAAAACAGCGTGCAGCTTCACGGATAGAGCTTATTTGTTCAGCTTTAATAGCCTGTATAGCAAGTAGGATTCGACCCTCTTGATTACCATTTTTTTTGGCCGAAACAGTACGTTTTGGTGGCATGATGGGTGGTTGAAGATAAAAAGAACGCGGTCCTGACGCGATTTTTTTGGTTGGGTGGCCCACTCGCTTGGGAATCACGTTAACTAGTTAACTAACTATGGCCATCTTATACATTAGCAGGACATGTGGAATAAGTAGTATTTTTACAGCTTAAAAGTGAGAGAAGCATTCGAGTTATTCTGCGCTGAAAATTCACATTCGACCGTGACTCATGTCTTCAGAAACTTCAAGTTGGAGGTGAATTGGTAACTCACGGGCATTGGCTAGCCCCGTGGCGAGGTGTATAGCAACTTGAAGGAATACTCAAGTGCTGCAGAGTCTCCAGATGGTAGAGATTTTTTTTATTTTAAGTAGTGATATTTCATTTCTTCGTTCAGGGGTATATCGATCGTTAATGTACATAATCCGTGTTCAATACAACCGATGCAGACTGAGCAAAGGCTATACTATAATGGAAGTCCGTTTTGGTAATGTCCACGGCTCAGGACAAACCACCTCTCCCTCACTATAAGCCCAGAAGTAAACAATGATGCCGATGAGGTAGTATCCTGCAGGATCTGTTCCTTGATAGAGCAAAGCAGCAAATAGCGCGCTAAGAGGGTATATAACAAGTCGGACTTCGATGCTGCGATGTGGGAAGGTCCCGGCCAGCGGTTTCAACGGCCATTCCCATGCTAAGCCCACGATGCCCATTATGAGATTAAGTACTTGTAAAATGGGTAAGGGATCGGTCGCGTTATCGAGGTTTTTTGAAACAAAATCCCAGAAGACTTTGGGCCAGATGAAGCCTTCGATGGCACTGGCGATTTGATCTATAGAAGTGGTTGGTTAGCACTGAAGTTTGCCTTATGATAAGATGAATTCTGGTACATACAAGCTGAAGCAACCATTATTATAAGACGACCCCAATGGTTCTTGATGAGTCTGCCCATGTTGACGTATTATGGAATCACTCGACCAGCGAGGGATTCGATGTAGCGATGTGAAGTTGGATTACGGTAGTCGGTCGCAAAACGACTCCGTTGCGATAATCTCAGCTGCGGCCCAGATGGGTTAACAGGGCATGGAGGGTTGTTCAGAGAGTATATTGGATGAAGAGTGCAGCTTTGATGCAGACCAGGGATCTTCTAGTGCTATTGCACTGGCATGGTGGAAACCTTGGAATGATCTGGGGAATAAAGCAGGGAAAAAAAGAAGTACCCACGCAATATAATGCCGATTTAATTCGAGCGGGGGAAGGGCATCTAGATTTTTGTATTTAGCGACCACTGGCAACACACCGTATACTGCATAATCTGTGACCGTCAGAGACGCCCCTCTTTTTTTGCTTAGCGTTTAATCAGTCGTCATGGTGAATAGCGCATGATCCGAAATTGGATATCAGGATATGGGACAACTGGGCGCCAAAAGGTGACCGATGCACGTCTGGGTATCCGCTGTCTTCCCAAGTTCCTTTAGTATCGCCAAAAATGTACTTTCATAGTGACCCGCACGGATGCATTTAAGCGCTGTGAGCCAATCAATACCCTGGACAAGCCTGCATCCTTGACAATCCCTTTCTTTTTTCGATTCTTCAACACTGCGGAGACCGGTGTGATTGGGGGATGGAGGGATGTGACAAGCGGATCTTGCATGTTGACTTGAACCTATCAACGTTCGTACCTTCGAGACTTGGCGTGATAGAGATGCAGGTCGCGCATTCGAGGATGGAGTCTCATGCACAATTCGAATTGAATGGCTTCGCTTGATGGGATCCATTTTTATTTTTATTCTTTTTCTTCTCTCATTCCGAGTCTTGTTCCATGCGGGATCCTAGTAAATTGTGTGAAAAACAACTGTAGGTTTAGATAGATTTCCAATTTGACCCTATCAGAAGATCAGATGAGCCTAGGATCCTCAACATTTCAACTTCCTATGCAGATGCATGGGAAATCAATATTCCGTCCTTACCATGAGGGTTTCACACCCGTTTGCACAACCCAGATCACCGTCCGTGAGCAGGATTTGGGAGGACCGTGATGCCCAAAACGCAAAAATGTGATGGGATAAGGCCAAAAGTGGGTCAACTTGACTCCATTCCCGCCATAATCAAGTATAAGAGATAATGAATACGAGACAAATCACACTATTAACATTTCCTCTCCTCTCCCAAGGCATCCTCTTTTTTTCATTCAAGGGACTTTTCAACCGATGAAATCTATATTTGGGATTCAGACTAAAAGTCGGAGCGGCAAGTCCGAACCGAATGACATGCTTCACACCGACTCGGACTTAGTGTGTGATGAGAATGAAGCGCTTGCAGAAAGGTTGTGATAGGCCTACTTCATAGTAACGTTTGATCTTGGCTTCATTTGGCACTGACCAGTGGTGATCCTGATCGTGATCCTTGCACGGAGAGTTTCCCCCATTCTATGTGATGTTCATGTTATCCTAGTAATGTGGCGCTCTCCACTAAGAACGAACATAAGGCCCACGAGAGGCCCACGATTATCTTTTTTATTGAGATTTTGGACTCTGACTGGTGAGAACAGGGGATATTAATGAAAAAATACGTTCGTTACTTGATTTTCTTCAGTATTTTTTTCCACTTGGAGATCCATGATTTAAGATGCATATCGGTTAGGGAATGGACTTCTTCCATACTCCACGCTATCTTGATCCTGAAGGCCAAGCTATTCAAATGTTCGCGATTAAGAAAAAGTTAACTATTTTTAAATTCAAAGGATTTCGGAGACATTTAATCTTCTAAAAGTAATATTTGACGAGTTGAAAGTGCTAGAGCACCAGCCTTGGGTCCCCAATCACATCCTGGGCATCACTCACCTAGAAGGTTCATTTCTCCGTACTCTGTAATTAGAATCTCTCTCAAGTGCTAGAAATGCACAGACTTATCTCTAAAAATGTAAAAAAAATATAAATAAAAAATATACATACTAAGTTTAGTTTGGTCAATCCACTTTTGTCGACGTAATTATAGATCGGAGGACCCCCCTCTTCTTGAACCCCCCCTGCAGCTAAAACCACAACCCTGGGATTTCTGCACTTTTGACCATTTTGACCATTTTCGGTCTTGTCTTTATCCATTAACTTCACACGTCATGCCTGTATCGACTTTGCAGTTATCACATCGCACATCAACTCTCTAGACACTTTCACATCTTTTGTGGGGAGCAATTCTTTGCCGCTGCGTGAACCCTGTTCCAGCGCACCTTGTTCCGCTTCATTTCCACCAAGTTGGGGACTTGAAGCTATTCCCCAATAGCAGTGGAGTTAATCGACTTCACTCTGCTCAGGAAATCGGTCAGAATACCTAATCTAGAGGCGAGTTTGGCATTACGGATATTCGACAACGAATACGAATTTCATTCCTGGCCCGGGGCCAACAACCGGAGTTTCTGGGACGAGGTTAATGGAGAAGAAACATCACAAAAGGAAACTTCTCTTAATTCATCCCATATCACCCAAACCGTGATCGCAAAATCGAAAAAAAACAACAGGGAGAGAGTCCTCCAACGATTCAAAGTAGGGGCTCCCTATAATCGCTCTAGGTTGCTGGCCAACCTTCATTGCTCGTCACTCCTTTAATAATTGTTTTGCGTATCGTCGCTGGTCGACGACCTTCAAATTCTACGAGAGGATGGTTGTACAGAATCAGACATGGTTCCAAAGAGCCGACCTGACGCGGTCCAGAATCGCATTTTACTTGTTTTTCTGGGCGGCGCATTTTGGCCTTTTTGCGGCGGGATGGTACGTCTTTATGCTATTCCAGGTATCCGTTTGAGGATGCGAGACTAACATAACTGAGATAGGTACATACAGGCATCAGATAAGAGGTTAGCAGCCCTCAATGTGCTCAAATTCTCTGTCTGGATCTCCCGAGGCGCAGGCCTTGTACTTTCTGTAGACGCAACTTTGATTCTTCTTCCCATGTGTCGGAATCTTCTCCGATGGCTCCGACCTGGAATCCGGTGGCTGCCACTTGATGAATCTGCTTGGTTTCACCGTCAAGTAGCCTATGCGCTGTTATTTTTCACCTGCGTCCATGTGGCAGCTCATTATGTTAAGTAAGGCACCAAACTTGATACCCGAGATCCTAGTTCTGTGCTAATAACCGTTAGTTTCTACAATATTGAGAAGGACCAGATTCGTCCTGTACTTGCTGTTGAGCTCCACTACAAGACTGCAGCTGGTATCACAGGCCATGTGATGCTATTGTGCATGTTGCTCATATACACCACGGCCCATGCTCGAATTCGACAACAGGCCTTCGAGACTTTTTGGTATACTCACCACCTTTTCATTCCATTCATGCTGGCGCTATATACCCATGCCACTGGATGCTTTGTTCGAGACACTGCCGAACCATATTCCCCATTTGCAGGAGAGAAGTTCTGGAACCATTGCTTAGGCTATGAAGGGTGGAGGTGGGAACTCGTAGCAGGAGCACTCTACCTCTTTGAACGATTGTATCGTGAGATCAGAGCTAGACAAGAGACTGTGATTACCAAGGTCATCCGCCATCCGTATGGTATGTGAGCTCCCTGTATTCATCCCAGAGAACCATACTAACGTCAAATAGCCGCCATGGAAATTCAATTCCAAAAACCAAGCATGAGATACAAGGCTGGACAGTGGCTCTTCCTCCAAGTCCCCAATGTATCGACAACCCAATGGCATCCATTTACCATTACCTCTTGCCCCTTTGATCCCTACATCAGTGTTCACGTCCGCCAAGTTGGAGACTTCACTCGAGACCTCGGAGACGCCCTCGGTTGCGGTCCCGCCCAAGCCAAAGATCTAGAAGGTCTCGATCCGAACGGAATGTACGAAGTGGCCCTGCAAAACGGACAAACCATGCCAAAGATGCGCATCGACGGACCTTACGGTGCCCCCGCCGAAGACGTCTTCGAGAACGAAATCGCCGTCCTCATCGGAACCGGTATCGGTGTCACACCCTGGGCATCGATTCTGAAAAATATCTGGCATCTACGTTCAAGTCCAAACCCACCCCGTCGTCTCCGCCGTGTCGAGTTTATCTGGATTTGCAAGGATACCTCCTCGTTCGAATGGTTCCAGGCTCTTCTTTCTTCTCTGGAATCTCAATCTGCAAGTGCAGCCGCGTTTAATGACACCACTGAGTTCTTGCGAATTCATACATACTTGACGCAAAGACTTGATGCCGATACTGCTGCGAATATCTACTTGAATTCTGTTGGCCAGGCTCTTGATCCCTTAACTGAGCTGCGGAGTCAGACGAATTACGGTCGTCCGGATTTTAAGCGCTTGTTCAATGCCATGCGTAATGGGTTGCTCGATCAGACGTACATGAGTGGTTTCCAAAGTGTTTCTACAACTGAGATTGGAGTCTATTTCTGTGGACCTAATACTGCAGCCAGGCAAATTGATGATGCTGCCAAGTCTGCCTCGACGAAGGATGTTCGGTTCAAGTTCTGGAAGGAACACTTCTAGATATTTGTTTGTTATTTGTTTTTTTTTTCTTTTTCCCTTTCCCCTTCGACCTCTTGATACCTAGTAGTGGTGTTGTGAATCACATCGCGTATGACCTTATGAGTTGACGAGTCTCCCTTTGTTTTGTTTTTCTATTTTCCTTGTCTTTTTCTTTTCGTGTCTGGTTCGAGCCCATATCCCCCTGTTCATGAGCACTGGAGTATACATACGTTGGATCGGCCTTCTGTACTATAGTTGATGATACTTTAGGTGTTATCAAAAGCCAAATATAACTTGAGATTAACTTGCAACCTTAGTTGGATTGGAATAATGTTGGTATCTCTGAGTTCTAAGTATATTGTACATGAATGATATCCTGGCCCAGATTTCCCACTCTCCTGGACTCAGATTCACTGACCTCCGTATCAATATGCCACCCATCTGTGAAAGTCCACCTGGGCACGTTTTCCTTATTCCAGCAAATTGATCAGTGAGGTGATCAAAAATCCACCGAAGGGGCATCATGCATCTCTTGGTCGGCTTGGGCCTCATCGGCGGCTTGACGGATGACCTCATTTCTGATGTCCAGACGAAGCCGTAGTTGCCTATCACCAAGCACGAGGAGCAACTGTCGAAGCTCATCCACGCTCAGACCCGACGAGCCACGAAGTTTCTCAAAGCCGAACATGATCAGCTCCTTTGACCATGGACAAGCCTGTATGGCTCTTTGAAAGACGGTCTTGGTAGCCGTCATGTCTTTCACGTGGTCAAGTTCGTAAATCATGTATAGCTTCCAGATCGTAAGGTTCGCTCTAGCGCGACTATAAACTCCCGCGAGTGCTGTCTCAAATAGCGTCCGCACTCGCCATGACTCGCCACATCCACTGGACATTTCAAGCCAGATTGGCAGAAGAGTGTTTGAGATAGGTTCATTCAGAGAGAGAACATCTGTCAGCTTATACTGCTGCTCGGAGTCCTGCTGGAGGAGCTTGTCAACTCGTAATCGTTCGATTCGGAGCACACGGGATTCATTCCACATGCAGATGGTAGAAAACATCGTGTTGTGTCGGAATAACGCGATGCTTTCCTCGAGAAGCTCGCGGTATTCTGTCGGTTTCTCTGAGTTCATCTTTGGGCCATTCTTGATACGGTCCCATATCAGTCGTGCGCGAGCTTGGTGAAGAAGCTCTGTGGTCAATGCTTTCAAGCTCTCAAACTCGGAAGGCAGCTGCTCGACCTGCGAGACAGCATCGGTGTAGACATCAATAGCAGCCTTGAAAGGCCATTCTGTTAGGTAGTAGACCAAACCGAGGCAGTCGGTGTAAGCGACGTATGCCTGGCCATTTTTGGAGGCCAAAGCTTGACCTTGAAGCTCGCGAAGATGTTTTTGTGTTCGAAGAGTGGCAGTCGCACTGAAACTGGAGTTTATCTCTCCCTGCTGTGGAATCCCCGACATGTTGAATTTCTCAGCCCCCACATTGTGAAGGATATATGATGCTGCCGATTTTTCTCCTTGCTCAACATACTGCCAAGCCCAGGACTGCCATATGATGCTACGTTCAAGAGTTTCAGCAGGCGGCCAGGAGAAGCTATTTGACAGAGCATTTGACCATATTGCGAGGGCTTTGTCTCTGGAATTGGACCTGATTTCCATCATAGCCAATGCATTCCAGAGTCTCAAACTCGTCGGTCTCTCTTTCAGGGCAGTCTTTGCAAATTTCTTGGCGCTCTTGGGGGAATATGCGAACTCCAACGCTAGACAGTACTCAGTCAACTCTGCATTACTTGAATGGCGACTTATGAGTAGCTGCAAAGTTCGCTGAATCCATTCGCTTTGCGTGAACTCTACTCTTTTTGGCTGGAAAGAAGAGAACCAAAGCTCTGGGTGGGCGAACAGAGTATCGGTGTTGTGCAAAAAGTTCCGAAGAGGATACATGAATGGCAGTGTTGGCTTCGGCGCTTCTCCGGCCTGAAGGGTATCTAGATGAGGGGACATCCAGGACTCAAGGTTAAAATGACGATCCTCAACCAACTCATTGCGCACAAAGCTATCCCCACTCCATAATCGTGCCGTTGGGATGTTGCTCGAATTTGTTAAAATTGGTAGCTGACAGAAGCACAGGAAAGCATTGATCAAGCTATCCAGCTGGCAGTCATCGAATAAGCGCAAGACCTCGCGGACATCAGAGTAAAGAACGATGTTATATGGGTCATCGAAAGGTGGAGTGGTTCCGTCCAGGCTGCGGGATGGCATTTGCAACTTGTCCATTCGCTCCCTCTCGGATTCGATCCAGGATTCCAAAAGCGACGTGTCGTTGATATGAGAAGAGTACTCAATGGTTACAGGATCCACATCAGAATTAGTGCTGCTCTCCCAACCCTTTGCGCCTATTTCGCCAATCCGAATTGTTTCCGACTCCCAGAAATCGTTGAATAAACTCAATGCGTCGTCCACATTTTCGACGGACTCTGGCTTGAAGTAAGAGAATTCGAAGAGTGCCTGCCAGAGACCGACCGCGAGTTCATTGTAACCCGCATCGCGATAGAGAATCGTCAAACGAAGGAAAACATAGACTTGTGCCAGAGAATTGCGAGTGTCTTCCGAGCGCGCAGATGAGATAATTCGCAGTGACTCCATGTGGGCAGCTATGCACTGATGGAGGATAAAATTTGGCGAGTCGGCTTGGAAAAAGTCGAGGTATTTCACCCAAAGACCGATGAACCCAGGATTTTCACGCAGAGTAGCTTTCCATTGATCTAACACCTTGCGTCGATCCCATATTTGCGCTCCCACCTGTAATCTACCCAGGAGAAGACAGTCTTTTTGCGAACTTTTGCCGACCTTTCGAAGGGCCTTTTCATAAATGAAAAGTTTTTTGTCGGAAAGGTTGCATTGCTCGGCTTGTGTGAGGTTGTGAGACTCATCATGCGACCCAGGAATCAATACATCTTGATGATCAATAAACCTGAGCCATGCAGAAACGTCTTCAGGGTTTTCTTCAGCTGCTCTCGAGAGGGCGGCATCGCGAACTCGTTCTTCGGCTTCGGGGTCAATGACGTGTGATTGATCGGTATCTGCGGAAGGATCTAACGCAATGCATGAATATTTAGTAGTTGGTCAATGTGACGTAAAAATAATTCATTCGAAGTTGAAATTAGGGTGTGGAAGGCTTACCTATGTCATCTGTATCAAAGGAAACGAAGTCTGCTGTTGCGTCCAGATGATCAAAATGTGTTCGATTGAAAAGCTGAGAAGACCAGTGATTTTGATTTGAAAATAGGCTATCTCGCATCGTTTCCACGATGGAAGGTATTAATGATTCTTTCCGATCATTTCTCTGGGCGATTCCGATTTCACGAGTATCGCGTGTAGCATATAACTCATCTCTTTCTGGGCCCTTAAACACCGAGTCTGTGGCCATAGTCGGGCGCAGGACAACATAGTCTCCTCTCGACTCATTCCGATCTATCCTGTGTGTGCTCCCGAGGCCGAGTACATAGCCTGCGCCAAAGAGCGAGTAATTTGGAACATTCCACCGTTTTTTTCTGCCATATTTGTGAATATCCGGGTCGCCTACCAGGTCGATCACGAAGAGACTGTCTGTTGAAGAGTCCGCCTGAGATACATGGTCGGGCCCTGTGAGACCATCTTTCGATTCCAATTCAAATCGGCTGGTAGCATGCGTTGAACCATCTAAGCTACTCGACCCATACACACTGGGTGCACGTAATGCGCCGGTTTTATGTGTATACCGTTCGGGAGAGGCACTTCGCCTATTTTTTGAGTATTCAGAAGGTGGATATGGCTCGGCAGGTGTACGATGCTCGCGACGCCGGGTTTGTTCTCGCGACTGGCGACTACTTTCGGGTTGTTCGTGGCGACGATGACGTGAACTGGAGTGCCGATCAGAGGGTTTTTCGTTGTGACTTCTATAAGAGCGCCGCGGTGAAGTTGATCGAGCATCCCGACTTCGACGCCTGGAGCTCCGAGATTCCGGCTCGCGATGATAATCACGTTCACGGGTACGTTCACGAGTACTGCGATGTCTGTTCGAGGAGGAGGGCTCTGCTTTATCCGAGGTTCCTGGAGGTAGCTTGAAGCTACCAAATTTGGGGACGGCAGACTCGCCCTTATTCGCATCATCAGCAGGCATCATACGAAGCCGAAAGAAAACCAGGATTTACCTTTGAACTGGACTGATCCATCGTCGAGGAGCTTTGAGATGTTGTTATCGCGTTATCAATATGGAAAAAGCGGCAGAACGCTAACGCAAATATAGAAGGCGGTGGGTGGGGATCTGCGATAAAGAAAAAAAAGTTGCGACGGGATGGAGAGACCTGAATGCGTGATACTCCCCGCCTCGCAACACCACATCCTAGCTGATCTTCAGAGATGGGCTGTCGTGATTTTGCCTAAATAACACAAATCAATTCTGCAACATGGCTTCGTCTCTCGCTGCGCAGCTGTCGCAGATTGCAGCGAAATCGACCCACGAGCTCGATCTAAAAACCCAGCGAATCGCCCATTCTCAGTCATTGATCTTCGATTACAAGGTTGCTGGATCTCAGGATTTCGATACCGTCTATGATATCTGTTATGAAGGCTTCCGCGAGCTTTGCTCTTTGGATGGCCGATTCGAGGAGTTCGAGCGCACAATCTTCAGCCAACAGAGCAAGGCCGAAGACCGGAAGGAGATGAATGCTGCTCAAAATAAAGAGCTGGATGCGGCAATTGAAGCCTTCCTGTCGCTTGTTGGAGGAAGATTGCAGCTGAGCCCTGCAGTCAAAGCTGTTGATTGGCTGGTGAGAAGGTTCAGGTATGGATTTCCCCATTTCAAGATACGTTGGAGATGCCGGGGAGGCCAAAGCTAATCATGATCTCCTCTGTAGATCGCATGAATACAATTCGGAATATATGATCTTGACATTCCTTCCCTACCATACGACTCCGCTTTTCTTGAACCTGCTTGCGATCCTGCCCACCAACCTCACGCCTACGTTCAAAGTGCTCTACCCTTATAAGACTGGCTCAATCAACCCCCCCACGACACCCGATCGTCCACAGCGCCACCACAAACAAGCCATTCTTCTTGGCCTTGAATAACTATGTGTTGAACACCTGTCGACAAGGCGCGCATAGCCACTCGTTACTCTCCTTCTGGGCGGGTATCATCACCGAAGCAGTCGCTGGGATGTTGGAGGCGGCGCGCTCAGGTCGCCGCGAGGCAGAGAAGCAAAAGCACGAAGATATCATTCTTCGGGTGCTTCCAGTACTCAGTACTGCTTTTGCAATGAAGAAGGTGCCAGAGCTAATTATCAGTTGTTACATGATTTCTGTTGTGTTAGCTCAGAAGGCTTCTCTTGCAGATGATGTTCTGGATGGTCTCATGGAGAGTGTGGTGACCTCTTGGAATGAAGAAACCATGAGCTCCGGCTTAATCTGTTTGGCAGTTCTTGCCCAGCAGAAGCCGTCCGCCGCTCTGCCCCAGAGGGTATTCAAGGCTATCATTCGCATTGAGCGCCCCTTGCACCAACTCGCAGAGATTGCAACCCAATACAGCACATCGAAGCTTCTGCTTGGGCTTGTTGCTGGCTGCGTCGAGCAAATGAATGAGCAGAAGAACAACTCATATCTTACTCTCTTATCCTCCATTTTCGAGACCAATGCCTTCCAGGAGGAGGATGTGAAGACAGCCATCACTCTGGTTCTCAAGGCCGCAAGTAACTCTGAAAATACTTGCGATATGTCTTTGGAAAGCCAAACACAGCTTGCCGAGCTTGTTCAGAGTTTCAGCCGAGCTGGCTCTCTTCAGTCTATCTTCCAAAATGTGGTGGCCGAATCATCTCTTAACATTCCGGCATTGGAACACAACCTGCAAACCGTTATTGAGGCTCCTATTCAGCCTCAACTTATTGAGGACGTGGAGATGGAAGATGTTGATTATCAAGATGTGGACCACTTCACACCTGCTCTTGAGTCTCTTGCCAAGTCTCCTCGATTCCCTGCCTCGTTCCTTAGCAAGCAGTATATCCCCGAATTCAACAACCTGGTTCAAGTATTTGCCTTGGGTGTTGACTCCAAAGCCAAAATTGCTCAATTTGTTGAGCTCCCAATTTTGAGCAAAACTGACGCTGCTAGTGCGCCACAATTCCTGTCGTTCTTCATCCGTGTCGCTTCAGGACATTACCCCATGGGAACGAAGATTGCCGCTCTAAACATCATTACTTCTGTGCTCTCATCAGTAGATGGTGATTTCGATCCTCAGGCTTTGTTGCCATTCCTGCTTGTGGCTCTTGCGGATCCGTCAGAGCGAATCCGACGTGAAGTTACGGGCGTTCTGGCACTTATCGCCTCCATTTACAAGAAGAACAAGAAGTCTGATGAGGGCTCCAGCAAGCCCTGGGCTCATGACCAAATTTATGGCAAAGGAAAGATCTCGAGCAGTGTCTCATGGTTATCAAGCCGAGATGCCCTCAAGGTTCTGGATCGTGCCTTGCTCCCTGGCCTCGAGGAATACATCCTGGATTCGGCCCATATCGCGAAGGTGCTTGATGCCACTATTCGAGGATCCGCACTATCAGAAGACTCCGGTGCTTCGGAGTTGAAGAAGTCCCTTCGTAGCAGCATCTTCGCTTTCCTCGCCTCACACACAAACCAGATGCCAGTTTATGGATCTAAGTTTGGCTTGTTGCGACTCCTCAACCGTATTAAGAAGGTTCCCGGAACTACTCGGGCCAAGGACCTTATGCCCTTGCTTCAAAACTGGCGTAATCTGAACGAAAAGGAGGTACAGGAAATCTGTGCGGCAGAGCATCTATCCGCTTCTGATGCCGAACAAGACGTCGTGGCTATCGTTACCGCAAAGGACAGCGATGCCATCGACATTTTGTTGTCTAGCGTTAGTCCTGAATCCGTGCGCTCCTCTTTCGTTGCTGCTGGATTTTCTCGAATGAAGGAAGTCTGGGCCAAGATCTCCGAGGAGGTCCAATTGCCTGCTGCTGAGAAACTCTTGGATATCTCCCTGGGTCTTTCGGACAACACAACCTTGGCAGACAGCTGCCGCGATGTCCTTCGCAGCGTTGAGCTCTCAGGTCCTATCCTGATGAACTTCGTTAACAAGATCCCTGTTTCCTTGACCAACATTGAAAGCCTTGGTCCTGCTCCCAAGAGAAGACGCACTAGCCAGAGCAACATGATTGCCATGACTGTGAAGGATGAGGCCGAATTCAGCAAGCTTATGGACAAAATGACCTTTATTCTGGAGGTCGTGGATAGCTCCAGCCCCGACTCTTACCCCGAACTTGCGCCCGGTCTATTTGAAACCCTTGCTGCTCTTCATCACTTCAAGTCTCAGATCCAATCTGGCATGAGCTACCTCTTGAGTCTGACATTGGGCAGCTTGTTGGCCATTGTCAACAAGTCAAAGGGCGCCGCTAAGGCCCTGTTTGACACCTCTGCTATCCGCGCTGATCTGGTTGTGGACTGTGTACGAACAACAGAAAGCCCACAAGTCCAAAACGCTGCTCTTCTTCTCGTTGCCGGACTCTCCGTGATTGCGCCTGAGCTTGTCCTTCACAGTGTCATGCCTATCTTCACTTTCATGGGATCTAGTGTGCTGCGCAAGGATGATGACTATTCCGTTTCGGTCATTGATCAAACCATTGACCATGTGGTCCCAGCTCTCATTCAGTCTCTTCGTAGCCAGAAGCGTGATGTCGTGTCTGGTACTTCAGAGTTGTTGCTCAGCTTCACTGCTGCGTTCGAGCACATTCCCTCCCACCGTCGTCTCCGTCTCTTCCACGCTCTCATTACCAAGCTCGGTGCTCAAGATTTCTTGTTCGCTGTCTTGGCTATGCTTGCAAACCGTTACGCCACTGACAAGGATGTTCTTACTCTGATGACTGGAATTGTCTCGGATACCGCCCCCGTTGTCGAGCTCACATCCTACAGCAAGTACCTCAACCTCGTTATCGATGCCTTCCAGGCCAAGCCTGGTATCTCTCAAGTTCTCCTCGGAATCGGCAGCGACGATGGCCGTGATCCTCAGAAGGTTGCTGTCGATTTGCTGCGTGATCTTGCTCACCTGCTCAAGCATTCTACTCTCAAGTCGAAGCTTGAGGCTGCTTTCGAGAACGATGATGATCATGCGGCTCAAGTTCGCGCTTGCTTCTCTCGCGTTCTTGGCCAGGTCTTGAACATTGGCGAATCAGTGCAAAGCATGAAGCCTGTCAGCCAGGCATGTGGCGAACTCCTCGGCGCTCTGTTCGGTACTCTTTGCCTTGTCGACTTCTTGGACACAATTGAAGTCTTGCTTGAAGATCCCAATGATGATCTTCGACGCAAGGTCCTTCGCCTGTTGGAGAACCGCCTGCGCCAGAACCCCGAACGTGACAGCGAGTCTCAAATCCGCGTCCTTGACTTCTTGCCTACATTGGTTAAGATTGTGGAATCATCGCCCGATGCCATGCTTAAGCACGCTGCTGTCGCTTGTATCGATCGTATTACCGAGAAATACGGTCGCAAGGACCCGTCAAAGGTCATCACTGCTGCCAAGATTGTTGCCAGCACCTCCTGCCTTGGCTGTGATGATGAGCGCATTCGTATTATGGGCACCCTCTGCTTGGCCTCTATGGCTGAAGTTTTGGGCCAAGCCATGATCCCCGCGCTCCCAGAAACTCTCAAGCAGTCTGTCGGCCTTCTGGAGCTGAGCTTGACCCCTGGAAAGGAGAACTCACGTCTGCACGATGCCGTTTTCCAACTCTTCTCATCCCTTCTCAGTAACCTCCCCTTCATGATTTCAGCAGCCAATTTGGACAAGATTCTTCTCTTGTCTTTCAAGTCCAGCAATGCCAAGCTCGAGGAATCTTGTGAGGATAGTCGCCAAGAAACTCTCCATTTGATGGCAGCACGCAAGATGGATCTCGCAGCCACTCTGGGTGCCATCAACCGTAACTGGGAGCATGCTGTGAAGGCTGGTCCTACTGCCACAAACGAGGTCTTGCAGGTGCTCAGCCTCGCTGTTGAGAAGAACGCCAAGTCTACTGTCTCCGCCAACATTAGTGTGCTTACCACTATCCTCTTCAAGGCATTTGACTTGCGACGCGACCAAACAGCTCTGGGAGAGAAGGCTCGATTCGACGCAGACGACTTGGACGAGGCTGAGACTGGTCTGAATGATGTGACAATTAAGATGATCTACAAGCTTAATGACAGCACTTTCCGACCGCTCTTCACCAAACTGGTGGAATGGGCTACAACCGATGCTTCCAAGAAGGACGAACAGAGTCAGCTCGCCCGCCTCACCACTTTCTACAAGTTCCTTCAGGTGTTCTTCGGCACCCTCCAGGTATGTAATTCATGTTTTCGTCAATTCAATTGTCATCAATCTAACCATATTTTAGTCAATTGTCACTGGTTACTCCAGTTATATTATGGAGAAGACTATCGAGATCTTGGGCACAGCTGGTCCTGCCAAGGCTACCAAGTCACTTTGGCTGGCAACTCTCCGTACCCTGCGCAATTCATTCGAGCATGACCAAGATGGTACGTCCTTATTCCCCGCTATTCACTGAATTTCAATGCTAATTGATATTAGAATTCTGGCAATCACCTTCTCACCTGAACGCCATCTCCGTTCCCCTTATTTCTCAGCTGGCCTATGCCACTACTTCCAAGTCATTGACCCTCGTTGTCGAAGAAGTTGTGCCAGCTATCACTGAGCTTGCTATCGCAGCTGACTCGACTGATAACCACAAGGAGCTCAATGTCGCCTTGATGAGATATCTCCGTCCCTCAACCGCTCCGAATGCCAAGTCGGCTGGTGGCGACAACCCGCTCACTCGCCTTGCTGCTCTGAAGGCTGAAATGGCCCTCACCGAGCAGCTCGGTGAAGAATGGCTTGCTCTTCTGCCGGAGATGCTACCATACATTAGTGAGCTTATGGAAGATGAGGACGAGAGTGTTGAGCGGGAAGTGCGGAAGTGGGTTAAGCAGATCGAGGGTGTTCTGGGTGAACGACTGGATGATATGCTGACCTAGACGGTCTAATGGTGGTGACCATGTACAAAAATCGCATTTTTCTGGCGTTTGTAAAGATAGACCCTTCCAAGGTCTTGCAGTTTATGACCTGCACAAAAAGCATTCTTGACATAAATTTCAATGATATTTCTGAATGACTATATACGTTTCAATTTTCAACGAAAATCACTCTCTTCACGCAGTATGCTTTAGTTATCCGGTACTGGATGCGCGTCAGCATCCACACCTGCTTGCCACCTGTACTTGGCTGCCGGGTGATCGGCCGGGGGACCCGATTCTCCAGGCTTCAAGTACAAATTCTCTCGGTAAGTTCCCTTTGGTACTGCATAATCATCCCAGAATAAACCTCGGCGGCGAAGTTCAGGGATCAGCAAATCAATGATGTCTTTGAATGAGCCCGGCTTGACAGCATATGCCTTTGGTATTTGTTAGCATCTTGCCTTTTTTTGTTTCAAAGGAGAAATATTACCAGGTTAAACCCATCCACGTCAGCTTCCTCAACCCAACGTTCCATGCTATCAGCAATCTGGGTAGGTGTACCAACAGGAGTGGCACCAAGTCCACCGACAGTAATATGCTCGCCGACGGTTGTCTTGGTCCATTGAGCAACTTCAGGAGTCGCCTTCGACCAGCCTTCAACTGCGGATCTACTCGAAATTAGTCATTTGCAATGTATCGAAGTAGTTCTCAATATCAACATACCGAATAGCATTACTCTCAACATGACGCAACTCCTCATCATCACCATACTTATCAAGATCAATACCAGTCCACCCTCCAAAGAGTGCCAAAGCTCCATCAATTGAGCCCAAGCTGCGATAATACTTGAACTTCTCGAGAGCTTCTTCTTCTGTCCGACCAATAACAGGACAAAGCAAGGCTAGAAATTTGATACTCTGAGGATCGCGTCCAAATTCAGACTTCGCGAGCTGTCGAATCTCCGCGACGTTCTTAGCAACGACAGAGGGGCTGTGACCAGCTACGAAAATGGCCTCGGCATGTTGAGCTGCAAAGGTCTTCCCGGCCTTAGAAGTACCCGCTTGAAGAATAACTGGTGTGCGTTGTGGGCTTGGTTGAGTGAGGTGAGGTCCTGGAACATTGAAGTACTTCCCGTTGTGGTTGATCTGACGCACACGCGATGGCTCTGTGTAGACTCCACGCTCACGATCTAAGACCACGGCATCTTGACGCCAGGATGACTCCCAAAGTTTGTATGTGACTTTGATATATTCTTCTGCGACTGCGTATCGGTCGTCATGCTGTTTTTCCAGTTCAGCCGAGTGTCGTGTTGATGGACCAGCTTGAAGAACTTACGTGTGGCTGTTCAGCCTGGCCCATATTACGGGCAGCTGAATCAAGATATCCGGTCACAACCTGAGATCTCGTTAGTTCTTCCATTTTCCTGGTTTTTTTTTCTCCTATGCTGAGACGCGTCACTCACATTCCACCCCAGTCTGCAATTCAAAGCATATCAGCATCTTTCCACAGTCCTTGCACGCGGAGGTACATACCGTCCTTTGGTGAGATGGTCTACAGTTGAAAGTCGGCGAGCCAGATGATAAGGCTGTTCATATGTTGTCGTTACGGTAACTCCAAAGCCGATACTCTTCGTCGCTGCCGCCATAGCTGGAACAACCGCCAATGGCTCATTAACCGGCCATTGAGCTCCTGATACAACTGCAGGATCCAGGTTTCTAGGCCCTTTATACACATCGTATCCTCCTGGAGTTTGTGTGTGAGTATTTTTTCTGCTAACTACCCGTTCATGATCGATTTACTAACCAAGAACATCAGCGATGAAAATGCCGTGGAACTTGGCTGACTCTAATAATTGAGCAAGTTCAATCCAGTGGTCGATATCATTGAATCGATGCGACTCATCTTCTGGGTGACGCCAAAGTCCAGGCGATTGGTGCCCGCTGCCTGTATACAGAGTTAGCTCTATAGCAGAGTTTTGTGGAGTCATATTTCAAAATTCAACTTACACATCTCGACAAATGCATTGAGAATCAATGATTTGCGAGGCTTTTCACCACTGGCAAGATTGGTTTCCTCAGACATCTTTCTAATTTTCAACGTTCAAATTTGAGAGTGAGATGGCGAGATAACAGTTCAACGTCGGCCAACCTATTCGACTTATATTTTCGCTTGAGGATATTCCACTTGTTCGGAGACTTGGATTCACTCAAATTTGTATTGCATCAGATCACCGAGCACATCATTGCATCCCCGCGTGCGTCACTCCATCAATCGTATACTATAGCATCAAAGTGGGCCGGGATGGCGCGATGCGGGAGATTCTGAGGGGTACGAAATGGAACAGGGACCAAATTGACTGGTTCAATTTAGATTAGACTCATGCAGGCTGGCCTCTTAGGATCAATTATTGCTCCTTTTTTGGTACTGCTGATTTATTTCTCTCGCCCGAGAGATTTAGGTCTTGGAGGCTACACTGATGCCCTGAATATGCTGTGACAAACTTTGGAACGCAATCATGTCTTGGATCCATTAATTGATTTCGCCAATCACGTTTACGAGAATCATTGGAATAAGCCAATAATACAAATCTAAATGCGCACCTCTTTCTTTCTTAGCCGCTCGAACCCGATCGTTAAATCATATGCTTTTATGGAGTACAGTGGTTGACTTTACTGCTTGCGTTCAACCTCGGGTAGCTAGGTCTTCAACTTGGACTCTAAAGAACTGATGATTTTATGATGTAAAATAGAAACTACAGTCCTACGCGCGTGCGACATTCTCAAAGAATTGGAGGATTTACTCTAATCAAATGTTCCCGTGGCACATTTTTCAGATATTCCCAGTACCAATGTGTCGACCAAACTTTAACCTTGGAAACGATCGACCTTCGAGTTCTTTGGTGCCAGCTTTGATCTCTCAAAGCACCTCATATCAGGCATTTATCAAGTCATTGCTGATCCGAACCTATAGTCCACTCACATCGCCCCGATGCTCTGGTATCATAGATTCGGGATCGCGCACATCGTATCCGGGAAACACTATCCATTATGCAATGCATCTATCACATTTAAACACATATCAGTCCTAGCTTCCCACTTTATTGGGAGCATATAGGAATAACACCCATTCTCTTCGTTGGTTGTGGTATCCTCGTACATTTGTGTGAGCTTGGAGTCAATCTAGTGTTCGGTCTCATAATCTTACGTCAACACTGGTATTCATCCATGCCTGCTTGGAAATAGAATCTACCCAACTTTGGAAAATATCTATCCAGGCAGTGCACAAAACGAGTGTTCAGCCACCTCTTTCCCAAGCGGTCGGCTATGTCGTTGTCCTCGTTGTAGGTGTTATTATAGCGTTAGGTAGGCGGACCTGCATTTTTGTCTTGAGATTTTGAATCCTCCCTTACTCACATGCAGCTAGTCATGATGTTAATCACAAAGATTCTCAAGAAAACAACTGGTGAAGATAATAAGAAGACAGAAATGTATGACCTTGTCTATGGCTTTCAGAATAGAGGATATTGATACATTAACCAGGTTTATGACGGCTAATCGAACGGTCCGAACTGGACTAACAGCATCAGCTGTTATCTCTGTAAGCCATATCGACCCTTTCACTCCACAATATTCGTTCTAATAGCATATCCAGTCCTGGCTATGGTCAACTGCCCTCCTTGGCTCATCGTATGTGGGCTATGACTATGGTGTTGCCGGACCATTTTGGTTCGCTGCGGGTTGTAGTCCAATGATTGTTTTCTTTTCTCTTTTGGGAATTTCTTGCAAGAGGAAGATTCCGGAGGCTCATACCTCCCTTGAAGTGGTCAGAATCCGCTATGGTATGTCCTTGCCTCTTCTTGATTTTACACTCAAATACTAAAATCAGTCCTTGATTCCTCCAGGGCGAGCCGCTCATATCGTCTTCATTATCCTTTGCCTGATCAACAACATCTTTGCATGTGCTAACATGCTGCTCGGTGCTGCTGCTGTCATCACTGCGATGTATGTCATTCAATAAACGCCTGGAGAATAATGGCTTACAAATTCAGGTCCGGCATGCATATCATAGCAGCGACTTTCTTACTACCAGTTGGAGTCACAGTATACACATTTGTTGGAGGTATCAAGGCAACGTCAGCTTCCATCCAAGTGAACGATATGAAAATATAACTGACGTCTAGTAGCTTTTTGACTGACTATTTTCATACTGCAACAATTCTGATCATCGCCTGCTACTTCACTGCGAAGGCTTTCTCTGATGACCAGGTTGGCTCTATTGGCAACTTATATGATCTTCTCAGAGCCGCGGCTGAGCGACACCCTGTGTCTGGAAATCAATCTGGAACTTATCTGACCATGACATCAAAGAGTGTAAGATTTTCACGTCTTTTATGGCATTCAGCTCCATTCTTAACTCTCTTTAGGGAATTCTGTTTGGGATTTTGCACACACTGGGCAACTTTGGCCTTGTCATCGTGAGTTACTGTAAGCCCCTCCATTGCCCGGGCACGCATCTGACACTCAGTAGATGGACACGAGCTACTTCATCAAAGCATTCTCGGCCTCCCCTGCAGCGGTGGTTCCTGGATACACCATTGGTGGCATTGCATATTTTGCGATCCCATGGGCCTTGGGAACGGTGATGAGCTCCGTCGCTCTAGGACTCGAGAATCAACCGAATTTCCCTACATATCCTCGGGTAGGTCTTCTCTCGGCGATACCGATGAGTTATTTTTTCCATTCTAATCACTTTGTAGAGAATGTCAACATCTGAGGTGAGTAATGGACTTGTACTGCCATATGCTGCAATGACAATTGCAGGAAAGGGTGGTGCGGCAGCCTCTCTTCTTATCACCTTTATGGCCTGCACATCCACTCTATCAGCCCAAGTGATTGCAGTCAGCTCAATTCTGAGCTTTGACGTATATCGCGAATATTTCAAGAAATCTGCGATCGACCGAGATTTAATCCGGTCTAGTCATTTTGGGGTGATCTTCTTTGCGGCATTTTCTGCTGGCTTCAGCACAATGCTCCATTATGCTGGTATTGACCTTGGATGGACGCTGTACATGCTGGGTAAGTTGAAGGAATCCACTAGATTGGTATTAGACTATACTAACAATGCACTCGTTGTAGGAGTCGTCACTTGTCCTGGCATTTTCCCAATGATCTTCACCATTCTTTGGCGTAATCAAAGCAAGGCAGCCGCCATTATATCCCCAATTTTAGGAATGGCCACTGGAGTGGCAGTATGGCTCGGGACAGCCTCTCACTTCGGTGGCGAAGTGACAGTTGCAACAACTGGTGATGTCCTTCCTTGCATGTACGGCACAGTGGCATCTTGTTTTTCACCTATCATATACTCGGTTCTCATCACTCTGGTCAAGCCTCAGCACTATGACTGGAATGATTTCAAGAAAGAAAAGTTGGCACTTGAGAAGCTCGAGAATGACTTGACCACGGCTCATCATCACGAGACGCCGACTGGAGCTGATGACAGTGGGCTTGAGGATGGCGGCGTGCGAAATGTGACACTTGATGCCAATGAGCTTAAAAGATGGGGCCGAATCGCCGCGTTCTGGTCTATTGCCACTTTCTTGGGTCATTGGGTCTTGTGGCCTTTGCCAATCTATGGATCTCGTTACGTTTTTGGGAAGAAGGCAAGTCTATGCACATATGAATGATATTTAACTCATTTATTATGATCGTAGCTAATCTTTGAATATAGTTTTTTGTTGCATGGGTCGTAATCGGCATAATTTGGCTTTGGGGCACTATGCTTATTGCTATTTTTTATCCACTGCTTGATGGTGGATTCCAGCAGATTCATCAGGTCTACCAAGGTCTTACTCACCGCAAGACTACTCATGAGTCTCATAGTATTTCCAGATTCAAGGAAAGTGATGCGACCACCTCTCCATCTACCGCGTCAATCAGCGATAAGCTTGCCGAAAATAAAGAATGAGAGAAATTAATCTGGACTCCTACTCCAGTCTGGTCTACTAGAAAGCTCAGGGGTTTGTCTTACGGTTCTGAACAGTTTGTATAATTGAATAATTGATATTATACCGTATAATAAAAAAGCTTCCCAATGTATCTTATGGGCTGAAGTTTGGAATCAATAATAGACCTTCCTAGCAAAGGAAAGACCCTCATGACCATATGAACGCTAGTATATGACTTGAAACCCTAGCAGGACCTTCAAGGTTCCTCAAGACTTTTGTGGATATCAAGTCGGGCACTCATGCATCTGATTCTTGCATTGCTTGAAACTAATGACTTAACGGAACCAGTTTCGCAAAATGTCACTCGAACCGGAGATCTTCATATTCAATCGACTCAATTGATCGACACTCATCATGGGGGCAAAAACTGGCTCAACCCTGCAGAAGGAAATAAGCATGATTGCTGCTATAATCCCTCTTGAGCTCATCTTAACATGAGAGCATAATATCAGATCAATGTATGGCTCGAAACTCAAAACAAAGACACCTCGAGGTAGAATAAAATGAGAATTTTTCTTATGAGCGGGACTTGGACCTTGCATCCATCTCTTCATTTGGCAGGAGACAAGATTATCAATGTTGATCAGTACAGTCTCGAGCCATTGCCCACCAATTGTAGTGAAGTGGTCCCTGAAAGCGGAGTATGCCGAGGAGCTTGAAGGTTGTCAGCCGCAACGCTGCGAGGCTGCAAGGCTATACCCCACTATACTAGTATGGGGAGACTCAAAGATTGGCTAAATGCAATATTAGAATGAGAAAGCGAATTCGGCTCTAGTTTTAGAATCTCGGTACTGAGATAATGTTTTGATCCAGCTGTCGCGACTCAAACCTTGGAAATGTTTATCCTTAAGATTAATCCGCTCTCGATTCGCCCTCTCACAACATGTCTCCTCATGGGTTAAATTCCTTGTTTATACTTCCTTTATTAAAATTGACAAATGCAATCGCGTTTCCAACGCCCACCGCGACAGCCATCTCAAATGAAGTCGAATCTACCATCCCGGAGCCGACCCCTGGCATCGATATCAACACCATAACTGCCCTCCAGCGTCGAGGTACTACCTCAGGTTCAGACACACACAGAACCCAAATACTATGCCTCCTATGAATATACCACGAACTCATTTTTGAGCGGACAATCCAGCGTATGCGGTTGGATCGATGACATATTAGGAAAAGAGTGCGATCAACCCAGGATTCATGAAGCACAAGCTGACTTTGTTCTGTGTAGATGAGATTGTGTGTCCAGAGAGCAGCAGCTGTGTCTGCCACAACTCGAACACAAACTTTCCTGGTATGGCAGGCTGTTGCTCAGGCTCGGACTGTCAATTCGAAACAACCTGCGTCAATTACTCCCAAATAACGGCCAGTCCGGACGCCTTCAGCGAATACAAAGCATTAACCATGTATTGCGATGACCCTTCCAGTCCTGCCTGTGTGACATGGACATTCCCCACAATCGATGTTACGGATTTTGGATGCGATACTAGTAGGAGTATCGACCGTGTGTATACGTGGACAACGCCCTACTGGGTCACCGGCACCGTGGAAGTAATCGAATTGGTATACATGGCCACTGTCAATGATGACATTGTGAGTGACTATGAGGCCAGTTACTCTTTGTCAACATCGGCGACAAAAGGAGGAGTTTCTGCTGTTCGTGTCAGCTCAAATAGTGCTACTGCGACCGCCGGTAGTCACCACAGCTCTGGCTCCTCGTCCTCATTTTCATCAACAGGTGCAATCGCTGGAGGTATTGTTGGAGGTATAGTCGGAGCAGCTGCCATAGGTGCTGCTGCTTTCTTCTTTTGCCTTCGGAAGAGGAAGAACCGGGTCGATGCTTCTGGCGATCTGGATTCCCGTGGACTGGAGGGATACCACACTGTCTCAGAGAATCAAATCTGTGCGTGGGAAATGCAGCCTGCAAATTAACTGGAGAGTAGTGAGCGTAAGGTTGCTGAGGTTTTGGGAAGTGATCCCTCCGACCGGGCCCACGAAATGGACTCTACTGCTACATCTCGAAGTTTTGTTGCTGAGCTACCTGCCGATTATACCCACAACTTGAAGGGTACTGACTATGATCCGAAACCTTGATTCAACTGGTCGAAAGGATTCTTTTTCTTCTCAGAGAATTATCGTGGCTTGTCTTTTTTTTCTTATTCATTGAACATATGTCGACATGCATTAGAACTAGGAGTCTTGAATGGATGTGCATAGCTGGATATTGTTTCCGGATGACTTGGACCAATAAAATAGTAATTAATACAGAACTCGAACGAGATGCAATTAAAATCAACTTTGACGTGCCAGAAATATGCAAAATCCTCGCGAAGTTTACGAATTTGAAGTACCAATAACAGAAGTATTGGTATGAATCTTAAATGCATGGCAAATCTAAGCGAGTGATAATCTACCGAGTAAATGCTATCATCATCAAGGGAGTACGAACAATTTGGACTCCCAGTCATCATCATGATGTTAGTAAAATATTCGTCAAATGCCTCTCTCAGGCTGGCGCGTTCTGCTGAGACATCCACATTCCATAATGATCATATGAATGATAACAGCACATCCAGACTGAGTTTAGCTCCCTGACATTCCATTCTTCATGTTATCGTATACGGAAGCCGGGTAGGATAGCTGGTTCTGGAATTGCCGCAAAGCACCAGTACCTCCAAATGTGTTCACAACCTGTTCGCTCATAGAGTCAGTGGTTGTAAAATAGAATCCTCGGGGTAACTCACAGTAGTAATTAAACTGTCCGTTCCATTCTTGTCACTGCTGCTCTCCCACCACATTCCACCGCCAAGTCCCTTCGACATGATGTACTGTGCTTTCTTCTGCGCAACCTGTGGAGTATCATAACTGATCATCATCTGTTGGGAAGAATCGTAGCTGTAGCTGGCAACAGGTTGGTCCAGATAGCTGACAGAAGCACCGGCTTGGGGTAGGGCTTTGTAATCCCAGACCCCATTTTCCCAGCTGCCACTACCCACACCATTGTAACTGGTTCCAGGGCCACTCGTGTTCATAAACGATCGTCCGTAAAGTGGCATTCCCATAACAATCTTATTTGCCGCTACACCATTTGATGTGTAGTAAGTGATGGCCTGGTCAGTGTTGAATGGGGTGCTTGCCGGGTTGCTTGTGGATGCGTAGACATTTGCATCATGTCCGGCAATAGTGTCCCAACTTCCAGAATAATCATAGGCCATGAGATTCCAGAAATCGAGATATTGATCCATGCCTGAGAGGTCGAGGTTTTGGTAGTTTGAAGGTCCTATATTAAGGGTTAGAAAGAGTAGATTTTCCAATGGGGCTGTATATCATACCAGCTGGAGAGGCGACTGTGATCAAGAAATGATGACCACTTGCATTAGCCGCACTGTAAGTATCCAAAGACTGACGCAGAGCTTGAAGTGTGGCCACCATGTTGGCAGCCTGAGTGCTATCGGTGGGATACTAATTACCGCATTAGCAACACATCTTCAAGCTCCAAAGAAATACTTGTGGAGTGACTCACTTCCCAGTCAATATCAATACCATCAAATCCCAAGTTCTGAACAAGTGTTGTGGCTGATGAGGCGAACTCTTGTCTTCCAGCGGCAGTGCTGAGTGGCGCCGCAAAGTTTGGAGAGTAAGTCCAACCTCCAACTGACAACAAGACCTTAAGGTTTCTATTCTGCTTCTTTAGCAAGTACAGCTGCTTCACGCATCCGTAAACGTTGTTTCCTGGATCATTCCAGGAATCTCTATCAAAGTGTTTATCGGTATCCGCCCAAGTATCAGAAAGGACGACCTTTCCGGTTGACTGAACATTCGCAAAGGCGTACAATACGTGCGTTAATCTATCTATTGGAAGATTCTGGGGGAAGAAGTTTCTTCCATAGATAGCCTTGAGATAGGAATTAGCTATATTTGCATTGATGCTGATGAATGAATGGGCGCATAGAGAGCATTCTCACCCAGTTCACAAAATATGCCACACTGCGATAAGTAGCACTAGCTTCAACTTCCGTGCCATTATCTCCTGCAAGCGGAAGAGCATTGGCACTCATCAAAAAGCTGAAGCTGACGAGTAGGACAGCAATGAAACGCATCGTGGGAATGGCTTTAATATTGCGAATATCCTGTCTTCAATGGATTTGATTGAAGATCAACGCAAGAGGAGGGGAAACATCATTATTTGTATTCCAACACAACATTCATGATGACCCTCTTCGCGATTGTCAAGTCAAGCTAAACTAGAATAATCCAAAATTTGTTCGAGCTCCGCAGATCCGTAAGACCGAGGTCACCGTTACTGTAAAATGACTACGTGGAAAGTTTCTCTCTCACAATCCTTAGTATGCATATATCCAAGTAGGCAGTTCTCAATTTTGAAACGAGGTTTAATCATGCATCACCTGTGCATTTTGAATCATGTTTCCATATAGACAAGCCAAGAATGTATAGGATATTCAATCATGAGGATTCTATATGCACAAGAAGCTTGGAAGAGAATCACGATGGAGATGCCGCATTCCAAACTAGTATGAAAACAACCTCAAGCCTATGGGGCTCGGATGTCAGCCTCCGAAAGTTAGATCCATTACTCACTGCAACGATTTGCAACGATTTGCAACGATAAGAATTATGCAAAGTGCTCACCGGGCTGATTAATAGGTATAATAACCTTAAATGTCCGCGTGGCTCAGATAGTTTCCGGTAGCGATTTTCACTGGATCTGGGGTTGGGTGACACAGGTTGTCATCTGGAGCCCGGAAAGTTCCTCTTCGATCGAGTTTATTGCCTCGGTGCGTATATTGACTCTGTCCGCCCTGTAACTATGATGGAGGTATCTTGTAAGCGTTGCACCCATATCTATATCACAAGGTTGGGCGTATTGACTAGTATAGTGCCGATTCAATTTGAGGGTTACCTTGAAGTTCCCACTATCATACCTGTTTCTAACATGAAAACGTAGGAGTATGGATGCAATTGTGAAATCATATTTGGAATCGATGATAGTGTCGTCAAATGCTTCAGGTTTAATTCAGGAACGCCTTATTGGCACGATCTCGCGGGGATGCAATGTAACCCACATCCATACCATGCGACCGGGGCATGTGCCACGCTACCTAGAGTGGGCCGTGGCAACGGGACTTGGATGGATGACCTAACACTGGAATGGCAGCAGATTTTTAGACGCAGGACCTGTGGGATTATGCCGAGGTAATGAAGAATTTAAATCGACAAGTAGTACCTGTTTCCTCGCTTCAAATGTTGTGGGTGTCAGCCATGGAGGGGTTAATAACACCAGTTGACTGCCATAGTAGTATGTAGTAGATGGGATTCATGGATGATTGGTTATCAAATTTCTGCCGAGAAATATAGATTATGCCGTTTGTTTCCGCTCATGTTACCGCCCTGGTGATGCCCTGGAGTGCTGTCAGTCTGTACATGTAAAGAAAAAAACGCTAAATTAGCTCAAGTTACTGGGAGTGAATGACGCTCGAAAGGTGTACTGGAGCTTGCAGATGTCAGAAAGAATTGTATATGGGGTTCCATCTACTATCGTTGCCTCTAGATGTCCTTGCCCGCTCTAAATAAACGAATCTCATTATACTAAGAACAAACAGGTACGTCCCTTTGTTGAGCTTCCTGTTTTCTTTTGCTGATAGATTACCATTCAGGAAACTCTTCGAGAGACCCTTCAAGAGACCCTTCAAGAGACCCTTTAGAAAACCCTTCAAAACCCCTTCAGGAGAATCTTCAGGGAACTTTTCAGGAAACAATCTGTCATTGAGCCAACTACTCATCAAAGCATTTCATCAAAACTCCAGTCAGAAATTCCTACACCTAAACCTTGGAAGTGAGAGATAGTTAATGCAAGAGACAGCTGAATCAAGAGGGACTGATATATAGTTTTCTTTTTTTTCCTGCTATCCATATAGGGGATTTGGCCACATGGCTGCTATAGGCTTTGCGTCGCCCACTTGTGTCAGGACTCGCATGAATATCATATGGTGTATGGTGTGACCAGCATGAATAGGCTGCTCATGCGAAGATCATTGTCTGTGAACTTCTCAACGTACTCTGAGAGCAGGGAGAAGTCATCTCTAGTCATCTTCCACAGCTTATCAACCTTGTCTAGGTCCGCCAGACCCCCATGTCCATCAACTTGTTTGAAAATCTCGTCATACAGTGTGTCTGCATATCCTTGTCTGGTAGGACCTGCGTAGAGTTCATTTCGTCTTTGTACACCATGCGCTGAGGTTATCCCACATCCAGCTTGCCAGATTTGTGGATAGAGCCATTTTTCGGCCTTCGCGTCTTCTTCGCTGTAGACTGGACGGGAATCTTCATATTAATCAAGTCCAGGAGCTTATCTTTCTGTAGAAAACCTTGCAGGCTCTTGTCCCACTACTTAAAGTGGTCTCTGGATCTGTCTTTATGAAGGGTCTTCATCTTGTTGAAGGTTATTGTGGTCGTAGGTAGGTGGTCTACCTGTATTTGGTTAGCTTCACGTCTGAACAGGGCACCACCCCACTCATTAAGGTCTTCCTCAACTGTTCTGTCGCCATCATTTTTTTGTCAAGTGAAATGATTTAGAACCCGATTTTGGTGTTTTTGGTGTGTTTCAAAGGGGTTTTGGTTTTGGGGGAAGGTCTAGGGAAGTCCTCGTGTTCTTGAGGTGAGTCTTTGCCTCAGTGATTCGAAGTGAGGTTCTTCTTCTCAGTCTTCTTTTTTATTGTTTTTGCCCGACGCGGAGGGCATCGAGGTATATGTGTTTCTTGTTCGTGTGTCTTGTCAGGTGTCAGAGGGGGCTCATAACCTGTTGGCGAAGCTATTGACGAAGCTACGGGGAAAGCATATTTGTGTTGGGAAGCGTGAAGGAAAGGAAGTTTCTAGAGGTCTCCAAAGAGCTATCTACACGGGGAGCAGTGGTCCGATCTATGGACCACGTAATCTTCCAACGCATATATGAGAGGACTCAGTTCAGGCTTCAAGCAGATATTTTTCCAAGTCGGCCTCGGGACCCGTGGACACCTACATCTTGTAATCTGAAGCCCTGTTAAATGCAGATGTGGGAAGGTCGAGCTCGCGGAATGGCCAAATCTGAACAACACTAGAATAATCTAGTCAACTGGTATTACACTGGATTGTTCTGGATTAGGATGGAGTAGACGTTTCCGGTCATTCTGTAAGGTTAGCAGTGGCGGATTGGCCTCATCTAGATCAGTTGAAGTTACACATCACTATGGGCTAGGTATTGAAGAGAGGAACGCTCTAGGCAGTACACTTAAAGGTGCACGGGTCAATCCTGTGTAGTAGGCAAGATAGTAGAGAGAAGAAAGGAGAACGAAGAGGTGGTCTGTAGAAGAGGAGATGGTCTGATGATCAACTATCACGCATGAAAACGATATAACTAGCTATACACTATGATCCCACATTACAGTATGTACCTAGGTATAATATAACAGTATATACTCTTGCTTCTAGGATTCTCTCATAGTCTCAGGTGTATCCCCTTGCCTCTTCCAATTCCCCTTTTGAAATGCCGGTAAATCCCAGAGTCGCTTAAATAATCCCATGATGTGGGGTAACTAGCCCATCCAGATTGGTTCCATAAGCAAGTGCCATCTCCATCGCTGGTGCAAAACACACGTCGGCCATAGTAACTGTGTCCCACTGAGAATTACCCTCCATTTTTGACCAGCAGTTTCTCATACTGTGAGGCCAGCGAGAAAAACGTCCGTTACAAAACTGATCTGGTCCTTAGCATCGCCTCGAATAGCACGGACTCGTTTGGCGATCCGCCCATTGGTAATTGGTTGAATATCATTGGTGATCACATTCACCATCTCGCGGACTTGGGCACGCTGCACAAGATCACCACTTGGAGGTAGTAGCGGTGTCAGAGTGGGGAGGCTTTCTTCCAAAAACTCCAAAATAGCAATTGATTGCGTGATAACAGTCTCATTCCCATCATAATCCTTAATAACAAGGACTGGCACGAATTTGCTTGGATTCAGGGCCTGGAATTCAAGGCTTCGTGCTCAGCTTTGCCGAGATCAATAAAGGTATGCTCAACGGGAATACCCTTAAGATGCATAGCAATAACAGCACGATTCGTGCATGTTGAGCGAAAATATGAATAAAGATGATGAGTTTGTTTATTTTCGGTTGCCATTTTGAGAATAAATAGGTTTGGATGAAGTCCACGGGTGTGGTATGTTATGCATGATGATTGATGTAGAAGAGGTATAGGTATATAGTAACTAGTAGAGGAGAGATAGAACCCTGGAGCCTGGAGGGCAAGTGGGCCAATAAACAATTTAAGTATACTAGCTGAGACATCTGGAATTGCTTGACTGACTCTCTAATTTATTATTTCTTTTTTCCTCCTACCTCTTGAGGTGGACCGATAAAAGGGAATCCAATTCCGTAGTGAAGTACCTATGGGGCCCCTGTACGGGAGTAATCTACTACTATACTAGGTACTCCGGAGTCCGTAGGTACAGTAGCATTATCTATGTCACAGGCTGAATCCCTGAAAGAGTACAGGCCTTGCCTGTACAAAGCTCAACCATCCACGTGACCCATAACATTCCTCCTCTTCCTTGACGAATCGTGCCCGAAGTCTACTTCTTCTCCTTAAGCTTCTTTTTGTACACAGTTCGTGGTCCGAGTAGATTGAATCAAGTCCGCTTCTGCCCTTCACAATCTACGCGTCATTTCACTCGAATGATAAGTCGTCAATCCATCTGGCGTTTTATGAATTCCATAGATTTAGTAAAGTTATGTGCTAAGTCTCTAATAAAGCATCCAAAGTAGATTAAATCAACAACAGACAAACCAAATAAGAGATATAGAGAGAGGGATAATAAATAAAGGGTGGCAGGATCTCGTTGGGTGGGCACAGCATAAAGAGGGGTTGAAGGAGTCCATCCTGACAGTCACAGGCCGGATCCGGTAGCTTTTATTGAGACGTGGTCGTTGCAGTACGGACTAGACCGGGCATAGCCAATTAATTACTTGGGCTTGTCTATTCTAAACACTGTAGAAGTTGCAGAATAACTTGAAAAATGCATTTGGATCTTAGTTAGGATTTTGAAAGCCCTCCGAAAATGGTTGAAATTAGATATACAGGGAGGATGAATAGATAATGTAATTCACTAAGAACCTTGGAACCTTCGAAGTAAACAAAGAAGTCCGAAAAAGATGTCAACCAAAATTGGTCGATTTAACCGACCTTTCAGCATCTGTTGCCTATTCTAGCCTAGGATGATCAGGTGATACGGCAGAATCTGCATGTACATATCTAAGTTCAAGTTACGCCTTACCAGAAATCAGAAATCAGACATATCGAACATCGCCATTTGTGACAGAACGCCTACTAGATCAGGGGTTGTGTTACAGCCACCGCAAAACTGCCCAGGTGATTACATACTTCCAAGGTTTGTTAGGGGAATTATTAAGGTCTGTTTCCTGGATTGTGATTGGCCAGGGGTCTGGTTTAGTACTCTGATTGGCTAGTGTTCACCGCTTTCGGGTATTTTCTGCCATTTTACCCCACCTGTTAATAGTAGTAGGTATATTATATGTCAGCCATATTGGGTGTTCTGATTGCGGCAGAATTAAGCCAATCACAACCCATAAATGGAGAGCTCTGATTGGTCAACCCAGGATGGGTCACATGACCCACCACGTGCTCTCCTGCCCTAAATCCTTGGTATTAGACAAATCAGACTTGTTATGAGAACTATCCAGGCCGACAGACTTAGTGTCTGATATTATATTTACTGCATAAAAGTATCGTTTTACTATTTCACCTTTAATAACCTTTATTGAAGACTTTTCCAGTATTTAGATCTTTATTTTCTTTTAAAATATTTTCTATTTCTCAGTCTACTTCTGAGCCTATTTTTTAGCCTTTTTCATAAAGCCTTTATAGACTATTTCCTATCCAGTTTCTTAATCTTTTTGGACCATACTTAATCAACTGGATAGTGATTTCTTTTAGCTGTCTGTTTCTTGTATCTTTCTCTTATTTCTTAAGTTGAAGCCTTTTACAAACCGAGGACGCTCAACGGCCAGCAAATACCTAGGTAGTCTTCTAAGTCCTAAATCTACCCCTGGGTCTGAAATTCTTCCTCTGTATGTATCAGTACCTGTACATGTGGCTGCCGCATGCCATTGCAGTGTATAAATAATCCCCGGCCTTTATGTTTCCAGCTCGAAGTACATACATGCACATGTGGGTATTTTACTCCTATTACTAGTAGTCGTCCAGTTAACCTCAGCACTTGAGCACACAGTACTACTACTAGTATACTACTACTCTCAACCTTGGAAGTGCTACATACTCATCCCTCTAAGTAGTAAGCCTTAGAAATCTCTTTATGTTTCCAAAGTTACAGCGTACGTAATTACTAATAGCCTTCAACCTTGGGAGTGTCAATGCGGAGTGTATTCAAGTTCTGTACTGGCAGATAAAAGATGAATCACTGTCATCATTATGAGGGGGGGAAACTTGAACTCTAGATGCACAGGGGAAAAAGAGGGGAAAAACACTCTCTCGCCCAAGCCGCCCTCGACTTCTTAGGCCCGTAGCCCCTCCAGCAATTTGGCTCCAGTTGTTGGCACCGGGTACTGGGATACCTGGATTCCTGGGAACTCGTCTTGAAATCTTTGGATGATCGTTGGCCAGCCCAATGGAGGGTTGATAGGCAAGGAATTCTCGGGGCTTGGTCCCAGCATAATGGCTTGAAGGTTTGGGAAGTCTTTCTAATTGATTCAAAGATGTGTTAGCCTGGTCAATTGAGTAATCTAGAAGGCTTAGCGAGGAACTGACCTTGATAACCCGGATCAAAGAGGTGACAATGTGTTCATGGAGGTGGCGGCGTCGGAAGCCATGATTGTCGCGCTGGAATCTGTAGTGCCAAGTCGATGCCGAGTCCTGCTCGTAATGGCCAAGTCGAATGTCCAAGATCTTCACCATTGGTGCCTTAATGACTGGCATTTGGAATCTCTGGGCTTCCGTGTTCCGGATGATAATCGCCAGGTATTCCATGTGCTCAAACCTCAGCCCTTTAAGGGCGCTGGTGCTCTCGGCGACGTTGCCCTTCCAGATATTGACCAGGTTGGCGCTCTTCACCCGGCTGGCATGCAGAAAGCGGTGCTGTCCCTCCTGAAGCTTTTCCATGACTTCTGGGAGGGAACAGCCCTTTACTTCTGTGCCGTGTTGCCAGAGACGGCGCCGGGACTCGGAATACCAGACCCGGTTGGTGCGGGCCAGCTTTGCCAGGTTGGATGGGGAGGGATTGTCGACCATGGCCCAGTCCAGGATCTCGCTGACCATCTCTGGAAGCGACATGACCCGCTGGGCTGCCGAAACAGCCCCGCTGACAGTCATGCCGGCATCCAGAGTGGCCATGGCGGTTTGGGTGGCCGAAATTAGTGCTTTTGATGGTAATTTGATGATAAAGAGCGCTAGCTTGATGGTGTATGATGAAATGGAGCTGGGAAATAGGTCAAGGCAGCGTGAAAGAAAGGAAGAATCGACAGGGTGGGGGGAAATTGAAGACATCGTGAGAAACAGGCAACGCAGCAGTCCGCCGAGGCTAGGCCACGCGATCAAATTAATTCTCACTTCAAACTCTTAATTAGGCATACTATATCAATATTCAAGGTAGTAAATGACTCGAAATAAAGTTTAAAAGTGAGAGGCGCGCGCATACCCTTCGCTTCATTTGTATATTAAGCCCTTCTCGAGCGAATAGAGTTACCTAATCGATTTCACACGCAATTTCTTGATAGACGTGCCATTGGCACCCCAATTGAGTAGATATGAACATGTCAGATAATTAGATTCATGAACAAAGGCAATAGCGTTAAATACAAACAGATTTGAATCTTGAAAACATCAATTTTGATAAAGGTCTTTGTAGTCAGCTTTGATGAGATCCGCCCCTTTCTCACCAACCATGTATACTGCATTCTGAATACGACAATCTGGAATAACAGGTAATACAGATGCATCAATAACTCGAAGGTTCTTGAATCCATGGACTTTCAACTGTGCATCCACTACTCCCTGTTTGATATCCTTCGAAAGGCGGCAGGTCCCACAGGGATCTATAATATAAGAGATTAGCATTCAAAATTAATATTTTTATTATTATACACATACGAAACCCTGTCTGTGATCGCTCGAGGATCATTCTATCCATTGCTGCATCTGAATTGCGCGGCATAGGCCAAGGATAGTCCTCGCCAATGATGTCCTTAAAAGCTTCACCAGTCATGAGTATATCGTCCACAAACCGGATACCTTCTCGTAGGGCAATGACATCAAGATGGTTATTGAAGTAATTGGTGTTGATATATGGGTCTTCGAGTGGGTTATTCGATCGTAGCTTGACCCAGCCAGGCTTTGAAATGGGGCGCAGGAGATCCACAATAACAGTCAACCAGCTTCCCTCGGGAGGCACTGGAATATGCCATTGGAACGCGTCGGAGAACATAGGCTAATAGAAACTAGTAGTTAGCTTTTTCAATTATTTAGAGAAAGTCCAATTTGATATATACTTACCACAAAATCAATTTGAAAATGCGGCTGTCCAGCAGGTCCAAATGGATCCTTTCCATCATTCTCTTCTTTGGCCTTTATATACTCCTTAATTCCTGCAAGACGCTCATCAATACGCGGGAATCCCACCAGCTCCAGTAGGCCACTACCAAAAGGGCCAGAATGGTCTTCATTGTACACCCTCACAGCTCCTTCTTTCTGTGGGCCAGCTCGAAGTATATGGTCGTCCAAGCCAAGTCCATTATGCAAGCGAAAAACATGCGGGAGTATAGGGTGGTCAAGTAAATTCTGGCCCACATGTGGCGAGCCTGAGATAGTCTTTATACCAAACTGCGAAAGCTCTTTTTCGGGGCCAATGCCTGACAGCATTAATAGTTTGGGCGATTCGTAAACCCCACCAGCTACTATGACCTCCCTGCGCGCTTTTATAGTTATACTCTGGCCATTGGGGCCGTGGACATCCACTCCAGTGACTCGGTCGCCGTTAATTATCAACCGCTTGCAGTGGGAGGATGATAACATGCCGATATTTGGCTTTCCAACCAGAAAAGACCAGCTAGCCGACCGTACCCCCTTATAAATTGTATTGATACAGCGAGTCAGACCGTGCATTGTTCCGTCATAGATATTATCGTTGATTGCAAGGCCCTTGCTCTTCCACGCTTTCAGTAGAGCATCACGGAAGGGTCGTAGCTCGGGGACTAGCTCTGCGTGCTCAATATGGAGGGGTCCTCCGAGTCCGACATTCCTTACATGGGGATAGTTATCTCCGTCATCATGGTAGGTCGCAGGCTACTAGCAAATTAGACCGATTTGGAAGACATGGGGCTATAACGCACCTTGTCAAAGTAATCCCTGATGGCCTGCCAATTCCATCCTTTACCACCAAAAGCTTCCCACTCGTCGAAGGTCCCTTTGCTCCCCCGGACCCATGTATAGTAATTAAGACAGCTACTACCTCCAAGAACCTTCCCTCGAGTATTGGGTTTCTCCACGCGTGTGTAATCCGGTCGGTCGATCAAAGTAGCTTTATATTTCCAATCGTTTGGGCCATTGCGGCTTTCGAAGGCACGGGCAGGAGTGGTAATTTCGGCTATCTTCTCCGGATCTCTATGAAAGGGATTTGGGTCAGTTTCTTCAAGTTTTGCTCTTTTTGAAGAAGAAATGGATCTGCAAAGCACTTACCCTCGACCGGCTTCTATAACTAGAACAGAGACCTTTGGATTCTCAGCGAGCCTACCAGCCACAACGTTTCCAGCCGTTCCACCTAAAAATCAGGGATTGATCAGACTCGAGAAGATATCGGTACTTACCTCCGACGACAATGAAGTCGAATTCGCGAGCTCCATCGGGTGGGATACTGTTGACATGTCCAGTAGACATTGCTGGTAGATCTTCGGGTTTTGAGGCAAGGTCGATCAATCCTGGTCTAAAAGGACAGCATGAAATCTGTGGCCTGTACAGATCGAGGATTGGGGGCTGTAGCTAAGCACAGTAGATCGTCAATATGATTCATGGGTGTGGGAGCGTTCCATGTTTTGGAATCAAGTTGGCAGGCCTCGTCAAACGTCCGTATTATTTAAAATCAACGTCAGCCCCGTATTCGTATTATTCGAAACATCATACGAGTTACTACTGTCTGCCCAGGTGCTATTATGACTCGGAGGCTATCTGCCACGGTAAAACGCCGTGGCTGATAATACATATAGATCGATGCCTTGTGAATGCCCCACTAGCCGCACCTTTAGGGCGTAAGAGCCGCATTAAAGTCGTGGGAGGATATCAAAGGATCATACATGCATATACAGCACATAGGGCAAAAAATCGGTGTAATTTGGAATATGAATGGTGCATGGACTTCACCTACAGAATTCTATGAAAGAACCTTGAGAAAACAATAGCGTCATTTTAACATCTGGAGGGGACAAAATCCCGGCAGGAATTGTCTAGATCTACAGAATATCGCCTCAACTCAGATAACAAGTCCACTCCCATTGTAAAAAAGCCCTGGAACTCTTAAGTATATCACCATATCACACCGCCTGGGCAGCCATTGTGCCGCCTACCGCCATTCAAAAATCAAAAAAAGAGAATTTGAAAAAGAGAGAAAAAGAAATGCTCACATCCGGATTTGAACCGGAGACTTCATGATTGACTTCATGAATCCTTTTTAAAGAATAAGTGGGTCGTACTAGTCATGCGCTCTACCAACTGAGCTATGCGAGCTAATCGATATTTGCTTTTAAATTTATGACTATATAATGCTAAATAATTAAAGAGCCCTTTTTAGATGAATATACAGACCCCGTATGATTTGGCTGGTTTTTACAGTCTACATAGTAAGAAATCTTCCGCCCTCCTAATTGGGAATGAGACCCCCTGTTTACTAGGGCGAACTTAGGATCCAAACTGGTTTCGAGGGGCCTTACTGCCCATGAATTAGTCCATTCTGCCGGTTTTTTGCGTTCAAATCGGTATGTAGGATTCAGATATATATATCCACCTCCACCTCCTGGGCAGATACTCCACCGTGACCCAATATCCAGGTGCGCCAAAAAACATTACGTAGGTATACATGCATACACATGTGCATACATAATTCATAAAACATTTGAAAAATGCCAACACCAGTTGACCCCCCCTGAATTTGGAAACCTCAACCTTTACAACACCGTGACGTGGACCCCGTTTACCGTCTAGCGATTTCCAGAATATCTGGGGTCTGACCTCCGAGTCGGGAGTCCGTCTGGCTGTTCAAATGTTTCAAAATTTACCCCATGCCCGCGGGCCCAGGTGCCCAGGTGTCAGACCAAGCAACCACTGGCACCTGGGCAGACGACTCGGATCAACTAGTACTAGGTAGTACAGACTCTTCCGAGTCACCGGGGCCCACTACAACAACCTTCAAATGTTGGAATCACATGTGCAACAGCCAGTTTTGAGCCTACAGAAAAGAACTTGAAGTTTACAACATTCAATGTTTTAAGTTGAAGTGCGATCCATACTACCTCAAGTCTCAAGTGCTCATTTTATTTTATTTTATTTTATTTTATTTTTTTTTAGGGGCGTATAACAACATTCGAGATAGCCCTGGACACGATGTTAGCAGATCTTGAAGTTTGAACAGCCTATAGCCTTCTTCAGCCGAGTCCTTAACAAAGCGGAGAAGAACTACTGGCCAACAGAGCTTGGAGTATCTTCAAATGTTGCTTAGCCTGAGTTCTCAGAAAAGCACGGACGGCATCATGATATGATTGAGGCCGCTGACTCACAGTCAATTGTCGTATACACCGACCATTACCCAGACATGGAGTCCTACAGAACAACATCCACCAGCACCGCGTATACGGAGCACTCAAACCTATCCTTTCCCTACCAGAACTCCTCTATACCATTACCATTAACTTCATTGTTGGCCTGCCAGAAACGAAGAAATGAGTGGTGGTTCTGTCAGCTGTCATGGGGGAGGTAAGCGTGACAAGTTGCCGCACGGGTGGTTTTATAAACTGATTTTGGACAACACAAGCTTCCCAATTCTCACTGAGTAAAACTTCAAGCGGTATGGCGTTATCAGAATCCAACATGATCATAGGACTCTATTCTCCTAGTAGCAAACTCTGCTATCAAAGCTAATCATCAACCAGATGTCCTAATCCCCAAGATCATCAGGTACCACATCAAGTATGGCCCAGGACCATCCAAGTCAATCGACATACTATGCACCAACTTAGCGTGCTACAACATGACATTTCATACATAGCTTACACACATACGTGCATCCAGGTCATAATGTCGGGGATATTTAATTAAAGTCACAGCCAGATATGCCCACATCTTCCCGGGCCGGTACTTCACCATTATAAACAAGGTTGACCAACTGCGCACGAACTTCAATGATGCTCTCGCAAATGTGGAAGGCATCCCAGAGCTCTATGCTAAAACCTTTGAGGACGTCCTTGGACACGCCGGCCAAGGCCTCGCGAACTTCGACAAGTCCAATGGAGCCATATAGGCCCACGTCCAGAAAAATCTTACCGACGAGGACACAGCACTTGACCCTGCCCAGTACCTCCAGCTCATACAGATCGGACGCCTACGGGCACCAGTGATAACCCCCAAACCGGGCCACTAACTAATCACCGAGCAAAGCGGTGACAAAACCTCAGACCCTGACGCCTGGAGACTTGGTACGCCAAGCTCAAGCTCCGAAGCCCCAGCGCCGTGCAGAGCAATCTCTTACTTCTACTTTATGTATCTGTAGGGCTGGCAGTTGTCTATATCCAACTATATAGTAGCTAGCCTTCCCTTCCAGGTAATCATATAGGGAACCCAGTAGGTAACCCCATAGGCACCTACATACAAAGAGGTGTAGGTCATCAGACACCTGTAGATGCTACTGACTCGGACTAAGCCCTGTACTCAAGTCTGGTATATGAACATCCCTGTCTAAGAGGATGTGGACACATCTGGCCAAGCACTCGCATGCTGAGAACATACCTTTCCCAATTTCAAATGCTCGCTGCTTCACTGGCAGTACCGCGCGAATCGCGGCGTGAGGACTTGTTTTTGAGTTACGAAAGCCGATGCCCAGGTGTGTATCGAGTGGTGGAGGTTATAGAGATGATTTTGGTGATATGGCATACATATGTGTCATTCAACTAGAAGTTTGTTCTAGGGTCTGGGGTTCTTCTCTTCCAGATGTCCTTGCTACTAGCAAATTTTTTTACTCTAAAGAGAACCTTATATTTCCAAGCAAAGCAAAAATTAAAAATCCAAAAAAAAGAAATCTGGATAACTGGCTCTCTTCATGATCAAAAAATAAACCATTCATAGTGTCGGAGTTGAACCGATGGTCTTCAAGGCGAAAACATATAAAAAGTGATACCAAACAGTAGCAATCGAAAGCGACAATAAAAGGAATCGCGACGCATCAAAATTTGTATACGCTGTAATGCCAAAAAATATACGCAGAAAAAAACAAACAAACAAACAAAAGAAAACCAAAAGAATGCTCGCTAGGGGGGGTTGAACCAATGACCTGGAGCTGAAAAACAAAAAAAAAAAAGCGAGATCAAAATAATGGCGAGCGACTACAAGTGACGTTTCGACGCATACAAAATTTTATAGATTCGGATGCCAAACTTGTACGTGGGGGAAAAAAAGAAGTACAGTCGGGGCTATCTTCGCCTTTGGTTAATAATATTCCGATTGACTGGATTATCTGACCGACTGGATTTCAAATTTGGATATTTTAGTCTCTCAACTAGTATGGTGGATTCGCTTTTTGGATTATGCTCATGCGTATTATTAACACGACACGACTCCACACACTAAATCAGCAAAGCTCTACACGCTCCCTCGTCTCCCTTCCTCCAATCTAACAAAAAAAAGAGGTCCAAATAAATGGAAATTTGTATATACTAGTACATGACTCAAAAGCGGGATGATTCTCGAACATGAGGCTGAACACTGGCATGAATTCGGAATTTCTCCTTCACAAGAACGAACTTGAAGCAAATATATACACCCGTGAACTGGTAGAAACATATCACATCTGAATAGTATAAACGACCCTGATTAACAGCACTCGAGTCCGAGTCCTCAGCCGACTCGGAAGTCCTTATAGACGGTCAGGGTGCCTGGTCAAAGGCCGCAGGCTCATGGGCTCGGATTCTACTTCAACTTTTGTGAGTGTTAGTCAGATATTTTTCTAGGCTATGGGTTCCAAAATGCCTTTCGTAGTAGCCTTGCAAGAAAGTACCTGGTCACGAGAGCCCTGAATTCAGTTGAGTGCGAAGGTCCTTGTCAACTTCTCCCCAAATTCAACCCCAAGCTTCTCTACCACCGAGCCAAGCTAGACTTCCTCCCTTTCTTCCAAGTTGCAGATCTGCATCACGCACTTCCCCGGTGTCATTTCCGCAAAAAAGTGGGGTCCTCGTCGCAGCAGGTAGTCTGGGCAGGCTGAAGAACGGTAGGAACGGAAACATGGAACCCGATCTGGAAGGGGAAAATGGATGATCTGGAATGCGGGAAATCGCGAGCTCAGTTTGGTATGTGACGAGGGACTGGTCTCTGGCGGTGGGTGATCTGTTTCCAACTTGACCTTTGATGGAGGACCTGATGGATGATGGTGGATGATCATGATGTGCCCTGTGTAGTGTATCGGGGTGAGGGAGAAGGGGATAGACAGAGGACGGGATCGGGTGGTCTACACTCACCTGGTCTTAACACCTTCTCTGAGTCCCGATCTTGTCGAAGTCCCAGGCGTTGATTTTCTTTTTGTAGTGCGCTCTGTCAGCGAGGACACTCGCACCATGAAGATGATCCTAATGAACCAAATGGCGAAAGCTCACTCTCAACATGCGGACTATGGGGTTTCCAATCTCTGCAAATGTGAAAATTCCTGGAGAGTTTCCCTATCATGACCTCTGTCGAAACCCATGGACCATCGAGAGAATCTTATGAGGTTTATTTCCGGTCCAAGACAGTAACCAATTTAAGACTACTATTTGAAATTAAATGAGGGAATCACATTGCGTCAACACCACTTTCTGGCCATCGCAATGCTATGTTTTAATTAGACAGTCAGATTCCCCTTGTCCGTACCAGTTCTAAGTTGGTCGTTAAGCGCCCGCCGGACGGCCGAAGCCTGCCAAGGGCGTCCCCACCCCAGTGCTGGGGGGCGCCGGCCGGTTGCCCGGCTAGTGCCCCCCATGCTCCGAGGGGATCCCCCCCAAGGCCCAGCGAGCCCGACCCTTAGAGCCAATCCTTTTCCCGAAGTTACGGATCCATTTTGCCGACTTCCCTTATCTACATTGTTCTGGTTTCATATTGGATGATTATTTTGATATTGCTAAAAAGGTAAAACTAGTAAACAAGCTGCAGGGGTATAAAAAGGAAATAACACATGTAGCCGTATCAGTCATAAACGCAATGGTAACTTTTAAGACCTGTTAAAAAGTAAAGGGTATTAAGGTCATAAGTGAAAGAAAAGAAAAAAGAAAGAGAAACTCATGGAACGCCTCTACTGAGTAGCTTGGACGACGCTGCGCAGATTGGGACTGGCAATAGTTTCCGAGTACTCAGGTGGTGCTGCGACATCGATCACAGCTTGAGTCACAACCGAATTCAAGCGAGGTCGAAAGAATTCATCAACCTCGTCCTGTGTGACGACAATACCGAGCGAAGACTTGACAGAGTCAACGCCCTTTGGCGCGGTGATGATTTGCAGGGGAGGCGAAGGTTGATTGATGGGGTGAGCACATTCGCCCCGGGTGTGTGGTAGGTGAGGTTGAGGTCCAGGGAATAGACTCGAGACATCAGGCAAGAGTGGAAAGTAGGCACAAAGACCTTTGAGTTGGGAAGAGACACAGGGATCAGGAGCGAAGCTGTGTAGTATGTGTCCCCGGAGAAGGAGGCGGAGGGGCTGGAGATATTGGAGACGGTGGAGTTTACTGAGTCTCGGCGTTCAACGTCTGAAACAGATTGCTTTTCCCATTGAGCAGCTGCAACACACATAGTTGACAATGTGCTTGATTCATTGAACAGACCCTGTCCAACCTGCGAGAAGGGAACCCCATTGGATTGAGACGGGAAATCCTCCCAAGGGTTGCAGCCATAGAAGGTGCTCGATTTAAGCTTGCTAGTCATGGAGCCCAGTCGGGGTGGTTGTTCATCTCCCATAGGCTCAAATCGCAGCTGAACTTTGGCAACTGTGCTGACAGTATCGCAGGGCCCACATGTCAGAGGGAATAAACGGATTGGCTTTGGTTGCGCAGCCTCAGCGACCATCTGTCCCTGCTTTCCTCGCAGAAAGCCACGCTTTACGGTCTTTTCATTGCGAGTGCGGTAGTAGGTGTGACCGACTGTATCGATGGGTGGTTCTTCCTCCATGGTAGGAATAATGCGGATCTTCTTAGCGACATTTGCCAATGCTTTGACGGTGTTAGAATCGGATGAGGACTTTTTCATCACTCCGACCCGAATGATGTATGCAATTTGGCTCATGCTTGGCGCCATATCATCCAATAAAGTCTTTCCATTCGCTGATATCATGGGATCACCCAGAGTTGGTGGCAGCATGGTGTGCGCCCGGTGAATCTGGTTGTTTTTCTTCGGGTGCGTGCAGACTTGTGGCAGCAGATGATCAGGAACAACAAACATGAAAGGGAATTTGTAAGTGCGACCAGCTTCCAGTACCCGCGGGGTAGGGTATTCAGAATCTTCGATTGGTTGACGGAGCTTAAGGAACATATGCTGAGCACCTGTGCGACCGGGACATGAAACGCGTTCCACTAATGTAGAGGAGTTGCCTGTTCATCATCACGGTTAGCTTCCCGGGGTGCCTTGTGTATATCGATACGTCACTTAAGTACCTTGCAGAATGATTTCAATCTCATCGAAACGCGTCTCATGGTCAACAGTGATGTTTGCGACACCTTCAACGCGATCTCCACTTGTGTATGAATTGACCAGGCCTGGCTTTTGTCCGACTAGATCAATATCGACCTTTGGAGCGGGGCGTCGTGGCCAGATATCCAATGTATCTGATCCACGACTGATGATTGAGGTAGCCATCTTTGCAGGATGCGTCAAACGTCAAACGTTGCAATGATATCGAAGGGTTGTATGTCAACTAGAAAAGAATCAGATTAGGCCAAGGAAAAAAAAAGAACGGAGCTCCATATACCTTAAACGCTCGGAGTTGGAGTAGTAGAAAGTGGAGCCGTGGACAACCGCGCATAACAAGGAAGGGAAGATGCTGGTTTTATAAAAAATAACAGATCGATTTAAAGTCTAGAATCACTAGAATCACATTACTTCCGCCTTCAGAAAAAGACCTATGATTCGTGAGTCATTCTCTATGCATACGAGAAAATACAAAAAATCCAAGTGAAAAGCCGGGGTTTGACTACACATGCAGGATTGAAAGTGATATGAATGATTGGCTAGAGGTACGATCAAGGTCCATGCTTCACGCCCTTGGATTGACATTCTCTATAAGGAGCTATGACTCTACCTTCTTTATATAATTTCTACCCAATCTTTCATCACAAACCCTATATCATGACCCAATCATACTATGACTATAACCATAAAAGACTCAATGTCTAGAATCTTCTCAATTCCTTTTCAGTTAAAATCCCAGATCCAAACTCTTTGTACTCAGTACATATTTGGGTGGACCACGCCCTATGCCGAAGTTCACGCCCTTGGTGTCTCTTGGTATCTCCACTTCAACCATTGGGCCCACTCACATTCCCCGATGTCATGCACAGGGCGTCATGGGCTTAGATGTGACCAATCACTCGTATTAACCATGTCTGCTGATCAAAACTAAACTTCTGGAGCATTTCAAAGCAAACCAGATATAGAAATATTCCGCTTGATTATACAAACCGTTATAATAAGATATGGCACATATTACACAAAGATGCAGCTGGGTGATCATTAAGTGAACACCATCAGGGACTTTCCCGAGGAGAAGCCCATACGAGCCTAAATGGCCCCAGATCTTTCCGAGCTTAACCGAGTTTCTCTACTCCATATCCCGAGTGGATTCAAGTTTTCGGGCTGCAATCACGGAGAATTCTGTTATGCAGATATGGCCGAGTTCGGGGCTATGAGTCTGGTTCATTGGAGTAGATCGGCGTGGTTCAGAATTGAAATCCCGATCTCTCGCCCAGGTGGTCTCTTGGATAGTACAGATTGCTTACTATAGTGCGTGGAGCAGTAGTAATGGATGGAAATGATCAGATTCAATTGAGTAAAAATTGCTAGTATGAATAAATATTTGGTTACAGATGTTCCGACTGATAAATTACGGTGTAGATCCGTGGTGCAATGCGGATGGAACCGTACTCAAAGAGCGTCGAGGCGTGGAATCCACGCTTTTTCTTGTCTCGTACAATCCTGATCACGAAGTGACCAAGTTGCATCCAGCTCAAGATTAGCCAAGAGAAATGGCAGACCGAGCGAGGCAAGAGACATCTGTAAGAAGAGAAGGGAGGGGAAGAAATGAACGGAAAAAAAAACCAAGGTGAAAAAGTGCGAATTCATACGGGTCGTCGCCGCGAAATTGGGATATCAATTAATCAATAAGCTAGGTATGGAAAACCCAGAGCGGAAACGCCAAAATAGACGCCAAAATTGCCCCAAATTAATATGCCACTCGTGTTCGCATGTCCTAATAGTCTAGTTAGCTCGTTGATCTGCCACGCAAAGGAACGGATAAAACATCACTTACCGAAATCTTACGCTCGATCTCCCTAACGGATCGATCAAGCTCGGCTGCGATCGTCATCTTCGTATTGTTTGGCAGGAGAAAATACATCTCACACAGATCGCCATCAATAACACCCTTGGACGGTGCGTAGTAACCGCGGTAGATCAAGTGGTCACGACCGGCCAAAGGAGGATGTTGTGCAGCCAGCTGCGTCTCCAGGCTTTGGAAGAAATCAACGTCTTCACGACTAGCAAAGGGAACAAACATGCCGATTGTTCCCTGGAATCCAGTCCAGACCACAATATCGCGGCCTCCAGCGACCAGCTGCGTCTTGTGCAGACTGGTTGGGATGTCTTGGGTGTAGTAATGCACCATGAGCTCCAGACGATTCGGAGTTCCTTGCAGATATCCTCGTTCGTGAACAAGGTGAGCACCGGAGCCATCCTCATCGGCCTCTTCGGAGCTCTTGTTGGGGCATCGAAGGAGCCAAAGGTTACCAAACTTGTCACCACCGGCGACAGTTTCATAGTCGACCATGGTAGTAGAGGTAGTCCAGCGCGCAATGGAGTCATCCACGAAGGGAATCAGAACATTTTCTTGGTGTTTGTAGACGACATAAGTCACACTCTCGCGCACATCGCTAACCACGATACGGCTGCCCTGGGTTTGAAGACCGACAATAGTGGAAGGAACCACAGGAGCCTGCGATTTACGCAGAAGCTGACGCACACCAAGATCATAAAGGCGAAGAATAGGGCCAATTCCAGCAAGCAGCTTGCCTTGGAAGGCGAGGAGCGCGAGAGGTGGGTCATCAACCTTGGTCTTATGGATGAACTCGAGCTCGCGACCATTCTCTTGGAAGCGATAAATGTGAATGAATCCCCCCTTGGACTTTGGTGGGCTGACCTCCAGATCTTTGGCAGTTCCAACAACCAAAAATGATTCATCATCCTGGCTGGAGAAAGAAACAACAGCGACGCTAACAGCTGCCTCATTGTCCTCAAGGTCCAGGGTGAAGACAACCTCGTTGGAATTGGTGGGGTCTACCACCTGAATGCACGATGCCCAGTGTCCTGTGCCACGGGGATAACCAAACTCAGCGGGAGGCAGACTAACAGCATCACCATTCTGAGCCTTGGAGTCCCGAATGAGACTTTCTCGTGTGGCTGGGGACAACACATTGTTGTCGGATTCAATGATGTAGAACAAGGGCTGTTCAGGGTGCTTCACGAAGCGACGTGGGGTGTGAGCCAGGGGAATAGATGACTGGAGCATGTTGTTGTTGAGCTTGTCGATAGAGAAAATCCTAGTAGTTGTCAGTGACTGAGCTCGTCTCACAAAATGAGATGGGTATGGCAAAATAAGTGCGTAAGTGACAATGTAATGATCTCAGTAGGAACAATTGGAATATAATAAAAAATTTTGTCCACATATAGTTTCGGGTCCCTTTTTTCTCATCATTTGATCATAATTGGGCAGGGGAGGGGGAAGAGGATTCTGTGTGAAGGTGTTGATGATGGAATGGTTGTACTCACCGTAAATTGCGACCTTGGATTCCGACCATGCCTTCCAGACATTGCTCACTAGAGAAGTTCCATCCCCATTCAAGACCAGCGTAGTCCAATGGGGTGAGCATGAAGCTCTTGGTTTGAATATCAGAGTATCCCAGCCATGACCGAGAGCTCAGGGCAAGCACGGCAGTTTGGCCTTGGACGGAAACCTGGGACAGCTTGACAGGCTTTGCTCCGAGGAAACGGGTGCGAGTATCAGATAGTTCGCCGGTGACTTCGTCCAATACAGTACGAAGATACACACCGGAGTACAATCCAATATGCAGGTAGAGGGTGGTGCCTCCGGAGCTAGAGTCGGCCATAGCCATAATGTTGAGGGCAGAGGGTGCCGATGTCAGGGCTTGAACTGACATGTTCTCCAGCATATTCTTTGTATCTAGGCTGAGAATACGGACAGTGGAGTCATCGCAACCAACAGCCAAAAATGAACTGCGGACACGGCCTTCAGGGACTTCTCCAAGACTGAGGCAAGTGACTGTGCCGGACATTTGACGCCTATCATCATACTCAGCCAAGGATCCATCGGCATCCATTTCGAAGTACACGATCTCTCCAGAACTGAGGGCGACGGCGACTTGGCGTTCGTTTGCAGCAGCAGCGACAATAGAACGATGTTGGGGAGCGGGCCACTCGTTGACGCGATGATCGGCAAGCAGGTGACGAATACCACGAGGGTGAACTTGAATGAGGGAGTCCTCGCCGAGTTGTTGGACAGCCAACGTAGGTGCTGTGGAGAGAAAGCCGGAATCTTCCGTGATTTCCTCCACAATCTCGCCAATGCTCAGAACGATGGTGCCGTTTGTAAAAGACAGTACGATATATCTATCGTACTCATCGGAACGACTGAGCTTGGTGGTCCACACAGCAGAAGGAACTGCCTGGAGTTCAGACTCCACCAATTCTGAAACCTCAAGGCCATGCTTGAGTGTTCGGAACGTACTGCGAGCGCCAGTACCACAGACAGAATAGATCTGCGGCGCATCATCCTCCGTGAGATTGACGATTTTACTATCAATCAGCGGGTTCAGAGAGTTCACGGATTCAACCAGATTCAAATTCTCTGCAGGCCGAGGACGGAAGAAGACTGGTTCATATGGAGCAGTTGGGTCTGAAGGGAACGAATCACTGCTAAATTCGACCTCTTCATCATCATCACCGAGCTTCTCAAACTCGTAGAACTGATGATTGCCTGATTCACTAGCCACATAGAGGAAGCCACTCTTGAGAATGAGGAGACTCGAGGCAACGGGAACTGTATCGAAGAACTTGATCTTAAGACCCTGGACCTCGCCAGTCAATTGGCCATTGTCATCCTCGGCCATATCAAGCATGACCTTGAAGATGTCACCATCGTCGGTTTGCAGGAGGAAGAAAAATGCACCCCTCATCTTGTGCATGACGCCTGAAACAATGGTGCGTTTGCGTTCAGGGTTTTCCGTGGGGCCACTGCGGCGGGGGATAGGAACCCGGAAGGCATCTTGGTTTGAGTGACGGTAGGTGATATTATCCTCAGCGCAAACCAAAACACCACTTGGGCCATCTGAACCGCCCGGGACTTGAAATAGCATATTGGCAGTGCGATCGACGGGATCGGACCACTTGCGGACAACATGGTTCAGTCCTAGATCCAGCTCATAGTACACCAACATCTTCTCGATTTCTTCATATGCTTGACCAGTAGGATCTTGATCGGCTTCTGAATAGTCCACTTCGAGGGCAGCAAACACAGGGTTCTCGTAACCCACATCCAAAGCAATCATGGCAAACACCAATGTTTGGGGCTTGTGCGCCTCCAAAGGTGATGAGATGGTGAGCTCAGCTTGGGAATTGCGGTTGAGAACATAGACCAGCTTATTCTTCTCCACCGAGGCTATCAAACAAGCACGCCCTTTCGGGTCAACTGCGAGATATTGACCTGGAACGACTCTGCGAACACCCGACTTGCCAAATGTTTCCAGATGGATTCGATTGAAACGATTCTGAGAGGGAACATATTCAACGATGGTAATGCGGCCCGAGTCTGAGCCGATGATCAAGTAATCTATTGTTTGAAAAAGAAAGAAAATGACTCAGCACAGTTTCACGCATGAGGATCAGACAGCGTCTACGTTGCTGGCCAGGGCAGGTCCCCCGCCCGTCAAGGGGTCGGCTCGAAAATCCAGGACCGTGCTACCCGGGAAGCTTCAAGAATCACTAAGTTGAACTCGGAAATGCAAACAAGGGGACTACAAAAACCACATACCTTTATTGCTTCCAGCAACTCGGAAGACCGCCAGGGAACGGATAATACCGAAAACATCCTGAGAGAAGATTGGGGTAATCTTTCCCAATGTCGATTCAGGCCGGTGAATGGTGAGCTTAGAGCCCGAGGCCGTGATAACCTGTTGCTCCTTGGTTCCAGCAAACTGACCGAGGACAGCCTGTGTGACCGCCGTTGGAGGTTGGATGGTCAAGGAGTACATGAACATATGGGAAGTGGTCGCCATGATGGGTAGCTAGGTAGCTCGCAGAGCTTTCCCACTTTGACCAAAGAAGACGCGAAGGTCGAGTAACACACAATTAGGGGGTCCAAGAAGATGGAATGAATCACATCAATCCCATAGCTGCATGAGGGAGTCAATGTAAAGAGAAAGACTCCTTGTGGTTGGGAGGTCCACTAGGAAGAACGAGCGTGGGTTTTTCCGAGTTTTACTCTCGGGGAATAGAAGGGGAATAAAATGCGAAAATTCCACGAGCAAGTGGGAAGCTCTCAGAGTCACGTGGCTGCACCATCTGTTTCGACCGCTTTCTGCCCCATCACCGCCTTATGTAATGGGGGTGTGCTTGGGGTAGATCCATCATTAAAGGGAAAGTAGAGCATCAACGTATTCCCTCAACCTTTGAGAGTTCACTTGTCTCTTCTCTCTATAATCCATTGCTTGTATCTGGACTCATCTTTTGTATTTCAGCTTTGGTAATCTCGTGACATTCATCTATCTTTACCTTTCTGCTGCCCATTAGCTCCCCCCTCACCCCACCCAACGGCTCGCATCTATCTCGATATCAATCATGGCCGACGAAACCGGTTTCACCGAGGATGTCCCCATCACTTTCACCGTCAAGTCCTCTACCGACTCCAAGTTTACCCTCACTCTTCCTCTTTCTACTTCAGTGTTAGACTTGAAGCAGAAGCTCTCCACTGCAGAGTATGCCGATACACCGGCTGATCGTCAGCGCCTGATCTACTCCGGTCGAGTTTTGAAAGACAATGAGACTCTGGAGAGTTATAAGATTAAGGATGGGCATACTATTCATCTAGTGAAGAGTGCTGCGAGCAACCAACAACGATCCAACCCATCCGGCCAGTCCTCTGCGACAACCTCAGCCGGTGCCACCCCGAGTCAGCCCGCAGCTGCTGCGGCTGGTGTCCCTACCAACCTTGCTGCCGGTACTGGCAACAACCCTCTGGCTGGACTGACTGGAGCTCGGTATGCTGGATTTGCCCAACTGCCTGGCGCGGGTCTTTTCGGCCCTGATGGCGGAGTAAGTTTAATCAAGCTAGCCCATGATGCCCTGTGAAACCCCGGTGAATTTGTGTAGTATACTGACTGTTCTATTGAATTACAGATGGGACCACCACCGGATACTGATTCCATGCTGAACATGCTCGAGAATCCCCAATTCCAATCAACTCTCAACGAAGCTCTCCAAAACCCGGCCATGATCGACATGATGATTCAACAAAACCCAATGCTGCGCGATATGGGCCCTGGAGTTCGACAGATGATGCAAAGCCCTGAATTTCGCCGCATGTTAACAGACCCCAGCTCCCTTCGTAATATGATGCAGATGCAGCGCGCAATGGGCATGGGCGGAGGCGGCCTGGGTGGTGAAAACGCCTTTCCTGCTCCAGGAGTAACCAACACCACTCCCACTGAGAACCAGAATGCCCAGCAACAGACTCCACCGGTAAACCCATTTGCGCAATTGGGACAGAATCCTTTGGGATTGGGAAACCCGTTTGCTTCACTATTCGGGGGCAATGCAGGAGCCAATCCTTTTGCTCCTCCTCCTCAACCGTCTACCACAGCCAATAACGAGACTGAGCCTTCTCAGGGTGCCGATAACACCACTGATCGGTCTGCAACGGAAGGGACACAGGGTTCTCAGGCTGCTCAGAACCCATTTGCGGCTTTGCTTAACCCGGCTCTTTTCGGAAATGCCGGTCAAGGTCAGGGCCAGGCTGGTGTCAATCCTTTCAACCCTGAACAAAATCCATTCCTTCGCGATCCTGCTCTCATGGCTCAGATGATGCAGGCGATGGGTGGACAGGAGGGTGGTGCGCGCACAGGCGATTTCGGTTCCCTATTTGGTAGTCCGTTTGGTTCCCGTGCTCCCGCCGACAACCGACCCCCTGAAGAGAGATACGCGGAACAGCTTCGCCAATTGAACGACATGGGATTCTACGAGTTCGAGCGAAATATTGAAGCTTTGCGGCGAACCGGTGGCAGTGTGCAAGGAGCGGTAGAATATCTCTTGAGCCACCCGTCATAAGGGCTTGCTCATCCCTATGGTAGCGATGTTTTACACTGCGCTACAGCTTCTTCGCCCTGTTACCCTTCTCTCTTATGATGTATTTCATGGCCATTTCTATTTTCAGGTAACGACCGGCCCTCCGAATTGATGACTTTCCATTGCCTCTTTAATATGTGTGCTTTGACTTTGAATATTGTTTTCTCTTCTGCTTCTTCTTCTTCTTCTTCTTCTTCCTTAACTGGACAGGTCTTGGTCCTAGCGTTTATTTCCCATGACAATCGATCATCTCCAATGTCATCTCTGATTAGATCTCAATGATTTTAGACAAGTTGTTGGTTACTAGTTGTACTAGTGGCTATAAAAATTTGAATAAGTAGGTGTATTATCATTCCAATCTCGATTTGAGGCCACCAATTTTCCAAATTTCGAGATTCGTGTTCAAGTCTTACTACACATGTGCATATATCAACCTGAGAATTTTCCAAGCCTTTAGGTATTTTTACTCCTAGCACATGCAGTTGAACCCGGGTCGTCAAGTTGAACTTGAAGTCAGACCAAATGTTACATGGGGTTGAAAGTGTCCTCGACTCCTCGATCAACGAACATTGAATCATGTTACTAGTAGTAGATTATATCACGACGTCCGAAATCCGAGTCATTCAAGTTACGTACTCCGTACAAGGCAACAGGATAAATAGAGCTGCTGTTATAGTTCCGAGCTTAACTCTCACACCTCGCGTATGGCCTGCAGGGAATAACAGAACACTTACAGAAATCTTGAAAACCCACAATATTTCAAGGTTAAATTATTAATTTAGTACTCTGCATGATAGTACATATTCTACTTATTCATGGTTGGTCATTCAACCTTAATCAGTTGCAGCTTCATACGCACATGTGCAGAGCGGTCTATTAGATAATCCGTGTTGACACGCTGGAGATCGTCCATGATCTCCGTCTTTCCCCCTCGACTTCGGTCTTTCAAGACGAGCACCAAATCCCCTTCTGCTGGCATCAGCGGCATTTGGTGCCGATTACACTCGTTATTAAAATTTTCTTCTTCCACCAATTCTCATACATCTCCAACTGTTCTACCTTCAGCGCTTCAGGGATCCTAAGACAATCAACGGTATCGGACCCTAGCGGCTGCCAAGCACCACTCTACCAAGCATCCACTGCCTTGACAATTCTATACAGCTCCCCCAGGTAATCTCGGAAGGGAGTTGGTATATGAAATTTGTTGTGGAATCGACCAGCTTCCAAATATTATTGCTGGCCTGTGCCATCTTGCTGACGTGCGATCGACGTCTTCCACTTTCCAATCTCGTGCTGGCCTAATCACATAGTGACACGGAACTGTGCTTAGGATTGAAGCTCCAGCAAGAAAGGGTCACCGACCAGACTACATTTAACTATGGCGACTTCAAACCCCCTCGGCATAGCTACCTGGATGCTATGGGGCCTATCGTTCGTATCGTATGCGTGCGCTTTCTACATCCCTGGTAAGCTTACACAACTCACTTCGAACTCCACTAATCTGTGTTGACGGTACTAATGATCCTGTTATTTTACAGGCTACTCAGTCACTCGATACAACGATGACCAACCCATCCCACTCCTCGTAAACAAGATCTTCTCCGACCATACTCAGTTACAATATGCCTACTTCGACCTTCCCTTCGTTTGCCCACCCAGTGGTAAGACACATGGCGGTTCGCCTTTTGGATCTGGTCAGAGTATCTCTCTGAACTTGGGCGAAGTGCTACGGGGTGACCGTATCATGACCTCCGACTTCGAACTCACAATGGGCAAGGATGTCGAATGTCAAGCACTTTGCACTCGCGAGGTTAGCCGTTCGAATGTCAAATGGGCTCGCAACCTTATCAAGGAGAACTACGTGATTGAATGGATCGTAGATAATCTTCCTGGTGCGACTAGCTTTGTAACTGTTGACCGAAGCCGAAGATACTATGCCTCCGGATTCAAGCTTGGATACCGTGACATCTCCCCGACTTCTGGTCAGTCGCGATATTTCATTAACAACCACTTCACAATTGTCATCCGCTGGCGGAGCGCACCTGAGGGAGGCAAGGTGATCAATGGATTCGAGATTTATCCCAAGAGTATTACTGCGGCAGACCGCAAAGAAGGCGGCTGCCCAGCAGATGTCCAGAAGGACCATGAAGGACTCGGGTTGTACATTGCGCCGGATGAGTCCAAACTAAAGCAGAAGTACGCCGGGCTTTCATATATCCCGGAAGACGACGACGATGATGATGATGGCGCAACATTGAAAATCCCGTACACCTACTCAGTTTACTTTCGCGAGGAACCGAAGATCGAATGGGCCAACCGCTGGGACTTGTACTTCACAAACCAGGAAGAAGGGTCTATGACACACTGGCTAGCTATCGTCAACTCTTTGATTATTTCCACTGTACTTGGTGTGACCGTATTCGTCATCTGGAGCCGGACTGTTCAAGGCGACATCAAGGGCCGGGGCGATGGAGCCATGGAGGAGCGGAAACTCAAAGGCCAGTCTCGTCGCAAGCGATCTGCTGAAAAGAAGAATGAGGGACTACTCGACAACGCCGATGTGGAAAATGATGCTGATATGTCATCTGATGATGAGCCCTTCGAGGACACCAGTGGCTGGAAGCTCCTCCATGGCGACGTCTTCCGAATTCCAGAATACAGTGGTCTCTTAGCCCCACTAGTTGGATCTGGTATGCAGTTATTATTCATGGCAACAGGTCTCCTTGCTCTTAGCTGCCTTGGTGTTTTGAACCCCAGCTTCCGTGGTGGATTTGTCAGTGTTGGCATGGGCCTGTTCGTGTTTGCTGGATTATTCTCGGGTTACTTCTCTGGACGACTTTATAAGACCTTCGGTGGATCTGCCTGGCGAAAGAATACCTTAATTGTAAGTGGCATCGCCCTCAATGCGATACCTTGGATCACAGACTAATTTAGGTACAGACCGCCTTGCTTTTCCCCGGATTAGCATTCTTCTTAGTCCTAATCCTCAATTTGTTTGTTTGGGCCCAGGCCTCCAGCACAGCAATTCCATTTGGTACTTTGATCGGACTACTGGCTCTCTGGCTACTTATTCAAGTTCCCCTGGTGTACCTTGGTAGCTGGGCCGGATATGTACGAGCGAAGCCTTGGGAGCATCCTTTGAAGACCAACGCGATTGCACGTCAGATTCCCCCACAGCCATGGTACTTGAGCGGCCCTGCAGGCCCTATCCTGACCGGGTTGGTTCCCTTTGCTGTGCTCTTCATTGAACTGTTGTTTGTATTCAAAAACCTCTGGCAGGACAAGAGCGGTTACTACTACGTCTTTGGTTTCCTTAGCGTGGTCTCTGCTGTACTCATAGTCACTGTCATCGAGGTAACTGTCATTGCGACATATAGTCAGCTTTGCTCCGAGGTAAGTTCTGTCACGAATAATCCGATTCATAAGAATCTCACTAATGAATGCTTCAGAACTACCATTGGTGGTGGCAAAGTTTCCTGACTGGCGGTAGCAGTGCTTTTTGGATTTTCGCGTACTGCATCTGGTACTACCTTTTCAAACTACACGTCACTGGCTTTGTCTCTACTTTGCTGTTCTTCAGCTACAGCTTCCTTGCCTGCACAGTCTACTTCTTGCTCACCGGTACTGTCGGATTCCTGGCTGCATATGCCTTCGTTCGTCGGGTCTACAACGCGATCAAGGTTGATTAAGAGTGCATGTCACACGTCTCTCGTTTCCCTAGCTTGAAGTACCCAATACTGGCAATTGACTATTCCCAATGTTCACCTGCCCTCTAACGAAGTAATCTGTTTCATAAGCATCAGTGATGTGGCTAACCACGGCGTATACTGTCTTCTTTCCATTGCATCTCTTTGTTCTATCGTCAAGCGCCTTCCCTTTCCTCTTCCCACCAAGGAGACCTATCTATGGTAGGCCTGCCTTTTTCTCCCTTGATCTATTATTTCCTATCTATGTCTATCTACCTGTCAGCGAGTGGTTCTACCAGCGAATTCGTTTATTGTTATTACCCAGGGGTGGATTGCTTATGAGGACTGTTGCTCAATGCTTGTTGAACATAAGAAAATTGCCCTCAGCTACCATCACCAACAAAAACGGTGGCTACTAACAAAAAAAATATTATAAATCAATGTTGGATCATTCATAAATTTGGACACACTATCATTATAAGAAGTCACTTGCAATTTCCCTATCTCTGTTTTGGCAGGAACGACTGGACTCCTGGCAAAATAAGGTATACTAATGAAAAAGTACAACTTGAAGGTTGGAAAAATGTTGAAAAAATAAGCATTCGAGCCCCTGCCCATGCCAGTGCTAGTATACTATACTATACTAATATCTGAGGCATTCCCATGTGCAGCAACCTCAGTACTATAAAGTCCCAACTTGAAGGTATTAGCTAGTAGGTATATGAGTATAGGTCCAAATTAACATCGATTCTCAAGTGCTATGTGGGTCTTTCTAATATGAACCGCCAATGGTTTCTCGTCTTATAGATGTATTATCCAATGATAGGCCGCATCTCCCATCAACCCATGGATCACAGCATCTACTAGTATGAATTGAGAGATATTTGTTACTCCGATCTAGATCTAGATCTACTAGTACTGAAATATCTGCCAAGAATAATGCTCCGTGTTCAAATGGACCATTCTAGACTAGTAGAGACCATTCAAGCTAGATAGACTAGACAATTTGGTATGGCTGGCCTTGTACTTGAACTAAAAGTTAAGTGTATCCCTCTGTCCCATCTCCGCCGTCCTTTCCTGGTCAAAACAAGCAGCTATTCACGTACTACAGTTGATAGGAGCATTCACTAGAAACTTCCACTGCTTCAATAAATCCGAGCAAACCCGTCTTCTGGACTATAAAAGCGACAGCTTTCTCATTTTCAAATCTTCTTCTTCTTTCCCCCAACAGTCCCTTCCAATATTCAAGTTACTTGACTTAGATCCTTGATCACAGATATCTTGGGCATACTCAGATATCTACTCAAGCCTTCAAGTCTTATCGCTTGATCACATCTATAACCAAGACTTCGACTGGTAAGCTCTTCTTCTTATCTCAAACTTCAAGACGCCGTTGAGATATCTGACAACAGCTGACAAGGCCTCCTCATCTCTAGTTCCCTCTCCATTCCTACCTCCTCTCATCTTCAAACCTCCCTCTCAATCCCCAATCCGTTCTCTTACTTCAACAAAGGTCTTTGATCCGTTGGTCTGCTGGTCGTTCAAAATGTCTTCTGGTTTGACCGAAGGCGTAATGGCCACTCAGACGGAGGACCTGGCCAAAATCACTCTTGCCGCTGTCGCCGTGGACTCCTCGGCGGACAAGGATGACAAGAAGGACAAGAAGGCAGAAGAGGCCAAAAAGGATGTTCCTCCGCTCTCTGCGCCAGGATGGAAGCTTGTACCTCTTGAGGAGGACAGAGACAACATGGAGGCAATGTGGGGCTTGGTGCTCCCACCGCGACACTGCAAGGAAGAGGGTGTTGGGCACTACCGCAAGAAATGGGAAATCCGGGAAGTCAAAGACTCGCGCCGGTGCTCCAAATGTCGAGGTATATTTCATATATCTTTTTTACTCACGGTACATCATCTAACAGTTTACAGAACGCTATAGTTCTCGCAGAAATCCGAGGCATAGCATGCGAGGTGAAAGAGTGAATGTCTGCTTCTTTCATCCTGGGATGATCAGAAGCGCACTTGACCCTTATGCAGTTCGTGTTCCCCGTTCGTTCCATTTAATTTGGAATATACTAACATTGCATCTAGAGATGGACTTGCTGTGGAGGAACCGTGTTTGCAAGGGGCTGCCGGAGCGAGCTCAACCATGCGGATTACATCGAATTTGTCCTCGACCCGCGGTTTGACACGCTGATGCGTGATCGTGATATTTTCCCGACACCCGAACTGGTCCACGAAGCTCGGTCAGCAGTTGTGCTGAAGTGTGAGACGGGCGTCAACCTCACCGGGGAGAACGAGTTGATTCGCGTCACTGCGATTGATTATTACAGTGGCGAAATCTTGATCGACGCCCTGGTGTGGCCTGAGCAGCCCATGCTCCACTTCAACCCTCGGTTCTCGGGGATTCAGCCTAAGAACATGGAGGAAGAGCACAACGAAAGAAAGACCCTTCTTGGACGCGAAGGAGCACGAGAGGCACTTTGGAGGTTCGTTGGACCACAGACATACCTGATCATGCACCAGGGCCATATCGATATGGGCCACCTCAGGTGGTACCATGATCGAATGGTGGATACCTGGGAGCTGCAGAAGCTAATGTTGGGGGGTAGAGAGCCCCAAGAGTTCAAGAGCCTGGTAAAACGTCTCACTGGTCGACAGCTGCCGTACAATCGAGGTTACTCTGCTACTTTGCAAGAGGTCATGGCTACTCGTAACCTCTTGCACTGGCACGCTAAGAACCTTCCGAAGGATCTATGGACAACTTGGAGGATCTTTTCTGCAGAAGAGTGCCATTGGGCCATGACTTATGACGTTCTGCCTGGAGATGCACAGATGGAGGTCTGGTGGGAGATTCTTCGAGCAATGAGAATCTTTGACGACTAAGAAATTCGTCCTCGGCTGGATGCCTTCTCGGTCACTAGCAGCATTTACCGGTCCCAGCTCTTTTCTCCGTCCTAGCTCTTTCAAAGGTTCTTTCGCATTTACTCATCTTCTATATACATCACATTCCTTCAAATCACGACTGAACTCCTCCTTGGCCGACATATCTGTGTTGGTATTTTTTTTTTCTCAGGTTCTCGAATTTACACAAAAACATTTGGAAAATGGAGAAAAGCAAAAAAAAAGACGAAAATTTCAAAATCATAACAAAAAGCAAGACTCAGACTGGTTTCTAGATGGTCTTGCATTTGGTTTTTTTTTTTTTGTGGGGGGTGGTTTGGGGGTTTGGGGGTTTGGAAGAATTTGGCAAGTTTTTTACATACACATCAGACTGCTCAGTGACTTATTTGGCATTTGAAATTTAATTTCCCACTGGCATTTTTCTATGCTAGTGATCATACATACTTGCAATCTTTACTCCGAGTTCGTAGTATTGTCACGGTGGAGCCTTCAAGCCTTCTAACTTGAAATGGACAATCCGTATGCTCCATGGCTCCGAGTCCTAGTAGATTTAACTTGTAAGCTCCGAGTCCATTTATGTGGATCTTTCATTGCCAGGTTCAAATTGGTACATAGTAGTAAATAATTCGTGCCAGCACTTGAGTGGACTTAGATCAAGTTTTTTCCAATGATAGGTCAACTGGTACTAGATCCCGCCAAGATTGATATCAATGTGACTACATACTATGTACTCCAGGGCTTACTACTATGTACCATCTTCATGCATGGATGCCTACTGGCTTCCTGATTTCTTACTTTTACAATAATCCAGTGAACCATAAATTAAACCCAATAGTATATAGTGGATACGAGCATTTCAAAATCATAAGTCACATGGGCATCTGACATCTAATCATATCCATGGATCCAAACCTCACCCAAGTAGTAAGGAAGGGATAAGGAGAGCCGCATAAGGCTGTACTACTCGATCTAGATAATGAATCTCAAAATGACTTTTATTGCATGCCGAGCACTTGAGGATTTCATTTCAAGTTCTTGGCACTCTGGAATATCGATAGGTTCCAAGATTTACTGCTAATGTTACAACAATCTTGCAGTCCCTGCTTACGGAGCACTTGAAAAGCAAATTCCCCAGGAGCACATGTGCAGGCTGAAAAGGAACATCATCTTGATCATAAGACTTTGATTGGCCACGGATAATCATGAATCTTCCTGATTCGTGGCAGATCGGTGTTGGTTGTACTGATTACACCATTCTGCATCGGGTGAAACAATCCGCTTCGCCACGAGATATTGCAGACGAGTTTAAGTGGGGTTCAATATTCAGCTCCGAGCGCCCTTCCCGGTAGAGCCGCTATGAGGAAAGAGTCAAGACTGGCGGTGACGACTTGGCATTTGTTAATCCGGGGTGATTCTGGATACCAAACATTGCGCGGTCCCATGACGTGATAGAAAGGGGGGGATTGCTAATTGTGGATTCAAAAGCTGGGGAATATGAAAAATAAAAATAAAACCTTGAAAGAATGATTCAAGTAAAGTAACTTGAAAGTAAGAGAACCATTCTTTTTTTCTCCGGTGGCTTTCCCATATGTGTCCTGTATATGTTGTTATACACCGCTTGTCCCACATAGTACTTTTTTGTCGGGCTAATCCGTCTTAGGAGACTTAGGGAGTTCTTCGCTTCTTACTTACACACGCAGCGCAGTCCAACTCTTTGATAGTTGATTGGTTCTCAAGATAAGCAAGTGGAGTTCATGTCTCTAAGTCATCCTAAGCATCCAGACTAACTTGGTTTGGTAGGGCCAGGGGCAAATCACTAGAATGTTGATTGGTTCTCAACGCGATGACACGATCCAGTGGAGCCCAGACTTTTCTCTGGGATCATCCGCGTTACAAGGGTCTGTCAATGCCTCAACAGCAACACCCATAACTTCCCGTTGACTCCGAGGTCGAGTGGATTCCGTGAAAAAAGCAAGGGCGACAGTTTGTGGCTGAAATGATCGAGTGAAATTGATAGACCGAGTCAATGAATAGATGAGATAATGGACGGGATTCATGATTGAAATTACATGGATCTTTGGTATTACGGACGTTTCGGTGGTAAAATGTGGCAACTTTTCGGCAGCTCATGGCCGGGACTCCTTTACCCACTTGTTGCTTGGGGATCGCGTGCCTAGACGAGGTCATCAAATCCATTTATGATTTTTCCCTATCAAAAAAAGAGGAAAAAAAAAAAGATAGTTGAACCACATGACCTGCATCCACTTGAATAATGAACTATGCGTACGCAAGACTCGGTTTATAATACATGTATTTAATACACAAACTCCTGTCTCTCCTGTCGATCGGGACACTCCACCGACTCGGCGACTCTCATTCCTGGGTCTGATCACACCATCGCACCCACTAATTGTGTCTTCTTGCGCCTTCCAAGGTGTACGTCAGTCCTTCCCCTGATCTCCATTGCAGTAGTATGTGCCCGCTACTGTGCAGAGAGAAGGAAAAGGAATCTGGGCCTTTTCCATTGTGGATTCTACGGTTCGGTATGGTCTAATACTACTCCGTTTCTCCGTATGGGCTAGAGTGGATTTGTGGGTTAAGAGAGGGAGAGCCCAGGTGTATACTACCGTATACTAACCGGGGAGCTGCAATACATTGGCGCTTGTAAGCGCATTACATTCCCACAACCCGTGGACTTTGCCAATGCGATTATCTTGGACCATTTGGAGTTATGATAATCATGGATGCGTGGCTCGCGTGCTCTCGGGCCCTTTTATCATTTATTCTGTGGATTTCAAATTATATTTCCCTTTTTTTGTGTCATTTTTCTCTTATCCTAATTCCCCACATAAGCCCAGGTTCGGGACTATATGAATCCCCTTCCCCAACCTTGGTTCCAGTTTCTTTCTTCTTTTTTTTCTTCTCATCATCTGTCAAACCTTCTTTTTTACATTGTACAAAGGGTTATAGGCTGTGACCATAGCATTTCATCATGGCGGAGAAGAAGCCTAACATTTTGTACATCATGGCTGACCAGATGGCAGCTCCTTTGCTGTCTCTGCATGATAAGAATTCCCCCATTAAGACCCCAAACTTGGATCGACTTGCCGAGGGAGGTGTGGTCTTTGATTCAGCATACTGTAACTCGCCGTTGTGTGCTCCCTCTCGCTATGTGATGGTCAGTGGCCAGCTGCCATCTAAGATTGGGGCTTACGATAACGCTGCCGATCTGCCCGCGGACACACCAACTTACGCCCACTATCTACGACGGGAAGGTTATCACACGGCTTTGGCCGGTAAAATGCACTTCTGTGGTCCCGACCAGCTGCATGGTTATGAGCAGCGCTTGACAAGTGATATCTACCCCGGTGATTATGGCTGGTCTGTTGACTGGGATGAGCCGGAAATTCGCCAGGACTATTATCATAACATGTCCTCGGTTCTGGAGGCTGGACCTGTCGTGCGTACCAACCAGTTGGATTTCGACGAGGAGGTTATCTACAAGTCCCAGCAGTATCTATATGACCATGTGCGCCAGCGCACTGATCAACCTTTCTGTCTGACCGTGTCCATGACCCACCCTCACGACCCTTATGCTATGACCAAGGAGTACTGGGACATGTACGAGGATGTCGATATTCCACTTCCTAAGAACGGCGCAATCCCCCACGATGAGCAGGACCCTCACTCCCAGCGTCTGCTGAAATGCATTGACCTCTGGGGTAAGGAGATGCCCGATGATCGTATCCGTGCTGCTCGCCGTGCCTACTACGCAGCCTGCACCTACGTCGATACCAACATCGGAAAACTGCTGAAGGTGCTGGAGAACACCGGGCTCGACGAGAACACCATTATCTGTTTCACCGGAGACCACGGTGACATGCTTGGCGAGCGCGGTCTGTGGTACAAGATGACCTGGTTCGAGAACTCCGCTCGCGTTCCGATGCTCTTCTACGCTCCCAAGAAATTTGACGCCAAGCGCATCCCCCAGAATGTCTCCACCATGGACCTGCTCCCTACATTCGCAGACTTGGTCGGCGCCCCACTCATCAAGGAACTGCCGCTGGACGGTGTCTCCCTCATGCCGTACCTGACTGGCGGCGAAGGACCTCGCACCGACACTGTATACGGCGAGTACATGGGAGAGGGAACCCAAGCCCCTCTTATTATGATTCGTCGTGGCCGCTGGAAGTTCATCTACTCAACCATCGACCCACCCATGCTCTTCGATCTTGTCGCCGATCCAGACGAGAAGAACAACTTGGCTACCGGTCTCCCGCTACCATCAACCACGCGAGCCGCAACAGTGAAACCCGGTTACCCTCTAACTGTTTCAACCGGTCTCCCAACTCCCAACGATACTCCTCGCGTATCTCCAATTCCTCAGCGTGCAAGCGACTCTCCAATTTCTTACCCCTTCCCAACTCCAACACCTCCACGCACCCCCAGCCCAGCCAAGTTCCAGGCTCTGCCAGAAACCACCGACCCAGCTAAGCTGCTAGCTTATTTCCTGGAAGAGGTTGCTACCCGCTGGGACATGGAGAAGATCCGCCAAGATGTCCTGACCTCTCAGCGCCGTCGTCGTCTCGTTTACTCTGCACTGATCCAGGGTACACCCACGACCTGGGACTGGGAGCCTCGTGTTGATGCTAGCAAGCAGTACGTGCGTAACCAGGGTAAGGGTGTTTTGGATGACGTTGAGCTCATCTCGCGCTGGCCTCGCGTTTTGCAGCAAGCTGCGAATGAGAATGGTATTAAGATTTAATCACCATGTTGATTTGATCTGATGACTCTCTCAAGAAAAGTTGGCATTGAATTTCATTCTTTCGTTTTAGCATGTCGCGAGCATTGATTTTGCGATGCATTCAGCAACATGTTTTCTTCGTTTTATTCATCAGCGAGGCGCTATTCCCGGGAATTTTCTTTCATCTTATTCCCCAACTGATTTGATTTGATTGTTGATTGGTATGTGGTTTGAACTTTTTTTTTTCTGAATATGGCGTTTGTGGTTTTGGGTCTTGTATATCTCTTCTTATCCCGGGTTGGGTGTCATCGTCTCTTGTTAAATCTGCCATGAGTAAATACAACCCAGACTGATATAGTACGTGATTATATTCAATTCAAGTTCATTCCGATTTAATTTCGAGCACTTTAACCTTGGAAAGTAATACTAGTAATTGGAATCAATAGATCTTGGTCTTATAAATTTGTAGTAATATTGGTATTTTATTCAATGATTCGATATACCAGAAAATACATCCATCAAAACGAACCCTACCACCTGGGCACCTGGGCAGAATACATATAAACTTCAATGTTGAATAGATCTAAGAATCATAGATACCAAGCATCAGAATAACCTACTAATTCCTTCTAGGGTTCCATCCGGGACCAACCGAAGCAAGGTTACAGTCTGATCATTCAATTCATCCAAGGTTGGATCTCGGCTACTCCCGTGAACGGCATCTCAACTAATGATGTCACTTGATGTACTCCGTACTCTTATCTGGACTCCACACATGTGGAGGTTATGCATAAGTATCGTGATTATGTGCCTAGAGAGGGAGCTTCAAGTTTACCTTGGAAGAGGTATGAAGGGGTTGGATCGTCTGCAATGTTGGATTTATCGGGAATGCTTGGAATAATGTTTGAATGATTCTTGATGTCATAATTTGAGGTCCAGATTCAGTTCCATTTACTGGAATTCTTCCTCGTGAGTCCCCGGTTTTTTGCCTGAATGGAATTCTGTAATATCAGCCGTGGAGAATCGTATCAGTGGTATCGTCAGTATATGCACTTATTAGGACCACATGTGCATGGACCACCTTATTATAATTTCCCGGATATTAGCCTGCACAGGTGATGTGCAGTAGTAGTTGTCTCATCTGGATTGATCGATAAGAGATACTGACGTCAATCTACCAGCACTGAGCTAAAAAGCCAGAGTTGTACAGTAGCATTCGAATGTTCTATTCCAATTTAGCATGCTTTTGATGTTATTCTGCTCCAATATAATTCAATTCTTAATGATCAAAGATAGTACTATGAAGATCGCATTTCTTAACTACAGATTGATAGATTGGGTCATGGCTCAATTCGGAACTTGAGGAAGATAGTGTTCAGCCACCGCATCACGAGGTCATTCTAGACCCACTACTAGTACAGTGACTCCATAAACTATTCAACTAGAAGTTACTAGTAGTACTAGTACTGTGCTTATTGATTCCCAGCATCAATTCATTTACGTGACTGGCAGGGTCTGGGGATGAATAAGACCCATTTTACTAGTTCAATAAGTAGCACAGAAAATCCATGTGCAGTAGGAAATGTTCAAGATTGTAAAATATTGAGCAAGGTAAATGAATTTTACCAAGCCCAACTGTAAATTGAAAGAAATAAGAAAATCAGAGAATGAAGGCAAAAAAAAGTCATTCTCAACCCGCCTTCCACCACAAAACGAAAACTCGATGGGGATATCATTGCGATCAATCATGGTTGTCATCACCAATGCCAGCTTACTGACACATTCAATTATATACAACATCGTTTTCACTCTCTCAGATTCATGAAGTAGTATCTCGCTTTTAAGATGAGCTCACTCTATCAGGAACACAGGCGCCTTGATCAAAACCGTCGCAGGTCCCTTACCACGTACTTCAACCGTAAGGAAAGACGCAAATCGGATTCGAGCCGGCTCAGCTTGCTCGGTCTTCTCTCCTGTAGATCGAGTGGACTGCTCATTCGCAGGTCGACGGCCCATCAAGGCACCGAACACTGATCTCCTCGGTCGTTCACGTGGCGCAGGAGCTGGCCCATCACCTCCAGGACCGGTAGAGTTCGAAGCAGGGGAAGAGTCACCTTCATCTTCGAAATCCTGCTCCGCCGGTGGAGGGGGTTGAGCAAGCGGAGGCAGTTGACCTTCAACCTTCATGTAATTGTCATGGAAGGAGATATTAGGCGGGAAGTACTCGACGCAAACATCACGAGCCTCCAGAGGGATCTTCTCAATGATGTTTATGGTATTCTCGATAATCATGCGCACGCCCGCCTCAAGACCCGGGAGTGCTTGGTCATGAAGTTGGGTACTTAGGAATGTAGCAAGTTCAACGGTTAAATGCTCGATCAATTCAGCACGGTGTTCTTGTGCGGTTGGAGTCGCCAGAAGATCACCAAGTCCATCGAAAGTTGTGCGACGCCAATTCGAAAGTCTGGCGATGGCGTTTTCGCGGTCCTCGTCTGTAACCGGTCGCATTTGCTGTCTTCTGAGATTCATCTCGATTTTCTTCAATTGAATGCTAAATCCCGGTTCCAGCCCGGGGTGAAAGTGGCGTTGGAAAACTTCTTCCACTAACCACCGACTGACTACTGCTCGGCCCAGTGCCATCATTTCTTTCGTCCCCACGGGGATTGCATCGTCTGTTGTTAGACCGTGCAACCACGATGGAACGGTACGCCAGTCCTTGCGAACGGAAAATGCTAAATCCTTTATGGCGCCGTCTAGGCGTTGGAATCGGTTGGTGTATTCATTGTCATCGAGCACGGTACGAGAAACTGCCATTCGTTGATGTGCGACGGTGTTTTGAAGGTGCTGGACCTGCGCCTCTTTTTCAAAATAGTAGCGCTTGACCTTGGAGTATTTGCTCTCTGCATTATAATATTAATATCACTTTTTATCCCTTGTTTTCTGGAGAGAAGAAAAAGAAGAAAGAAAAGAGTACGAGGTCATTGTTATTATTATTGGATAAAAAAACTTCAGATCAAACTTACGTAGTTCATCATGTTTTTGGATCAATGCCCGAATATCAAGATTCTCGAGATCCTCGCGTGTTCGAGACCCTGTTGGCGTGTTGCGAGCTTGTTGTTCTGTCGGCATATTTTGGGCTGTACTCCCTCTACGGCTACAATCTTGTCCCGACGGGCGATCGGTCGGTTGGCCCGGGGGCGGTGCCTGCGCGGCCTGCTGCATGGCGTCAGGATGATTCTGTTGACGACTTGGGGAAAGCGGCTCGTAAGTCTGCCGGGAAGGGGGCCGGGAAGTGTTCAATACCAGATCGTGCTCGGGACGAGGTTGCGTCGAGCCCCGGATACCGTGGTCGGGGAGGTAACGAGGAGATTCCGGGGTGCGATCCGTTGGTGACGGTCGGGCGCTTCGTTGTACCAAATTTGGGTCGGTGTTGGAGCGTTCAAGTGCAGGCGGTCGGGGAAGTTGAAGACCCGGTTTGGGTGGTGGTGCTGGTGGTGGTGCGGATTCAAGTTGCGGTTGCGGTTGTGGCTGCTGTTGTTGTGGTGGTGGTTGTTGTTGTGCGGGGGACCAGTCTTGAATGTCACTCCCTACCGATGGGTGCGATTGGTGTAATGAACGTTGTGAAAGCTGTAGGTGTTGATGTTGGTAGGCTAGCGACGCCGACCGCGGTTCATATGCGGGCGGGGCAGTTGTGGGGGATTGATCCTCCGGGTTGATGGTTTGAATACTTAGGGATGGGGGTTGTTGATTTTGTTGTTGCTGATCTTGTAAATCAAACGCTTTAGGATTTTGGGGCGAGACAGGTTGTGAAGTGGGATGTGGCACTGGTCTCCCTCTGCTGATGGAGGGACTGCGATCAAAATTCAGCCCGGATGCTGGGCGCACTGCTGGAAATAGACCCCTTCTGCGACGAGGCTGCGGGTCCTCAGGGGCGACCGCCGAGTTTCGGTCACGTTGCTGTGGCTGTGGCTGTTGCAGCTGTGGTTGAGGTTGCGAATGCGAGTGGGAATGTGAGTGTGAAGGTTGATGATGCTGATGCTGACGTTGACTTTGAGAACGACGTAAAGATTGACCGGTTTCGGACTGAGATGGCGGGTTGAAGTTCAAGTTTGAGCCTTGTTCGTAGACCAGTCGAGGATCTGAAGCGTGGCGGTCCACGTAGTTCTCAATAGGATTCTGGTCCGGTGGAGCTGTAGAGTGGAGCAGATGTTCAACCGAATGAGCAGGATGATGAGTCGGCGCAGAGTTAACAGGCGCCCTATTTCTCCTGAAATTTATTAAGGGCATCCTTGAAGTCGTCAAGAAAAAAAAAATAAGAGCCCAGTTCCAACTCGAGAGGGGAAAGAGAAAGGGCCCTGAAGTGGAGATGTGTATGATCGGCGTACAGTGATTGGAGGCGTAATGATCCCAGGTGTGGTTTCTATATATAAACCATGGGACAAAGAACAATGTATTACTGCTGGAAGAAGTGCCAAAATAAAATAAAAAGGAAAGATCTACAGAAATAAGAATTTGTAATTTGACTTTCTATTAAGGAACTAACCTATTTTATTCATTTACATGAGGCGAAATGGTGGCACAGAAACCGGTTCGGTTAGACTAAGAGTTGGGGGCGAAAGAATGAACATTGACAGGGAAATTGATGAATCAGATGAATCAGATGTGATGATATGAACTCGGAAATATCCGAATGTGAGTTTAAAAGGAATTAAGGAATTTAAAATTAAACTTATTATAGTGTATCCCTTGAACCAGAAACTACTATCACATCGAGTATGTAAATATGCACATGTGTGATATTGCTCCTACGTACTTCGTATATCGAGATACGAATCCGACGCCACTGGATAACCATAAATACAAGTGCCCCCTTATGCTGCATGTGTTGATACAGGAGAAAAAATACTGTACATAAAGAGCCTAAAAATAGACTAAGAGCCCCGGGCTTGAGCGAATACATTCCAAATTCTATATAGGACTCTGTAGAACTGCATACAAAGTTCGTACTCTTGAAGTCTACAGTACCTGAGTGCTCAGCCTCGAAATATTGATACTAATATGCATAAAACCCTGTTATCACTTAACTCCGCCAGGTCTATGCGCAATGTTTGTGAGCAAAGGAGTTAGAAGGAGTTAGGGCCGCAGTAGTGTGAACAGTTCAGCAGTTCATGTATGTGTTGTTGAGCCATATCCCATTCCATCGGTAACTTAATTCTTTTAAATATTCAAATTCAAGTTTCTAAACTGAATATCAGATGAGATTTGCAGTGATCGGCCAAATAAATTCTGAAACACCGATTTACTTCCCTTTTTTATGCTCTTCTGGGGAAAGCTTGCCGTCATACTGGGGTTTCTGAGGCTACTCCATCAGTCGACATGCATACATCCCTGTCTCCACGAGATAGTGGATATTTGAATATCCACCTCTTTCCAATTGGCCTGAAAGGATTTAACATGATGGAAGCGAAGGGTCAGTTCCTATCCTACTTTATAAATAGAAAACCTGAAATGATGATATGAATAGTATCATAATGGTTTCTTCCCGAGGGCCCAAATGACGTCCGATACAAAACTCTAGAGCAGATTTGTAGCCTTTAAAGGCAATTTAAATGATAGAAACCACTGGCAAACTGAGAAGACACCTTAGGACTTCAAAATAGACTGTGCATCGGGAAATTATTACTATAGGTACATATATAAGTGAACTCAAATGTGAATATTATACTAGTGTTCATCTGGATCAATCGCTTCAAATGTACAAACATCCGATGCCAGTCACTCAGATCCATGGGTATACATATCTGATCTGTGTAATCATTAGATCAAAATCCAATACCAAACCCTTCCAAATTCAAAGCATTCGGATCATTGACATGCACCAAAATCTTCCCCCTCGTCCGCTGCGATCGAAGCCTCTCATACGCCGCAACCACATTCGAATACTCAAAAACACTATCCACTTGCATCTGAATCGTCCCATCGGCCAACCACTCTCCAAGCTGCGACAAATGCCTTGGAATATTCTGCTGTTTGATAAGCACATATTTTCTCTGTCCACCCCCAAGAAAAGTAGGCCAAAGCGCCTTGGTCACAGAAGCGAACATAGAAGCCGCTCCGACTTGTACATACTCCCCACCCTCTTTCAAAAACCGATGAGACTCATAGTAAAGATTCGAAGGGATCCCAATATGATCCACAACACAATCAAACATCTCTTTCTGAGCCAGTCTCGAAATTAGATCTTTCTCCACTGTATAATCAATCACCTCATCCGCTCCTAGGCGGAAACAAAGCTCAATATTCTTCGTCGAACAAGTAACAGTAACATGACATCCCATCGCTTTCGCAATTTGAATCCCAAGTGTTCCACATCCACCGGATCCTCCGTTAATGAATACTCTCGATCCAGCGCTTACCCGTCCCTCGAGACTCTGGTACGCCGTTTGTCCGGCAACACCCAAACCTGCTGCGATATCGACCTTCACGCCCTCGGGTAGAACCGCAACGCCGCTTACGTCCACACAAACGTATTCACCCAGTGAACCGAATTGTACGGGCTTTGGCGGACACCCATAGACCAGGGTTCCTTCTGCTAGATGCTGAGCTAGAGGTCCGGTGGAAATGACACGCCCGCAAAAGTCCAGACCTGGTGAGGCGGGTCGACCGATGAGTAGGCGAGATGGTAGGCCTAGTTCAGGGATTTTGTAGTCGGCTGGGTTTAGAGCAGCGGTTAGGACTTGCACTAGCACTTCGCTCCCCTTGGGTGCTGGCGGGGTTCTGGCGTTGGTGTCTAGGCGGAGGTCCTTTTCTAGTGTTGGAGATGCGGTGGTGTAAATCCAGGCTTTCATTGTTTCCGGATGGCTGGATGGCATGTCCTGTGGTGATGGCATTGTTGGGTTCATTTTGCCTAGCTTTTGAAGCTCCAGCTTGGTGTTTTGGTAATTTGCTTTATTTTCCCCTCTCTGGGTTGTATGGGGTATCTTTTTTTTGTCTCAATGTTGATCTCTGACAATAAAGTTTGAGAAATGTATTTGATCTGCGATGCCGAGGGGGATTATCGCATTTTGTGGAGGCGCGTTGACAGCCCTGAAGATCGCGTCAAATTGCTCGGTGATTTCGCCAAGATACGGGGCCGGAGATCCTCGGAGTTAAGAGATTGTGCTCGGCATATGATCTGTATAGTAATTAAGCTTGTCATGTTCATCGTAGTTTGTGCATATGAAATGATTTGATTGATTCGGAATTTTCTTATCTACGCTGTCAATTACTATTTCCGAGCCTATATTCAATGAATACTTTCAAGCTTCAATGTGTGTGACCTTTTGTTGTTCTAACAGCTACGTGGTCAGAGCCATTCAAAATCTAGCATAATTCAAAATCGATATTTGAATATTTGAATAAGATATTCATTTCAATCATAAATCCACGTCATAACAGAAATATGTAACAGGTACTACATACAGATGGCGGGGTAAAAATGGCGAGTACCTCAGCCTCCAGGGTTGATAAGTATCGCGGCAACCAAACCAACACAAGTCATCCAGATAATCCAATCATGCAGCCAAGGAATAATCCGCAAAGAAGAAAATTCCATTCAAAAGGGTATTGGATATCGTTTAGCAGACACCGTGCGACTTGCCGGTCTTACCCTGCAGCGAGTGCTTCTCGCCGTGGTAGGCGTGATGAGTACGCTTGTGGCGTGGATGGGCACGGTGGCTCTGCATGTGACTAGAGAAAAAAGAATGTTAGCAACCTTGGAAGTATTGGAGAGTGGTAATGGTTGTGTTTCAACTTACGCCTTGTACTTGGCCATCATGGACTGGTCCATATCCTCAAGAGTCTGCAAGGCCAGCTTGATATCGGTCAACAGGCTGTCGCAGCGGTTCATGCTGAAGTCCTCACGGACGACAACACGCATCAGCTGCAGCTTTTCACTGTGAGGAGCCATGGTGTACGCAGGAACAATCCAGCCACGCTCACGCAGCTGGTGGGCAATGGCAAACTCATCGTACACACGCTCCTTGTTCGGGGGCAGACGCCATGCAACCAAGGGCAGACCCTTGCCCTTGGTCTGGCTCATGATGATCATACCCATCTTCTCCAGCTCGCTGGACATGTAGTCCGCAATGCGGGTCAAGTTGACCATGATAGAGCGGAAACCGTGCTTACCCAGACGGATCAGCTGGTAGTACTGACCAATGACCTGAGCGGCACCCTTGGAGAAGTTCAGAGTGAAACTGGCCTGGTCGGCACCCAGGTAGTTGATGTTGAACACCAGCTCCTGAGGAAGGTACTCGGGGGAGCGCCAGATAATCCAACCGACGCCGGGGTAGACCAGACCGTACTTGTGACCGGAAACGTTGATGGAGATGACCTTCTCCAGGCGGAAATCCCACTCAAGCTCGGGAACAGTGAAAGGAGCGACGAAACCACCGCTAGCAGCATCAACGTGGATGGGGCAGTCAATGTTGCGCTCAACGAGCAGGTCATTGATACCCTTGACATCTTCGTACTCACCAGTGTAGGTGGTACCGATAATAGCACAGATACCGATGGTGTTCTCGTCAACAAGGTCGACAGCGGCCTTGGGGTCGATAACATAGCGAGAATCAGTACAGTAGACGTAACGCTCCTCGACGTCGAAGTAACGAGCGGCCTTCTCCCAGCAAACCTGAACAGCACTGTTCATGACGATGTTGGGTCGGGAGTAGTCCTTGCCCTCAGCCTTACGCTTGTTCTGCCAGCGCTTCTTCATGGCCAGTGTGCCCAGCATGATAGCCTCGGAAGAACCAATTGTAGAGGTACCCATGGCATTATCACCCTTGGGGTCGGTAGGAACATTGTACAGACGAGCGATCATGTTAACGCAACGGTTTTGGATCTCAGCAGAGTGAGGGTACTCCTCGTAGTCGATGAAGTTCTTGCTAAAGGAGTCGGTCATGATCTCCTCGATTTCCTCTTCCTGTAGAAAGCCGGGTCAATTAGCTGGTGATTCCTCATCATTTGTATGCTCATTCTTCAGATTTCATGCACATACCATGTAGGTGGTAACGAAGGAGGCCAAGCTACATGAATTGGTTAGTCTTCTTCATCATAATAGAATTATCATAGCTCCAAAACTTACTTCAGCTTGGGGTTTCCGTCCAAGCTCAACTCATCCTTGATCAGACGAGCAGCAACCTGACGAGGCATCTCATTCTCTGGCATCTCATGCTGGGGCATGTGGTCAGCAGCAAAGTGGCTGCCGTAAACATTGGCGGAGACATCAGCTTGAGTAGGAGCGTCACCAATGGTTTCAAACTCCCGGGTAGCCGGGTGGAAGACCTCGTCGTCCTTCTTGACAGTAGCCAGATGAACCATGATGGGCAAAATTGAAAGATTTAGAATCAAATTGAATATAGAAAGAGATGAAGAAGAAGAAGAAAAGAAAAGAAGAAACCAGAGAGAAGAGGAAGACGGAGACCTTTTTCTTTGGTCAATGTTATGTTAGAGAGAAACCCAAACACACGTGCGGGGACCATGACGCAGTGGATTCCATACTTGTTACTCTCAGACTCTCAGACTCTCTACTACGTACACTTTCCCTGTCTTCTCCCGCCTTTTCTACTATTTCTCTTCCCTCCAATTGGTTACCCCTTATGTTTCATATCCTTCTCCTTCAATCTCTATCACATTTCAATGTCTCATTTAACGCCCATAACTGAATCCTGTTCAATGTTGATTTTTGTTCTATGAAAGCTTGGATAAAAGCTTGGCAGAGGGGGATCCTCGCCAGCTTCTACTGGACTCCCGATACATCCGATTTTGCCCCTCATCATCTCCATTATTGACTGGGGCCACGTCTTTTTTTTCCCAATGGTTTACAAAAAAAAAATATAACCAAACTAGCGGTGTGGATCTAGATTGAAATGCACCAGGGTTCATCAGTGGTTATAAAACATGATATTTGCTAGCTATCAGGTTAAATGCTATGCGTTGGCCTTACCCCTCTTCCCTCCCGCCTTTACAGCTTACTGTGGCGCACCACGTTCTCAACCTCGGCGAATTGATAATAAAAGTCCAGACTATCTGGGTTGAGGAGAGTTCCAGATGGTTTGATCCGTTTGCCAGATACAATTTGCTTCACAGGAAGCTCCACTTTTTTCAAGTTTACTGTGGTCTGATTTCCCGAATTAGTTCAATGATTGTGTGGCTGCGCAAATGGGAGGGGGGATGGGGGTCCTACCGGGATTTCAGGGGTTTCAAAGATGAACATCGGAACGTGGCGCGGGCTGAGCTCAGTACGAATCGCTTTTTTAACTCGATTGGCTAGCTCCAGCGTCAAAGATGTTCCAGGCTTCATCAGCAAAAACAAGATCACCCGTTCATCGGTGTCAGATGGACGCCGCTGTCCGACACAAACCGAATCAGCGATTTCTTGCGGGAACTGGCCTTCAATCACTCGATAGATCTCTGCAGATCCAAATCGTACGCCTGATGGGTTGAGTACCCCGTCGGCACGACCGTGAAATACTAGCTGCTTGGTGGTTGGGTGGATCGACACAAAATCTCCATGGGTCCACACATCTGGGATGACGAACCAATAAGCTAAACACCTCACAGTGGAAGGAGGAAACAACAACACTTACTGTCGAATCTGCCGAAGTACGCATCATGGTACTTTTTACCGCTATGATCGCCCCAGAACTGCGTGGGCATGTTGGGGAAAGCTGAGGTGGCTACCAGATCTCCTGCAATCCCCTCCTCCACTGCAACGCCCTTCACACCATCACCTTCAATGGTCGAATCGTAGACTTCGACGGGGACACCCAGGCTGAAGCCAGCACATCCGCCAACGTAGACAGGAACTAAAGGATTGCCTAGACCGAAACAGCCAGCGATATCCGTGCCGCCCGAAATGTTATTCAGGCGAACATGAGCTGGAAATCCCTCATCGTAGAACCATTCAAAGAGACCATCTCGTAGGACCATTCCAGTACTGGTAACTACTTCCAGAGAACTCAGGTCGAGCAGGTCCCGAGGTCTGAGCTTCGCTCGTTCGAGCTCCTGTAGCCATCTCGGAGAAATTCCCAAATGCGTCACACTGCAGGATCAACTTGAATTAGCCCATGCTCAATGTTCTAGTACGGAGTGGAGTATTCTTGTCTAGGTTAGTACACATACCGCTCTTGAGCTGCCAGATTAGCCAATGTCATAAGGTCGGGGAGAAAGGGACTTCCGTCGTAAAGTATCACTCGCGACCCAAATATTAAACTCTGCATCGCGGACAAGTACATGATCCATCCTGTTGTTGTATACTGCAGCGCAACGCTCTGTGGCGTCATGCCAAAATGCAGACCACCTTCTTTATGTCCATTCATCAGAATGCCACCAACAGAGTGAACAATACACTTTGGCTGGCCCGTTGTACCTGAAGAGTAAACGACCAAAAAGGGATCACAGAACCGAACTCGCTCGAATTCAAGGCGCTCATTCCCAGCTGCCCTATTAAGATAGGCTCCTAGAGTCACAGCTCTCGGGACCTGGGTAATATCCGCTGGTGCCGATTGAAATCGCGGCATAGAAACGACACCCTGAAACCCAGAGATCGAATCCATCCCACCAACAATGTCCTTCATTTTACCTCGCAGGTCAATTGTCTTCCCATTATACACCGCGAAATCATCCATGAAAAGCCATCGCGGCTCAATCTGCAATAATCGATCCAAAACACCCTTCACACCCATATCCGTCGAACTAGACGAGAAGATCGCACCCAAAGCCGTGGTAGCCAGAAAGACGAGTAATGTATCGATGCTATTTGCCGAACAAACCGCAATACGATCGCCCCGAACAACACCACTAGCCTTCATGGCTTGAGCCAATGCACCAGTCTTCTTTCGCAACTCGCCCCAGGTAAGATGAACCACATCCTTAATGGCACCTTCGCGAACCTCGGTAATAGCGATCTTGTCGTCTTCCTTCCCGGATGTATCGCCTGCGCTTCGGGAGAAGAGAAGGTTCTCGGCGAAATTGATTTTCACACCGGCAAACCATTCAGGCACACTGTCCATTCGCGCGGACTCGTCTATAATCTTTGTGTAACTCCCCTCGTGGATGATCTTGAAATATTTCCAGCAGAAATCCCAGAATGCCGTGCGATTCTGGATGGAGTAGAGGTACATGTCATGGAATGACTGGAGTGATTTCAGTTAGAATTTCAAGTTAAATTCAAGCGTTATCGAAAAGAAAATCCCTACCTTTAGCTGCTTCCCAGTAGATTGCTCCAGGTCTCGGCGGAACTGGGCCATAGCCGTTGACTCGGGGTCTGGATGCTCCCATAGCTTCCGAGGGATAGGTATGGTTGACATTGCTGGTTATTCTTGTCTATTGACGAAAGGTGTATGGAAGAGTCTATAGAAGTTTCAAGGTTATTGAGTGAATAAAAGGCTGCATGATGCTTTATCAGCATTCCGAGCTCAAGTTACCGAGGCTCCTGTTTACTTGAGTAAGTATAGGCGAGGCGGGCCGCGCCCCTCCCCGTGGGGACTAACATGACCCCGCTTATCTGTAAAGGTTGTATGCAACTTGAATGTAATAGTAGGTGGGACTTATTAGTCTGTGCTACATTCTAACCTTGGAAGCGATAATTTTATACTAGTCATAATGTGACTATGTACTGAGTATTGCTAAGTTATGAAGATGTATTAACATTGAATTCAATTATGTTTGATTCAGGCTATGAATGCAGTTGATGCTATCTTCCGAGGTTAGATCTAGTTTCTGAGTCTTTTTCAGAACAGCTCAGTTATGCGCGCAGCGGCCTTCTCCAGTTCCGCCCTCGTACTGCAAAAAGCAAAAACAAACCGATCAAGTCTCAAAATGGCGTATCGATTTCCTCGGGCACTCTGCCACATCAGCATCTCATCATACCCGTACGGCTCTGCTCGTGATGCACAAAGAGGTGATTTGGAGAATTCGTCACTGGTAGCACTCCGAAACAACGGGCGCCCGTAGTCTTCACCTGTAACCTTGGCTATATATCGATTTCGGGGTACGAAGAAAGTAGCTTCTTCCTGTGAGAGAAAATCACTGTTTTGACCAATGCCTTCCATATCTTCAATCGCGGAATCAAGCTCTTGAACGTTGTCCAATAAAACCACAATCTGGAACATCTTCTTCTTCCCACCAAAGATAAGATCATCTGTGAACTGCACCGAGGACCCTGGTTGAAGTCCAATACAGTATATCTGAGGAAAATAAAGACCTCCTCCAAGCTCCGGCATGAATGGCATACCAGGTGAATGTGTATACTGAGTCGGAGGTTCCCCTCGAGGACCACGTTCCAGCCAGTGTTTCCAGGAAGGAACTTTCTGGATCAGCCATAGTCCCCAGTCGCGGACGAATATCGGGATCGAGCCCTTCCCGTTGACCATATCGCCGTTGCGGACAGTCACTCTGAGGGATTTATCCAGTTGTTGTTTTCGTTCAAGGTACCACCCTTCAAGGAGACCATTGTAATCGAAAGTCGACTCGCGTGAGCATGCGATAGCAAGGCGCCAGGAGAGCGATATGGCATCTCGGAATCCAGATGCAATTCCCTGGCCTCCGACTGAACAGAATCATGTGAGCTTTTTCCTCTTCTTTTATCTGACTCGGTGAGAAAACATACACGGTGGAAATACATGAGCTGCATCACCAGACAGAATCACTCTGTCAAGCGCCCATTTGTTGCAGCTTCTTGCTGAGAATCGGAATGGTCGCGATCGGAGAACTTCAATGCAGTCTTCTGGAAATGCGACATCTTCCTTCAGCCTATAAAATGAGTTAATACCCCAAGCGCCACTTGGTAAGATAAGATCGCAACTCACCCGTAGCGACTACCAGGATGTGTAAGATATGGGTGTACCACCTCGCGTACTTTATCCTGTTCTGCCATCGCCATGTCATCTTCATCAGGCGCAACGACAAATTCAAATCGCCAAAGTCGATCTTCAGGGAGTCCAAATCGCCCACAGACAGCTGGCCTCTTAGGATTGCACAGAAAGCGGAACTCGGTCGGGAAAAAAAAGATCATACACTTCTTGCGGCGTGTGTCCCAGATCCCACAAAGGAAACGAAGGGTGAGTCTCTTTTGTCGGAAGATGAAGTTTCCAATTGAGCGCAACCCAAGTTTCTTGATATTTGGTCCTATCTTCATATGAGTATATTGAATTCTTGTGATCAGGTGGTTATCATACGGCTCTGCCCATTCCAGCTGAATGCCTTTGGGCTCCAGGTACATTTTTCGTGTGAATCCCGTCTTTCCATCAGCAGCGACCAGAAACTTTGCACGAATTCGCTTTTCTACCCCGGAGTCATCGTATATGGCGTAGACCCAGTCTTTATCTTCAGATATCGAGGTTAGTGCGCATTTGCTTCTCAATGTGCTACACGCTGCTTTCTCGATTGAAGTCCGAAGATACTTCTCCAGGACTGGTTGTTTGTGAGCGAAAAGACCAACATGTCCTGTATTTCCTTCGACCTTTCAAAATTATCAGAAAATGATTGTTATTGAAGATAGGATAGAAGCTTACCGAGCCAATATCAAACGAAAGAAATGGCTTCATTTGTAGATTCTTCTCAGCCCCACTCAGAAAATGACATTTAGACATGCCTAGATGGAGTGTTATTTAGTGAGTTCATTCAAAAGACAAGGGACTTGGTGAAGCTACTAACTGGAACCGATCTCTGTGAAAAAGTGTTCATACAAGCCAAGGCCTTGCACATATCTGATTCCATCATCGTCGAGAGCAATCCCACGCGGATCAGTTGTGATAGCAGCTTCTTTCTCCAGAACGATATTGTTGACTTCAAGTTGGCCCAAATAACCGGATAACATTGCTCCTGTGGGGCCGCATCCACAGATCAGAACATCGGTTGTTTCCCACTCTGGGTCCGCCATAATTTGTTATTATCCGATATCTTCCAAGGTTTATTCGAGTATCAGAAGAGTGTATAGCTGCAGGATTGTGATGTTTATTTAAGATCTCCTCTTTTGACCGCATTTAGACTCAAGACATTCCGAATCCTCTGCAACGCCGCGGTTAACGATGTGGGGACAATACGCGTCAACGAGGATAAGTCCCAACGCTGAGAATAGGACCCTCAAGACTCACATATGCAGCAGAGCAACATTCGGAGTCAAAAAAAAATATGTACGAGTAGTTCTAATTTTCGGATCTACAGTCTTGTTTTTGTCCTAATAATTCATAGCTTTGGAAGGATCTCGTATTTTAGCACATTGCCCATTGGTGCTAATGCAATCCTGACGGTCTCGGCCTCTTTTTCCGTAAATCCGAAGTAGTGATGAAACCACCAGGACTACTAGGCTCCATTGAATGTCTTTTTTGTTGAGAAGGTCACCGAGATTACGATCATTTCAATTCCTGCTGCATCTGCTGTGTAGCGTGATCATCACTGCAAAGTCATGCAGAAGCGGAATTCGGCACTCGGCCTCATAACCAGTATCAATTAATCAACACACTTCTGTAGCACCTCAATCTCGTTCCTGGCCAGTTAAATTTGAATCAAAATGAGCAAACTGAATTTTCATGATAGCATTCGAAGGAAATAACAGCCTGTTTGGCCTCGCATTAACACGTGTCAGTAATAACCCGGGCGCCGAAATCCTTCAAGGCCACGGTGTGCGCTTCTTTGCATGCTTTCGAGTATGCATCTCGGCTGCAGGCTATTACAAGTGTAGTCACCGCAGTCTTTTTTGGTTCCCTTGACAAGGCCCTTCAGTTTCAGGATCTCCTTATCAAGAAACGTGCGGGTTTCGTAGAGACGAGGCGATCACTGTGTGATCCTTATGCTATGAAAAATCGCTGAACCGGTGTCACTGGTTTCATGGAATAGAACGGGTAAAATGATGCGTGCCAGTGGTATGTTTGCAACCGAGTTGCGATACCTTCCGCACTGGAAGCCTCCACCGTCAAGTGGTGGTACCCGCGATGGAGAACATACACTGAAGAGCGGCTCTGAGTAGATCCATTTCTCTACGAGCGCCACAATTCTCCATCAACGGACTTCGAAAACTGGAGGTGGGGAACCCGATTTTGGCGCCTATTCGCATAACTATGTTGCGGGGCTTGCGTAAATACAGCAATCAATATGGGCTTGGCTCACCTCTAAACTGAACACACATTGGATCTGCTTTTCGGACGATTCCTTGCATTGTAACTTGCACATGTGTGCTTGCTTAACATGATAACTAAGCTCTCTCAGTCAAATTAAGCGAATTGAGTGGTGTTTAAATTGGACTCTACATGCAAGGAACTGCACACTAGCAGTATTGTATGATGGAATGAATAAACTGAATCGAAGTAAACAAAGAACTTGAAGACTTGAATATACTAGATTGAAGCCCGGGGTTACATGATCGCGCATACAAACATGTAAGAAAGACAGAAACATCTATTCCATGAATTCGGCTGGTACGTCAGGTCCCCAGACAGCTAGACTCTCATTCCCTGCTTTCAAATACCCAACTGGTGTGTGCTGATTCACTAAATCGCCATCGGCATAGTGCTCCACCATATTGCCCGTAGTGTCCCACCAATAATCGAAAATCTGGGATCCCAGAATATGACGCCCGATGCCCCACACAGAGGAATAGCCCTTCTTGGCAAGCCACTGGTGTCCCAGATGCTGGGTGTCGTAATCATGCACCTCGAAAGAGCAGTGGTGGACATGCGCTGCTCCATCGGGATTCGCACTCATGAAAAGCGTGTGATGATCCACGAGAGTGTCTCCAAGATCAAGGTGAGCAAACATGGCTACAAGAATCTTTTGGCCCTCGTGTTCAACATATAAAAGGTCTGAGGGGACGAAGTTGAAATTCGATGTGTAGAAGACGAGCATTTCTTGGAATTTCGTTGTTGTGTATCCGTAGTGACCCAACTAGAATATTGATATTAGTGAGAGTTCAAAATTCGAAGTCATTTGCATTTTGACTGTACCTTGTGGACAGCAGCTGGGCCAGGATCAAATCGAAGGAACTCTCGACGTCTCGGCTTTTCACCAGGGTAATTGAGGGTAACCACCTCTGGATGGGATACCTCAGCATTTACTGGTTCCTGGCCGAATATGACATTGATTGGGAATCCTTCCGGATCAGTGATAGTCACTAGAGAGCCACCTCCAGGAGCATTTTTCAGTTCTTCCACCGCGCTGGCAGTGGAGAGCTTTGTTGCTCTGCCAAAATGTTAGCGATTTGTTTGAGGCTAGAAGATGTGGGAGCTCTTACTTCTCAAAATCTTCTTGACTCTGAGCTTCGAATGTACCGCCCAGGAACTTCTTCGGTCCTTTGCGAGCATAGTACACGTATTGATCAGATCCATACCCCTTGAACCAGATCTCTTCTTCGGTTTTCTTTGCAATTTGCATTCCGAAATCTGCAGAACTTAGAAATCATCCAATGGTTCTCCAAATTATGCGGAATTGGAAACATACCGATCATAAATACTTGAATCTCTTCAAGATCAGGATGCTGATATCGCATATGAGACAGTTTTGTCAAGCTCACGCGATCATTGGTGTTGATATTCTGCTTTGCCAGCCATTCTGCTTGGGACTCATTTCCTTCACCGACCGCAAGGATATCAGGCACAGAGCCCCCGCGGTTTGGTTGAACAGTTTCTTTTGTCATTTCGCGGTCAAGTGGTTATACCGGTCTAATTGAGAGAGTATAGGTAATGAATGTGGAGAACCATGAACTTGTTGTGTTTATGATGATACTTTTATAATATTCATCATACACAACTAGCACTGGAGGGATCTTCGGAGCCCCGCCACCGTGTTACTATTTCGGATCCCCGCAATATTATGCAGGCGCGATCTCATCTATCCCACTTCCAAGGTTCCCTTGTGATTGATCCCACATCACCCACATTCGGATATGGATTTATGGATATACGAATCACCCTCCCCGCTTATGCCTCCATACTTATACAGCATGCGCATGTGTCAGAGGGGAAGATATTGTCCATTCCATTTTGATATTTACTATGGCTGCTTTTAAGAAACTTGTGCGCTTTTTTGATGGTGCTCGGGTTCACTATGGTGACCTGCTTGGTGTCGCTGAAAACATCTATACTGTTCGAAGGTTGGAAGGGAATGACTTTTCCCAGTTGAAAACGACAGAGGACATCCACGATGTGACCACGGTATGTTGAATTGATGGTGGGTGTCATCACTGTAACTAACTTTGTTGTCTAGCTGTTGTGCCCGATTGAAAGCACCTCAATTGTCCTTTGCATTGGACTCAACTATAAGAAGCACGCGCAAGAGGCAAATGTAAGTTGAAGTCTTCATCTGTAAAGAGATCACCCTGATGCTGATTAGTTTTCTCGAATAGCTCCAAGTACCCAAGTACCCTACTGTGTTCATTAAGCCTGCAGATGCACTTGCTGGCCCCTTTGAAGCCATTGATATCCACCCTGACGCGCGAGAGATGCTCGACTACGAAGGCGAACTAACGGTCGTGATATCCCGAGATGCAAAGAATGTCTCTGAAGAAGATGCGCTAGACTATGTCTTGGGTTATACCGCTGGAAATGATGTGTCCGCGCGCCACTTTCAACTTCCTGCCGATGTATCTGGAGGCCAATTCTGCTATGCCAAATCCTTTGACAAGTTTGCTCCCATCGGTCACACCATTGTCTCCGCACAAGAGATTCCAGACCCACAGGATCTACAACTGAGAACCAAGGTCAACGGTGTCGTCAAGCAAGAGACTAGCACAGGAGACATGATCTATACTATTCGGCAGATCATCAGTCATCTCTCGCGGGGAACAACTATTCGCAAGGGAACACTCATTATGACGGGTACTCCTTCTGGAGTGGGACTATTTAGAAAAGAGTTCTTGAAGCATGATGATATTGTTGAGGTGGAGATTGATGGGGTTGCAGCGACCAAAAATCGGATCCACTATAGTTGAGAAGGTCACCGTGGTAGAATCTCGGATATCTGGACTTAAGGATATCTCCAGAGCTGGACTTAAGGCGTATGCCGCGCATCCATGGATAGGCCCCGCATGATAGATCCCACAAATAAATCTGGCGTTTGCCCCTAGTATCACAAGCTTTCACATCCACTAGAATAAGAGCAGAATCTTCTAGGCTTAGTTTCATGGAGCCCCTGGCTAAAGTGGAAATTCTGGGGAACTGGTGCGCATGTTACTATTGCATAGTGAAACTGCCACCAACGCGGAGAAAGCGGGGAGAGCTCCCCGGTGCCGGATGACCACGGACCCTTACTCCATCAACTACTACTCAATCTTGAATTTTTCATGGTTTCTTGATCATATTCCTTCTGAATTGAATTGAAAATGTTTCAAGGATCCAAGCCTCAATCAAAGTCCATATATGGTGGCGTCAAGGCTCATCGTCGCCGCAAGACTTCCAAAGAAGAGCGGATCTGCCCTGTGTGTACTCAAGGGTTCAAGAAGGCGGAGCACTTGGCTCGCCATTTGAGGTCACATACAAAAGAAAAACCTTTCAATTGTCCTGTGTGTGATAAGGCTTTTGCACGACAGTAAGTGTCTCCCATGCACTCATTGAGATATGTTTCATTAATCTCCATTTCAGGGACACTCTCTTACGCCACTCACGGTCTCATCCAACAGCAGATGTGTTGTCAGACGCCTTTTACATGCCATCTCTGTCTACTCAAGGTAATCACGAAAGCAGTCCCAGCCAAGAGTCTCGATCTCCCGCTCTCAAGTCCTTTGACACCCCGTCAGCCTCATTCCAATTGAATTCTATATCAATGCCAGGAGACATCATGACTCTAGTATCGCCTCCAAACAGCACTTCTATCGACAAACCAACCCCGAATTTCTCTGCTGGTGATGAAACTGCGTATCCGACTCAAGTGAGTCCATTGACCTCGCTTTTCCCTCTGGAAGCCGCGGACACATGGCGGCATCAGCAGTCGAGTCTTCTACCCGGTCCATGGGACTACCAGATAGATAACCGAGATTTGGAGGCTTTGCTTACAGGAGATGACTTTGATCTCGATGCTGTGAATCTCTCATTGTTATATGCGACTTCAGACCATGTGCCCACGACAGACACGATGCCCGACTTAGATGATATTCGACCTTTGCAGCTAGAGTTTCACATTGACACGAACTCTACTGAGAGACATGCTAGTGTGGTTCAGAAAAAATGGCACACTTTTTCCGAAATTCCCCTTTCCGGTCAAATAACTCCTGTTGTACAGTCTGAGAACAACCTCATTGACGACTCATATCGAAAACGACTAGCAGAACGGCTCCAACAAAGGGTACAACATGGGATTCTACCTTCCACTCCTTTTCTTGTATGAATCTGGCATTTTCCTATTTTTCCATCAAAATACTAATGACTATTCAGGATTTGTGTGTCCAAGCGTATTTCTCCAAATTTCACCCTCTATTCCCAGTGGTGCATATGCCTACATTCCGACCGGGTATCCGGACTGCTGTTCTTCTTCTGTCCATATGCTCCGCGGGAAGTTTATTAATAGGCTCACCGCGCGCAGTGTCGCATGGTATTAGTATGTTTGAGAGGCTCAACAAGGCTACCCTCTCTTCGGTATGAACACTTGATAAACTGGTTCGGACTGGGCTTTGCTAATAACTTGCAGTGGGACACATACGTCACTAAGGCAGGAGGGTCCTCTCTGATTGCTTTGCAAGCGTCTATAATAGGACAAACTTTTGGCCTTGTAATGGGGGTATGGATATCATTTAACCGCAAGTTTAACATGGGCTCACCATTATTCTCAATAGCGGCCAAAAGACCTTGCTGGGATTGAAATGTTTCATGGAACTGTAATTGCGGTAAGTATTTTACAATTATTCTATCAGCTCTTTGAAAAATCGGTTTAATGACAAAAAATAATTGGAAAATTTCAGTGGGCACGAAAGGGGAAATTCTTCAACCTGGAGCACCCAGAATACAATTTTTTCGACGCCGATGGGCAGACATTGGAAGATACATGGCTATCCTGGGTTCAAATAGAAGTCAAAAAGAGGTGTGCCATTTTCTGAAAGACTAGTATTGAGCCAAAGCTAACTTAATATTTCAGAATAGTTATGGGTTTACACATTCATGACGCCGAACTTGCGAAAATTCATCACCACGAACCTCTCCTCCGACACGGAAGCAACCGTCTCCCCCATCTCTCCTCGAACGAGCTCTTCGCAGCCCCCAGCGCAGCTCAATGGAAAGTTCTAATGACTGAAGTTCAAATTAAAGCTTCTTCTCTAGAATATGCCCCTCCATCACCATCAACTCAACCCTCAATCTGCAACAACTTCCCCTCATCGCCTATACCGAGTGACTTTGCCCTATGCGGAATACTCCAATCAATCAGCGCCCTAGTTTGCGAAGAGCAAGGTCATAGGCCCAAATTCTGGTCATCAAAAACAACCGAAAATCATGATCTCCTCAAATCCTGGTACCGCACATACCATTCCAACATGGTTGGCAAACCAAGCTGGTTTTGTTTAATGATGCTCTGGCACTCCGTCTTCATGAATCTGCACTCGGATTTCAATGCTTTGGAATGTGCATTGGGACGAGAAGGCTACGACGTGGCACAGCGGTATATCCCCTACGCACGAAACTGGGTTCGTTCCACGGATGCAAAGCGCTGTCTTTTACATGCAATGTTAATCCAGAAAAACTTCGAGTCCCTCCCTGCGGGTGTGGAGCCCGCGATCCACGTTCCTATGTGTTTGTATCACTGCGGGCTTGTATGGGCATGTTTTATGTGTTTCGGTAATAGCAACCAGGATTCAGAGCCGATCAATATCTCTGTGGCGGATCAGCTACAGTTTTCAGAATTGAAACTGCATGGCGTTGATGCTATTGGGGCTTTCTTGGAACAGACTGGCAGGCTGCAGCCTGCGAAACTGGCAACCGGGTCCTTATTTCGAGTTATTGATTTATTACAGCGGATCAGTCATTGGAAGATCTCGCAGAGTTTGGCGTCGACTCTTTTAGCGCTGGTTGAGGAGACACAGGATTTTTTCTGATAAGCGGATATACCCATACCCGTTGATTCTTGTAAATATGGGGTACCGTTGAAGATGTACATGTAGTTCATCAGATAAATTCTCAATTCTTACTCTATATGGTTTTCAGGCTATGGCCAACATCATAAATGAGTCGTATGTATGGTGCTTTTCTTGATCTCGGAATCATCCGGGTGTCAATTAATAATTCAAATGTTTACATGGTGGTTGAACGCCCCATGGTTGACCCAAATAGGTGCCCGCTATAATACCCTAGTCTACATTCGGTTACTTTGTTAGACCTTCTTTTTGTGATATTCTTCGATTTTTCAACAATTCCTTTATATTGACTCAAGAAAAGTCTCATCTTCTCAGAAGTAACCAACTGAGAATTCAAGTCAATCACAATGGCTTACGTCCACTTTCATGAGCCTACCGAGTGGACACCATCAGTCCCCCTCCTCGATACAGATGGCTCGCCTCTCTACGAAACAGACTATACAGAGCCCTTTTACTCAGCATCATCACGGAAAACGACATTCCAATGCTTCATAGATACACCACCAGCTACTCAAAGAATTATCTACTCGCCCCCGGCGAAACAGCTACGCTAGACCCATTCTGGAATGCTGCTGCAAGTGGTAGCACGGAATCTCTCAATATTCTACTCGATTACTATCGCGACGAACCGTCTCCAGTGGAACCACTTGAGAAACGGCATTTCTCACTTGCAACAACAGCTGCTTCACATGGCGAACTCGAGACAGTAAGTTGGCTATTAGATCATGAGTCCCTATTGGAATCACTCCATATCCCGAATCCAGATTATGGGTCGATACTACTAGCTGCGGCTGGCTCATTATCAGTCCTGGGGCTTTGAATTCCGCGCCCTTACAATGATCTCAGTGCCTGGCTACGTGATCGCGTGTTTCGTGGGGAGAAATTGATCCAATTCTTACTTGAGAGGGGCGCGTCTCCTTGTACTACTGAGCTTGCTCCTCAACCACCCAGCGAAGATGGCGAAGGGCTCGTCGCTTGGTCCAGTTTTATTCTTTGTTCTGGTTTCGATTCCCAATCTCCGGAACAGCCAGTCGATGATGTTCTCAGCCAGGCTGTCTCGCGTGCTGGGTATGGGGTGGTTAAGCAGCTCATTGATGCCGGTGCGGATGTACATGCAAAACATAGACATCTGGATCAGCATCTATTTGACATGAATGATATCCATCGCGATTCTACAGCGCTGCATGTTGGCAGCTTGTACTGGAATAACGAGGGTATTCAGGCTCTACTAGATCATCATCATACAGGCAGTGCCAACCACAGTATTAGTGAGATGGTATGCTCACTCGATGGGAATGGCCGTACTCCACTTCACTGGGCAGCAAAAGGCTCTAGGCTAATTGGATGTTTACTACCTGATGAAGAACTTGACTTCCGCCTTGTTCGTACTTTTAAAGCACTCTTGGCTGGTAGTTCTGAGATGGTTAATCACAAAGATAAAGATGGATTGACACCGCTTCACTATTTTATTCAGCTTCATGCTGGGTGTGGTGAGACTAAACATTTCGAAAATGCCTTGAGGATCTTGCTCAAAGCTGGAGCGGACCCGAATATCAAGGATAATAAGGGCCAGTCTTCTCTACATCTACTCGCCATTAACTCAATCGATAGCGAGCCACTTAATCCTAGCATACTCGATCTACTTTTGGCTCGTGGTGCAGGTATAAAGGATGTTGATAAGGACTGGAGTACCGCATTCCACATCATGGCCAAGAATCTTCGACAGATTGAGGCGGCAAAGACCTTGTTGAGTGCAGGTGCTGATCCTCGTGCTGAAAATGCAAAGGGGAATACACCGTTTCATGAATTGATGCGGTTCGGCATGTTACGGTTCAGACCCCGGGATTGTGTACGCAGGCTAGAGGATGACAAGGTGATGGTTGATGATCGAATCAAAGCGCAGGATGATATGTTTAATGCTTTGAGAGATGCAGTTTGGGATGGGATGATGGATCAACCCAATGCAGCGGGGATACACCGAGACAATTACGAGTTGAGGCGAGGAAGAAATGGTGGGAGTATGAGGAGAAGAGGAAGCGGATTTTGGCAAGGGGATGAGCTCGTCGAGTGGACAAACCATAACGTTGGAGGACTTGAAGCTTGTCAACTGGTGTTCTCCTTTCCTCCATCTGCTAAAACACTATACCATCGACCCTGAAAATACCAATATGACCTCCACATATCGATGTCCAAGCTGAAGCAGAGCGGATTCCGGAGGATTTCCTGCCAATTCCACCTGTGCAGTTGTCACTATGTACCCAAGTGCTCCGTACTCCGTTCATCGTATCAGCCTCGCGAATAATACCATCGCCACCCCTTACTCGTCATCGACTCCACCCAAGACCCAGACCCTCAAAATCTGCACAATGACAAGATGATCATCAATAGCCCCATAAAGATGTACTTACACACCCACTTTACTCCGTGCTCCATCAATGTAAATCAATTGATGTGATTTAGGCTAAGATCGAGCGTGGACCAGTTGACGCAAAGTAGCGGTGAAGTCCCAACAAGGACCCATCAATTGATTACAAGAAAGGAATAGTAGAAAAGAAGAAAAGATAAATAATAAGAGAATCTCCTTAAGAGATTTTATTCAATAAGCACTAATATATAATTTCGGTGTATCATCAAAAACCTTGACTGGAAAAAAGAAAAAAACAAAGGAAAAAAGGAGAGAAACAGAGGCAATAACCTCAACGAATCTCTCACACCAGCAAAACACGTCACGCATCACGCATATCGTACATCCCATCCCAAATCAAGAACCTGCTAACCGATCTGGAAGCCAAGCAAATTGATGGGGGTAAGACATTAAAGGAGAAATTACTTGAACATCCGCTTCAAGCGCGCGAAGAATCCACCCTTCTTCTTCTCGGCCTGCTCGCTGGTCTGGGGCTCATCGGCCTTGGACTCAGCACCCTGAGCAGGGGCAGAAGCAGCAGGTTCTTGAGCAGAGGGAGCAGCCTCCTGCTGAGGCGCCTCTGTAGCCTTGGTCTCCTCACGCTTCAAAGCAGCCTCGGGCTTCTTCAGCTCACCCTCAGCAGCGGCCACAGCACCCTTGTCGGACTTGGAGCTGTTCAAGGCAGCGTTGGCAGCCGCGACGGCATCTGGGTTCGCCTTGCTGGGAGATCCGGCAACAAGCTTGGACTCAGCGATAGGCTTAGACTCGGCGACAGGCTTGGAGACGGGGGTGAAGTCGGTGGTAACGGTGGGAGCTGCAGCCACGGGAACGGGCTCAGGAGCAGTGTATGCGGCTGTAGAGGCGGGACCGGCACCAGCCAGGTTCTCGGGTGTCTCGGTGACAGCCTGCTTCTCTTCCTCCTCGGTCTTGGCCATCTTGGGTGGCTTGACCTCGTCGTTGGAGAAGATGGGCTTCTCGTAAGGGCGCTTGGTGTGCGCAGCGTCGAGAGTCTCGGAGGGAACTGTCGCGGGCTCGCCGTGGTTGTGAATGGCAGCGGCGGCGGTAGCGGGGGCCTTGGTTGACTCGGAGGTCTTGGGGCGCTCAGGGAGAGAGTTCTCGAGGGCTGTGGTACCAGCAGCGGTGGAGGTTGCAGATTCTTCAGCAGCAGTCTCGCTGGTTGAGGGGTATATCTCGGCGCCAACGCTAGTCTCCTTGACAGAGCTCTCGGGGAGGACAGCTGTGAAAAATGTGAGTGAATCGTTCGTTTCGCTTTTTTTTGCATATTTTTTTATGGAGGGGCTCTGAGCTTACACTTGACCTGCTTCTCACCAGCATCCAGGGAGCTAGCCTGAGCATCCTTGGAGGCCTGGGCCTTGTCTACAGCATCCTGCACGGTGGTCTCGGCCTTTTGAGTCTCGGGGACAGTTTCAGGCTTCTCGGCCTCCTCGACCTTCTTCTCGGCCTCTTCAACCTTGGTCTCGCTTTCCTCAGCCTTAGAGTCGGTCACTGCAGCCGCAGCGGGGGTCTCAGTGGCTTGCGATTCAATAGGAGCTTCTGTCTGCTCAACGGACTCGGGCTTCACGTCATTTGTGGGTGTCTCTTCACTGGGGTTACTATTGATGGTCGAAACAGGGATTAGCGGGTTTGCGCTCCAAACGGTTTTGGTCGATCATAACGGTTCCGTCGTCATGCGACCAACCAAAAAAATCATCTGCGCTCTCACTGGCGCAAATGAGCCCAAGGCCCGGAAGATAGTTTATGACTTACACATTCTCAACCTTGTCAGCGACCTTGTCGACAGCAGCAGCAGCGGTGGCCTTGGCGCCACCCTTCTTCTTTCCCTTGCCACCTTTCTTGGCCATTGTTGAAATAAGGAAGTTGTGTTCTGTGACCACGGTCAATAAGTGTGACGATTGACAAATGCGCGCAATGTGAGCTCACTTGAGAACAATTGGTGATTACCGATGACAGGTAAGAGATGGAAAGAGGAAAGATTGAGAAGAATAAGAGTGTGTCGGGAGTGGGCCAAGTAAGGGATGGCGGCGATCCGGTATGCTGGATTGAGCTCCCTATCCGTGGTTCCTACAATACTGACGATGCAAAGGTTCTGGAACGAAGGGAAATTGCTTTATGACAATGGGGCCTTATTACGTAGAGGACAAATGGCCTATTTCTACTAACTCTGAAATTGAAGTGTTTATTATTGGAAACATTGAAACAATTCATTTCAATGTGGCCGTGTTTACCCGTCACAAGTCCAACATCACCAGGGCAATTCAACGACCCGGGAACAGATATGACCAGTTGACAGTCGATATAGAATCCCAATTGCTTTCTTCTTTCTAGTTACTCTGAATGCGATCCCTTTCATAGTTCCGCACTCAGATGTCGTGTGCCTCCTGCAGCGCGCTTGGACCATACTGCAGCCCTAATGCCGGATCGGGTAATAGGGCTGCTGCGAGTGCTCGCACTAAGGGGGCGACAGGAGGCTCGAGGGGGCGATCTGGGGTTGACCGTTATGACCCCTTTACTTGCAAGGTAGATCATTTTGGGCTCCTAGATAACAGCTTGGACACATGTCTCTAGGTACTAAGTAGTCACTACGTGGATTAATACTCCAGGGCTATCTCATCTTTTCCCCTCTAAGGATGAGAATGCACTGACATTCCTGAGCACGGCAGGGAAATGACATCATTCCAGAGGCTCCATAATCAAAATAGTATAAAAATAAACCAGTTGATCTGAAAGCGATTTCGGGCTTATTTTTGTTCATCGTAATCAAAGGCATCCTTGGATGCCTCGGCGGCAAAAGCACTGCCAGGACCCACGAGTGTCTGGGTGGGCTGTACAATGAAAAGCGCAATGATGTCAATCCATGGGTATTCATGCAAAGGACGCGTGTGCAATACATGTCAATGTAAATATTATGGACTTTGATCGAACCTTGGAAAGTTTCGGAAGACTCAAAGACATGGATGAGATGAATGCCAGGTGTGTTTGCATTGATCCTAAGTAAAATGGATATATATCTGGGACCAGACTGTATTGTACTGCATAAAACATCATGATGCCAATATCAACTCCAACTGTCCAGGACTCTCGTAGGGATATCACTAGCCAGAGCGATCGGAAATAGACTCGGAGCAGAGACGGATAGAATAAAAAATGAAAAAGATATTGTATTCTTTCTTGTAAAGACCGCAATAATAACTCCGATATTTGCCTTATGAGACAAAAGAGAATCATTGCTGGAATCGAATACGCCGTTCTGCATATAAAAAGAACCAAAAATATTGACCGACGCAGGGGTCGAACCTGCAATCTCTTGATTCGTAGTCAAGCGCCTTGCCATTGGGCCAGCCGGCCTTGTTGAAAAGATTGCAAAAGTTGGCTACATGAGCGGAAGCCTATTGTAGTGGAAAAAAATGGCAAAAAGTGGATATTCTTAGTCATCACTCGGCATCTTTGTGCCGAGAAATGGATGCAAACACCACAAACTCACCGGTAGATTCCGGTTTTCTCCTCTTTGCTGACGTCTCATATTCCCCATGATGCAACCTATGGTCGGTGTTCGGTGGTCCGGTCGCTCCTCTTTACTCCTCTTTCCGTGGGGGTCTTCGGGTTCTGGAAGCCTTCGCTGCATAACGTAAACTTTCTACGAGTCTCCAGGCACGATTGATGCACGGGATAAATCTTGTCCTTGGTTCGTCTGACACTGACAACTCCGGCCATGATTCATCTCTAATAAAGAGCCAAGTCAAATGATCTTAAAATTGACCGATTGCAGCCATTATTCATTCTCAATAGTCACAAGTGTATAATTCCATTATCGCTCCTCCGGGTTAGTCCGATCGGGATCATCGGGCAATCAGCGCCTTCATAGTGGTAATGGTCCCAAGTCGCGCCGCCGGTGTGCGAGTAGCGCCCCCCTCGCACAGACAGTGGATATTCTGCAGAACCAATGACGGGGCTTTCTTAATCCAATTATCTGGAGTAGCACTGGGGAGTCGAGGGGAAAAACAGACTGGGACATTGTTCTATACGGAGTCCGCTGTAAGGCATTGGAAATAATACACCGGATCGGGGGCCGGACATTGGTTCATTCCCACATTCCCACGGTTCAAATGTTCCTGGGCTTATCGCGCGTACTTCACTGTACATCACTTTGTGCCCTGTTGCATCCGAGTTTCATTTCCCTCATATTCGCCCCATCTCGCTACTGACCCGCCGGCCTTTTTCCTTCTTCTTTCCTACTTTTCTTTTTTTTTCTTCCTTCAAACCCACTACAATCTCAATACTCTGTCAAGCATAGAATGGTCATACAGTTTATCGACCGTCTTGTTCCTACGTGCTTGCACATCCTCCGCGTCCGTTCCCAATCCGGGATTGGTCTGCACCTGTGAGGCCTGAATAGTTCCCTTACCAACACCACCATCTTTCAACTTTCAAAATGACGTTTCGTGAGAGAGTCAGAAGAGTGTTCCACCGCTCATCCAACAGTACCAGTCAACTCAATGGAAAACCAAAAGTGGAATACTATCGTCGCAATGAGGTTCCCCCTCCAAGTTTCGGGGCCCATTTGATAAGGAACACCAAAAACGTTTAGCCGCTTGGTCTTTTGACCGCGCTATGGAGGAACGCCCACGTTCCCTGGACCTTTCCTTATCACCTTGCGCCACTTTTGATAACCCATGTCCATTTGATTCGGATGATACTGGCGATATCTCTCCTGACGATGATGGTGTTGCTATCGACCCAGGTATGTAAAAAGAAAAACACCATCACACCAACCCCGGGAAACTTCTCCTTCTGCCCCCATCCGAGAAACGACCCCCTAAACCGGAATCCCCCCCATGGTGAAACAATAAATTTAAAACATCTCCCTGACGTCCATCGCCACAGCTATTTGGGACTCCCCTGTCTCCCCCATTTCCACTGACTCGCCCCGCCCTGCCAACACGGGCTCTCAATCATCCACTGTCGTCAACTCCGACAGCTACAATGGGTCGATGATGACCCTTCTGCCAGAACCCTCTGTCTATGAGATTCCAGAGGATCCCATCATCCAGTTGAAAGAGTCAATCCGTTACACATCACCCATCGTGCGCTCCATGTCACCTGCTCCAAACTTGAAGTCGGCTCCATATCCGACAAAGCAGCTGCCATTTGCTCCCGAGGATCTCACCCGCGCCTTGATCGGTCTACAGGTCTGCGCGTAACCTTGTACACCCTTACCCGCTTATCCTCTTTTCTTGTTACACATCCCGGAGAGTGTCCTTAGTATCCTTTTTATTACCCTTTTCCTCTATTGTCGGCTTATCGTCCTGGTTTGATGATTCTCGATTTTCCTTTTTCATCCCTTGCTTTTTTTCACCTGGGATTTCTTATACGATCGGTTCCTATGGAACTTGATGTGTCGCTACTTGCTTCCGAAGGAACACTATCACGACCCTCACACGAACCCTCCGATCGGAACGATGGTCATTCTGACATCGGTCCAACCAGTCTGTGAGACCGAGCTTTCATTTCCTTGTGAATGAAGCTAGGATCCAGACTGTGTTTCTCTTTTTACCCTCGGTTTCTTAGAACCTATTGCATTGCATTTGAGCGTATACCCGTTCGGAGTTTTTGCTTTACGCGATGCACCCATATCGCTGCGACATTATCAATGTCACTTAGAAAATACAAATACAAGTTGCTTGAATATTAAATTGCCAGTCTCGTAATCGTAAACTCGGAATCTACCATGAACCATATCCACCTGTGGACACTGCCATCTGAATTTCAATAGTACATATAGCTGAAATTCATAACACTTGAAGTCACATCTAAAGTAATCCATGGACTCTGTTCTAGATTTCTCTCTCATCCAATCTGGATTAACCCCGCCAGCCAAGCCTTTCACACCCCGCACCCGATCGCTTCTCCGTCTCGGCATCCACGAACGAGGTAATGATCCTTACCGATCGGCCCTGGCCTTTTTTTCTTTGAGTGGTCGCTGGAATGTGCTGGATTCCAGCATGACGAATGAAATGTGAGTTTATATAACTTTGTTCTGATGTCAGTTGAGATGAGGGGACCATTCATCCGAGTCTTCGTCACGTCTCGGGTACATGGATATCGCTCAAGATTACCTGCACCACCTTATAGATATACTTTATCCATGTAAGCGTGTAAATATCAAAATTGATTATTCAAGTTTGATTCAAATTCTATGCACATAGGGATACTATCCAGCATATTCAAATCATAAGTCTCTTCCAAGCACTTGAGGTTTGGGTAATCAGTCTACTTCGGAATACCTAGGTAGTCTACTCATGGTCACGGTCTACTTATCTACTCAACACTTAGATATCATAGTCTACTTATGGTCTGCTTATGAGCTACTCGTGGTCTACTTGTGGTTTGTTTATGGTCTGCCTATAGTCTACTCATGGTCTACTCATGGTCTACTCGTGGTTTGTTTGTGGTCTCTTGTGGGTTGCTTGTGGTTTACCTATAGTCTGCTTGTCTACCGAGACTCCCACATAGCTTGAGACTATCCAAAATATTCGTATATCCCAGTAAACTATTTGAATATTCCGTGAAAGTGGAAGTGCCTATGATAACTTGAATTCGTTATCTACATACATAGCATATGCCATCGGCGATATCATGATGGATGTCGGCACTGGCACTTATGTAAATCAAAAGAACACTCAAAAACCCACCATCGATGTAATATAACTTGAAATAATATTCAAAAAATGGTTTGATCTAGGTATGTACATCATTCAAATGGTTTACCACAGTGGTATATGTCGTAGATTCAAGTTCCAGATCCCCGCCAGCAGCATATGCACCTATCCAAATTTCCGTCAACTGGTCAAAGTCCATTCAGCTTGACTCCAGACCTCCCATAGATGTGCAGATAATTGTCTGTGTATGTCCAATATACCAAATGGTTGGACATGTTCGTTTAGATTTCTTTGCGTGGTAGCAAGAACAGAAAGAAGAAAAAGTAAAAAAAGCCTAAGAACCATAGAAAAGTCAGTATAATAGCATAGCATGATCGAATTTGTAAAAGATCGGGACTAGTATGAAAAAGCAGTGCACACTCACGTATCGACTGATATTTTACCAGATACAAGATTGAAACAGAGCAGCTATACCCTTAACGAGCTGCTTGACAATCTTGTACGAGAGCCAGACGACGAATTGTAGATCAGTGACAAGGGCGCCAATCACGCGACTGGGATGAAACCGTGACGAGGCAAGTCTGTCGGTGTGTATAGCATCACCGTTCATACTGATTGAGTTCTGAATACGAATATTCTCAAACTTTGAAGTTGGGCGCAAGTTGGAATTCTGAAGTTTAGGCGTCAAGATCAATATTGGTTAATGTTTTGATCCCAATTGAGTCTCAATTTCAACCAGGTCCAAATAAGTAGATAATATTGCAGCTTGATTAAGCCCACGTGGAAGAAACGAAGTTATTGGGACAAATGGGACAAATATATTAGCTGAGATCGGGGAGAAGAGCCGGGCGCTTATTTATGCTGTTCTTGGGTTGCTTTGTTTGGAGCTGATGCTGACCACGTCACAGTCTTCAAGTTCCCTGGCCTTCTATGCTTGTGCATATACCAGCTACCTGGTGCAAATTCTCCGCTTTCACATACTGCTTTTCTCGTATACATCCTTGTATATTTTCTTTTTTTATTATTTTTGGTTTCCTGGGTTCAGACAAGCCACTTCAAAGATTGTGCTCGGGTCCCTGGGTCATGTATGTGGTACAGGGGGGCTAACGTTGCGTCGGGGAGTAGTGCCTATAACGCAAGTGGGGGCATCTACATGGGTTCAAGGATTATGGTCAGACGTGAGGGGTCGAGATCCTGTTTATCTGTGTCTTTTCGTCGGGTATAAGTGCGTGGTTTGTTTGATCCGCGATGATCTGATAATTGGTCTTGCGCCTTGACCAATCTAGAAGGAGGTAAATATAGAAGCTGATGACTGGCATCTTAGAAATAATGGCTTACAGGTTCTCTGCCCGAGATGAATTATCTAAATCTTTGATTGGATGTTATATACGAGGTTGCTCATCTCTTTGCCACTTGAATAGTATATTCGGGATTTGCTTAGGTCGTATCTGGTTCGCATCGCCATCCACTCGCCGATGTTGGGCAGTCCGATGAAATCCAAGACAAACAAGCATATTATCGAGATCCTTACCTTTCTGATCACATTCCTGTCTCACGCACGAAATCTTCTAGAATGTCTAACAATATCCCCAAATACTACCATCACATGACCTTCCACGCTTTAGGGGCCTTCCGTTCTGCTCAAAATGTACAGCAAATACACAGCTCTGTAGTTCGATTTAAAAGATTTTCAGGAGTAGAATAGATCTCATCATGGGGCCATTGATCAGCGCCGCATGAACTCCCAGTGTTAAGCGAGATGACCAATTTCATAGTGGATTTCATCACCATCCAAACTGGCGAATCTTGTTTAAAGGATCGAAAGAACATGAGAGCTGTGCACTTGACTTGGCAAGAACCACAAATAAATTCCAAGGGAGCTAAACTAGTACGCCGAGTGATACATGGATAAAATCCGGTTCAACCCTTGAAAAAGCATTCTACTAGTAGTAGGAACTGCCCCTCAGTACTAAATGGCATGCAGCCGCATGCTTCCCCCGCTTCTGTGATTCCAACTTGAAGGACCAATCTAGATCAAAGCTGTAATATTCTCTTATCAGTTCAGCTGAGTGCGAACGACTCGGATTTTAGGTGCATGCACTAATTTAGGTGCTCTGGGATATATGTGGATTCTCACCATGTTTCAAGTTTTGGGGCGGGCCTAAGCGCTCAGCGCGTTGGTGATTTTGCCATACATATTGATATTTTGATTACGTTTGATGGCACAATACGTAGCATTATGAATATCACCGTGTGATTATTAGTGATGATGTGCTCCAAGGTTAAAAGGTTTAATCCTCATCCTGATTCCAGGTCAGTGTTCTGTGATTTGAACGTGCTCCTATTGGAGACTATTCGTCTTGCCAAGGATGTGTACTAGTAGGGATTATAAAAAACTAATGTATAATACAATTGCAATGTAATAATATCCATAATGAGTTTAGCCGATCATTGGACATGAACATCCCGAAAATAGGCATTGTCTTCAACTTGGAGTAGAGCTGAAAAAAAAGAGTCTCGAGAATTGATACCCATGTTCGGGTTGGCGCTTCTCCTACTATGAACCGGGAATTCGGCAACAAGGAGATGAATCGGACTCGGAGTGCCCAACTGCGTGAGTGCCAGAAAAATTGCGGGATATTCAACACTACTGGCAGTGCTAGTAATGCCTTGTCAATAGGTGTTCGAATTATCATAGTTGTCACACCGTATTTAAGGCAGGCACAAGCCCGTCAGCTTTCTATCTGCGCCCTGTTGTATAACATCATTCACCGTCTCTTCCACGTGGAAGCCGCCTCAATTGCATATCTTTATACCCAATTGCCTCGCATACTTCAGTCCAGAACCAGCAGTACAAAAGTGGCTCTATTCCTCTGGTCCGAGTCGTTTTCAAATGTTGTCTCATTGAACTTTTCCAAAGTCCCACATTCCATTGTGCCTGCATCAGGTCCTCAATCAACACAATGTTTCAATCTTTCCGATTTCTTTGCTTTCCATCTCAACAGGGTTCTAAAGATATAGATCCTGCAGATAATGCACACATTATACCTCGGCTGAGATCAATTCGCCGAGCAACCAACTATGCTAGTATCCCCCGTCGGGTACGGGAGAAAGCACTCTCCCGCGAGAAGAGTGTATCATCTACCCCTTCTGGTCGAATTTCAGCTCATCCCTCGCGTCCACAATCGCCATTGACAGGGACAATTAGCACATGCTCTTCCATATTCATATCCGATGCAGACTCTCAAATCACAGCAACCTCTGCAACCAGTGAAATTGCTTCCTCTTTCCCGGGGCAGCTTGTAAAGTTGCCTGCCACAGGCACTATACCTTCTAAGGATATCGACACACCGTATGTTTCGATTCTGCAGGAAGATGGCACACTGAAACCGCCACAAATTATCTTTGACGGCTATGGAGCCTATGGGGGCCGGTTTGCACCTGAATCCATCATAGGTTTCCTGACCAATCTGACCTCATTCTTCGAGACTGCTGTCTCCGACCCCTCTTTCTGGGCTGAGTTCGCCACATACCAGCGTGCCCAGCCCACCCCGCTGCAGATAGCAAGCAAGCTCACGGCCCGGGCTGGCGGCGCCACCATCTGGTTGAAGCGAGAGGATCAAAATGACTATGGGAGTCACAAAGCCCGCAACATCATCGGTCAGCTTCTGCTCGCCCGCCGCATGGGCTTTACCGAGATCGTCACCGACTGTGCAGCCGCAAAACACGGTAATTTTACCGCGGCTATGTGCGCACGCATGGGACTGCGCTGCGTTATTCTCATAGGTGCCGATGACGCCCGGGCACAGGAGGAAGATGTGCTCGAAATGAAGATGCTCGGGGCCAAGGTTTTGACTGCACGAACCCCCCTCAGGCATGGGCTCTCTGCGCGCTGCAATCACAGAGGCACTCCGCTATTCAGTCTGCAACTACGAATCCACGTACTACCTCATGGGAGGACCAGTGGGCCCGAATCCTCTGCCAACCATAACACGCACGTTCCAGGCACTCCTAGGCGAGGAGGTCGCGGCCCAGATGTACGAGGCGGCTGGTTGCCAGCCAGATGCTGTCGTCACCGCTGTTGGCAGTGGGAGTGGCGCTGTTGGACTTTTCAGGCCATTCCTTCAGAATCGGAAGATCAGATTGATTGGTGTGGAGGCTGCCGAGGCTGCTGCACTCACAGAGGGAGAGCTTGGTGTGCTTCAGGGGTCACGAACTTTAATGCTCCAGAATGAGGATGGGCAAATTCGTGACGCTCACTCTATCTCACCAGATCTCAATCTCTCGACCGTGGGGCCTGAGCTAGCCCATTGGAAGGACTGTGGTCGTGTTGAAATCCAAACCGCTACTGATGCGGATGCCCTGGATGGGTTCAAAACCATGCAACACCACGAGGGGATTCTGGCTGGGCTGGATTCCAGTCACGCAGTACGAACCACCCTTGATCTAGCAGAGGAGCTTGGACCTGGTAAGAATGTTGTTCTGTTAGTGACGGGCTGTGATGCTATTGGTCTCTGGGGGGTTAACGTTTGATGCACTATAGCATGAAAATCCTGATAAGGAAAGAATGATGGGTTACACAAGTGGGAAGGAGTTAAAGGGGGCGATTCTGCCTCGTATAGTCTTGTTTGTCTTGCTTTAATGATCATGATGATGCCTCAATTTTCAGTCACACATGTGATTATGTTCGATCTTGGATACCCGAATGGTTTTGATGTTGATATGAAGTTGGAGTTTTGATATTCCTCACTGGATTCACTCGTTGTATAATATCATGTTGTTTCTTTTATAAATTTATGGTTGATGTCCTTTTAACGTGGTCTCACAATTATACGTAATTCTGTCAAGTCCCTGAAGATCCTCTTCACATCGTCTGCAATGCAAGTGATGAAGAGTGTACTTTTGATCGACGTTGAGAGGGGTAAACTCGTGAAATATTGCCAGAAGTAGCTGAAAACTTTAACCATGCATCGGGTACTAGCAGGAGGATTGCCACAAGACTCGTCAGGGGGTTGGTCTGGCTTTTGATGCCGAAAAAAGGTGAAGAAGAGTATTGCTTTGAAGCTGTTGTCAGTTCTGTTCATCAGACAATAGGCATTTTTATCTGGTCTTGATCCTTGAGATGAGTTCATTCATCTCATACCTTTGATCTACTATTGAAGTTGCTAGGCTGATTAAAGGCGATTTTAAGAGCGAGGGATGTGCGGTGCTAAGTGATGTGACTCGTCAAGCCTGCTTTCCCCGCCCCCTTACAATACTTCCCACCTTGGAAGGTTGATTGGTGCTACAACTCTCAGATTACGCATAGATCTTCTATTTTATCTCAACCTTGGAAACTAACATCATCACTATATTATTTTTTACCACTCTCTACTCCGAACTACAAAGTACCAGGCACGCTACACAGGCCGAGAAACTACCACGATGACCTCGGACGCATCATGTAGCCTTTATGTTTCCATGAAAAATGGCGAATCGGAAGCTTCGTATAAATACTGGGGTCTCTTTATCAACAGCCCCACAACACACCAACAGCTAGTTCTCCATGTTGAAGGCTTTTCCAAGAACTTTCGCTTTGACCGACAATTGGCAGATCCTCGCGACTCCGACAATTTTTCAGAGCTTATTCATCTGTGTAATGTGCCTGTTTCACACATTACACTCATCGATCAACCAGCAGAAGAAGCAGAAGTCCACAATGAGTTCGCAGGTTACAACTGCCAGGACTATGTCCTCCAGCTTTCGGATGATCTGGAGGCCAGAAAGCTTATCAACGGGAAAGATGCACAATACAAGAAGCAGAAGGCACTCGTGGCGAGCAAGCAAGAGGGATTTGACTAAACATTGACTGCAAAATAGCTAGTAATAACTAGCATATGAGCAGCAGAAGAACTCATTCTCAAGTGCACCCTTGAGCCTGGAATTTCTGATATATCACTTCCGTCGATTCCATTCTAACTTGGCTGTCTTGCGATTGGCACTTCGACAATTTTGTTCAATGATGTGGCCCAAGTGCATGATATTCTATGTGTTGTGGATAAGGGCAGTTGGACAAGCTAGATTCAATTCTGAGAATTGCACCCGATATTGAAATGGATCTATTGATCACCAAGACAGTCCACCCCAGTCCTTCTAGAAAAGATCAATCTGGCAGATGGATCTGGAGGTCCATTGCAGACCCTGAGAGTTATCTTGGTTAGGGACTGGATACCTCTGATATGTGTATCAATCTCCCGAAAGGCACTTTGGACACTTTTGCTGCTTATACAGGTACTATCAAGCAAATAATTCGTGAGTTGTCCATAAAAATGCATTTCAAGTGTTCCAAATGTCTCAATCCAATGCAAATTTCTCTCGAAGCCGAAGTAAATCCTCTCGCTCGTCTTCCTGTATAGTGATCTTCTCCAAATCTCCTGTCTCATCCACTTCCGGGAATTTGATGCATATATGAGACAGAAAGCTAGCATTTGTAGGCCCTATGCTAGTAAGAAAAGAGCGTAGCATCCCTCGGTAGCGATTTGCTACTAGTATTGAGTATTCTTGGAAAATAAACCGATTCCCACGGTAAAGAATTGACCCGGCCTTATTGGATGTTTGGCAAGTTGTATGCAACACTGCAATCTAAAGAACGGAATAAAGAAGAATGAAGATAATTTTGGACTAATCAATTCCACAAAGAGTAGAGAGAACCTAATCTCTTTGTTTCGTCCCAGCAGCATCCAGAGGGGCAAAATAGATTCGTTCGGCTAAGTCTTTGTTCAAAGGTACCTAGTACTGTACGAAGCGGCCATTACCAGTAGTCCCTTCCAAACTTGACCTTCACAGCTTTTTCTTTTTTCTTTTCATGAGCTATCTCCTATAGCTTCGTTAAAGTGAGCACAATTCTTGTATAAATTTATACTAATTCAAGTTGACGGGAGGGTCAGGCGGAGTTCTTAATACTTATCCCCTGATGTCCGCCAGTAGACATCTGGAACAGCCTAAACGATCGCCATAACCTATGACCCACGTAGATCGCCCGGCAGCGAGAAATGCCAGGCGACCTAAGGGATGCAAATTGTATAAATGGGTTAAAGTTTAGAGTGAAAATAGGTAAGTCGGCTATGAGATAGCCTCTCTATACATTCATTTTAACAACCTGAACCATCCGATCATACTTGTCAGCGAGCGAGTCCGATTTAGTCCTATGTCATAATATAACTTGAAACGACTTTTAAATGCGAGACAGGCGATAATGTCTAGAAATGTAAGGGCAGTGTCCAAAATAAGTCAAAACTTTTGCTGTCTATCTAGCGAAGTCATCAATCATTGGGCATGGTTCGTTCATGTACATAACAGTCTATGTCCTCGATGGTCATTAATCCTCATGTGTCACCGACATGTCCAAAACTTCCACTCGTCCACGACCACGGGTCTCGTTGCCAACAAAATCATTCAATCCCTTAAACGCACCAGGCTCAGCAAAACCAACGACTTCCCACTCATCGCCGCCAACAACCTCTTGTGACTCCACTGACTCAATATAGCCCATGATTTTGTCTCTCACGGTTCCTGCAGCCTTGGGCGCTCCCTCAGCATCAGAGTCTCCGGCCTCCGCATCAGAATCATCTCCCCGCTTAGCAGACTTCTTTGAGCCCTTGCCCTTCTTGTTGGACTTTGATCCGCCCGAAGAAGATTCCTTCTCTTTGCCAGCCCCCGCAGCAGGGGCAGCTTTGACAGACTGCTTAAGAAGTGATACAGGACAAGTAACACGCAGACGCATCCGAGCGCGCATTACAGGAATGGGTTGCCAGGCAATAAGAGCCTTCATGGCGTCCAGTGCTTGACTCTTTGCAGATCGGTTTGACGAAACACCTGTCCACATCGGCTTCTTAGGCTGTTCATCGCCCGCGCCAGGTCCATCACCAGTTTGCTGTTGTCCACTGGCCGAGCTCAGCTGGTCCAGCGCCTTAGAGATCATTCCCGATGTGTACACGCGCTTGGTGGTGGGGTCCACGAGTCGACCGGAGACGATATCCAAAACTTCCTTCTCCACGCGGTCAAGAATATCCTTGCGTTCTCGCTCGCCTACTTGCACTTCTCCTTTGCGCAAAATTTCTTGCAAAATCTCATCGCGAGGAGTGTCTGCGCCAAATGACTTGGCAAGTTCGGCCGAGGGGGCGGTTTGAGCTTTGGATACGGAAAGGAATACTGTTGGGACTTGGAGGACGTTATCGAGATCTTTTTCAGCGCCGGATCGGTATTCGAGCAGTTTGTTCTTGTAGCAGGCTAACTCGAAACGCTTTTTTCCTGTCGACAACCAAATGAGTTAGTTTCATACGACCAGCTGAAAATGCCCAGCTTATCTAGAGACTGCACTCGGCGCATACCTTTCTTTAGTCGAACAACAGACACATTTGTAAATTTGATCTGGTTGGAGGGTTGGTTGATCGGCATGGTGGGGTTAGCTGCACCAGGCAGACTTTTTTTTTTTTATAATGAGTGGAGGAGCAGTCAAAAGAGATGAGGTAGAAGTGAACGCAATCCAACCAATATATAGCGCAAATCTATGACGAGTCAAGTGTAAATGAAATATGTAGGCATGGATATCGTTTCCTTGCAGCAAACTTGAAGATCTGCTCGCTGAGTCAGCACATTCCCTTTTCTGGACCGGAACTCGTGACCCCCGCATGACTCGAGCTGACTCAGAAGGGGATTTGTTTGTTGATTGGTTCCTTCTTATCACGGTCATGCCCAATCCGGCGTCATCAGTTCCCCCAGGGTTCTCCCCAACCCTGGAACCTCCTCTTCTCCTCACTACCACCCTAAGTTCCCCCTGCTATTGTTACTCCAAGGAATCACTTTATTATTATCTCACTGGACACCGTTGGTTAATGTACGTCTTCTATTCCCTCTATCTGATCTACTTCCTATTTTGAGTAGGATATCGTGTGAGCTGTTTACTGATAAGCTGCCGTCTAGACCCTCTCGGTATCCGCTGTCCACCACAAGCTATCATTACCATCCATTTTATCCCAATCTCAGTTGAAACCCATTCAAAATGAGACTTCTGCCTGCCACCTTGTTGGTGGGAGCTGCATCGGCAGCAGCTCCGCCCGTGCAGCAGGTCATGGGTGGTCACTACGAGGCGCTTGAGGCTTTGGCCCAGGAGCACGCAGACACCATCTCCAAGCCCCTTCAGAAGCTCCAGGAGGAGTTCAAGACCCTTTCTGACGAAGCTCGGGGAATGTGGGAAGATGTCACAAATCTTTTCCCAAACTCGGACCACTTCCCCATGCTGTCGCTACCCAAGAAGCACACTCGCCGTCCTGACTCCCATTGGGACTCTGTTGTTCGTGGAGCTGATGTTCAGAGCGTCTGGGTTGAGGGCACTGATGGCACTAAGCACCGTGAGATTGATGGAAAGCTTGAGGCTTACGATCTCCGTGTCAAGAAGGTGGATCCTAGCGCTCTAGGCGTTGACCCCGGTGTTAAGCAATACAGTGGTTACCTCGATGACAACGAGGAAGACAAGCATCTGTTCTACTGTAAGTCCAATTTAGACAAACCCAGACCCTTTGGACAATTTTCTCTGGCTTACACATATTCCACACAGGGTTCTTTGAATCTCGTAACGACCCCGAGAATGACCCCGTTGTTCTTTGGTTAAACGGCGGCCCCGGCTGCTCATCCATGACTGGTCTTTTCATGGAGCTTGGACCCAGCTCTATCAACAAGAAGATTGAGACCGTCTACAATGATTTTGCTTGGAACTCCAATGCTTCCGTAATCTTCTTGGATCAGCCTGTCAACGTTGGTTACTCCTACAGTGGTTCCACTGTCAGCGACACCGTTGCTGCTGGAAAGGATGTCTACGCCTTGCTGTCTTTGTTCTTCCGTGAATTCCCCGAGTATGCTAAGCAGGATTTCCACATTGCTGGCGAGTCCTATGCCGGTCACTATATCCCTGCCTTTGCGTCGGAGATTCTCTCCCACAAGAACCGCAACATCAACCTCAAGTCTGTTCTGATTGGTAACGGTTTGACTGACGGCCTGACTCAATACGAATACTACCGCCCCATGGCTTGTGGTGACGGTGGTTACCCAGCCGTTCTGGACGAGAGCGCCTGCCGCTCTATGGACAACGCTTTGCCTCGCTGTCTGTCCATGATTGAGTCTTGCTACAACAGCGAGAGTGCCTGGATCTGTGTCCCAGCCTCTATCTACTGCAACAACGCTCTTCTAGCCCCTTACCAGCAAACCGGTCAGAACGTCTATGATGTCCGTGGCAAGTGCGAGGATAGCGCCAACCTTTGCTACTCAGGTATGGGCTACGTGTCTGAGTACCTCAACCAGGAGAGCGTACGTGAAGCCCTGGGTGCCGAGGTCGATGGCTTCGAGAGCTGCAACTTTGACATCAACCGCAACTTCCTGTTCCACGGCGACTGGATGAAGCCCTTCCACCGCCTCGTCCCTGGTCTTCTTGAGCAGATCCCAGTCCTCATCTACGCTGGTGATGCTGATTTCATTTGCAACTGGCTCGGCAACAAGGCCTGGACTGAGGCTCTTGAGTGGCCCGGTCAGGAGGAGTATGCCCCTCTTGAGATGAGCGACCTTCTCATCGAAGAGCAGGAGCACAAGGGCAAGAAGATCGGTGAATACAAGTCTCACGGCAACTTCACCTTCGTTCGCATCTTTGGCGGTGGCCACATGGTCCCCATGGACCAACCTGAATCCAGCTTGGAGTTCTTCAACCGCTGGTTGGCTGACAAGCAGTTCTAAGAATCTTCAATTTCGTCTTTCCCGCTCACTTATCATTACTGCTTTGAAATTTGCTTTCTCGTTCCATTATGATTTTTGATCTATCTCGTTTGGGCGACATGCATGTGTCACTACGCAAAGTTTCGTGAGGATTTAGATTCGATCTGGTTTGGCCTTGCTCTAGTAACGTGGCTCGAGACGTTGGGAAGTAAATAGGTTTCAAGATTTGTCAATAAATTCTCTTTACATCTATATACCTCCACGTTTGGTGTAACTCAATAGAATCAGAACCAAGAAATATCTACTAAGCCGTAATATGCTACTACATAGTAGCCTGAACATTGAAGTAAAGCGCTGCTAGTAGTAGCCAACTGGTAGAAATTCGAGTCAAAGTTTGTAGGGCTGAGGACCAATATGCTCCCTTGAACTCCAGCAGAATCTAGACTACGCCACCAAGTTCAACTCTGATGGGGAAGTTTGTAAAACGCTATTTCTACGGGGACTTTACAGCGCACATTAAGAGGTCCACGGGTTTACGGCCTTACAGTGAGAACACAAGCAAGACACAGATGTACGGGCCTAGGGAACTTGCAAGGTTACATCTGGTGTTGGGAACCACAAGGACACATTTGCAGGGAAGATAAACCGGAAGAGGTTCTCCCATCATGTACGGGTCAAAAATAAGCAATCAATCGGTCGTTTCATATTGGTATGATTCATTTTCAATTTTTATGACTGGCAACACACCCAGCCAGCGGGGAAAAAAAGATCCCACAGATGCCCGTAGAAACACACCAGGAAATAAGGAATCCCTCCAAAATAAAGCCCCTTGAAAAAAAGACAGAACAAATAGTTTAGCCCTTCTTCTTGGAGACACCGACGGTGCGGCCACGGCGACCAGTGGTCTTGGTGTGCTGACCACGGACACGGAGACCCCAGTAGTGACGGAGACCACGGTGGGAGCGGATCTTCTTGAGGCGCTCAAGGTCCTCACGAAGCTTGCTGTCCAGACCGTTGGAAACAACCTGGTGGTCCTTGCCATCGGTGATGTCGCGCTGTCTGTTCAGGAACCAAGAGGGGATCTTGTACTGGGTGGGGGTCTGAAGAATGGTGACGATACGCTCCAGCTCTTCGGTGGTGAGCTCACCAGCACTATATAAAGAAAATCCGTCAGCACTTCTGCTCGCATAGCCATGAAATCAACAAATTCCATAGAGCCCTGCAATGTCTTCTTCCCCAGTCGATTCGGTTTATATTGTTGGCGAGTGTCGATTCATCGCACAAACAAATTTGAAATTTTTCTGAAGTGTCGAACTTGAAATATGATATATGCGAAAATGTGTTGTCGTTCCTTTCCTTTGTATCTCCATTTCCATTCAAGATTTCAAATCCAAGACATTGCAGGGTTCATAGGTCGATGTTGTGAATGTAGCAAGAAAAAACGTACCGCTTGCTGAGATCGACATCGGCCTTCTTGCAGACCAAGTTGGAGTAACGACGACCAACACCCTTGATCTGGGTCAGAGCGTACATGATCTTCTGCTTGCCGTCGACATTGGTGTTGAGCAGACGCAGAATGTACTGGAAGTTCGTCTTCTCGCCGGACACGAGCGCTGTAGGATGAAGAATGACATGTTAGCCAGGTCGTTCTCTTATTTTGAGATTTCGTCGTGCTATCCGCGAAATTGCAGTAGCGAGAGTTTGCGATGTATGCTGAATATCATGGAGAGTCGATGTCTGCGTGGGAGAGAGAACGTACACATGATGGGCGGATTGGCGCGAGTACTCGCGATTGATTGTCGACAGAGGGATGGAGAGGAGGAAGTCTCGAATGACTTTGCTGTCCGTTGTGGGATCGGGTAATTGGGACGCTAACCGTATTTGGTAGTGATTGTGTGAGGGCTTCTCGCTTGCCCAACGCTAATCCTAATTAGGTCATATTGGAATCACCTGATTGAAATCCACTGATAAAGGTCACATGATGAGATCTGTATTGTTACATTGTAAACCTCACCAAAATTGACACATAGAGATTACTGGTAATAAACGATGTATCAATCGTCTCCCGAGGTCGTCAATCAGTACGACTGTCCAACAATCTAGCAACTACATAGTCCTGATAGCTATTGGATAATAAACAAGAGCTATGAAATTCTCAACCTTGGATACTGTTGAACGTTTTCTTTGACCTCCTCTGATCTGGTGTATTGAATCTCAGCCCCAGTTCTTTCATCACAAAGTCGCGATGGGCCCCTGCACTTTGTTTTCATCCTGGGGTCCCAGTCATGATCAGGGCTCGTCACCTTGAGAAGATACTCCCTTTTGAATTTCGCTACTATGATATCTTGGAAAAATTGCAAACTCCCTTCACTCGGCCAAATTCATCGGTATATTCGCTGCAGACTTATCACTCCAAGTTGATGCTTCCGTGTCTTCCTTCAACTTGAAGTGCGTACTTCCAACCCTCTCATCGAGCCACGATAGGACCGTCTCCTCAAGTGCTTGTCCTTTGTCTATCCAGGGCAAATAAACCAAAGGAATTCCGCAATGAGAAAGAACTTCTACCAGATTTCAATTGAAAGGAAACCGTCATGGGATGCCTGTTCCTTTATCTTGTTTTGAAAGGTTACCAATTTAGAACATCAATCTCCCCCAAATGACTCCACCGGGCTTCTCGGGCTTCTCGAAGAGGTGAATTTCTTTCAAATATCGATACCACATGGATTTCCTCTTTGTCTTCCAAGATGAGGATTCGACCAGATGGTCTGGGAGAAAGAAGTCTTGCGCCGGGGCATAAAGGACTCGAATATCCTCATTTCTTCTTCTTTTCTACCGACTACAGATCAAATTTCAATTTCACATTATCTTCAACTCATATCTAGCCTCGGTCACTTTATAAGACCCAAAACTTGGCAAGACTTATTGACTGCGCCATCATTATCCCTTCATCTTGAAAATCTCCATCATTTTTATTTCTCTTGTCCGCGAAAATAAGCTAGCACTTGGATACTATGGACGAAGAAAGGGAAGCAGTGAGAAACTTCCCTAAGAATGACGAAGCTCTCAATCTGCCCGAAGAACCAGGATTTTGCTTTGACTTGACCGCGCTCCCAGACCCCCCAGGCGACTTCACTTTTCTCGGTAGACGTTATGATGATGTTTGGAATGAGAGAAGCTTCAAGGCGGCACCCACGAAGCTGCTGGGCAGACTCCATTTCTGGGGAATCTATTTTACGGATCGATTTACGCCCACTAAGACTATAATATTGTTGGCTTTGTGGAAGCTGATGTATCATATGCCAGAAAGAACCCGCCCCAAAACTGCAACTGAGCTTTACAGTCTTGATCGTGACACTGGGCCCCGGCTACTGGGGTGGGAGCATCATGATCCAAATGTCGGACCGATTAGCCGATTCCATCGCATTCGACCTACTCCTGGCCAAGGGACAGCACCTGGGTATGTCCGGCCAGGTGGCGTACCATCTTCTGTCACAGATGTTGAGGTCGAGAGATATCTTTTGCCCGTTGAGAGAGCTGTCGTTCAACCAAGTCAACCTACTCAACCCCCGAGAAGAAGAAGAAGACCCGTCAAATCGGCAGACGCTGCTCTCTTACGGGCATTCTCGACAGTACCAACTGACCTCTACGAAGGAGTTGATGACGTACCAACTGACCCCCACGAGGGAGTCAATGAAGCACCAACTGACCTTGTAGCACCAACTGACCTCCACAAGAGAGTCAATGAAGCACCAATCGACCTCTACGAGGGAGTCAATGAAGTATCAATTGACCTCTACGAGGGAGTCGATGACGTACCAACTTCTCCTATGAAAGGACCGCCTGTTTATACTCCGCGAGGATTGTCACCCGTTATACCCTCAGAATCATTGCCGGATTACCAGCAGGTCACAGAGGAATTGGAGAAGCTTATTTACAGATATACCTATCGTCATCTTGAGAGGGCTCATTTTGCTCCGCAAAGGACTCCGAGATCAAAAAGGATAGCTCAATCTATTGACGACTTGGAGACAGTTCAAATTGGAACGCACTCAGCCCATTCGCATCTCAGGCTCAATCCCGTGACATTCGAACTCGACAAAAATTCCACTCACCTTTATCCATATCGAGGTAGAGGTCCAATTTGGTCTGGCAATTCCTGCTCCGTGGATTGCGTTATCGTATTGGGCATGTTACTAGACATCGGGTGTACAAACATAGATCGCGAAAGTTGGCGATGGAAGCAGATTACCGATCTCGAAAAAGCATTTATCGAGATAACAAATGTTAACTGGGATGGTCTTACCATAAGTCAGAATATTCAGATGAGAGACCTGTTCCGCAAAAAGCTGTGTGCCGAAGTCCCCATGATGGATATGATATCGCCCCAACCGGCCTGGGCTATCTGGTCGGAGTGTACGAAAAATATCGAACAATTTTACTTCAAATACTCCGACTTTTACAAATCATGTGCTTGTGCAAACCAGCAATTTGTAGAAGGAAATAAATTTGCAAACTGTGTGCTGCCGAGTATCGACTATACTGACGCCGAGGGTATATGGTTATCAGATTTGGTTGAACGGGTGATTTACAATAAGCGCCTGAGTCCGTGCATTCACTGTGGCGCCGAAACCGATGTCTGGGAAACAAGAGTTGAGCAACTGCCCCCTCGAATGGTGATATCAAACTACATGGGTCGCCGGATCCGAGTCTACAACCACACAGAAGACGTTCGGTTTCGCTATATTGACGAGTTTGGCACCGAAAAAGTGGCAGCCTATCGTTGGCTCGGAGGAATCTATCACAAAGACGCACATGTTCGAGTCTTCTGGAGTGACCAGGAGCGAGGCGATCAACTACGCACAAATATCCGTATGTACGACGATGAGCTAAATGCAGGTGTCATTGCTGGGGGGATCCCACCAGAGCACATAAACGACCGAGTACCTTATGATTGGACTAATATCGGCTTTTTAATTGGGGTTTACGAGCGCATTATCAATCCTGCTTTTGACATGCTGAACAAGGCTACCGAATCCCTCCGGAGAATGGAGATGGCCATCGACGCAGGCAAGGCGATAATGGATAAACACCATCCCTGGGCGCAAGAATTTGGCCTCAGTTTCCACAACGATCCGAATACAGAGCAGCTCAATCCATCTGATGAGTCGCGCGTTATTCCCATCACCGCCGAACGATTCCGCGATGTTAGCCTCATTCAACTACCTGCTTCTGTGCCTCGGCCTCAGGATGTGAATAACTTCCAGTTCGATGACCTGCAAACGTTATTGACTGCCTGGCCACCCGAGGATCAAGTTATGGACGAAGCACCTCCTCAGTACGAGAATCTGTTCGATTCCATGCTGAACTCACCCTCCCGACTTGCAAACTTTCCGGAATTGTGGCCAAATGGTGTTCCCAACGAGAATGGTGGTCTGGGTTTCCCGAATTTGCCGCGCTCCAACTCATCAAAGGGTAGTAAAGATTCCAATCAAGCGAAGACTCCGGTCATGGATTACGTCCATTGGCCTTCGTCTTCTTCAAGTAACGGATCTCGTGAAGCTCGTGGACGAAATCAGTGGGGAAAGCCTACTGCAGGCATTCGTGGCATTCGCAAGGTACCTCGTCCCGATACGCGGTTGTCAGTAACTAGAGAAAGGCGCCCGTCGCGCGAAGCACGAAGAATTATCACACGACAGGAGAGAGCTTCAATCATCCCCGAAAGGTTTCCCAAGCAGGAATCCGTTGAGAAAGATGTCAAGCCGAAGATCAAGACCGAGAATGGAAGCCAAGAAGAAGTTAAAGCGCCATCTGAAGACAAAGCTCCATCCAAAGACAAAGTGTCATCCAAACACAAGGTGATATCTAAAGACGCAGGTTCATCTAAAGCCAAAGAAAAAAAGTCCAGGAAGTCACGTCGCCCTATCCCGGCCAATCCAGCAGACAGCTCCTCTTCAAACCCAAGAAAGAGGCAAATTATTGGTGAGAAATCAACCACCAAACCATCCGGGCATACAGCTAAGATGACTTCAAATCCTAAGGGTCTTCACGCAGGCGCTAGAACAAGGTACCTTGTCGGAAAATCTACGATTGGTGTTTTATCGCGAGAGGAGCTTTCGAAGCTTGACCGGAAAACGCTTTCTAGTTTTGACCGTGCAAGGCTACGAAGCTCTCCAAGGGACATTATCATGCCTGATGCACCGCCAAGCGAAAACCCAAGTGCAGAAGCTCTAAGTCGTGTGAGGGCCGCTTTGAGTGAAAGAATGAGTAAGAAAAAAGATGTAGAGGATGCGATTATGCTTAGCGAGGAAGGTGAAGAGATCGATGATTTGGAACCCGGGGATTTTGAAGATGAATATATAGAAGATGAAGAAGAAGAAGAAGAAATTGATGACACAGAGGTATTGAGAAGCAGCAAAGTTGACAAGCAAAAGTCAAAGCCAGCAAGTGAACAGCCTTCTGGTAAGCCAGCTATACCAATGATAGGAACAAGGATAGACAAGCAGACTGGGCAGGTTATCAAAGCCCCTTCTGGTGAACCAGGAATATCAACGATGGGAGCCCCAAAGATAGACAGAGAGACTGGAATGGTTATCAGCGCACTTCCACCAGTACCAGCATCAATTTTAAGTAAGTCAATCCTGCGCTCTATTAATCGAAAATAATCACTAATACAATCAATGAAAACCAGGCACCGGCGCGTCCAGGGTTTCTGCTCTTTTTCCTCGATCCCAATCAGATGCTAGCAGGCGCGATGTCAGCCTGGAAGGGCAGTTGCATCCTCTTAATCAGAATGGTCTGAAACCCTTATTTACTCCGAATCCAGCACTTCGAGACTCTTCCAAGAAGCCGGCTCCTAAGACAGCACGGTTTGCGTTGGTTTTGGAGCAAGGTCCATCTAACCCACGGCTCTAAAATCCCATGGAGATATTGATATTGACTGAGAAGTTGCTCATTTATTGGGAGGCTTTTTCGCTTTTCAGTTCCTTTTTTAGTCATTTTTTCCTTCTTTTTTAATCTGTTTTGAATTGATTTACTGTGATCTTGATGTTTTGTTAACCCTGAGACCATGAAATACGGTGATTTTAGACTTAAATATTCAAGTTCCTCGGTTATGCAAAGTATGAATAATAGAAATTGCAAAGTTGCAAAGTTGCATGTATAGTATAAGTATAAAACAAAGACGATACTAGTTTATAGGGCCTTGTGCCAATCATAACTAAGGCATTAACCATCCCGTCGTATAACGGGGATATTAGAAGTGGAGTCCGTGCGACTATCCCCGCATCTCCCTTGTTACCCCAGACTCTTCCTTTCTCCTTTCTTCCTTTATTATTCTTCTCTCTCCTCTTATCTTTGGACCTTGTACTCTCAAGCTGGTCCCTTGATTCAAGTTCTGAATACCTGAACCCAACTGACTATACCTAAACATCAAACATGAACATTGAAATCAATAGATACTTGATTAACATAGGGACCACTCAATGCCCTACAGGCCTAATTGATTACTTCAAGTTGAAGAGAGAAGGTGGTATCTTTCGCTCATGATCTATGATCTATACACAAATTTGTACTTGGCCACAAGCCTGCAGCCTGATCTACCAACTATTAACAGATGAAGGGGAATTAACAAAGCAGAAGCATGCCAGAAAGAGAAATAACCAAATCGAAGAGATATTCTAAAGGCGAGCACGAGGCCCGCTCTTCTTCTTGCTTGGTCCAGTGGCCACATCACTCTTCTTGGGTGCTGAAACATAACCACCCATCACATTATCGGTGTTGGTGATGACTCCCTTCTCATCACGCTGAATACCCAACTCAACCAACTTGGCAAACACTTTGGAAAAATGATCAAAGAACAGTTCTTTGTCCTTTGCGTACTTCTGCACCCAAGGCAAAAACGCAGGGTCAGTTTTGAGCGCCATATCAGTGGGCAGCATCATCAAGGGCTCTTCGTCCTCCTCCGCATCAGGGTCTTCATACACAAACTGGGTCATTCCAGTTGAGAGTGTCCGTGGCTTCCAGTCCAGCTGCAAAAGCAACTTGAAAAAGGAGTTTGAGAACCGGGTCGGGTTGGTTACCCATGGGCCATCAAATCCACTGCGGTCTCCATGACACCTGCCAAGATTGTGACCTCCTGCCAGCGCGACAATCTCCTGATCATTGAAACCCATGCGATTGAAGATGAACCGCAGATGGTCAGCTCCTAGCGCTCCATCTGGCAATCTACCACGTGGTGGCACTTTGGAGTCATCTACCAGATCTGTTCGTCCCCCTTTCCAAGGGATCTCAGGTCCACCCAGCTCCTTGATCGCTACTACACCAGCCAATGTCCACAGATCTGAGTATGTAATCCAGGGATGCTTCTGCTTCACCGGTTCGAGGAATGCGCGACCGTGCTGCAGGCCTGCATTGGCTGGGTCGCCACCTTCTGCTTCATATCGCATACCGGCACCATTGGAGCCACCAGTGTCGGATTTGAGGTCATATGTACCGGAAGAGTGCCTATTAATCGAGTTGTGGTTAGCCACTGATTCTTCTTAGGACATGTTGGCCTCGGTCGCGCCGGACGAGTTCTGGATTCTGCCGTGCGGGTCTAGGCCGAACAGTTCCTCTCCCCGCAAAACTTTTCGAATACAGGAGAAGAAAAGAAATCACATACCATGCCAGTCGTACAAACACAGGACCTGCGCTTCCATCGTCATAACCAGGCTTCTGTAGCTGTGCGACAATGTCCTTACGGACCGCCTCATAATCATGGGGAGTGCTCATCCTCTCGGCCGATAAGGTGACGTCGGTAGAATATTGGGTTCACGAGAGTCTTATCAAGATCGATTGAGGTACAGACTTTTGACGATTTGAAGATCTGATCAACCGAAGTCGTCTTTCAAAAGATAATTCAAGATACAGGACACAGAACGCAAGCAAAGAAGGAAGATTGAAGAAGAAAAGGACCTGGAGTAAACCACATGAAGGGGAAAGGATGTGGATCCATCGGTTCCAATCAGAGATTCAGCGCACGGTACAGATGCCGAGGTCCCTTCGGTCTACAGAGTACGATTCTATAGTCCACATCGATCTTGTCATGCACATGACTTTTACACTTTGGCACACTGAATGATCAAAGTCGGATTGAAGCGGATGGCTAATATCCGCCTACTTGGGTCACAACAGCCCCTAATTACACATCTCCACCGCAAGACTAACAATCAGTGTTCTGCTCGGGCCAACTGGTTTAAATGTTTCAAATGCCGTCGGGTGTGTTCAATCTACCTCGGAAGTTGAAAGCCGACTCTGTGTTCCGTGCTTCAATGTAGCCCAAGATATACAGAACTATCTGGATCAGCATCGGTTGCGTTTCACGAAGGGCGTGCCATTTTCTTTTTAGCTGGATTGAATTTTTACTATCTAGCTGAACAGGATGATCCCATCAAGATAAAAAAATCAATCCATAACCTCCCACCCTCCAAATCATACATCATTGTTATTCCCCACGCCGCCCTCCTCGGCATACTCAGCCTTCCTGCCGGAGGATTCACTCCGATCCTGGCTCACTTGGGCTGTACGCACTCGCCTCATCTGGGGAGGAGCTCGAATCTGATTGACCCTCACTTGGCTCTTCGTTCGAACTCATAGAGCCCTCACTTGAACCCTGAGGAACCAAATCAGCCGAGTCCTCGCCCATTTTCTGAGAGGCAAGGCGCAGATGACGACTGGTGGCTGAGTAGAGGCGTTCTCTCACCTCTACGAGCTCATCAGTCATCATCTCGCCCTCGCGAACCAGGTCGTCGATCTTCCCCCGCAGTTGCTTCATCTGTGCCAGTCGTCTCCGGTGCATTGCTGTGATCTCCGCCAAATTCCCCACCAGTGAGCGGTACTGGCTTTTAAGCTCGTGGTTTCTGCGCTTTAGCTTCTGCACGTCGCGTTCTAGGCGTTTTCGGAGCTTTCTGTCCTTGCCTTTGACAGCTTTGATCATTCTGTCGAAAGTCTCTGTCTGACTTCGACTCAGGGCTCCATCATGTAAGTGGCGGCAGACAGACACGATGGCAGTGTGAATGTCTTCGGAGATGGAGGTCACTAGCTGAGTCTGGGCTTCAGGGGACAGGCTCTCAATTCCAGCGAGCCGTGTTGCGATGGGGATAGGAGCCAGTTCACCGCTGGACTCAACACCGGGCTGGATATTAGGCTGTGGACTGGGCTGGTTATCGGGCTGAATAGCAGGTGAAATACTAGGCAGAGGGCTAGTCTGGGTCTGGGCATCATTTGGAACACCGCGCTGAATGCTGCCACGCTGGATGCTGCTGCGCTGGATGCTGTCGCGCTGGATGCTGTCGCGCTGGATGCTGTCGCGCAGGGCACCGCGCTGAAAACCGTGCCGATAACCGTGCCAAAAACCAAACTGAAACCCGTAGTTCATACCACTCTGATGATTGTTCTGAGCACTTTGCTGAGCACTTTGTTGAGCATTATTAGTCTGAAAGGTGTGCTGAAACCCAGCCGGAATACTTGACCCGATAAAGTTTTGAGTGATACCAGGTTCAATAGGCACAAAATACTCGGCAGGAACATAGGGCCCGGGAAATGCAGAAGGGTCGGCAGGCACAAAAGACAAGATAGGCTGCGGAAGCAATTTGACATTGCCATCGTTATTATGCGGCTCTTGGGCCATAGAAGGCTGAGGAGACATAAAAGGCCAGACAGGCTCATCCATCTCGATCTTAACAACAGGACCGTGAATAATTTCCTGAGAATCCATGATAACTTCAATATTCTGCGCTGTTTGATCCTGAGCAGAGTGCAAGCAGTTCTGTGGGTTTGGGTTTGCCGGGAGCTGACTGTATGGGAGTTCTTCAAATCACAGGGCGTGTTTCTGGTCTTTGACGCGTCTTTTGTCTGCGGAGCAGTTTGTGAAAGAAAGAATGGGTGGATGGTAAGCGATGCGTGATGTGATATTCACGATCGGACTTAAGAAGAAATGCGTCGAGAGAAGAAATCTGCCTGATCGGATAAAGGATTTGAAGTTGTTCTGAGTCAAGAAAAAATGTGTGTAATTGTATCAAAGCTTCAACTCGAGAAAGCTGCTTTGAGTCAAGAAGGAGCCTCTTTGTGAAGGACAATCAAGATGGGGGATGGTAAGTGATGCGAGATGTGATATTCACGATCGGGCTCAAGAAGCAATGCGTCAAGAAGAAATCTGCCTGATCAGATAAAAGATTCAACTTCGGGAAGTTGTTTTAAGTGAAGAAGAAATCTGCCTATTAGGTAAAAGATTCAAGTCGAGGAAGTTGTTTTGAGTGAAAAGAAGTCTCTCTGTTGAGCAGTTTGTACATGAACCGTCCGGGGTTAGCGAGGATTAAGCGAGTATACTTCGTCTCAGTATCTCGTCTTTGCTCTTCGGGGTATTTCTGAGTAATGGAATATCTCCAGGGCTAATTTACAAGTCTTAGATGTTATTCATATCTTAGGGAAAGAATTCCAGCAAAGCCAAACTATTTCAAATCACTTCAAATGTTGACAACATCAACTACATATACCAGATATTTTGGATATTTCAAAGGGATACTTCACATGGACCCTAAAGTGCTGCTAAAACTGCATCGCCAACCTCCTGGGTGCCTGCCTGTCCTCTCAAATCAGGCGTCCGGATCCCAGAATCTAATACATTTCGTACAGCACCCTCCAATCGCTGTGCCTCGGCTTCCATATTCAAAGAATAGCGAAACATCAAAGCCACACACAAAATCATGGCCACTGGGTTGGCAATATTTCGCCCAGCAATGCTAGTTATATCAAGTCAGCAATGAGCTTTCGGTCTCATTGGGCTTCTCAAATTTCACTTACTCTGGTGCAGATCCATGGGTAGGCTCATATAGCCCATATGGTCGTGTCTTCAGCATCTGATCTCCTGGGAGCCCATTCAAGCTGGCACTAGGCAGAACTCCCAGAGTTCCCACAATAGAGCCTGCTTGGTCAGATAGCATATCTCCAAATGTGTTATCTGCAAGAATGACTCCATTCAGAGCACGTGGGTTTGTTGCCATGATTAATGAGGCTGAGTCTGCTAACTGGTGCGCTAGCTTGAGTTGTGGGTATTCCGTCATCATGGTCTTCTCGACGACTCGTCTCCAGAGTCTAGAAGAAGCGAGCACATTTGCCTTATCGAGCGAGATTACTGGCCATGGGGGATTATGGCGCAGGGCAATCTCCGCAGATAGACGAGTCACCCGTTGGATCTCAGCTTCACTGTAACCCCATTCGTCCATGGCTTTTTTCCTCAATCAGTTCGATATGGCCAGCGACCTGGGATATCTACTTAAAAGATTGATTTACACACCGTAAGTAGGATCCTCCACCTTTCGCCCAAAATAAGCCCCACCGCAATTCTCCCGTACAACTACAAAATCTACCCCCTCTATAATCTCCTCTCGGAAGGGACTGAACTCCTTAGCAATGGAAGAACTCGGAGAATCAGCCGAGCAGGGTCGAAGATTGGCGTAGATATCCATTGCCTTACGTAGCTGTAGAAGCCCACCTTCAGGCCCGTCGAGCCCTCGGCGTGCGTTATCCCATTTAGGACCACCTACTGCTGCGAAAAGCACGGCATCTGAGGCGAGAGCTGCTTGCTTTACTTCTTCTGTGACTGATTTCCCGGTGGCATCAATGCTGCAGCCTCCTATCAGTTCCTGGCGCAGCTCAAATTTCCGCTGTGGTGTTTCGAAGGCCTTGAGCACCTTGATGGCTTCGGCCATTACTTCGGGACCGATGCCATCACCGGGTAAGACAAGGATTTTGTGGGGTTGGGCCATCTTTAGCTTAAATAATAGGCAACTGTATTAAACAAACTGATAAATTGATGGCTGTAAACTTGCAGGTGCTGCACTTTTATACGTCTAGATCGACGTCGGTCTTTCGTCCGATGAATGCGGGGTTACTCGCTCTCGGGAGAGCCCCGAGATACATGTATCCGATATGCGAGGGTCTGGGGAAATGGAAAGAGCTTTTCTTTTCAAGAGAATTTTCATTGTCTGCTTTGCAAGGTACAGTTCGACCCCGGATAATTTGGAAATTGCTAAACTGTAAAACAGATTGGAAAAGGTGAGGTTTCCAAAATCAGGGGGTTCTTGGCATTTTTTGTATGTATTATGTCATATTTTTTTGCCCATCTGGGTATATTGGATGGAGGGTATCTGGATATATATCTCTGAATCCTACCAATTTGAACCCAAAAAACCGGCAGAATGTACTAATCCATGGGCGGTAAGCCCGCCAAAAACCAGTTTGGATCCAAAGTTCGCCTTAAACGGGGTTTTTCTTCCCAATTAGGAAGGCGGAAATCTCCTTAACTATGTAGACTGTAAAAACCAGCCAAAATATACGGGGGCCAGAATTTCCAAAGGTCAAATTATCCGAGGTCGAACTGTACTAGTAATATTGGGTTATGGTAGATGTGAATAGTTAACAAGATCGGGCTTGTTTCTATATAGATCAATGGAACGAAAAGATCAAACACGATATCAATATTGAAAGCTAAAAGGAAATCAATATTCTTTTGCAATATTTCAGGTCTATCAGATATCATTATTACTCAGGAGAGTCTTGAGAGACTCAATGCGACAATCCATCTATACAACCCCAGATTCATACATGCCATGTAGTTCATGGGTGGATCCGTTCATTCCTCAGGCACCAATTTGAGTACTTAGTAATAACCCGTATTTCCCAAGCGAGCGGCGCACCCAACCAAAGAATCGCGTCACGAACGCGTCTGACCATCTTTAACCACCTACCATGCCACCAAAACGGACTATTTCGGCCGAAAAAAATGGCAATCAAGAAGGTCGAATAATACTCGCCCTACAGGCTATTGAAAACGAGCAAATTACCTCTATCCGTGAAGCTGCACGCCGATTTGATATTCCTGAGACAACTCTCCGCCGCCGTCGAAAAGGCTGTACAAATCGATCCGAAACTCGCGCAAATAACCATAAATTAAGCGAAAATGAAGAGAATTCACTTGTTCAATGGGTGATCTCTATGGATATACGTGGAGCTGCCCCCCGCCCGGCTACTGTCCAAGAAATGGCCAATATTCTACTCGCAGCGCGTGGCCAGATCCCTCCTCAAACTGTTGGCAAGAATTGGGTTACAAACTTTGTTAAACGACATTCAGAGCTTACTACCCGTTTCTCTCGACGATATAATTACGAGCGTACAAAAATAGAGGATCCAAAAATGGTTCAAGAGTGGTTTAATCTAGTTCTCCAAACTATCCAAGAGAATGGTATTCTTCAAGAGGATATCTATAACTTTGATGAGACTGGATTTGCAATGGGGCTGATAACAACTGCTAAAGTTGTTACTCGCTCTAAATTCTACGGTTGGCGATCACTTTTACAGCCTGGAAATCGTGAATGGGTAACAGCGATTGAAACTATTAGTGGATCTGGACAAGTCCTCCCACCAGTGATTATTTTTAAAGGCAAAGTCTTAATTGAAGGATGGTTTGAGAATCTTCCACTTGACTGGCGATTTGAAACCAGTCCAAACGGATGGACTACTGATCAAATTGGGCTTCGATGGCTTGAAAAACACTTTATTCCAGCAACAACTGAACGTATACTTGGAAAATATCGGCTTTTAATTCTTGATGGCCATGGAAGCCATCTAACCCCCCCAATTTGATCAGATTTGCAAAGAGAATAATATTATTCCAATTTGCATGCCAGCCCATTCTTTACATCTTCATCAGCCACTTGATGTTGGAAGTTTTGCACCTCTTAAACGTGCCTATGATCGGCTTATTGAGAATCAAATGCGACTTGGTTTTAACCATATCGATAAATTTGATTTTCTCGAAGCGTACCCAATCGCTCGTAAAGAGGCTTTTCAAACCCAGACCATCCAAAATAGCTTCGCAGCAGCTGGTTTAATACCATTTAACCCAGAACGAGTGCTATCCAAGCTAAATATTCTTCTTCGAACACCTACACCCCCAGGTAGTCGCCAATCAGGCCAATCAAGCCAATTTTCACCCAAGACACCCCAGAACCTGATTCAACTTCAACGGCAAGCTACTTCAATCAAAGCTCTTCTAAAACAACGTTCAAAGAGCCCTCCAAGTCCACACAAACAGCAAATCGATCAAGTTATTAAGGCCTGTGAGATTCAGATGCATTCAACAGCTTTATTGGAGGTTGAAACAGGTAAATTACGTGCCGCCCATGAGAAGCAGAAGCAGAAGCGCCAACGGTCTACTAGGCAGATACCTAATGAGGGTGGAATGACAGTTCAAGAGGGCCAGGAAGCTATACAGCGTGCTATACAGGTGATTGAAACACCCATTGCCCCTCCCGTACCACCGCGGAGAGCACCTGTTTTACAGCCTCAGCCAACGAGGAGAAAGCTGCCGACATGTAAAAAGTGTGGAGAAGAAGGCCATAGATCAGATCACTGTGATATTTAGATATATATTTTAATAAATTGGCGTTATGGTAATAATAATTATGATTAAAACAGTAAGGTAGGCACTCGCTTGGGTGCGCCGCTCGCTTGGGAATTACGTTATTTGAACCTTGACACCTAATAATTCAGGCCGTAAACATAGGGCTCAGATTTTGCATGTGATCTTTATCGCTCACTCATCACCCCTCGTGTTTGCACTGTTTGCTACTAATTATCTTCCCCGCGGAGGTCTCGGTATTAACCAAGCAGCAAAGAAAAGTTCGATAAGACTAGATACGCTTGATTCACAATGTCGCGAATCGAGGAGCTCCCTGATGACTTTGATGAGTCCCTTAATCTCAATGAGATCCCTCCTGCGATCGCGCAAGGCCTACCGAAAACCGGCTCCGATGCATTCGCCGCATCAAATGATGCGCCATTCGGAAATGACTCCTTTGTGCCGAATATTCCTCCTAAGATGGAATCGCCCCAGACTCATGAGGAGCTCTTAGATATGATGAACAAGACTCCACTATTCATGACTGATCTTGAAAATGCCGGTGATGAGAGTATGTCTGCTTCTTTCACCCCGTTGAAGTTATATCTATACTAATACGCTTGTCTTTTTCCTGTATAGACGGCGAAAATGTTATGCTGGATGCGCTTACGGCGCTGCAAAATGAGGGTACTCGGGCCGATGTTGCGCAAAGCTTCAAGGAGCAAGGCAACGAAGAGGTTCAAGTGAAACGGTGGATCGATGCCAAGGAGAACTACACAAAGAGTATTGCTGTCATCTATGCGAAGGAGGATAAGTGGGAGCAGCCCGAGGATCCTGAGGTGGAGAAGAAGACTCTTCGTCAAATGGAGGAGCTATCACATATCAACCGGGCTTTGTGTAATCTTGAGCTAGGTATGTATAAGAAGGACCCTCATAGTTCTGACTTCCAACTAACTGTTTTCCCAGGAAACTACCGCTCTTGCATCTCCGACTGTGCTACTACTATTAAACTGAACCCTAAAAGCGTCAAAGCTTATTATCGCTCTGCAATGGCCTTGTTGAAACTTGAAAAGATTGTCGAAGCTGAAGATGCTGCCGCCAGAGGATTGGCAGTCGACTCCGAGAACAAGGGTCTTCAAACAGCCGCCCAGAAGATCGCTGAACGCAAGGCCTTGATCGAGCGTGCCGCCGCCAGAAAGAAGGCGGAAGCAGATCTGGCTCGCAGACATAACCTGGTTCTTAGCACCGCTCTGCGTGCCCGTGAGATCAGAACCCGCAAGACCGATCAACCCCCTGAGATGGAGGATGCGAAGATCAGGCTGGTTCCTGACCCTCTTTCTCCAGAAAGCTCTGTCGAGTTTCCCGCTGTCTTCCTTTACCCCATGGATGCCCAGTCCGACTTTATCAAGGGATTCTCAGAACTGCACACCATTACGGATCATTTGGATTATATGTTCCCTCTGCCTTGGGATATGAAGAAGGAGTATACTATTTCCGGAGTTGAGTGCTTCATGCAGACTGTATCTGGTGGCCTGATCAAAGCAGGCAAGAAGCTTCCTTTGCTGCAGATCCTTAGTGGCGGCAAGGTCGAGGTTGTGGATGAAATGGTTCGCATTTTCATTGTGCCGACATCGAAGACAGCTGCATTCATTGCGGAAATGAAGGCTCGCAAGAACAACTGAGCTTAAGGATACACTTTTCTTTTGAGAAATTATCCCTTCGCGGCTCGATACGAGATGTCATTAGTATACGGGCTCTGTTTCAGCTGTCAATGCCAGATCAGATCAAGCCTTTACTGCTTTTAGAAAATGCCCTTTCGCTTCCAGCGCGAAGACTGATGGCTTGCATTACGTCAAACTATTGGAAGTTGGCTTTTGCATTTGAAAAAAAAATTCGATACCCTTATTCTTTGTGAATAGAGAATTCAGCTTGTAAAGATCAAGCCAATGGGGCGAATTCACTACTTCCAATAGTCAATATTATGCCCATATTCTTTGGATTTGAAGATCATTAAGATAGATACGACCAACTAAGATGGCCCCCGTATACCATGGGTTTAAATCAAATCCACTGCCCCTACTAATCTTAAGTGGAAATCATTTATGCACAGAGTATAAGCAAGACCGGTTGATCTGTGCATGCACAGCCACAAAATTGAAATATCATATGATCTAGGCCAAATTGGAATGATAGAACCTCCTATGAAATACACATACCCTCAGCACTGTAGGGGCTCCAATATGGTTGTGGCGGAACCCGAGATCCGACCGGTAGTTACCACGCACCCACCTTTTTCGGTCTTATTTTCCTCAAAAAGTCCAATATTATCAAACTCAAGACAGTTTCAAAGTAATCTATCTTTTTGTCCTTCTGTTGACATTTTTGGCTATGATCATCATGTGCTTGAGTCGTAAGATACCCCCTTCCCGGTTATCATGCAGCCTAAATTAGGGCAACTCAAATAAAAAGATCCTCAGAGAATAAGTCAACTACCCATGTACTTTGGCCAAGAATTCTTCTTTTCCTTAATCGTGATTAAACTTTTCCCGTTCCATTTTAAGCCTGAGTCTAAATATAACAGCTGAAGCAGAGTTTCAGTAAGCCTGCTAGTATTAACCCTTGGCATCCCACCTCCACCTCCCATCCTCGACCATCCTATACAACGCATTGACCTCACACGAATTTGACAGAAATACTATAAAGTAATTAGGTATTTGAGAAATATTTGCTTATTCTGCAGCAGTACCCAACAATCCCGCACACTGCCAAGGAACCTCAACTGGAATACTGAGAAACGCTTGGGCCAACCCACTCTGGGAAGTTCCAAGCGGGAGAGTACTAGTTTCTCTTCTTAATATAAGTTGATAGCGAATAACTTCAAGTATTAGAAGCCTTCAGACAAGATTCTGCCATATCAGCCCTGGGGTATTGCGGCGTCTGCATAGACGAATGGGTGACGTCCACGGGTAGATTGCTATGCATTGATCTAATTCTAATACCGGTCAATTCTCCTGTTGGTCAGCTCATGCATTGGGGCTGGACTAGTGATTTTCCTTCCAAGAACTTGAAATATGAGCTCTGTAGCGGTGTGAAGAGTTTCTAAGGCATCGGTTCATCGTAATATAACTTGAATCTTCGAACTTACTAGTATTGGTGTCCGTGCACATGGTTGGAGCAGATATCTGGATGAAGGGGCTACGTCGTACGTACTCTACCATGCAGAGTGCTTTATCTGATATCAATCCCTTCAAATATGACTCTGATGTAGCGTGCACATCAATATGTCAAGGGGCTCCAGGATATCAACTTATACGATATTTCTATACCTCAATTACTCTGATGTCTCACAGAAGTAGCAGAATCAGCTGAGTTGACAGGGACATAGTACTAAGCTGAGGTCTTGATACCGTGTGTTGAAACTAGAGTACTTATTGCTTTTCTCCTCTCATCAAGTGAAGTTGCAACGGAAATGTGATAACATGAATGCAACGCCAATGCAGATTGTAATAAATAACAACATGAAAACTGGAGGGAACCCCATGCCTCCATAACTCCCTACAAAAGAGACTCGTCATCGTGTATAAAGGAAAAACAGAAAACGCTCAGTAATGAAAATAATAAGGAAATCCCGCTGAATCCATCTCCTCTCCAAATGATTCGGGATGAGGGTGTTGTTGACTCGGATCACCCGGTGAAGGATGTGCTTGGGGTTGAAACCCCTGAATCTCATGATAGGGCTCCGACATGAAAGGTTGAGGGGCCATGTAAACAGGAGCCTGTGCGTAGTACTCCAAAGGATTCTGAGCGCCGCTCGTAGGAACTCCAGCTTCAACGCAGTGGCGCTTTCTCTTCAAATCTTGTGCAGATGCGGAAGCAGCTGACAAGGATGTTTGTGAGGTATTCATGCCAGGGTGTAATGACAGCTCTGGCTTGACATATTGGGTAGGACTGTGCGAGGAAGCGAGAGGGAGGTTGGGAGACAAGTTGGCGGACATTTCGCCTGTTGCAAATGCGTTCTGAGGTGTGGGGATTCGCATCGGAGCACTGCGAATACACATAGTTTCGGCTGGGCGTTCTTGACTAGGCCCTGCTTCGTCGATCGGAGTACTTCTTCGACTGTTGGACTTTTGACTGCTTGGTTTGTCCACGGGATCGGGCAAATTCGCGCGTGAAATCGATATGAGGGTTTTGCCATCTGTTTATGATCAGTTAGTTGAGGTCTCTTGCGGTGAATTTATTCTTTTGCAAAGTAGTATACCTGTCTTTCCGTCTTCGTACTTCTCTTCTTCTTCTCTTACTTCATAGAACTCATCCATAATTTGCAGTCGCTCAGATGGGGTGATTTGGCGCCGGATAGGCTGGTCTGCCTCCTTTAGTCGTCGAGCAGTGATTCCATGACTAGTGCGCAGTTCGCAAAGTAAATGGACCAGAAGTCGGATCCGCTCTTTTTAATTATTCTTATTAGTAACTTGTTGACAAGTGCTTCGGGATCCACAAAGGTGGTCAAAGAAAAGGGGAAAGTGTTAAGCAAGTCTTCTTACCAGCTTTCGGTAGGTGGTCAGGCTCACGGTGGCTCACTCCTGCTGGCCACCACGGTGGCTTTGTCTCATCTGGATCCAGCTGCTGGGTCTTTCCAGCAACAATTTTGCGTCCATTGTAAGGATAATTCACTTGCTTGCGTGGCTCTACCAGCTTGATGTAGGCCTTAGCCAGGACACGGCAATTAGTCTGTTGGAGATTCTGAAACACCTTGTCGTAGTACCGACGAGTAAATCTTTTGTCCGTAATTGAGATCAAGGACTTCTGGGCACTAGTCATACTAATTTCTTCGGTCCAAGGCTGCCTTCGTTGGGTTTGTAGGCTCTGGCGAGACCATTGTGGTGGCCAAGGTTCCGGGTGTTGTTGAGTCGACCACATCGTCGGATCCATCGATGGCCCCTGAGGAATAGGCACTACTTGCCTCTGTCTCTGTCTTTCGACACTTTGAGACTCCGTGCTATGAGGAACCTGGGTTACTTGAGGAGGCATAGGACCCCGGCTACCAGTCGTTCCTTGTGTGGGGAGAGACCGCAGCGCCCGACTCGACTACTTTGAATCAATGCACCGTTCAGGGGAAGTTTGTTAAAAGAGTTGAGGGTAAGTATGTGACGCTTACATGAAGAATGTGATGGGTTAGGCCCTCTCGAACTAGCTACAGCTCGCAGAAATGCGTCGGTAACTCGCGGGGAGAGGATAGATTCACGGCTGTGGGCGACAGACTGTGAGGCTTGGTGACGCAGATTACCCTCGCGGTCGATATAGATAAGTGCAAAATGGGGATAACCCAGCTCATCTTGTTCGTTAGACATGGTTGGCGGGACCTAATAATGATGGTAAGTTTCGATGCTTCACGGCGAAATTCTCAGGAGAGCCGGCGAGACCCATCTCAACGGCTTCATGCTTCATACCATATAAGTGCAGGTTAAGACTTGTGGATGAAAATTGAATTTGTCTGAATAATTGGCAATAGAACAGGGACTCCAATCAGTAACCTGAACGGAGGACCAAGAAGACTTGCAGCTAGGGATCATTGTCTGTAGGGTTAAGAACACACAACCAACATTGAAGAAGACCGCTAAACCACCGGGTCCCACTCAGAGACAACTGGAGACCTGCCACGGAGATTATATAGTCGATCGTGGTCCGCCACCAGGCTGTGGCGCGCAGGGCCGAAGGGGCCTGGTGACAGTGTGGAGAAATCGGCTCTATCGAAAGAGAGAGAGAAGAGCAGCAAAGAACTGCGTGAGAGAGTGATCCAGCACGGACTTCTGGATTGAGATACTGGAAGAAGCGGCCCCAACACACGCTGTGCTCCACCTACGCTAAACCCACGCACTCAATCTTCGCTGTTTTCCGGTAATTTGCTTACCGTTGACCTACATAGGGGTGGAGTATTGTGCAGCGGCTTTTTTTTCTTTCATGCCTAATGACTGTCGATCTTTAATCCTTCCAGAGCAATTCTTAGTTCTATTAATTACATTGTGATACTATAGAATGAAGAATGAATGTGATTTTTGGTATAATTCTGTCTTTTATACATTCTCTACTTATGATTAAAATGACCATAAAACAAAGCAAAAAAGGAACATGAAAAAGAATCTTACACTTACTGAAAAGAGCCGCCCCAGTAACATGGTAAACATCAAGTAACGGCGGCATAGATTAGACCAGTGACGATCTAAATATCATAGCGTGATGGGGATGATGTGGCTCAGTCCGGTAAAGCCGCAGCTCCTTGACAAGAGTGGCTTCAATCTATCGGTCAAGCGAGGTGATAGTTCCCAAAAAAATAGTGTCTGGAACCAAAGAATCCTCGTGAAGCAAGGTTGGGTCCAGTGGATTACGACTATTTGACCAATTGTGACGGAGACTTGGGAATGCAGATCAGGCCGTTAACGACAAAGGTACAAATCAAAATGTGGCCATGATTATATGGTCTAATCGGCCTGATCAGACCGATCTGCTCTACTGTTTTAAGCTTTGTGCATAATGGGAGAATAGATCGTTCAGGTTCAGGCACCAAGAATCTTACCCCCTATCGGCGTCTACACACCGGGCCGCACTAGGATCTAGGATCGTGCATGGTCTGAAGGGGTATGATGGTTCGAGAGGAAAAGATCTGAGAGGCTAGCCAAATACCGGTGTGGCGTTGCCGAATGAGAGAGATAGCCTTGAGAATTTGACTGTGGCTCATGAGTCTCGTATATCATTCCTCTTCCTTTCGTAATTTTTATTTCTTATTTTATTTCTTATTTTATTTCTTATTTTATTTCTTATTTTATTTCTTATTTTATTTCTTATTTTATTTCTTATTTTATTTCTTATTTTATTTCTTATTTTATTTCTTATTTTTTTTCTTATTTTTCGGTATTTTATTTTCTCTCTGCTTTGCGCCGGCCCGCATTCGTCCATGCAAGACGATCAGATCTGGCTGTACGATACCCGTGCCTATCCACATGGATCAAGTTATTCTTTTCAGCTCGTGTGGGGCTAATGCCTTTGTCTGGAACTTGAATGATTCAATATCACCCTAGATGGGGCTTATTTGGTTGGGATGTTGACGATCAAACCCAATAGCCAGGAAATGCAAGCGTTCCAGCCACGGGTGGAGGTTAGAGACCGGCCCTTTTCTCCTAATCTAGTGGTGATGCTATAAGTCTTGTGATATTCACCCTTGTTAAGACTATCTGGATCATTCCTTTTTACCCTATGAGTGGATCAAAGCACTAATTACGAGGAAACCAATTCTTTCAAATGTTACTATCTGCATGGCAATACAATAATACATGCTACTGATTTGCTTATTCTCTACATTTTAAAAAGATACGGGGGGATATGCAGCTAGTATATTATCAAATACTTTTACTTGAGAATTCTCCGGAGCTCAATAGCAATTAATTGACTCGTAGTACCTAATCCATTGTTCAAGTCTTTTACATTCAAATGTGTTGCATTCTTCTTATTTAACATTGAAGCATGCGATGTTGTTTGGTAGAAGAATCCTTCAAGATGATCTATCTATTCTTGCTAAAACAAAATGAAAAAAAAATTGGAAATAGTAAAATAGAATAAAAATTGAATTAAAATACTGAAAAAGGTGAAAAAGGTGAGAAATAACAAAAATAACAAAAATAATCTTTTTTCAGAAGAGGAAACATTGCGATGCAACTAATATAGTGACCCAAGATTCTAAATCTGGGACCATGGAAACACATACATCCACACTGGTAGGGATACCTCCAGATATTAATGCACAATTACGCAATGTTCCAGTCCTGGATGGGTATAGAAGAGTACAGATTCAATGCAACACTTTAGCATTCCAAATTGTTAACTCCGAGGCTTCTCCATGATTCTTCACGATGAAGTTGCACGTTCTTTTGCTTGCAAAGACAATCATGTACGCCACTGTGTGGCTGAGTTAAACCTATTGTGTCGATCAACCATCTCACCGAAAGAGAGAGGATCCTTACCGCGAAGCTCGTACTGTCAGTGCAGATTTTCCCCGCGAGGGAGCTGAAACATCTCCCCCGAAAGTTAATGCGTGAATTCTTTTCTATTTTTTATTATGGCTTATCATTTCTTTTTTTTCTCCCAAATCTAGTTCTAGCATAGTTTGCCACTTCAACCCAACTTAATAGATAACTCGGCCGGACGGAACCCGCTCGGTCCCAATGTTTGGTATGGGCTGGACCTTTTGTTCGTCAAGATATCGGCCGTGGGACCCGAAGCCCTGGGTCTGATAATTTGGGTCAATGGTATTATTCATTGGATTATATCTCACTTGAGCATGTGCTTTTGTCACAAAAAAAAGAAAACCTTCAACTAGTAGATAAGTTACTGTCATATTCCATATGGGGTAATAGAAAGCCCCATTTCAAGTGGATTCAATAGCCACTGGAGCACTTCAGGGCTGAGTATTGACCTTGTACATAATGGAAAATAGAGTACAACCCCGAAAGTCAAACGTTCCTGTCATAGCCCTGTCAGTAAAGTCCCTGTCAGTAAAATGCCGATCTAACTGCCAACTATTTGACAGTACGGAGTACACTTGGTTTATTCTCGGGGAAACTAAACGTCTCTAGTGGACCATGATTACGATAATCTGGTCGTGTCCTTCCAAGATAAGAAATCCCCCACCTGAAGAAAGCAAGGTTCGGAGAATCTCTTGACAGAATCCACAATTGATTACAGTTTGTTTGAATTCGGGGAAGGACTTCCTCGACTCAGTATAGACGCAATTATGGAGTCTGACGTACGGAGTATTGAACTCGCTTGGCCTGTTAGGGAGGTGAAGTGCACTCCACGGGTGTGGTGGCATCGGGATGCCCCGTGTATTCTGGGAGTGCCGTAACCGGAGAACCTAGGTCTGTGTTCTCCGAGATGCAAGTCATGTAACATTACCTTGTGTGGACCGATTGATTTTAGGGTTGACAAATCTTTGTGCATGGCGGGGTTTGCCGTGGAGGCCTTCCTTAACGCATATCCCGTACATAATTCGATAGCCTGTGCCAAGTTGACTGCCCAGGTGGGTTCCCCATACAGAGCTTACAGGATGCTTAGCAAGATCAGGTTCTGTCGATTAGGTTTGGATGTATCCATATCATGCACATCTAGTAATCAGAAAGAAACCTTGGAAAGTTACCTTAAGACCTTGAGATGAATGATCTTGAGACTAAACATATTTGAAATGTACCATCCCAAAATGCCTGGAAGGAATCCCAAGTCCTGAGACTGCCTGGAGGAGACATGTGTATATCGTCATTGGCTTGGATGTATTGTGAAGACACTTAGTTCATGCAGTCCATACCGAGCACCAGGACACTCATACTGCACCCATACTGCGGTGTAACATGCTGCACCAAGCAGAAACAAGACATGTGGGGATGCATCGACTCTACCGCTGTCTGAAGGCAGAACTAGTTGCCTCTTCGGAGCTCATAGCCTCCGCAGATTCGCTCACTTTTAAAAAAATAAATAAATAAATAAATAAATAAACAATAAAAATAAAAAATAACACAACGTTTTCATTTACTGTGCCTGGGTCCGAACTGTATAGTAGTTCCACCGGCATTTTCCTTGTGGCTGGCTGAAACTAGCACTTGAGGTGCTGTCAATTCCAATTTCAGACTGGTTCTCTCGTTACCTTGGTGGATATGATTTCCGACTAATTGCCCGACTCGGGCAAGGGAAAAGATCATCGACGTGCATTTCCTGGAAGCTGGGAAATAATGGATCCCTCTCAAATCGTTTCGTGGCATTAGAATGCATTTTCTTGGTCCATGGCGCCCCCTCTCTCTTAGCGAGCTGCACGTTGCCCGTTCCAGATAACCTCTCCGACTCATGAGTGGATCCCCGGTATCAGACTATCCACATTACGGAGTACAACTACGGTAAACAGAGTACAAAGTTTCATCCAGCAACGTCCACAGGTCTCAGGAAGGAATGCATCAAAAGAAACAATACATTTGTTTTGAGTTTCCTTTCTCAAGCGCCGCATCACATAGCCGTATTATCCTGTATTTCCGGGGGGTTGCAGATCGTACTGCAGATCCAATACCCCTGATTGGGTCTGAGCCCTACCGCATGGGTCACATAACGGTTCTCACGACAATCTGATATCAGATCTGTTCGGAGTCGCCGTTCGTGGTTCCCAAGAGCCATGGATACATCATTCTCCCCTCGAGTTGAGGGAGAAATTATCCAAATTTCCTGGCATATCGGTGCTCCTTGGTTCCATTTTCCTGTCACCTTCTAAGGAACTATGGATGAACAAAGGATCTTAGCATGATTGATGACGTTGATCGATCTCCCGTCACTTCAAGGTTTAAATTCAAATCCATGATCTATTAGGGTAACGCACATCAGGAGGTGTTCATCAATTCCATAGTCCCACTATTGACTTTGAATGATTTGAATTAAAACTGAAAATGACTCGTATCGGCAAGGATTCGACATGATCACTACCTTCTCTGGACAAATACTCCGCACTGGTGCAGCTTCAAAGAATGGTTCACTGCGCCACAGATGGGTCTGAGACTTGGGTATTGTGGCGCAGTCTGTACTGCAACTGCTCGTATTTTCACAGTGTATTTTGCGGCTGAGAACTATCCAAGGTTTTCATGCACGATGAACTCATCGATCCTATGCGGTAAGGGTGTTTGCCGATGATCTCGGATGGAATTCAATTCCTTGAAGTTTGTCAGCCCTAAAGCCACTGGACTTTATCGATCTCAACGTAATGTTCATGTCTTTCCAAGGCTCCGAGGTCGTGGTGAGATCTCGGGAGTTAGGGTACGGTTACATAACGTATTTCCCAAGCGAGCGGCGCACCTAGGCGAGTGGCGCACCCCAAAACACCATACTAAATGCGATAATTTACAACTTGATATCTCAACAACAACAGCTATCTATACAGCCCAATAATCATGTCATAACCTATTAGCCCTACCTGGTATAAATTTGGGATCTCAGAATATTTTCAAGTTGGTATATGTCAGATCTATACACTTTGAGCTATCAATGTCGTATTTTTTGGTCATCTGATAAAGTCATCATTTATTTGACCTAGAACCAGACTATGTTTTTTTATATACTAAGAAATGCTATCGGACTAAGGAAGAAGTTAATACTATGTATGGTTGCTGAGATATAAAGTTGTAGTTTATCGCATTTAGTCTGATGTTTTGGGGTGCGCCGCTCGCTTGGGAAATACGTCAATACTTTTATTGTTTATGCCCCGGGTTTCAGGCCAACTGAACCTTAGAAATCACATGTCAATTGAGTTTGCAAAGTTTGTCCACTTAGTCACTTAGTCATCACTTAATGTGCCCATGGTGACCGCCTCCAGACTGGGCACCAAAACACCAAACACCTCCAGTGGACCTGAACAGCTCTACTCCGTAGAGCTGGGGCAGTGACATACAGGTTGACGTTTACTGGTTGATCCACTCTAATATACTTCTGAATACGAGTCTTAGCACATACCGAGCTCTATACGGTGTAGTTCGTACATACATAAGTCCTAAATAATACATAACCGCCAATGGTGCCCTATCTGGTGTTCAACTGGTGTACCGGAGTCCCGTGACCAAGACTATTCTCGGCAAGACACTTCTCCTCCAATACCTTCAATAACTGCTCTGGTTTGCAAACCCAAATTGACAGGCAACTTCTCATCGGTAAATTATTTGAAATAAATCATCCAAAGAAAACCGTCAAAGGGAATAATCGCATATCCACACACTGGGCCCGTGTCCCCACTTCCAATCCAAAAAGACTCCGCTGCATTAGCCCGTCCGCCCACGGCTGATCACTCTGAATCCGGACCACATCCGCCAAAATCTGTCTTGCTCCGCGTCCAGCTCTGTGTCAAAAAGCAGTGGGCGATCGTTTTTCCTAGCACCCCTGGCCGATTTATTATCAACTGGGCCAATCACCGTCCTGCATTTCTTTGTCTTTTTATTTTCCTAGATTCCCTTCCTCTCCACACCACACGTCGTCCCAATTTTCCGAGCCCATCCCTGGATTCCCGCGCGCGAGTGAGAACCTCCGTCTCAACTTTCTCGCTCGTCCGTGCGGCGCGCGCGTAATCGACTGTCTTCCCCAGCCTGTCTAGATCATTCAAAGGGAACGCTCCTCCCGCGAACAGGAAGGATTGACTGCGGGCCAATCTTGGACGCCCCGGCCCCTGTCTAACGCCAATAGTTTGTCTTCGTGATGGGCACGCCTTATTATACAATGGATCCCAACACTGGCTATCCGGCTGGCTTTCCCGTCCCGACGCAGAGCCCCCCCGAACCCGATGTCTTTCTACCCAAACTCGATACCCCAGCAATTTCCCCAGTCTAAGGCCCCGTCACAGCCTGGGCAGCAGCAGCATTCCTTTGGTGCCATGCCCATGCAGCCAGGTGTCCCTGGTGGAGCTATGATGCCCTCGGGTTTTCCCCAACAATCTGCTGGTACGTTGATCAAAGTGACTTCCCCCTTCCCCTCCCTTTTGTATTCATCTCTTTGATTATTTAATCTTTCCTTTTTTTCCTTTACTCCATTCTTGTATTATTATAAGCCTGATATTGGCCTTTACTTTTTGCGTATACCCATGGGTATTACCAATGTTTTTAAATGCCGTATGTCTCTCGAGGCTCAGGGGGTGGTGTCTTCCCTGATGTACATCCAGACGCATCTCGTTGGCCTTCAGAGACCTGCAGAGCACAAATGAACCTTCCTGTTGGATGGCGTTCCCTGTTGTTTCAGCATGCACTTGGCATTTCTAGACATTCCCATTTGTTTGCTTTTCTGTACCTTGTTTCGTCCCATTCGCACAAAAAGCTTGTTTGCGATTATAAAGACGTGGAGTGTTAAAAATCGCTAATGAACAAACCAGCACCCATGGAGAATTTTTCGGCACCCTTCAATCAAAATCCCGTCCCCGCAAACATGGGCCAATTTTCTCAGCCAAATCCACAAACGAACACACCGTCTACCGTTGCGCAAACATTTTCTCAGAACATGGCGTCCATTTCTGCAAACAACTTGCTCGTCAATCAGTCACGTCATATGAATTCCCCTCAATCAGCGCAGCCAGGAACCCCTCAAAGTCAGGGGCCAGGTCAAACACTCTCCCAAAACCAAATGCAAAGCCCCTCTCCGGCCCAACTCCAAGCGCAGGCGCAGGCAGTGGCTCGAGAAAGGGTTCGCATTACAACACTTCTAGATATCAACTCCACTTTGCTGGAGGAGGTTATGAATCTCCAGAAAGCTGGCAAGGCAACTTTGGTTCAAAATACGGATGGAATCCCTATTCCACAAAAGCCAAGCCAAGAATACATTGATTGTATGCGACGGATGCAAGCCAATCTTGTGTACCTCGCAAATACCGGGGATAAGCAAAAACGGACGCCTATACCGGCTATCATGTCCCCTCCTCCGAATGTTCCCGCCTTAAATGAATCATATCAGAAGCTAAATGAGCTCTTCCCACGATCTGGCCAGGTTCCTGCTCAGCGGTTTAGTCCTGCTATGATGCAGGGAAATGGTGGACCTAGTCCCTCTCCTATGCCAGAGTCAGTGGTCTAATGACCCAAGGTCTGTGTCTCCATTGTGAGAAATCATTGATCTCGCTTGGAGGGAAACGGAACAAGGTGAATCTCTATACATCTTGGTGATTTTAATCGATGTTCATTAATCTTTTCTTTTCTTTTTCCTTTTTTTTCTTTTTTTACCTCTTTTGATCTATTTTCCTCTCTTCTATTTTCATGATCTACCTGTCATATGAGCCATCATTCGGAATCATGACCATCTATCATCTCCAACCGGTTTTGGGAAACGGCGCCTCCCGTCTCCAGGCCCGCCATGGCTTGGGTCCAAGCGCAAAAGATCAAGGCATATGTATGTAACTAGGCAGTTGGGGAGTGCCTGGATGCCTTCATGGAAAGGGTGTACCATCAGCGTGTAATTTGGATTTATTATGAGAACTCTCGAAGTATGCAAATGGGGGAGGCAAGATTTATTGACGATCTTGACTAAAGCTAGATAGATACCTTCAAGTTTGCTTCTTTCTATTTATTTTTTTACTACTATTTTCATTCAATAAAAAAGCGACTATTGAAGAAAAGACCTATTCTTGACGTATTTCATTTTTTAATCTATTTAATTAATTTCTTCTGTCAACGATAGTTCTGCTCGTCAAATGTCACTGATCTTCATAGGCGCGTGGTCTGGGCATGGGATCGGATCGTGTGAACGGGTGCGCCCCACCAATCAGGCTCTCTCCTTCTCTCTCCGCCTCATCTCTGATCGCGAATGTCTTTGTCGAGTAGGAGCTTCCCAGGTTTTATTGCTGCTGCTTCTACTGTGGTGCATTGGCCCAGTGTCGCTTCGGCTCGAGTCTCTCTTTTATCTTCCCTTTTATCGCCTCCCTCGCCTCCTAACCGTCGTCCCTTCTCCTCCACCCCCCAAGTTCCTCACTCTCTCCGAGCTTCTTTCAACTCTTCACGTCCTTCTCTCATTACCTACACCATGGATGCAAGTGGTGATATCGGTGCTAAGCGCAAGCGCAGCTCTATTACCGGGGCAGCTGAACGCCCTGTAAAACACCTCAAGCCCGAAGGCTCGGCCCTCACCCCCGGTGACGCAACACCTGCCAATGGAACTGTCTATGACGTTGAAGAAGAGGAGGATGCTGGCCGTGTCCTTGCGCTAGGCCCTGCGCAGGCTGATTCGCCAGAATGGCAAGCTACTATCGAGTCTGTGGTCAAGAGTGTGGTCTCAATTCACTTCTGTCAGACCTGCTCTTTTGACACAGAGCTCTCCATGAGTAGTCAGGCTACTGGCTTTGTCGTTGATGCAGAACGTGGATACATCCTCACCAATCGTCATGTTGTTGGTGCTGGTCCATTCTGGGGATACTGTATATTCGACAACCACGAGGAGGTAAGCGGATGACAAGAACACAAATGAAAATAGGGATATGGGAAAGAAGAATATATGACTAACTTGATGCTGCTTCCTAGTGCGATGTTCGACCAGTGTACCGAGACCCCGTTCACGATTTCGGCATTTTGAAGTTCGACCCCAAAGCCATTCGATATATGAAGCTTACTGAGCTCAAGCTCCAGCCAGACGCAGCTCGTGTTGGAGCCGAAATCCGGGTGGTTGGAAACGATGCAGGAGAAAAGCTCAGTATTCTTTCCGGTGTGATCAGTCGACTTGATCGTAATGCACCTGAGTACGGTGAGGGATACAGTGATTTCAATACCAATTACATTCAGGCCGCTGCTGCTGCCAGTGGTGGTAGTTCCGGAAGTCCTGTCGTCAATATCGATGGACATGCCGTGGCTTTGCAGGCCGGTGGTCGAGCAGATGGTGCTGCAACAGATTACTTCTTGCCCTTGGATCGCCCACTTCGCGCTTTAGAGTGCATTCAGCAAGGCAAGCATGTCACCCGAGGCACCATTCAAACTCAATGGATCCTCAAGCCCTTTGATGAATGTCGTCGTCTTGGTCTGACTCCAGAATGGGAAGCTGCTGTGCGCAAATCTGCTCCCACTGAAACAAACATGCTTGCTGCTGAGATTATCCTTCCTGAAGGCCCGGGTGATGGCAAACTGGAAGAGGGTGATGTGCTGTTGCAAGTTAATGGCGAGCTCCTGACTCAGTTTATCCGTCTGGATGACATTTTGGACTCGAGTGTGGGACAAAAAGTTAAATTGCTCGTGCAAAGAGGAGGTCAGGATGTGGAAGTTGAGTGCCAGGTTGGTGACCTTCACGCAATCAGCCCAGACCGGTTTGTGACTGTTGCTGGGGGCACCTTCCATGACCTGTCCTACCAACAGGCCCGCCTGTATGCCATTGCTACCCGCGGTGTGTACGTTTGTGAGGCTGCTGGATCTTTCAAGCTAGAGAACACCTTGTCTGGGTGGATCATTGACTCTGTTGACAAGAGACCCACTCGGAATTTGGATGAATTCGTAGAGGTGATGAGAACTATCCCTGATCGCGCTCGTGTGGTCATCTCATATCGCCACATTCGTGATCTCCACACTAGAGGAACCAGTATCGTCTATGTCGACCGTCACTGGCATCCAAAGATGCGCCTTGCAGTTCGTAATGACACCACTGGAATCTGGGACTTCTCCGATCTTGCCGATCCTATCCCGGCTGAAAAGCCAGTCCCACGCAAGGCAGACTTCATCCAACTGGATGGTGTGAGCCAGCCTGCTGCCGCTGAGATTGTGCGCAGCTTTGTCCGAGTCTCATGTACCATGCCTTTGAAGCTTGATGGCTACCCGCAGGCAAAGAAGACTGGTTTTGGTTTGGTCATCGATGCCGAAAAGGGCCTGGTTGTTGTCTCTCGAGCCATTGTGCCATATGATCTTTGCGATATTAACATTACAGTTGCCGACTCGGTCATTGTCGCTGCAAAGGTTGTCTTCCTGCACCCACTTCAGAATTACACCATCATTCAATATGATCCCAGTTTGGTACAAGCACCTGTGCAAAGTGCCCGTCTCAGTTCCGAGTTTATCAAACAGGGACAGGATACCATCTTCGTTGGTTTCAACCAGAATTTCCGCATTGTTGTGGCCAAGACCGCTGTTACTGATATCACAACTGTGTCGATCCCTGCCAACTCCTCTGCACCTCGGTACCGCGCAATCAACTTGGATGCTATCACTGTGGATACTGGACTGAGTGGTCAGTGCACCAACGGTGTTTTGGTCGGCGAGGATGGTGTCGTGCAGGCTCTATGGCTGAACTACCTCGGTGAGCGAACACCAAGCTCCCACAAGGATGTTGAGTATCATTTGGGATTCGCTACACCATCACTCCTTCCCATCACATCCAAGATTCAGCAGGGTGTGACTCCCAAGTTGCGCATCCTCAACATGGAAAGCTATGTCGTCCAGATGAGCCAGGCGCGTATCATGGGTGTATCTGAGGAGTGGATCCAGAAGGTTGCGCAAGCCAACCCATCCCGTCATCAGCTTTTCATGGTCCGCAAGGTCGATTGTGCACCCGCTGGATTCACATCCTCTTATGATAGCTTCAAGGAGGCAGATATTATCCTCACCTTGGATGGCCAACTCATCACCCGTGTTTCGGAGCTAGATGTTATGTATGAGAAGGAGTTCCTGGATGCTTTGATTGTCCGAAATGGTCAGGAAATGACCATCCGAGTCCCCACCGTCCCAACAGAGGACTTGGAAACTGACCGTGCAGTTGTCTTCTGTGGAGCCGTTCTGCAGAAGCCTCATCATGCGGTCCGACAACAGATTTCCAAGCTGCACAGCGAGATCTACGTTAGCGCAAGGGTAAGTCAAGTCTCCATCAGTATATTCTGGAACTTCCCACGTATCTTATTAACCATATTCACAGAGTCGCGGTTCACCTGCCTACCACTATGGTCTTGCACCAACCAACTTCATTACTGCAGTCAACGGCACCCCAACTCCCACACTCGACCTTTTCGTCAAGGAGGTCTGCAAGATCCCGGACAACACCTACTTCCGTCTGCGTGCTGTCACCTTCGACAACGTTCCTTGGGTAGTCACCATGAAAAAGAACGACCACTACGTAAGTCCCAGATTCTCTACCACTGTTTACCATAGTAGCCATCTAACACTGGAAACCCTTAGTTCCCCATGTCCGAATATGTGAAGGATCCCACTGCTACTTCCGGTTGGCGCACAATCTCTCACGATAAGTCTAAGGACAAGCTTGGTGTTTCAGCCGATGCGGTGAATCTTAATGCCGACGCCATGGACGAGGGTGGTGAGGGTGGAGGTAGTGATATGGAGCCTGACATGGAGTAGAATTTTTTCTATCTTTTGTCAAATGTTTTCTGCTTTGCTCCAGATCAGTGCCCTGGAGATTCTGGAAAATTCTTGTACAATATTCGTTATGGGGCGTCGCTGCCATTAAGATCATGATTATTTAAATCTATTGATAAAAAAAAATTGATACCTTTCAGATTGTTTTATTTCATTTTGTCTAAATTTTATTTACACGGTGTTTAAACTTTCAAGACCTCTTCCCCCACTCCACATGCAGATGTACTCACTGGCACTGGGCTGCCCAGGTGTGGATGTCAGGTCCGAGTCAGGGTGCATTGTCAAAACCTTTGGGTAGTCTCACTAGTACCCAGGCGCCAGCAGTCATCCATATGTCATATTATTACTAAAACTTGAAGTGTGGTCTACATACATGCACTAGGTAGCGACTTCAAGTTGGTGGTAAAACTTCAAATGTTTGAAGTAGCCTAAGTACCCACTCAAGTGTTCCGTGCAAGCCTCAGTGTCATTGATATATATTGCGGAGAACATGTGCATATCGTGGCACCACGCGACGAAAATCACGCTAAACAAACCACGGCTGATCAAACCTAAAATATAACAACATCATTGGACATGAGATGAATGGGTTAAAAAAAAAAGTTCATATCTAACTTCAAACACGGAGTAATCTAAAAATGGAGGTGGGGAAAAAAATCCAAAAATCAAAAAGACATGTGCATCATCCGTGAATCGAACACGGGCCTCGTCGATGGCAACGACGAATTCTACCACTAGACCAATGATGCTAGTTGATGTAAATAGCTGATTTTGTGACATTATCACCCACTAGCACTGGCGTTGAGCAGGTGTATCTTGATCTTGATACACATGTAGGCGATATACGGAGTGATCCATGGATGTAATATTGATGTTATTCTTGTTGAATCTTGAATTCTTCCAAGGTTGTTGATAATGGTTTTGATATCCATGGATTATTGTGGATTTTCACATTGTTGAAATTACTAGTATTAATAATATTTATTATATCATTCAAATTCAAGTTCCATTTTTAAATACTACATGTAGTAAATCTACTCCTTTGGCGCTTCCGTAGGAAGGGCATGTAAAGAAGTGTTAGAACTTGGGACCACTGGTTCACTGGTTCTCTCTGTAGATATCACCGAATCTCCATCTTGTTCTCTCTCTTCCCCAGGTACCGTCGGCTGACAAGAAGTTTGATCACTAGTAGAACTAACCACACCCTGTCTGACCATCTGTACATACTCTTGAAACATCTGTAGCTGCTCAGGATTAGTAAATTTCTGAGATTCCATGAAACGTAAGAAATCCTCCCCCCAACTTTAAACCCTGTTGAAGAGTAATTGGTAACCGCTCCAACCCTGCCAATACCGCAGAGTCATATTGTTTAGCGATCAAATGAACATATTCCATCAACCAAACATGTTCCATCTGATAATCAGCATCAGTTGGGATAGAAACAATTAGACCATGCTTAATCACGGATCGATGGTCATATCGTTTTTGAAACCTGTCTAACCACCCTCTGCTAAAAGAAGGCGCCTTTTGATCTGGAAAATAGTGTTTAATCTCTAAAATCAAGATTAGTAAATCATATGAACAAGAATATTGACAGAAATAAACGTACCATTCCAAATCGCCTGGCCTTGCTTCCTTAACATATCACCAGAGACAGGAAAGTTATAATGGGATTGAAGCCGTTGCTGCCATTCAAATAGGGCTAAATCAAGCAGAGGCCAATTTGATTCTTGAGATCGTGGATCTCGTGGACCTCGTGTATCCCGTGGAACAGTCTGCTTCTGAATCCTACTTCCCTTCTTATGGGTAAGATGAGATAGGATATCCTGTTTCAGGATACTTGCGGTTGTAGATTGGGGTATTTGACGTTTGAATGTATCCGCAAACCAGATACGGCATTCAGTCAAGCTAGGCTTAGGAACCCGGCTATTAGCCCACTGTTGTAGGGCAAGCTTCTGGTCAATAGGGATAGGAGGAGCCATTTGGATTGATTTCTCCAATCAATGTTAATGAATCATAAGACAATAATACTATACATCTTAGATAACTTACTAGTTTGAAAATTCAAGAAACAAAAGATTGATTGATTCCGAGGTCTGTTATTCCCAGGGTACACGTAGGTGATCACCTCCAGGGCTGGGCAGTCTGAACTCTGAAGCTCATGGAGGTTAAATTCAGAAATCCAGAGAGTTTCCAAGTTTGGCAGAAATAAAAGAGAATAGGGGGTAACTAGGGCGGTAACCATTGAAGTCACTACAATCAAGCTTGAAATGCAAGGGGTTACAATTGGAGAGGTTTTTATTTCCTAATTTAGAAGGCGGTGTTCTTTAACTATGGTGAACAAAACACGGATCATGATCCAATTAAATCATATGCACCGATGGATGCTTCATATGTCGCTGTAGTCTAAAGATTCGAGACTCAACAATAAAAGTACAAGACGCCGATAAATTAAGTGGGAATACAAGACAGGTTCCTTCCTGAAACCTCAACGCCAAATGCCCTGGATTTCAAACTCCAAACCAAGTACGCCTCAACTGCCACTGCTGTTCCAGAATTATAACACCGTAACCAAAACCATTTTATGGATTGAAGGACCATCCACCATTGAGACGCAAACGCTGTCGATCGGCAACGTCTCGTCGGATCTCCTCTTGTGTGAGTCCGTCCGGACCGGACCAGTTGGCACTGCTGGTTCGCTCGCGGAATTTCTTGATCTTCTTATCCGCCTTGAAGGTTTCCTCCAACGAGAACGGTGCAATAGGCCCAAAGATAGAATCGACTTCCATTCCATCTTGCTGACGGAGCAGTCCCTCCAATTCCTTAGGCTGGGCCCACTTAGGCACAGGGAACATCTCGGAGTCCGAGTCGTCCTCGTCTTCGCTGTCCGTGGCGATCTCAGGCAAATGGATGTTCTCACCGTTGGGGTACTTGGGAGATGGCTTGGCTGGACCGGGAGTACGATGCGTGGAGGCGGGAGCAGGCGCTCTGTGTGCCGCCGGCGGCGGCGCGTGGTTGGGCTCAGCGAAAGGAATCTTACCATGAGCCAACTTGGACATGTCGATCGGGTGACTGGGTCCAGGCCTCTGGGGTTGACCAGCCTTCAACATAGAAGAACCAGACTGCATGCTGGATTGACCAAACAGGGAAGGCTATCGAGGATAATATAGTTAGCAATAGAAAGCGATGTAGCGGGGTTGAATTGGGTCCATTGCATACCTTGCGAATAGTAGTACTGGGTTGACGGATCGGGCGAGCCATGGCTGGCCGCACAGGCTGCATTGGGTTGTGCTCATCCTCAGTCTTTCTTCGCTTTGCTTCACCGGAAGGCTGTACATTGCTGGGCTTGGCAACTGTTGCCCGGTGACCTGCATCATCATCCAGCACTCGCTTCGGCGGCTTGGCGGGATTCGCGACTGGGGGATTTATAGATCGACCGAAAGGTTGCATAGAGCCCAAACGTGAAGCAGGTCGGGCGGAGCCTGGTTCTTGCCTCCTAGCATTCTCCATTCGCCAGTTCTCAATTGCCTGCTTATTCGCGGCTTTCTTGGAGTCATCTTGGACCGACTGGGCTCGGCGTTCTCGCTCAGCCTCAGCACGACTCTCAGCCTGCCGGCGAGCTTCTTCTTGCTGCTGTACCTGCAACGCTCGCCTCTGCTCTTGTTCCCGTCTTAGCTCCTCTTTTCTGCGGGCCTCGCGTTCTTCCTGTTCTCGCTTTCTTTCCTCTTGTTCCCGCTTCCTCTCCTCCTGTTCTCGCTTTCTCTCGCTGGCCAGCTGAGCCTTTCGCTGCGCTTGGGTCTGACTTGAAACCGAGCTCTTGAAGCTGCTTGCCGACGAGGCGGTGTGGAGAGAGTTATTGCTGGCCTTCTTTTTCAAAATATTTGGCTTCGAGGCCGAGGGTGGTGGAGCATCCTGCACGTTGGCAGAATTCATTGTCATGCCTCGGGAAAGAGTACTGCCAACACGAACGGACACAGGCTGTGGCTTTGGCTTTTGCATAGGCTCACGAGTTGGCTTAGGACGCCGATCATTCTGCTTTGATTGTGACATCGCAATCCTAGAGCTATCCTGGGTAGATTCGGGCTCCCGGCTTGGTTGTCTGAGTGACTGTGAGGTTTTGTAGGATGTTCGTTCTTCTGGTTCGACGGATGATTTATCCTGGGCAGCCTTTAACTGGATGGCACGCTGTCTTTCCTGCTCCCGTGCCTTTTCCTCTTCGCACTGTTGCTCCTCCTCCAGCTCCTTTCGGCGCTGCTTCTCCGCTCTCTCTGTGGAACTGCGAGTTCGTCGTCCTTCCTGTCGCGGGGGACTGAGCATCTGGCGAGATTTGGGCCGGCGAGAATCGGCTTCAGCGTCATCATTCTCTGCACTCGCCCGTTCCTTGGGCTGGACGCGTGGTTGCTCAGGGGATGATAACTCAACCCTGGCAGAGCTGCCTGTACTTGTGAACAGTCCCTTGGCGCTCTTCATGATTGACTGTAACCTCATCTTTGAAGCACTGAGAGGACCATCATAGCGTCGGGGCGATCCAGTGGGGGTAGTTGAGACATCTGCGTGGATATTTGATGCAGAAGCACTTTGCTGGTGGTCCTGAGGACGAGGCGAAGAAAATATGGAGTATGATGATTTGGGGCGTTCCGGCTCAGTTAAGTGTTGCTCTTGAGCAGCAGGAGAAATCTTCTTGGTCTCTGCTGCACCCGTTGAACTGCTGAGATTTTCCATCACATCTGCAGTCCTGCTCTTCTGAAGATTTGGTCTTTGGGGAATCCAGTCATCCTCAGCGGCCGTCGGATCCGAAGTCGGGGGAGTTTGACGAGTCTTGGGTCCAGACTGTTCAGTGTTGTTATCGGATTTGGCAGTAGTAGGTAGTTCTGGGTAAGCGACCTGGTTAGCGGACCCCACAGCCGATGCTGCAATCGACTTCTTGGCTCGTGATGGCTGGGCCTTGCCAAGCATGCTGATTCGATCATGAAGGCTTTGGGTGAATTTTGTGCTATGCATTTTGGTAGCCTGCTCTGCATCCAGATTGTCGATGGCGTCCTTCTCGTCATCGACAGCCATAGAATTGGAACTTCGAGCGTTCTCTTCAGATGCGACCTGTGTAATTTTCTGGCTTCCAGTCTGTCTGCCCAAGTAGCTGAGTCGTCCACCGCTGTTTAGCCTAGGAAGATCGATATGACTTGTACGAGAAATTCGTGAGCCTCCAATACTCTTTGTGAGTGGCTCTCGAGCTGGCAGAGAGGCAAAACTGAGACTACTCTTACGAACAGGTAGACGTTCGGGAGTGGAATTATCGGAAGGAGATCCAATATCATCAAAGTTGTCCAGCACTGTATCTTCATCCTTGGACTTCTCGTCAACATCCATTGTCTGATCTTCATAATCCTGAGACATAGACCGCTGGATAGTGGCCGGTCTTTCAGGTGAGGACTCAGGCTTAGCTGGCGACTCATATTGTGGCTCAGGTTCTGGCGAAGCTGCGGGCTTCTTAATTTGTTTCTGCTTGTTCATTGCCTTAGTTTGAGGCTTAGTCTTGGATGTAGGCGTGGAGGCAAATTCGGGTTCGGAGTCAGGCTTTGATACCGCCTCTTTAGACGTTCTCTTTGTTGGCGTCGCAGTTTGCTCATTCGTAGGAGTTGGGTCGATGTTCACGGGTTCGATGGTCTCCCCGCGCGCGCGTACATTCTCTTGGGCGGAATGGAAGGAGTCCTCCGCTGTCGGTGTCGGCTGGCTCATTAAAACATCATCCTGTGAGTCCAAAGCCGCCGGCTCGTCCACCTCCATTGGTTGTGTGGACACCTGGGTATCTGGTTGTGTGTCCGGTAAAGCCACCTCATCGTCATCTTCCATGCCATGGTAGCCGGAGTCTGTGTTGTATTTTTGGAATGAATTGAGATTTTGAGTGAGATCCGGATATTGGGGCTGCCCCTTCTCTGCGCCCTTGGGACGAGGCGAAGCGGGTGCCGCATTGGCGGTTTTGGAGATCACACGATGAACAAATGGACTCGGACTTGGTTTGTTCTCCACTTGTTTTTGAGCAGAAGAGAATATTTCGCTCAAAGGCTGTAGGGACTAGGTTAGCTTTGACAATCCAATTATCAAGAGGAACCCGGTAAAAAAGCGCCTCACCACTCTGTTTTCTTCGACATTTCGTTTCCGTGCTGTTCGAGGGGTCTTGCCTCTCATTTTACCTGGTGTCTTGAATACATCGGTGAAGTTTCTGAGTATTCGGTCAGCGCCAAGCTCGCTGCCCGCCTATATCAATCCAATCGGTCGCAACTCACGTATGTCCTTTGGAGAAGATGTCCGCCATATGTTCATTCAACCAGTCCATTTCATGACGAACAGGGTATTCAACCTCTTCCATCTCTTGTTCCACCAGATCGGCCATATTTTCTTTCTCTGCTGCGATCCATGCGGCCGAGCCTACGGGCTTCTGAGCCCTCGCGCTAGCCGTGGCCATGATGTAAACAACGCGCTTCGGGAGCGATAAAGAGTCGAGGGGCGCGAATTAAGACGGGATATGAAGTAGGAATGGGAAATAATTTATTGAATTTGAGCCATGGAGGCTTATGAAGTCGGAGAAATAACGACAGGGTGTAGTTGGATGTTGTGTGCGTAAGTTGCGGGAATGATGGAGCATCGAGTTTCGATGATCAAAACAGACATCCCAATTGGGAACCAGAGATCACGTGGTTTCCTATCTATAGAACTGCCGGGATATAATCTTCTATACCGTCTACTACTCTTTGTTAGTCTCACTAGTTCGTCAATTTTGACTAATTTTTAATGATTAAGATGTAGATCCAAGCCCTCCCCAATATTCATATCCTTTAGCCATTCAGGATACTCTCTATGGTGTGTTTCTCTATGGACATTCTATGGCCCACATGTGGTCATGATTCATAGTGTATGGCACCACTTTGGACTGTAATTCATCATTCACGATTTGGAACCTCCATGAGACAGTAAGGGATGTTTGATTTTCTGCGAAGTGCTAGATATCAGAGCTAACCAAGGATTAATAGACATAGTGATCAGTCCAAAGAGCTCGTAAATCAACTGGTCGATCATATCATGTTCTACAGTATACGAGCTCCTGTATTCCGTACAGTCCCAAAAGAACCTGGAAGCCTACAATATCGGTCCCGGTCCCGCGAACATCCGAGCGACTGATCCAGGCCCACAAGACAGGGATCCAAGCGAGCTTGCGACTGAAGCGTAGCCCAATGATAGCTGCAGGAGTACCTTTGGTCCCAGGCCCGAGATGCGGGACCGTCAGGGAGCTGTTGAAAGTCAGATTCCAATGGAAGGGGATGTAAAAGGTACGACACCTTGGCAATAAATAGGAAACCCCGAATTTTCGAAAACATAAGCTTAATTCAATCTTGCTATAGAAGAAGTGTTCTAAGTAGATTATTTTAAGTAGAAGTATTAAAAGGAGGTTGACATCATTTAGTGTGTTCGGCAGCCAAAAAAGCCTTGGCGCACGCACATGACAGTGGTTGCATCACACCAAAACAAATCGGTCTCTTATCTCCTCCTTCCCACTTTCAAACCCCCTCAAATCTTTCATCTTTCCTTCTCTGTGATCCTCTTGATTATCTCGCCATGGCTGATTCTGGTGATGTGAGCTACCCTAACACGGGCAGTAAGGTATGAATCCCTTTGCGGTGTCCCCCCCGTTACTCAAAATTTCTTTTGCTTGTGATAGCCGATCCTCCGACTGCTGCAGCAAGTTGCTGACTATTATTTCTTTCTGCAGTATATATCTCCCATCCCCCCTATACTCCGAGCTTTCTATATGAAATACCTGTCTGACCTGGAACTCTTGCGGGTTCAGGTATCAGTGATGTTATGACAAAGGGTAAATAAATGGCAGTTCGAGTGTCAGGGGAGGTTATTTTTTTTGAGCATCCATCTAATGCGCAGTTTTTTGCCCCTTGTTTAGGCCCAGTTGTCGACAATGTTAAGTCTGAGGTCAACAAGACCGCTGGAGAGCTTAACAACCTGAAGAAGACTCGCGTTACCCCTTCCACCACTGCCGACAATGGCCAGCCTTTGACCCGTATGTATTTGAACCGAGACCACTCTATACGAGGCAGTCATTTCCCTCAAAGCTGAAGCTTACTCAAAATTATACATAGACTACCACTCCCTTTTTTACAGCCTTCTTAGCGTAAGTTACACTCTGTCGCAATTTGACCTGAAATTACTAGGTCTCCTGGGCTTTGTGTACTAACTAGGTGGTTTGATATACAGTGGGAACAACCTCGCGCAACTGCTCTTTCCTACGCCAGTATCATTGGTTTCATCTTCGCCGCCCGTTACCTGCCCCTCCTCCGCTGGGGTTTTAAGTTTTTGTACATGTCGTTGGGAGGTGAGTTGGTCGCGTGACCTAGCTTAGAGAGATCAGGCAACTAATATAAGAGTCAGTGACTGCTTGCGCCGAGATTGCTGGTCAACTTGTTTTGAAGCAGGGTCTTGCTAGCTCATTCCGTCCCCGCCGTTACTACACAATCCCCAAGGAAACCCATGAGGCCATTCTCGAGGATGTTTCCCAGCTGCTCGACTTCATCCTCATCGAGTTCCAACGTATCTTGTTCGCCGAGAATGTTATCCACACTGTTGCTGTACGTTTTACTCGTCAGACTAGTGCACAATGAGAAAAGAAAACTGACCATTTCCAGGCTTTCACCGCGGCCTTCCTTGGGTACTGGCTCATTCGTTTCGTTCCAGTTTGGGGCTTGACCGTTCTCGCTGTGACTACTGCCTACTTTGGTCCTCTTATCTACATCAGCAACCGCGAGATCATCGATGAGCAGATCCAGAATCTGCAGGACATTATTAGCGCTCAGACCAACCAGCTGAAGGACCTGGCTGGCGAGCGAACCTCCCACGCTACCGGTCTGATGAAGCAGTACGTGGGTGACTACAGCAGCAAGGCCTCAGAGTACATTGGCCGTCGCTCCGTCTCCCCTGAGATGGCTAAGATCCCCAATCCCGTGAAGACCGAGGCCACCCCTGAACCGGTCATCAAGACCGAACCCGTCGCAGAACCCGCCATCAAGACCGAGGACTTCCCGGAAGCTCCCAAGGATGAGCCTGTTGCTGAGGTCGTTGAGTCCGTTGAGTCTGCCCCCGAGGCTGCGGAGCAGGAGCCTCTCATTGCGGTTTAAATGCGTACCTATTATCTACCAGGACATTGGGTTCCATTGTAACCATTACCAAGTGTCTCGGCATAGCCTGAATCCGGTTTTGCCCGACTGACCCGTTTGACAGCAAAAGAACGGCGTGGGGTTTCTTAACATGTCCATCATTTTCATTTTTGGAGTGTATACTGGGAGGCTCTGACAATTGATCTTTGCCTTGACGACAAAACAAAAACTACGTGGAATGCTCGGACGATGAATCATTTTCTGTTTTCCAGCGGTTTCTCTTGATCCCTTTCACTTTTCACCTTTCACCTTTCAACCCTTTTCTTCCTTTTCTTTTTTTTGCTTCTCCCTTTACCTGCAAATGCAGTCTTCAAATTCTTTACCCTTCTGTTTATCTTCTCGGGTCCATATTTTTCTAATGCAATTATCGTACAATTCTTTCATGAATGCATGCTTCATTGTCACCATAACAAACTTCAATAGAAAAAAAGGCCTATCATTTTTCCCTTTATTCAATATAAAACTTCCTGCTATGTGGTCTCCAACATTTGAATTTGATACTCATACACGCCCACCAGAAACAATGAATTATATTTAGTATGTATTAGATTGACATTTCCATATATGAAGAAGCTAAAAACCATTCATTCTAACCGGAAATTTGTGTTGACATAGAAACCTCCAGAGCTGACATGGATCCATCTAGACAGAATGAATAAAATCCTTCAAAGCCTGGAACTTCTCTATCTCCTGCTGTGTTCCCCACACGGACCCGACGTAACATGGCAACCATCAATTCCCGAGATGCCAAAGCGCAGGAGCCTCGACCTCGACCCACTTGGGTATTTGTTGCCTTGAGTCCCCTGTAACAAGCTCTGCAATGCCCCCGCCATGAGTAACAGAACAAGCGGCCCCCGCGCGCCTTTACGTTTCGTCCTGGCCTGCTTAGGCTTCTTCCCCCATTCTCCGCATCGCGAATCGGGCTGGGACTACGGCACATCTGGTCTCCTTCAAATGTTTATTACATAGTACTGTCTGAGGTTATTGATGGATTTCGTTGGTCTATCTGGGCTACTTTATAAAGGAAAGGGGTGTCTTAAATCAGATTAGGTTTATAATAATTTCATGTCTTATGACAATATAGGGCTATTTTCTCGATTTTCACCTGGGCAGTTTCTATGTGCTAGTAGCCGAGTAGCTCTGCCCACTCAAATGCTAGCATATATCCTGGTAAATCATACTATGCATATGAGTAGACTCCCCAGACATGCATCTTAATCAGGGTTCAAGTTCTAAACATTTTTGAATGTTCTATCGATGAGTTCGAGATGCATCGATGGCTGCCACTGGCAGCCACAAGTTTGCAGGGGACTCCTGGGCTGGATGATTTTGATAATGCAAGAGCCTTTGAGGAATCCCATTTGGTCGACTGCTACTGGATCTCTTGAGTAAACCCAGTATCCAAATCTGGAATTCCCACTCAAATGTTGTGATTGTCGTTTGATGCTTGATCTATTGAGGATCCATAATGAAAAACTTGAGCCTCACGTTGAAAGAAAAGCCTCATTGGAAATTGTTCTTCTCCATCTTCACCAATTGAGAAAGAAATATGAGGCATCGTCATCTCAAATAGGATCTGCATCATATAGGCTCGAGCCAAAACAGCAACATCCCAATTCAGACCTAGTCCGAGATCCCCTTTTTCTAGAAGCTCAAGAGATTCATTCACGAACACAGCCACCACGCGCGGCTTTACCGCTATTTGACTCTTTAGCGGTCAAAGGGATAGCTACCAAGCTATGTCTTAGACATCATATTGACTTCTCTTTTTCTTTGGAGCGCTAGTCTCAGACTTATACGGTTGGGCCGAAGGTCTCAGCTCCATTGGGCCTCTCCGGACATTGAAAATTCCTTTTCCAATATTGAATTCAAAACGATCATTTTCCAGTAAGTTCCGACATATGGCATTAATGACATTACCGAAACTGACTCATTTGACTCAGTATGCGTGCGGTGTTCCATCTTGTGCTCTCGGTGTAGCCTCCTTCATGCTCTTCAGCACCGCTTAGTCGTCATGCTGATAAGATGGTCGTTCAAACTTTGGAACCACCACCCCCTTCGTTTTGACTTCTCATTGCACCACCAAAATCACCAGAACCACCAAGATAAGATGCTCGTGTACAATAACCGGACCATTGAAAAAGGAACCAGAGAATAAGGTCAGTGTGGCATGCTGGGATTACACAACTTTCAAACCTTGGAGCAGGAACGGCGGGAAGAAAAAGAAAGTGGATTGGGCGTTGAACAGCCACTAACATGTCAGACTTCTTTCTCCTCTAGGCATCGATCCTGCACAGAAGCATGCATGGAAGCTTCTTTGGTTTTTCATAAAAATACTGCATGATACTGATCCACTTGAAATGCAGGATAATCAAAGAGCGGTCTCTATATCCCATCAGACACGGGGACGTGTACACCTTTGCGATGTTTTATCCCCGTGTTTCCCGTTTGAGATACTGAAAAGGGGCTGGCTTTTACTCTCACTCCGCATCCAAGCGCTCGCATAGTGTTGTTCTCATGTGGGAGGACAGGAAAGTTGTTTTCTTCAGAAGGCCCTTGCACTCGCTGGTGAGCATCTTTGATCTGGTCAGAAGTTTATCTCTGTACACCGCACTGTTCCCTTTAGAAATCACAGAAAGACTCGCCAACAAGAAATGCAGTCCCCCGATTGACAAGGAATGGATTGGGGCCCTGCAGCCAACCGAAGGTCTCAGACCTCTTTGGTGCCCGTCTCATCGAGCCACCATGAGGCAATCATCATTTTGATTGGTGCTCGGATGAGCTATCCTAAATCTCCGGTTACTGCAGTATCCTAGAATTGGTTTCTACTGGCGCCGAGGCCCAAAATGGCATGGGGTCTCTTTGGTTTTCCCCCCATCCTCCCTGGTATCCCATTCTGAGGAGAGACTGACTCGCATTCCATACCTTCGGAATGAAACGGGCGTTAGAGCTTTATGCTGTCTACCCTTATGGAATCATTTCGAGCGAAATCTTCCCCCTTTTGACTTTTTTTTTTTGCAATGGGAACTGCCCATTGATCTGGCTTCTCTTATGCCGCAGACAACCGCCATAATCTGTTTGCATGCATACCAAGATGCTCAGGAGGATAGTCGTAGTTCAACCCCAGTGGCTGTGTTTCTCATATGGATCATGGTACATCACCGCCGCGGGGATATCCACATGGCGAAGAAAATGGCTTGCTAGTGGTTTCCAGGTGTTGGGTACCCACATCTATAACGGTGAGACGAAGCCTCGAAAAAAAGAGGGTACGCCAGATGCATATGTTTCATTTTCCAGGGGCCATCCAGAGAAATTGATGACAGCATGCACACTGCATAGCGGTCGGTCCAAAGTCGAAGATCGTCATGGGAAACATATTGATTCGAGAGAGACAAACAGGGCCATGGGGACTCGTCCGACTTAAAGCTCCTCGTGATGCTCTAAGATTGGTAGGTGGGTTGTGTGTACATGTCATTCGCTCCATTCCGATCCGGAGACGACAAGTATAGAAGCACAGCTTGCCTCCAGGCTATCGCATGGAAAATATTCTCTAGCCACTGGAAGGAGTTCTTTGCTTAGTCGTTGTCTCGCCAATTTTTCGGTCTTTGGTTTTCTTTGCGGCTTAGAACCAGCCACGATTGTACACAAGCAAGCAAACAGATCTTGCTTATCAGAGTCTTCTGGAACAAACCTAGCGAGAGACAAAGAGTGGTTGATGAGCTCATATCAAACCTGTGTCTTGCTTTGAATCGTGGGCTCTAGGTAAACGCGAGTTCTGGAAAACGTCTTTTGTTCCACCCTCCACTCTCCTCGTCCTCTTTCCCTCCTCGACCATCTCGGTTTCTCCTCAAGAACATTCTGTTCCTCCATCAGCTTTCAGCTTCTCTTGTCATCTCTCATACTCTCCAAATACCCATTCCGCCACTTCCAACCTGTTCTCTTCCTGAAGTTGGTTCCATGGCAGCCATTCGGGATCTTCTCAACCCACTTCCTGAAGAGGATCCTAAACCTCAACTTCCTGAACGTCGTCGCAGAGTAATCATGCCAAAATTACAGACCCCTACTAGACGCCCAGCAAAAACTGGTGCCATACCTAAGGACGCGCCTCTCTTCCGTGCAGGTGGGACCCGAGGAGAGGTTCGATATCCTCCAAACGAAGATCGAACCCCAGAGCTTGCTCAGATCCATCGTGAGTGGAGTATCTTCCCGTCAAACAATATCGACCATTATCCTCGAAACATCCCCTACCAAAGCGACAAGAAGAGTTTCCAGGAGAAGACTGGACGCGACTACTTCAATGGTTTGTATACCCAATGATCATATGTCTCTAAATCAAGGTCGTACTGATGCCTTCATAGTTTTCCAATACACATTCAAGGTCCCCGGCGAAGACACCGAGTGGATGATTATGTGGGACTACAACATCGGCCTAGTCCGCACCACCCACTTGTTCAAGTGTATCGGTCACACAAAGGTCAGTCGACTTTATATAAGACTTGGATGTATAGAACAACATTCTAACACGCTCATTATAGACTGCTCCAGGACGTGTTATTGCAAACAGCGCGGGACTTCGTGATATCTGCCACAGTATCACTGGCGGCTCGCTTGCTGCTCAAGGTACCCTTCATCCCCAACCTCAAAGCAAGGTTCCCTTATCGACATTACTAACAAATATAATCAGGTTACTGGATGCCGTATGGAGTAGCTCGAGCTGTAGCTTTAACCTTCTGCTGGAAAATCCGTTATGCTCTGACTCCCGTCTTTGGGAACGACTTCCCCGATCAGTGCATTGAGCCTTCCAACGGGGGCCAAACCAGCCTAAGCTCTATCATCGTTGACCCAACCATCATTCGCCGTGCCGCTGAGATGAGTGCCTTGTACCGTCTGTATGAGCTCCAGGAAGGGAATGGCAACATTCCTCCCATTTCTAGCTACCAAAGCATGACCGCCAACCCCAGACCGGCCATAGCAAGTGGAGTTAGAAGCGAAATTCAAGTCAACGAAGGGAACGTTTCAGGCCTGAACGAAGCTGTGGGCGCCCGTCACAGACAGGAGAGCACTCCCCGCCGCCGGCGCCTCACTAAGGTGGCTCGACGCAGCTATGCACAGAGCCTTTCCAGCGCTGTTGCCTCGGAGGATGAAGCGAGTATGTCTTACCATGGCTCCCCAACAAGCCCTAAGGGCAACACCTTCACGGCAGTCAACAGGCCAAGAGTGTCTCAGCAAAACACCTCCCAGCCTAGCCAGCTGGTTGGTCACCCAGGCTTACTCGTCGAGCAATCCCGACTGCGTCGCCTCACCAATTCGCCTTCGGACAATGATTCCTTGGGTTCGATCCCTAGCGTCCTCTCGGCTCTTGGATCTCCCGGCGGCTCATCATCCGATGAGAAGTCGGCCCCAGAGACCGACGACGAGTACATGGACGACGACGACGATGAAGACTCGGAGCCCGTTCGTGGCCGAAGCCTCCGCCGCGAGAAAACGCAGGCGCAGGGCGAGGGTCAGGGAGACCAGGGGAAGAAGCGCAAGAAGAAGCGCCCCACCATGGGCCCATCCGGTCTCAGTCGGTACGAAAGTGAGGTACAGGCTGCAGAGGCTCTGGTCGAGTTAAATCGACAGACCGATGGGGAGTGCGAGGCAATTTTGCTGAGCCCTCGCGAGACCGAGAGAGTCCTTCCGTTCGGCTGGAGTTTCAAGTTGGAGCAGGCGTCTTTCAAGAGACGTCACTCTACTTGAACGGTCAGCGGATGCATTCTCTTGGGATCGCCCCTGGTGTTTTGGCGTTTGTGTGCGGTGGTTTTTTGTTTCCCCCGGCGGCCTTTGTTGGAGTTTGGGCCTTGTTTTTTTTTTCTTTGTGCTTTGTTCTAGGGCTAGCACCGGGGTAGCCAGATATTGATAGATGGGTTCATGTGGAGGATGGCGTTTTTTCTTTCGCGTTGTTCTTTTCCCATGTGCTACGCCACTATCCAAATTGAAAATTTTCTTTTGAAGTCGTTCAGTATTCCTGTAGAACATTAAAGTCCCTTGTAGCCTTGTAGAACATTGGGCTGTCGATGCTTGGCATTAGTAGCACCGGCACTCAATGACTTGGGCTCTTGTACACATAAGAGTAAGATATGAGGTATATACATACTACTCTCTAGAATGAACTAATACTATTCTCTTGACTATGAGGATGTAAAAGAAAAGATACTACTAGCAAAAAGGAGATTTATAATAGCTCAATTCATGAAAAATGAAAATACAAAAATGATAGTTCCAAATCGCGAATGGCCCAATGGTCGGGCCTGCCTTGTCACCATGAAAAGAAAATAAGTGAAACGAAATATGAAATGAAGAACACTCCAGAATAAAAACTATATGAATCAAAATTCAACCGTGAACAAGGAAGGGAAAGGGAAAATTAAAAACAACAAGAGGCCATGATCTCTCATCAAAGACAGATCTAGTCACTTTCATCATCATCGAAATCATCTTCAGAGACCTCATCCTCCTCTTCGCTGTCTTCGGATTCAATGGCATAACTCTTCTTTGCTTGCGTGGCGGTACGACGGGAAGGTCGCGCCGCAGCACGACGAACAATGGGCTCATCCTCATCGTCATCATCCTCATCGACATCCATCTTGCCTGCAGGAGAGTCCAAGATGTCGTTCGCCATAGCATCGATATCATCCTCAAAATAATCATCTACGGGCTTCTTGTGCTTAGAGGCATACGCCTTAGCAGCGGGTGACGGAACAGCATCCTTCTTTGCACGGCCACGCGCCTTGGATGCAGCAGTAGCGGCAGGCTTAGGAGCTGCTTTGGCGGCAGTAGCCTTAGGAGCAGCCTTGGCCTTGGGGGCCGGCTTTGCCCTGGAAACAGCCTTGACAGGCGACTCATCATCCTCGTCTTCATCCTGCTCTTCCTCTGCTTCTTCTTTTTCGTCTTCAATGCGGGTCGCTTCCTTAGGCTTAACTAGCAGTGAGCGCCGAGGAGACTTGGAAGGCAGGAGCTTGCTGTAATCAGTCTCATCGAGATCAAAATCGCTGATCTTGGACTGCTTCGTTGGTGCAATCACACTTGCGCTACTTCCAGCACGAGACCGCTGCGAGAAAAGCTGTCGTGATTCGGAATCTCCACCACCGATTCCCTTAACCATCAGGCTCACGTCACCAAGGAGATCATCCCCATTATCACTTTCAGAGTCGCTAGGGGCAGCATACTTGACAGGCTTGCGGGCACGACCAGATTGAGTAGTTGTCTTGGGGGCTTCGTTTGCAATCTCGAGGAAATCATCGTCTGAGTCCTCTACCTTGGCCTTTGCCTTTGCTCCCCGCTTCGCAGCAGGCTTTGGCTTCGGGACGACTTCCTCAGGCTCGTCATCTATATCAATGATATCGATATCGGAAACAGGCTGACTCTTCTTTGGAAGCACTTCCATATCAAAGTCAAAGTCATCATCTGAATCAGCAGCCGCGTCGCCTGAGATCGCATTCTTTTTGGGTGTAGTCGACTTGTTGAGGAAATTGGCGAGACTGTTTGTCTTGGGCGCCTTGGGTGCCGCCTCTTTTTTCTTGGCAGCTGCAGTCTTCTTTGCCTTTGGCGCCGCGAAGTCTTCGTCATCAGGGTCATCGCCCTTTGCGGCCTTGCGCTTCCGTCCAGCTGCTCCACGGCCCACGGCTGTCGCAAGCTTGGAAGAGCCACGACGACCAGCGCTCAGCGCCTTACGTTGACGGCGTTCCTCATCCTCCAGCTGGAAGCGCCACTCATTGATGAAATCATCAAGATCTTTCCTCCAGATATCCTCCTTGGAAAGTTTGATTAACTCATCAATCTCAGTTTCGCGGTCGCCAATCTGGCGACGAAGTCTCTCAACGCGCTCTTGAGTAAGAGACCACATGGACATGCCAAGCAAATAGTCGTAAGCACTTGACAATGTCTCAACTTCGGCGTCTTCACTATCTTCGCCCTCCTCAACGACTGGCTCATCCTCGCCCATCTTGGCGGCATCGGCCACCTTCGGGAAAGGCTTGAAGCCCTTGTCTTTCAATTCACTGATCAGTACAGCCTTCTTCTTCTTGGAGATGACCAGTTTTCCGTCGATGATCATTTGAATAAAGCGGGCCTGGTTGCTCAGCTTTTCCAATTCCCGCTGAAGCTCTGCCAGCTGGTGCTGCTTGCGCCGTTCGTAGTATTTGAGGCGGATTGTAAAGAATTCTTTCAGAATGTCATCCACACTGGCATATTTGGTGATACGGCCTTCCGCATCGAATGCAACCAGATTGCTGGTTGCAATACTCTTGGTGATCTTGAACTTCTCTTCCAGCGTCTCAGAGGGAGAAAGCTTGAAGTTCTTCTCATCAAGCTGAATGACAAAATGAACCTTGCTGTGGGTGTTGTAATCCCTGTAATCCTTGATGAATGAAGGCGTCTTCTCGGCCTTGATGATATCTTCAAGTTTATCCTTGAAGTCCTGGGTCCACTGACGGATAGGCAGTTCGGTGATTTCGACTTCCTTATTACTAGTCTCCTTGATGATTCCACTGAATTTGTATCTGTCACCACCGAGAGAAACAACCTCACCGGTAAAGCCACGGAACCATGGTTGCATCGGTTCGGGGGTTTGGCCATCCATCAGGGCTTTGAGGTTTCGCACGATATCCTCAGGGTTGTAGTTTGGAATGGAGGAGCTCCAGCCAGTTCCAATACCGTCAGCACCGTTGATAAGCACCAAGGGCACTACGGGCATGTACATCTCTGGTTCAATCTTTTTGCCATCATCTTCATTGTAAACCAAGAGAGGTTCATCGGCTTGGTGGAAAATCTTGCGCGCGAAGGGTGAGAGGCGGGTGTAAATGTAACGAGCGCTAGCACAATCGCTACCACCTTGAAGACGACTACCGAAGTTTCCACTAGGTTCGAGGCAGTTGATGTTGTTCGATCCCACAAATGTTTGTGCGAGACCAACAATAGTTTGCTGCAGAGATGTTTCACCGTGCTGGTAGGCAGTCATTCCGGAAACAAGACCTGCCAGTTCCACAACCTTCATATCTTTCTTCAAATTACGGCGGAAGCAGGCATACAGCACCTTGCGCTGACCTGGCTTCAGACCATCGATAACGGAGGGGATTGAACGCATGTTATCAGCCATACTGAAAAGAATGAGCTCCTTGTTGATGAAATCGGTGTACGAGATTTTGGCCGAGGAATGATCCAGGTATGTACCGGGCTTGAACTGACGCAGCCACTCCTTCCGCTCATCGGCTTTCTTTTTCGAGAATGCTAAATCAATGAGCGCTGCCTCGTGATCCTGCATGGTGTGGAACTCTTTCAAGTGGCGGTCCAGATCGCGGAAATAGACCTGGGCGTCCTCAGTGGAGCTAGTTCCCAGACCCTTGTAGTACTTATGATCCCAGCCACGTTCGCCTTTGTGCTCCTCCAGCCAGTTTTCGTATTCGGGCATGGTGAAGAAAGAGCGAGATTTTGAGGGGTTCTTTGGATCACCCTTCCAGACCTTGATGATAGGAGTAATGAACTCAATAAGGAACTCGGGAATCTTAAGTAGACTGGGAAATTGTGCTTGAAGAAAGTTGATGAGCAGACCCTTGATGTGACTACCATCGTGATCTTGATCAGTCATGATCATGAGGTGACCATAGCGCAGACCCTTGGTCTCTGTGTACTCCTTTTTGTGTTGCAATCCAATGAAAGTTTTGATATTTTGGATTTCCACGTTCTTCGAGATCTGGTCAAAAGTCGCATCGCGAACATTGAGCAGCTTTCCACGGAGAGGGAAGACACCAAAAAGATCGGGTCCAACAACTGCACGTCCAGCCATAGCCAAACCCTTGGCAGAGTCACCTTCTGTCAGGATCAAGGTACAGTGGTGACCATCTTTGGTACCAGCTTTGTTAGCTTCCACCAGCTTAGCATTGTTCATTCGAGAGCGACGGCCAGTATCACCCTTCTTCAGAATTTGGTCCGCCTTTTGTTCGGCGAAGTGCATGATGTTAGACATGACTTCAGTATTAAGAACCTTTTTTAGGAAGGCCTCATCAAGGACACACTTGCTGCCAAACTGGCTTGGCTTAGTGGTCAATTGCTCCTTAGTCTGAGAGGTAAAGGCCGGGTTGACAATCTGGGAATTCACAAAAATGAAGATGTGGTTCCGAATTTGAGCAGTCTTAAGCTGCGCACCGGCCTTATTCCTCTTCTTGAGTTGATCTGACAAGCGGTTGCAAATCTGGTCCGCGATGTAATTGACATGAGATCCACCAGAAGTAGTGGCAATCGTATTAACAAAGGAGACCTGCTGGAAAGCCCCGTCGGAAACAGCAAAACCAATCTCCCATCGGGGGTCGGGGCTGCATGTGAGAATCTCATCCTTCGCCGCAGGGCCATCATCGCCGCGCTCCTTGCGAATCGCCTTCGTGTACATTTGCATGTATTGCTTGAAGTTTCGGATGGCGACGCGCGTGCCATTCAACTTAACAGCAACCTTAGCTGTTCCAGCCAAATCATAAACACGACGTTTCACCAAGGCCTCAAAGTCGTCGTCAATTCCCTCCATGCCAAATTTGGAGAAGTCGGGCTTGAAGGTGACCTTGGTATAATCACTTCCTTTGGATGCATCCGTGATCTTGGCCTTGCCCATTTTGCTCATGTTGTCTGTCCAGGTCTGCTTGTATTTCTTCTTTTGGCGCGTATCCTGAGTCTCCAAAGAGAACTCAGTTGAGAAAACGTTACAGAGTTTGGCACCATAACCGTTACGACCACCGGTGACCTTCTGCTCAGTATCATCATAGTTGGAAGATGTGAGCAAATGACCGAAAATCAGCTCTGGGACATATATGCCCTCCTTGGCATGCATCTCAATGGGAATACCACGACCGTTGTTCCAGACACTGATTTCACCTTGTTCGCGGTCGATTGTCACACGAATCTCATCCATGCTGCTGTCATTGTGCTTGTTATCGGCGGCATTGACCATGATCTCGTCAAAAATTTTGTAGAGACCAGGGACATAGGTAACGTTGCGAGATTCCATCAATTCCGTCTCGGAGTTGTAAACCCACATCAGCTGCTGGGTGGCTTCGACCGATCCTATGTATGTATCAGGACGCTTGAGGATGTGCTCAAGTTGGGATAGCTAACACAAGAAATACAGGTTAGCAACCAGAATTCTTTCCCACCATGTTAAACAGTACACAAATGGAATGTATAAGACGCGGGCAGAGTCTGTTTCATGAATAGTCACTCACTTTCTGGTACCTCTGTGACGCGTCGCCGTTCTTGGCATCAGAGGAAGCATCTCCGTAAGACTCGTTCTCGACATCGGCTAGGGGCTTGGAAGGCGCGCGCTTAGCTGCAGCACCTTTCTTGGCCTTGGGTGGAGTGTGGGAGAGTATTGAATCATCGTCTGAAATTTGTATGTCGGACTGTTCATCCTCACTGTCAGCCTTAGCCTTCTTCTTGGGAGCAGGCTTTGGCTTCGCAGCAGGCTTCGTCTTGAGTGTTGTCTGGGTCTTCTTAGGAGCAGCTTTAGCAGCAGGGGCCTTTTTGGGAGCCGCCTTTGCCTTTGGTTTCTGTCGCATGGTTGACAATTAGCTTGAATTGTTTGATACTTTGATCACATGTCAGAGCACTTGCCGGCGCAGGCTCTGGCGCAAAGTCGGAGCCACCTTCATCGCTCTCGATGTTGAAGATGGAGTCATCCATGATGTCGCTCATGATGAAAGATTCTTTGGCAAAGTTGAAAAAGGAAGGTGTACTCGCCCTCAGGCGTAGTGTCGAAGGGTGGCGTGGTCAGCTATGTTAGTGTAGATACAGATGAGCTCTAGACGTCGAGAAGAGAGCCCAGCATACTCAGAGCTGGAAAAGAGATGAGGAGGAAGAGGGGGAATGTTGTTTTTCTTGATGAAACGCGCCTGCCCAAAACGTGGGCGGTGAGTTATAATAATGCTCAAAGACCTGCAGTTCACTCACCGCCTTGTACGGGATTCCGAATTAGGTATTTTCTAAACAAACGAACAATGTCACGTGGATGTGGGGAAAAGAGAAAGCGCGTCGACTTAAGTACTATTATTAGAACTACCTTACCTTTCTGATCAAAATTCTGCTTTCTTGTTCTATATCCATAGATTCCAAGGCTACTATACTGCTTTATTACCACTTGATCATCCAGCGTGAGTCTGAATAAAGGATATTAGCTTCGGATTAGGGCTTGGAATAGTTCATGTGTCAGCGCGAGGTGCATCCATAGATCACGACATGTGTGCAGCGGGTCTACTAAGTATATGCTCAGTGCAATTTCGTTATTGAAATTTGAAAGGTTTGATACTGTTACCTCACACATGGATCAGCTAAATAATAATGGATTTAAAACATAAATCGGGTCAAGATAGCCACCCGTTCAGTAAAAACGTTTGAAGTTCAAAGGAACTTACTTCAAAGGTTGAATTGAAGTGGTGCTGAGAAACTGAATGAGATATGGTGCTCAGGGCAATGGGTCTATCCACATCCCATTGAAGAGCAAATTTCAAAGGTTTATTTGTCAGATAGCCAGGCTGTTATCAGCTAATTAGATACTCATAGCCCTAGAGTGTTCATTCTCGATTCTAGTATCATGATATGATGTCCTTGCCAGGTGAGTTCAGTTGAGTCAATGATACCTTCAACATTTAATTATGTTATGAGTTCAACTATCATCAATTAATCGATCACCTGATTTTCAAGCCTTCTCCACGTGTTGGTGCTCAACTTATAGATTAACCAGTTCGAATTTTTGAAGCATTTGAATACCTTTTCTTGAAACGCTCGAGGTCTGCTCTTCAAAAATATAGCTAGCATTCACAGTTTGTTCGGTAAGACACCAGGACACATATAGGTAGGTATAATAAGTATCGCAACTTGAATGGTACTATGGACTCCCAATCTCAACGCCACTTCAAGTTAACTAGGACGCACTGAATTGCATTTTGAGATAAGGGAAGATCCCCCGCCCCCAAGGTGCCTGATCCTTACAGCCTGAGGGTTCAACTGAACAGGATCGACAGAGGCGGGAGCCTGGGGAGTGAGGCACATACCCCCACTTGGCGATAAGAAACTGGGGCGCCACCGATTTCTGCGATAGAAAGATTTTTATAATTTGCAATTTGCAATTCATGATCATTTCTACCTAGGTACTGCAGGGCTTTGAAAAGTGTGCTTAAGCACCAACCTCCTGGTTATTGAAAGAACCAGTCTCATTAGTCCCGGAGCAATGAATATGTGGCAGACAACACACTCCAGCCTTCAGCGATCAGTGAACTGCATGCATGTGCATGTGGCCATTATAGCCCCCCAGACAAAGTCACTCGATAGAGGGAGGATAGAATTCATACTCCGTATGTGGCGGGGAGTTGACTTTGAACTGATTCCAGCCCCTCGATGACCTCAGTTGATGCACTGTGGCCACCTAAACCTCGTACTTCGGATGAACTTCATGCAAATGTATGATGAAACAACAGGGGCCAGGAGATGTCATTACATGTCTGATTCTGAAACTGTGCACCAATCATACCAGATATTCTCAGCAGATTACCACACTGGAGTGAAATTCCAAGGTTTTGTAATGAAATGATCAACCTGATACTGAATGTACTCCTTTCATATCGGTGTTATTCCCCTTCTTTCCCCTGCAGGACTATGCAGGACTCGGGGTTTCTTGTCCATTCGGATTTTTTTCTCATGCCAAGGTAGAAAGGGGGAAAGATTACTCTATTAGGAACAAGCTGTGACCAAAAGATAAAAAACTTTGAAATGACAGGAGGTCTATGCTTGAGATTTCAGGATCAATTAGGGTACATAATGTACTACGTACTGCGTTCTCTACTCCCCCTTATAAGTGTGGGCCCATGAATCTAATGATCCACGGATCGGTGGAAGAGATGGAAGAGATCCATGGTAGAGGCATGAACGCGAAGAAGGGGGGAAAACATCATCAGTGAGAAATCATGATACATTATCAATAAATAATACGGAGAAATAGCCTAAAAGACCAAAGGGGAGAATCTGGAGTAGGGGGGGGGGGAGATGCAACAGTCGGTGTATGGGATCGACGGGGCGAGACTTTGGGGAACCACTGAACACTAAAAGGGAGAGGCTAGCGAAATAGTTTACTTCCCACCTCCTGAACCTCCCTTTTTTTCTTGTCTTAACCTCCCACTTTTATTTCTTGTACATATCGTCTAGAAGGGTGCTGGGTCACCTAGAGGTATTGTTTCTTTTGTCTCCACTCTTCGCGCACTCTCCTAATGCTTCAACAGAAATGAAGCTGGTCTTGCATATCACCTCCGTTACCCACTTGTCAGCCGGCAGTATCTAAGAGATCAACCATCGCGATTTCATTGACATATTACTTCCTACACCCAACCTCCCACCCTCGATCGCGTCGTCATGTCGAGTTCCGAACCCGCCTCACCTAACGGACATGCCCCAAATCACGACTCCATGGTGACGGTCTCCTTGTCCGACATTCAATCCAATTCCGAACATACACAACCAGACTGGCGAAATCTCGATATTCCCCAAACCCCCGTGGAGAAAATCCGCGAGGTTGAAATCACGCGAAATACAGCCGATTCTTTTGGACCAATGCCCCTCCGTGACGCGGCAAAAACACCAACCCTCCCCACCGACGAACCCCAATTCCCGACCTCGGCAGAGCCGAGACCGATCGACGACGATGTAGAGCACGATGTGAATTGGGAGAATCTAGATAAAACAGAGGAACAAGAACCACGAGGGCAGGGCTCAGATGATGTGAGTTTGCTTATCTTGTCGCAGATACTCCCCATAACAGTCAATGCTGATGTTTTTTTTCTTCGATTGATAGTCTACCGCACTCCTCCTCGCCCGATTGGAACAAGAAAACAATGCTTTGGCAACAGACCCCAAGGCAGGATTGGCCAAAACGCCCAAAATTCAGCTGCATCATCGACAATCGCGTTCGCAGTCACTCCACCAAATTAAACGATTGATCAGAGACCCGGCCCGCGCAGAATTGCGCTACTCACAAAACCCCCCCACCGCCGATGACCGAGTTAGAGTTCTGGGCTGCTCTTGTGGCAGATTACCCGCGGACAGCCCAGCGGCTCCCAACTTTAACCTCCAACAAGATACAAGGCGGTGTACCTCCCCCTCTGAGAGGAGTGGTCTGGCCCAGTTTGGCTGGTGCTCGGGATCCCGGTTTATTGAGTGAGTTCCAACGACTCTCAGGAGAGAGCAGCCCGTATGATGGTTTGATTGGAAAGGATATCGGCCGCAGCTTTCCCAATGTGGAGATGTTCCGTGATCCCAATGGCGAGGGCCAGCAGATGTTAGCCCGGGTGTTGAGATGCTTCAGTCTGTATGATGCAAAGATTGGCTATTGTCAAGGTCTTGGGTTTGTAGTTGGGCCCTTGCTGATGCACATGTCTGATGCAGAGGCATTTTGTGTGCTTGTTCGCTTGATGGACCACTACAACCTTCGACAGTGCTACCTGCCAGATCTATCGGGTCTTCATCTGCATGTTTATCAATTCCAGAATCTGTTGGCACGACACCGACCGGTATTGTTTGAGCACCTGGAGTCGCTTAATGTCGAACCTGTTTATGTATCCCAGTGGTTTTTGTCATTTTTCGCGGTTGCTTGTCCTCTTCCAATGCTTCTGCGAATTTATGATGTCATCTTTCTTGAGGGTGCATGTGAAACCTTGATGCGAGTGGCTTTATCTCTAATGCAAAGAAATGAGAAAAGGATCTTAGCTTGTTCTGAGTTTGAGGATGTGATGCAGTTGCTTTTGTCGCGAAGTTTGTGGGACACGTAAGTTTTACCTTTCTTCCGATCAATATTTGCATGTGGCAGTGATCTAATCGGGAATTTCCAGATATGCTTTTAACGCTGATGACCTGGTCAATGACTTTGTCTCCCTTACTTCACTTGTCACCAAAGAAAGCCTTCAAACGCTAGAGTCCAGCTACAACCAGTCTCAAGGCGTCCCCACTGGAATCTCATTCCCGCAGATGCAGGCAGCAGCATCTCGATTCCTCGGGCGCCTATGGGCGGGATCTAACAATCACAATTCCATGAAGTCTTTGAACCCAAATCCAAGTCCGTCGCGTCCAATCAGCACCGTTCGCCGTTCAACTTCAAAACAAAGCCTCACACCGACCCTCAACTCGGTTGAAAGCGCGTCTGATGCAAGCACAGCTGCAACTGAGCTTTCGACTGGGGCTCATGCAGATAGTCATAAGTCGCGTATCAAGTCAAGCATGTCCGTCTGTCAGAAGGACCGCGATCTCCACACCCAGATTGAAGATCTGCTAATAGCGCTGAGCGACCTGCAGCGCCAGCATGCGGAATTGAGCCTAGAACTACAACAGGAACGCGAGGAACGCGAGGAGGACCAAACACTTGCCAAGGAGATGCTCGCTCATCTTCAGCAACTTCCCGCTGAAATGCAGCTGACCGAACTTGTTGCTAAAGCCGAAGCGCGCTACGCGTCAAACGAGCCGAAACACGCGTCTATTCCCCAGACAAAACACCAACTGCAGGATGACATGAAGCGATGGAAGGAAATGCATGAGATCGAAGCCAGCCGATGCATGGACCTTTCGCGTCGAATGGATGACCTCGAGAAGTCCAACACATCCCTGAAAGATCAACTACGTGAAGCCCGTGGACGAATCCAAGATGGGTACCGCGATCGCCAGCGCCTCGAACGCCTGAACCAGGAGCTTCGATCCCTCAAGACCAGTGCCCTGGAACCAAAGACTCCACCAGATGTTGGCTCCCCGGCGTCGGACACTGGTGGCTCTCCCCGAGGACTCCGCGAATTCAAACTGGCCCGCAGTAACTCCCAGAAAACCGGCTCATACAACAAGCGTACTAGCAGTCTGGCTCTGCAGAGTGTCACCTCAAATGAAAGCAAGCCAGCTGCCGAGGAATCGCTCCTTCTGGAACTGGTCGCCTCCAAAACTGCCGAAGCCGTGGCCAAGCAAGAACTCGAGGAAGTCAAGGGCAAACTGGACTCTTTGCGTAGGATGATCAGTGCGCCAGCCTCCCAATCTGCCTTGAAGCCAGAGAATCGCCATTCGTTCATTGCCCACACCTCGAACCGAAACAGCATTGGCAAGGCCTCAACTGAGCCTATGAGACCTGCAGGTAATACCGGTGGTGGTGGGTTCTTCAGTGGATGGGGTCGACGAGCTGCGACACCTGGGCATGAAATTCCCTAATACTTGTTTTATGACCATGAATCTAAATCCGTGTAACATTAGTGCTATGGATTCCGGGCAGACATGATGAATTTGTCTGCCCTGATGAGATTTTCTTTCTATGTAACGAGCAGCAGATCTGGTTGGTTCTAACAATATCTTATTCTGCTCTTTTTTGTACTATTATGATATCCCCTTTTGTCAGATAGAGGCACCTTTGCTTTCTCATCTAATTCATCGTTTTCATCTTTGAATCACTGTACTTCATTATCCTCTACTTGATTGACCTGCAATATTCAATGCGGAAGATGTCATTTTACCATGGTGTCATCAATCTTCAATGAAGCCCGTTTCAGCTCGCCTTTGAACAAATTAATTTCACTAAACAACGCTATCTATCGTAATGTCAAATGTCTATCACCGAGTGTTCCGATGGCATCTCCACAAATACAGACTCCACCAATGGATACCAAGGTCCAGCCTCGAGCAGTCCAATCCTCAATCCAGCTCAATCAACCTTATCTCCAGGTCAAGCCCATGTCATTATCACCAATCTAGTAAACATTAACGGCATTGTTGATAGCCGCCTCCAAAGCCTGAAGCTCCGACTTCACAGTTCCACCGCAGACGGGTGCGTTATCGATGATAGGAGTCAGGTAAGCCTGAACAAGTGTAGTTAGTACCAGTGTCATAATCCTCGGTGAAGAAGAGTGGAGAAGCTCACGCTAGTTGCTGATGCAAGGCCGCTGATAGCGCTCTCAACAGCATGAAGCCAGATACTACCGCTCAGAATAGTATGCTTGTTATTCAGAGTAGTGATGAGAGTCTGATCCTCATTAATGAACTGCTCCAATTATTAGTATCAGTCTGGTGTCGGTCCTGAGAGGGTGAATTACCGCTTTGGCAGAGTTGCAAATATCCTCTTGGTTCTGCTTGGTCAAGGTGCTGTCACATGGGAGACTAACTCCTGTGACGAGGGTCACAATGTTGTTGTCAAAGCCGGTAATGATATCCTGTAATGATTATTAGAATCAACATGAAGAAGTAGTAGCACCACAGTCCCTCTAGTGTGAACATACAGTGGCGAGGGTAATAACGTCTGTGGTGCCGGCGATTTTGCCCTTCAGGTCGGTGACTTGCTGGGTCATTTCATTAAGAGCAGAGACAACCTGCTGAGCGCAGCTGATCTCGGAGGAGGGAACTGGGCTGGCGATAGCGGAGATGGCAAAGAGGGCCGAGATGATAGGAAGCTTGAACTGCATTTTGACGGTGGAATGGAGGCGAGAATGAGTTCGATAAAGAAGGCAAGACTGGAGAGAGATGTTTGAGGCTCAGAATATTGCTGGATGAAGAACAAAATATTCGAGAAGATGCCCCCATCTTTATACTCGAATCTCTACTAGTAGATGAACAGCTTCAGCACTGGAAGTCTTGGGAGTTTGGGGCGCACACCACCACATCAGGAAACAGCATCTTAGCCAAGATTAGAGAGTCGTTGAAAGTTGTGCAAAACACTTAGAATTACCAAATTGAGCTATATCGAAGATATTGGCCCCAGACTGAATCCTGAACCGTTGAACACTGGACCCTGCCAAGGTCTTGGTGGCTGAAAATAGCACTGAGCTAAAATCAGCCAACTAATAGTAGAAGTTCAAGAGCTGAAAAGAGATCTTAGTATCGCCCCAAATATTTCAGGGGTAGGAAGATCTTACTGGTTAAGCTAAAATTGAAATCTGTGTAGCATTCTCTTTTCTGCATCGCTTCTGTTGATGTTCTTCCTTGAATCTGCCCCAAACACGTTGGCCCCAATGATAATATTACCTAACCTAAGCTGGACTTCTTATTTGCTTGGATACTGCATACTGCCTCGGTTTCAAGCTAGTTAACTTTTCAGTCCGATACTTATGATTTTACTAATAAAGAAATGCTAAGAAATAATGCTTTCAGCCGCCTGGGACCTCGTGATGGCGTGTTGGGCTTTTCTTCTTTTAGAAAGCTCTTTTCGTAGATATAGAGACCATAAAGGCAGAATTGATATCAAAAAACTCCACTCAAATGAGCTTTCGAATCCAATCTGAATCCCACAAGCCATCAATCAAGCCACTGTGGATGGAATAAGGAGCTTCATTCATGTCTGGACCCTATCGTGGCCCCTTCAAAATGCCAAGCAACATTTGAAATAGGTCCATACGATTCCTGCAGATCTTCTGAACATAGCACTGTAATAACGCTCACGAGGTACACAGAGTGCATCCGAGATTTTATTATTACTTTGCTCGCATAATAATGATGGCAATGTTCAAAGTACGGGATACCGGCAGCCCTTGAGATAGTGTGATATCTTCGAGGGGAAACATTAATGAAGGGTTATTCTGTTGAGAAACATTTCATAAGACCTCATATTTGACCTTGAGATTGTGACAAGCATACATATCTGCTTACACTGCAAAACTTTTGTTACAAATCAATAAAATAAATCTCCTTTCCACTTTAATTCCCGTGTTTCCTTCGCTTCAAGTCAACAGCTTAAAACTGCGGAAATATGGCGATAAAAGCTACGGCTTCCGTTGCCGCATAACCACCTGAAATGACGATCGCTGTACAGAAGGCTCCGAATGACTCCGCTTTCTTTTCTCACCAGGCATCGTATCGACCGGATCTGCTTCAAAGCTGTAGAGCAACTGCACGATCTTCTCAATGTATTGCTCGAACCTGAAGACAGTGACGACTTCAGACAAGGAGAACCGATGCAGTGTAGCATAAGCTACATCATGATCCATATCAGTGTAGATGGATGACAGAATGGATTTATGGCGCAAAGGTATCGCAGATAGCACAGTTAAAAGCGCCCCGTATGGGCACAAATTGATGCCAGCTTCTCGGACCCGACGAAATTCTCTCGCGTAAGCTCGTACAAAGTACACTGTTTTCGGGAAGTCCAGAGGATTGACACGATTTAATCTTTTGACCCTGATGCAATCAGCGTCAAAGCCACTAGTTGGAACGAGATCTCTGACTTGAGCCATGAATTCATCAGCGAAGACAGCTTCAGCTCCTCTAAGCCTTAGCAAATGGAGTAGGTCTTCTGAGATACTAGACGCGAGCCAGTGAGTCACCTGTCTGGACGTAAATGCCCATTGCATTCCCACATCACTGTTCAGTTCTGGACGTGGGATATCGATGTCCACGAGGGACTTGAGACCCGCTGACTTGAGAATGCGTAATACAGCATGATTCCATTCATCGAAATCTCGGATGTCTTCAAGTATTTGATCAAGTTTCAGCAGATTTAGCTCGGTGGACTCAGGAATGTAAGAGGACTGGTCGGTAATACGTTGATTGAAAAAGTTGCTCAAAGTAGAATTTAGGACGTGTGAATTATGCTTGAATGGATTTTCGAACGGCATAAGTTCAAATTCAAATGGTGGGGCATCAGGCATTCCAAACGAGTAATCCGCCATTTTTTTGATAAGAAGCCGATATTGATGGGATCTTGTCTGGGTGATCAAATATTTTGGTCAAGAGTGAGAGTGTTCGCCTGGAAATCTATTAGTGACTAGGGGGTTGTTGTTGATACAGTAGGCTATCAACATAGAACAAAACTAAGTACAAGACTTCATACCTCGATGGAGACCTCGATGGAGTGACACACGTTGATGGGGACAGAGAGTCATGAAAGAAAAAAAGATGATGATTACCGTAGATAGTAAAACATTTGAAGACAAAATTGAAAGCAAACACCAGATATTGACATATTGATTGCTGTGATCTCAGTGTTACTCGTCTACATAATCAACCTTCAAGGCAAATGTCCAAGAATAGCGCCGACTCAAACTTTGTTACTGGTAGTCTTATCAAGATCCTCCATATCATTATCATTGATTCCAAGTCCTAATTTTTGAATATCTTTACAATATCCTCATACCTAAATATGAGTGGAGACCGGAAGACAATATGCCGATCGGACATGGTCCGCATTGTGTTCATTGCGAATGTGCCATAATGGAGCTACCCCAGCTACCCCACCTTTTCTTTCATAAATGCCGACTTTATTTGGAGCTATTCTGAGCACGAGACATGTCACCAGAGTCACCAGAGTCAGAACAGAGTCCATGAGGGGAGACTCAAGGGTATTTGCGCCCTACAGCAGAGCGGGCATGTAAAGAATGTCATCGCAGAAAAGCAAAGGTACGGGGATCGCCCATAGGAGTCTGACCACACTAACGCGATGAAGTGTGATAGGGTGATCCCGATATGTACACTATGTGAGAAGTTTAGTCGCTCATGTATTTATGAGAAACAAACACGCACACCACTCACACGCCGATATTTAACGGAGGTAGAGAATGAATTGGTACGGACAAAGGCTCTCCTCCTGCGATTCATGCCTGAAGCCGAGAATCCACAAAATGTGGATTTTAGTGAGCCGGTTCCAGAGCCAATCTCTGCACAAGAGATGGAAGGCTGTCACGATACTCAGCTATTACATCAAAGCCCAGAGCTAAACACCCGCATTCAGCCTGTTGCTTCATTACCCGACCTTGACAACCGACCGAAGCCACATACTGCCAGTCAGACCACTGGGCTAGGGATTATATCTCATCGCCTGCAGCCAGCCAGCATGGATCCAGAATTTGCGGATCAATCTCCTGTGTACTCTGATCAGCGGACTCATGGACCTTCAGGTCTGTCTCTGGAGACACCACCGTCCTCGAATAGCTTCGAATGGGATGAGAGAACGGGAGGAATGGGATGAGAGAACGGGAAAACCCAGTGGGGAAAAATTCGTGGACGGTATGGCGAGCTTGACAAGCGATGCAAATGAAGGTGGCTACCTAGGAGTCGCATCTGGTGCAGCACTTTTACGAATCACTGACACGGCTTCAACGGGGCTGACTGATCGCTACGATTCAGAAAAATATATGGATTCTGTTAATAACACAAGTCGGAGCGTTCCGTTTGTCTGGACCTCTTCAGGTCAGCTAGAGCCATTTGTCGAGGCTTATTTCTCTCTATACCACCGCTCATATCCAATCGTCCATGAGGCAACCTTCCGCGCTCAGTTTATGGAAGTAATTCCTCGACCAAGTGGCAATGTGTGGTATGTACTGCTGTTTGTCTTGTCAGCAGTAGGATTCACAGCGTCAACACAGCCTTCGGATGTTGATATTGGACTCTTCGAAGCCGCAAAAGCACGAATGTCAATGGATATGCTGGAAACCGGCAATCTACTACTTGTTCAGGCATTGGTATTGAGCGCCAATCTCATGCAAAAGAGAAACAAGCCTAATTCAGGCTATAACTATATGGGTCTGGCGCGTCGAATCGCGATGGGCATTGGCCTCCATAAAGAATTTCCAGTTTGGGAAGCGAGTTTGTTCACCACAGAAATGAGACGGAGGATCTGGTGTTGTTTATACATTTTTGACGTTGGCGCTATCATCACATTTTCACGGCCTCTTGACTTTCCTAACGATGGAATTGACGTGGAACTACCGATGAATGTTCACGACAGTGTTTGTTTTCCAATTCCAAACTTGGTTACTTTATTGACATTAATATAGGACATCACGGCTGGCACCAAGAGACTCCCCCAGCCTGCGAACGAAACCACAGTTTATACGCATCTCCGAGCCCAAGCCACATTTCATATGGCTACAAGTCCAATATACTCAAAGATCATATCTTCACCGTTCCCATCTGCAGCGGAGCTTATAGAGCTCGATGACCGACTCATTGGATACTGGTTGGCTAATTTGCCCCCTTATTTCCAAGAGAATGTTCCCCAAACCCAAAAATTTCGCTTATGTCATTCGATCATGCGATGGCGGTATCGAAATTTTCGAATCTTTATGTATCGCCCATTTCTAGTTGGAAGGCTCATGGCCCGACCGGAGAGAGATGAAGGCGATTTGGGAGGTACTGAAAACGAGAATGAGAGCGAGATCGCCATTCAGAGGTGCTTAGATGCCGCCCGTGAATCAGTTGGGTTGATCGCAAATTTCTGGGAACAAGAGCAGCAGAGTATGCTGGCTTACTGGTATGGGCTATATTTATTTGTTTCAGGCAATCCTGATTCCAGTTATTTGCTTGCGAAATAACCCACAGCACATGCTGGCCGAGGACTGGCGCAGACAGATACTGCAGGCGATGCCGATTTTGGAATCGATGGCGCACCTGAATCATTCGTCTTCACGTTGTCTGGAGGTTATTCGTTCTTTGTGTGGATCTTATCTTGATCCCTCTATTGTTGGGTGGGGACCGACCGAGGAATCACCACAGACTCAGCTTGCGAACTTGTATCCGCTGATGTGGCCCACGCTGGACACAGTTCAACCTGATGGAATGGATTCGATTCTGTAAGTGATTTGCTCTATACGATTTGATTTGTCCGTGTTTCTAATGATTATTTCAGCCAAGAGTCAACTATTCTTGATTTTATGAACCAACTGCCTTAAGCCGCTAAAACAAATGTACATTATGAAGGCCACCTAATTTGAAACAAATGAAGATTCGATTGGGCTAGCGAATTCTCTGATATTTTGTATGGCAATAAACTAGGGGTGCCTGATTCAAGGTAAGGTGTAACCACCATCAATAATAATGTTAGCACCCGTCATGTAGCTCGAGGCATCTGAGGCGCAGAAGACATATGCCTATAAGCAATGACACTATTAGTCCAGATCCCGATATTATTGCAAGATGACAGGACTTACCCCCTTGAGCTCATAAGTATGAGCCATGCGCTTAGCCGGAATCATGCTGTACCACTTCTCATGCCACTCCTTAGGATGGATATCAAGGATTTCGGTGGTGATGAAACCAGGAGAGATGCAGTTCACTCGGCAAAAGTCCACCCATTCCACGGATAAACACTTGGCCAGCTGAACCACGCCCGCCTTGGATGCATTATACTAGAATTAAATGTGAGCGATCATCGTCAGAGATTGAGTAGACGCTGAATGAACGAAGGAACTCACGGCAGCTTGTTTCTGAGGAACATTGACCAGCGTCGCGCTGACAGATGCAGTAAAGATGACATTGCCATGGCCCTGTTCCTTGAAGATACGTGCAGCGGCCTGAGCAGAGTAAAAGGCTCCATCCAGATTGACTTGCATGATATCCCGCCATGCACTTTCCGTATAGTCCTCAGCTGCAATAGATGATACAATTCCGGAATTGCAGATTATAATGTCCAGCTTGCCAAAGTCCTTTGCAATTTGCTGAATGGTGCTCTCGATGGTGGTTTGGCTGGTCACATTGGCTTGGTACGCGGCTGCCTTCACGTTGTTTGTAGATGCAATCTCTGCAGCAACCTTCTCGGCATCTTTGGAGGTGTTATAGATAATCGCAATCTGGATGAGCGTCCGTTAGAGTATATCCAGGTGATTATTTTGTGCCAACTAGAGAACTTACATTTGCGCCAGCTTCAGCTAGGCCACGAGAGACCTCAAGACCAATACCACGAGCACCACCTGGGATATTCGTTAGCTGCTGGCTCAATGAATTAAATGTTGCTTGAAAATATTTGGGGCTCTCTACCTGTCACGATGGCAACCTTGCCGGTCAAGTCGAATGCTTTGGTGATATGTTGATTTGGGGGCTGCGAAAGGACCATCTTGCCGCTGTATCTTTGCTTCAAGTTGATCGATCTTCAATTCTATCTTCCTCTGTCTTTATATTATGATTCTATTCAGCAAAGTTCAAATTTTTTTCGATCATAGATTCCATATCGACTCACCGTCACACAGCTGTTACCTTTCCCCGCACGGTCGGCGTATCACCGATCGGACCGTCAACTCCGGCCGGACACAGTCGTCCGTTCCCTGGTCACATAATGTACATCTGTTATCTTCTCCACAAGCTCAATATCCACATGTTGAATGTGGTGGCATGATATGGAGGAAAAGAAGGATATCCCGGATATGTGACACTGCAGCATACAGCTCTCTTCTACTAGGCATCACCAGGGAGAGTCCTGTTAAAAGGATCTCACAATTAATATGCGAATGCATCATGTGTTTTAGTTGGTGCAACTTGTCTGATTCTATAGAGTGCTTGAATTAGAGTAGATAAAAATAAGTCGAAAGATTTGCAACCTCCTTTCATAAGGTAAACCATTCGAATTTCCCCTCAGGGTCCGAGCCTGAGGTTACCCAGCATGGAAATAAACCTTGGAAGTTGTTGTAGTTAAACTGTAGGCTACCATATTACCGTTAAAAAGAAGTAAACATCTTGTTGCACCTTCGATAATTCATTTTGAGGTACAGAGACCCAACCTTGGAAGTTGTTTTGCCTTGAATTGTGAGTTATCCCACATGTGCAGTCTGTCAACACTTTTGAAAACCTCACTGCAAAATAGAGCACTTGAGTACTTATTTCTTATGGAAACTTATACTTTCTAGACCAATCTATCTGGGGTTGAATATATAACAATGGCAGTGTTATTGTAAGGACTGATGCTGTAAGAGGGGAGAAGCCAATACGATTAGATCTCATACTCCCAGAAGTGATGTTTCGAGATACTTCAACGCCTAAGTGTTCAAGTCCACTATAATAGAACAAGCCTTGACATGAGATCAGACGAGAAGATGGTCATGGGGCGGTAATTTCCAACGTGAAGATCACTTTTGCCATCGCTAGGCCAAATCCAAATATAGACAGTATTTTCAAAAGTTGATAGGCAGAAAGTGAGATCTTGTGTTCAAGCACTTCAATGTTGAGTAGGTAAATTGGTAATAATTGGTCGATATAAAATTCAAATGAGTCTATGAAACATGCTCAGCATGCTCTCCCTTGCCGATGAATTCTTCCTCCTTGTCAAAAATGTCACCACTGGTCACAGCAGAGGGCCCGTCAAAAGCCTCTGCAATCTCTTCCAAGGAATACCCCTTCGTCTCGGGGAACACGAACCAAGTAATGATCAAAACCAAAACATCAAAGCAGCAGAAGAAGATAGAGTAATGCCAGCTAATATTATCCAAAGCGATGGATGTGACAAAAGACAGGACAATGAGAGAACTGTAGACACTCAGCAGTTCAACAGTTAGACCTTTGCTGCGAATAGAGTAAGGGAATATCTCAGTAGGATATCCTATTAGTAGCGGTGTATATGCAACGTCATAGTGGAAATAGAATATAAAGACAAAGGTGATAACTGTATTCCCCAGAGAATTTGCCCCCGTGCTGTCAAATACCGCTGAACAGGCTGTCCAGATGACAAAAGAGATAAGCATGCCCACTGCCGACCATAGAAATAACGTTCGACGACCGAGTCGATCAACAAGCAGAGCTGCGCTACCTGCTACAATGAAGTTGAATATTTGTAGAAGTCCATTGATAAGCGTTTGGGTATCCGAGTCTGTAATCCCGACCGTATCGAGGACGAGCGTGAGGTAATAAGAGACAACGGCGACACCCTGTATATTCTGTCAGTATCTCTATATTTGAAAAAAGGATGCTAATAATGATCTTACATTCCACTGAGCGAACGCGCCGACACATACAGCGATGAATGTGCGCTTTCGATTTCCCGGTGTTTTCACGAGAGTGGACCATTTGGTCTCCGCAGCCGAGCTCTCCATCTCAATAGTTCGAGCGATCTCGGCCATTTCGAATTGAATAAGAGGATTCGAAGTATCATCGTCAGTGTGAAAGCGCGCAAGGAGAACTTCAGCTTCTTCCTTTCTTCCATTGGCAATCAACCAGCTAATAATCACGGAGTCAGTCAATTGAGAAGCCGTGTCTGATTCTCGAATGAGGCGACTTACCGAGGAGACTCAGGAACCAAGCACCAGAATATCAGCTGGATAAGAGGAAACCCAGCTTGAACGATTGAAGGCATCCGCCAACTCCAATTTGAGTTGCCCAGGTGTTTCTGAGTACCATACGAAGTCCACGAGGCGAGAATTGCGCCGAGATAGTAGATAGTCCAAAAAGCGCTGGTATACTTTCCACGGTGCGTGGGATATGCCAGTTCAGTAATCAACAAAGAAGGTTGAACGACCAGCATTGAACCAACTCCTACTAGCACGCGAGCAAAGACAAACATCCCGTATTTCACCGAGGCAGCTTGGATAACCGACGCAATGATGATCACAATGGTACCCGATAAGAGCGTCAACCGTCTTCCAATTCGATCGGACAAGATTCCAATAAATGGGAGTGATATAACACTTCCAATGGATTGGGCGGCATTGAAAACACCAAGAGCTGCGCCGGTAGGATTGCTGAATTAGTCTTTCCATTCTGTGAGGGATTGCAGGCCGTTCATGAGAGATCCTAGTGGAAACATCGTGTAAGGTAGTGTTGTTGAATTTGTTGATCAAATAACTTACCATCATATCCTGCCACTGCTGATGATAGTAGAGGAATGAGCAGAATGAGGTTGAGTTTCAGAAGATTTGGCACGCGGAACCTAAGGCGATCATGCTGAGGCAGAACAGAGGCAAGGGCCTCGCCGACAATATCCTGATCTTTCATGGTATGATAGTAAGAAGAAAATGCCACATTGTATTTGGGTTCTCGAAGGGCATTCGAACGCTAATATAGCCACCTAGCTGTTTAGCACCTGGGCATCTTGGAGACTAGACTGCGTCAGCAACACGAGACATCGGCAATTACGGAACATGATTGAATCTAGTCCATTGAGGAAAGATCCACTTCATGCCTGCTAATATGTCGGATCTGCATGAAATGTATGGTCTGGCTCCCCGTGGGGTAGCTTTACCCCAGTTTCTGCGCGATGACGAGACCGTTTAGCTTGGCCCATGTCGGAGTGTCATGCCCGCTCAACGGACACCGTTTCCGGTTTGAGATCCACAACGATATGCCGATCATAAGAGCAAATGCGAATTGCTTGAGAATATAGATTGTTCACTGGAGCTCCACCTAATATCTTTTGGTAGTATGTGGGTTCACAATGCGGACGTCTCTGCGCGTTGCTCGGAGGTATCTACAACCCCAGGCATTCAGCAGCGGGGTATACATCCATCGTCGTATCTCTGGGTTATGACTTATAAGTCAGCCCGCATCCATTGAATCTCCAAGCGTCGTCAAATTTTCCAGATCAGTCTCGTGCACTTTCAACACCCCCAAAATGACCCAACAAAGCATTCGTCGCGCGGACCCGCCGCTATCAGATAGCATTTTCAAAATGTTTCAGATGCACGGAAAGGTTGTCATCATCACAGGTGGCACAGGTGGAATTGGCTACGAAATAGTTCGTGGTCTAGCGGAGGCGGGTGCCAATATTCTCTGTGGTATTCCAGGTCAACGCAGGGTGAGGAGTTGGCCTACTCACTTGAGAAGGAATTCGGAGTCAAGGCAAAATCTTACCAGTGCGCAGTGCAAAACTTTGAAGAGGTGAGTTTTCCTCAATGTCTTGAATTAATGAGAATAAAAAATTAACTTGCATTTCTTTAGGTACAAGCCTGTACCGATGCCGTTGTCCGTGACTTTGGCCATCTCGATGTTATGATTGCGAATGCGGGGATTCCCTCCAAGGCTGGAGCTCTGGATGATAAGCTGGAAGACTGGCATCGGGTAGTTGATGTGGACTTCTCCGGCGCTTACTACTGTGCTCGTACTGCTGGTCAAATTTTCAGGAAGCAGGGATCAGGCAACTTGATCTTCACATCCTCCATGTCGGGTCATGCGGTCAATTATCCACAGAAACAGGTATGTAAAGGCTACTAAAGAATTCGCTGTGCTTAATATACTACAAAGCTAATTTGACCCAGGCATGTTATAATGCTTGCAAAGCAGGTGTCAGTCATTTGGCGAAGTCACTAGCTGTGGAGTGGGCTGATTTCGCGCGAGTCAACTGTGTTAGCCCCGGCTACGTTGACACTCCTATGAGTGGTGACTGTGCGTTTGAGATGAAGGAAGAGTGGTATGGTCTAACACCTATTGAAAGAGATTGCGACCCGCGAGAGCTGAAAGGAGCTTATCTTTACCTGGCGAGCGACGCAAGCACTTATACGACCGGAGCAGACATAGTGGTTGATGGAGGTTATACCTGTCGATGAAGATGGCCAAGAACTGCCCAACTACATTTTCGTACATACAATCAAGACAATTCCAAATAACGAAATTCGTTTTTTTGTTATGCTGCTAAACTTGAAAAGTCATATGTTAATCCTAGTGTTCATCAACTCTAGGGCTATTTGGTTGTTGTTTTGGTTGCTGAGTGTTTTTGGATGCGGCAGCTGCAGCCTCATACATCTCCCACATTTTCTTCTCTTCCGGTCGCAAATGACCAGGGAAGAAGGTATCAACCATACTCCTCCCAACGCCAGGGTACTTTTCCTCAACTTTATACAGAGTGTTCATAGCCTTCGTCTCGACGACCACTTCTTCAAAAATCAAAGGCATCCCAAAAGCGGCTGGATTTCGCGCTTGACCGGCAGCGAAGAGATTTTGAAGGATACCTAGTCCGCCCACAGCGAGCAAGAACCATGTATTCTCTTGAATTCCAGAAGCCGTGATTAAAAGTGCAATCCAAAGGAAGGCAAGCGCAATAACGGTTACTCGTGTCGAGGTGGTGGTGTGCACGTCGACATTCAAAGGACCCGCAGCGAGATCCTCAAGGTCCAGTCCCCGCCCATGACATCGAATGACGATGGCATATTGGCTTCCATTTCCTCGGACCAAAACAAACGTCTTATCTCTTTTTAGTTCACGACATGACCATTTTTCCTTCGTCCATTGCGGCAGAGAACCCATCGCGAAGGACAGGATGATCCCACATGCCGTGATCAAGATAATGGCCCAATCTCCCCATATACCACAAGGGATTGCAGCGATGGCCAATTGCAGAACTGCAACAGCAAGTCCGCTCCAGTAGGCGAGATCTCTTCCTTGGTGTCCAGGTTCTGCATCTCCTGCTTGGTAAATCGAAACACAAAGTCCGCCCTGCCTTGGCTTCGGCGTCATGGGCCCAGAGCCAGGATTTTCGCTCTCAGCACGTTGCTTATTCTCAATCCATTTACGCTCCAACATCCCATCCAATGCCTTCCCAATTGCTGGATCCCTCCAGCTTTCGAAATCCCGGACAACACGTCCAATTATCCAGCTTGTGTTTTCGCGCTCATATCTGCTTTTCGCATTAATGACTTTGCAGGTGCAGTCGGGTTCAGGCATTAGTCTATTCTCTCCCACTGCAGCTGAGACAGCGCTGATTGCATATGCAACCCAGCCTGAATCCCAAAACCCATCAGCTTAGCACCTATCAATGCAATTGGGGGCGGAAAAGAGTTCAAATTGCATACCGAATGAGAAGGCCACAGGGCAGATACCGCTGCCTGCAAGCTGAGCTAAAGCCCGGTTTATCACATCGCCACCCAGGATCAGAAGAACTGAGAACACATCTGATGGATTTTTCCATTGCCCTGAGAACTCATGAGAAGGTGGTTCATTTTGTAGAAGGGTCGCAGCCGTCCTTTGGAATAGCAGTCTTGGAGGCATAATAGGGAGGACTCAGTGATCCACTGCTGGTATTTTTTATAAAAAGGATATCAGAATTATTGGTAGATTCAAATGCAAGTTCAATTTATTCCTGGTTGAGAGCTAGTAATAAGCAGTGTGTTGTTGCCCCGCGCGATCCGTGCGTTAATGTGTTGGCAGTGGACACAGCCGCACAGCTGGGCGCTTACATCGTGTTGCCCTCTCAAAACATATAGGCTTTTCGAGGCATTTTTGAAGGCAGATCGGAATTATCATCTCTGAAAAATACTTAGGTTATTAGAGAAAGCGTTGAATCGGTGATTTCATTATTCGGCTTTTTCTCATACTTCTGCACTGTCCATGATATCCCATCGGTGCTGAAGAGTCTGGTAAGGCTTCGACATTGGCCAAGCATCAAAATCTCTGGCTCGCTTAATAATATCTACCAAAGCTTCTCGCTCCATCGGATCGGTAAAATATTCGCCGTATAATGTAATCGCAATGACGGCATTGAGCAGCGCAGGCTGCACTCGAGAGTGTTGTAGTCCGATCCCACATATGCATAAAACGATCGATCGCACTTGAGCCTCCGTTTTCCGATGCACAGGCCGTGCTGCGCCCCTTCTTATTGTCAGCCTTGATAATTTATCACGTTGACTTCTGTGATCAAAAACTTACTCTAGATGTGGATTTTCAGCTGTTAAGATCATCTGAGCTAGCCGAAAATGTTGAATCGCCGTCACTTGTACGTCAAGGCTGTACCAAATAGTTGGAAATACTTCTCCCTTTCGCCGATCAGCTGGAAGGTCGAGAATTGGCTCAAGCTCTCCGATTGAATTTTGAATAAGTTCTTGTTCTACAATCTTAAGCCGGGCTGATCTGTCCTGTCAGCAATACTCTGGATCGGGTTCTGTGGATATGAAACTTGCCCCATTCATCTGGTAGTTGCTGACCCCAACGCCACTTAGCAACTTGACCAGTAAATAGTATCATGTTACTAGCGACCGAAGGATTTTGCCAGAGGTCCGCATCGAAACGCAAGTAGGGAGTAGCCTCCCTTGTTAGAGCATAATAAATCTCCTGTCGAACAGTGATCCAGTATGCCGCGGTTGCCAATGGCTGATCAAGAGGCGATGCGATCATTGAATCTATGATTGTGTGCGTGATCGCCAGGAAGTTGAGTCGCCCATTCGCATAAAAGCCTTCCTCAGTATTAGCCCCATCTAGCTCTTCTTCCATCTCTTCATATTGTCGTAGTATAACAGTTGCTGCCATGATATTCTCCTGATGTATCGGATCTTGTATTTCCGGAAAGCGAATTAGATCTGGTATGCACTTCAACATGTATTCGAGTGCGCTGGACTGAGTTAAATTGGGAAGGAATTGTCCGCAATATAAAACACCCTGTGAGGTCTTGTACTTCGAAAGACGACTGAGGTGGAGGGCTGCCACGGCGCAGATAGCATTTAGAAGTGTCGAACAGTGTCGTGCACGACGAGGTACCACCAACTGGAAATGATGCAGGTCGTCGCAATGATCAAACTAGGTCAAGTCAGCTCAGGTGTTGTTAACTGGGCAAAATTTGTGTCTTACCCATGGGGATATCTCCTCAATGAAGTACTTGAGCAGGCATGACTCCTGTATCGTGCCGAGTGATGTGATGGTAACTTGATTATTCAAGGAAGGTGAAGCAGAGGCTTCAAGTTCAGAAGAATGGAGCTCATTGTCAGTTCTGTGCTGAGAACCCGTAGAGACATGAGATAGGAAGTTACTATTAAGTGAGGAATGTGGGGAGGATGAAACTTGAAATGGGGAGCTTTGATCCAATACATGTCCCTGTTGCGATTGATTAAACACAACAGATATGTGTGGGCTTTGATCTTGAGGATTCTCATGCTGCAGTGTTGATTGAGAATTTTCGATATTTATTGGTGTAAAACTGGGATATTCTGATTCCGAGTCGTTGGAGATGCGAGGACTGTTCATGAGCTCATCGTGCGCTAAATAAGGCATGCCAGGAGAGCCAGGATCATGAGACTCAAAAGGACCCGATTTAGATGACGATTTAGCTGGTCTCCACCTTTTAGGTCTGCTGTTCACCCATGTCTGAGCTTGACCAAAATTGGCATCGAAATTGGCAGTTGAGCCATGTCGAAATACTGTCTTTCTTTGAACCGGTTGACAGTCAAGCCCCTTCATCTCACATCGTCGGCAAACTGGCTTGCGCTTGTCACCTAAATATTACATAGCAAGTTGTAATTAGACTTGACCGTTTTATAAAGAGCACATTCATCATGGTTCCATACATCTTTGATGACTTGCTAATTTCAGTTGCTTTAGTATCATAGACGACATGGAAAGGAGTAAAGCAAATTACCTCGGCAATTCAAGCATGGCGCTTTGGCCAAGAGGGGACTAGTTGCCATCTCTGCTGCGGTGATCGGATCTTATTGTCAACCTAATTGACAAGACTTTTCCCCTTGCAGGGCACTAGGGTGTTGATAATGTCCAGACGTGTGCAACAATGCCTCAGTTTGCGGGGGAAGTAGGGGGCTATTTACCCCGCATCTAGGTGGAGATCTCCAGATTCTCCACATTAAAAAGCAAAGTCGTCTTTGGGATAGGACTTTTGGTACTATTTAAATGTTACTCCGGGTCTTCGGATCCAGTCGATGGATGCAAAAATCATTTATGAGAATGTGGCTTGGATGTCTCTCTTGTGAATGAGACTGATCCTTATCATGATCATCCATGAACAAAATTTCAAGTTCATATTAACTAACTCAACGAAGAAAGAAATTATGCATATATTAAGAGAATATTAGGCTTCTTTCGTATTCTCAGCGACTGAAGTCTTATTCTCGAACCCCTCCACGGTCTCAAGGTCTGTCTGACGCCTTGGTCCAGTAAACCAACGATGAGCCCAGAGAAACCACGTCCCTAATGTGCCTACTAGCACAATACCAACTGCCACGGGAGTATAGTTCAGCGTCTGAGATGTTACCGGATTCTCCTCGGGTAGACAGAAAACAATAGTGATGAATAGAACCTAAATGAAAATATTAGTATTTGTAAGTAGGGGAGTGGGAGAGCTGGAGGGAATTACCCATGAACAAGCTATGCCACCAACAATCCATGAGAAACGACCCAAGTTGAAGGGGCCTTTTTTGAAATTACTCGGCCATATCAAAGCAACCAAAATGGGAAGCGCATAACTGATATACAGTCCAATTGTTGCGATACTCGTAGCTGCTGAGAATGCCACAGAGCTTCCTAGCGACGGCAGGGCTAGGCAGAAGGCTAGAAATGCTGCCAGCCAGATCGTTCGCACCGGGCTCTGGAATTTCGGGTCAATGTAGTCAAAGAACTTGGGTAGAGCACCGTCGCGGGAAAAAGCAAACATCATGCGGCTGTTACTGGTCAAACTGAAAAGACCGCAGTGCCAGACACAAATAATGATGAGTGCGATACAGACAAGCGCACCGTTTTCGCCCATACAGTCGACTAGAATTTTGAACACGGGCTCACCGTAGTTTGTGCTCGAGTCAACAGTTGCATCAAAGTCTTGGATGGAAAATAGGAGACATAAAAGGAGGAAGAAACCGAATACAGCAGAGACTCCAATGGACATGAGTACGCCGATAGGGGCGGTCCATTCTGCTTTATGGGTCTCTTCTGAGAGATGGGCCGATGCATCGAATCCTATTCAGACAGGTCTAATTAGCAGCCAACTTGAAAGAAGTACCTGAGAAAAAGAAAGTGAGTTATTCATACCAGTGATTGTATACTGGCTGAGGAGGATACCACAGATCGCGACATAGGCGGGAGAAGCTCGGACAGACCATCCGGGATCACCAGTTCCCTGGTTTCAGATGTCAACAAAAGAAATCATATATTGTAAGCAAGCGCAAGGACTTCTGGATGTATGACGCACATCATAAAAATGCTGGAAAACCTCAGCGGCACTCCGGTGAGTCGGCGCTTTGGCTACCACTGCAATGGCCAAACTAGCAACTCCCAGGCTGTGCAAGATAATCGCGGAGACGTTGAGATATCGCAGGATATGTACACCAAACGTATTAATCAGGCCGTGGCTGATAAGTATTGCCGCATATATACCAATTTCCTGCCCAGCAGTTGGCACCCAACTGGTCTTGATCGTTGCCGCAGTCGCAATAAGTCCAGCGCATCCGAAGCTGATTCCGGTGGTCACCGCGAACTATACACACCGAAAGAAATTAGCAATGCACAGGTTGTGAATAAGTCGCGCCGAACGGTAAGTTTTATCTACCTGGCCCACAAAATTGAACCAGCCTGTCAGCCAGGATAGGAACGGGGCATATTTATGCGGAGCTAACATTGCAGCCCAGAAATACGGCCCACCGCTGGTGGGGATTGCGGAGACGATCTCGGCCATACTCAGACCAACAAAGAAAGTCATAACTGAGACAACAATCCATCCTACTGTCATGACACCTGGACCTCCAGTATTCAATCCATAGCTAGTCGCTGTCGTCAGTCGGTTGATTTCAACTTGCGATCACTTCAAATTTTACCTGAAGAGTGTAGTGATACCAGTGATCACACTCTTTTCGACGTTAGTACAAGAAACTCAACATGCGCGATGAGTACCAAACGCTTACAATGATCGAAAATGACACTCCGAAGTTGTGAATCAATTTCCAGTCGCGTCGCAACTCTTGCTTGTAGCCAAGCTCAGCCAAGCGAGTTTCATCCCGAATTTCTGCTGCTGTCTTTTCCCCCATTCTGAGAATCAAGGATGAAGCCAACTGCTAAGAAGTATTTCTGATGTCACGAGTGATACCCAGGGCTAATTTATTTGCTGATTACCTAGGGTGAGGGATATCTAAGGATTCTTAAGAATTTCCGTAATCAACATTTGAAGAAAGCTAAGGAAGACTCATCTTATCAGTACTGGGCACTAAATGCCGATTTAGGCAGTTAGTAGCGATTATAAGGTTAGCTCCTTTCAAGATAATCACGAGATAATCACCAGATAATTACGGGCTGGGTTTTTTCAAGATAAGCCACGTCCCTATCATAGGCCGTCCATCAATGCCCAGATAATCGGAGCACCTAAGTATTAGGGGGGCAGTGCCTTCAATATAATAAGACTTTTACTAATGTGCCTATGTGAGAAAGATAACTAAGCTCAGACCAAATCGTACTTTTGGACCAACATTTTGAACGCCCCTTTACGAAAAATGTTTTTATAGACCAATCAGTGTCAGCAGTCTTCGGGAACATGCATAACCCATGTGGAAGCCATGAGTTCAACAACAATACCAACAACAACCGGATCAAGAAGAGAGTAGAAAAGAGAGAATGAATAATTTCAAATAATCATAAAATAACATGCCCGGCTGTTTGAAATGGTGACCTGGCGCCCGCGGATCGGGCGTGAGCCGGTGGCTGCTCCAACCAACCTCTTCAGGGCATTCAGGCCGGATCTTCACACGCCTGAATATTCAGTTCAGGGGGCTTTTCCTCCTCTGTAGCTTTCTTATCTCGACTCCGAGTCCACGGGAAAACATCTGTCACGATTGGCAAAAGAGTGCTGATGACCTTCGAAGCGGCCTTGGGACACTGCACTACTGCGAATGGCCTGCACCATGGTTTAATAGCCTCAAACTCCTCTTTAGAGCCAAACTTGAACTCCATCTGGCAGTTAAAGGCACACTCAAAGTCATTCTTCTCACGCTTTATGATGGCGTGAAGGGTAGCCTTTACAATAACAGCCCACTCGGTGAGTAAGATAGCAGGATACTAGTACTAGTCATCTTTTTCCTCAGTCTGTATTTAGGAAACTCTAGCACGACTCAGTAACTATTGTGAGCAGGGGTTAAACGAAAGTTTATAGCGACTTAATTTACATATTGTCTCACTGAGCCTCAGCCCCCAACTTAAATATTCAAACTAGCAAAAATAAATAAATTGCTGCTTAGGTGCTCTGAAGTACTATCGCTGCCTCGTTTGGTCTTAAGTTCTCCTCCTCTGCCATGTAACCTGATAAATGAGAACCTTTGAAGTATGCCATATATACCTACTAGGCACCTGGGTATATCATATGCGAGTATATGCTTCGGACCACTTTACGTAGATAGCTCTTCTCCGCTCACGCTCCCCATATTACTTTCCTCACTTCAAGTTAGTTTATCTTCCGAGTCCTCATCGACCCGACACCTTGTCATCCAACAAAATTGGGACGTATACTGAAATTGAAGCCCTGATGAAAAATAATGATACTGTGTAGTAAGGTGTTGATATGTATGTATGTCAATGAAACAATATGTATGTCGTTGAAACAAATTTGAATCCTGCAGGCGCCGGCGGTTCTTGGCCTTTAATATATACCTGAATAATATGGGAACTTGAAGGACCTCGACTTGAAGACTAAAACTTGAAGCCTTCATTCAAATGTTCAGGCCTTATGCATGTTAAAGGCATCGATAGGTGTATTGTAGATCAGATATGTTCTATAGATCGAGAATACGCGCTTTCTACTCCGCATACAGATTTAGAACATCATGATTGATATCCTAATATAGAACATTTGGAGTGATAACCACTATAAATAGATATCCAAATTGGGGAGGAATACTCCGTACTACGGTCCATAATGTGTGAAGGGAAGAAAAATGGGGATGATGAATTGATCTTCGGAGTGGATAAACAAGGCTAAGGACTAGGAGAACCCCATTCTGCCTCAAAATCCCGTCCTCAAGACGAGCTGTAACATTTTGAAGAGAAAGAACCTTGGAACCTCCCAGGTGCCTGAGGTCAAACGTTCTCGTGCGGCAACTCCTGACTTCCCTAATTTGGCATCACACCACCTTGTGATAGCCATTTTACCAGAAAAATTTTCCCACTTGCACGGATTAACAACGCCCAGACTTCAAGTTTGATCTAGTAATATGCAGTCCTCTGACATTGCACCCTCTGATATTGCTATTGCAGATGAAGAATGGTTGATCGAAACATCGTTCATATACCAGAAGTCTACCGTTACATCGAATCATCCCGTCGATCCACAGACCTAGAGGGATATCTCTTTATGGAGTATATCCATGGCAAGGCCCTCAAAGATGTTGATTTTGAAGAACACAGCCATCTTCCACCACGTGTTGCGAATATTCTCATTCATCTGGGAAAAATCATCAGTTCAGACTCAGATCATATTCCAGGCCCCCTGCACGGCGGACAACCTCTCGGGTATATCTTTGGTGATTATGGCGCAAAGACAGATTTCACTTCACTAAACGATCTGACTGCGTATATGAATAAAAGGCTTGAATATTGCAGCCAGTCGAAGGCACTGGCAGTCAATCTAGAGCCAATCAATCTGGATCCCTATGCTGAGAATCTAGTCCTTTGCCACGGTGACATCTGCAGGAGAAATATAATCCTGGAGGAGGACGGCAGCCTTTGCCTTTTGGACTGGGGTTACTCTGGATTTTACCCTCGTTCTTCTGAACTCGCCACTCTCAAATGTATACTCATGCTTCGTCATGATGAGAAGTTTGAGCCACTTGTCACAAATGAATTTGAGAAGCTTCTAGGCTTGACCGACCAGGAAAAGCGAGATACAATTCTCACACTTTATGTTCAAAGTGCAAATCTAAGATAGTCGTTGTAAGAACCCGCCTCTTATGATCCGACCGGCGTTTTGGACACGCTCAAATGCTAATAAGAACAGTGAGGAGCGCCCGCAAAATTATGAGGAAATACACGAGAAAATTTTCCTGGATGCCCTCACAGCCAGCGAACAGAGTGCAAAGAAACGAAAGGAAGCTGGAATTCCAGAGCCTCTGGGCTGGCTGAGATCCGAAGAAAACATGACTTTCAGTGATAGAGGAGCAATGATGGAACGTTTGAAAATTCGAAGTGGTCATCGAGGAATATTACCATGCTAACCTACATCACGATACAACAACATCTTAATATATTTGGACACATGCATTCCTAGTATATCCCACTTTTAGAAGAATATATAGGTACTGTGATCCTAAATCTTTACTTCGGGCTCGTTGGTAGGACACGCAGCGAACACTATTTATCCTGGTTTGATGATAAAAGAAGATCTCAGGTACACCAATCGCGCCCCTTGATATGTCTCTGAGAAAAAGAGTTGAACCTGGGGAAGAAAGAGATTGCGTTAATTATAAAATCTAAATTTGCTACTGCAACGCAGCTCACTTCGGAATTGTGTTGAATCCGGCCTAAAAATAGGGAAAGGGGCCTATCGGAAGATCAGTCTCACATGTGCACCAACCAACGACCAACCAATTGTTTGAGGGATCGGATTGGTAGTAAGGGTGCAGACAAATGATATCCAAACCCAGTCATGAGCCATGTCAGTGGGACCGCAGACTCTCTTCGGTCACTTCGGCGCCGCTGCCGAAACCCTGCAAAAAACCAGGCAGATACGTGACAACCCATCGAGCTTGATAACCGTTGAAATGGGGGTGATGTGCGATATATAGTTTCTTTAAATGGATAGGATTGATAGCACACCAAGGCTTGCATATTGACTCTGATATTATTTTTTTGCCTATCGTGCTGGAGGTTCGTCGTTTTGTCTCATATGCTCAAACATCGATTCGATGACTTGCGAGTCATGTCGCAGGTTAAAGGTGTTGGTAGATTCACCAAGTGGGCACCAAGGTACAAGTCGATGGCTGACGGGGAAATGTTCATGGTATTCCTAAAATGAAAAGGTGGTTCCATTTACCATGATTGCCCAGCACCGACCATTCTCCGTATTAGCACTCGCAAGTGCCGCGGTAAGCTGGACTATGGTGTCTTGCACCCCTCCACCAGGACCCTTTGCCTCAACCAATACATGATCAACAAACCTCCGATCACTCGCAGAGTGACGTTGGAGGCGATAGACCTAAAGTCTGGGTAACTGGGTTTTCTCCTGAGCAAAGCCGCAGTACTATAGCCCTCCGTGAGAGGAAACTCATGGTTGAGAACTGAGTTTAACAACGCTTTCACATTGTTCTCGAAGTCGGATTCTTCATTAACAAGTGTAATGAAAGCATCAATAATTGGGATAGATAAATAGCTCTCCATGGTTAGAAAAAATTCTGATTTTTGTCCACTTTCTTAAATATCTCAGAATTAGGGGGATACCGGTGCTTCTAAGTACGAACAACTAGACCACCCCGCATTTCACCCCCACCACGGCGCTTAAAGGGGCGTTGTCCACGGTGTGTCCCTCAGAAGACCTAGAATTCAGGTACGTAATGTTCAGATACCAAACAAGTTAGAAATAAGAGCCCGACCAGTGACTTGAAATGCCAGGCTAAACGGATTCATTTGCACCAAGTCAAGGGATGCGAGAAGTTGATCCTGAAATCCCTAACTCCTTGAGACATTCTTTTCTCATCCCTTCCTTTATCCGAGTCATCATTCCACTTTTTATCATGGAGCTCCGTGCTTTCAATATGTCCCAGTCATTGATTAATCTATCCAAATGTTCCTATATTGTTCAGTCAAACTCTCCGGCTCTCTGTTACTAGATCCGATGTTTATAAAATGTCTTTCGAGTATCCGTCCGTGGGGCATGTCGAGACCAACTTAAATGATGAGAAGATAAATGCACAATCAGATCTTAAGCCTGACCGCGATGCTGAATTTCCAGATGGCGGTCTTCGAGCATGGTTAGTCGTCATAGGAGCCTTCTTCGGTTTGTTTACCAGCTTTGGCTGGGGTAGCTGTAAGTGAACTTGAACTTCAAGTCGAAACCCCTAGTTAAGAGTTTAAAATGGCATCACTCACTCTATACCAGGTGTTGGTGTGTTCCAAGAATATTATCAAACTCACCAATTACAAACCGACTCGCCCAGCACTATTTCCTGGATTCCATCGGTATCTGTGTTTATGTTGTTCACTACTGTGAGTTATTTGCTTTCAAGTTTCATCTTATCTCTTGTGCTTTTGCTCACAGTCTGGATGAATAGGGTCCGTTTATCGGGCGACATTTCGACAAAAATTGACCGAAGTCACTCTTGCTGGTTGGCACTTTTGTGCACGTCTTCGGACTCGTGATGGCCTCAATGGCAACAAAATATTATCAGTTCCTTCTATCTCAAGCTATTTGCAGTCCGTTAGGCGCAGGTATGATACTTTACCCGTCGTTCAGTTGGGTCGCAACCTGGTTTCAGGAGAGGCGCGCTCTTGCCATGGGTATCACAGCCAGTGGCTCAAGCCTTGGAGGTGTTATTCTACCAATTTTAATTAATTGAATGCTACTGAGAGCTGGATTTGCCTGGACTATGCGCACATGCGCTTTTGTGATCTTGACACTACTAGTAATCACTAATCTGACTGTTCGATCGCGTCTATCGCCGAGACCCAACCCTGCAAACATTGGAATTACATTCGGCAATTTGCTGATCCCGCACTCTTGCTAACAGTACTGGCGAGTTTCTTTTTCTCAATGGGAATGTGCATCCCCATTACCTTCCTGGTGACATTTGGGGAGGCTGTGGGAATGTCCGCTAAGATGGCTGGATATTTGGCTTCTATATACAATGCAACCAGGTGTGCTCCTCTCTTTAAATCCAACAAAAAGTCCACTAGTACTTGCTTCTTTTATTGAATGAACTCTCAAGCTAATTTCATCAAATTCAGCGGCGTGGGACGCATTCTTCCCGGATATGCCGCAAATAAAGTCGGTAATTTCACTGTCTCAGCTTTTGCTGCAGGACTATCAACCGTTGTTGTTTTTGCTTTATGGCTACCTGGACACTCGTCAGCACTCGCAATTGCATTCTCGGCCGTATTTGGATTCACATCGGGCACATATACGGCTATCAGTCCAGCTCTAGTGGCACAGATTTCAGATATCGCAGAGATCGGAACCCGATCCGGTAGTTTATATGCAGTGATGTCAATTGCGGCGCTTACTGGAAGTCCGATCGGACGCGCTTTGCTTGCAAATTCAAATGGGAGCTATTGGCAAATGCAAATCTTCACGGGCGTAATGCTCGGTGCGGGTACATTATTTTACATCGTGGCCCGCTGGTACTTGGCAAAAGGAAGATTGAGGGTCAAGATTTGAGCGTTCATTACAATCGAGTAGCCCTAGTCCCTTGCAAGAATAGCACAAAGTGTATTCTGTTTCATGCTAAGTAATGTAAATCTTTATTTCTATTTTCTTTGGTGAAGGCTGTCTTTGGTCCGATCAACTTTATTCTTTATGTATTCATATGGGTCTTTCTATACTGGTTGGGCAGATATCTATAGAGTTTCCTGAGACACTCCAGCCGGGCGCTCAGTGCCATGATATTCTTTTTCTGTTTCAAGTCACAAAGGATGAATATTATTGAAACAGAACAACTTGAACAAAAAATAGTGTTCTGTTTTAGCTCAAGCACAGAGACATGAATAGAATTCTTTGTTTTAATCCGAGATTGGTTTAATTCATCCTTTGTTCTCATTTAAATTGCCATACGAGCTCTTTGTGCTATTGTCTCGCATAATAGCATATATTTCAGACCTTTCATGCAAGAATCCATATGTGCTCTTTGTGTCCAGAATCTTATTTTTCTTTTGATGCCTCGAGAATTTTGCTATATAACCATCAATGATCTTGTTCCTCAGTCCACCATCAACCAACAGTCTCATCAATCAATACTTTCAGAGTCATTTCTCGACAACACCTATTCATCTTTATCCATTACCTCCTACTTAAAGTTTCAATCCCACAATGGAGTACCGATATGGCAAGCGACAGGGTGACGGAGAACACCTCCAGAAGTGGATGGACAGTGCCTCTGCCACTAAGTCCTATATCCGTGGAGCCAAACTAAGCTGGTCCGAACTGAAGGGGGACGAATGGGTTCACTGTCATCATCCCGCCAACCTCCCTCCTGGCCTTCTCCCTTGGGTTGAGGAGCTTGGTCTCCCAGCAGACAACTGTGATGTTACAGCGCCATCCCCATACCAATACATGATGGTTCGGACCCGCCACTTCAACCAGCCCCCGATGAGCTGGATCGGATACATTGGTCCGGGTGTTATTTTCATCAACCGCCTGAAGCGCGACAACAAGAGCCCCTTTTACTGCAGTGACCTGACTAAGGCTATATATGAGCAGAGCTTCCCGCTCGATGACTTGAAGCATATCTTCGTCACCGAGGTCGTCAACTATGATACTAGCCTTTGTGCTATGGAGACTTACATTAATAAGGGTCTTATTCCTCGATTGGCTGGCTCGCGTACTTGGGAGCCTTACACTGATGAGTTCAACGCTCTCCTTGGAACCAAGATTGGTAAAACTATTGCATCGTTCATCTTGGCTTCTTTTGGTCAAGGTAAAAAGCGTATTGCTCGTATCAAGACTGTTTATGATCATTATGGGGATGACCTGGATCTCCAATTTGACCTGGAGAATGTTCCTTCATCTTAAGTGAACATTTTCATCAGTGCAGCTGACTGTTTATAGACTTATTTCTTTTCCTTTATGGAGCTTGTTCATGGATTTTCTAAACAACTAAACATCTTGAGATTTTCTTAATGCGTGGTTAGAAGTTTGATAAGGATAGATTAGACTGAACGTTACATTTCGAAAATTTATCTTCTCAGGATTAACAAATAATTGATTCGTCTAAATTTTTCCTATATAGCCCAAAATCAAAAGTATTCATAAAGTATTCTGTGGGCCATCATTTTTAATTTTTTACATTCGTTGCATGAAGCTATCTTAAATTATCTCTTCTCTCCAAATTTGGTGAAGGAGATAGACCTCAGACCTCTTTTCCTACTTGGGTTGCAGTGGTTTTTCGAGTTTCCTCCCTTGCAGCACAGAGGGGCAGAATCAACCTATAGCTCATTCCTACATAGGCCAGTTGCCTATATCCAGCTATATAGCACATGGAGCTAGCCTTCCCTTCCACATGCAGATAATCATGCAGATAACCCCGTAGGTAACCCTGTAAACTTGGAGGATGAGGATTTCAGAGTAAGTTCTCATTGGAAGGTTACAGTAAAGACATTTGTGCATGTGCGATAAATGAAAAATAACAGATGCAATATTAAAAGAAAATTCAACCTGAATCACAAAGAATAGATCGAAACGAATAAAGAGCAGGTGTAACTTCAGAGGTATTTCTTTCTTTGTACTTGGTCCACCAAATCGACCTCGCTCACCCTGAAACTCGGTTCAAATAATTATCATTGAAGAAATAAAACTTTCTGTGCGTGTGAAGATATTAAAATAGAAGATTCGCAAAAAATGAACATATTGAACTTGTCGATATGTGCTGATATTTCGGTACTTCCTTAGCAGACAGTGATGTACAAACCCAAGCTAGTTAAAGGTTAGTGACTGTAGCAGAGAGAACTCATTAGAATCTTACTCACGGGGATGGGTTGAAGTCTTGGAAGTAATCGAGATTAGTGGTACCGGCATTCTTCATTTCAAAGGCAATAGCCTGTCCAGCAGGACATGAGAATGTTGAAATGACATATGAGTGGCCCGGCGAGATAGTCACGTCACCTATATTGTTAGAGACAAATGGAGCGTTGCTAAATGTGGTTGAGCTGGAGGCAGCCTTAGAGAGCTCTGAAAAATTGACTTTGCCATCACCGCTAAACGTGAAGCTAGAGGTCTGGAGATCGGCTTTCTCGGGGAACAGGAAGACTAAGCTGCAGGTCTTGCCAGAATCCGAGGGTGGGATATCGAAGTTGAAGATGCTGGAGATTGTGGAAGTCACCTCTCCATTGAAAGAGGTACCACTGGCTGTGTCTGGAGAGGCAGAATTTATTGGAATAATCAAGTGAGGGAATTCAAAGCTTCCAGATATCAGGGTTGTTCCACAGGTGGTTCTAGTGCTTGATCCAGAGCTAGAGCTGGCACAGGAGTCTGCTGTCAAGGTGACAGTTGAGCAATGAGTCACGGCGCTGCTCTCAGTTGTGTAGATGTTGAGAGCTCCACTTGCGTCAGCCTGACAGGCAACAAAGTCTGGATTATTATTAAATTCAAGCTCTCCAGATGAGTTGATTGAGAAGCCCGAGGTTGGAGTGGCGCCCTCGTCACACTGGAACTGGGTGGTGGGTGCTAAGCTATGTTAGCTCATAACTCGTCTTCTGAAAGGTAAAGAGCGTGTATGACTCACGTGTGAGGATACAACCACGGCCATGGGCATCGGTAATTGTGCCATCTGAGCTTAGACAGAATTCTGCAGGTGTTAGACTACTATCATCAAGGCGGTTTTGCCCATCGCTGAGTTGACCAACGGAGCTGGAACCACTGTTCAGATGAAAGCAGCAGCTACTGCCACGGCTGATCAACGCCTTTGTATTCACAGCAAAGGTAGCAAGAGCAAATAGAACCTTCATTATGTGTCGAGCACTCAATATGCCAATAAACAAGGGTCAAGTTTGAAGTCAAGGGATTCTTTGTCATGGATGATAGATTGAGATAATCGGCGAATGTGCCTCATCAAAGTACAGACTCGGCGGGATATCCAACTATTTATAGGCGGCTGGGATCAATAACTCAAGGAATGAATTGTCTTGTACACACATGCATTTTCTTCATCAGCCCAAATTAGGCTCTGGCCATCGAGACCAAACCCCGAAATTGATGCCAAAAGTATAAGACGTCATATTTTCCAAGCCCCCAAGTAATCATTACTTGTTTGTAAACTCACAATGGGTAGATCATGGGGTCACTTGCACTCTAGATGAAGCTTCCCCAATATTTTACCAAGGTAGCGAAACAATTAGTCTGATTCACTTATGGCGTCCATACGGTTAGATCCGGTTTTATGGGTCGGAAGTACCCGCTTCTCGTGTTGAAAGGGTCTATGATACATACAATGCTGTTCTACTACTATGTACCAATGGCTCCTGATATTGATTGATTATTTCCAAGTTTTCTTTGCGATAATTCCTAACCAGCTAACAGTACTTCAACCAAGCGAATGACTCCAGGGCTTGGATGTTGACCATGAAAACCGACGATTTGGGTACTTTGATCTAAAAATATAGGACAGTTCCAAGGTTATTGATATTGTTCATGTGAATTTTTCTGAAAATTTCTCTTGAATAACATATGGGTCAAAATCGCAACTCAATAAAAAAAAGTCCAAATGGTCCAAATTCAAGTTCTAGGATTTATGACTTCCCCAATGTCAAAAGCGTCAAAAGCTCTCCAAAGTTTTCTGGGAACTTCCACTTAATGTTCCCAGATGTCAGCTTGCAAAATAATCCACTGCTCCCATTATCCTAATGGTTAAATTCTGTAATTTAAATACTCAAATATAGCGGAATGATCGCCTATGCCTTTTCGGTTCTTCCACTCAAGAGGAGACTTGTTACGGCACTGGGGTATCTATAATTAGCATGTTGCCCTCAACCTTGGAAATGTTGGTACAATCCAGACGTCGAAGAACTTTGGAACCTATTCTTCCCATGACATTTGATGTCTTTGGAGTAAACTCGGAAATTTGGAAATGTCTCAGATATAGGTTTTAAACCCCCCGGCAAATTTGAACTAATATTTGAGGCTATTGCAGGTATACTGGAATTCAGTCAACTGGGTTTCATTTTTTAGAAAAGCGACAAAATTCAGTTTTCCCTCAGGCTTCATTCATATGAATTTCAACAACTAGTATTCCGAGCCTTGTTCAATCAACCCAGATCATTAGTCATAAATAGACATCTGGATCGTTCGTGGGGGAGAAAAACAAAAGACAAAAAGAAATGCTCACATCCGGATTTGAACCGGAGACCTCATGATTGACTTCATGAATCCCTTTTGAAGGGATAAGTGGGTCGTACTAGTCATGCGCTCTACCAACTGAGCTATGCGAGCTAGTTGATATTCGACAGCCAATTTTTGACATTATATCCCAAACTCATTCTAAAAGCAGAAAAATATTGGAAAATATCAAAAAAAAAATCGAGCAATGTAGAAGTACACTTTTCGTTAAATCGACCATAGCGTTTAGCGCCCTTCCGGGAGACTTCATTATTACTATAGCAGGATCCTTGGAATTGGTTTCCAAGGTTTAGTACTAGGTTTAGTTTGTAACTTGAAGTCGCTTTGCCCAACTTAAAATGATCATTGCCAAACTTGAGAAGCACTATATATCCGAGTCGGATGGGAACAATGGTCCCCTGGCATCTACATATTATTGTCCACAAAACAGACCCGTGGACTCGGAGCCTTCACCCATGGGCCATGGACGGCGGGTGCGCAGATTGTGAGTCCCAGTATGGCATTCCAAAGGTTTCGGGTGAATGATCTCCCACTCAAGTGCCGGGATTTCTCATCAGCAATTGGATGTATGAGTCTACTAGTGTCACGGTGTGACCTGATAGGGTCTGTAAGGACCTGCCAAGACTGATAAGGAAGAGCACGGGCACGTGATCTTCATTTTGTTTATCTACACATCTATTCCCGATCCCGTTCGTAGCTCCTTGAGCTACGTCTTGTATAATAACTTATGCTAGTCTGTTCGCTGCCTGCTGCCTGATCAAATAGAACCCTTCCGGATACCACCTGATCCGGTTGATCTCTTCCTATTATAACCTCGCCCGTCCACACCCTGACAACTAGGACTAACATAGGTGACCATATGCACATGTGTATGTAACTTGAAGTCTCAACCACTGGCACCAACTTGATTGCGTATTGCCAGTGTGGGTATATAAAAACTTGGAAGGTTACATATATACTTCCCGACCAGGGCTAGATGGACTGATTTCAGTTTAGTAGAACTCAAGTGCTCTAAATGGTGGCAGTCCCAGGTGGGAGCTACTACTAATCCATAGTATTTGACGGCCGCTATATAGCTGCATCCATCATGATCAATATCTACTAGTAGAAGGTATAGTACTAGTATACATATATTATTGATATATATATATATACCTAGTAGAAGGCTCTAGCTACTTTGTCAACTGCCAGTGGCTGTTTTACAATCTCCTTGGAAGCTTTGGAAGCTTCCCCATTGATAACTACTCTTCCATACCAACTTTAAATCATCAAAGCTAAGCCCTAAGACCTGGAGGATGTCCGGACTACGTTATGATAGCCAGAAACCGCAGACGGCAAATAATGTGGACACCCCTCCACCTTATGACTACGAGTCATCTTATCAGCCAAGGAAAAATGAACTTGTCTCTGTCATTGAAAACGAACGCCTTCGACGGAAAATAAGACAACAGATGGATAATATGGTGACAGCCATCGACAGCATAGCCGAGGCTCGGTTTTGGAACGATCTCCCTCAAACTGACTACCTTTCACATGCGCAATTCTATCTGGACTCAGCCCATGTGTTTAAAGACGCAGTGCAGAGATTAAAAGAGATGGGAAAAGTCTTGCAGTCGCGTAAACCTGAGCATGTTGAGCTTTATACCATATTGTCGAGACTTAGTGATGATGAGCTTGATCTCATGCTGTATGCTTCTTATACTAAGGTTTAAGGGCTTTACTTATGTTCAAGCTCTGACTCCTAACTCATCCAGACGTCTATACCTCTCTTTTACTTTATCTCTTTCTTGATTATCATGTTTTCTTCTATTGAATACTATGACTTCTACCTCTTTATATATTGTTTAATGCTTCATTTTTGATCATTCTCTTGTCCTACCCTCTTATTATGTAGTATAGGTACCTGCCTAGGTATATAAGTGGTGGGCACGTCATATGGGTTACTCAGTGAGACCATTCTTTAAACTCCTAACCCTGGAAGGTTATAGAGTAGAAATTCACAGATGTTATTCTGATGTGAGAGAGATTCTAAGGTTCGAACCTGCCGAGTCCCATAGAGTGGCATTTCTCACCTCACCCGAGGCTCTTGTCCTATTTTGATCTCAACAAGAATTCATTCTGACACTCTCCTGACAACAAACCAAGAAGACAAGAGAATCAGAAAAGGAGAAGAAAAGCAGACAAAAAAGCCCTCGTACATGTATACCCAGTTTTCCATCCTCTTCGCCTCACTGAGAATCTTGGAGAGAGCAAAAACGGTCAAGAGGCAGAGAGGAACACCATCAAAACATCCCATTCAGGGTCCACCGGTGTTTGTTACCACCTATATCCCATGACCAGGAGCGCAGGCCGCAGTGGTAGTGCTGGAGAGCTTGGCGGATCTTGCCAGTGTCTTCGAAGGTGACGCGGTCGGAGATATTGCAGGTGGTGGCGGCGTCATAGCGGCAGCCGTAATGCCAGCATGGTCCTTTGTGTAAGGTCTAGTCTTAGCTTGTGTGTATATTGAGCACCCAACAAAACCAATAAGTGTTCCCATACTGGAGGAATCGTGTTCTTTGACTTAGAGCTGCTTCTTCTCCTTCTTCGCCGCCTTGGCCCGCTTCCAAAGGAAGTAACCGACCCGATCCCCACACCAATCCCCACAGCAACACAGATGGCAAGCACATCAAATCCCAAAAGCCTTTGGGCAGGTTATTGATGCCGGAGGAGGTTGTGGCAAGCGGGGAGGGGGGATCTGAAGGGGACGGGGCCGCACCACTGATTATGGTGGTCATGATGGTGGTTGTGGTGGTCGTCATGGTCGTCATGATCATGATGGTGCTGATGTTAGTGGCCATGGCGGGTAGAGAAGGATTTTGTTCAAGTTGAGATAGGAACAGGACAAAAATGAAGGTCTCAGAGGAACTTGAAGCAAGATATCCATACCTATTACCCCTCTCTCCTCTAAACTCGGAAGGCATGAGTTTCTACTATGTATACACCAAAACTACGTCTGCAGCTTCTAACTTTACAATATACACCTATATCACGCCTAATTATACTCTCAGATCCAGGACTACTTCTGTCTCTTTATAGTTGGAGAACTAACCTTGGAATGGTGATATACTAAAAAGTAAAAGAGAAGTAAAAGAGAGGTAAAAGAGAGGCAAAAGAAAAGTAAAATGAAAGAGAGATCAACTGCTAGTGGGAGTATCAGTATCAGTATCCAAAATAAACTCATATAGTATCTACCACATTGTAGTGCCCCTTAAAGAAGCACATATCAGGTCAAGCTCATTATCAGTAAGTCTTGCCATTGCAGTATGAAGCTCAGCTTGCTCAGCCTTTCGTAACTGAAAAACATTTCCCATTTCCGTGAACATCTGCACTATCCCTCTATACGACTGGGCCTTTTCCATGTAGAACCGTGCATGTGCGACGTAGTCCGTCTGGGCGGGGTAATTCAAAACCCGGGACTGAGTTATATTTGCTATGATTGTGGCCATATCATCAATTTTTCGGTCTAAAGTCCGTAGAAGGCGCTTATTTTCAATGACAGAGACAAGTTCATTTTCCCTGGAGTCATATGGTGGAGGGGTATCCGAGTCATCAGTATGTGCCGTTTGCGATTCCTGGCCTCTAGAATGGAGGCACATGCTTGGTGATAATTCAACAGTCTTTTGTTATAAGAATTGATATGAAATACTAGTAGACATTTGTCAGATGGAGAATTGTCCAAGAAGATTGTAAAACAAAAGAGCAAGTAGAGATGCAGATCTGTATACGATGTAGCTACCCGCCGTCGAATATAGATTCCTGACTTTCTGACCCATGGTAATGAGAAGGCTACTACTTACCTAGAAAGACAAGTAGGTACCTAGAGTAGGTACTGGGGTACCCACTCATTTACTTAAATGGATAGCCAACCAGGCAATGACCAAGGAAGCTAAAGGTATGAGTTTGCCGGTCTAATCACTGGCAACTACTAGTACACATCCAGATGGCATGGGTAGTAATTTTGTCTGACATTTGAATCGATTTAGGACACGGGGTGTCAAGTGCACCAGTTTAAGTTCAACTAAACTGAAATCGGTCTAAACAGCCTTTTTATACACCTAGGATGGGCGACCAAGTTTGTGGTGAAGACTTGGTGTTAATCCTAGTAGGCTCAAAGGAATCATGATACCATCATGGTCGATGAGCGTATGAGAAAAATAACATTTGAAAGGAAACATTGAAAATAGTGCCTGAGATTTAATCAGTGCAGATCCTGGATCACCCGGAGCCACAATAGCCGACTTCCCGTCCACAGTAATCACTGTCAACCTTGGAGGAGTGCCAAGATCTAGGATGACGAGGTAGAATGACATGTGTATACATCTATACCAAGCCGGGTAATGCGGCCAGGATGCTCAGGGGCAATGACATCCTTGAAATGTAGCTGAGCCTCGAGTAAACCTGCAGTTTATTTTAAGAATGGTGGCGCATGCGATTCCACGCGTAGGGCTGGAGAGAACTTCAAGTTCAAACCATGGATACAATTCTTGGCGGTGACGCACTGTAATTTCATATGAAATATAAGAGATAAAAGAATCCTAGAAAAAAAAAGCATTTTAAGATACTATTTATATCAACTTGGAGAACTCAAATCTCTTCAATTTATCCAACACAATCTTTTCTAACTCAACTCTTTCTCTTTCACAATGGGTGGTTGCTTCTCTTCTCCTCGCCCCTACGGCGGCATGGGCGGCGGCGGCTTCGGCCCTGGACCCCGTCCGCATCCCGGTCCAGGATTTGGTGGTGGTGGTGGAATGATGGGTGGCGGTGAATGGGGTGGTCATCACCATGGTGGTCCAGGATTCGGACATGGAGGACCTGGAGGGCCAGGAGGCTTTGGCGGTCCCGGAGGAGGCTTCGGAGGCCCTGGAGGCCCTGGGGGAGGCTTTGGTGGGCCAGGCGGTGGCGGTGGCTTTGGGGGTCCGGGCGGAGGCGGAGGTGGAGGTCCTGGCGGTCATGGTGGATGGTAAAACCTTGGAATCTTTGATTAGGACAAATCATCTTCTCTCGGCATCAATTTCTCCAATATTGCGATCCTGCCAAGGACTCGCAAAAAGCGATGGAAGTGGCATGTTGACCTTGAGAATCGCTTGAAAGAACAATCAGTGGCGCACAACCCGTTCATGGTTCCTTCGATGTTCCTTTATCCTGCATATGCCATGCACCTTGCCCATTTCGACCACCTGCTCGAAATACCCACGTCGGCTCTGGCCTGTCACCTCACCCTCCAGCGCCACTTTAGTGACCCCGACCGGCGATATCGACCCTGCATACGCCACTTGAACAACAAACAACGTTCCAAGCCTCCACGCGATGCCACGTGTTGAGTACAAATTCCACAGCAAGGTCATTTCTCAAGCCGTTACAGCCCGAGTCTACTGTCTATTTTCTCATTCACAACCACTCAACTTTAGCTTTGAGTCACTTTCTATATCTGCCAATATAGACCATGGGGGGGGGATAAAGCATTTGGACGGTGTCAAATATCGACTTGAATACAGCAGATCATACATAGATTAGATACATGTTTTCGATGAACCCAACATTTGAAGACATTTTGTGAAAGTTGGAATATTGATGAATGAACATATGCATGAGAGGCAGCAGATCTATCTTCATATTTCCCAAGTTATCACTCCAAATGAATAATACCCAGTTTTTCGAATTTCAAATATTATTTATTTCAAACTTGAATTGTGGACTAATCAAATATTGTAAGAACCTGGGGGTTAAGCAATACACGTCAATTCAACCTTGGAAGAAGCAGCCCTGGCTCTGGCCAATGAGACAGGAGATCGCGTTCGGCTCACTTAGCTGATTAAAATATAAGCATTGAATAAGACATCGTCACTAATACGTTCAGGGCTAGACGCCCAAAATGTGGGACTAACTTTTCCATGTCGGCAATTTGAACTTGAATGCGGCTTTGTTAGCAAACTTGATTTCGGCGATTCCGAACTACTAGTCAATGGTCGCTTGCCCACACTAAATAGTAGAAATCTCGAGAAATAGGTATAATTTACCTTTGTTAAACATCTAAAGCTCTTGAATAAATCTCAGGCCATATTTAATATCTTATTCTACATTGCAAAGTTTATGGTACAAATATTGTGCAGAATATGCTGCTTGTTCAATTCATGTCAGGGCAAGGCTATGTTTCCCCCACGAACGCAGGTCCCAAACTAGTGTTTTTAGCGTGGATTATGGAGTATTCCGGGCTAGCTTCGTTTAAAGCTGCATCTGAGATGTCCGAACAAGCGATTTGGAACGAAAATAGGCTTAATACCGGTGATTTTAAGCGATGTTGATAATATAGGACCATCTTAATGAATCCCCTACAAAACAGCTCCGAGTCCCTAGAGCTCCAGGTCCATCTTGTACCTCTATACTACTAGTCACTCGTTTCTCAGGCTTGCAGAGGCCAATACCACAATGCATATTTCTTTCCTTTTCGGTCTCGGAGTAGTCCTCCAGACCTATGCACGACCTTTGGACAAGGATTCTTTTACTGAACGCTCCTATCCGTCTCTACCACGGGTATGGAACTCCTCATCTTCATAAAATTTTCTTTACGACGGGAGTAAAAATAACTGACCTTCCTATCACTCTTCTTTAGTGTGCAAATGACAATGTCTGGCGGCTGTTCGAAGGCACAGAGCTACGAGCAGAAGCTAGCGCGTTCTGCAGCACGTATATCGAGAAGACTGAGACTCACATTGTCACCGTGCATCCTACTACCACGAAAACCGAGCCTGCAGTGACTATCACAGCAGCAACACACCATGTCACTGTCACCGATACCTCAGTTGTACACCATACCGTAACATCTTGGTCTTCAAGCACGAAGAATATCCCTGTCACCGTGACAAGGGTAGTTGATGCTGTTGTCTTAGCTACAGATGTAGTCACTACCACTGATACCACCCTCATTTCCACTGCCACGGACGATATTACAACCACTATCACGGACGCCACTGTCTATAACACGATTTTCATTACTGATGATATTACTACCACGGACGCCACTATCTACGCCACTCAAACAGCAATTGAGGACATCACTCTGACTGATGCCACTATGACCAGCACGGCCATTATGTGAGCATGAAAAGCGATAAGCACTCTCAGCATAATTTACTAACAATTATATTAGCCTCGCAACCGTTACTGCCGCAGCCGAGTTAGAGTCCAGAGAAATCCATCTCAAGGAAGTGGAGATCCAGGAGAAAGACTCAAGGGGCAAATGCACTTCCCCTGCTTGTCTCCACGCAAGTTGGGTGGATAATATCCACACAATCGAAGCTCACCTCGTGAGCAGTGCATGCTCTTGTCTCGTAGAGCCTTCGACCATCATCGAGACAGTCACGAAGACAGGGAATAAGGTGACGCGGACCATAGTTGTATGTTTCTTCCGTCGCTCAAACATTATCTCGCAAAACACAAATACTGATTATCTGTAGCCTACTGCCCATGTCACAGCCACAGACCATATCACAAAAGTCGTCACTCATATCAGCACCGATGTCGTGGTTAAAACGACCGTGATCGACAAGCCATCCGATATCTTTGTGACTGTTACCGATACCGTCACGTCAACAACTACCGACATTGTTGATGCCACTGCCCACTCAACCGAGACAGTCATTGCTGAGACAACGATAGATGAGACTGCCACCGCCACAAGAACAGTCGTGACGAGTTTGACCATCGATGAAACCGCCTCGAGCACAGCTACGATCACCGATACAGTCACAATTGATGAGACCGCATCAGCCACTGTTACGGTGACACAAACTACTACCGAGACCGCTGCTGCGTCCGTTCAAACGGGCAATTGCGACACCCTTTCAAACCCTTACACCAACTCCGCCGGTCAAGAATTCACCCTTGATTGTGGACATTACTACCCCGTCCAATCAGGTGGCTCAGTGGCAGACTTCACTGTCAGCTACTTTTCGGAATGTCTGGATAAATGCACTGAGTACTCCACGTGCGTTGGCGTAGACTTCGATTCTTCGTCTGGCTACTGCGAATTGTTCAATTCTGCGCATGACAGCGCGGCGACATCATATGACTCGGCACTTATAGTCACTGTCAGCGTTGTTTAGTCACTCTTTCGTTCTATATGTTTTGGATACTTATTATGTTGAGTTTTGTTATTAAAATGAGCTCCGATTTATCTAATATTAAATTAATATGAGTTATGGAAGAAAATATGAGTTCGAATATTCAAGTCAGTTGAAATGAGTAGGGCTCAAACGTTGGTCTTTAATGCCATTCTTAATAACTGCGAAAGAAAACATTCAGTTCAGGGAATTGATTGATAAAATAATTACTAGTAGCTCCGAATAAGCGCATTGATGGAATTATGTAGAAATGTCAACTGGTCAAGGTGGATTGTTTTCGATTATCATGTCGGTATCCCATCGCCATCCCATCGGTATCCCGTCGGTATCCCAGCTAAATTTCAAGCTTCATTTCTTCGGCTGGTTTTAGCCAGATCTTGATCTTGGTCAAATACTAACTCAAAGCCTTCAATTTAATTCTCTTTCTTTATGAGAATTAATGCGTTCAGATGACCATGAGACATACTCATACTACGCCAGAGAAATACCTCAAAATCCTGTAGGCAGATAATATGTACTACAAGGCTTAACCCTGTCGCTGAAGACTGGTTCATGAAACCTAGACATCTCTCCATAACAAGACTTTCACTTGGACACCTGTTCTTAATTCCATATGCAATCTCAGAATAAGCCTTCTGGCGAGCATTTACCATGTATCATTGAGTACAGTAATGTAGACGAGAAGCACGCCATGCGGCACAAAATTGCGAAGTATTCCCCTCATCCAAGTACTAGTAACTGCTGATAAATCCATCGCATCTATCTTCTGAGAAATAGATTTTTCAAGACATAATCTTGTCTAAATTAACCGTCCACGCGTTGATGCTCTGAAATATCGCGAACCGCAAAGAATGCCACCCGTAAAATCAGTCGCGATCATTGGAGCTGGCGCCTCAGGTATACTTAACTTTTGCATTCCTTCTCCACTCTCCAATCTGACATCCTCGATAGGCGCAATAACTGCGTCAGCACTAGCAACGGAAGAATACTTCGATCGGATTCGCGTATTCGAAAGAAGAGAAACAGCAGGCGGGACATGGTAATCCAGTGAAGAACTCTGATTTATTATGCACTCTCTAAAGCTGTCACATTTGAAAGGATATATGACCCAGATCCTGGAAGACAATTCAAGCTTTCTCCGGGCAAGCTTCCACCAGATGTCGATGCTCCATCGGAAATTCCAACCTCGCTTCCTATATCGATACCACATTTGGAAAAAGAGCGATATGAGAAAACGCCTATATATGAGAGTTTGACGTTTGTATAGCCTTTACTCTGGGAATAATGAATATTCTCATCGGTGTTAGTATACTGACTTTAGAAGGACAAATGTACCTGATATCGCAATGTCTTATTCCGATTTGCCATTCGCGTATGGCCCTTTCGTTCCACATTGGGTTCCGAAACAATACATTGAGAACTACTTCTCAAGTCATCGAACGGACAGATATCTCGTCACAAATACGACTGTTGAGGATGTTGCAAAGCTGGAAGATGAGAATCTGGATTATTCGCCAGGGTGGAGACTTACACTACGCCGATTCAACGATGTGACACAGCAAGATGAGTGGTGGCAAGAGGACTTTGATGCAGTTGTCTTTGCTAATGGTCATTACTCTGTTCCTTATGTGCGTTCTATCCATGGTCTCAGCTCTTATGGCTTTATCTCTTCGCTAATATCTTTTCAGGTACCCCATGTTACAGGACTCGAGGAATATATGACCAAGTATCCCGGTCGCGTCATGCATTCAAAGCAGTTCCGATCTGCTCCTGATTTCAAACAAAAGAGAGTAATCATAATTGGCAACTCTTCTTCAGGTCAGGACCTCACCACTGCTATTGTTCGCGAGGCCGCTCTTCCTCTTTGGCAATCTCGTCGTTCACCTGGTCGATGGGATGGGGATAATCCTCCGCCTGGAGTGGAGTGGAAACCAATCATTAAAGAGTATCTTCCATCTGGAGACATCCTCTTTGTGGATGAATCGGTTATAAAGAGTGATGATATTGATAAAATCATTTATTGTACGGGGTATAAGCCCTCCTTCCCATTTTGGAATGCTCAGTGGAATGGAGGACGGATTTATGATTATGGTGAAAGTCGTTTGGTTGGAACTTATCTTCATACTTTCTTTCAGGATTACCCTACAATTGCGATCATTGGTCTACCGAGAGTGTTGACGTTTCGTTCAATGGAGTATCAGGCTATTGCTGTTGCTCGGGTTTGGTCTGGTCGCAGTTCATTGCCCTCTACAGAAGAGCAAATATCGTGGGAACGGAGCCGTGATGTATTGACGAAGCGGGAGCGAAGAAAATTCCATGATATAACTTGGGATAATGGAGAAACTGTCGAATATCTTCAAGCGTTATTTAATATCGCTGGTTTGCCTACGCTGGATGGTGCAGGAAGATATCCGCCTGTTCTTGATGCAGAGACGAGATGGGCGATTCAAAATATCAAAAAGTACCCAGAGCCAGGAAAGAAAGAGGATGAAGATGGTTATGTGGTTATTGGTTCTAATGAAGTCAAGGATAGTCTCCATTTCATCTAAGTTGCCTTGTGCTGATCAGATGGGAATATCTTTCCCTATGCTTAACCAAAAAGCGCATCTTTTCTTCAACTGTACCAATTGAACATTCTCAAATCCTTCATCCACAATCACAAATTCTTTCCCGGTGTTCTGCAGCTCTGGAACACCAGGCTCAGATGAATTGGTCAACTTGTGAGCGTTTGGGTCACCTGTCTGGAAGAAGCTAGCGAATGCACCAGCATACCCCTCGTAGACAATACGGTTTGTTTCTTGAACAGAGTTGACAGTGTCCCACTAATTAATTTCAGTCAGTCAAAGCAAAGCAGGTCCCTAATTCAATGATGAAAGCTCACATAGATCGTGTCACTCCCATGAGTAGCTGGCGGAATTGAGTATTCGCCAACATAGCCACGTGCAGGCGCTGCTGAAGCAACCCAATAAGCAGGACAAGAAAGCACCACATCACGGTAGATCAGCCCAGCACGGATGTATGTCGTATTATACTCGGTGATTGTTTCTGAACTCCCATCCACAGGATAATAAGTATTCTCAACGAGATCGATCTGCTTCGTCGACAACCCAGGCAAAAACCCAGTCAACCATCGATGAAAGCTCGCAGCAGAAGAATTGTATCCACTCGTGGTTCCCGAATCTTCCAATCCTGGAGGAATGAAGTTCTGTCCCTCGTGCGTGTTATACATTCCCCAGACGTATTCCGTATCCAGAGTCCCGCTATCCACTGCATGAGTCAACGTATCAGCCAAAAACACACCATCAATAACAGGGGCCCATGTATATGAGCTTGTGGTATATGTGTTATCATCATCAATAATAAGGCTTGCATCCCGGATAGCCTGCACGTCAATTGATTTCAAACAAGACAGTGTGTCACTATCGCGATTGTAGCCCGAACATCCAGTCAAATTAACAAGCTGGTCATAAATCGCTTCAGCTTGAGGCGCATCATATTGGTATGACTTTGGCCAAAAGGGCGAGCTAGCGAGCGCCTTTTGGAATAGCTTCGGTTGTCCGTTACGACCGTTGGCTAGGACTTGCGCAACTACTGAACCCCCTCCAGCAGACTGACCCCATATAGTGACGTTGTTCGGGTTTCCTCCAAACTGCGCAATGTTGGTTTGCACCCATTTCAACACGTATTGCTGGTCGAGTAGGCCTGGGTTCAAATCGGTGGTAGGGGACTCTTTGATTGCTTTCCCGGGTAGGAAGCCGAATGCATTGAGACGGTAGTTGGGGTAGATGACGACGTAGTCGTTCAGAGTGCTCACGTTGAGGACTGGGTAGGAATTTGGTGGCATGCCGAATGCTGCGTCACCTTCGATGAATGCACCGCCGTAGAAAACGACAAGAACGGGTCGTTTTGTTTCTTCCGATTGGTCCCATGGACGTGAGTATAGTCCAAGGTATAGACAATCTTCGGATCCGTTGACGGTGCGCTGGGCGCACATGTCGAATGTTTGGTCTGTGTCGTAGACGCTTTCGTTGATCTTGTGCGGTGGCTGAGGTGCTCGGAACCGGTTTTCACCTGTCGGTGGTGCAGCAAAGGGGATCTTGCGGAAATAGGACAGGTTGTAGGTGGCATCGTATGTGCCCTGGAAGTTGCCATAGTTCAGCTGGACGAGTGGATCATCGTAGGCGCTCACTAGCACTGTGAGAGCCACTACCAGGGATAGGAATGTATATAAGGATATCATGTCTATTAGAGTACCAACAGAGACTCGATTTATCAAGGATAATATGGGGTGGTGGATATGAAATGCACCATGGTATAGGAAATCAGTCTATATACCTCATTTTGGCAACCACGCTTCCCAGAAATGGCCAAATGTGGACGGAGAAAGGCCCGAATCAGTACTACATGGTGTCTCGTGCTAATGCTTAAGGTATCGTTCAACAGGGTTCTGATATTAACAAGCACTGGGATCTTGTCTGTTATTGGTGCAGTTATTGTTGATGAATCCCTGAGATCGCGGGGACGAAATGCGGGGATGTGAAGAAGAGAGAGTTACTTCGGTGTCGATCAACCCGAGTTTACGGTAAATATCAGGAAGTTAGTATGAGATCATAGAGAAGGGTAAAAATTTGATGCTGTATTATTGAATATGTCCGAATTTCAATGTTTGTGTAGTAAATCAACCTCTGACTCCCCAGTTCCCATAAACCGCCCGATGCAGTTCAAATCCGAAAATACACCATGACCCGCCAATGATTAATAGAAAAACACCAAGTCCAATGCTTTGGAGCAAGAAAATATAAAAGAATGTTTCAAAAGAACTCCTTCCACGTCAATATTGTCCTCTCTCATACATGTGCATGTGCTCTTCACATCGTCATTCGCAGTTCTCTGGTGAGACGGCGACTCGCACGAGTGCTACGACGGGCCTCAGCAGTATCACTCGCTTCTGTATCTGTTCGTGTATCTGATAGTTCCGGGGTAAAGGTGATGCCAAAGCTAATGCCTCGGTCCCGGCGAGATACACGGGCCTCGGATTCGGGGGAGATAAAGCGATGAATGGTCCGGTGGTCCATGACGCGCTCCTCGCCATCATTGCGGTCGTCTGTTTGTGGCCACTGGTAACCGTACAGCTTAGAATGTCGCTCGCAGCGGGGACACTCGCGACGTGTCTGGTATGAATTTGACTGCACGAACCACGAATCGCATGTTTGACATTCGACCCAACGGTCGTATTTCAGTGCTAAAAGTCGTGAAGTCTTCGTGTAATCTCCTGGAACTCGAGCGATAGGTGTCTCATCCTCGTCAGAAACGACAACTTGCCATTTACGACGGGTACGACGAGTTTTGGGCTTATCGATGACTATTGCAACCGTCTCGTCCACTTCGACTGTCTGTAAAGCTTCGCCGGATCGGGTATTGACACCTGTTTCGATGACTGAAGTAGGAACGCTGGAGGTCGATGATCGTTGAGATTCATCGGTAGCAGAGCCGGCAGATTCATAGCCAATGGAGATTGCCGCGCGGACATTGGTGGTCTCAATCGACTCAATCGGAGCAGCGGGGTCATTGTTAATTGCCGAGATACCTGATTTATCAGGACCTAAATCAGATGGGAGTGAAACAGAAACAGCGTCGACGACGATCTCAGAAACGATCAACTCCCGTCTGAGTTTGGAGTGTCGGTCGCGCGCAGTATGCGTAGCAACTACAGTAGAGTCTAACTCAGGGTCAGGAGTAGGAGGAAGGTCGGAATCCGGGGTCGCGGTGAGCTCAGTAAGGGAGATTTCTTCTCGCAATTTAGACGTTTGACGCTGGAACTTGGCTCGCTTGCGCGGGGTAGAACATAGGGAAGGCGGATCTTCCGCATCCAAGTCCGAATCGCGGCGCCGTTTCTTGCTGGGAATTTCGACAGGGATTTCCTCATCCATGGAGACTGGTGTAGACTCCTTGCTATTCGTCTCGGAATCCGAATGTGATTGTGGTGCCCACCCGTTGCGGGTGGCTCGCTCACAGGTTAAGCATAAACATTCACAATTATCAATACCGAAATAGTCCTCTCCGTATGAGACAGTGATCTCTTCTCCCTCGTAGATGTTTCGTGTGGCCATGACTGACATCCCCTCATTTCCTCGAGTGACCAAGCGACCGTTGGCATCACAGTCATGGTTGGCGAAACGAGCGGGTCCAAGGAAGAACGAAGGGGTTTTCCGACGACTGGACATCACCACACTGAAATCCTGTCGAGTCAAGCCCAAATCGAGCTCTTCTTCCTTGGTCATGGAGACCAAAGTTCCACTGAGGAACTTAATTTCCTGGCCAGACTTGATGAACTTCCGGGCACATATAGCAGCTTCGTGCTGTGTGATAATGTATCGATTGGTCGTGGTGACCTCGAACGGACAGTCCGGGTGGTACATCTGGACATATTTGCGGAGGTGGCGGCGAAACCACTCCTTTTCACGAGGGCTTGGTAAATTGTTCAAGTATTTCCTAAGTCCAGGCAATTCCAGCAGCTTGCGCTCAGCTTGCGGTACGTCTTTGCCAACGACCACGTCATGAAGGAGGACGCGCCCTACGTCGTCATCGTGGATTCCGCGGGCTGGGCTGTACTTGGTGCGATTCTTGCGTGTAGTGGTCCAGAAATAGGCCTGATCGTGAAGTCTAGTTAGTTGACTGGTCATGGACACGGATGGAGCACGAGATGCCTACATGATCGACTAGCGCATCGGTTGCGACATCGTCATAACTGGCCAGTTTGGCCAAGGTCAAGCGTTCACGACGCTCGGTTGCAGGAGATATGGAGCGAGACTTCTTTGGTGGCATGGCGACAATTATGATTACCGGAAAATGAAAAACAGTAAGGAGAGAGGCGTAATCATGGGGATTCCAAGGCAATTTGCTCGGGCTTTTCTTAGGAGCTGAACACGCGATCCGAGGGCGGGAAGAAGAATAGATTGCAAGAGGGGTTTGGTGAGACGACCAGGGAGCGAAAAAACGACAGGGTGAATGAAAGAGATACAATCACAACGCCAACATGGCGATGAGGAAGTTAATGGGGGCGCCAATTGGTGCTGAGTGAAGGGCTCTCTCTCTGTCGCAAAGGGGGAGAGACTACTTTTTCCCGCGTTCCAGGAACTCGGCCCGTTCTCGCCGCTCTTTGGCTCCTCCATACTCCATACTTCGGAGGGCCTTGCATATAGACCAATGATAATTATAGTAGCTGATTCTTAGCTTGGGGCCGATTATGTACTTGAATGCTTCTTGAACTTCAGTTTCTATGTTCTTCACCTATAATTAATTACATAGGGTGTGGCATGCCTTCGGTTCCACCACCATATCACCTCATATCAGGTTTGTCTGCCGAAAATTGAATCCTGAATTATTCTCCGATATAAGGTGCAATGGGATTTGTGAAGCTATTATCACGAAATATTGATAGAGATGTGCCTAATTGCTATGAATTGACACCGATAGTAGTCATTTATATTCATTTATGATGCAAGGTTTACTTCAATCTATAGTACTCCGTACAGTAGGTACTACTACGCAGAATAAGCGCCGTCTCTAAATACAGTCAACTGGTTTCAAGGCGCCATAAGGCCACCAATATGACAACTTTACTAGGTATGGATACCAATTGTTAATCTCATTGATTTCCTAGTTTAATTTTTGTAATGTAAAACCCTTATTGAATTTACCGTGACAGCTCTTCAAATTGAAGATTTAAACACTACTAGTACTGACTCGGAGTTCTTCCTATAGTAATTCCTATCCATGGTCGATATATGCTGCATCCGAGTCACACAGTGAGACCATCCATCAATCATATTTCATGCTCCAAGTTATAACATTTTAATTTTCCAGGCGAAAGGAATACTTCAAACCAGAATAAAATATCGAACATTTGAAACAAACAATGCATAGTACTAATTTCAAATGTCTCTACCTAGGTAATGCAGATAACTATATCGGACAAACCTTCCGTTCGGGGAAACTCCATTCCGCCCGATCAAATTATCATAATGCGAGTCTCTCCGCAAGTACCTTCTCCTCAATGCGCCCACCATGATCCAACTAAAGGTAATTATACCCCTGAAATATTGAGAAAATTATATGCTCATATCCCGTACAGACACTATTAAGCTGTATCGACAACTCCGGCGCCTCGGTCGTCGAGTGCGTCAACGTCCTGAAGAAGAAGCGGCCCGCGACTATCGGTTCGTCACGAAACCCCAACCCCAACCCTCGAATAAGGAGATGGGAATGCGCAGGAGGCAATTTAATAAAGGCTAATGGGATTTGGTTATAGGTGATCGGATAGTCGTCGTTGTTCAGAAACAGAGAGCAGCCGGATCCGAGGGCTCAGGGACTGCTCTTGCGAATAAGGTTCGCCGTGGTGATATTCGACATGCCGTTGTCGTTCGTGTGAAGAAGGAATTGCAGCGCCCAGATGGATCGCTTGTCCGATTTGGTGATAATGCCTGTGTTTTGATCAATAAGGCTGGTGACCCCATTGGCACAAGAATGAACGGTGAGTTGGGAATCTCTTGGTCGGATACCATTCATTTGCTAATTACTCTTCTAGGTGTCGTCGGTCAAGAACTCCGTGGCAAGCAGTGGTCTAAGATCTTGTCATTGGCCCCTGTGCACGTGTAAGATTATCTACTGGTTGTCATTGTTTTATTACTATTTTGAGAAAGCGTTTTTTGGGAAAGCATATGTTTGTATCAATAGAAATCATCTTCGCCGCTAAAAACACCAAGCCTTTGGACAGACCATAGAGTGTTCTTCCTTCATCGCCAGACTCCAAAACATGCAGAAAGCGGAAAACAAGAGAAAGACCGAGGATGGGTATCGGGGAATCGGGTATCGTAGAATCGTCATCACATGAAAACGTTACCGCAAGCACAGCACACGTAGTAGAGTTTCTGTCGAGAAGAGTTGGCGAATGATCGTTGAAGCGTGCAACGTAAATAGACGGGGTAAAAAATATAAACGCGAAAAAAAATAAAGGCATCGCCCTTGGGGTGCTCACCATTCCAGTCTCAGCAGATCGCTGTTGCGACTGGAAAAAGACTGCTTCGTTCTCGCCACAACTGGGACACAGCTTGTTCGCTCGAGGAAGCTAAAATAGCGCGTGTAACAAATAAAGTCAGCCTCAATGTTGAGAATTTAGGAGTGAGTGGTGGTGTTGGTAGAACAACGACTGGCAGGAGAACTACTCCATTCCAGATTGCTATCCTCAAGGTTGTCATCTTCCTCTTCTTCGGGGCAGACGGTGCAGGGGGCTTCGCCACATTTGAAGCAGGTAATCTCCGCATCGCAAAGATAGCAAAAGCCGGGGATAAGAGAAGGGATTCCAGAGGGGATGCCTGTGATGCGCGGGAGACAAACCGTGGGGTCGGAGCCCACATCCTGGGTCACACCGGCGGTGTCGCCAACTTGGCTGTTAAGCTTGTTCTGGTAAACACAGTAAGAGCTAGCAGGTTCGCCCACGTGGCAGGTACGGCAAGTAAACATCAGTTGGTTGGTGGCGCGATCCTCCTTCGGGTAAAGCAAGTTGGAGCTGGTAAGAAGAGTGTTAGAAGATGCGCAACTGCAATTCAACAGAGGGAAAAAAAGACAAAAAAAAGACTTACCACTCGCGACAGAAGCGAAAATGGATCTGGTCAGCTTGCTTGGTGTCACCACCAGCAGAGGGAGAAGGACTAGCAGACATTGTCGAAAGTGAATGAGACAATCTTAAGAGATAGTCTTAGATATTTCGAGCGAATGGTGAATGGTAGAAGATATGGAAATAGGCGCTAGGCGAAACTGGATCGGGATTGATCAGAAAGACTGTGAATGGGTGATGGAAAATACTGGGATGAGTGAAGTGAAGAAGTGAAGAGCAAAGTGTTTTGGGGGGAAGAGAAGATAAAGTAGAAGGTGCCTAAATTATATGAAGTGAGGGAAGTCACACATATTGACTCCAAGCGCATTCGCTGTGGCAAGATGTTTGTATTGTTTGCATTTTCCCCCGCATGATTACTGAATAGTACTTCTAGTCCCGCATTTTCCAAGTCAATAGCTTTCCCCAAACCACACCAGAACAGACTTTATTTGCTTTTTACTTTTGTTTTTACGATATGGTTAGTGTAAAACAAAAAATCTATAATAGATTGCGCATTCACTAAGTGAAGTAATACAGGCCGATTCAGGATTACCTTCAGGTTGGGAAGTTCGCCATTCCAACTCCAAGAACCTTCCCTACTATTTCTGCGCCGCTACCAAAGAATCTCGCTGGGAACCTCCTGCCGAGACTGATACCGAAAAATTGAAGCTCTACATGGCTCAACACCACACCGCCGCCGCCCGCGCTGATGTCTCAGGACAAGGTGAGGGCAAGATCCGCTGCAGCCACTTGCTCGTTAAGCACCGCGACAGCCGACGTCCCAGCAGCTGGAGGGAAGCAGATATTACACGGTCCAAGGAGGAGGCTATTGAAATTCTCAAGGGCCATGAAGCTCGTATTCAATCTGGGGAAGTTACCCTGGGAGACCTTGCCATCTCCGAGTCGGACTGCAGCAGCGCCCGGAAGAAGGGTGACCTGTAAGTCCATCATTCCCCATTATAATACTTGGTGGCAGAGCTGACACATCTCTAGTGGTTTCTTCGGTCCCGGTGAAATGCAGAAGGAGTTTGAAGATGCCGCTTTTGCGCTGCAACCTGGTCAAGTCAGCGGCATCACCGAGACTGCCTCGGGTGTTCATCTAATTCAACGGTATATATCAACAAGATTCCTTTGCAGAGGCCTTGCTAACTTGCATTAAAATAGCATCCAGTGATCTGGCTACCATTTAACCGACTTGAAGTTGTGATTGACGGACTGGTTTTTTTTTTCAGTCTAGTGCATGTACCATCTTTCGGCAAAACTCTTGGTCTATCCTCTTTGATTTGGAACTTTCTTTTTTGTTTAATGCGACCAAGAGAAAAGACTATGTTTACACAAACACACTCAAGAAATGTAATTGGGAGGCATGTTTGGCGGTGGTCTTAGAAATTCTGCTGCGATAAAACCCGAGTTCAATGATTCTACTATATAACTCCAGCGGATCACGATCTTGGATAACTGGGAAATCAATGAAATCAATGACATCCATTATGCCAATTTTAATTGACCTCTACGCTTTTTTATTCTATTTGATCGTGATCTCTTCAAGGTCTACTTGAGTAGTGCATGTGGAGAGGATAGAACATTTTGAATGACTAATAATATCAAGCATTACATAGGCAAGATGTCTGGGGTCATGGATTCAAGCAAGGCTCATTAGACCTTGCAAGCAGTTCTATACATGTGCAAGATCATCCAAAGATGGCTAACCTCGTATCGGATTAAATTGTTATGAGTATCGGAATTTGGCGTTGCATTTCGTTTGATGGTAAACAGGGACATCATCGCTATTCAACTCGATGGCCACAATAACAGAAAATTCAATAATTCAGCATGCGCTGATATCTCACAGTCATAACTAAAAGCTAGTGTTGAGACGCTCAAGACGAGAAGTAATGGCATCAATAACAGCAGACCTGAAACATTCATTAGCATTGAACAATATTTCGATAAGAGGTTGATCAGAACTTACTCTCGCTCCACCATTCTCATGGCATCTGCTACCCGCTGGCGCTGGAGACGTTGCGGCACCTTGGGTTGAGAAGCTCCAGGCGATGATGGGTTGCCAGGCTCAGGAGACAACGACTTGGCAGAGATCGACTTGGTTTCAGCCATAAGATCCAGGGCTAATTGTTTGACCTGGAATAGTATTAGTGTATAGTTCAACAGTAAACGAGGATATAAAACTTACAGTTTCCAGTCGCTGGGTAAGGTTTTCACGCTCTTCGGATTTGGATTTCTCGTAGTCAATGGCCTCAGACAAGGTATTCACCTCAATCGCCCAGGCCTTCTCCTTTTCACTCAGGGGGCGACCACCCGAGTTCAAGACCTTCTTACGCAAGGCATCATATCGGTGAATGAGATCTGTCTGTCTATCCTTCGCAGCTTGTAATCTCTTGTCCAGAGCCTCGCCATTTCGGGAACCCTCCTTGCGGGTACCATCCTCGCCGACCTCGCTCGTTACTCCCTTGATACGCTCGGCAACATCAGAGAGTTGCTTCAGCTGATCCTGCATTTCCCCTTGAAGTCTTTCGCACCGGCGGAAGAGATCTGAGGCAGCTCTTTCCAGTGCATTGGTGTGGGCGGAAAGAACACGATGAGCTGTGGTCACAAGATCAAGTGTCGCCGGCGATAGGCGTACCTGCTCCTTCAGAGTGTGGCGCTGACGATGAGGAACATGCTTGTCAACGAATGAATCCAAAGGAGAGTTCGCGTAGAGAATAGCTGGGACCTGGTAAGGGGCACGTCGAGGTGGGATACTAGGCGATCCTGTGCGAGGAGTTCTCTGCTCAGACAGATGGGCATCCAATACAGACGAGAATGAGTCTTCAGGAGAGTCCATAACAGCTGCATACGGATTCGAGGAATTGTAGGTGAGGAGGAGGTAACCAAGATCGTAGTCATAGAAGACTAGAGAGGCAGCGAGATGGTCTTTCTGAGCCGTAATCTCGGTTTCCAAAACCTGGAGAATGCGTTCTCTTTGAGCAACATTTCCACTGCATAGGACTTGGAGGCGGAAGCCAGAGCCTGACGGATCCTCTGCCTGGAGCTCTGCTTCCAGGCGTTGCACCCAATCAGACATCGAAAAGGACACCACATTAGTCGCGGTAGTGACGAAGAATGAGTAGCGTGAGTGGACATCCCTGCTGAAAACAGGCCATGTCACGGATTCCATTCCGTTTGTTTTAATTGTGTCCAAGGACTCAACCAGGACGAGGTCAGACGGCTCTGAGAGGGGAGTTCGGAAAGAGTTCTTCTTTGCCTTGGGTAGCCATTGTCCTTCAACTCCATCAAGTTCAAGACAAATATGGATGCGCCCACTCCCACTAGAAATGCAAATGACCGTCGCCGACAGTTTGTCTTGCTCAATAGTATCAGCAGTGAGCTCCTCATCCTCGCCCATCATCAAGTCCTCAACATTCAACCTGGCAGCAACGACATGAATGTCACAGAGGTCTAGATCATCCAATTCATCTCCCGTCTCAAATCGGAATGGACCTTGTAAACGAGGAATGGCACTTGGGTTGGCTGGTCGAGTAAAAACATCCGCGCCCTGGATATTTCCCGAATCCGAGGGAGCCTCCAAAGACTCTTGTTCGTCGATCTCTCGGAGCCAATCATACTGTTGTCGGGATGCGATCAACTGCTCTTCAAGGTCTTCAGCAGAATCGTCCAGGGCTGCCAACTTCGGTACAATAGCCGAAGACAGCGAAGGAATGGTGGTCGACGGCGCTTGCCACTTTGAGGGTAGCAAGGGACACAGTGCATAGAGATCGCCTGGGCGCATCGCAACCCAAAGAGTCATCGGAGCCCACGCATCTTCCTTCTCATTTCCATTGCCGGCAAAACAAGCAGAAGCGACTTCCATATCGACAATGTCGGCAGAGAAGCCCTTGCTCTTACCGAATCCCGAGGGCGCGAAGTCCTGATCGGACGAGCTTCCGTCAACAAGCTTTCTTAGGTCCACCGCCAGCGTAGGCTGGTCAAATGACCAGTGATTGTTCCTATCTAGCTCCCATACGCGCACTGCTGCATCCGCAGTGATCGTAACAATACATCCTCCCAGGTTGGTATGCAAGCCCAGCGGGTGCCATAGCGCGGACACTACCGGTGCTTCTGGAATGACGTGGGTGGTTGGGCCGAGTTGATAGGTCTTCAAGCGAATCGGAGATTTGTCTGTAGAGGAAAGGTGGGATGAATCTGGTAGAACAGCGATATGGACGGTGTGCTCTGTGACTATAGCAAGGAATGCGCCATTCGGAGAAGGGAGAATCTGCTTGATGAGGCCGTAGACAGGTACTGACAAAATCTGGGATTCGTTAGCACTCAGTATATCGAGAATTTGATGATAGGATAAAGAAGAAGTACCCTGTATGTGGGAATTTCAGTTGCATTTGCCTGGGCCTTTGCAGGCTCTGCAGGACTCTTCTTTTGTCGCGCTTGTTGCTGCCATTGATCCTTCACTCGCGCTAGGTCAGACCAGCGGATCTCATTGTCGACAACTGCGAATACCTCATTCTCTCGCTTTGCGATTGTGCGAGTCGCTGCTGTTGGTCCAGAAATTTTAGACCCATTTTCCAGGCCTTGCGCAGGGCTCTTGATGGAGGCGCTGGTAAAAAGGCTGGCACCAGGCGAGGGCCGGCAGAGCCAGGCTGGCGCGTAGCTATTGACCTTGGGCATGGAGATAGATTGATCAAAATGAAATCAAATAAGATCCAATATTCAAAATAAAGGGGTTGAATCTTAGATCATGCCAGGCCGAATACCAGTGTACAAAGTGGTAGTGTTGATGCGGCGGTGGAATTTGGGCGCGCCAAGATCTTTGAGAAGCTCCGAGCTCTCTTGTCCGCCTTCCTGATCGCCGTTTCACTTTCATTCCCTCACCACCCATTGTTTTCTCAACTTTACATCCAACATGAGTGTATTGGCCATCAACACAGTAGATCGTCTGGATCGACCCAGTGCTTATTATGCCGGCAAGGTGAGTCGATCGACTTGGGTCTTTAGCAAACCTTGCAAGGTATGCTCCTCGAAACAAATCAGTGCTAATGGAGAATACAGAATAAGCGCCGCAGATATAATGACCGCGAAGAAGAGAGAGAACAGGAGGAGGCTTCGAAGTTAACCAATGCGACGACTCTCTATGTGGGCAATTTGTAAGTTATGGTATTTATGCTGTGATTTAGGTACGTGCTGCTAATGCTATCTCCACCGTAGGTCGTTTTATACAACAGAGGAACAAATTCACGAGCTCTTCGCCAAGTGAGCATTCCCGAATCCATCGAATATATCTCCGAAGCTAACATGAGCTCTCAGGTGTGGTGAGATCAAGCGTTTGGTCATGGGTCTGGACCGCTTCAACAAGACGCCCTGCGGATTCTGTTTTGTCGAATACTACACTCATCAAGATGCGCTGGATTGCCTGAAATACATTGGTGGTACCAAGCTTGATGAGCGGATTATTCGAACTGATCTGGATCCCGGGTTCGAAGAGGGTCGGCAATACGGGTACGTCAAGCCTATGGCTCAACTGCGAGAATACAGTCAATTCCCGGCGCCTGCATGCTAATATACTATTCCAGACGTGGAAAATCGGGTGGTCAGGTTCGCGACGAGTACCGTGATGAGTACGATCCCGGACGAGGCGGATATGGCCGTGCATACGATGAGCAGCGCCAGCGCGAGGAAGATGAATACGGCGCAGGACGGTAGGTTATTAATGGATATGAAGCGTTGGTACTGGCAAAATGGCGTTATCTCCTCGGCGTGAAATCGATTAGCAAAACGAAGAAAATATCGCAAAATTCTATTGATTGGATCCCTTATGTACATGTTTTCTATTTGCATCGCTTCTAATTTGCTTTATTGTGCCAATCTGTTCAGTTTGTTCCTTTTGATGACGGCAGCTTGCACCTGGCGCAACCACCACGCATGGATTCGAGCATCTCCAGTCAGCTCCGGATGAAAGCTTGTCCCGAAGACATTGCCCTGTCGCACAGCAATAACATCGCCTACTTCTTCATCGGGACTAATGTTGCGTCCTTGGGTAGCGATACGGGCCGCCGGTCCTGATAAGGTAGCCAGCACCTCGACGCTCTCGGCTGTTGCAGCTTGGGCCACTGCATCTTTGGTCTGTCTTGATGGTGCAACAACAGTATCCTCCCGTCCAACCTCTTCAGTCTGTATGCCCTCTTGGTGTGGTAATATGCACTCCACAATTGGAGCCCGAATAAAGACGGCCGGGAATGGCGCTGCGCCTTCTCCCAAGAAGGAAAGGTCAAGCGGAGCCTGGAAGCTTTCTGTTTGTCGACCAAAGTGGTTGCGATTGACTCGAACATCAAGGCCACCAATCAATTCCTGGCCACCTTTCTTTGTACGGTTGGCGGACTCGGCGAGTAGGATCAGACCGGCGCATGTGCCCCAAACCGGCTTGCGAGAGACCCTATACAAATCGCCACATTAGATCGGAGCTCAGCCGTATTACTGGGTTACAAGTATGAAGGTGCACTCACTTGACAAAGTCTCTCAATGGGTCCAAGATATTGGATCTGGCCGCCACCAGAGACATCGTTGTACTTTCGCCACCAGGTAGAACAAGGCCATCGCATCTAGCGAGTTCTTCCGGTGTTCGTACTTCAATGAACTCCCACTCTGAAGATGAATCCGGCTCCACAGCCTTTTTTAACAGGTGAACATGCTCAATGAAAGCACCCTGCAGGGCAAGAACACCCACTGTCACTGTCATTTTTCGTAGTTTGAACAAAGTATGAGAAAGAAGGTTTGTCCCTGCGGTGATATGTATGACTCGATTCGCACGTGATGTCCATTTTCCGCGGGGAAAGTCTTATCAGCACGTGCAGTTTGTACCTGATCAATTGATAAGCCTGTTAGTGTGAGCATCTAACATCATCTACAGCAATAAACATCATTGCCTCGTGGTGGGGCTCTGGATGATCTGAAATTTACCGACAAAATCCATTGACTCAGGCATAATCCATTTATCGAGCTGGCATACTTGGACCCTAGGCATTCTCACGTCGAATCGATCACTTTTATATTGCTGCCCCTCCGAGATAAGCTCGGACCAAACCTACAAGATGCGGGCCAATGAAATCAACATAGAGAATGGTCAAGACAATCACACCGTGGAAGCTGTCGAATCTTCTGTAGAAGGTCTCCCAACCACCGTACGCTGGTACATCGACAGCCGTAATTGGGAGGCCAATGGCATGAACCTGCCCTTTCTCGAATTTCTTCGTCCAAATGAGCAGACAGCTGTGACAAGGTATTACCATGCTTCCGACAAGCGCATGTCCTTAGCCTCCCATCTACTCAAATATCTGTATATCCATCATGCCTGTGGTGTACCATGGAGAGATATTGTACTCAGCCGCACAGCAATGCCCGAAAACCGACCATATTACGCCTCTCTCTCAGAGACCCGAGTGGAGTTCAATGTTACACACCAAGCCGGAATGACTGTTTTGGCAGGCACTATTGAACCAGATGTTGAGCAAATCCAGAAAAATATTGTTGAAGGCGCCTTTCCTCCCCAGCCACGTCTGGGCATTGACGTGACCTGCGTGAGGGAAAGCGGGCGCCGAACCGTGAATACCATGAAAGCGTACCAGGAGCATGTATCCATATTTGTTGAAGTCTTCTCGGAGCGTGAAATTGAAACAATGAAAAATCCAGCTGCGGCACTTCGTCTAGCCCAGAGCCTCGGCTTTGCAACCGCGTTCACCGATCCCAACGACGAGGATAGCATTATTCGTTTCGGGATGCGTCTCTTTTACTCATACTGGGCACTCAAAGAAGCATACTTGAAAATGACTGGCGATGCTCTTCTAGCGCCATGGCTGCGTACCCTCGAATTCTCGAACGTCATTCCTCCGGATCCTGTCGAGCCTTTACATGCTCCAACTCCATACGTCTTATCTCAGGATCGCAAGTATATTCCTCAATCGCCGAAGAACTGGGGACCACCTTTTGCGGGTGTTCAAGTCAGCAAGGCTGGTCAAGTACTTGGTGATGTTCGCCTTCAGCTCACTGCATTCGAGTCGGATTACATTGTTGCGGCCGCTGGTCGCGGGCTACCTGTCGGTCCGTTCCCAAGTCTGACTTTCAATGAGGGAGGTCATCATCTTCCTGCGGAGATTAGCGTTCGTTCCGGAGACCATGAGGAGAAATGCCGTATCCCTATCAATACCAAGAAGGTCGTTGGAGATATGGATCCATGGAACATCCCGCTCCCGATCAGGGATCCATGGCTTCCAATGCAAGAGATTGATCTTAATCTTGATATTCGGGCTTGTGCTGAGGGGACCTGTGTCCATTCTGAGAAGAACAGAGGTGTTCTTTCAGGCGTTGAGATTCGTGATTCAGCTTAGCCTAATGTCACGATTTTGCATATTCGATTTCCAAAGTTGTGGCATCGAACCTCCAGGGCTTGAATGGATGTGAATGGCCACACGTGAAGATATTCTGAGCTTATATGTTCACGTGTTGGTACTACGTATGTAGTTGCTGCCAGTGTGGATATATTTCGGTGGATACTAGGCATTGTGCACTCCGCAACTCAAAAATTGATAAAAAAAATCCCATGGATAACATTGAATTGCATGTGTGCCAGTGGAAGACTTGGTCCGAGTCAAGGTGTTCCTCCAGAATAGTAGTCTCTAGGACTTTTTCTCTAGGACTTTTTCTCTACTACATACATAGGCTTCAAATTTTGCGTATTCAAATTTTTGAACATCATGACTCGGATTTAAGTCAGGCTGGCTCTACCGCATTGGAAATTGGCACAAATCCATGCATCCATGGAGTACTGGTATCTGGGTACCTAGTGAATCGCCCCTGGCTCGGATCCAGATCTGCCTAGGTAGCAATTGCAAAAATGTCTGGATTAGAGGATAATGGCTGAAAGATAACATTGGAACTTGAAATAATTGGATGGATTTTTTGCCAAAAAAAAGAGCAAAAAAAAGAAAGAAGAATCGACAGCTGGCGGATTTGAACCGCCGCCTCCGAAGAGAATTGATATCGATCGGATAAATTGATCTCCGGTTCTAGTCAATCGCCTTAGACCACTCGGCCAAACTGCCTTGATGAATGAAAGCTCAAAAATTGACTACATCAACCCAGTCTTCAAAATTAGGTGGTAATTGTATTTTCAGACAAAATGAGTGTTCAGCTTTTGGTCGAAAAATAACTTTACCCAAAGGAAACTAAATTCGGCTAAAAGAAAACAAACGAAATGTTTGCAATTATAGCTAGATAAATTTTGGAAAGTCTTACTATACATAGGAGTAGGACTGAAACAAGAACTCTTGAGGTATGTTTTGATAGTCGTAAAATCTTTTCGTGCTAAGAATATATACATTGGCAGGTGGAATAGTGAGAGGAGGAAGGGGAGAGTTGGATGGTGTAAAGCGACATGTCCCCAAAGAATACCACAAGAAACACCTAAGCGCTCTCTACCATGAGTTGAAAAGTCATTCATTAAGTCAGTGGCCAACACACACTATCTGGGAATTCCATATAGTGAGTGGAATCATTGTTCTATCAGAAGGTAGCACTTCGTGCCCGAGAAAAGCAAATGTTTATGTACCAAGTGAGAATCGAAGATATACAGTATCATGACAGGAAGACTGCTTCTGCTTCTTGGCATGATTGTAGTATATTTCACGAAGTCGTGGATTTCGAGGGGCGTAAATGTGAGAGGGCCTGATCGGATGTGTCAAAAGTGGGTTTTGGCCACAAGACCTGATGATACCTTTGGCTATAGGTGATCAATGAATTTGTGGCGCTCAGATTTCAACAGCCGTCGAAACACCACTGATGCGAGATTCGACCTTCTCTTCTTGTGTTTGTGCCATCTCCATGATGGTTTCCAGCATAGAGTCGCGTGTCGATTGGGTGAGCTGGTCAACATCTGCAGGTGTCAAGTTTGAGGTCTCAATGGGGGGAAGAACTGGTATTTATGTTAGTATGGATATTATGTAAAAGATCTTGATATGGAGAAAACGAACCCTTGATCTTGATGGTGCCTGCATTGAAGCGCATAGCCCGAACAGACAGAATATGCGAGTAGTTCTCGACGACAACCGGCACAATAGGCACACCAGCCTTGACAGCAAGGTGAAAAGCACCCTTCTTAAAAGGAAGCAAGGTAGGCTCATCGGAGTAACTCCGGGTTCCCTCCGCAAAGATAAATACACTCTGGCGGTGAGTGCGCATCTCGTCAACAGCACCATCGAAGGCCTTCATGGCGGTTGCGCGGTTTGCGCGGTCAATGAAAACGGTACGGGAAAGCCACATGAACCATCCGAGGAAAGGAACCATGCGGAGAGACTTCTTAGCCGTGACACTGCAGTAAGGCGGGAAGATGTGGCCCAGCATGAGGACATCCAGCTCGGTCTGGTGGTTACCCACAAAGATAGCAGGGCGGGTAGACAGGTACTCCTCGCCTTCGGTGATCTCGAAACGTACGCCAGTGGTGAAGCGCATCACCCACTTGAAGCTGCGGGCGGTGGCCCATTGGGAGACTCGACCGTAGCCGACGAGGCGGAGGACAATGGATGCGAGTACACCATAGGCTGCGCAGAAAAGGAGGGAGCCGTAGGCAGCGAGACAACGGGCGACGAATGCTGCGCGAGGAAACTTTTGGCCGATGGCGAAGAGCGAGGCAGTCACCACTACGAATGAGCTGATGCTCGAGAGGATATAGGAACCGATCGACATGGCGGTGGGATTGATACAACAAACTGTTGAGTACTGTGAGCGCGGGTTCTCGGGCAAGATCGAGAGAAATAGAAAGATCTCCCAGAATGGTTGGCAATGGTTACCTTATTCACCGGAATGTGGCCTCAAACCAAGGGGAATGTCGCTGAGGGGGAAAGAGAAATCGGGAGGAAACGAAGACCATAATTGCGGGACTGCGGAGGTGGAGACTGCCCTTTTTTTTGCCATTCAACAGAACGCCGACTCACCGCCAGCTGATCATGAGCAGATGACGGCATCACGCAGCAAAATATAGACCACATGCATTGTACATAAGTACTTTAAAGATACGCCTTATTATCTATAACTAGAATGCGGGGATATACCATAGAGATAAACGTGGTCATAAAAGAATAAGAATAAAATATCCTACGCCTTCATTGGGTACATCATGACCACCCATTTTTTCTGACTATTGTACAAAACACACCATGTCTGGATGTCTAGCCTTGAAAACAAAACTCCGCAGTGATGCTGTGTAGAAAATGACCGGAAACGCCAAGCTCGTAAGACGGAAAAAAGCCTCTCATATCAAACGCAAAAATATCGCAGAAGAAAAAACCGCAGCCGTGAGACCTGGAGCATAAAGGCCTACGCCACATCATCGTCCTCCATCTCTTCGTCATCAATTGATTCCATGGCATCTTTAATGAACTGGGCAGCCTGTGCTTATTTGGTTAGTAAAGTATAAGCTATCGGAGGACGAGAGAAATTTATCTCACCTTAGGGTCCAAATTCAAGGCCGTCGTGAAGTGCTTGATTGCATTGGGCTTGTCGTGCATGGTTTTGTACAGCTTTCCTAGAAGGTAGTGTACATTTGCCTCGTCGGGTGCCATATCTTTGAGAATCTTCAATTCTACCAGAGCAAATTGGTATTCATGGAGTTTCATGAGTACGCGAGCCTTGCGGAATCGAGCCAGGATGGAGTGCGGTGCGAGGGAGCAAGCTTTTTCGTAATGAACCAAAGCGTTTCTCGGGTTTTCGTTCTTCTCCAAGACTAGTCCGATGCAGCAGATTAAGACTGCGTTGGTAGGGTTAATCATCGCAGCATTGCGGAAATGTTGTTCGGCATCGTTAAGTTTGCCCATTTTATCGTACACAGTTCCCAAACCATACCAGGCATTGTAGTGGCGAGCATCTGCCTTGATACCATTACGATATGCATCTAATGCCTTGTCGTATTCTTCGTTCGAGACGTATTCATGTCCCTGCAGGGTGAACGCATACGCAAATTCAGGATTCAACTGGGTCGCACGTTTGAAGCATTTCAATGCTTGATCGTGGTCTCTTTGGTGGGAAAATGAATTGCCAACCGCACACCACGCCTGCGGAGAGAGTCGATCTACCTCCAGCAGTTGATGTGCCAGATAGGCGAGTTCCACGTCATTCTTCAAGTGCCAGAGTACGGTAGAGTAGATCTCCATATCTTCGAGGCGGGATGGGGCCAATGATTGGACTCGAGAGAAGTATTTTGCGGCATCGTTGTACATCGCTTGTTCAAAGTAGGCCCGGCCAAGTTGGGCTAGCACCCAAGGGGTTTCTCTCTGGCCCTGGGAGAGAGAGTTGAAGTGCTGAATAGCTTCGGGGCATTTGTAACGACTCAATGAGAAGTATCCCGAAGCAAGCTTTGTAAAGAGGCCCAAGAGCCAGTTCAAGGCATCGATCTCCTTGGTCTTCTCTGTGCTCCTTGGAAGGGGAGGAACCGGGGGTATGCGGTGATGTTCTCTGCCATCACTGTCATAAGCCTCCATAGGCTTCCGATTGCCACTCACAACTCGACTGACACCGGAATTCGCTCCATTACGACCCTTGGTCGCACCTCTAACTTTCTTCACTTCCTTCACATCACGACCGTCCTTCTCAGTTTCATCATTGAAGTTCGGGTTGAAGGGTTTGCTGGTGGCAGGTTTGATCTGGTTGAAAAGCCGAATACTGCGGCGCTGGGGAGCACCTGGCTCAACGGGTTGCGGTGGAAGCGGGTGGGCGACTTGGCCAGAGACAGTGCGTTTGCGATCAGCAATGCGCGGGGCTGGCGGAGGTTCTCTGCCAGATGTTGCAACTGGCGGCTCGTCTGACTCAGTTCGTGGTTTTGGGCGAGGACGGATACCAGTTGGACGCATCTTAGGGGCGGGGTGGCCTGTGTGGTCTAGACTCATGGCTTGTATCGTTCGATTCTTTCTCATTGGAGCCAATGGTGGCTCAGGGTCGGTAACTCCATTAGCAATACGGAATTCATCTGACCCGCTGCTTTGGCCACCTGGGGTTTCCATTCCTTCATGGTGAATTACCGGTGGCGCTGTTGATGCAACACTGACTGAGCTTCCATTCAGTTTCTCCCAGAGAGCAGAGCTACCATATGTAGGAGGTTCATGATCGCCACGTGCGGATGTGGCAGTAAAAGGGTCGATTCCAGAGTTGCCAGTGGTTTGTACTGGGAAGGCTCCCTCCGTCGGGCTAATATGCTCTGAAAGTGCATCTAGGTCTTTGGAGGATGAAGAGATGATGGCAAGTAATTCGGGACTGAGTTGAAAGATATTCGGGACATGGACACCGACACCTAGTCAGAATTAGTTCATACCATAGATGAAGACAGCACTTTACCAAGTATAGTTAACATACCAGCAGAGCATAAGCCTAAGAATGCATCCCACATGAAGGGATTGAGCTTCAGGGAAGTCACATAAGAATCCACGGCATTTTCCATGTCTTTGTGCGCATGGTATAATTTTCCTCGGAGGCAATACACAGCAGCTGCATCAGGTAAATGCTGTCGTTGGGTTTCATTATGTTTGTCTGTTTTCTATAGTTAGCTCACTTCCAAGCTGAAGCAGATGACTTTGAAGGCTCACTCCAGTGGTTCTTTGATGCCCATGTGCTCTTGCTGCGCTCCAATGCTGCTACACCCTCCTGGTACTTGCCAAGGTCAAGACATGCCTGGGCATAGACGTAGGCACAGCCAGCATGCAGACCCCGAGCGCCAGTAGGTTGGCTACATTCGTAAGCTGCCTTCACCTCGCCATTGTGTAAGTGACAAAGAGCTAAGAGGTATTGCGCCTCAAAAGATCGTGGTTCATAAGCATGGAGACGGGACGCAAGGAAGAGCGCATTTCGGATCAGGTTGTTGTCAAGGTGGTAGTAAATCAAGTGTCGGAGTTGGCCAGCGACATGACCAGTCGATAAAGCCATAGTGAGGGGTGCGCGTGGGGTTCAGCGCAAACGAGAAGCGATGAAACGGGAGATTAAAGATGATAATGAAGGTTGTATGTGACGGATACAAGAGACGGATAGGGACACGATTTCTCCAAGGCTTTCCATTCACAGTCGGTAGCACGTTGACAGTCGTTTAGTGTCTTAAAGTGAGGTCTTCACAGACGCGGGGAACGCGTAAGTCGAAACAGAGAAACAAAGGACAAGGGCTTAACAAAACCCCCCTAAACATGGGTTGTGACAGTCTTTGAGCGGAAAGCAACTTTCTTTGGGGATACGAATCGTGGAGCGATCGGGATTGAGAGTGCGCCAGCCGGTTGAGCCAGCACGAAGGAATGTAAACTGACGGAAGCGGTAGGAACGAGGAGCAAGCCCAAGAAGGGCCAGGATGAATAGAGATGCTGTAGACCCTAATATGAGTCCTTCACAGCATTTGAATCATTGTAGAGCAACAAAAAGAAGAGAATCTAATCAGTGGAGAATTGGCGAGACCAACTCGTTGAAGGTTGAAGTACATTTCATCTTATTTTGGTTGTATCCGCCTAGAGCTCGTGGATTTTGCCGGGCGGTGAGTGTCGAGAGGGCAACAATCATTTTGGATGGAGACGGAGAGTTGGCATCTGCCAGGTGACTCCGCTTTCCTACCTCATTGCCTCGTGTCACCTGCGTCTAGTGTACTCTGCAGTTTTCTTTTCTTCTGGATTCTTCACCAAGCTAGGCCAAGGTTCATGGACAAGAGACAAAGATCCTTATCCTGATATTCTTAGTCTCTTGCATTTTCCCCTCCCCAATTCCTTGAAAATATCTGTGGGGCTCCCAGTGACAACCATATCTAGTATTCAATATGGCGCAGGTAAGCTCCAATTCCCCTTCTTAAGCTTCTAGAAGCTATTCTGTATTCTGAACAATGTTCTAACTGTGTGATAGAAAGCAGCGAAGACCTTAGCTACCCGCAATTCAGCCCTGCTTACTCGCACCCACCTTATCTCTGCGGCATTGCATATCCTTTTCCTATTCCTCCACCAGGTCTTCCAACGACCTCGCTCGCTGAAGCCTTATTTTTTACTTGCAGTCCCTACGTTGGGGATTGAATACTACCTGGATCGAGTTGGACGCCCGCGCTTCAATGAAGATGGCTCCTTGCGGTCCGCTGGTGAAGATCTCAATGCCACAGGCTTGACTGAGTACATGTGGGATATCTTGTACTGGACCCAGGGCTGTATCCTTGCTGTCTGTATCTTCAATGATTGTGCTTGGTGGCTATGGACAGTCGTTCCTCTCTACTCTGTTTACCTGGCTTACACCACAGTTATGGGCGTGAAGAAGGGATTTGGAGGCATGGGTGGTGGTAATGGGGCCGAGGGTGATTATGAGGGAGCCAAGAGCAAGAGAGAGATGAAGAAGGAAAAGAGGGGTGATCGGATGAAGGTTCGGACTCGCTAATTACCCATATTTTATTGATTGTGAGGCTCAGGGACCCTGCGTGGACCCAATCTATATCAATGACATTTAACTGGTGCTCCTATGACTACTAGTAGTTCAGTTCACATGTCCACGCCAATGCCTGGAAGCTGGCCTGTGGTTTTTCTTTTCCAATTCCCACTCCAGAGCTTCTTTTCAGCTGCTCCACGGTCATAGTCGTCCAACATTGTGCCCACGGGCCATTCATGACCTCGGAACCTTGGAACTTCCAAGGTTGGAATATTCCAGGGCTCCTTACCACCAGTGTTCAGGTAGCGCCCCGTGTTCAAACTTGAACTTCAGCATTCAATTTGTATGTTGTGAGACTTGAGATTGGATCTTTGCCTAATACATGTCAGTTCAATTAATGAGAAAAACATAGATTTAGAGGACTTGAAATTACTGAGTCAAATATACTGGGACTATCTTGGAGAACATTCGAAACTTCGATAGTCATTCCGAATCTTGATCGAATTACTGCTATTTACGACTGAACTTTGGGATCAAATTACATTGTTGCAAAAGCGCAAAAAACCGCCGGGAGTGACAGAATACCGAAAGGAGACCGAAGGGGGTTGAATAAAAAAAGACGTAAAACGTGCGTAGGTCGTGAACATATTGTCATCGTGACAAACTATATGGGGAATAATGCGTTGAGAAATCGAGCATGACATGCCGCTGGCAGGAAGCACAATTTCAACGCGACATATAGAGAAAGAAGGAACATAAGACAGTAGTAGAAGAGCAATAAATTAACACAATAACCGCTCCCAGATTACAGTTCATCCTTGGGAGAGGAGGCGGCCGCGGACTGGATGTTATCAGTAGCCTCCGTGACGTGAGAGGCAGCTGTCCCGACAGCCTCGGATGCAATGCTGCCAGCACTGGAAGCGAGGTCAGCAAGTTGGGACTGCGCATCCTCAACAGCTGCAGCAAGGCGACTAGTGGCGCTCTCCACCGCACCGGGCTCCTCGCCATAGATGGCAGCGCTGGCCTTGGACTGGATCTCTTGAATATGCTCTTTGGCAACATCAACATAGCCAGACTCCTTGCCATGTACAGCACTGCTCACATGGGCGGATGCACTTGCATAGGCGTCAGCTGCAGCCTCCACAGCGGCATTGAGTTGGTCATTTGCATCTTGCATGACATCCTCTAAACTAGGAATACTGGAAGCATAGGTATCTGCAACAGAGGAGGCCGATTCAAAAGTTTCACTGACGTAGCTTGATGCAGAAGGTAGGGCAGCAGCAGGGTAGGGAGTCTCATAAGCAACGCGAAGTTTGCTCATGATGCTTTCCGTAAAAGAGGGTTCTTTACCAATAAGCAGTTCAGATACTACATCCTGCACGGCCTCAAATTGCGGCAATCGGCTCTGCAGTTGCTCAAGGTACGGAGCCGGGGTTCCGTAAATCTGCTCACTTGCTTTTGAGACGAGGCTTTCCCAGTTCTCAGATGCTTGGCTGGAGAGTGACTCCAAAGGCCCAGGTGTAGTTCCATAAAGAGCCGAGCTCACGGATTTAGATGCAAGTGATAGCGAGGCAGATGCCGCAGACAGAGCAGCGTGATATCTAGATGAGGCATCATCAACTAGACCCTGTACTCCGTCATCGGCCGACGAAGCCATCGAGCTGGCGGACGCCACAGCCGCAGCGAGGTTAGCAGAAGCTAGAGAAGAAGCATGCGCGTACTGTGATCCAGCCTCCTCAACAAGGGCCTGCAGGCCAAGAGGAGGTGAGGTTGGTGTTGGTGTCCCATAGACAGCTTGGGAAGCCGTTGAGACAAATGCAGTATAGTGGTCATGGGCAAGACCGACAGCTTCGTAGTAGCGACGCTGGGCATCAAGAACAAATGGCTGGAGACCTGCAGAACTAGTTTGAGATGGGATGGGCTGTATGTGCGCCAATTTCTCCGAGGCCGCGCTGAGACCTTCACTAAGTCGAGAAGAAGCGATCGAGGAAATCTGCGCAAGAGGACCGGCAGTGGTTGTGGGAGTGGCTTTGATGGCAGCAATCTTGGACTCGAATTCATCGGTAGCGTACTTCACAGCGCCGGAGTAGGCCGATTCAATGGAGGACAGAATCCCAGCATGTGAGGGGGCACTAGACTCAGCTGCTTGACCGAGTATCTGTGATTTAGCGATCTCATAGAGAACCTTGGCGTTTGAGGCAGAGTCGGCAAATGCTGCACTAGCCTGAGAGTAGGCGTCAGAGTAGACATACTCAGCCTTGCTACCGAGACTGTGGATCGAATCTTGCTCATCATCATCAAGAATTGGAGCTTGGTATGTGTTTGCTTCAGCTGCCGCTACTCCTCCCCAAACAGACTGAGTGGGAAACGGTGTGTCATCTTCAATGGCATCTTCTGACATTGACTCATGATCACCGTCATCTTCGGCTTCCGTCTGAACGTCAATACCGTCTTCTGATGAAACAGACTCGTCTGAGATGAAAAAATTACCATCCCCAAAATGATCCTGGTCAGCTGCGGAGCTAGCGGCCGAAAATGCGTTCTCAGGCTCCGCATCGGATTCGGCGTGGTCAGAGTCAATGGACTCAGACTCGGCGACCTCATCGAGATCATTGTCCTCAATTTCAATTTCCGACTTAGGGCGTGGGGGAGGGGGGCTCGGTTCGTGTCTCGAAGTTGTCCCCAGCCTCACGCGCAGCTAGCTTCCAGTTGCCAACATCCTTCAGTCTGACAAGCTCAATGGCAGTTTCTTGTGCCACTTCCATGCCATGATCCAAAATACCATTGACCACGGCCTTGGCTTCTGCAATAGACTTGTGGTTCACGCCCACCCGGTAAATTTCATCACGCCAGTTATGCAGCTGCGCCTTGACGGCGCGATAGTTTGCCCAATCCTTGTACGTAACACCATCCATCCAGGCCCAACGCATGCCAATTTCCTGTAAACCCAGGTCTTGAATGCCATCCAAAACATCTAAAGTCGAGTTAACGGCAGCAGACACTCTGCGGAAGAGTTCCACATCGAATGACAAAGACCACTCCCGAAGAGCATGAGCGCGATCTCTAACAGAAATGGCGGAAGCCCGGATATCGGTGACCAATTGTTCGCGGGCGTTCTCCTCATCTTCTGGCACGTCCTCTTCTGGGAGGGATTCGACAAGTTCATTGATACGGTCCTTGATCATATCCACCTGTTTGGTAGCCACGCTTTCAAGGGCTGTCGATAGGCTCAGACCGTGACCATTGGCACTACTTGAAACCAGGGCTCCTACGATATCTTCAAGGCGCTCTTCAAGATCTTCAATAGCACTGTCAGCCGCGGCCGCAAATTTTGCCTGCCATCTTGTGAGATCAGAGTCGATCCGCTCGCGATCTTGCTGTGCCTGCTCCGCAGAGGTCAGAGTAGGTGTGGCAGATGGAACCTCAATAGTAGAAGAAGTGGTTATGGTACTTGAGGCGTAGCTGGATTCGATAGTGGTAGAGCTGGTTGACGATTCAGGCTGCTCCGACGAACTGCTGAAAGATTAGTTAGTAAGGTTTTTTGTGATGGCTAATGTGCGGTAATACTTTTCAACTTCCTCAACAACGGCCCGCAGTCTTTTACCCTCTCGATAAGTCGCCAGGCGTTGTCCGATCTTGACCAATTGGGGCTCCACCTGCTCCGAATAGAGACCTGTTACATGCGGCCAGAGCGAACTGTTGGCAAAGTAGACCACGGATGACCAGGTGTAATGAGCGCCGGGCATTACATGGGTCGTAAGAATATCCTGCGAGGTCGAGTAGGTCTTGCCAATGAAGGGTTGCGATCTGGTGTAAAAAGGGACCAGATGATCCCAGTAAACAGTGAACATAGCATTGTTCACCTGTTTATAGTACGGCGAAACAACTGCAACTCCCTGCTGCACATATGGGTCGACCTCAGCCAGGTAGAGCTGATGTATCTTACCCTGCGCTACTTGAATTCGTGGTGTCACCTGGGCCCTCCATTGAGCTGCACCATAGGCCTGGGCTTGACCTAACGCCGGTGCTCCATACTTTTTGTAGCCAGCCTGGGCGAGCTTCGAAGTGGGCATGTAAACATTTTTATTCAAAACCTCCACGTAGGGACGGGCTTGATCGACATAAGGTGCGGCGTAAGTATCATAATAGGGAGTGACATAGGGATCCACGTGTGACCGAACAATAAGATAAGGCTCGCAGACTCGGGGTGAAGTGCCATCCAAGTCAGATAGGTTTGACGGGCATCGTAAGAAGGGGGTTAGAAGCATGTACCAAATGGCAAGTCTATAAGAACTGAACGTTAGCATCGGGTTATGCAGAGACGGCAACACTTATTCATGAGAATAACAACAACAACAAATACACACCGTATGACTGAGCCAATGATGGTCCATCCCAGAAATCTACTCTTCCCCTCGGTCTTCGCACCCTCCCTTCGACCATTTGTCGGTTTGGTTACTGTATCAGCATGGCCATTCTCTACTGGCACAGCCATGGTCGTCGTGAGCCTAGTCGAGGCCGGACCTCTTTCGAAAAAAAGGAAAAAATTGCAAGGGCAACCGTCGGCGATAAAACGTCGTCAACGCGGAATTCGAACAGTGGCTAATATACTGACATTCATCGAGCAGTGGAGTGAAGACCCGCCGAGCTGTTGATGAGATAAGACAGTCTTGAAAGAAAGCTGAAGCTAAGTGGAATGCTCGCGTCGGCCTTGGCACTACCAGAACTTCACGGCAGCCGCGGTCGGAACGAGCAGAGAAACCCGAGGTAGCAAGGTCGAAAATGAGGATGACAAGATCCCAAAAACCATACCAAGGAACAAATACTTAAAAAAATCGTCCAAAGAATTATCCGTTTCAAGACTTCCGAAAGCTTGGTTGGCGATTGGCAATAACAGTGAGGTCATCGGTGCCACTTGCATCAGAACAATACGGGCTGATACATATTCCGTGCTCAGATCAACTATTTTATATATATCAGGTTAGGGACCAGCTGCCCAGGTGGCGCCTGAACGTAATGTATAGTAATGTACTGTAAGGGATATAATACATGATGAGTCAGCCAGTCTTCGACGGTTGAAGCAACAAAAGGAAGTCGCGACTCGATGGCACTTGCCTATTATAACTTTGATGAGGCTCTGTTCCTTACAGGGTAAGTGCGGCGTGGTCATTCCATTGCTTTTTCCTTTTTTTTTTCACTCTCCGCCTGATACTGACATCCCGTTTATCTTCGCTTCCAATAGACTACATCTTACGTCCATCCCATCCACTCCGCCCCCCTCATACTTCTCTCATTTCTTTGTCCGCCCACAACCGTTGATGGTTCTACCATAAACGCACACCTGAGCTTATGATGACGAATTGGTAAACCATAGTGTGACCGTCGATTCGACGTGACTTTTGCTGTCATGGATATGGGAAATCAACTTCACGACCCAGCGGGGTCATCTTCATTTCCCGACTTGATGAACGATCCAGCTTTTGATGAGAGGGAGAGAGGTCTCGAGGACATGGATACTTGCAGAATATGCCACGGAGAAGCCACTGTGGAGGAGCCGCTTTTCTATCCGTGTAAATGTAGTGGAAGTATCAAGTTCGTCCACCAGAGTTGCTTGGTTGAGTGGTTATCGCATTCACAGAAGAAGCATTGTGAGCTCTGCAAGACCGCCTTCCACTTCACCAAACTATACGATCCAAATATGCCCCAAAACCTACCCACACCGTTATTCATGAAGCAGGCCCTGATTCAGTGTTTTGGAACACTGGTGACTTGGCTTCGGTTCATACTTGTCGCTTTCGTTTGGCTAGGATGGTTGCCGTGGTCCATGCGAGCTATATGGAGGGCACTCTTTTGGCTTGCAGATGGAAGGTGGTCCAGTCCTGGAATAGGCTCTTCACAGCCGGCTCAGCTAGCGGCGGAGGGAGTTATCCAAGACACCGAAAACGCAACATTAGCAAGCACGGCCGTACTGAATGTGGTGACCTCGACAGTCTCCAACATGATTCAATCTGCCACGAGCGCAGCACCAGCCCAACAGTCTTCCGTTGAAAATCTTTCTGCTGGTGATCCGCTGATGCTTACCCTCATCAAAAAGGTCATCCCAAGTCTTTTTATACCGGCTTTAACGTCAAGTAGTGCGCATAATGGTTCGAGTCCGAGTAATATGACAAGCATGCCTAAGCCTCGGTATCCGTCCTGGCTCTCTGATGTTAAATTTCTCATGACTTTGACCCCCTATCCGACCATCAACAATATGATCATTGACACCCTAGAAGGACAGCTCATTACTCTACTGGTAGTGGTGGCTTTCATACTTCTTTTTCTGATCAGGGAATGGGTCGTTCAGCAGCAGCCCATGGCGAATATTGCCGAGGGTGAACGGGAGGCAGCTGTGCAATTAATTGCCAATGCCAACAATATGAATGATGTTGTTCAGCCAGCACAACCAAATCGCCCTCTGCCTCGTCCAAATTTCGAAGCGATACAGGAAGAGCATGACGAGCTGCAGCCGCAGCCTCGTGCAGCCTCTCCAGCTCCTTCCTGGACTGATTCCGACGATGGTCTACCTATCCTTCATAGAACCCCCGACTCTAGTCATGCATCCGCCGCAGTTCAACACCCTGGTAATGCTGATCAACGTTTTGACATCCGCGCGTCACAGTCGGAATCTTCTTTTACCAACCCTGATGTTACTGCATTCAGAGACGTTCTATCACGCTCCAACGGTGATCGGGATGAAATGCTACGAATAATTCGCGAAGAAGGTCTCGAGGAGGAGTTGGGTTGGATCGTGGCCGCATTCACCTCGGGGCCCCAAGATCAGAACGCAGTAGGGCCTTCGAATCCAACAGAAAACATCAATGTTGACGAGATAGTTCGAGCTCATGATGGGTTTACCCCACATGGTGATGACATCAATCTCGAACAGCCCACTTCAGATGACCAAACTACCGACCGATTACCCCGCCAGGAATTGCCTACACGAGATGATACAACTTCTCAAGTTCCGCAATCAGATAACCAGCCGCCGAAGGCCCTTTTTGAACGAATGGTGGAGTGGTTTTGGGGAGATATCACCCCAGGCGAGAATCATCCTGCGGAGGAAGTATTGGCTGATGATGAACATATTGTTCAAGACCCAGCTCTGGAGGATCCGTTTGTTCCTGTACCAAACCGGTTGGAAGATCAACAGCCTGAAGGTGGTGTGGCAGCAGCAGCCGAAGCTGGTATTGACCCCAACGATATGGATGCTATTGAAGGCGGCGATGATTTCGAAGGCATCATGGATTTAATTGGCATGCAAGGCCCCATCTTTGGTCTTTTACAAAATGGCGTTTTCTGTGCTCTTCTCATTGCCTTCACAGTTGCCATTGGCATTTGGCTGCCCTACCTATGGGGAAAGATTGCGCTGGTTTTGCTTGCAAACCCCTTGGAGCTTATTGTTGGTGTCCCAATGACAGCCGTCACTATCGTGGCGGATATCGCCCTAGATACTCTGATTGGAGTGTTGGGCTACATCATGTACTGGGCAACCTTCATTTGCAGAATAGTATTGAGTCCACTCGCTGCTTTTGTACCCCTTGGAGAATGGATCCCACGAGGTAAATCTGTCACAAGTGCATCTATTTCTCTCATCGACGCTAGCACCCACCGCTTGAACAAGGTTGTCAAAGCCTTCCTCGTTTTTCACGAATCCGACATCCCCATGTTTTCTGTTCTTTCCCACCAGGCACTCAAGCTCCACCAGGCTCGACTCTCCACCATCTTCAACTCAGCCTTCGCACTTGTGAAGTTTATTCTCCACGATTTTCCCCTGCGCCTGGTTACGCTCGGTGTCCCCAAGGCATTCTCTTTCGACGTGGATGTTTATCAGATTAAGACCTATGCGGTTCAACTACAACAGCATGTCGTGAACTTTACTCGATCTCAGTTGTTTTCTAGCTCTGGCACGAAGCTGATAAATGCCAGTGCTGCGAAGGCAGCTTCGGGATCCGTGGCAGCTGACTACGACCTTGCCGTGTGGGACACAAAGGACCGGGTCATCGCCATATCCATGGGGTACCTCCTTGCAACACTCATGGGATTCCTTTACTTAAGAGTCACTGGTTTCCTGGCCGGAGCCAATCGTGGGCAACGTATTGATGGCATTCTTGCAGAAGTATTACTCCAGGCTGGAGGCGTAATGAAGGTCATTCTTATCATTGGGATCGAGATGATTGCATTCCCTCTCTACTGCGGTACACTTCTTGATATTGCATTGTTGCCTCTTTTCTCCGAAGCGACAATCAGTTCTCGACTTGCTTTCACAGCTGCATCTCCACTCACCTCGCTCTTCGTGCACTGGTTCATTGGAACTTGTTACATGTTCCATTTTGCATTGTTTGTGTCTATGTGCAGAAAGATCCTGCGAACTGGCGTACTTTGTAAGCAGTCCTCGATTCTTGGTGATTGATCTTCTCGTATGCTAACCTTTGTTTTTCTTCTTCGTTTTGATTAGACTTTATCCGAGACCCCAATGATCCGACTTTCCACCCAATACGAGACGTTCTTGAACGCAGCATAACCACCCAGCTGCGTAAAATTGGCTTTAGTGCCCTCGTATATGGCGCCTTGGTCATAGTTTGTCTCGGAGGCGTCGTTTGGGGTCTCCACTTTGCATTTGACGGCGTTCTGCCAATACACTGGTCAGCCAGTGCCCCCCATGCTAGAATTCCCAGTTGACCTCTTATTCTACAATTTCGTCATGCCCTTGGTGATCCAATCAGTGAAGCCCTCGGATGGACTGCATGAATTGTATAATTGGTGGTTCCACCAGTGTGCCCATTTCCTTCGCCTCAGCAACTTCTTCTTCCCGGATAGACACCCCGAGGAAGAAGGACGCCATGTTCATCGAACTTGGTGGAGTCTGTTCTCCAGACGCAAGGGTGATTGGGAGAATCCTGTGATCGGTCCACTCCAACAGGCTGCAGCAGAAAAGGAAGAACGTGACGTATATTTCTTACGAGACGGCAGGTACGTCCGAGCGCCTGCCTCAGATCAAGTCCGCATTCCAAAAGGAACACAGGTCTTCTTAGAGGTCACAGAGGATAATGTCCGTGTCGATGGGAAATCTGACCCCGAGGATGGGTTGCATGGTCGCTCAAGCAACATGTTTGCAAAGATCTACGTCCCCCCTTCCTTCCGCCTACGGATCGCTAGTTTCATTCTCCTTATATGGTTGTTCGCTGCCACGACAGGAGTAGGCAGCACCATTATCCCGCTGGTTGTTGGGCGCAAGATGATATGGATATTCTTCTCTAGTCCAGGCCCAGTCAATGACATCTATGCGTTCTCCACTGGGCTGTGTGTTGTCGGTGGAGTCGGTTATCTAGCATATTATTGCCGTGCAGCTGTGAAGGCCATGCAAGATAACTCATGGGAGTGCCTGCAATCTCCTAGTCAGTTTGGCCGCTCCAGCGTTGATCTTGCAATTGATGCTGGCCGCCTCCTCTACGTGTCTGTTGTTTTGGTCGTTCTGATCCCAACCCTTTTCGCCCTCCTAACTGAGCTCTATGTCCTGATCCCTGTGCATACCTCTCTTGGAGACGGCCAATCGCACATTGTTCATATTGTCCAAGATTGGACACTGGGCGTACTGTACGTCCAAATGGCAATTAAATTAACTTTGTGGCACCCTCGGTCTTGGGCCGCCGCCGTCTTGAACGGTATCTTCCGAGATGGCTGGCTTCGGCCCAATGTGCATCTCGCTACTCGAGCCTTGGTGCTACCTCTTTTACTCTTCACAGCCTCAGCCGTCATTGTACCGCTATCACTTGGCGGGGTTTTGCGATACACCATTCTGTACTGGATCAAGGCTCATGAATACATCTATCGCTATGCGTATCCTGTCACGTTACTACTTGTTCTGGCCGCGTGGACCATCCACCTCGTGCTACGTCGAGTAGCGATCTGGCGCATCAACATCAGAGATGATGTGTACCTCATCGGTGAACGACTACATAACTTCAGTGAGAAACGGGCGCGAGATGTTGGGGTCTCACGAAGGGTGATCACCGGTTGAAATGGAGGACGGGGTGGTGGATACACATTTTGGGTGACATTTTCTTCCCCCATGGGTTTATGCGTTTATGATTCTCCCTTCCGCCTAAACTATGTTTTATATCTTATTATTTTTTTTGTGACTTTTCCTTACTTACTCGTGTCTGAAACCTAAAAAAACACACACCATCTGTACAGGTAAAGATAGTTGGTAGTAATTTAGCCCATAGATTCTTTCCAAGGTTAACCCACTCACATGCATTCAGGGATATGCTGTTGCCTGAGGTTGTATTAAAATAACCAATAGATACAATAAATACAATGAGTACCGTTATATTGATACCACCCTAAGCCAAATATAGAAACTAAAATACTCAAATTGAGATGCCTGCCACGTGATCACTTCACCCCCCCACTCCGCTTCACAGAATAAGTATGCTGATTGGTTAGGCAACAGGATTCCCTTTGACTCGTCCCGCATCGGCTCTATCAGTGTGATCGCTGCAGGCATCCATTGAATGTCTCTTCTCATCTCAAGTTCCTTTTCCTCTCATGGAATATTTGCTCCTATAACCTCTCCGTGATGGATCTTTAATCTCATGCGACTGCGTATCTCGATATTTGGATCCCTCATTGTCCTGACCGAACCAATTTCGCCGATATGTCCGTAATGCGCCATGGAGGAGGCGGTGGCTTCCTCCAGCGCCGCCTCACCAAATTATACACCGATACGAAGAGTTCATGTGAAAGCGTAACGACCGCCTCAAAGGCGCTGGACGATCCAGAACTTATCGCCCTCCACCAAAGTCTCCAGAAGCAGCGAGATCGGCTACTTGCATGGGGCCTAGATTGGAGTGACGCTAGTGCCGCCCAGCCCAATGATATCGATGAATCCCTGACTGCAGCGGGCTTTAGCGATGTGGTTGAGAGTGTAATGTCTTCAATTCAGGACCTGCTCAATGACGCCGAGCGAGTACAACATCTCGACCCTCCCATGATTTCCTCGAAAGACCGCAAAGTCGACCCATCGAAAGAGGCTCTCGGAAGCCGCCCTCTCAAAATCCAATGGACGGACGATGATATTAGCCGGTCGAAGACAATTCTGAGTGATCTGACGGGATGCATTGATACACTTTATGATCTGTCCCGCTCACGGCGGACGATGGCGTCTAGTATGTCCTCAAAGTACAACACCACACGACGAGCCCGACCGACTACCGACTCGCCCCATGGCTCTTATTCGGATTCCAAGGAAAAAGTGCAGAGTCCAACTATTCTTTACGATCAACATGCTTACTCTCCCTCTACCACCAAACGGGATTTCGGTGGTGCCTTCATGTCATCCCATCAACTTGTGATCGACCGATCCGCCTTGAAGTTATATGGAGCTGGCGATGATAACAGTCCTCCGCCTTATGAACCTGTCGCGGCATCCTCAAATTCACGTGCGGTCGGCCGATTGAATACCTCTGCTTCGCCTGCTCTTTTCACTTCTGTGAAGGAAGCACAAGTCTCAGTATTAGTTGAATTCATGCCTATGATCGTCGATTCCCACAAAGACCAAAAAGGCATCCGCCTCGAGAAGCTGCAACAATCTGTTGAACAACTTTTACAAAATGCCAGAATCTCTCATCTTGGCCTTTTACGCTTCTTAGGCTATTGTATCGATGAACCGAACTCTCGTTATGCCTTTCTTTATCAGATGCCCGTCGACTACTTTCCATTTTTACGAAACCCGAGCGATTTATTGAAAGAACTGAAGCCCATTCCTCTGGTTTCCCTACTCCCTTCAGCGGAAGATTATCGCGAGAAGCGAATGCCGAATCTAGAGACCCGCTTTCGACTTGCCTATGATCTGTTGATGTCTGCCTTGCACTTGAGAAGTCAGAACGCAGTGCATGGTAACGTCAATAGCAGCAATGTAATCTTCTTCCCCGGCCGTAAAGATGCGAACGATGATGAAAGTGGTCTTTCGCCTGATCTACGTCGCCCATATTTGACCTCACCTGCTCGCTTCTCCGGAGATGGCCCTACTCCTGAGCCACTGTCAACAGCTATGTATCGTCATCCAGAAGACAAGCGGAATGTTGACGACGATGGAGCATGGGCCAACGACCTTTACTCTCTCGGGTTGGTCTTACTAGAGATTGGTTTATGGGCACCCATTGGTCGCTTATGGAAGATGAAGTACGATCGCACCTGGTTTAAGCACCGAGTGGAAGATCTCTACGTCAAGAAACTTGGACCGAAATGCGGTGTCGCATATCTGCAGGCCGTACAGCTTTGTCTTGACGCTCCCAACTTTCATCTCTCAACACAACCCATGACCGATCTCGCCCTCCGTGTTCCACAAATTTACCATTATCCCGTCCTTGACCTTTCCGACCCCGATGGAACATTTTCCTTTTCTATGAACTTCATGTACACAATTTGCAAGATCTTATGGTCCTGCTGCCGAATTGATATCTTTTCGGCGCCGCCTGCGGAAGAGCTTGACGACTGCCTACCCCTCGCTCTGGTTCCTACCCCCGAGTCAACTCCTATCAACGAACAATTGACCGCTTATCAGACTGTTCAAGACAACCTGGAAAAGAATTTGCCCAGCATTCCAAACAACCCGTGGGCGGGAGTGATGCAGGAACCAAGTCTCGAAAAGCCCGCCAAGAAGCGCACGGTCAAACGTCTTCCTCATCTTGAGATACCTGATGAGCATTGGCAGGAGTGGAATTTCCAGATGATGCCCAAGCTCAGTCGGCTGCTTCAGAAAATTCTCAAAGACTCAAATGAATCTTGTGGAGCAAATCTCATGATGACCGGAGAGTCCAACGAAACCGCACGGACCACCATCTGCGTTACTTGTGCTAGTGTGAAGAAGGTTCGTTCAGCATTGAAGAAACATTTCCAACTGGGTCGAAATGATTGGGACCTTATTGTCATCCGTGGGGACATTGAAAGGTCGAAAGTCCCTCGCAATAAGCGTCGCAAGCCGGCAAAGACCCGCCCCAATGGATCCAATGAAACGCCCTTTCGTCAGCGAGAACTTAACCCATGCTATCAGCAAAGACCTCTTTGTGGCGCCTCAATTGGTGCATTCCAGAACGAGGAGCACCTTCCTCCAGTTTCCTATGGTGGAGCCGTAATAGTCGATGGAATGCCCTATGGGCTAACAGTTCACCATATGCTTGAAGCACCGAGTGACGACGAGGGCCCCGACAACGCTGATCATGATGCTCCGGGTCGATCAGCGGGAAACTGGCCTCGTAACACACCCGATGTCACCAACTTGGATTATCTGTCTAGTTATGCTGAAGATGATCAATCGGAAGTTAATCTGGATCTTGAAATCTCAGATTACGAAGACGGGGACGACGCGTCAATATCACAGGGTGCTGATGGAGGCTATGATGAATATTGGCTTTCAGAAGATGAATCCTCTGATGACGAGTCTATTGATCCAGACAATGATGATGATGATGATGCCGCATCAATTGGTGACACCACTGGTATAGAGCCGGGCGAAGAACCTCGTCTTTTTATTACCCAGCCAGCAATTGACGATGTGCATGACGATTTCTTTCCTTCTCCCGAAGATCGTGATGATGAGCATCTCGCATCCCACTCCCTTGGTTACGTTCACGCATCATCTGGCCTTCGTCGATGGATGTGGAAGGGTCTCAAGCACGAAATTGACTGGGCTCTTATCAAAGTTGACGATATTCGCATGGACCCTCGGAATATCATTATGGACACAACCACGTCCTCCCCTGCACGCGCTATTCCAGGACGAGCAGCCCAACCCCCACCAATATTTCTTAATCAAGTCGCCCGGATTGAAGATCTGGGTGGGATGCACGTTCACTGCTGTGGCCGTACAAGTGGACTACAGTCAGGCCAGATATCCAAGGCAATGACTTTAGTCAAGTTGCATGGTAGACACTCCTTCTCGACAAGCTTCTGTGTCAACGGGAACTTTGGAGGTAAGAAGCGCATCTACACCCACCCAGATTCATGTTTATGTCTATACGATCCTTAATTAGATACCCTTGCTTTTTCGTTTCCCTCATACCCCTCGTTGTGATTATCTTTCTCATTTAGGCCGGTAAATCATAAATGCTTATGCCGCCTTTTTTTAAGATCAACATACCTCACTTGAACATACCTACACCTCACATCACTATATATCAAAGTAAACTGTTCATCAAGCTAACTAATTCCTGGTATTAGCCCCCGGTGACTCCGGCGCATGGGTATTTGACAGATCAACCGGTCGCGTCTGCGGTCACGTCCTTGCCTGGTCCGCGAAAAGCAATACCACCTACATTGCCCCTATGGAAGTGACCATAGAAGACATTACCCGCACCCTGAATGCCTCTCTCGTCTCCCTCCCTGGCGATCCCACCCGTTCTATGGGCTATATAACCTCCGCCGCTCCTCAACCCGCTCAATACGGATACCACCCGCAGCAGCTTCCTGCTGATTTCAACCGCCTGACAGTCGGTGGCCCTACGCAGATGATGCCACCACATTCATACCACCCAAATCACCCACCTCATGCAGGCTTCGGCCGCCCTCCTCCACCACCTCCACCTCCTCCTCGACCAGGCTCTCGAGAAGCCCATGTATTTCATGGCCGCATGTCGCCCATCCCACCGTCTCTTCTCTCGGGCCCACGGAATGTTGAGCGTCAGCTAGCTTGAATATCCGGCTCTGAAGTCCTGTCATACTTTTATATCCCTCGAGACATGTTACAATCCTTGCAATTATGCGTGCAGAATTTAGGCATGTATTTGGGCTTTCGGTATTGTTGTTTTTATGATTTGATGTCAGAATACCCATTGTGATTAGATTTGGATGACTACTTAATCGTTATGACACTTACACGTATAATTTGTATCTATTTGTTTGACTCCAGTGGTTTACAAAATATTAGAAGATCACGTATTCATTTTCTGAAGTATTTGTACATTCATCTTTTGGTATAAACAAAATTTCAACTTGAAGCTTCGACTCTAGCAACACCTGTCTAGGGTGCCATGAGGTCTTGCTTCATCCTCCCTCCCATAAACGCTGGATTTAAAAAGCATTGGCATAACAGATAACACATCGGCATAAGCCTCTATCCATCGGGAACATTATGCGAGTCTAGACACGTGAAGCCCATACGGAAGTCATGAAATCCCGAACTGATCTGGGCTTGAAACCAGGGAATTTATCACCCACTCGACCTTCAGTTGGCAATTTAAATCCATCGGCAAGATATAGTTGATAGCCAAAGGATCCATATGCCTTTTGTTCCTCGGGCTGAATTCCACTTCCTTCAAGCGGTGTCATACTGGGAACATCTCCATTGCTGACATCCTCAGGCTTCATCCAGGTTACTTTAAACTTCTCGCCTTGAATAAAAGTTAGAAACATAGCCAGTCTAAGAGGATAGGGAATCGGTAGGAAATCAAACTGTATACATACCGGTAATCTCTTCTGCTAGCTCCAGGACTTTGCCCAGTGTAGTATCTTCTCCATTGCAGAATGTGAACTCAGGCCAATCTTCGACCTCTAGCATCTTTGCTACTAGCGTTGCAGCATCGTAGCTATAAATCATCGTTATAGTATTGGTTCCATCCCCCGGAATGCAGGCCTCTCGGTTCAGAACATCAACAGCAATAGTCATAGGAGGAACATTTGATTTTGCATGTGGTATTCCTACAAAGTCCATGAAAGCACCACACACGGGTCGGGTATAGCTCAATCTGCTTTTTTTCAAGAGATCTGCAGCTGTCAGGAACCAATCGACACCTGGGTCGATATTCCTTCTCCTGTGGAAGTGTAAGTGATTTATTTTAGATGAACACAATCCTTGGAATTCCGATTGATCAGGATGACGCTTACTCCTCGAATGTCGCATAGCCAAATTCGCTAGGCATGAACCTTTGTACTGTCTGTGTCTGCTCTGAAGCTTTGATTAAGTTGTTTTGGGCTTCTGAACATTCATTTCCTAACATGCCAATAGCGCATATCACTGTATGTACTGAATGACATTCTAGATGTTGTGCAAGCGCAGAGATATCCTCATAGTCTACTTGCACATATTGTACACCGCTAACCGGGGACTCAACATGTTCCTTTCTCCCAATGTCAGCTTGGGAACGACTCGGAATCTTCGGCAAGTGTCTAGGGGGTGAACTGAAGTATTGAATCATACCTGTCGAGTCAACCCAATAACCGGGAACCTCCCCTCATTCAAGATCTGCTCAACGATCGTCTTTCCCACGCCGCCAGTTGCGCCTGCCACGGCAATTGTTGGAGCCATTGCGAGATAACTGTAGGGGATAAACCAGCTCCAACGCCCGCGTCTGTTGTATGCGGGGTTATCTCATAGCCTATAACACGTGAGTCGCTTAAGGAGCCCCTGTGGATTGCCCCCACTGAAGCCCAGATACTAGTTTCCTGAAGCGGCAACCAAATGGGCCTCTTCTGGGTCTATGGGTCTATCCACCTAGCCAGCCATCGGGAACTCCTTATCTACATTGGACCTTGGCAAAAGACAAATCACGACGATCGATATTGCGAGTGCAATTAACTGGTAATATCCCGAGATATGAGAAATAACGCATTGAAGCTTTTTGTGGCTTTGTTCTCGCACATACGTAGATGGACCCACTCCTTAGGGTTTACACGGGACGAAAGAAACCAATAGAGGCTCTTAAATGTCCAATAAATGAGGTCAGGATTGGTGGAGTTCCAATATCAATGACCTTCAAAGCGCTAATTTGGCATTAGGATTGGGTAGATGTAGGGACTCAATCTTAGGAGCTTCAATTTGTCTCAAGTGCTGTTACACACGTTCATCCACTAGTATAAAATTTGTAAAATCATAGCTAGGTCAATTTTTTGGTAAACCAATTTGAACCTTCAAGTTGGAATTAATCTGGGTTTCAAATAGGTTGAAACATAAAATCCGAGTCCCTTATATTAATGAGACAGATCTGAGTTCATTCAGTAGTGTCGGATTAGCTTTGCAAATCAGGGCTAAGCCCCGATCTCATCAATGCAAAATGTTGGTTCATACAGGGAGTTATATCCGGCTTTGCCGGTTAGCCCCAGGGCTTCCACTGACACGCTTCAACTTGAAGACTACTGTCATTTTATGGAAACTTGAATGGCTCTACCAGTATGTAGACTGAATATGTTGATAACATGATTTGAAAACCTGTGCATTTGAAACCACAGAAACTTGAACTATTCACTTCTTTAAATGTTACTATACGTCACGGTTCGAGCCCTGAAGAGGGGTAAAGAGTTGCCGGGTATCAGTCAAGAAATCATGTTCTAGAATTCGAAGTCATTTTATGTCATGGTCTATCTTCATGTTGAAACATTTGAAATAGTTAAGCTATGCTCAGAATTACAGACTTTGATCAGTATCAGAATCCGAGTCAGTGCCAAGCATATCGATCTCATCTTATGGTGACCCCATGACTCGGAGGCGTCATCTGTGGGCTCCGTATGGTTCCGTGACTCGGGCGAACCCTTCCGTGCATTTATGCACTTGAACCTTGACGTATACTAATATCAGTATATGATATACTATGAGCTGAAGAGATACAGATTGAAACCATTAACATTCTCATTGAAATTGAGCTGGGATGAATACTGTATTGATTTTAAAAGAATAGAAGTATGTGCAACTAACAGGCAATATTTCGCATTCACATGCACTTGAATTGAGCTATCAATGTAGCACAGTTGACATCGGCCTACCAATCAAGGCTTTAAACCCAGCGCAGATCTAGATTTGTCTAGATAATGTTCGCTATGATTTTCATGCAGAGTTGCGGGGATGCCAGCTGGCGTGAGCGGGGGTGAGAACAGTGCCTTGGTCTAAAAGATCCCAAAATTCAGTCAGCTATTTGCTCTGAAATATAGGATATTTTATGCTTGAAGAATCTAGTCGAATACTCCGAGTCAAAACTTGGCATTATGGGTGAAACTTCAACTTCTGTTGAGATAATCCTCAAATCTATCAACGACATTAACTCAGATTCTTTTGAAACCGATGGTGATCGAGTTAACGCACTTCTTGCTGCTTACGCTCTTGTAAGCCGCCTTGAAACACCATGGGAAACAGTTGCAAGAATAGTTTTGAATGAGGTACGCATAAAATTGTTGAGACTCTCTGGTGGCTAATGAAATGGTCTAACATGGTCTGATATGAACCATACAGCCCCTTTTGGCTGCAAGCTTAAAGATACTTGTGGATCTTCAGCTATTCGAACGATGGCAGGAGAAGGGCGATATGGTGGAAAGCTGTGATAATCTAGCGGGGATGGTCAACTGTGATCCCTCATTTCTTGGTTAGTTGTCCTACTAGCATGCACATCTGCATCTTTTTGCAATGGGCAATTGACAATCATCTACTATCTATCAAGGTCGCATCCTCCGTCATTTAGCCGCAAATAATCTACTGAAGGAGATATCAACAAACTTATACAAACCGACAAAGCTGACCAACACTCTTCTTCTGTCAAAGCATGGGGAGTGGATCAACTGGATGTAAGTCAGCCTCCCATATGAAAGAAATATGATGATTACTAATAATATCTCTGATTCATCACAGGTTTGATAATGGACTGCCTGCTGTTGCTAAGATGCCAGAGTTTCTTCAGAAAACAGACTACAAAAGTCCAACAGATCCAGAAGATGGCATCTTCCAGTACGCCAAAGAATACAAGGGGGACCTGTTCAAATACTTTGCCGATAATCCCCGCGATGGTGAATGTTTCAACCATTGCATGGGCGGTGTTATGGCTCAGCAAGTTAATTGGTTGAAACTGATACCTGTTGAGGAATTCTTGAGTGGAGCCGACCCGGAACTACCACTTGTTGTGGATATTGGAGGGAGTTTGGGCCATGATCTTGACAAGTTCCGACTTGCATATCCAGACACAGCATCCAAACTGTATCTTCAAGATCTACCTGAAGTGATTGAAAGATCTACATGTCCAAATCCAGTAAATAAAATGGCCCATGATTTCTTTCAGCCTCAGCCAGTGAAGAGTACGTACCCTTTTAATCTCAAGATCCTATTCTTGTCTATTGATGGCTCTCTGATTCAACTTAGAGATGCACGGATCTACTACATCCATGCCGTTCTCCATGACTGGCCCAATGAGCATGCTCGCAAAATCCTAGAGATGTTGCACGATGCTCTGAAACCAGGATACAGCCATCTTTTGATCCATGATTATGTTGTGCCTGATCAAGGTGCACATCGAAAAATGACTTCATATGACCTGAGCCTAATGGCAGCAGTTGCAGGGAAAGAAAGGACAAAAAGCGAGTTTTGTGATCTGCTTTATTCTGCTGGTTATCGCCTCGTGCGTGTATGGAGATCCTCTCCGGCTTCGCAGGCTATAATACAAGCAGAGCTTGCGTAGTCTATGGAGATAGATGACTCGGATCTTTTGCAAAGTGAAAGTAGTATCTGAAATTGGGCTTTTTGCTTCATTGATAACTCAATAAACAAGAATGGTCTGCGGTAGTTCTCTCTTCATGGCTCTTTGGGTTTATTTTCCTCTTTTTTTAGAATGAAATTGTGAGAAAGCACTCAAAGAGGGAGACATTTTGATAGCACAATCTTACATAGATAGTAGACGTGACTGCAAAGTGTCATACGCTTATCTATCCACCTCAATGTGGTGGTGTCAAAGAAATATGAAACATAATGTAGTATTCCAATCATTATCGCAAATTGAATATTTAGCTTCAGTAATATCAGCTGGGAAGTTGGCTAAACAGAAATTCACACACAATATCAACCGTTTGAACGTTTGCACCATATGCCTAAAGCTGATATGCATGGGTGGGTTTACTTTCTTTCATTGATACCTGGTTTTGTTTGTACCGTGGCCTTCAGGGCTCGGCGTTGTGCAAACAAAATAGAGCAAGACTTTCTTCTTTCCTTCAACCACTTCAATCCAGGAAAACAATTTCAAGCTGCACAGCTTTTGAGATCTCTCCCAGCTCAAAATGGATTAGTTAACCTTGACATGGGTCTTGTCTCTCTTGATTTGGCCATTTGCGATCCTGGCTCGCCCATTTGCGAAGAAGCCCAAGACTTACCCGCCGATACCGATTGAAAGCTTCAATCTCTATCCATATGAGACGATTGATGATGCACTTGTTATTGAAGAACAGAACAGTCCCAACTTCCATTCTGATCTGTACTACCCCTGTGACTATTGGCAAAATACTAGGTGGTCAGTATCAGGTTCATGGCAAGCTCAATTGGAGTCCGACATCGACTACATGGTTTGGACAAGATCTCTTGTAAGTCCTTACATTCAATACTCCAAAACACTTTTGATGAGCTAACCAGTTAGCACTGGACAACCTGTGTCCCTGAAGGTTTACATCAGTATCCCAGGGACAAATAACGAGTTCTACATCTATGATCTTATCCATCAAACCCGCAGTCATTCGTGGCACGAGGGCGCGAAGTCTATTCGAAACGCATCGAATTTGTTTCTGTTTCAAGGTGCAAAATTTCATTACTGGTGTCTCGTGCAGCCCCCGTTATTGCAAAACCTCGATCAGCTCCAGGGAAGCTTTCATACTGGTCGGGTGCCTTCCCAGCTGGCCAAATGTATCCTCAAACAAGTCTTGCTGGGTTTGGATTTTCTTCATCGGAAATGTGGTCTTGTTCATACAGGTAAGTTGGCTTAGAGGACACGCCGTGGCCGAAGAATAATGCTGATTGTACAGATATCAAAACTGAGAACATCATGGGGGTTTGGGCGATATTAACCTTTACCAGCAGTTTGTCTTGAATGAGTTGGCACATGCTTCAGCTCGAAAATTCGTCAACGGACGCCCGATCTACCTGTCGCAAATCTTCGATGCGACCAATTTTTTTTTGAAAAGGCCATGATATCTGAATTCGAAGCCGCCAAGAAAGGAGATCATAGTCATAATCTGTATTGTGGAACGGACCATTACCGGGCACCTGAAGTTATGTTCCTTGCTGATGGGACGTACCCCATTGACATTTGGAGTTTTGGAATCACAGTGAGTATACCGAGGTTTGAAATTTTTTGATCTGCTTTGTCTGATATGTGTTATCATTAGGCTTGGATGATTGTCCAGGGTGACTTTCTGTTCGAACATTGTCTTCGCAGAGACTACGGAGAGGAATGTCAATTTGTATGTCCGTGCCACTACGATGCAGACAGGCAGTTCGCAGACATCGTCCGGCTTCTTGGCCCACCTCCTGCGGATATCCTGAAGCCTAGAAGCAAAGCCCTTGACTATTTTGACCCAACTGGTAAGTGCAATGTATTCCTGAATCTGTATTGGCTCTTGAGCTAATTTTATTTGAAAGGAAAACTCAAGTCCGACAAATTCAATGTGGAGAAAAGAACCTTCGAATCGGCGGAGACAATTATGGATGAGGACTCGGAAGAGAAAGCACTATTTTTGGACTTCATTCATGGAATGATTCAGTGGAGACCTGAGGATCGGAAGATAGCTGCGGAACTACTCAAAGACCCATGGTTGAATAGCTAGAGGCCCTGCAGTGGAACAAGGCAGCTTTCGACTGGTTTATCTGGAGTCGAATTTCCAAATATGGCGGGTCAACGGGCATCTAGGCCCTCGAATGTGTTGAAAAATCTGCGCTATTATGTCAGACCTGAATAGCTACATGTGTGACGCAGTGGTCAGTTTAACTTGAGTTTTGAAATACAACCATTACCTGCTAGCAGTAGGGTGATCTATTAAATCTCTCGGTAGATCAGTGTCTCAATCATTGAATCCCATTTCATATCATACATCTCGACTATGTAGTTCTTATTGTGACTAACTTCTAGTTTCACGGTTGAATGGTTTTCTTCCATAAACAACGACCCTGAAGACGTTAGAAAAGTTTTACTGAACGGCAGCAAGAATTAATGAATCACTCACTCTTTCACATAGGAATGTAAATTCTTATCTCGAAGCTGCTTCTTGACCATAGCCTGGAAGATTCGGGACGGATCTTCACCCCATCCCAATACCTGAGTACATAACCTCAACCCATATGCTTCAATAGCCTGGTTGACTTGGATTGCTTGGTATTTGCCGATTTCCTTGAGATACGGGTCCCGAGGCCAGGGCGAATAAGGAAGAAGATAGGTGAACTGTGTGACGTCTTCAAACCCGGCTTCATTAAGCCACTGCTTTAACATATAATAAATGTTGAGTTCGCGGCCCGTTGCACGTCCTGCACTATCGAGGGCTTGCACATATTGAAAGAGTGGTGAATCCGCTGTTAATGAGCCATCATCACTCCAGGCCCATACGGCACTCTCTTGAATTTCGAAGTAGCCACCCGGTTTGACATGTTTATAAATTTGTTTAATAAATTCGGGCCAGTTTGCGACGGATCTAGAAAATTTAGTCCATAGTTAAGCCATAAATCCCGGGATAAATTGACGGACCCTGCTAGAAGTCGTGCGTGGATGAAATCAAAACTATCAGGCTGGTAAAGCCATTCATCTTCGAAGTTTTCCACGATAAATTCAATATTCGGTAAAGTCCAACTTGGCTGAATGGGACTTATATCGTTTCCAATAACGCGTGCTTGAGGAAACTTCCTTCGAGATTCTTAGCAAAAAGTTCGGGCTCTGCGATGTGAGAATGAGGCATACTCTGCAATATCCAAAGCCCAGATGCCTGTCCCAGTTCCAAGATCTAAGATCTTGCGAGGATCCTGGATCGGGGCTTTGTACAGCTCTCCTCTCATTAACATGAGCCATCTGATAAACAGGTAGTCAGTGACAGTGGGAATTCAGAACTTGATGTCAAGCTCACATATGATGTGCCTGCTTTATATTAGCCACGAGAGATAAGTAAAATGATCAAAAATTCCTACCAAGTCCATTCGGTCTTGTTCCTCTTCATCATTTGGCATCCTGTCCCAATTAGTCACCAGTCACCAAGGTTGACAGCAGGATGCTTGAGTAGAGTGATAGCATACATGTAGTTACCCTGAACAAAGTCATGGTTAGAGGTATGATAGTAAATAAAATGGAACATTTCTTACCAAGCTGTTACTGTGATATCGACGCCCATTCTCATATTCATATTCGAGGATACTGGATGACACAGAGGTGATATCAGACCATTCACTTTCAAACTCAGAGTTGTCATCCTAGAGACATTTAGGAAAGGTCGTCAGATGTAACAGATTAACATACATCAAATTCATCCACCTCAATTTGGTGGGAGCTCTGTGAGGTTTCATGCCCAACAGACGGGGGTTGGGGTGTGCTTAATCCGGATTCCGATACTGATGCCATCCCTTCCAGACACAAAAATGACGACAACTCGGGAATTCGGTGTAAACAGGTATCAATATTAAAAGGGCCACTCGAACCACATCAGTAAGATCAATTTTGAAAGATAAAAACAAAGGAAGAAAAGGGCAACGGAAATGTTGTGGGCTTCAACCCGAGAATCGATCGTCCACTAGTCTGGCACCCAAGCATGCACTGTGGCACTTTTGAGGACACCGGATAAAATAACCATCATTTCAGTGAATGGGGGGATAACCTACCCCCAGTTGACTAGGGCCTGTGCGTTCTGGCCAAAATTTGGGAAAAGTCATCCGGATAATTGCTCCTTACGTACGGTGTGGATAAGCTTCGGCATTTGCCGCACTGATTCTTGATGCATGACAAGAGACAGATCGAGTTCAGTTAGATTTACTGGAGGATCGGTATTTGTGCTAAATCTTGAATACGAAGAACTTAAACGAACGAAAAAGGAGATCATCCTATGCTGTACACTTCGTGGCGAAATATGGAGCAGTCTATTTCAAGTTCATAATCCCGGTTTCTTTTCTTTTCTTTTCTTTTTTTCTTCCAAGGTTTTTCTTTCTACTGTATTCTTCGGATGATCCCGTATCTCCGATCATTCTAGATCGGAATATTGTTACGATTCTTGAAAGTTCATCCAATAAGAGATCAATATAAAAGAGGATATACAAATCCACAAACGCCTCTTCACGCGATCTTGCAGTGAAAAAGTACCAGGATTTGACGCCAATCGCGCCCAGAATCCTAGATCGGGAAGAGATCGACATTTGAATACAAGATGCTGATTGGTGGACAGGGATTCCGAAAATACGCAAAATGCGAGGGATCGATAGAGCCAACTGTGGCTTGAAGGCGCCATATACCATGCAAACCTGGGCAATAGTGTGTCTTCACTGCAGTGCAAATTCAAATACCAATTACTAGGTACACATGCATAAGACCGTTGAAGCCCAGTCTCCTGCCAAGTTCCAAGATTGTTCGATCGATTCATTCCTGATTCTTTTGGACCCACAATATCTGGTTCCAAGGATAGATATCCGGAGCTTCATCATGATCAATAATCATCGAGTGACCAGTTGTTCAATTCTCATTCTTCAAGTTCAAGTTGTCATTCATGTCATACAAGTTGGCAGTAATAAGCCTCTATTCAAATGCATCCTTCCAAAATCCATATGCGTCATCCCCGAGTCCTTGTAAAATCAAGTCATATTCATGGCCTGCACCCAAGACATCCTTCCGGTAGTGCTCCACGCCGGCATCGGCCATCAATTTACTCAACAGTTGAATAGCCTCGGTGAGTCGAGTGTCATCTCCTCCAGATAAGAGACGTACTCGAATGGTTGCTGATTTAACTTGTTCCTTCTTCTCTCTCAGCAAATGTGCTGGGTGATTGAGATCGTAATATCCCTGATCTCCGCGAAATGTATCCCAAACTCTCTCCTTCGGTTCATTATCCAGTGAAGGCAAAATTGCTGGTGCAATTGGAGAGACTCCATGAAACAGTTCATTGTAGCGGCAATCTAGATGCGCAGCACCGTATCCACCCATGGAGAATCCTTCGATTCCGCGCTTTCCATTGGTACGGAAGGTGGAGTCGATATGCGGAATGAAGTTCTGAATCACCACATCCTCGATCGGGAATTTTCCATCGATCGAATTCAAGTACCAGCCCACTGGCAGCGCTTGGGAAGAACAATAATAGTCGGAGGAATTTTATCGGCATCCATTGCAGCCCGGTACATTTCTACAGCTCCCGCTCCTTGACTTGCGCGGGACATGCCCCCATGTAGCCAGATCAATACCGGATAAGTCTGGGTGGTGTTGGTATTGTAGCCAGGGGGCAAATGGTACCAGTAACTTCCTTGAGTATCTTGACCACGTACAGTAGTCTCATAGATTCCGTCCTCGATATTTTTTGGGCCATTCTCGGGGTCATATGGTTCAACCCACTCGTTGTTCATTCGATCAAGCTCCTCGGGTGTGGGGAGATAAGGTGGCATGGTTGTTGTGGTTATTGTGGTTGGTGTTATGGAATGTGGCTGGTCCTTTTGTTCTTAGCGACCTTAATGCTTGTTCAAATGTTGTTGGATTTAGTACACTTATCCGGCGATTCACTTGCTGTTGTTAAATAAGAACTTGTACAGAAGCCCTGGAGTACTACGTATTAGTAGGATCGTGAGGCATGACGAAGCAGTTGTGGGGCCAAAACTCCTTAGTGACGGACATTCCGTCTTCATCTCCGAGCTTCTTTTTATCGTGGAACCCCCCTCAAGCTGAGCTGCTAAACCCCGGATTGAGGAACTTTGGGGTGATTAATGTGAATACTTGATCCTAGTCGTGTGTTCTGGGGTCCACACTTCCATTGTTATCATTCCAGGGTCCAAAATCCCCCACAACTCGCTGTCCTCCGTTGTTCGTCCGTTGCTTAGAAAGACAACAGGCATCCGACCCAGCTACGGGTCTCGGAGTCTCCGCTGTCGTCTGTTCATGCATGCATATCCCTGTACATCATGTCGTCCTTTTCACATCTAACCGAGGGAGATCCGCAATGGAGTGCGGCCTCCGGACGGCCTTTCCAGCAATTTGATCCATCTCCTGCTGGCGAGGTGACATCCATAGTGCCATCTCACAACGTGGGGACCCCGGCCTCAACGGCGCGTGACTGGAGTGATACGTCAGCAAAGAGGTCATTCGCTAACATAGTACATCCGGAGAATATTGAAGGATCCCGAAGTAACCAGAAACCGGGGGTTGAATCGCCCTTAGAGTCACAGGGGGTCGATAGCGAAAATGAAGATGATCCCGAAGAGAAGCATCGCGAGTCCAAACGACCACGAATGGCAATTTCGTGCTCTGAATGTCGACGAAGAAAAATTAAGTGCGATCGCAACGTTCCCTGCATGGCGTGTGTGAAAAGAGGTGTGCCTGGCTCGTGTAAGTGGGAAAATGCCAAAGTCGAGCCATCCCCGCAGCCTTTTGCTCTAAAGACTCAAGTGGATGAGCTTCAAAAGCGTCTGGATTCTCTCCAAGAAACACTTCAATTCTTGCCATCGGAGATTGTAAAGGCTGTGACTGTGGCGCAGCAACAGTCAAGTGTGACTTCGTCTCAAGTCAAGCGCAGTGTTGATCAACCGGATGTTGCAAATACTTCATCTGGAGAAACACACCTCCCTACAAAGGAATCTGAAAATAACAAGAAACTTCCTGTGACTTCTCGACCATCACTCAATACCTCCAATCTCACATCTTCTGCGGCTCCTACCAATGGCCGGTCAAAAGAACTGACCGACTTCTATGACGACGCGGCGGAAAATGCAGCAGTGGTCTTAGAAAGTATCGCATTCAATCCACAAGCAGCGGAAGGTGGTGGTAGTAATGACTCTATGATCTCTCACGAATATTGGCGAGGCAATATGCTCACTCCTGTCTCGGGCGCAGCTCTCGCTGGCAATGCAAAAAATGATCCACGTCGGTCATATAGCCAGCGACAGCAACAAAACCAAGAATACACGACTGCTTTGACCAGTATAATGGCTCCTTCTCTGGATGTCGCCCTCGACCGATTCAACCCCGTGCTGATGCAGCAACGAGGCCCTGAACCGGATACCCCACAACAGCTTCTCAAAAATAGATTTGATGCTATGAGTAGCATTCTCGAAAATCTGCCAACTGCCCGTCAGAGTTATTACTTGATTGAGCAATATAAAAATATCATCCACTGGCGATCCCGCGTTCTACAGTAAGTATCTCCAGTGCTCTTGGCCTCTGCACCCCTTTTCATAAAAGTTGAATCAATTTGCTGACTATTCGCGCTGTTCAAAGCTGGCCTTCATTTCAAGCAGAGCTAAATTACTTCTGGGAGATGATGTCTCAGCAACGCCAGAACGAACTTGACCCGTTGTGGATCGCTGTCTTCTATATGGTGATGGCTCTGGCATTGGACAATCGCTCAACTGCGCCAACAGGACCAAACCATCCTTTTCATGGCTATACTCATCAGCGGCTCAATGAGCTTACTAGCAAATTACACGCAGTGAGCATGAAGGCACTCTATCTTGGGGATGCTATGTCTACTCCCCGAGTGAGAACGATACAGTATGTGAAGACTTCCCCAGCTTTGTGCTGTTGCATCAATCCACTAACGTCCTATATTCAGGGCTGTAATTTTATTCAACCAATTTTTTCAATCGTCAAGTGCCTGGCGAAAAGCTGATATGATGCTCCACTGGAACGCGTTGGCCATCCGGACAGCTCAGTTGATGGGGTTACACCGACTGGGCAACAATCCAGAAACGTAGGTTCATCGAATTTTATACAAAGAAATAACCTCCCATTGTGGATTGATCCGTGCTAACCAAGCCTCCGATTTTAGAATGCCTCCAGACGACCCGGCTTGGCCTCCTGGAAAGAACGCCGTCAAGCGTTACATGGCGCTGCGAGTTTGGATGATGCTACAGTGGGCAGATTGGATGTCCGCATCCGCCCGATTTCGTTGTTATACAATTCAACCAGATCAATGCACGTCACAAGTTGTTGATAATGTCAATGATTGGGAACTGTCACCTACAGAATGGCGCTATACACCACAGCCTCCGCATGTTGTGACATCGAGCTCCTTTGAGGTTTACAAGTGGAATATTGCTAACATGCTTCGGCAAACTTTTGATAAGCTGATCACTTACGCTGATCGCTTTTCATATTCTACTGGTTGGACTCACTACCTCTAAAGACTTGATGGATTTCCGCTGACCGCCAATTTTCTGCAGTTTTGGAACTTGATGCTGGATATCGAAAGATCTTAGAGAACCTACCGTGAGTCGAGATTTGCCTTGATATTTGCTTATGTCCGGAGCTGACATTTGAATTTTCGACGTCAAGTGAGGCGTTCCAACGAGAAAGTCCGGCAGTGGATAGAAGCGATCCAAAGGTTCGACGACAGCGAAGTATGTTGCACCCTATAAAAACTCATTTCTTGGATATCGAGCTAAAATATTATGTCTTGTGTTCAGATATTGCACTAGAGGGCGTGAGTCTCATTGGTTTAGATCTAAGCTTGCCTATGCCTGCTAACATCACACGCAGATACATTCTCGCATTGTCCGCTTGAACAGACCTTTTCTCTCCCGAGCTTACTCGAAAGGCTCCAAGTTCGCATATTCTCGAGAAAATTGCCTTCATTCAGCACGGATCGTAATAGACTGCCACTACAATTTGCGAGACCTGACAACAAGTGGCTCATTATGGTAAGCTATCTTGAGACAACTCAAAATCCGACCCAAAGGGATTCTAGAGTCTAACTTTCATCAGGTTTGTATACTCGCACACTTTGAGCGCAGCGATGGTACTATTCCTGGACTTGTTTTGGTCCATAGATCAGTAAGTCCTCATCGATAAACCCCTAGTAAAAAAAAAGCAATGCTAACCAAAATTCTCACAGCAACTTGCCCCCTGCCGAAGTTGACGAGAAGACGCGCACCATCTTCATGGTTGGTGAAATATTCTCTATGTATAGCGAAATTAGCAACACGCCTCTCCGCCGGATCGTTGAGTCTGCATTCCGCATCATCAGGTAATTGCCCAGAACATGCAACCCGCATCGATCCCATCTAATTTGACCCGCTTTGACGCAGCGAACTCATCTCCGAGAGTCAATCGCGACGTTCTGCGATGGAAGCCCGCAACTTCAACATGTCTAGTCCACAGCAGCCATTCATGAAGCCTCCTCCCTTCTCTGAGGTTTTGCGGCGCATCTCCCGCAACATGACTCTAAGCAATAATAGCTCTAGGCTGGCAGACTCCGGTTCTACCGCCATGATGGCCTCTCAGCTGCCGTCTTCTTCCTATCAGCAGAGTCCTTACGCTGGTGGTGCATCAGCGAAAACATACGAACAACCACCCTTACAGGACTTCCTCAGCTCTGGTTTCTATAATGCATTGGGCGTTCAGGTTCGTCTTATTCAATGACTCAACTGGACTTCCACTAACATAACAATCTTAGGATGAGTCGGATCCGACATTTTCGAATCTTTGGAATCTTAACACATCTCCTGAGAGTCAATCCGATTTGTCATTCCTCAATGCGTACCCAGGCGCTGGACCCGACGTCGGAGATCGATATGGTCTATGGCACTTCTTTGTTGGACAGGATGTCCTTTGAAGTCGTCCTATGAGACTACGACTAATTTCCTTTCCACTCTTCATCTTTCTTTGTAAATGATTACCCAATTCTGTGATTTATCCCCGGAAGCCGGTTAAAACTGGCGTTTTTACAATGAAATTACGATATATGACCATTGCACCATAATTCCGCTTCCAGTATCTCGTCCTCTCAGTGTATGTTCTAGACCACTATCATCTCTACATCATCCCAGCATCAAATTTCTTCGTGGACTCGAAATTGGGTATCCAGGAACACCGGTCCTTACAATATAGCTCCACCATAGGCGCCCACTCTTCTCCCTCCTTGAAGTCCATCGTTCCCGATGCCATGATTAGGTGACCCTCCTCCATGCCATTGACAACTCGCGTCGTATATATGGTTGATCCACAATTCGAACAGAATGAGCGGTTGAGCATATTTCCCGAATCGGTTCCACCATCTTTGAATGTTTTGATGATCGCTTCTCCGGATAGAACCCGCACTTGCTATTGAGGATTCAGTATGCGCCCGTGAGATCCAATACAGATAGTTCAACCTACCGACTTGCTATACAATGCATTGGCCATGAAAAGCGATCCGGTAACCTTGCGGCAGTTGTTGCAATGACACATAATATTCACCATGCAGTCGCCGGTGATTTCGTAGCTAACTTGGCCACACAGGCAGCTGCCTGGTGTGACTTTCTCTTCTTGGACCATGGCGAAACTTGGGTGCAATAGAGAACAATGGAATTTTGAGGCTCTTAGGTGACTTGACTTGAACATTGAGCGAAGGAAGTAGAATTAATACTCTTGACTCAGAGGGGTATTGATTATTCTTAGCGCGCCGAGTCGGAGTCGGTCCACGGCATTAATAGCCCCCGGCCCGAATACCGAATATCGACACCAAGATTCGAGATGAAACAAGCTATTACAACCCCGGGCCATCTTATTGGTATGACTGATAGGACGAAAATATAAAGTTTTCATATGCTAGTGCTTATTTTTAAATATTGGGACTGAAAGAACCAATCGTATGACCAACTTCACACCCTGCAACTGGAGGTGCAAACTACCAAATCTATGATATGCGATATTTTCAAGTTCTTCTCTATACTCTAGCGTTCCTTTGCTTCGTCCAACATAACAGTCAATCCACTTAATCATCTCTTGCCACGAGGCGCCCCAGCTGCGGCTGCTTTCCTTCTAGGATCCACGGTGAACAAAGTCCCAACCTTAGCAACGACTAACCACGCTGCCAGTATGGGTAGGCTAAGTGATAAGTCATATGCGCCACCCTGAGACCATATATGCTGTTCCGCAAACCACATAGCGCGTGCAGGAAAGAAGTAACTGACGCGGAAGAATACATTAGATAGCTCTGGTGGTGAGCCCGCACTTGTCACTGTAGTTTCAGTATGTCAGTATCTAGTCAAATTTAGTGTCCAGATTGGAGGGAAACGAACCGTTTGTAATCATCCAGGTAAACATGCAAAATGGGATGTATTGAGCAGGTACAAATGCCGTAACGATATCGAGAACGTCGAAAATAATGACTGAGAAGACGGTGTATAGTGTCCATAAGGAGAAGAATAATTGGGCGTTTATGGGATATGATTCTTTGAATGTCATTTGCCAGGATGTTACAAAAAGACCCGCAAAGATAGCCCATGCAGTTGATATTGGGAGTCGTGTTTTGAAGTAGTTCATTCGAGAGACACCCTTGAAGAGTCCGAAAGCCATGCTGAGGCCATTGAGGGACATCAGGAACTAAGAGTGTTTAGATGTTAGCTTTTTAGTTTCTAGCTCAGTTATGCATGCAGAGACTTGTTGGAGAAGCGTACGAAGAATTGACAAAGGACCACGACCACGATCATAAGAGTGTTTAGTAAAGTACGATTGCCAAATGTAAAAGGTCCGTAGCTAGTATCAATAGATGTATATCCAACAGGATTCAGAATTGTTTGTATTTGCAAGGATGAAAGTGTGGTTTCGTTCACGAGAGATTCACTAAGGAAGGATGCGATGTTGTGTTGCATGTAATAGGTTTTGGCGGAATCAGCCACGCTCTCAAGGTTTTCTGTGACGATTTCGGAGTAGAAGGCCGTGTAACGAGCACCTTATATGAGTTAGTTCTGATGTATAACAAAGAATGATGATATTGAGCCTCACTATTTCCAACAAGGACATAGGCGTCGTCCGCCACATACTCTGAAGAATTGGCACCTTGGATCGCTGCGTCAAGTCGAGCTGTGGCATTGGCAGTGGAAAAGATTGCACCCCAATATTTACCCACAAAAACAGCTCTTTCAACTTCCTGTACATTGTGACTCTCAGCTGTAACGATGATATACGTTGGGTTGGTCCTTGGTCGATTGGCTTCATTAACAGCAGCTAGGAGAGCACTCCCCACAGAAGAGCCGTCATAGTCAATAACTAGCATTTTTGTACGATTCATATTTTCAGACCCGCGGTAGTAACTACCCAGGAGCCAAAAAAGATTGACTTTTCATCGCAAGTTAGTACGAGCTCCATGATCCTGATCATTTGGTGAATATTTACCCCAGAAAACAACACTGATCAAAACACAGGAGGTTGCAAGTTTCTTGTAAAAAAAGCACTCTACGGTTTGGAGGCGACTTTGACGGAGATGATTGCTCGCCTCTACGTTCAAGGTCCAAGCCCTTTTCTCCATCTGATAGGTTGCTTTGATCCTTCATTTTTACCGTAGCGCCTCTCTCTTTGAGAGCGTGGCTTTCAACAGTTTTTGATGACTCTGACTTGGAAGAATTCATTTCAGGGGTTGAGAAACAAAATAATTGTGGGTGAAGGGCTACAAAATTTCCAGAATTATTGCGAAAATAAACCCAAGCTTTCCCTACTCTCTCTAGCTAGTCCCACATCGCTCATGTAGCTGATGTGGGCCGACATTTGACATGTAGCGAATGAAGTATGTGGATATGATCAACGGGATTTACGAACGGAGAGTCCGTTGCATCTAGAACATGCCATAAATGAGTCTGGACTGGTAAAATTAATCAAAATTTTATTTATTTCGAATTGGTTGGATGTTTACAGATTTGAAAAGAAATGCTGGGTCGCCTTAACGGAGATATGGACGGAGAGTCCGTTACTGTTAAGTTCATGATCCTGGAGCTTATCCGTTCGGTAAATGCGATAATGCGGAGACCCCAGAATATGATTATCCGATCTCAATAAGCTCAAACTTAGTCTATCGCCCCCGCATACATGACACGACAGCTTCATTCAGAATGCGAATGGCTTCAGCTATTAATTGAATGGTGCTGGCTCTCAGGTGAAGATGCGCTTGCTACTATACAATATCTTGGTTTGAGGTTTGTCAAACATCCTAGGGCTTCTTCCAGAGTTTCAGTCACCTTTGTTCTCACTCGGTCTTTTGTCTCATGATGGTTGAAGAGAAGTCAAAGGAGGATGTGGCTCATATTGAGATGGCACTCAGTGAGACTGACGCTGCTGACAAGGGAGGTGGTGTACTCAAGACTGTTGGCTACAGTACTGCAGCAAAAGAGGCACTTAGAGAAGCCGATAGCCCGTGGATTGTGCTAAAGGCAAATCCTCGAATTGCGTGTTTTATGACTTCAGCCCTAGTAAAAATATTATTCTGATTCCCATTACTCTTTATCTCTGCTGACTACTTGAAAGGTTACTGGAATCATCGTCGGCATTGAGCTCAACATGGCGGGAAACATGCTGGGTATCCAATCTTTCTGTCGTCAATTCGGTCACTGGGATGCCTCAGAAGAAGCCTATGCCATTCCTGCGCATATTATCTCAGTGTATGTACCCATCTCAGAAGCCGAACTTCGTTTTCACATACTAAGCATTCCGAAAGTTGGGCAGCCGTCTCGTCGCCGTTTCAACTTTTAGGTAATTTTGCAAGCGGATATCTCGGAGACTTCTTTGGTCGCCGTCCTGTCTTATATCTGACTATTATGATCTGTGTTGCGGGTGCTTGTCTCGAATCTTTCATTACCAATTGGAAGGGCTGGCTTGAGGCAAAGATTGTGATGTGTCTCACTACTGGCCTTATGCAAGCTGGGGTCGCAACTTACATTTCAGAGATAGCTCCACGAGAGCTTCGGGGTATTGCTCTTGTTGGAGGATTTGGATTTGGATGTCTACGAGTGAAGAAGGCCAGAAACACGTATTGAAGGAAGCGTGAGGAGGGAAGGATCTCCACGTGCAAGTGAGAGCTAGAGTATATGGCCGCAGTGGTCCAATATCTACACGCGTAACGCGCCGGACCACTGACAGCTCTATCTACATTCAGCATGTTTAGTAAGTAAGCCAATATTCTGTCATCTAACTGACGATACTAACTCTAAATCTAGTGAACATGGGGAACCTATTCTCGGTTTTGATTTCGTACGGCACTGAACATGCATGGCCTTCGGTAACAGATGAAAGAAGCTTCCGAGTTTCTCTTAACACTTGCATAGCTCTTCCAGTGCTCATATGCATTGGCTTCCTAGTGTTTATTGCCAAGTCTCCAAGTTGGCCGGTCTTACATGGTCACCATGAGAAGGCTAGAAAGAGTCTGAGATGGCTTTACCCACGAGACACTGAGCAAGCCCTCGACCTCAAGCTGGCAGAGATAGCATATACAGTTTTGAAGGAAGCCGAAAGTGAGTTAGAGGTAAACAGATCAAAATAAGATTGGATTGGAGATGATATTGGCAGTTCTAACTCACGTACATCGCAGGACAAGACGGCTGGTTATATCGACTGTTTCAGAGGCGTTGATCTACGACGGAGCTTTTGCGCTATCTTTCCTGCGCTTTCACAGCCATTTTATGGTAATGTTATTTGCGGTCCTTATGCAACATACTTCTTTTCGATGGTCGGTTTCAGCAACTCTCTATCCGCGACTGCCATCGTTCTCTGCGGGTATCTCCCGTAAATAGTCCCAACAGTTGTTTTATAAGCGGAACTGATTCCTCTATCCTATCCTAAAGGTTTTGGATTTGCATGCAATATCGCCGTCTTCTTCATAGTTGATCACAGACGTGTTGGGCGTTGGGCAATTCTCTTTGGAGGTCTCACGCTCATGTTTATCGGCGAGCTTGGTATCGGACTCGTGGGATCAATTGAACCAAATGTGAAGAGTTCTTCAGCCGCTAGCGGGCTCATCATATTCTTCGTTTGCATTCTTGGATGTGGGTCATTCAGTGGGCCTGGTGCTGTGGGCTGGACTTATACAGGCGAGTCTGGGAGCATGCACCTCCGCGCGAAGACCAATACACTAGGAAATCTTGGGAATGCGGGAATTGCCTGGGTCTTTGTTTCCACTGTTTCGTATATGATTGCTGGTATGAGTCTGAGTATTGGTAAGATACCTCGAACCACAATTCTTCTTAGAGAGACTAACCCTTCGCGAAAGGTTATTTTTATGCTGGAATGACGGCCTTGAGTATGATCATTGTCTATTTCTTCATTCCTGATTATAATGGCCGAAGCTATGCTCAGATTGATGAGCTTTTTGAACGTCGGATTCCTGCAAGGAAATTCTCGAAAATTGTTTGCACAGGTGATTATGGACATGTGGCTTGAACAGAAGTCTAATGCGATGTTTGAAATGAATTATGTACTTATCTTCATGTGACTCATATTAAGTATGTCAAGGATGCGCCGAACACAACCATTCCAAGGTACCAACTTGACAGGCGATGAATCCCCGATAGAGCATCGGAAGTGGTGCCACAGCAATCTCCATTATAAGTGACGTTATTCATCTCTGCGGCAACTTTGAATACTGACCCAGCAAAGTTCCCATCGTTGTAATAGTCGACCAGCAGGAAATTAGGCGCTCGGTCCCATTTGGCTAATAAATTAGTGGGAATTCATAAAATCTTCGGGTTTTTTATAGACTTACCTAGACAGTTATTGGCCATCAGTCCTAGGCTTCCGTAGCCAGAAACTGCATTGGTCACATTAATTTGAGCTGAATCTGGGATCAAAATCTCGGTACCATCTAGAACAACCTCGAGATTCAGGTTATGGTTGGCCATGTACATTCTTTTCTCGGCTTCAGCGGCCGTGATATCTGTGGGCCGTTGAACCGTACAGGGAAATGTACGGTTGATAGGGGAGAACGGTGTCTCCCACATCTGAGAAAATTCATCCAAGATATAAGGATAGACCTCCTGGTCGGCTTCATAATCCATGAACACCACGGCGCGTTTGCCGCGGAGAATCATGTCAGATAAAGTTGGCCAGTCATCCAAGCTCATGGGGATCTTCCACGGTTCATAGACGTAGTCGATGAGACCGGAGTCTTCGATGGGTGCACTGAAGTTCCCTGGAGAAACGTAGTCGGAATTGACAATCAAAACTGTAACAACATCATATGGATGCTTCTCTATCCATTTGGTGACGGTTTTCAGGTAGTCCTCCAAAGTTCCCATGTTCAGAAGGTCACAAGAAGTGTGGCACAGATAAATGTCATCCTCGTAGTAGTGTGCCTCGAAAGAGACTGTCAATTGTTAGGAAGGGTCCCAAAATACCTCTTTTGGGGGAAACACCACTTACCCATTCTAATACCATCATCCAGTTGCGTAGTCACATCATAGTATTGGTTCGATGCTATGTTGTTCTTTTTCACGAATGGGCTGTTATGGGCCGTGACCATGGTTATGTTGGAGTACTGCCTTGCGCAGAACTCAGTATATCCGTTACATGCTTGGGTATTGACAACACCGGATGAAGAAGTGGTGGCAGTGCTATTGGAACTGGAACTGCCTGTTCCGACAATCACCATATCCGTCGCGGAAGTTGTTGTAGCAGTCGAGTTGCCCGTTGTCGTGGCATTGAGTACGGATGAGACAATTTCGGTGGTTGTATAGGTGATGTATCCGCCGGTAGGAACAGCAACTAATGTTTCTGATGTCACAAAGATTGTTTCACCACTTGAGGTGCCGGAGCTGGACGATGTAGCCGAAGTACTTGAGCTTGTCGATGCTGTCGATGTAGTCGTCGTATCACTTGTAGTCTCTGTGGTCGTGTCATCCGCGGTGACCAGGCCATTGTGAAGAATCCATAGCACCCAAAAGAGGTAAGATCTTCGTGAAGATCTTCATATCGAAGGATTTGATGAAGAGATAATTCAGTATCTCTCATGTACACACACAGGCGCTCTGTCACTCGCTCTGTGTTTCTGCTTCTTTTTTGTTCCCTTCAAGTTCTGCGCCCAAAGGCAGTGACGTCAGCTCCTCAATGAAATCTGGGAAAAAAGGCCAATAGTTCCGTTCAAGATGACGCGTCACTTCAGGCACCCACTAATGGCATAGGGACAAAAACCACAGGGGGATGAACTTGAAACGGATCTGAAGATACTTGAATGAGAGCAGAATGGTTTGAAAGTTCGAATTTTTTTCAAAATACCGAAAAATCTCGACATCGGTTAGATATTTTCATTATGCAGAGCGGAGTAGCCGGGCATGATTTTATGCGTGCTTCCGCATCCAAACCTTGGAATCGTGCATATACTCGCATCGAATGATGATCGTCAAATAGGAAATTTTGTTCACTTCCAAGGTTCACTTCGCTTGTAGAATATCGTGGCCACTGACGTTATCATAACTGTTCATGAGGCTCTAAGAAGGTTTGCCAAGGTGATCTTGGTATATGCGGGAAACTCGGGATCCCCAAATGAATTGAGAACTCCAAGTCATTCATGATTGGGGAAATAAGCGTCGTAAACTTGAACCTTCACATAAAAGATGGCCATTTCTCACAGTAATGGCCAAGTGCAAATAATAATATTAAACGACTTGAAATGTCGAGTCTTGAAACAGCTACATAGTAATAGTCGGACTCGGATGGATCATGATAGTATATATCCACATGGATCTGACCAAAAGACTACCCACTACTAGTAGTAGTACAGGCACTGGCAGCTGGAGTAGGATCCATGTGCTAATAAAAGTACCTACTAGTACTAGTACCTACTACTAGGTACTCCGAGTCAGACTTAAACTTGAATTACTACTACGTAGTACTAGTATGTCCCGAGGTCATATGCAGGAGAAGAATCGAGTTTGACTATATAAAATATCGTACACATCAACGGGGTCTTAGAAATTGGACCGGGTATTTTTTAACCCCTCATTAGCCAGCCTCAAATTCATCTCATACCTCAAGAACGCCAAATATGATACAGGTTTATACAAAGGGATAAAACATGCAAATCTAAATCAGAGCTTGTCCACGGAACATGCCCTCCCGGACCTCACGAACAACGTCCTTGCGGTCTTTCTTACCAACCAGGACGACACCACGACCACGCTTGCCCATGCGACCCAGACGACCCAGACGATGAATGAAGTCAACAGTGGTGTGTGGGACATGGTAAAGCAGCACGGTTTTTACCGCCAAAGTATCAATGCCTCGGGATGTGATGTCCGTGGTGACAAGGACTTTGGTGTGAGGTAGACGGCGGACAGCCTCAGATCTTGGGGTAGGAAGCTCCAGAGGAATATCCTTTTCCATGCGAGCTTGTTTCTTCGCAAGCATGATTTCCTCTGAGGTCGGTGGAAGAGTAACTTCTGTGAATTCCGCAAGAATTTCGTCTTGCTTGCGGGTAGTGGTATCACGAGATAGCGAGACAGCATCAATGCCCTTACTTTGGAGGAACTGCGCAACTTCATCTGCCTCCTCACGCTCGTTCACGAAAACAATGATCTTTTTGGTCTTTGGTCCCATGTATGATGAAAGGACGGGACCCCATGTTTCGCCGTCGGTTCCTTCCCCTGCCTTGCCAATTGACCAAATGACATCGGCACAGGCAAGAGAACGGTTTCCACGGTAAGGCTCCTTGTCAATGTCCACAACACCCAGCTGCACACGACGGGGGATGGCATGTAGATTCGGGGTGGTGAGGCGTCGAATGTCTGGGTAGCGCTTTCGAAGTTGGTTGTCGAGACTCTTCGGAATTGTGGCGGAGCAGAAAATCAGTTTCTTGAGCGAGGGAGCAGCCTTGTCAACTACTTCCATGGTGGTGGGGAGGAAAGAACGATCCATCAACGAGTCGGCTTCGTCGAGAACAAGATGGCTGACTCGACTGAGGATATAGGGGTTCGTTTTGGCGATAGATGCAAGGAGATGCGGGGTGGAAACTAAGACGTCGATACCGTCGGGGTGGAAAAGAGTATTCTTGATTCGGCGGGGTGTGAGGTTCGAGTGAATCATTCCCGACCGGTACTTGACAGTATGAGAAACGGCTTTCACCTTGGCTCCAACCTGGGCCACCAGCTCAGATGTGGGAACCAAAATGATGGCTCTAGGACGAGCTTCGTCTGTCATAGGGGCTTCTTCAGGTTCCAACTCGAATGTCCGGGTTTTCATTCTTTCTTCACGCTCTTTGGCCTTTTCTTGCTGGAGAATTTCATCTTCTTGTTTCGCAATGGCCTCCTCGCGTTTGACCGCATCCACGACAGGAAGAAGGTATGCCAGAGTCTTCCCAGATCCGGTCTCAGCTGCAAGAAGGTATTGGTCGTAGGTAGGCTCATCATCGGAAGGTTGGGTAGGTTTGTTCTTTCGTCCTGTGTTTGGATTTAGAAGAGCGGGAATGGCAAGACGCTGGATTGGAGTGGGGACGATGTCTGCGAGGGTGGGTAAGGCCGATGTGAAAATTGATTGTCGCACAGCGGGGAGGAGAGGCATGTGGTCGAAGCTGGTGATATTGGAAATTTTTGATTTAATGGCAGTTCGACGGCCATACGTCACGGGAGACAAAGTAGTTTGCATTTTGAGTGCTTTATACAACGGGGCCTCGGGCTTCTTCGATTTAGAATCATCACCGGAACGTTTGAGAGCGGCAGGGGATCGGGATCGCGGCGTGTCTTGAATGCGAGCCTCAGTTTGATTCGTTGCCGCCCATGGTCCATGTCGGCTTGATCGTGGCTTTTTTAACGAGGTTCTTGCAACATTAGGAGATAGGGACATGCGAGCGGACTTGCGCTGCAATCGCCCAGTGCCCATGGCTCGCGTGCTTTGCCATGTCGATAGAACTGCCGGCGAAGTGACAATGCTAGTCCTGGTTTGACATAGGAAGCATATCGAGGAGCGAACGGGTAGAGGCATTCTACCTGATCGACACGAAGTATGGAAGATTGGGAAGAGGAGTTATGTCGTTATGATTGTAGCAAGAGTTCCAGACCAAGGAAAAATCACGGGCTCAGGATTAATTTCTACACCATGCCTATCCGGGATTAGCGCCGATCATGGAACCTGATTCTTGAGGCTTGGATATCATGTGACCTTGATGATAGATTAGTCAGCGGGTGATGGGTCCCAAAACAGGAAAAGCGTCTATCCACCTGAAACACGTTGCTATGGAGACTGCCGGGACACTGTCAACAGTGCAACTTGCTTTGGGGTAACAATCCACTTTCTGATCCATGGAATAGATATCGAGATCGGATCCTCCCCCTCATCTTATTCTCCTCACATCATCCCTCTTTGAAACTCTCTTTGTACTTGACTTCAAGGTCTCAGAATTCGGTACCTGGCATTGTTTAGGTGACGCATTCACATTCTTGAGACGATCGACACGACTGTTACGTTTGCAAGGGAGGACTTACCAGGATTCGCTGGCGCGCAAACATTTCCCACGCGACTCCTGGTAGCATTGGCTAAAGGTATGTTTGGTGTCAGTGGCACGGATTGAGAGTCATCCGTTGTGTTCTCTTTCCGCCAACTGGCTTCTATTTTTGAGGTGATGAGCTGCAGCTGACAGCAGATAAACAGACAGCCTCATCGTTGTTTATACGGTGTGATCCCGGTATCTCAATTGCCATATCGATCGGCCAAGTTACAGAATGCCCGGTGGACTCGGCCAACGGCCACTCTCCGAAGTGAGCCCAATGGCTCAGCGACGCAATTCTCCCAGCTGGAACCAAACAAGCAAGGTAGGCGGATAAGGATGACTAGTATATTCATAGAAGCTAATGGTTTGCGACAGGGTGCCAGTGGAGAATCTCCCGCCTACAATGTCTCACCTTTGAACAACACGGCCACTCCGCGTCTGTTTTGGAAGGGTCGCGACTCTCCAACACCCTTTTCTAAGGCATCCGAGAATCGAGTGCCATATGATCCAGAATCCTGCAGTTTACCTCCCCGTCGGCCGTCCCTCGAAGACCTGAAGCGTGTTTCGCGCGTCAAGAACCATAATATGTTTCGCGAAAACGGCCAAGAATACGACCCCGCGCATGTATCCGTGCCTCACAGACCCCTGGCTTCTGATCGGTCCCCGAATCGCGACAGCCAAATGAACGTTGCCAAAGCGCAATTTACCGATGAAGAACTGGAAATGGAGTTTGCGAGACCACACTCTCCCAGCAAAGAACAACCATCCCCCGCAAAATCCTCCTTGTCAAAAGCGAGTCGTTATGGCAAGGGCTTTGATCCCCAAAGCGAGATATGGTCAGAATATGATAGTTCGGGCCACCGACATAACAAGAGCGTGACATTTGATGCTGCACCTCCTCAAGTCAATGAGTATGAAATGAGAACACCAGACCCATCTTCAGTCACATCAGAGTCCCGTGAAAACAGTTATGATTCCGAAGAGGATGATGAAGTCAGCTTTGAACAAGAATCTTCTGTGGAGCGCGACGATAGCTTTGATGCATCTCTGGAGGATATTGAGAAGACACCAGTTGTATTGCCTGATGAATGGCGCTTCATGAGTCCCGGAAGCAACCATGAAGAGGATGAATCATTTACTGAAACTGTGGATGAGGAGGCTGTTGAAGACCGTCCCATCTCACGTGAAGGTGGATCATCTCATCATGCCCGGGTTGAGTCTTTAGACTCTAACGGCGAGAGACGTCCTCTGCCTCCGCTGCCTTCCGTCTCCCGAATGTCTGGATCTCGTCCGACTTCATCGAGCAAGAGCGCGGGTTCCTTTGAACTCGGCAAGGGTAGTCTGCGCGGTTTGCCGGCTCCCCTTTGCCCAACCTCGCACAATAAGTCCGACATCACTTCTGGAATGTCCCTTGAGGATAGGCTTTCAATGATGATGCTGCAAGAACCAATCAAGTCTGATCGCAGCGAGGACAAAGAGAAGAACTCGTCGGAGAATTTCAACGAAAGAGAAAAGCCCGAAGCGCCCCATGTGGAGGATGAAGCCCATGATCTCCCGAAGGATGATGTTTTCTCTCCTCCAAGAATTTCTCGTGACTCAATTCTACGTGACATTCGCAAAACGGAGACCTATGAGGAGACTTACGAGGATGAAGACAGTTTCCAGGAAGATTCGCATATTGCGTCCAGCCCTCATCTTTACGACGATTACGACCCTGATGTCCCAATTCCCTCTCTTGAACTTGATGATGACGAAGATGATGACTCGTCAAGTGTCATTATCAAAGAAGAGGTCAACGATGATGAATTATACGCCATTCCTGACTACTACCAGAATTCTTCGGATAACAGTCTCTCTTCCCGTGACCAGAGAGCCAAGTATGATGAAGATAGTAACTACTCTCTCCGATCTGCAGCTGAAGCCGCCGAGAAGGAAAATAACGACAGGGGCTCTGGACAAACTACTCCAACTGCTACAGAGCAAAACGAAGTCCTTCCATCTCTGGAGGAAGAGCACGTAGAGGATGGCACCGCGACTAATGAGGACAAACACTTGGACATGAGTGCAATTCGTCAGTCTCTCGGACGCCCAACAACTCCCGAGATGAAGGAGGACCCAATCTCTGAGCCATCTACTCCGGAGTCGGTAATTCGTCATCCCATCGATTCTGAAGACGAAGAGGAGTATGACGAGGAGGAAGAGCAAGACGCTGAAAGCTCGTCCGATGAGTCGGTTCCTGAACCCATCGCGACCATCCGAGCTCCTGGTGCTGGTCTGAAGACGCGTCCATCATTAACGCCCGCTGATATGGATGCGATGGCTGCCACTCGACGCAAAATCAGTGGTCAACATGTGCCTCTAGTTCCACCCATGCCACACCTGACTAAGCAGGAATCTAATGATTCCCAGAAGTCGGACCAGGATGTTCCTAAACTGGATGTAGCACCTCAGCTATCACTGCCCACAACCAACCAGCGACAGTCCAGCTTAATGCAATTGGATATTCCATTTAGTATTCAAGAGGAGAGCCTCGGGTTTGGACTCACCAAGGAATTTGATCGTGTTATTGAGTCCCAAAAGGTTGCGTTTAACCTCGCGCTTTCCCATCTTGATTCTTGCCCTACACCGGCCACCCACATGGAACAACTCCCGGCTCCTCAATCCCCTGGATCTTCCACGGAAGCAATTTCACCGATACCCGCTAACACATCTTCTCCAAAACAGAGAGGCTACCTCATGCGTCAGAATACAAAGGTAGTTATTGCAAGCAACCGAAACGAAGAAGAGCCTGCCCTTCCAATCGACTCTTCAACTGAAGACCCCCGTGGAACCCGTTCAGCCGGATCTTCTCCCCGCAAAGCTAGTCAGCAAACTTGGACTACAGTCCCCTGGAATGGCTCCACTCGTCGTCCCAGCATTAAGATGGCTGGCAGTATCCCCAAGAAGAAGCCCCTCCCTGGTTCAATTCCTCCTCTTCCTGGCCACCCGAGCAATGTTCAGGAAACTCCAGCAACCATTGACGAAAATGAGCCACTGGGCCAAGACGCATACGAGGACGGAGAAGAACGCGGTCGTCTTTTTGTAAAGGTCGTGGGAATTAAGTACATTGATCTTCCTCTGCCACGTGGTATGTTAATTCTCCTGAAACGGTCTATTCTTACAAGGTGCTAATTCAATTCAGGTGAACGTTCTTACTTCTCTCTTACTCTGGACAACGGTCTCCACTGTGTGACTACCTCGTGGCTTGAACTCGGGAAGTCCGCTCCCATCGGCCAAGAGTTTGAGCTCATTGTTCAGAACGATCTTGAGTTTCAACTTACTCTACAGATGAAGGTGGATGAGAACAAACTATACCCACAGGAAACTCCTGGCTCTCCTGCTCGTCAAAAGACATCTGCTCTCAGCCGCGTCTTTGCCTCCCCCAGACGTCGCAAGGAACTGGACTTGAAGCAGCAAATGCAGACTCAACAGCAAAAATCCAAAGATGTAAATGCTCCAGTCTGGGAGCGCTTGAGAAATACGGTCGCACGCGATGGAAGCTTCGCTCGGTCCTATGTAGCACTGAGCGATCACGAAACCCATGCCTTTGGCCGTCCGTACACTGTCGATGTGCCATGCTTCAATGAATGGGCTGTTGATGAGCAGCCTAGCAGTGTGAAGAGTAAGAAGAGTGCCATAAGTATTACAGCTTCCCGCCGCCCTCCTTACAAGATTGGCAAGCTTGAGTTGCAGCTTCTGTTTGTGCCCAAGCCTAAAGGTGCCAAGAATGATGATATGCCGAAGAGCATGAATGCCTGCATTCGGGAGATGCGGGATGCAGAGAGTGTTTCTGCGCGCACTTTTGAAGGTTTCCTTTCTCAGCAAGGTGGCGATTGCCCGGTAAGTCACGGTCCAGCCAGGCGCATTCCTAGTTTTCTTTTACTAACTTTCACCACAGTATTGGCGTCGTCGCTTCTTCAAGCTTCAAGGTTCAAAGCTGACCGCCTATCATGAAACCACACGTCAACCTCGAGCAACTATCAATTTGGCCAAGGCTGCCAAGCTCATTGATGATCGTTCATCCTTGGTGCAGAAAGAAACAAGCTCCCGAGGTGGTGGCCGACGTAAGTCTGCCTTCGCTGAGGAGGAAGACGGTTACATGTTTGTTGAAGAGGGATTCCGTATCCGCTTCGGCAATGGTGAAGTGATCGACTTCTATGCAGACAGTGCGGTCGCTAAGGAGGGCTGGCTTCGTGTGATGTCGGAGGCCGTCGGCAAAGGATCCACATCCGGTGCTGGCGCAACCAAGGCATGGGCAGACTTTGTGCTGAAGCGCGAACGGAGCCTGAAGAATCGTCCTCAGACCGCTGACAGATTCCCTCCTACCGGAATCCCAGTTCCATCTTCGCCTGTCACACATCGACAGAGCACTATGATGGCCCCTCCATCGTCCGCGGGATCGGCGCAGGCGCCACAGTCCCCTCGGCCTCGACACAAGCATACCTACTCTCAACCTGAGCTACCCACTTCTGAGGCTCGCCGACAGAAGACTCGCTCTCTTATGTTTTAAGGCCACTTCAAAACGCTCGAACTGCACAAAAGCCCCTTCACTTCTTCTGTCTATGATGTCAAGTTGTCACAATAGGTTTTTTTTTTACTATCCCCGTCTTGTGGAAGCCGTCCAATAACTAATCTCTCCTTGTGTGTGAGATCCATCACCTTCTCTTCGTTTTCTTCTTTTTGTCTGCTGCCTTCGCTTCCCCCCCTCCCTCGTCATCCCTCCTTCACGGTGTTGATGTACGATCAGCTTCTTGATTTTCCATTTGTGTTTTCCTTTTTCATTCGGTGGTTTTTTGTAACCATGGCTTTTGTGTGTGATCGAGGGCAGCACGACAATGATATGACCCCTAGCTACAGGACACCTCCAGATGATTCCTTTGAGATCCTGTGGTACGTTAATGAGACATACACCTGGTTTAACTTCATGAGTTCATAGTTTACGGTCTGCAAATTTGTTTTAATTTCATCCACGTTTCAGCTTAAAAAGTAAATTACATTCAGTGTAACTACTCTATTGCCAGTAGCCTAATCTAAGATCCAAGGTGTATACCAAAACCTCTACTATGTGGGTATGATATGGCCTCGGTATGATTTTAGTGGTGACGTAATTCCCAAGCGAGCGGTCCAGCTACTGCCTACCCTACAGTTTTAATTATAATTATTAGAACAATAACGCCAATTTATTAAAATATTTATCTAAATATCACAGTGATCTGATCTATGTCCTTCTTCTCCACACTTTTTACATGTCGGCAGCTTTCTCCTAGCTGGCTGAGAGGGTAAAACAGGCGCCCTAGACCGCGGTACGGGAGGGGCAATGGGTGTTTCAATCACCTGTATAGCACGCTGTATAGCTTCCTGGCCCTCTTGAACTGTCATTTCACCCTCATTAGGTATCTGTCTAGTAGACCGTTGGCGCTTCTGCTTCTGCTTCTTGTGGGCGGCACGTAATTTACGTGTTCAACCTCCAATAAAGCTGTCGAATGTATCTGAATTTCACAGGCCTTAAGAACTTGATCGATTTGCTGTTTGAGTGGACTTGGAGGGCTTTTTGAACGTTGCTTTAGAAGAGCTTTGATTGAAGTAGCTTGCCGTTGAAGCTGAATAAGGTTCTGGGGTGTCTTGGGTGAGAATTGGCTTGATCGACTAGTAGGGCGGCTACCTAGGGGTGTAGGCGTTCGAAGAAGAATATTAAGCTTAGAAAGTACTTAATCTGGGTTGAATAGTACTAAACCAGCTGCTGTAAAGCTGTTTTGAATGGTTTGGGCTTGAAAAGCCTCTTTATAAGCGATTGGGTAGGCTTTAAGAAAATCAAATTGATCAATATGGTTAACACCAAGCCGTATTTGATTCTTAACAAGCCAACCATATACACATTTAAGAGGTATAAAACATCTAACATCAAGTAGCTAATAAAGATATAAAGAATAGGCTGGTATATAAATTAAATTAATATTATTCTCTTTATAAGTCTAGTTAAATTAGGGAGTTAAATAGCTCCTATAACCATCAAGAATCAAAAGTCAATATTTTCCAAGTATCCGTCTAGTTATTGCTGGGATAAAGTGTTTTTAAAGCCATTGAAGTCTAATTTTATCAATTATCCATCCATTTGGACTAGTTTTAAATCACCAATGAGATAGAAGATTCTCAAACCATCCTTTAATCAAAACTTTGCCTTTGAAAATAATTACTGGTGAAAGTACCTATCCAAAAATATCAATTGTTTCAATAGCTGTTACCTATTTACGATTTCTAGGCTGTAAAAGTAATCGCCGACCATAATATCGAGAACAAGTAATAACTTTAGCAGTTGCCGTAAGTCCTATTGTAAATCTAGTCTTATCAAAGTTATAGATATCCTTTGATAGAATACCATTCTCTTGAATTGTCTGAAAAACAAGATTAAACCATTCTTGAACCACTTTTGGATCCTCCATTTTCGCACGCTCGTAATTATATCGTCGAGAGAAACAGGTTGTAAGCTCTGAATGTCGTCTTACGAAGTTTGTAACCCAATTCTTGCCAACAGTTTGAGGGGGGGGTCTGGCCACGCGCTGTGAGTAGAATATTGGCCATTTCTTGGACGGTAGCCGGGCGGGGGGCAGCTCCACGTATATCTATAGAGATCACCTATTGGAGAAGTGAAATCTCTTTATTTTCATTTAATTTATGGTTATTCGCGCGAGTTTCGGATTGATTAGTATGGCCGGCAAGGCGGCGCCGTAACGTAGAGCGAGTTACACCGAATACATGTGCTGCTGTGGCTATTGCTGTGATATCTTGCTTCTTTATAGCTTTAATAGCAAGTAAGATTCGGCCTTCTTGACTGCCATTTTTTTCGGCCGAAACATGGGTGGTTGAAGATAGTAAGGTATGACGCGGGTGACGCGAACGCGGTCAGGTGGCCGCTCGCTTGGGGTGGCCGCTCGCTAGGGAATCACGTTAGTTAACCGTAGTTCCCAAGCAAGCGGGCCACCCAAGCGAGCGGGCCACCCAAGCGAGCGGGCCACCTCCAAACACCATAGTTGAGGCGATAAACTACAACTTGATATCTCAGCAACCACATGTTTGTTTTATTTTATTATTTGTCGATAGCTATTTATAAGGCCTGTGAGGACTCAAAATGAATTCCAAGGAAATATTGAAGCTATTTCGTCACGATACCGAAAATTACGTTGTTATGAGCCACAAATATATCTCTTGGAACTACCAACAAATAGATTTTCTCTTAACTTTCTAAAGGGGCTAAATATCACCTGATCATGGTCGGGTTAGGAGGAAAAGTATATAAAGACTGTAGTTGTTGAGATAGTATGTTGTAATTTATTGCCTTAACTATGGTGTTTGGAGGTGGCCTGCTCGCTTGGGTGGCCCGCTCGCTTGGGAACTACGTTAGGTCAACTGGTGATTTATTGCCTGGAAATACAGGCCTCAATTCATCCCTTAACTAACTAACGTGATTCCCAAGCGAGCGGATCACCCAAGCGAGCGGATCACCTACCACCTATTATACTACTTTAGATAAATTATTAACCACCATAACGCCAATTTATTAAAATATTTATCTAAATATCACAATGATCTGACCTATGTCCTTCTTCTCCACACTTTTTACATGTCGGCAGCTTTCTCCTCGTTGGCTGAGGCTGTAAAACAGGCGCTCTCCGCGGTGGTACGGGAGGGGCAATTGGCGCTTCAACCACCTGTATAGCACGCTGTATAGCTTCCTGGCCCTCTTGAACCGTCAATCCACCCTCATTAGGTATCTGTCTAGTAGACCGTTGGCGCTTTTGCTTCTGCTTCTCGTGTGCGGCACGTAATTTACGTGTTTCAACCTCTAATAAAGCTGTTGAATGCATCTGAATTTCACAGGCCTTAAGAACTTGATCGATTTGCTGTTTGAGTGGACTTGGAGGGCTTCTTGAGCGTTGTTTTAGAAGAGATTTGATTGAACTAGCTTGCAGCTGAAGCTGGATAATGTTTTGAGGTGTCTTAGGTGAAAATTGGCTTGATCGACTGGTAGGGCGGCTACCTGGGGGTGTAGGTGTTCGAAGAAGAATATTCAACTTAGAAAGCACTCGATCTGGGTTGAATGGTACTAAACCAGCTGCTGCAAAGCTGTTTTGAATAGTTTGGGTTTGAAAAGCCTCTTTACGAGCGATTGGGTAGGCTTCAAGAAAATCAAATTTATCAACATGGTTAAAACCAAGCCGCATTTGATTCTCAACAAGCCGACCATATGCACGCTTAAGAGGTGAAAAACATCCAACATCAAGCGGTTGATGTAAATGTGAAGAATGAGCTGGCATACAAATTGGAATAATATTATTCTCTTTGCAAATCTGGTCAAATTGGGGAGTTAAATGACTCCCATGACCATCGAGAATTAAAAGTCGATATTTTCCAAGTGTACGTTCAGTTGTTGCTGGAATAAAGTGTTTTTGAAGCCATCGAAGTCCAATTTCATCAGTTGTCCATCCATTTGGACTAGTTTCAAATCGCCAGTCAAGTAGAAGGTTCTTAAACCATCCTTCAATCAAAACTTTACCTTTGAAAATAATCACTGGTGGAAGGGCCCATCCAGATACATTAATTGTTTCAATAGCTGTTACCCATTCACGATTTCCAGGCTGTAAAAGTGATCGTCGACCATAATATCGAGAACGAGTAACAACCTTAGCAGTTGCTGTAAGTCCCATTGCAAATCCAGTCTCATCAAAGTTATAGATATCCTCTGATAGAATACCATTCTCTTGAATTGTCTGAAACACAAGATTAAACCATGCTTGAACCACTTTTGGATCCTCCATTTTCGCACGCTCGTAATTATATCGACGAGAGAAACGGGTAGTAAGCTCTGAATGTCGTCTTACGAAGTTTGTAACCCAATTTTTGCCAACAGTTTGAGGGGGGGGTCTGGCCACGCGCTGCGAGTAGAATATTGGCCATTTCTTGGACAGTAGCCGGGCGGGGGGCAGCTCCACGTATATCCATAGAGATCACCCATTGGAGAAGTGAATTCTCTTCATTTTCGTTTAATTTGTGGTTATTCGCGCGAGTTTCGAATCGATTGGTATGACCATTTAGTCGGCGGTGGAGGGAAGTAAAAGGCACGTTAAACTGACGTACTGCCTCACGGATAGAGCTAATTTCATTGTTTTTAATAGCTTGGATAGCAAGTAAGATCCTTCCCTCCTGTTCGATTGAATTTCGAGAGGTTTTAGAACGTATTGGTGGCATGGTAGGTGGTTGAAGATGGCTAGACGCGGTCGCGACGCGAGTTTTTGGTTGGGTGATCCGCTCGCTTGGGTGATCCGCTCGCTTGGGAATCACGTTAACGTAATCGGTAAGCGAGTGGTCCATGCAAGCGAGCGGCCCAGTCCAAAACACATAGTAAATGTAGTAAATTACACTTTCATTTCTCAACCAGCACAAATTAGAATGGATTTATATGATAGTACAGTATTGAATATATGTCTCTGAACGGATTTGAACAGTTTTAGGAAACACCAGGGTGTGAGAGTCTAGATATATATATTTTAAGGAAATTCATAAAAAATACGTTGTATTTTTGGTAAACGCAACGAATGCTTATTTAAATGGCTCCTCAGTTCGAGGTCTGACTAGAAATATAGTTAGTAGCTTACTCTAGAAGCTGTAACTAAATTTAATTTGTTGTGGTCGAGAAATGAAGTTGTAATTTACTACATTTACTATGTGTTTTGGACTGGGCCGCTCGCTTGCATGGGCCACTCGCTTACCGATTACGTTAACTGACAGTTAAGTCCGTGGCTCTGGGAAGGAAGTGTATCTGGGGATGGTTTCTTTGCAATTCCTTTTGATTTGTTATGATTTTTTGGAAAGTTCCAAGGTTGAACCTTCAAGTTTTCTCATCTTCTCCCAATCCCTCACTGGCACTTAAGTGTATAGTAGGGTGGCACTGACATCATGATACTCCATCTGGAACAGGTGGCTCCGTATAGCATATGATACTACGGAGTCCGACCCTCATGACCTTTGTTTGGTTGAAGGTTCTTCATGATCTAGGTACTTCGCAGAATTAAAAGCTCATATATCTTACTGAGTGACCTGTTCTGGATCTCAATCATCATTCAATGGCCCCCAGCCTGGGTTCAATTTTGGTCTACTGCATGGGCTAAGTCGCCTAATCCACGATTTCCTAGGATTGTCGGATATGTCAATATCATAGCGCCTTTCTTTTTTGCATTTTCGACAGGCATACATACAACGCATACTAGACCTTTCGCCTTCAACGGAGCCCTGGGATACAAGGTCCCTCTAGCGGCATTTTTTATCGAGATGTCAACAGACGCTTTCTACCTAGTTCGAGCTGCCTATATTGAGCGCTAGACTCAAGCCTGAGACAACCATGGAAACATTCGAAACTATGGACTTCTGTTCTCGCTTTAGTCACAAAATAAATCTGTGCTAAGGCGGACATCTGAAAGTTTGTGTGAAATCAGGGTTGGAAACTTCGTGATGATTTCAAATTTCGGTCGGAAATTTGATTACGGTCGGGGTCTATCGAGGGAATAATATTATTGAAATTAGAACACACAGGATGGAGTATCAATTTGTTCTAGGAAATTAAACAATGAATTTTTAAAAAGAGATCACAGCATTATAGCATCACTTCCCTGTGAGACCCTTAACGGCAGAGACGATATCATCAGGTCCAAGGCCCTGAGCATTGATCTGTTCGTACAGACCACCACAACCTTCCTTAATTGCACCAATTGACTTAAACTTTGGTGTCAGCTTGCGCTCCAAGAGATGGGTTCCTAGACGCGAGCCGAGACCAGTCTTCTGAGCAATAGACTCGACAACAAGGACGAAGGGGCTAGACCCATAGTTTTTGATCGCGTCCTCATCGACAACGTTCAGAGTGGGCTTGTTAATCAAGCCTACATCGATACCACTCTGCTTCAGACGCTCCACAGCGTCGAGAGACCGGTAGAGCATATCTCCGTATGAGACAATGTAACCAGCAGATCCCTTGCGGATGACCTCTTCTTTTCCAGGAACAAACTTGTAGCCTCCTCCATAAAGCTTATCCTCTGTGCCTTCTTTCAGGATGTAAGGAACCTTAGCACGGGTAGAGAAAATGAAGCGCATTCCGGTATTCCAGAAGACTTCGTTCACTACAGCCTTCATCTGCTCGCCATCAGCTGGGAAATACAATGAGGTACTCTCAGCATCCATTAAGCCGTTGTCGGCAAAAAAGTGGTTCAATCCGAAATGACAAGTGTTATCGGCCATCTCATCGACACCACTGTGTGAGAAATGAGACAAAACGGTACAGTTGTTCAGACGTGCCATGGTGATTTCAGAAATGCACATCTCGAGGAAAGCTGAGAATGTGGAAAAGACACCCTGGCGCTCGCCGTTACTTCCGAAGCCGAAGCCAGCTGCAGCTGAGAAGTTACCTCGCTCCATGACACCGCTTGGAATGAAGACTTCAGGATGTTTGGATTGAATCGCTTTTAATCCGGTAGAACCCGCAAGATCCGAGTCGATGACCATAACTCGGCGAGCAGCCTCTTCTTTACTCATACCGTCAAGGATGGAGTTCACAGCCTCACCAAAGATAGATCGGTTGGCACCTTTATCCTTGCTTGTACCCAGATACTGGTGCGGGTTGGATCTTCCCTTGATTTCATCGTAGAAAGCAAGTTGCTCCTTGCTGTAGCCTCGCTTGGTAAGGTATTTGCGAGCAGCATCAACGGTAATGACATCGTGAGCGTGGCATTCGCCCTGGATATCTTCAATACCAACGGCCATCACTCGATCCACAATTACAGCAGCAGGTCCCTTGTGGTTGATAACCTCGCACATAGCACCATAAAGTGAGTCCAGATTCTCACCCTCAGCACGTACAACGTGAAGGCCATGTCCGGAAAGAGTATTCCCAATATCATATCCCTTCAGATACTCCGAAGGATGTCCAGCAATAGTAACATCGTTGTTATCGACAAACAACTTGACATTGAGATTCCGAGCAACAGCAATACGCGCAGCTTCGGCATCATTACCCTCTTGTTGAGATCCATCTGAACCAAGCAGAATCACATTCTTACCCTTATTAGCCATCGCGATACCGTTCACCATTCCCCACATATGACCCAGGCGACCGGAGCTGAACTTGACACCAGGTGTGAGACCGAGTTCGGGATGGCCGGGGAGCTTGGAGTTCGCATCACGGTAGTTAAGGAGGTGTTCGGGATCAATTTTGCCATCTAGGGTAGCTAGAAGATATTGAGTGGCGACTCGATGGCCAGCTTCATCGAATAATGCGTCCACGAAGCCATTCGGGTTTGCGTTGATGAATGCCAACAGAATAACGACTTCCGGAGCGGTATCGAAGGGACCACCGGTATGACCTGAGACACCACGGGCGGCACCTGTTGCGGTGAAGGCAATAATTGCATCTCTGAAGATGTTGATATTGTGTAGAAGGTCTTCCTTTTGTTCGGCAGTCAGACTGGGATTCTTGGAGTCAAGCTTGAGTTGCTTGAACTGCTTGAGATCCACGGGAAATTTGTGAGCACTTGACATAATGGAGTGAATGAATTTACTGAATTGATTGAGATAAGAGAGAAGGGAAAGATGGAGTGCCGTTTAATATTTGAGTAGATTCTGGTCTTTGATGTAAGGGAGAAACCGGATGAGGGGTGTTGACGTCAGACACGGCGGGGTTCAACATGTTTTGATAAGTCACAACTTGGAACACATATTAGATACTAAGTACATATTTACCAGGATACTTCAGGTTATTAATTCATGATTACACAATTGAAGAGTACATCCAAGTCGTGGGAGTTTAGACGATCTTCTCAAGGACCCACTGTATGATGCTTATTCTAGAACATTTGAACTATGAAATCCGGTTACTACTAGTTATTCACAATTCCTTTCACAGTCCGTTCTCAAGTTGAAGGTTCAGATACTATGATATTTGATTAATTTTTGGGCAAAATCGAAAATTCTAATTTCAACTGAACTTCTAAGATACATATCGTGCTGGATTGGTATCGCCTTAGTGCCAGTGGGGCGTTCATTGGAAGCTTGACTTTGGAGTGGAAGTGGGCCCAAGTATGTTCTTCAGGGGAGTCTGGACCGCAATGCCAGCTCATTCTTTCATCGGTCGCAATTAATTAGTACTAGTAGATAGGAGAAGAGTAAAACATTATAATTCAAGCATCACTTCAAGTTGAATCAGATTGGATTGAATTGGAATTCAACTGAGAGGTCGGACATGGAATTCCAATGTTGTATGACATCCAGGACAGCACTTGAGTGCTGCAACCATGATCATGATCAATGTGGACTAGATTTTATGTGAAATATTGTGCGCATGTGTATACATATGAATCCACCAGTCAAATTTCATTAAATATATGTAAAACAATTAGTATGAACCTTCTAATAATACCCCACCGGAGTTATTCAGACTCATATTCATCTGAAGTGATACTAAACCCCACCTATCATGAATGACAGCATATGCAATGTCCTAGATAGTTCCCTAAACTTCCAAATTGGGGAATGATGAACAGGAACGAAGACTAACAAGCATATGAATCCACTGTCTAGTGTATAGGAGTATAGGAGCTCCGAACGGGGATGTTTTTGGGATTGCAAGCGACTTGAACCCCTATATCCACTGTGACAGGAGGGCAGGTATTCCGGGACATTCACTATGAAACTTCTGCTATACCCCAGTTAATATCTTCAAATAACCAAGGACGAACCTTGAGCTGAAAATAGAGTACCACAATAATCCCTCGGCAATGAGAAAGGAGAATAGTTCCGGAAGCACCGGCCCCACAAGACCTCCTCACTGGGAAACATCCCTGCTTCTTCTCCTATATGTCCACGTCAATGGCGTTCGGTTCATCTTTTCACCTCTAAATCTGGGGTTTATTCAAGGAACCAAATTGTTACCTTCAATGGAAAAATATCCGCCATCTCACTGAATAAAACAGTGGTGGTAAAAATAAAACCCGCCAACCAAGAGGCCACGTACTGTCCCTCAAACTGGAACGGCCCATGCTCATCAACTACGAAACAAGCATTGTATCTCCTGACGACTGGTCGGAATATATTGACAGATGGGGGCTTGCTCCGCAATTAGTGTCCCTGAATGCCGTTAGCCAGACACTAATTGAAACCGTGAAGGTTTCACTCCCTCGGAAGATATTCTTCCCATTGGTTCTTTCCCCTGAATATTGTGCAGAATCCCCCAAATTTGCCTAAATCCACTCCGGTGGCTTTTGAGTTCCTCCTTCTTGGCCATGCTTGACAGTTTGACCACCAATAACGACTCGAATCATGGACCCAGTGGCTTCAGGATTGGAGGATAATCGGTCATCTTGTGCGGGTTCTTCGTAGGCCCAGATGCTTGTTTCCATTTGGTCGATTGTCCAGGAGAAGGAAAGAGCACTTGAGATGAAGGTATATTGTGGCTGCTGCCAGTGGTACTCTGTATATAAAAGAGATGATATCCGCTGCTGCGAGAGAAAAATAGAGCAAAGCAATCAGAGAGAAAGTTTCAAGACTTGATTTCAGATCAACATGCCTAGATTGGCCGTTTCTCTTGCGCTTGCTGCGTTGGCAGCTTGCGTGGTAGCTTCCCCTGTCGCAGAGCCCGCCATCACCGAGGCACCAAAGCTTGCCAAGAGAGCTACTAGCTGTACCTTCTCAGGTTCCAGTGGAGCTGCCAGTGCAAGCGCGTCGCAGAAGTCGTGCTCCACTATCATTCTGTCGGGCATTGCTGTCCCTTCAGGAACTACTCTTGAGCTCACTGATATGGAAGAGGACACCACCGTACGTATACACAAGTTTCATATCCGGCCCTGTCTCTTGACTTGTTACAAATACTAATGATGTGATAGATCATCTTTGAGGGTGAGACAACCTGGGGCTACGAGGAATGGGATGGCCCATTGCTTGAGATCTCGGGCACTGGAATCACCATTGAAGGTGCTACTGACGCTTACCTGAACCCCGATGGTTCTCGTTGGTGGGATGGCGAGGGCAGTGATGGTGGAGTGACCAAGCCCAAGTTCTTCTATGCGCACTCTCTCACTGATTCCACTATCACCAACCTATACATCTACAACACTCCGGTTCAGGCTGTCAGTATCGATGACTGTGATGGACTTACCATCACCGATATGACCATTAACAGCGAGGCTGGTGATACTGAGGGTGGTGCTAACACCGATGGATTTGATATTGGTAGCAGTACTAATGTCGTTATCACTGGTGCGGAAGTGTACAACCAGGACGACTGTGTTGCCATCAACTCTGGTACCGTAAGTATTTGACAACCAGAAACACTCATATCCGTTCCATGTCTCACTCTGTCACAGGATATCACTTTCGAGAATGGAGTCTGCTCCGGTGGTCACGGATTGTCCATCGGTAGTGTTGGTGGTCGCGATGACAACACCGTCGAGACCGTCACCTTCTACAACAATGAGGTTAAGTCCTCTGTTAACGGTGAATAAACTTAATCCTAAGGATCTTAATGGAGCACTGAAATTAACATCTTAACAGGTATCCGTATCAAGGCCATTGAGGGTGACACTGGAAGCATCACCGGAGTGACCTACAGTGAGATTACCCTCGAGGACATTTCCAAGTAAGTTTTACTATGACTATCTACCTCATGGGTATTAGTCTAACAGTGTCACAGATACGGAATCCTGATCGAGCAAAACTACGACGGTGGTGATCTGGATGGCGGCACCCCTACCAGCGGTGTCCCCATCACTGACCTTACTATTGAGAACATCTCCGGTGTCGATGCCGTTGAATCTGGTGGCTACAACATCGTCATTGTTTGTGGTTCTTCCGGTTGTTCTGACTGGACCTGGACCGATGTCGATGTCACTGGTGGAAGCACCTACAGTGACTGCGAGAATGCCCCAGATGACATCAGCTGCTAAGCCATTCTTGAATGCGGGCATTTGAAATGCTGAATAGCTGTCTTGAGAGGAGAGTTGATCTGAGTTTTTGTAGTATAGTTTTGGGAGAGTTTCTCCGTCAAGCAGAATCATATCAGTTTGTGTATTTCGTGTATCAAGTCCTCATCTTGCTAATAGTTTCCTTGCAGGCCTGTGGGCCCACTATTAATCAGAGCCTTGTGAGCATCCGGGTTCTGACCCGCGAACGCTCTTTCTAAGGCCGGACGGCAGCGTACGATCGATGCGTCAACGAGTTGGAGAGCAAATCGTGAGAGCCTTATAGTTCCGACAAGACATCGATACCTAGGTATGGGCGAGATGACTCTCATGATTCAAGTGAAGAGCGTGAGTACGATTACGTGTTTGACTCGAGGATCCTGAAACGATAGGTCCTGCATTCAAGTCAACCCCATCCTCGTCGCACAATCGACCGATAAATGTCAGCCCTCCATCTATGTATGGATAAGATCGGGGATCTGGATGTGATGTGAGGCCGTCGAATGAGGATACTGGCATATCTGTAACATTGAAGCAAATGTTATATACATCAATCAAATGACACCCGGGACTATTGTACATGCAGCATTAATAATATTTTCAATCCAACCCGTGATACCCGATCGGAACAGCCGACATCTAATACTCCTGCATGTCATTCCAGTAGAGTGTGCCGTGCTGAACCTCTCCCAAAGGCTCCATATTCCACCTCATCACAAGCTTTGTCCATTGTAATAAGTGGCTTGCCAACTTGACGTGTCCCACATCTGTGGGGTGGTTCTTCGGGTTGATATCGTTGTGTTGGAGGATACCCGTTGTGTCGAAATAATACACGAATCCCTTATCCTTGAAGTGGGCATGGACATCCTTCGCTTCTTGTTCGTATGCGATGCTCGGATAATAGTTCAGACCTTCTCGTCGCCAGACCCACCATTGAGACTGTGAAATGTTAGACTTCTCTACTAGTAGAGGCGGGCCAAGAAACACTAGGTTTAGACATACCATAATGAGAACCACCGCATGTGGCCAGGTACGGTGAATATCATCGATCAACTCCACGTAGGCGTGGTAGAAATCTCGACCGGGAATCTCATTCGGGTGGCGGTAATCATTTCCGCCCATTTGAATGATGACGAGATCGGCAGGTTGCTCTGCTGAGTTGTCCCAGACTTCAGGTTCATCGGGGTAGAAGGCACGCGACCGACTGCCGGGATCGGATGCGCGGTTCCAGTACCATGTCTGTTCATTGTTATTAGCAACACTCCCTTGATTCGGGATAAGGATAACATACCATGCCATGGGCCTGTCCATCATAGCATTGCTTGTCTGCTAAACACACACCAGCATAGGTCTATTGTATCATTTTATTAGTAAAGAACTTTACCGGGATGGTCAAGTGACCTTACCGTTAATGTGTGCTCAACATTCCCCAGACCAGCCACAAAGAGGTATGCCCAGGATGAGAGAGTTTCATAGGATGCATATTGTCCGGAGGCAATGCTACCGCCGATTACTTCAACTTTCCTGTCGAATCTTGGCGGCACGGTCAACTGTGCTGTGTTTGCTGTAGAAACACCGGCGATCTGAACTGTGTATGAATGTCAGTATGGAATGATTATTCCGGGGAGATATCACTTATCCAAAGCCCCAATTCGTGACTATATAGAAGTTAGTAAATGTAATTTCTGCACAAGTGATAAGCTGAGGACATACCTCTCATTTCAAAAGGCTTTTGAGCATCAATTAAATCTTCGTCGAGTTCAGTCCATGGACCAATAAACTGGTAAGTAGCATCGGAAGTGACATTGGAATATTGCCAGGCCAAATTTCCAATACTGTCACTTGTTAGTAGACAGGTTGGGCGTAGTGAGCAGTCTATGCTTACCGGTATGCTACCAGAACTCCATCAGAAGTGCTTGGTCCAAATGTTACAGCCAGCTACGCAGATTCAGTCAGAGATGTCAATTGAGCATGATTTAGAGGTTAGATGCTTAGCTTACCTTGTTTCCAGAGAACTGAAGCTTAATTCCAGGCGCTCTGAAAATTGTTAGATGAGAAGTTAGTCTCTCTCACGCGTACATTTAAGGGGTAAGTTTCAGGAAGACGAACGACCACCCTATACATCAGTCAGAACATCGCGATGCGCTATCATTTCAAGTTTTATGGATAAAGTTAACGTACAAGAAATGTGTTGGCTGTCCCAACGGCCTTTGTAGGCAATCTCAGGAGCATCAGCTCCATAACTAGTCCAAGAGTCGTCCAAAGCAATTATGGGAGCTTGACCTGGATACGGATCATCTTTCACTTGACCATTCTGTAGAATGGTGGCCGAGGCGAATGACCATAGTAAAGACAACCCTAAATATGCAAATCGCATTGTCACTGTTGGTTCGATGTACACCGTAAACAACAAGAGATCACGTTAAACACGATTCAACGGTTAGATCATGAATTCCTGGACGCGCTTTGACGGGTGACCTTCTCTCGGTGGTGTTGACTCCGATGTGTTCAACAGGACTAATAATTGCGTGATTTAGTGCATGGATCCCCCCCACCACACCTTACACGTATTTTGTTCTAATTTACTCCAGATCGTTGTTTGACACTACTGAATCATTTTCAGGTTACATGTCTATTTCCGAGTCCAAGCGGGCTGAGCAAGCCAAGAACACCATTTCACTCCTCCAAGCCCGTGGCGGTTGAAGTGTACGAATCATCACCCAGACTATGGATCCGCCAAGGCAAACTAGGTCAATGATATTCTCACGGGCTCAGGGGTTATGCATCTCCAGAGCGCCACTATCCGCTGGACGCCGCATATTCGGTTAGAAGCCAAGTATGATTCGCCAAGAATTCAGCTAACATGAAGTTGGAGTCAATTTCCTTATCAGGAATGCAATGAGGACCTGAACTTGGACCACTTAAAATAGAACGTTCAAATGTTCGGAAAGAATATTTTCATGGGATTATGATCCTTGGGACTCCTGTGTTGAAATTAAAAGAGAAGGAATAAATTCTGCAGACTCGGCAACAATTTCAATTGATTCGCGGTCTGCATTGACGATCTTTGTCAATTGTGTTGGACCCTGAACAAACCGGGATCCACATCAACGTATCAGGTGGCTTCATAGGAATGATAACAAGAAGAAAAGTCCAAATCGCCGAGGAATCCGACACCCGAAGTCTCGTGCTCCGTTACCCCCGATCCTGTTATGAACTCATCTCCACAGATTCTGTAGGGCTATGGAAATTTGATGGCTCGGATCCCCATGTTTTATCAGCTTACTACGGAGTAAATGTCTCTTTTTTTTTTGCTAGTTTCATTATAAAACTCCAATAAGATGACTCGTGCGAGTCGTACCACAATGTGATCCATTTCTCCGGATTTAATTCTAATTATCTTAATTATCGTTTCCGTATTTGAGACCTATTCAAGTTTTTATCCTGATACGAATAAGGGTTCTCCGTTAAACCTGTTAATAATTTTGCCAAGAATGAAATTGGAATCGGAAATCGGGTCAATTCCGACATCTCATTTTGGACCCTTCTTGGCAGGATAAGTTAGCCCTATGTAGTATTTAATTCAACTTCTAGGAATAGTTACAAATGTACAAGATAGATTCAGCCCTGTAGATCAAATTCACTTGGCTTTTTCAAATCATTCAATACAAAACATTTGAGCGAAGTAACTGCAATTCAAAAGCAATTATTCCCCCTGCATTCCACATTCGAGACTACCATGGGCGGGCGTGAGGCAACGTCTTGGCGCTGCGGATTCAGCATAAGAATAATCCATAATATCCATAATGGACAAGGATTAGGCATTTGATTAATTTAAATACTGTATTTTATTATGTTCCCATTCAAATGATGATAGGGGTTCATCGTATATACTGTATTTGTTTCCAAAAATTTGCCGATCTTTGAATTTTGCTGGTTATGTCTTCATTACACCAAATGACGCCATTTTAAGACAACTACATGCAATTGTATCAGCGCCAAAATTTAAGAAATTTCGCTTAGGACTCCGTATCACTCTGAATGTAAGACAAAAATCCGCCAGGGATAGTGTTTACGAACACGATTTCGTTTGGAAGTTTCGCATTCGATTCCATCGTAAACAGACCTTCATCTGGATGTAAGACATAGCCAAGAACGGACCCTTCTTTTACACTTTTCCACTTCCACCACCCCACGTTGGGACCATGCATCTTTGACATCTCTTTCAACCATGGATTTCACGCTAGGTTCAGGATCCATCGTGCTAGTGACAATTGGGTAAAGGGCAATTTCGATCTGCACTGGAATCTTACGCCATTTGAGATGGCGTTGAGCACATAACGGAGAGAGGAGGTAGGGACTAGTGATGATTGGTAGGATGAGTCTCATTTTAATTCGAAGTCGTAAGCTTGTGGCGGCTTTGACTGTAACTCGGTATTAAAAAGTCGTTTTCCCCAGTCTGTTATTGTTATAACCCCTTGTTCGCTTCAATGCTCGGAGAATAATTCTATTTGGAGCCTCCGAACATAGGACTTCCGTTAAGCGGATGTCACTGAATAAGGTAACCAGGGACTTGATTCTGGGAATAGAGGCTAGCATACGAGTCATTGCCCCATACTCCATCTTGATACACTCCGTGGGGACAGTAAGAATCAGAGATTGTGAGAGATCTAGACATTCATGGGATCCCATGTATCTTGACGAACAATCTATCACAAGAGCAGAAGAAAGTACTATAATTGATGCAATAAAACAGACCCTGGATAAAAAAGACTATGTACAATAAATCAGCCCAAATGGATCTTAATGGGGACAATAATCTGTATCAGCTGTGTCTGCTATCTCTCACGCATGGAATACACATCTGGTAACTGATCTACTAAGTTCCTCTTGGCTGTTAACAAGGCCCCCCCAGAGCCGAGGGTGTAGACCTGAGTCTCATGCATTGGATCACTACTCCGTACTCCACTTCCAGTCGGGAACCTCCTATCTTCCGCTATAATTGACCAGTCAATGGTGGATCTATCCCGCCACGAATTATTCAAAACCCCAAGCCTCCCCACTCTCATACCTTCCTTCTTGCGTTGAAAAGTCCTGCATTTTGTACCGCGTGTTCCGCCCCTCTTGGCATCTTGTCCTTGTTTTTGAAGGAGAGATTCTCACATCCTTTGAGTCACTCGTTATTCTCTCAAGTTGATCTGCGACTTAGTTCGCCAACACTCTCTTGTCTTTCTCTTCTGGTTAAGAGCTAGATGCATTCATGACTGATCTTTTGAACTGATTCGACCAATCCTTGACCCATTATAATTATTTTCGATTCGATATACTGCACATCATGGACTACATACAGCCTGCCCATCTTTATACTCGTATTCTGGAGAACATTCCTTGGAAGTCTGGGGACCCTAATGCAGTGAAGGGCGACCCTAAGAAAAGTGTGAAATGGATTGATGTGAGCTCTCCAGTAGTTTATCCATTTCAGAACGTCCAGCTAATAGATTATCAGGGTCTTAGAGGAATCGCCTCATTTCTTGTTGTTCTTACTCACCTTGCCCGCGCCTGGGACTACGACCTATTCGCCCCTCGCGACGATGTAGATGTCCCTGCACGTATTCTTCAGTGGCCTGTCTTTCGTATTCCCTGGCAAGGACGTCTAGGTGTGACCATCTTCGCATTCTTGACAGGTTACGTCTGTGCCTTGAAGCCTATCAAGCAGGCTCGTAATGGAGATCATCTGGGTTCGTTCACATCCGTGGCCAAGAGTGCCTTCCGCCGCCCACCTCGTCTTATTTTTCCGGCTACCATCGCCTTGCTCATCTCTTGGGTTATGGCTCAGTTTGGTGCTTTTATTGTCGCAAACCGCTCTGACTGTTGGTGGTGCCGCTACGCTGCTCCTGATCTGGAAGACTCGCTCTGGAAGGAGTTTATCCGTTTGGGCCAGAACTTCCTGGGTGTTTGGACTACTGGATACATGGCCTACGATGATCACCAATGGGCTTTGCTTCCTCTTTTGAAGGCATCCATGCTTGTCTATGTTATGCTTTGCATTGTTCAGTTTGTCAAGTTCCGATGGCGTTTGGCTATTTACCTGGGAATGTTCTTATACTTCCACCAGGATGCCGCCAAGAACACAGGTATGTTTCTCGAAAGTTTTACCCCTTCACCCTTGGGACCCCCAGCTAATTTTTTAAAAAGAAACATTCCAGATGCAAGCTATTTATGGAATGTTCCTGAGCGATCTCTCCTACGAAGTCTCTTTCAAAGAATTTGTCGATAACCACAAATGGGGTCGCAGAATCGTATCTGCCCTCCTCGCCTGCTCCGGTCTCCTCATCTGCTCATACCCCGGCGAACACCCCGAATGGGCTACGTGGTCCAACTACATGTTCAAAGCAGCGCATTACATTTTCCCACCAGAGGTCAACATCGGCAAGCGCTACTCGGCCATTGGCGTTGATCTCATCATCTTGGCAATCTACATTTCCCCATCCACCAAGGATTTCCTATCCAACCGTCTGCTCCTATGGCTTGGTAAGCAAAGTTTTGCCGTCTACCTTGTTCACGGTACTCTCTTGCGCACAGTCCTCTGCTGGATGCTGTATGGAATTTCCGGTCAACCCTGGGACGGAGAGCCAGTTGATGGTAACGGTCAGCCAATCCTAGATGAGAATGGCGAGCCCCTTCACCCACACTACCTTCCTATCCGTGGTCCCTGGGTTGTGGGTATTTCTATCCCGGCTTGGATTGCCCTTGTCTACTGTTGCGCCACCCTTTGGACTTCATACGTTGATCCCTTCTGTGCCAAGATGGCTCACAAGCTGGAGAAAATGATGTTCCAACAAGATGAGAAGTCTGTTGAGACTCTTCCGCTTACCTCCATGCCAATGACTACTGCTTAGGTGGTTACTGGCATGCTGCATTTACTCATGAGTCAACATGTCTAGTTTCAGACGATTCTCGCATTTAAAGCACTTGAGCCTTTGAGATATAGGGCGGTTTGGAGTTGGGTTTTCGATGTATATATTTTACTATCCTTTTATATTTTCTTCCTCACATATTATTTTCATGAATATCATTTGGTTCGATTATGTACACCTCCCGTTCATCTGTAATTCTTATATTTCGTGTTCCATTGCGTCTGATAACAAACACTTCTCTGATCTACCCGAGGACCGATCCCACAAAAAACGATAGAATTGACAACTGCAAGCTCCCTCATCGATCAGGTAAATTCATCAATACATTAAGCTGCCTTCTATTCTCTTTCGCTCTTTTATTGAGTCGTTTCATATTTGCGGAGACTCGGACATTACTCTGTAACCGACTCGGAATCGGCACATGCATGTTGCAGATACCAAGAGCCTCGGAATGCAATGAACATCACGCCAGGTGGAACCACGACGATCTCGGGATTTCTTATCTTCATTTACTCTTTTCTAATAAAGCTTAAGTTGATCAAAGATCTTCATGGATCTCCGTTGGACTCCGATGCCAATGTTCCCATTTAAAAGTGTTTAAGGTTGCATTGATGCAAGCACGCAACTTTCATGACATGTCGCAACATGAAATAAGCTGCGCATGTTTCATATCTGTATCAGATGCTAAAGCTTGTTGGGGCCTCCGAAGATCGTCGTTTCATTCAGCGCAAGCGCATATGTGCATATAGAAGTTACTAACCAAGTAGACTGAGTACCGAATACATGTGGTTGCTCTAGTCATATCACAATGAATCCTGGGCTTGCCCACATTCATATAGCTGGTCCGCAATCCAGTGAAATACAGTCAAATGAACATTTAAATGTTCACTTAAAGCCACGAAATTCCCCTGTCGTGGTGGCAGTTCGGCACTGGTGGAGTGGTCCACGTCGGAGTCGTTTCATCATCCCCAAGCCTTGCAACCGGCTTTAGAATTGATTGATGTCCCCAACAACCCTTGCCATCGAATTTCATCATAAATTTCGAGTCCTCATCCAGATATCCTGGCAATCCTTGTTTCCACCCATCAATAACCAACCTCAGAACCTCTGTCACGTAAAGGTCTGGGGTGATCGGCGCAAAGCGAAACTGATTATTGATAGCCTGGACAGTCTCAGGTGGATACAAACCCACATCCTGTTCCAGCGCAAAGGCGTCTGCAGCCACCAGGGAGCTCGTGATATGATACGATCCACCCTTTATGGCCCGATCTCTGAGTGCGATCATCACGCCCAGAGCCCCAATAATGCCAGTCAGCATATCAGAGACAGGAAGAGGCGGTAGCACACTTTTCCCTTTCTGATAGCCCTGAGATTGGCCCATGATATATGAGCTCCCTGATGCGGCGTCCCCAATTTGCTGCCAGCCAGGACGCTCTGCGAACGGTCCATCTGGTCCGTAGCAGTTTTCATCGACATAGACTATACCCTTGTTTCGATTTCCTGCTAGTTTGAGGAGATCATGCAATCCAAGACCCCTGCGAGCGAGGGATCCTAGTCTGAACCCTTGGATAAAAACATCGACGTCCTCAATCAGTTCGTGTAGACGAGCCATGTCTTCTTCCTTTGTAATATCCAGGTCAATGGTTCGCTTTCCCGCATTGAGAGTCATTTGCAATACCTAAAGAGAAAGGAAAAATAGCATATTAGTTTCTGCTACGAAATGCCAAGTTTTTCTTTGGAGGTTGTGACATACATTCAGGTCTGTTAGTCGACTACAATTCACTCGAATCACATCAGCGCCATATGAAGCAAGAGTAACTCCCAACTGCGGACCAGCGATAATCCGCACCATTTCAAGAACCTTGATACCGGCCAGCGGTCGTCGATCAGATTGGTTCAGCGGGAATGGGATCGGAGGAGTAGATTTCGCATAAGTCTCCTCGGAAACATTCACAAGTGGATGCTTCGCCAGTCTCTTCCCAAATTCTGTCTTATTCCACGCTTCAGGGGTATAACAGATACTCCCGCAAAGACCATGACGCACATTATGCATCTCAAGCTCATCAGGACTCCACTGACGAACGTGTTCTTGGATATAATCATAGTATTCATCCTGAGTTTTAAACGACATATTGCGATCAATACCCATTGAATCCAGCGTTTTATTCGCATCGAGCGAGCCATGAAGCTGGTACCAAACTTTCGGATCTTTGGTCTGGTATATAGCCGTGGTGCGAGACGCAATTCCTTTCCCAAAGCCATTCTGCATGTCTCGCGTAAAGAGTGAACTCAGCTTTCCAGTTCGGAATAGAGATGTCAGGTCTTCTCCATCAAGATATGAAGTGAAGATGGAACCAATCCAGAATCCCGCATGATCTGTGTTCACGGTCACTTTGTTCTCGGTCGCTTTTCTCCCATCGCGGAGCTCGAGGATCTCGTTGCCTACCAGGCCTGTCATTGCGTGAAGGACTGCTGATACCACAGGAGCTTTAATTGGGCCTGGAATCATGGGGGTTGGTTGTCCCTCAAATCTCACTGTGTCCCATAATGCCTTGTCCTTTGTGAAGCCTGGAGTGCGGGATGCGAGGATATCGAATACCCGACGGGCATCTTCAGGTACTGGGAGGACCTCTTTGTCAATGAAAGTACCTGGACCATAGATGTCGGTTCCAGGGATGGTTTGGTGGAGACTCATGGTAGTTGATACTCAAGACCTTGGTCGTGATGGTATTAGAAATTCGAGATCGGTATAATTCGAAGTGTTGAGAATGAGGGGAGTTGTGAATCGTGATGCGAACTCGGTTGTGGCCCCACGCAAAAGATCGACAAGGTTCGGTCCATTTTTTGAGAAATCGACATACAAATCAAGATCTGAAGATTCTGAAAATCAGTGGAGCATGGTCCTCTGCGCTTCGATGATGTCAGGAATCTTTCACCGCATATTCGTCTCTTCATTATCAGCACAACAGTGTTCAACTACTTACTCCATCAACAATGACAGGATGCTTATGCGAGTTGACCCTCTTTTTACCCCGCATTTCTACATAAGCATAAATGAACCAAGAGGGAAAAAAACTTGAATTGGCCAGTTGAGTCAGACCGAAGTTAATCCAATGTCCAATGAACTAACCAGTTGATCGAAACTTCTTTGGAATCCCTTTCACCCTTTTACACATAAAATCCTGAAGCAATACACGCACTGACTTCACCAGTCGTCGCATAGTCTATTCTCTTTATCTTATATAAATAACAACAGTTACATGACAGTCAGGGTGGGTATCCTGAAATCCTTTGTGTCTTATTTCTCATCCCTCCCTATATAACCTCCCGTCTACTACGTGGTTCAAACACATACGACCACACGGCGTGGAGATTGATGTCTTTGAGCAGTGCTTCCCGTGCGCTCAACCGCACTTAAGCCATATTGGATATAGGGAGTACGTGAAAAATCGTTCATGTGCCCTGAGCTCGAAATAGCATTCAAATGTTGGATTTCCATATTCGTATGTACCATTTACATCAATATTCTCACGCCGGGGAGAGGAGCCACTAATCATCTTCGTCGGAAGAGATAGAGCTACCAGTAGCCTCATCAATATCCTCTGATGCAATCCCCAATTCGTCGTCACTTGCTTCTTCGGCATCCTCCAAGATCTCAATAATCTCATCTTCTTTGACATATCTGTGTGCAATCCCGCTTGTTTGTCCATCACTGATGAGAAGCTTCAAGATCATTTCGCTTCTACTGTGACCCCGCTTGCCTGCATGCAAAGACCGAGCAACACGACAAAGTGATGATAGAATGCTTTTAGTCTCCCGGACCTTCTCCGACGTTTCAAAGGTAGATATCGTATTGATGAGACAAACTACTCTGATTCGATGTGAAGACAGTTGTTCAATCAAGCCCGCGAAGAGACTGTTCAATGTGCGAAGACTCCGTCTTTTGATACCCTTGAACTCATTTCGTGATATAGTAAGGGAACTTCCGACCATGAGCTCTGCCTGCGACAAGAGCTGGCCGATCATGGTTCGCAGAATATCATAGGAGTCAGATTCACCGTGTAGCCCACAAAAATAGCTGAGTACAATAAAACCTCTCTCTTTGCAATATTTACCTATCGTTGAGGTCAAAAATGAAATGGGGCTTATGCAAGCATCGATCTCCATGTTGCCGTAGACGATAAGGGTGGACGACCCGGATTGTTCCCCGAGCCAACCTCGAAAAGCCTCTCCCTTGGTGATAGATGATATCTGGCGTCTTTGCTTGCGGTTCATCTCCGCTCCTGCTAAGCACTCCTCAATATCTGCAGCATTTTCTTTGCTTTTGAATGATAGCTCGTTCAGAATCATGCTTATACTCGGTCCTTTTCTCGATGAGACTCTTTCCGTATGTAAACCAAGGACAATGAATTCATACCTTGATAGGAATTATCGAGTTGCTCTTTTAGTACTTGAGTGGATCGATGAGCTTTTTGGGTGTATTGAGCGGATCTTCCTTCAGCTTCCAACATATCGAGTTAGCTAATGTAGACTCGGAAAGCAAGGAATGCGACAGGGCCCCTCACTCAGTCTTTTGTTCTCTGCAACCTCGAGCCGTGCATTGCATTGCATATCATCAAATAAGTTGAGAAGTTGGTTCAAAATCTGCAATTTGAATGGGTCGCTGTCTTTGATATACTGAGCAACAGAGCGTCCCCGTCGCTCATTTACTGCGTCACGATTGATTTCCTTGAGATAGTTGCCGAGGCGTCCTAGTCTACCACTTAAGGAATTCTGAGTTTGTTCTACTTCTTATCAGTAATAGGGTCATGGTAATTTAAGGGACAAAGTTTCTTACCCTCTCGTATCTGATTCAGAGTTGATCGTAACAAAATGATTGCTACAGCAGCAAGCTCCACGAAGATTGCTACTGTATCTTTGATCATGTCAGCGGACAATAAACGCCTTCTCTGAAGATATATATAGTCTCCTGAGTCCACGAACAGTTCCAGCGTTTTTGTCAGAGATTTCAGGTGAATTGTATAAACATCATGCCCATCAGTCAGGGCCTGTCGGTTCAAATATTAGCATCTTGACAGGCATCACAAGTAGATGAGCACATACAGTTATCAAACATCTGATAAATTCTATAATAATAGTTAGTTTAAATCAAGGCTTCACAGAGAATGATTTTTATACCTCCTATTGAACATCGGCAGCGCTCATTCGGGAACCAATCAAGCCATTCAAAAAAAGTTGCACTAGCCTCTTTAATGCGATGGATAAAGCGCCCTACCTCGCTTAAATTCCGATTTTCGTACTCGCAGTATTTTCTCGCCTCGCTCATCTTCTGAAAAATCTCAGATTTTTGTTGCGCCCAGGAAGGGTACGTGGAGGATATCTTTCCCCTCTTTCTCGGTTCGAATTTCAGAACCTTTTCTTGAAATGTGATAACAGCCATCTCGAGCTCTTCTACCTGTGGCAGAATTTCTTCAAACTGCCTGTCACTGCTTCCTTGTCAATCAACGAACTAAAAGCATATGCAAATTTCTTACTTGTCTTCATTCCTTTCCCTACATTCAGCAAATGTGCGGAAGCTTCGATCTGAAAATATATAGGGGTCATCAGGTCCAATGATATTCGTACGATTCTGAATAAATGACGCCGCTTCATTGTCCGACCAAGTCCGTTTTCTTTGATTATAACCATAAATGTGATTGAAGTAGTTGTTTGTCGTTGTCACTTGATTAGAATGATCATCCCTAGCTGCAACTTGGACTTCATTGGCCGCTCGAGCAAATTCGAAAGTCTGCCTGTCAACATGTATTTTTCCTGCAGCATTTGCTATTGTAGCATTTCCTGAGGCAGAGATGTTGCTTGTTGTTGGAAATTCAGCCTCATGAGGACTTGCAGTAAGAGGAGCATCTGGGCTGTATCGTGGCTCATACTGTCTTCTCGCATGTCGCCTGGTTCTTTCCATATTGAAAGAAGGAGTTGTATCGGTGCTTGAACCATTCAGTGAATCAGCGAGCAAAGAGTAGAGAAAAATTGACAAGGCAACTTAGTAGTCGCGGGCTGAATTTGACCAGAGAATTGTCACGAGCACATGGAGATGTGCTTGCACGGTGATATGGAACGTGCGTGGCAACAGATTAGGGTGGAAACCCCACCAAGCCACCTGGGCACCCAGGCAACCATGCGTGTTCTATTGTTCTATTTACTGGAGAACGATCAGGGGCTCCAAGGTTCAAGTTTCTGTATTGATGGCAGTGCACGTTTGTAATCCCTTTACCCAATATATTAATAGACCGCGGAAGTATTGATAGCAGCCTGAGGTCATCAGCCCGGAGAATGATATTCTACATGCAGCATTGATGCAATTGGAATCCTTTGACTTTCCCCTCCCATCTCATACATATTACGGCATTTAAGTAAGCCCTCGTCTCATATGGCAGCATTCAACCTGCCATTTCGACCTTCCACATTTATATTACCATCTTGCAGTGACAATATTTCGCCGATCATGACTTCCGGCCTCGAAAAGGTGCGTGAAGGTCCTGAAGCCGGGGTGGAGTAAGTTTCTTCATACTTAATCAAGATTAGACAGAAAGAATTTAGTACTGGTGATCTCCAACTTGAAGTATCATGTTCCTTCATGGGCTTCGAGGAAACATTACAAAAACATGGACCAAAGACGGGGTTCTCTGGCCGAAAGACCTACTTCCACGAGATGTGGAAAGAAGCCGAATCTTCCTCTTCGGTTATGATAGCGGAATAACGCATCGAGATCAATCTCTTGTTCAGAAAACGGAAATTCACAGCGATGCGGACGACCTCTGCGCGAGGTTGGTGGCGGAACGCTCGAGCACTAAAACGGTAACTGCAGCCTCTCCCAACTCCCAACCCCTTTCAATACGCTAGATATTAAATCAGCTGCACAAATAGGAAGAAATGCCAATCATATTTGTTGCACATAGCCTAGGTGGGCTTGTTGCCGCCCAAATCCTGATTCACGGCGAGAGGAGGGAGGAGTCGTCTAATGCACGAGCAATCACAAGATATCTCCGTGGGATGATATTTTTGGGTACGCCTTTCAGGGGCTCTGGTTCTGCCAAGCCAGCTGAAACAATTCGTCAAGTGATGAGCTTCATGGGCATTCATACCCAGCAGGAGACCCTCAAGCTACTAGGCCGGGATTCCGAGCGCCTCGACGAGCTGACCAGAGCATTTCCAGATGTCTTAAATAAGCGGAGGACATCTCAAAATCTCGATGATCAGATACAAGCTTTCTTCTTTTATGAAACAAAGAAGACCGCCGCTGGAATAGTCAATTTACAGGTTTGACCTCTAATTGTCATTGTATTGACCTTGACCACCGGCTTACTTGTCGGAAACCTAGGTTGTAGAACCGGAATCAGCACAGATTCCAGGCTGTGGAGATGCGTCACCTGTTGATACCGATCACTTGCAGATCTGCAAGTATACGAGCGACAAGGATCATGGATAAAAATTGGTGGTCAGCGCTATTGCCAAATCCTTACAGCCCCTAAAGCGAGCATCGGCCGCTGGCCCGGTAAGTTGTCCTTGCACTCGCGTACAAATAACATGATTGTCTAATAACCGACTACGCAGATAAATAAAACCATCAGTCTGGCTGATAATGCTCAGATTATCAACAGTGCCATGGAGAACATTAACATCCATAGCCAGACCTTTCAATTTGGGCCTAGATAAGGAAGACATTGGGAAATTACCAGGGACGAATTATTTCGACGAACCATTAATCTCAGCCTCACGCCGCATTGGCCATCAGTTGGGTGTGCCTATGCGCCCGTTCCCCTCAGCTCCTGCCTCTTGAGGACGAATGTGTCCGCATTTGGGGTCAGATGTGCATTTGCCCGGGTTGTTTGTTTTGACCAATGTGCCTTCTTGCATGTTCAGCTCATCTATGGTAAATCTAATTGGGTCATTCCTTTTTTTGCAAGCCACCATCTTTCCTCACTGCATAATGCATGCAAAATGCAAGACCTCCTCTTCTCATCACCCCACCGTGGATTCTTCCCGTGCGTAGTCCTGTGGAAGTTTGATTTTCTTGGCCTCAAATACATGCGCCTTGTCACTCAGCCCCACTACTGAATCATGTCCGTCACGGTAGCATGATGGGCCGTAGCATGATGGGCAAAGGCACTTTTCATACCTTTCCATTGATTCCTATTCCAATACATTAACGTCGTCTATCAAGTTTGGAGACTTCCAGAACTTCAATTCTCAGAATCGAATAGTTCATCTCCTATCTTGCAAGATCCCCGGTGCTGGTCCATTTTATCTATCTCATTCTTCGTTTCATAAAAGATCGTTCTCATCAAAGAACACGAGAGAATGCCCGCTGAGCCAGACACCCCAAGTCTTCATGCCAACAAGATCTCATCAGCAATGGCCGAAGATACATCAGAGTTGAAAGGGGCTCTGACTGATTAGCCAATCTCTGTCGTTGCCTCTGATGGGCTTTTAGTTGACGAGCAAGATTCACGGTCCGCAGTTGCCGAGAAAAGAACCCCAGAAACACAACACAAACATGACACAGAAAATGGTCCGCTCGAAGAGCATGTCGATAAGAAAAATCCGTCACAGAGCAACCACGCCGAACAGGATCAAGACGAGGATCGTTTTGGCCTGTTTCTCGAATCTAGTTATAGTACTTCCCACCACATCTTTGGTGGAAATCTTGATGCTCGTCGCCAAAAAGCAGATGTTCGGGTCTTGCAACACATAGCCTATATTCAGCTCGTCGAAGACCGGATCTCAGATCTGGAGTCGAAAGTTCGAAAGATTTGCAAGGAGCCCCCTCCTACATTGACTGATAATGAATCCGCTCTTCCAGAAACAATTTCCGACATTCGTCTGCTTGCATGGGCGGAGTTTGCCCCGCAGGTGGAAATCAGCAACAAAGAGTCGGATCGATGGAAGCATCGCGCGGAGCTCAATCTCGACCCTAGAAACATAATAGAAGTTCTGCAAGAAGAACCTCGTTATGATCTCAGGTTTAGAAGTAAATTCATTCCTGCTCCCACAGTCGAACCCTCGGTAGAACCCCTTTCAAAAAGCAACACAAGCGAGACTCTCAACACGTTTTCAGTCATTTATCCTAGCCTCATCCGGATCAGATCTAAGACTCTCATTCAGATTCTCCAGGATATTACTGGATGTAAGACAAAGAGAGGGCCTCACGAGCATCGTCTCCTGCTTCTTCAACCGTTCAAACTGCTGGTTACTTATGCACCCCAATTGCGAGAGGAGCTTCGGAAGCTTGATAAGGTGCACAAGAAAGATGTGAATCCAGGTAACCTCTCCACCGTGGACCTTTGACATTGTTCAAACCTCTGACAAATCTCTCGGATCAGACTCAAGAGGTTCTCGTAACATCTCACAGACCTACAAAGAGCCTCCACCGAAGCGAGAGATCGGCCCAGAGAAATTGACACAAACTAGTGAAGCTCGAGATAATCTGAGATTGCTGTGCGACCTGATCGACCATCACTTTAAATCGCAGGTTGGACTGGCTCAAAGTCTGAACCCCGAGATGGGAAAAGTTACTTTTAGAGATCTCTGGCATATTTTTAAGCCAGGCTCTGAGGTCTGTACAGGGGGCTCTCGCATTCAATTGTATGTTATCCTCCGTTTTGGATGGTTTATTTTTACTGATTGGCTTTTACAGGTATCGTATCATTAAGGTCACAGGTGGTCGGGATATATTATCCTTTGATAAGCCTCCAGAGAACCAAGCCTCAGTGAAGCTTAAAGATGATGGGTACTCCATGGGCTCATTTATCCTTGAATGTTTCTACATCAGTTTCGATGGCACTAGATTTGGTCCGGTGAATGTCACGTTCCAGATTCGAAAATTCGAGGGAGAAAAAGATATCACCTCCTTTCCGGTTTTCCCTTTGACCTGCCATCCCAAGGAATTCGAAGTTAGGGAGAAATTATTGAGGCGAGGCGGGACTTTCGCAAATCTATCCAACACCAAGTCAACGGCTCACATGAAGTACAAGGGTCCCACTTTGGATAAAAAACGGCAGGAATATGTAAGTAAAGCTCGTTTTTGCATGCTAGAAACAAGATCTGATTTTTGTACTAGGTCGATTCAGAAGTGGTCATTGACTTCGGGCTTGCCTTCATGCAGGAGGGTATTCATAGGCCTGAAATATCTATCGAGAATCTTCTGGATGATGACATGCGTGAGCTGAGGCCCCCACCCTTAACTCTGGTTTGCGAAAGAGAAGGATGCTGCGGGAATGAGGCTGTCTTCAACGACTATGAAGTTGATGAAAGAGAGAGAAAAGCTTTCAAGCAAGACCACAAGTAGTTATTTGGCTCTATCGAAGACCCTGAATCTCTGACAGACAATCATATGATATTAATTCCCCCGGAAGTGTATGGATTTGTCTTGAGAACGAGAAGATGGGCAACCTTCGACATTGACCTCCTCGAAAAACCCGACTACAGCAATGGATGGAACAATTTGGTGATACACAAGAGTACAAAAGAAATGGTTCTCGCATTAGTAGAGAATCACGAAAGACCCCATGGCTCTTCTACTGGTATTGATAGCGCAATGCCAACCGTTGATCCCGTTGAAGGGAAAGGAAAGGGGCTTATCATTCTCCTCCACGGTGAGCCTGGCGTGGGCAAAACCAGCACGGCAGAGTGTGTTGCAGCACATACACAATGACCTCTTTTCCCCATCACCTGCGGAGATATTGGAGAAAAGGCGGATGCCGTTGAGTATAATTTGGAGACGAACTTCCAACTGGCTCATAAATGGGGTTGCGTTCTTCTTTTGGATGAGGCGGAGTAAGAGACCAAGCTAACCCTTCCACTGGCAAGAAACGCTAACATTCGACCTTTTTAAAAATTCAGTGTATTTCTGAGCAAGCGAACAAGTGATGATATTCAGCGCAATGCAATTCTTTCAGGTAAGTTTTGTCTTTCAACCATTTTTGTCCAAGCATTGGGGTCGTTTTAACTTAAACGTGACTATGCAGTCTTTTTACGAACACTAGAGTATTACAGTGTAAGAATATTTTCCAGCATATCAAGCGCATTTATATTTACTTTTTCTTCAGGGAATTCTCTTCCTCACAACAAATCGTGTCGGGAAAATTGACAGGGCATTCAAATCACGCATTCATCTGAGCCTCTTCTATCCAAAGTTGGACTTGGGAAGCTCTCTTCGGATCTGGGAAAATAATTTGGAAGCTTCAAAGACCTACCTGGGCAGACAAAAGCTAAAGCTACGATACGACAGGGACGAGATCATGTCATTTGCCAAGGAACACTTTCTGGTCTTGGATAGGTCGAAGAAACTGCAGACTTGGAATGGCCGGTAGGACACTCTCCCCGAGGACAAAAGCTCTAACAACATATCAAGACTAACATATCAAATAGCCAAATTCGAAACGCATTCCAGACGGCAGTTGCTATTGCCAAATATGAAACAAAGAAAAGCGAAAAGGAAAACCCAAACTTTCAAAGTGGTATCATCATACTATCGAGTAAGCAATTTGAGACAGTCGCTAAAATTGCGAAGAACTTCGACAACTACTTGAGTCGTCTACACAATGGCAAAAGTGAAGCCGATCTGGCTAAGAGTGGGCAGATTCGAGTTGATGATTATGTCGATGAATCTGCTACAAAAAAACACCATCGAGACAAGGAAAGTTCATCGCGATATCGATCACTATCCCCGGAACGAAGTCGCCCTAATAAACGCCAACGGCCTGATAAGTATGATTCTGATGACGGGTCTTCACAATCTTCAGATTCTTCAGAATCGGGTCATCAGTCTCCGCGAAAGAGGAAAGATAAGAAGGGGCATACGCGGGCGAAGTGAGTATATTAGCAAGCAGATTGATCATGCAGCAATTACAAATGTCAACAACTTGAAGATTCCAGCGAGCAAATTTTACATGGTGACTGAACCATCCCAAATTGCCAACAGATTCTAAGTAGCAATTCTAGTATCATCAGAAAGCCTACGGAGTACAATACGTAGATTCCTACATACTCCGTACCCATATTTAATATTGAAGTTATCTTGAAAATCCGAGTCAAGAGTGACAGGACAGAGAAATGTTTCGACCAATAGGACGAAACCCCCCAACGAAAGTCACTGAATACTGTATCTACAATCGCCGATGCACCCTTTTGCTCCTAAAATAGATACTAATGTTATCCATCACTTGTAATCACCCGTGGACGTTCTCGGGTACGCTATCCAACATAGCCAAAAGACAAACCATCGAGTTCAACCTTGGAATCACGCCCGAGGCGGTATATAAGTATCACACGGCACGCTGACTTGGTCGAGCAAGTTCCTCTGTCTAGGCTTATAATGGGATAGCTGATTATGCACACACAGATGTTATTAAACGGACTCAATAAATATGCTCCGAGCTGTGCGAATGATATTAAAGGCGAGGTTGGGTACCTTGGCAAGGTTGAGACAAACGCTATTGAGGCCTACGGCTCCGATGGTCATGCTCCTGTTGTGCGTCCATCCATTTGAGATCAGGACTTGTAGCAACTTGAAGGATCTAGAGATCGAGACATGAATTGCAGCTACTGGCATGTTGCTTATTATGATGCATGGGAATCTTGGAATGGCTGGACATGTCTCAGATGAAAGTACCTACACTGTCTAACCTTCATACTAATTTTAATAATTCTCACTATTGAATGACATTTCACAAAGCTTCAGGGTAGTCGTTTCAGGTGTTAAAAGAAACTTTGCTCATTGAAAGATCAGTATGTCAGTAGTTCAATTTTTATTGAAGTTCAGGAACTCGTGGACATGTTTCCTCCTTTCTCCAGGGTTGGCGCAGATCAATCAAACTTGGTGGTACCATAAAGCGTCCCACTTCAGCAAAGGAATGTGCCTTTTCTTTGGACAAGATCAAGCATTACGACTCACTGTGCGTGTTGCTTGATCCTGGAGAGAGAAGGAGTATTTTCTTGCAAAGAAGCCATCACCCTGCAACGGTCAGTGGTTAACATTCCTGCTGAGCCGTATCCGAAATCTGAATAACTTACGTGGCGGAGTACTGAGTCCCTTGAATCTCGGTTCGTTTCACAAGATCTCTAATTTCCTGTAACTCATCATTGCTCAACGTAAGGAGTGAAGATGCCAAATTTTCGTCCATCTTGTCAGTCGATTTCGTACCAGGGATGGGGATTATATCCGCTCCTTGAGCCAATAACCATGCCAAAGCAACCTGTGCTGGCTTCACTCCATGGACAGTGCCGATTCCCTCTAGTTTCCGCACAATCTCCATAAGCTTTGGGAAATTCTCTTCAGAAAATTTTGGCAGCGTTCGACGGAGGTCATTTTCTGGGATGTCAGCTAGAGATTGGAACTGGCCAGTCAGAATACCGCGACCAATCGGGCAATATGCCACGACCCTGATTCCTAGTTCTCGACATGTGTCCAGTATTCCAGATTCAATATCAAGATTGAAAAGACTATATTCCATTTGTAGTGCCGTAATAGGGTGCACGGCATGCGCCCGACGCAATGTGTCTGCTGAGACGCCAGATAGACCAAGGTACCGGACTTTTCCTTCACTGTGGTTTTCCTCAGTTAGAAAAAGTTCTCTCTGTTTCATTCGTGGAGGTACCTGCGCATCTTACTTCTTCAGCTCCACCATAGCTTCGATGGTCTTTTCCACGGGTGTCACACCGTCCACACGGTGGCAGTAGTAAAGATCGATGGTATCGACCCCAAGTCTCTCAAGACTCTTCTCACATGCAGACTTCACATATTCTGGATCAGAGCGGAAAGTATGCATTCCATTAGGCTGACGTTGGAGGGCAAATTTCGTGGTAAGGAATATCTCATCGCGTTTGCCGGATCGCTTGATCCATTCTCCGACCACGTCTTCAGCGTCGAGATAAATGTCGGCCAGATCCCAGAAGCGCAGTCCTATCGTGTGTGCATAATCCAAAAGTGCTACTCTCTCATCAATGGTACCTGCAGGTCCATAGAACCCGCTGATACTCCCAAAACCGAGACCCACTGATGAGACTTGAGGACCATCCTGACCAAGGATCTGAAGGGGAGTAGACATGAGCATGGTTGAAAACCAGAAAGATATGATTATTTTTCCCGGAGCAATGATTACGGTTCAGTACTCTTATTTGAATTCCCATCATTTTCGTCTTCCAGTGAAACATTATTGTGTCTGACGAACTGACTCGTAGTTACTCATACCCACTAAACCTGTTTGGCTTCCCGACGCGATATCATACCCAGTTTTCGTTACACCCGATCTCATCAACACCATCGAAAAAAAATCATTATTCCCAACTCTCTTTCTTGTTCTAGAACCTGCCTGGGGCGGCTCAGTTCCGAGGTCAGCACTCATCTGTGTTATTACTAACCCATGTCTTGAAAGCACCTAGGCAGGGATCTGTTGATCTTACATGAAAGAGCGATCCACATGCCCATACTCTTGTTTCAGATCTTTGCCACAAGGTATTTCCTTGATCGTCCATCCATGAGGCTCTTTATATTTTATCTGGGTAATGACTCTTTCATGCTGGTTTGAAACCTGAAAAGGTAACCTCTTCCGATGACGTCCTGCCGTTCTAGGCCCTGGATGTGTTTCAAAGCGGTTATTGCCGACTTATTCTATCTACCTAGCAACCACCTCGCCAATTTTGTTGGTGATTTTTTGCTCCCTGAAATACCTAAAGCCATCCAGAAATTGGAACCTTCAGGGTGAAAACCAGGAAGCATGGCTGCGGTCCGTGCGGTTCTCTTGTCTTTCCGATAGGAAAATAGCGAACCCTTTGCAGCAAGATGCTACGTCGAGTGGTGATAAAATTGAAACTCCACAAGCGCAGCATCTGTGCCTAAGAGATTTCTATAAAGAGATGTTGACGTTTATTGGTTAGTCAATTATATCTGAAACATTCCATGAGGAGAAGCAAAGAACACCCTGAAGCATCCTTGTTCAGCAGCTATATCTTCTCTTTGTGGCCAGTATCAAAACTTGACTCCGGGCTCCTTTGATCAGCTATCCCTCCTTTGAAATTTCCTCAAATATAGTGATATGCGAGGCCAAGTTTCTTGCATTTGCAAAATCAGTCACAATGTTGTTTCACTCAATGCGGCTCCTGCATCAATGAACCAATTCCTTATTCGGAAGAATCATGAGGCCTCAAGTGTCTACATACTATTTACGGCTACTCCTATTTAAAAGGCTCCCTATCACTTGAACTTTCAACTCTTCGACTCCACAACTATATTTCCTGTTAGGCTCATAATGGAGGCCCAGTCTGGCAAAATGCTGATCCTATGCACCTTATTACTTTTACTCTCAGGAGTCAATGCACTTCAGCTCGGAGTGAGTTTTTCTCTCATACAAAACATCTAAAGAAGATTCCCAGCTAACTATCATATCCAGCGCCGCAACATCACGTCCTCATTCCTTGACTCAAAAACTTCGGCATCTACACACAAACCTACCTCCATACTTGCCGAGAAAAGCTTAATATTAGACACCAAGACCTCAACCGGAACTAATGTATGGACCATCGCACTTTACTCAAAGCAAGACTGTGAAGGTGACTACTATCTGATCAGTGGTGTAACCACCGATTTCGATCAGTGCCTTGAGCTTCAAACCAACGAAATTCCTGATCAGCCCAGTCAAACGAGCACATGGTGTGAGTGGTTCACTGATGGTGGTATGGAATCGACATCGTGTGACAAGGGAACTATCAATACGCCTGTCTCGATGGAGCTTACAAATGCTACCTGTGAGGTTTTCTCTAGCGCCGCTTGCTCGTCGAGTTCGAGTTATATTGCAGAGTATGTAGGCGAAGGGAATGGGTGCTTGAATGATAAAAATGAGGCTACAGTGATTGACCCCTGGGGCTCGCTCGCTTGTAGTTGGAATGGTGGCTTTTAGAGATTGACTATGGTAAATTGCTACTAGCCCCCTGATGAGCATGGCAGCCTCATCACACAATTTGTTCGGTTTCCTTGCTGTCCACGCCTTCTTTCTGCCTTGGCTTTTTACTCAAGAGCAATTTGAACTTTTCAACATGTTTTGGCTTTTAGTCTAAGTTTGGGAAAGAGTTGAATGAAATAAATCAGATGGAACGATTGAAATATTCAGATCTGTGTTTCACTAGCTACTACAAGTGGTATGTTATTGTACTGAAAATGGAGGATGGGTAAATGAGTCCCGTCATATTGAGCAAGTCCAGATTAGTTGTTTTATCAGCATAAGGCTTTATTATGACTCGAAGCAATTAATACTAGTAGAACAGTGGATATCTTCAATCCGAATTTTGATTATTCACCCAATCACTGAGAGCACGTCATTCTTCTTTGAATAAAAAGGACAGTATGGACACAAAGGCTTACGTGAACTTCCCAAGTGCGATACTACCTACACATGTGAGGTACAATGATATACGTTATGGAACGTACCTACGAAACTGTATTCTAAATTGGGCAGCGTGTCAGGGATTTTGTTCGACATGAGAGGTTTTCACAGAGTCGATGACTATTTATTTTATTTGGCTCATGTACATCAATCGCGGTTGTCTCATACTCTCGGAGCCACTGGCACTTCCAAGGTGTCCTAGTGCTGAGACAGTCGGTGGTACCAGTGCCTATTTCCCCTTATTTGGAACAAAGCTTCCCCCACGGCTACCACGTTGGAACGCTAGCTTCCTGTTGGATTCACTAACAGTCATTTTTTGAATCGGCTCATTTGAATCATCAGTGTTTTCTGAGGGATGGCCGAAGAATTTGGGCTTGTATTTTGTGGTTGAAGGGATGTACCCCCCACCATGTCGTCCAGATTGAGCCTTGCATAGCTAGATAGAGGATTGAGTGTGTTTATTGAAAGGCATTCATACCTGACCAGATTCCATTGATGTGAATCGGAAATATTCAAGTTTAAGAAGGGCTTGGGTTGAACCTTCAGATATAATACCCCAAGGTGAGTTAATGGGTGGAAAAGAAAATGACAGAGCAAGAGAGAGGGCCTGGTGGTAAGCAGCAAAATTTAATTCATCATTGCTTTTTGTAGAGCAGGATACTATTGGACGATTAATCGGTCATAACTAACTCCTACTTTGGGGCAAAGCAACTGTAGATCTGGGGCAACGTGGGGCCAATTCTACGCTCAGAAAGAAATATGGAACTTCAATGTTGCAGGCTGATTTTCGAGTTATCATAGCGCCCGATTTGATTAAAAATAACTCATCTACGAGACCTTTGACTCTCATTTGACATCCCTTGACCTTAATCTAGTCGATCATGATATGAGAGTTTGAAAGTGTCAAAATGCTGGTTTTTCAAGACCCTTGGTCAGGCGTTGTCCAAGGTGGAATAAGCACCTGCATAAGTATAGGTACACATTACGGGGTAGGCTGCCTAGGTGGAATTGAATGACCACGTAAAAAACTGAGAATGATCGGTCATAGCGACAGGGTCACCCAGGTTCATATGCAACCCCTGCCCCCTTTCACCCCTGCCGCCGAGCGATGTTTTCCCAGTTTTATCCAGCTCAATTTGTCTATTCTTTTTAAGAGGAAATCCGAGGCGTTTCAAAAAGGATTTCCACCTCCTTTTGCCTACCAGAGATACCAAGATTTCCTCAATTCTCCTGTGATATTATATTGCTGCTGTGCGAACAAACGCTTATGTAGTATGTCTGCATCACTCCTTCAATCTAGGGACTGGGATTCCAAGTCAAAGATTGAAGTCGTTGCACTCACTTTCTATTTGATATCTGATGTTATATTGTTTGCATACCTTATCAGCTCATGTCTGATTAGGAGGCCGAGAGATAATCATCGGGTGATTGCTTTCAAGTCTCTATTTTTCTCCCTTCTCAGTTATATCGTGTGAGTATATTCATCTAAAGCATCATTCCAACCTTGGAAGAATCTTAAGTGTGAGAATTTTTAATTTATGATTGCAGTGTAATTTCGGAAGTTGTGTACATCCATACCACACACACGCGATTTTATCTCAGCTGAGATCTTATACATAATCAGTTTGATTTGCACCAGTCTTATCAATATTTTCATACCAAATGTACTGTACCGCCTGATATATGCGACTAAAGTACAAAGTTGTGGTGCAAGGAAATCATCTCGTCTGCTGAATGTGCATAGAGGCATTCTAATGGCACTGATATGTGTTCAGATCACAAACACGATCTGCCAAATTGGCTACATCTTTGCTCAATCGATGCCATTCTGGACTATATCTAACAAAATCCTTCTCACTGAACGAGTTTTGCATTTTACAATTTCCTTGGAAATTTTGATCGAGATCTTCTTGGTTGTTTGGAAACCCAAAATCTTGACCCTTTCTTTTTAAGGTAGGTTGGTCCCATCCATGGATCCCTAAGTATGAAGAACCATGTGTTTTGATTCATCTCATTTACTAGAAATCAGTCATATTTTTCACGGCAGGAGGATTATTCTGGTTTTTTCTTAAACTATTCCAATGCGCTGCTTCCATCTCAGCCTATCCATTGTTTTCATTCTATATGCTAGAGATTTCAAAGTCCCTTGTCTCTCAAGTCACACCTCCAATCACTACTATTTGTGTGACTGGTATCTATACAGGGATTATCTACTGCTTTATGCAATGGTATAAGATAGATATCCATGGTCTGAAACATGAAATGCCGTTCTCTACAGACGATGAAAGATCGCACATGCTCAGCCCTTCCCATGAAGAAATGGATGAGAGATAAAATGGAACCTCAGGCTGAAGAAGCTATTTTTCCTCTTTCTCGGGCTTTCATATTTCCAAAATGTTAAGATTCTTTGTTAAGTGGTTTGGTAGGTACGCGAAGATAGTAGGTCTTGAGCACATTGAGCACATACACATGCAGGAGACCCCTCAAATTCAGACGCGGCCGTGGAGCTAGTCTTGACATCTGGATGTTCTCTGTCTGCATCTCAGTTTTTAATTTCTTACTAGTAACTTCAAGTTGAATTTATGATGTGCTACACTGAGTATCTTCAAATTTTTGGCATTGATCCCAAATCAATCGAATCACTATATATGGCGCCATTTAAATTTTAACATTGAACTCAACGGGAAAGATACATGGGTGTTGAAAATGTTTTTAAGAATTCAATTTATGTAGATAACCCTGCAGATCAACAACAATTACGTATCACTTTCTCCGTTTCCATATACCCAATGCATCCCAAATCTCTGGCAGTTGCATCCTATTGACTGAAGCTCGCCAAAATAGCAAAACCACCAAGGTCAGCGGAACTGACACTAGCCAGAATATCCAAAAGCTCTTTGAAATGCGCAGAAGTTTTGTGTCAAAGTTGAAGAATTGACTCCCAAATACGGTCTAGATGATCAGCACTGGAGTTCGATGGCATCCCGCGAGACAGGACTCACAGATACAGTTGACATTGGCAGAAACACAAGAGTCACAAATGCAATTGTTGCCATAGAGCTGCTATTATCTCGCATGATCTGATTACCATCCTGTGTGACGAGGTGAAAAGACTTTTGGTGTTAGGCGTTAGCATGTCTCCAGTCAATTTTGAGCAACATTTCAAGCATCGGAACCTTGTGATAGGACTCGAAATTCATGGATGTGCCTACCAGTGCAATAATATTAGTCATTCGCTTTTCAAGGCTGCGCAAGCGCAGACTAACAGATTGAAAATGTGTCTCGGTGTGTGCCAGCATTCCCTGTGCCATTTCAGTTGCATGGTATTTTGAGTTATGAACTACATCCAAGATCTGTTCCGTGAACATCAGTGTGCCTTGCCAAGAAGCTCAGCCGCACTTCCTTGCATTTCGTCCAACCTTGGAACCTTGAAAGTCTTGGGATTACATTAACAAAGCAAACATCAACCTGACATTCTTTGCATGTCCAGTATTGTTGCTATCGGATATTCTCCACGACTCATATAGAAGGAAGGGAACTTGGCCTCACTTATGTTCCAAAAGCAATCAACTTGAAGCGATGTCTGATTTTGAGCTTGAACCAATTCATTCTCGTCAAGGTCATCTTAATCTGGATAGAAACAACACATTCTCAGAGTCCCCCAAAGTTCCCATTGATCTAGCGAAGGTTAGGCTACGCAGTATCCTTTATATTTTCCACCTATAGTATGACTTTCATCCATACTAACTCTAAAAAAGTGTCCAAGATACTTCGAGATCTATCTCAATCCCAAATCATGGTCAGAAGACGTATATGTGCTCTCTCTCCCAGGCAGAAAATACGAATAGACAAGAAAGTTCCGCCACAAAGACAGTTTGCAGCGTGTGTAGACAGGGACTGAGGATGATCGATATCTGAGCGCCACAGATGGCCGACTCGCACATCTGGTGATACAAGCGCCCGAGTAAGTATGGTATGGGCCTACCAACTCAACTTGGGCCCGAAAACAGGTTGAGGAGTGTACACCATATATCCTTCAAGTTGTCTATTCGCTCTTGGAGAACCAGCTTCGAAATGAGAATTTCTCGATTGTATCGTTGGTTCCCATGTGTTTGAGTTGGGTTCCGTCTTGCTTGCTCATCGCTGCTCTGGTAAGCATATACTGCAGGCACAATATACACTGCATGTCTGATCATATCTACTTATTCATTCCAGCAGACCTCGGTGGCGAAAAGAGAAATAATGGGCGTTACGAACAATTCAAGTACCACTACTGGGGCTACGCTAAAGTCGCGGCAAATCGTCATGAAATCCCACCATCGCGGAACACGAATCTCTCGGCTCCTTACCAAAATACGCACGGTATATCGCAACGAAACCTTCGTCCTAGACGGCTGTGCTTACTTCAAGAGGATGAAGGAATTGATATTGTCGACGTGAGTGAATGGGAGGCAGATAATGGAACACTCGATTACTTGTTCATATGCTATACCACTCTGCAATTCAGTTACGACTCCATTGATGATATGGAGGAGCTTCATCGTATTTCTGAATCTGCAGCCCGACAAGCAGGAGTGAATGCTTACTGGGTCGCATGTAGCTGCATGCCAGATGATGAGGAATGTTCCGAAGATGTATACCGGATCAGCGACATTGTCCGCGGGGCGCACTCCTTGGTCGTGATCATCGGCCCTCCTCCAGGTTCAACCCCAAGTGTGAGCGAGATGCTTCGAGAACTTGGATCGAGAATGTGGAATTTTCCTGAGGTTCTGCTGAGTCCTTCAAACAAAACTATCTTGGTTTACATGCGTGACTGTGATACGGATTATTTCCGGGTCCTTTCTAAACGGAACTTAGCTTGGGACGATGCTCTCATCTCGAGACAACTGATTGATCATTATGAATCCTCCATTTTGCTCAGTCCCTTAGACTTGGTTTCTCTTGCCTTGGAGTGCATTCCAAACCGGGACACCGTAACCTACTACGAAGGAGACCTTTCATACGCCTGAATGGGGCTATTGCGACGCCGTCCAAAGGTGAACTCGGAGGGCTCGGCTTTTGAAGCTTTTTGTCAACTATCCTTCGCTAATGATAGTGACCAACTGATTGAACGGTTAATTTGCATGCTCCCCCGAGAGATCGGTCAACCCTGGTATGAGATCGATGATTTCTGGGATAGTAAACTCTGGGAAATTGAACCACATTGCCAGTTTGCCGGTCTTGGGGGCGAAGATACCATGATTCTGAGTGGTGGCTATGGTGCCCCAATACATTGGAAATCCTTCGAGCCAGTCAATATGTTGATGCGCAACACTGTGAAACGCTGGATTGCTAAAGCTGCCCTGCGGAGCACGCCCTTGTGGCTCATTACAGGCGTGATAATGCTAGCAGTCACTGGATCAAAAGGTGGAGGATATGCTCTAGCATTCAGAGTAATAGGGTGGATAATCACCGGCCTTTATCTTTTGGCGATACTCGCCTCTCTATATCTTATTTACTCTCTCTACGTCTCTACGTTGGCAAGACATGGGCGGCCCAGCCATGGCTATTCGGATTCGAGGGTTATATGGAGATTGGTGAGATCGAGAGAATGATCTTTGGTATAAATCTTGGCCGGTTGAAGTGGAGCCCATATTCTAGTGATCTCTCGCTTCACTATCAAGACCAGAACGGTGAGTGCGTGGGACAATATCCTACACGTCGACCTTCTCCTGCAGAATTTGTCTCCACTGCTTTCAATTCCGAGTATGGAGAGCTCACACTTTTTACCTTGATTGACACCAGCACCTTCACTGTTGCCCTATTCCGAGCAGTCCATTCCCCCGTTGCACTGTTGCTCTGTGGCAGCGAAGGCGGCATGCAGCGAGCCCTGCTTTGCTCCTATGACTGGGAAACACAGACACTCTATCGCGAAACTGTTTTGCGGGTCGAAACTATCACTTTGGAGCACATGTCACGCGTCGATCAGTTTCGGCTGGGATTGAAAAGACCTATGGAGGAGACACTAGAAGTTGATTGTGTATGAATTTATTAGTGCGGACAACTTGTGTAAGTATGGTGTGCTAAGCTCCTACGCCCCGCTTTTCGCCGGAGCTTTTCGGGGAGAGATGGCAGTTGGGAGCCGCCTTGGAGATTTTTCTTAGTGCTCGAGGCCATTAAAAATGCGGGCGAAGAGAAGATAATAAAATTCCCATTTAAGATCAGGATGCAAGTTACCTAGACTTCCGAGGTTCTTAGGAGAACATCTCTTTGTTTACCATTAATGTGCACATTATCGGGAAATGTTTAGTCCGAATCCAGGAATTAATCGTATCTCTTTACTCTCTGGTCGATCTAGCAATTTCCTGTAAACCAGAAACATCTTTGATTCGTTTATGTACGAGTCATATTCTTCATTTACTTCATTTACTTCATATATTGATGCTACACCAGGCTTCGCTGCACAAAAGCAGCCACAGGCACAGGATCCACCAGCCACGGCGAATGACCAGTAGCGATGGTCTCCGTGGTTATCTGGGCGCCCTTCCCGCGAGCTTTCTCCACCATCAACTCCTGGACAAAGAGGGGGATGGCACGATCATTCTCACACAGCAGATAGGTACTGGGAATCGGGACATAAGCAGTGCTGGTGGCGGGTGAATTCTTAGTCGCCCAGGCGTGCGGACGAAGGGTCTGGGCCCATTGTTCTCCATCGGGGACATCATGGAAAAAGAGGCTGTATGGATCAACAGCACTTACAGTGCCGTTGGCTTCCTATATTTTTGATAAGATGAGCATATAAGAACAGAAGGGAAAAATGAATAGATCACTTACGTCACGGTCATACCAGTCAGGCGCAACCCCACCAAAGGCTCCGATCAAGCTCTCGCCGACATCAGGGATAAACGCCGAAATGAAGATCAATTTGGATACCCCGCCATTCTCCCCTGCCGCTTGTCGCTCGGTCTTACTGAGGCCATCCAGAGCGCTGTTTACGGGCAGCCCGGACCAGCTGTGCGATATTACGACTACATCCTTTCCTGCGCTTGCTTCTTGCTCAACCAGGGCTCGAAGCGCGTCGATATCAGGCTGTAGGTCTTGGACGCTGGTGGCCTGTTGGATCGAGGGGAATACAACGGTATGGGTGGTGTGGTCGGGGAAGTGAGCGATCAGGGGCTCAAAGGCCGTGGGCGGGTACCAGGCCCCAGGGCAAAAGATCAGGGTGGGATAAGAGGCCATTTGGGGCAGTTGGTGAGTAACGATGGTAATAGAAGAGAACTGGGATGTGAAATTGATTAAGTATGGCTTCACCCACCCGCTAACAAGCACGCTATCAACCTATCATGGTTGCCTGCGTTGGAAGCGGGGAGCCTTGCCAATAAGCCAGGGAAGGATTTACACAAGGCGGTACCATGCCTTCAAAGGCAAGCGGGAACGAGGACCGCGTGTTCCTTGAAGTGCGAAGTGCGACTAAGCCTTAGTTCCGTGGGGGCCGTTTTCTGCTATTTGATAAATTCTTAGTAACACCCAGATAAGTGGACTACTCACTTGTACAGAAGACCTAGAACATGATTGGAGACTAATTCATATTAATGAGACATGATGTTAGCTACAGGAAAGCAAATAAATAAAAATAATCGGGTGAGCAGGGATTGGTCTAAGGACCTCTAGATTTTGCGATGCTTGTCCTAACTGGAGCCTCGAGATGAGAAAGATCAAAAAGCTTAAGTTTCAAGAAATGCCCAGGTGGCGATAAATAAAATGAAATAGATAGAAATACAAAATTGCCTTTTCCTATTGGCAGAAGTCTTTTACATAGTCTGCTGCCCATTTTTTCAGAGGGAAATACTCCTACTTAGGTCCAGTCACTCTCGCTTATGCTAGAACTTAACAACATTGGAACTCTCATTCAAGTTCAAGAGGGCCTTGTCACGTAGTATGTATTACCTAGCCTTGAAAATGATTCGCCAGCTCTACTGTCCAATTGCGATCAATACTACTATCGGCTAACGAGGCCCTGGATTTCTTACGCAGCCTTTAAGCGCCAACGTTCAATTCAAGAATAATACTTGAAGAAAGAAATGTAAATAGATTTTGCATTAGTAAAATTGAACATAAAATTTGTATAAAGCAAAAAGAATCTATCTTTTTGAAATGTAAAAATTTGAAGAATGCAATGCACAGCCGGTGGGATGTAACCTGCATCCTGGCTGCTCAGTATCAAGGAGGCCGACTCCTTATAACAATCACGAGAAGAAATGAAATAGAAAAGCAACAAGTCACGCTCAATGTTCCTCAACTCCCGCTTCATGATAACTCCAACGCAAGAAAAAACGAAGAAAAATCACAGAAAATCGCAAGTCGTAGATGTATAGAGCTCGAAAAGGGTATTGTTGAGTCGGGAGAGATGTACATAAATGTCAAATAAACGAGGGTATTCATAACATACGAGAAGAAATCAAATAACAACGTCAAATCAATGTAGTATATGCAGAACGTGAGAAACTCTTAGAATCTGAAACGCCAATAGCTTGGAGGAGGTAGAGGTGGTTCCTTTGGCGGAGATCTGGGAGACGGCTCTAGATCGAATGGATCACTTCGGGTGCTATCACGGGTCTTGGCCATATCAAGGACGTTGGATCCTGGGCTGGCTGTATCTGCGAGAGTAAATGTGCTCTCGCCAGGATAATAGGTGCTCGCTTGGCGGGAATTCGGGACAGACAAATCGTAGTCTTGAGGAAACTTGAGATAGCCAGAGCCTTCCCATGAGCATCGAGAGTAATTAGAAACGGAACGAGATGGTGGAGATATCTCAATGATTGGAGAGACAGGGCTGCGCTCGACGTCATATTGAAAATTCTCTGTGTACCCAGGTGGGGACTCTTCACGGAGATACATGCGGTCAAGAGACAGGTCCTGATTTGAAGCTGCGAGAGCCGGATTGGGGCGAATGTTGGACGGATTGGAGAAGTTCCGCGGGGGAGGGACAACTGGAGCTGGAGCTGATGGTATCGAGACTTCCTGGATGGTATTCATAGATGACTGGGAGTATTGACGTTGGTGGGTGTCGTTGAATGAACTTATTGAATGTCTATCATGAAGCAGACTCTGTCTGCTATTTTTTCGCTTATGTTGACCACCTCGTCGCCGACGGCGGATGAAGAGAAAACATGCTAGAAGACCAATTGCGCAGAATGCAGCTCCTCCAACGGTGCCTCCCACAATGACACCAACTTTGTGATGGCTGCTTTTGGACTGGGCCGACGAGGTCTCCGAAGACGTGCTAGCCCCAGCAATTACACTCGTCATAGAGGTGGAGGTTGATAAAGGACTCGAAGAGTAAGACTGGAATGCCGCAGTGGATGTGGCTGTCTGAAAAGTAGAAGCTGTAGCGGTTGTCGCACTTGCTGGCCAATAAACAGATGTTGTCTCCCAAGTATAAGTCTTGGAGGGAGAGTCGGAGCTAGGAGCTCCGGTAGCACTTGGTTCTTGCATTTGCTGTGATGACGAAGCTGATGTTGTCAGGATGGTTGATAGCGCTTCTGATGGGGCTGTTTGTGGTTGAGGGAGGGTAGTTCGGGTAGCTTCAGCCTGCGAATCTGCGGTTGTGGTCTCAGTCTGAGCGTCTGGCTGAGTACTCGAGTCGGTCGGTGCTGTTAGAATACCAGCAAGAGTGACTGCGTCTGTGATGACCCACGTAGGATGAACAGTCGTAGTCAAGACCGAGGTGAGAGTAACAATCGGGTCTTCGCCTTCCCGAACTGTATTCCTAGCTTCTATAGTGCTCTTTTCATGCGCTGGAGAGGTTGAAGAAGAGACATTCCACATTTCGATCATGCCTTTCAGACAGAATTAAAATGATGGTCGACTTCGGGGCAAAATGGTGGGCCACAGGTGCAATGAAAGCGTCTTTGTCTTCCCACCTTAATAGGGCCAGGGAGACAAAGCAGCCTGTTAACAAAGAAACATTCTTAGACTCCGGTTGGGCGTAGATAAATTAATCACAACAAGGCCATGTCATCAGTGTCTGACAAATAGCCTGTGTCAGGTTCAAAGACACCAAAAAATAATATCCTTTGATCTATTGAATGTCCGATTCAATAGATGTCACGATGACACCAGTTTCAGCCTGGCCGTACAGGGCTGGAAGAGGTTGACAAAGGCGTTTGAGGCCACCACGTCAACCCGTCCCCGGGGTTCCTTATAACCTCCCAAAGTTTTCCCATTTTCGATTCCCCTCTTCGTAACCAGGGGTCTTTCTTGTTTCAAAATTGAAGCTGGCGCTACCAGTGTGTGAGAGTAGAGCGCTTAACCTCCCCCGGGCCAATCAGGGGGCCCACGGGCTTAGGACGATGGGGCGATCCTTACCCCGGTCGAACACAGATGTGATAGTCTGCAGAACAGCGCCTCGTGATGGAGGGGCAATTCAAGGAATTTGGTCACACACGAGTTGGGCATAAAAATTAGGCCAGTTCAGTGAAATACGATTTCTCTAGCGATGATTGACGAAGGTAAAGGCGAAGGACTGGCATCTCCAGGGGCCGGATGGCTGCCTTGGCCCTTGGGCATCTACTTAGTCAGTGGGATATCTCCATCCAACGCTTGCCAGTTGGCAGTAAACTAAATGACCACTAAGATGATATGATGCATCTTCGATTTCTAGAATGCTAATTTATCTCGTACCCCTAATTTCAAAGAACTCCTATCTATCAGAATTCATCCTTGACTCATAACCTCTCGAAGTGAAATTCAATGGCTTCCAAGCCTCCCGAGGTTATTCCCCGTGGCTCTCCACTGTCTCTCTCCTTTTATTCAAATGTCATGTCGTGTTTCACAACTGAAGATACATACCATTTTTAGTGTCATCTACTCCCCTTGATTTTTGAAATCAGTTGCTCCTAGGGCATTTGAAGCTTTCTTAGCTTGGACCCCCCTCGTTTCATCATCTTTGGTCGGGGTGCCACACTGGCAAGAGGTACCTTCAAGTTTCAACATTTGAAGTTCTGATTTAGATCCAGGGCCCTTGATATATATCCATCGTCATTACCATTCAACTTGAGCCCTTGAAAACTTTCTACTAATACCTAGGTACTAGTGTTTTCATCGGCAGGTTCCCTCGATCATGATTCCAGAAAAATCAAGTCACGCTGCCCAGGTGCTCCCATCTAGGCACTCCTGCTACTTCAAGTTCTCGAGGCAATCCCTCGTCCTGGATATCTGGGGACTCGGATGCGACTTTTTATGGCTTATAAACGGTCGACTAGCTTCAATCAAATGGCCATAGGGCGTTTTGCTGGATTTATCCATCCTACTGCATGTGAAGCCTCAATTGGAGATTCTACATACGTGGGAGGGTTCACCGAAGACACGTCGGAGTCAAGCGTCTCCCGAGGTCACCAGCAGCGACTCGGAAGACTATTTCGAAAAGAATCAGATAACCCATATCATCAGCCCCGACATACTCAAGAGCTACAGTGAACTACTAGATGCAATCTTCAAGTTGCCATATAAAAGAGTATCTCAAAGGCACTTGGACTCTCTTTCACTACTGACAACGCCAAACTAATTTACAGCATCATCATTTCCTGCGTTCATTGAAGAAAATGCAGACAGGTTTCTAGTCTTATTTCTCGCCTACCTATGATCGTGCCTCGTGTTGGCAGGCTTGGGACTCCCGGATGCTTGAACTTGAGTTCTCATTGCCACTGGCAATCATCCTGGATTCAATGTTCGAATTGTATACTAAATCTGCCCAAGCGAACATCCCTTTTCAATGCTGACTTTGCTACAGTCACTTTTCTGTTATTGATGAGCTTGTGCAGCCTGATATCTGTCCCCTCTCTGGTATACTCTCAAAGGACTACGTATATTCTCTCTTTCATCGGGGATCCAAAATGTGTCTTTGCTTTGTTAACGATACTAAACCATTGTCTTCTACGTACTAATACTATTTACAATGGGTATTGCACATCTTGCGCTCAATATCATGACTTGATTGCTGTGTTTAAAGGACACTTACCAATTTAGTTCCGATGATTACTATATTCTCAAGTGCTAGTAGGCATTGGCATCAATGCTGAGCTTGGAATTCCACCACATACCTTATCTGATTGAAGGCCAACTCAAAGCCTGAGCCCAGCTACTAGTATTAATGTTTGAAGTTTATTCAAGATCTCTCTCAGGCTCGGCTCAGTCAGTCTTTCTTATTTCAGCCTTCAAGTTCTTCTCTTAGGTAGCTCTGGATTCTCCGAATCAAATGGTTCTGATATGATCTACTCAAGCGCTCACTTATTCCCATGTTCTACTACTATTTGAAATTATTTTGGGGTGAAAGTAGTCTCTACACACTGATGAGAATTACTATCAATCCAATTGCACATTCGGAGATGAACACCGGCAGTTATCTACATGCGAAACTTGCAAGTAAACCATGTGTAGCATATGGGTTATGTCCCTACTAATAGTATATGAGATAAACAAACGATTGAATTTGAACATTCAATTGATGTCTGAAGCTCCTAATACTGTATTCCGAGGTGAACTATGTGAGATAGATACCAGTAACCACATGTACAGGCTGTAAACAGATATTTCAGTGGCGCATGGCATCCATCATCCAAATGTCTCTGCATCATGTACACACACCTGGGTATACAGTATATTCGACTACACTCTCCAATCAACTTCATCAACCCGAACACTAATGCTGTTAAAAACTCTGATTAATGCTCAAGTGTTTATCCCAAAAGTACCTGAGGACACGTTCCAGGACAGCCTCGAAGTCCCAAGTGAAGTACATCATCTCAACACCAGCCACCCCGATCCCCCAATAAGCAGATCAAACAGCCAACAGATCTAGTCCACAGACCCCTTAAAAGAAGGTTGGTCTATTAGCGAAGCGCGAAACGAAAAGAAACGCAAGTTCAGGCGAACGTAACCGCGGCACGGCTGAACCTTCCACCCACATTGACCTCAAATGTTGGACGAAACGCAGTCACATTTGGACCAAACAGCTGCAGTGATCGCACACGATCTCACATCGAAGGCTTCTGATCCAATTTCCAGACTCGTGAGAATATGATTGATCTATCCATCGACCCAACGCTCGTTGGAACGGGCGAGTCGGTGGAGAGATGGGGCCTCGCCCAGACCTCTCTCCCCCGCTCTATGGAGATTATCCTCCGATGACCTATATCCGTGCCTAGGTAGGTACAAGTGCTTTGTAACGGATTACAGCGTCATCTCCGATTCAGCGCCATAAATCCCTACTAGTCGTCTCCGCAACACAATGGCTTTTAGCGAAAAAGCCACCTCGGTTCGTGTTCTTATCCATTGTGTTCGCGTTCAAAGCGCCACCCCCTTTTACTGTTCACTTTGAATGTACGAACATTTGAAACAGAATATCCAACTCGTGTACAAAGTATGGAATACTCGTGTGGAGTTCTTAGCTGGCAATGCAGTGCAGTGCTTCACCGTGTTCAGCATACCACCACCTTGGTCCACTCATGTGGGGCGTGTTGCAGGTTCGACAGATCCGACTTCTCCCCCGTAACTTTCCAGTGTATGGGGTTCGCTTATCGCGACCGGCGGTCTGTTCTGGTTTCCCCCGTATGTTTCCTTGTCCTCGGGTCATCTAGGGCTCTGGTTGGATTGAGATGAACTTTGTTTTCCTGTTGCAGAAACTTGCAGCAAGGTCCGTATGAAAAACTTCGGTTACTCCGTTCTCGGTTCTCCAAGGCTTTATTTTCATTGCCGAGATCTTCGGGCGGCGCTCGATGATGTCGACTAATGCAGACTATTTCTCCTGGATTGTGATATCAACTGGTACAGGAGGGGGTTCCTCCGAGGAAGATCGAGCGGGGACTCAGATAATGTAGACTCTGTTGCAGGTCGAATTAGGAACCCGGACTGTTTATCCTTGTTTTGGAAAGAAAAAATTATCTAACAAATTTCTAACTTTCTCGGTGACGTATCACCTTTTTGTTTCAGAATAAGCTCAACCTTGGAATTACTTGGAAGTCACTCCTCTGTATTGAACATCCACTAGATTGAATGAATATCAGATGAGATTTACATTCCAACCAACTTTATGCAGGAGATAGAAAATGGTAACAGCCTTGTCTTGATTGGTCTTCTTGCTTTGTTTGATATCATATAATTCATGATACTATTATCAAATCATCCAGGATATTGATTAATCGACAAATAAAAACACAGAGCTTCAATGTTTGTAGATTGTCTAACCAGCCTTCAACTCTACAAGCATGCCCATCACACGGATTCACATCACACTAAACCACAAACAAGTTGATCGTCAAGCTCACCGAGTTTCTAGACTTTTGCAAACGGTCCAATTCACAATTCGCTCTCGCTCTTTTCTGGTGATAGTGGGGGCTATGTCAATCACCGCCTCACTCGAGGATCATAACCACATCTAGTATTCGTGTACTTTTTTGCCTTCAATATCGCTTTGCACTTCACATAAGCCCAAGGCTCGAGCCCTGTCATCTGCAATCAGGAAAGAGAGCGAGTGGCTATGATACATGGCGGTGATAAGGAATTCTCACGGTCGGGGTCAAATCAGGAATAGTTCGTACTTTGGTGTAGCGCCCATTGCGCTGTTCTGGTTGATCTCAATCATAGATGAATGTGACAAATTGAAGACAACAATTGTAGCAACCCGTTAGTATTCCAATTCACATTAATTTTTTTGCATTATTATTTGTGCGAGAGGAGTATAGATCCTATAGATCTTTCAAATTTTCCCAAGCGTGGGGTTTCAATGACTTGCGTAAATCATGCACCCGTACACCCGTAGGCTTGGAATC